CCGTGACCACAAATACTTCGAAGGCAAGCACGTCAAGAGTATTCTTTACCAGATCTTGTCTGGTCTGGACCATATCCATGCACACCAATTCTTCCACCGCGATATTAAGCCCGAGAACATCCTTGTGTCGACCTCCGCCCCCAATGATTCCGCTTTCAGCCGCTACTCTAATCTTGTCACTCCTCCCTCCACACCTCCTGTCTACACTGTGAAGATCGCCGACTTTGGTCTTGCTCGTGAGACCCATTCCAAACAACCATACACCACATATGTCTCTACCCGCTGGTACCGCGCACCCGAAGTGCTTCTACGAGCAGGAGAGTATTCGGCTCCAGTCGATATGTGGGCAATGGGTGCCATGGCAGTTGAGATTGCCACATTAAAGCCCCTGTTCCCAGGAGGCAACGAGGTGGATCAAGTTTGGCGTGTGTGTGAGATCATGGGTAGCCCAGGGAACTGGTACAGCAAGTCGGGTGCTAAGATTGGTGGTGGTGAATGGCGTGAAGGATCGCGCCTGGCCCACAAGCTCGGTTTCACATTCCCTAAGATGGCGCCGCACGCAATGGAATCCGTGCTTCCGCCCCCAATGTGGCCTGCGGCATTTAGCGAGTTCGTCACATGGTGTCTCATGTGGGACCCTAAGAACCGCCCGACTTCTACCCAGGCGCTTAACCACGAGTACTTCGCTGATGCGGTTGATCCGGTGCGGCCGAAGTCTTCAACCTCGTCAAGACTGCTGGGCCGCAAGCAGTCCGAGAAGAGCTTTAGGTCACCAGTTCTTACTCCTGGCGACTCCCCTACATTGTCTTCTAAGCCTTCGTGGTTCCGGAGATCATTGATTGTTCGGTCAGACAGCCCTGTAGCTACTGCAGAGGAGCCTGCCCGACCACCAGCTGTTGCCCAAGTCACTGTCCCTGAGATCCAGCCTGTCAAGCCGCGTCCTGTAAACCCCAAGCGAGCTACCTGGGCAAACGGTGCACCGATGCCAATCCTTCCTTCTATCCGCCCTGTCTCCCCTCTCTCCAACTCCGTTACAGCCCAGGCCAACGCCATGGTAGCGCACAGCGAGTCTTCCAAGTCTTCCGATACATCAGCCAGCTCAAAGATCGGTCGTCAATTGTCCGTCAACTCTAACGGAAATCACTATTCGGACGCGAACCGTCAAGAGGCTGAAAGGATGCTCAATGGTTCCGGGGCCAACACTCCAACCACAAAGGAGAGTTTCTTCTCGCATCTGCGCAAGCGCGCCCGCAGATTGTCTGGGCGAAACCAATCAGCCCCTGTTGATGACGTCGAGGCTAATGCAGGTTGCATCCCTTGGTCGAACCGTTCGTCAGTGGCCCTCGATGGGCCTACCAGTGAGCCAAAACAAGGTTCCGACTTGAGCGAGTTGGACAAGGCTCTTCAATGTGTCAAGTACTCGATGGACTCGTCCAAGATGGGCAATGTCCCGGTGAATTTGCAGAATTCCGCTGATGGCAACACCAAGCGTCAGTCAATGCCTCAGGCCACAAGCAACAACGCTGCCCCTATTTCTAGCCGGACTCGCCGTGCCATGCAGATGTCTACCCACCCTGTTCACCGGTACGAGACTCCTGAAGAGGAAGATGAGTTGCTTGATGAGGTGTTGCACTCCGCTAGCAAGGCAGCTAGACGCCTGGCTCAGACTCAGTCAATGGCTGTCGACTCGCCGAGCGGTGCTCACCGACAGTCAGACAACTCGCGTGGAGCGCGGAACCCCTATCCTACACCGTCACCCACGGCGAAGGATAGTGCTACGTTTGGACAACAATCGACACCTAGCAAGTTGAACATGCACAAGATTGATCCCACGGCCACAAACCGCCAATGGCCCACACCTCCTTACGAGGAGTCCGAGTTTCACAACAAGAAACCTGACTACTTCGCCCGTGGATCCAACTATATCTGATGTTCCCACTACTATCTTGAACTACATCACATCCTTTTGAGTTGTGAAACCCACAAAAATTGGGAAAATTGCGCAACGGAACAAACTGAGCAACATCGCTCACGGCGTATGGATTTGGGTATTTTTTCTTGATTTTACTCACAAAGTTTGGACATTTCGCAGGGTGTTTTTTGTTTATTATTTTTTTTTTTTCACATATGGGCATTGGGCTTTCGTCCTCTTTTTGCAAGTTTCTCATTTCCCCCACTTCATACCCCTACAGGCTTTTTTTATAGATGGATCCGGGCCTTGTTTCTTTTTCCGTTTCATGGAGTCCTTTCACTTTACCATTTACCAGGGGCGTGATCTCTTTCCTTGACATTTGATACCACATGCGCGAGTCGCATCATTACCGCATTTACCCTTTACCTTATTAGGTCACCCTCTCTTCATCTGATACCTTTGATATCAGATCTGCACATTGGCACATCATTCTTGATGAATATTGCACTCTTTTTCTTTTGTTTATATAATTTCCGCCCCCCTTCCTCCCCCCCCCACTTGTACATTGACCGTCAATCGTTTCTATTACTTACTTATCCCTGCATTTACATATTCCTGTCATAGCCCTCTTGCTGCGATTTCTTGTATCATTTCCTCTCGGACGCGGCGTGCTGGCTTGGATTCAGTGCGTTCTATACATACTCTTGTAATATACATCCATCTTGGCTGTTGTGCCATGCCCATATATACATCTCACTACATGCATTGAATATACTCAAAGACTTATTCTACGACGTTATACATCTTCCTCTTTGTAAAGTTCAGTTCTTTAGTATTTTCTCATATTTCTATCGAATATTTAACATGGGGAGGTGCGATGGAAAATGATTGACAGTAAGTAGGAGCGTTGGATTGTTAACCCCAAAGATAGTAGGTTTTACCTATGCAAAGGATCATTATAAAGTAGAAATAAACCATTATATCTCTAGAATAAATAGCGAATCCAGAAAAATCACATTGGATCTATACTTTCGAACTCCATACATGGATTGATATCGGCGGAACAACGATTATCCGTTGGCCATCAAGATTTCCTGATTGAGACTGCTCTGTTCGACTCTACCAACTTTTTTTTCTCCTCCCCAATTGCCCACCAGCACCACATAACGGGTCGAACTAGACTGGCTGTAGCTTGAAAATTTGGGCTACCAGCATCCTTGCACATCCAGCACGCGCCCCAGCAAAGCACTTTTCACAAATCGCGGGCCGATCACCACAAAATCAAGCCGCCCGCCAACAGCTGCGAGCTAGCCTTGCACAACCGAATTCGAGCTCTATCCTCCGAAACAGAAACGCAACAATCTATTTGCACCACATATCAACACCAACACGCCAAAAATGTCAAACCAAAGACAAGCCTCCTCCGCCTCTCAAGTCCCCCACCTCTCACCCGCCGAACTCTCCTACCTCTACACCTCTCTCAGCCTACCCAAGAACCCAATCCGACCAGATGGCCGCTCCCCCACACAATTCCGTCCTCTCTCCGCCGAGACCACGATCCTACCTGGCGCGAACGGTAGCGCGCGCATCGGATTCGCAGACGGCACGCAAGCGATCGTCGGCGTGAAAGCCGAAGTCGAGAAGACCGTTCTCGCAGCCGACACGCTCGACTCGCGCAGTCTGGCGCAGCATGGCGATGCACTGAACCGCGAGGGCGAGCAGGGCTCGGCGGCTGTCTCAGGACAGGGAGAGTGGGTGCAGATGTCGATTGAGATCCCCGGGTTTAGGGACGATGATGCACTCCCTGTGTTTTTGAGTGAGATGATGCGGGAGAGTTTGGTTGGTTCTGTTGCTGGTGGGAATGGGGATGGTGCGAAGGAGATGGCTGGTGGGTTAAAGGCCAGACTCGTTATTAACAAGCGGTGGCACTGGCGCTTGTATATTGATGTAAGTTTCTCGGAATGCTTTCTGTCTTTGGGTTCATGGTTCTGTCTTGGTTCCAAAGGTACGTTTTGATTTGAGCACTGCTAACATGTTATCACCAGGTCCTGCTTCTCTCTCAGCCTCTTGCATACCCCCTCCCCCTCCTCTCCCTCACAACCCACCTCGCCCTCCTAAGCACTAAGCTACCGAAACTCAAGTCTACGGGCGAAGAAGACCCCTTCTTCGACGATGACTGGGCTGTCGCGGAGTATCTCTACCCACGCTCCAATACTTCCAAAACTCCTCTCTCCGCTGCGCCATCATACCCTGTCCGCCCACCCGTAACGCTGCTCGTGATCTCTGTCGGTGACAACGTCATCTTCGACCCCAACCGCGAGGAAATTGCCGTCGCAGACGCCGTCCTGGCTATCTCAGTTACACGCAGCAGCGACTCCGAGACACTGAAATTGCTGTCAATCCGCACAATCGACCCCCCCTCCCGCCTCACTCAGCCTGGTATCCCTAATTCCGAAAATGTGAATATGCTCGGTGCTTCTGCGGCGCCTGGAGAGGAGTCTGGTGGCCAAGAGGAGGTTGAGGGTGTCTGGCGTCCGCGAAGGGGTGGTGTTAGCCGCAGTGTCATTGCACGTATGGTCAAGACTGTCCTCACTAAGGGCGGCGTTGGAGAGGAGGTTCTTGAGGGACTCGAGGGAGTTGAGGTGCAATGATTTTCCCATTTTGATTCCATCTCTCATGGCCATGTATGAGTAATAAAGTACATCATTACTTTAAGGTTGCGACTTTGATATCTGATTTGATAGGTCGCTGCTTCTGGAGTTTGGAGAAAAGCGTTGTCCTTTGATTAAATCGTTTCTGTTCATCTTGATTCCATTGAAGTTGAGATAATCCTCCTGTCGTAGCTGGACTGAAAGTCTAATAATGTACAAAATGGATTGAACTCCACTTACACCAACGTCGCTGCTGGAGGGTCCTGGGGGTGTCTGATTGTCCCTCATGTAGGACCCCTTCAATACCCATGGCCAAACCACATAGACAGTATATGAAGTCTATTTAGCCTATGCCATACTTAGATAGCTTGGCTATATCACCCATAGATATTGATTGAAACACCCTACACCAAGGTATAGTATGTAGGGAATAACAATCACCAAATTCCAAACCACTTCTTAACGGGCTTCTTATTGCCCTCCCAATCAACAAACTCCTGACCTCCAGCAACCTCAGCAGCAGGAACAGCAACGGGCGACTGTGAATCGACCTCCTTATCACCCTCATCCTTCTTCTCAGGCTGCGCCTCCTCAAGCCCATGCGCAACACGGTACTGCTTCCTCTTCTCCGCATCCTCAACACGGCGGTGTCGCTGCTCTCGCACGCGCATGGAGTTGTGCTCCACATGCATGCGCCACACAGATAATGCCTGCGAGACCGTGGCGAAGGGAGACGTCAACAGACTCGACCATGACGGTAGCAGGTGTGCGAATGGAGAAGTTGCTTTGAAGTTTGTTGTGAAGGTGAACCCGGCGCAGGAGATTAGGACGCTCTGTGTTTTTGGTTAGTTAATTGTCTCCTCAATTCTCTTCGGAGGTTTTTGGTAGATCCACAGCTAGATCTGGAGATGAATCCAGAACAGATAGACCTATAGCTTGGATCTGTTCTCGTCGGTCACTCACCAATGCAATCCAAATGTGAATCCACTTGCTCGTCAGGAACTTAAACATCACTGTCCCCTCCGGCGGAAACATTCCCGGGTACTGCGTCTTGCTCTGTTGCACGCGCTCTTTCTCCGTCGTGCGCGGGCCATACTCGAATGGTTGGCCTGGGGGTGCGCTCTTCGGAGATGGAGTCACGAGGCGCTGGGGATGCGAGGGTGGGCGGAATCTGTCGGGCTTTGCGAGGACGCGGGGCTTGGAAGTGGCTTTCTTCAATGCGGCGCTGGTCGAGGTGAAGCTGCGTCGCGCACTTTGGCGTTGGAGGGCGCGTAGGGTCAACGCTGAGGGCGGGCCTCGCGGGAGGAGAAAGCCGGGGATTGGGGCTGGCATTTCGGGATTGATTTCTTGCCCGTTCGCTCGTGTAGAGAGATCGGGTGGCCTTGTTGACTTATCTAAATGTGGAACCGTAGATGCAATTTTTGGAGAAGGTTTTATATCACGTGACTTTATCGGGACATCGGATGTCGATTGAGTCGAGATATGTCCCGATTGACCGCATATCCTAACTATTTTTGGGGGCTGGGAAAAAAACCGAGTCAGGCCACTTGACCTTGAAAAATATTCACATGGCTTATCCATTATTTTCTGTCCCAATTGAGATAGTCTGGGAGTAACTTTAGGCTATAATCACGAGTTTCATACATAAAATCAACCTAATACAATGTCATTGTCCATTTCCACTACAAAATACAAAGTACTACTCCATACACCTCGGCAACATGATACATTGCATTTGCTGCCGAGATTGAATCGAGAATAAACCGTTTCTGCCTCAGGATCCACATATCGGACCACTGGTGGATCAGTTCGAGCGAATGAGAACCCTTACATTTCAAAGCTACCACGGTGGATGGGGAAGTTGCTCCAGTTCTCCAGGGGGAAGGGGAAGTGAACGCGCGTGAGATATGAACACGGTCGCCACGAGCATCAGAGAGGAATTGAATGTTTCAGTTTGGTGAAGCTCCAATGAAGCTCCAACGCATCCGTGCACAAACAAGTCAAGAACCCGCATTCGTCCATATGTGGATATTTTGAGCTGATGATGAAGTGATGAGATCATGGGGCGGAATATGAAGTGTACATATTGGTCCTTTGCCATAAGCAAAGCCAACAGTTTCTAGCTATTCTAAGCATTGAACCATGAATCCCAAGTAAGAAAGCAGAAGACATAAGAAGTAAAAGAGTGTCGGAGTATAACAGAACACACCGAAGTTCCCGGTTGTGCCCGTCCGCCTGAATCATCCGAGTTCTGATTGGTGGAGCGGCAGATTACGAGAGGGAGCGTCGGGGCCAAGTACAAATAACCAGATTTTCTTTTCTTCCTTCCCAGTTTTTTCTGTACAGTACAGTGTCATAATAACTTCATTTTTTCTTCTTTCATAATACTTCACAATGGCTCCTAAGAAGCAAGAATCTTTCGCCCCTGGTAAGCTTCATACCTTCCCCCATTGAGGTCAAAGGAGGTTGAACGGGGAGGTGCCATGAAGGTCGAAGGAAGGAAGTGAAGGGCATCGCAACTCCTAAAATGGCAACACTGCTTGTTGGCTACCTAGGACGACGATAGACACACTTCCTCGCCTTTGCTCACATTGCGACTCCTCGTCAACCTACCTACCTCTCAATTGCGATCACCGCAACCTTTGCCCGAAATACCACGCATCAATTATTCAATATGACTACGTTCGATGTGTTCTGCACCTTGATAAGCATAGACATGCGCGAGGCCGAACGTGCAGAAGCTGCCCTCATTGAAGAAGCCAAAAAGAAAGTGAACCGGATCGCTAATCTCAGCTTTGCTTCAGGTGACGCCGCCAAGGGTGCCAAGCTCTTCCAGGTGAGTTCATTATTGCTCCAACGCGCAGACAAAGAAGAAAACCTAACAGCTCTTTTTTTCAGACCCGTTGCGCCCAGTGCCACACCACCGAGGCTGGCGGCCCCCACAAGGTCGGCCCCAACCTTCACGGTCTCTTCGGCCGTAAGACTGGCTCCTCCGAGGGCTACGCCTACACCGACGCCAACAAGCAGGCCGGTGTTGAGTGGAACGAGGATACTCTGGTAAATGCCAATTGTCACCTTTAAAGTCCCTCAAATCACCCGCTAACAAGGTCTCTATAGTTCTCTTACCTCGAGAACCCCAAGAAGTTCATCCCCGGTACCAAGATGGCCTTCGGTGGTCTCAAGAAGACCAAGGAGCGCAACGATCTTATCACGTACGTTACCTGCGAACCCCAACCATCTGACAATCCAACTGACAACCCCATAGCTGGCTCAAGGATAACACCGCATAAACGACCTGATGTTCTTTTTTATTCCCCGGCTTTTTTTCTGTTTCTCCCCATAGAAGTCTGGGATGGCGCCATGGGCTGATTACCGGGTCTCCCAAGCCTTGGAGGGACCGGGCCTGTATTTTTATTACAATTTCCATGACCCACAATAGATTTGATCTTCTCCTCTTTCATTTTCAATGTAAGTTTTGATATAAGTTGGATATAATTGTTTTTTTGATAGAGAACAAACGATCTGCAAACGGGGGTGATACAAGGTTATCCCAGGTGTTTGAGATTCTCCGGATTATGATGGAACCCTGTCTTATGATTGGTCGATTGTCCTGATGTATCGATTGGGCAAACATGGGCGGTCAGGCACGGATATACTTGACAGGCACTTGAAACGTACTTCAATATTGTATGCAAGGAATACACATATTGGAAGTACTTCTGCAGTATCACATTTGTATCTTTTCGGTATCTGATGTGTACACGCCATGTTGGCCCTCGAGTCTCAGCACATGACCCAGCAGGGGTCAGGCTGATTGGCCCAACCTCCTCGACTTGGATACAAGTGAGGGGACGCATGCTTTCTCGTCTTCTCATTCCTGACTCCTGCATTGCTCAAGGCGTTTCGATCCCAGTTCCATATTAATCTCCAGCGCATCTCCTGATCGCATCTTGTCCAGCATCCAACTATCGAATGTGCCTATCTCGGAAATATCCGGTGTCGCCATTTAGAATCCAGTACCTGCCTTGTCGCATCGCATCGCATCATACCTTATCGCATCTTTGTCGCGGGGTTGATTGCGCAGATATCTTCTGTAACGGCTAGCGCAGGAGACAACCCGTCCCAGCGCGTATACTAACCACTCTAGTTTTACTTAAAAGGAGTCTCAAAGCGGTTCAACCGCAAGTTTATCGCCCTTCATAGGCATTGATCTGCGCTTCGTCGCTGAGAACTGCGGTGCCTCTTCTTCCGAGGCGCGATTATCGCGATACACCGTCCGGCATGCTGGACGAGTTAGACAACGTCTTCGACGACCATCCATCCCTGGACGCGTCGCTCGAGGACTTTGAGAACAATACCAACCCCCACAGATCCCCAATGTTCGCTATGCGATCCCAACACTCCGGATTCCGGTCTGAAGACTCAGACGGGGAGGATGGAGAGATCGAGGACCCCGCTCAAGAGCGCTGGTCTCCCCCAGGCTTTCACCCACCCGAATACGTCCAGGGCAGTGGATGGTACCGCCACCAGCCTTATCTGCGCAAAGATAACCTTATTTCGGATCGCTTGCAACTCAAGCCTACAATTGGGCTTAGCGCCTCCCCGTCCCAGTCGCGCGAGCCAAGTCCACAGTATGAGGATGCGCTCGAGAGTCCCACGAAAAGTAGACATGTCGATCGTGCCACTCCGGGCGACATCTCTGTCGCGGCTAATGTGCCTCTACCGGCGGGTGCCGATACTCCCCTCAATGGAAGATCCCCAAGTCCGCCTCCGGCTCCGAGTACAAGGCGCACACCACGCCACAGTCCCGAGGATGACGAGGTGGGCTTTGGCGCGGAGAATCTGAGCAACTGTAGGCCCTGTCTGATCTGGTTTCAGTTGCAGGCGCGGGTATACTAACGATTGTTTGCGAATGAATAAAGACATTCGCTTTGCAGTGCGTGCAGAAGTCCAGCACCGAGAACCCATTGCCGCGTTGTTTGGCTATCTGCGATCAAAGTTCGAGCGCATGACTAGCTCCAAGTCTAACACCACCTTATCTATCATAATCCTCCTCGTCTCAGTCGCGTTCATGCGCGCCCTGGTCCTCCCAGGCCTCCCACAGTCGATTCCCGATCTAGTAAAGCTATCCGGCTTCGCCCGCTCCTTCGAACCACTGATATACTATTCAGAAAACGGCGTTCAGCAAATCGGCACCCTGCAAGAAACCGGCGTCGCGGTCTGGGACTTGAGCGAATCCGTCCGCGGCACAAACATGACCAGCGCGCCCATAATCGTGCGCCAACTAGACGAACTCTCCGACTCCCTAAAGTCCCTCTCCCTCGAGCTAACCCGCTTCTTCGCAAACGTCGACTCAGACATCGACTCCATTTTAATAGTAATGGATTGGGCTAAGCGCGAGCTCGAAACTCTTTCCGCTCAGCCCCCAAGCACGCTTCCTACAATCGTCTTCGACAATATGCACAATATGCTCTCGCGGCTCGGCGCACTCGAACGCTCAGCCCAGGTCTCTGACAATGGCGTCTCCGCGACCTCAACAACAACGACTCCGCTCGGCCACCTCGTAATGGCCGTCTTCGGGCCAACATCCGCGCAGCGCACACGCACAACCCTGACGCGCACCTTTACGGAGTTCCTCTCCGTGCTTGAAGAATCAATAAACAGCGAACTCACCCACTCAACCGCTCTCTTCGCGCTCTTTGAGTCCATCGATCGCCAATTCCTCAATCTGCAGCGCACGGTCGTCCGCGAATCAGACGCACAGGAACGCGCAGAGGGCGAGATGCTCTCTTCGCTGTGGACACGCGTTTTGGGTCCCGACGCCGTGGCTGTTCGAAAATACGAGAAGAACAAGAAACTTCTCGCGAATGTCCGCAGTCGCACTGTCGCTAATAAACACCTCCTCGTCGACCACCGCGGCCGACTACTCACGCTGAAAGTTAATCTCGAAACGCTGCGCAGGAAGCTGGTTAGTCCGCTCGTGCGTCGGAATGATTCTGTCAGTTTTGTTGGATCGATTGATGGGGGTGGGGGGAATGGGCATGGGAATTCTGGCTCTACGGGCCGAATGCTTGGACCTGTTGAGGCTGTTATCGATGGGCAGATCCGTGGGTTGGAGGGGACGTATGACTACCTGCGGACTGTTCGGGAGAGGCAGAAGGCCAAGCTTATGGAGCTTGTTTATGGGGCTGGGAGGAAGCCGAGTCGGGCTATGATTGATGGGTTGGAGGGGGGTGAGGATGAAGAGTAAAGGCTGGATGAAATCCAGGCCTGATCTTGTTTATTATTCTTTTCTTCCCTTTGACCTCATTTTTTGTGGCATAGCATCCTGTTTTCGGTTTGGGTTTTGTCTCCTCTCTGGCGTTTTCTAGGGCATAGGTGGCAGAGCATCGGCTGCGGGCTTTTGGGAATTCGGTGGCTTTACCTGCTGTGCCTCTTTGGATAACTGCTTTTTCTTTCGTTTTCTTTTTTTTTTTTTTTTGCGTTTCCTTTTGTCTTGATTCCGTGGCGAATAGGTAGGAGTGCGAGGAAATGGGATAGAAACATGTGGCGCCAGCTTTGATTTCACTTGGAGCTTTGCAGTGGGTTTCTTTCGTGGATGTATGAATGAATTCTTATTGCTGTTGACAGTCATTGTCCTTGTGCAACTTTCATATAGGTTTCCTACACTTCACATGTTATATATGCATTTTAAATTGTTCAGTATGTTGTATATTCAATGCTCTATCTTCTGCGGCCAATTCTTCCTATCCTCCTAGTTAACAAAGGGGGAACTTGAAATATCTATAAAAAAAGACATCGCGAGAAAGTATCTGAGAAGGCACCTAAAAAGATTTCAGAAGGACTCTAAAAAGGACTGCCAAAAAGGCTCTATAAAGAAGATCTAAAAAGACCACCAAAACAGTCGACTACATGTGTTATAACCTACCCCTGGACTGGCGAGTTACATACTAGGCCAAAAAGACCACCTGAGCATTACGCTCAGATATTCCAGGTTCCGATATATATAGTGCGACATGACAGACTGTTATCAATATTAGATCAATCGGAACCTAGCAGGCCCAGCTAGTTAGATACTGTGAACATGAGCCATTGATGTAGGGTCATCTTGCGCACGATGGGAAATGTATTTTCAAGTTTGCTCTGCACGTCGTCAAATCCCCATAAATACTACCCGCCTTCTCCATATCTTCATCCTTCTTCATTCGCTTAACTTATTATTCTCCTTCTTTGGATCGTCCTTGTACTAGAGTCTATGAGCATGAGTTCATTATATCTATCAGACCGATGACTAGATAGATCCCTTTGAGATTTTAGGTAGTGTTAGGTCTACGTCATAATCAGATACTATACACTAATCTATTTTGGGCGGCGGCCTGGTCATGAAGCCGCATTATACGCCCGAACTTCAGGGAACATTTTTTTCTCTGTCATATCACATTCTTTCTGTGAGTTCCTTTATTCTATTGGAGAATCATATTTCATACCTAGTCCATCTTGTCAAGGTACGTACCACTGAGTCTTTCTTACCTCTTATGCTAACCTTAGAAGCTTTCTACAGTGAGATCATGGGATTCTCTCATAGGCCTGAAGATACGACCTTTCGCTTCTCAGATGATGTTACTGACGTTTTGCGATACGAGTCGGACTTTGTCCCCCGGTCCAGACTCATCAACTTATTTCAGGCCGAGCAAGCTCTACGTGAACTAACGCAGCGTGAGGAGAGGCTGCGCTATAGAGCTATAGCCTTACAAAAAGCTATGGCTATTGAGTCTGATGGGGCCCAGCTTGAAAACGCAAATAAACAGCTCGAAGAGGCTCAAGCACAATATCCAAGAAAGGAGCACGCCCTTCACCAAGCGATATCTATGCTTAGACCGGCATTCAAAGATGCTTATCATAGGTTAAGGCGTGATGTCAGATGGTTTATGCGTGAAGAAATGGTTCAGGATTGTTCGGATCGAGGTGGATGCTGTGAAAAGGGGCATCTATCTAAATGGAAGAAGGGCAGAGGTCATTGCACTACAGAGTGTTGGTGTTGTATCGGCTTTCGAGGCTTCGAGTTTTCAGAGGAAGAAAAAGAGGAGATGAGCAAAGATATCGAAACTATGCTTAAAGCGTGGGGTTCGAGCCACGTCATACATTTAGCAAATTGGTTTTTTTGTCCATTAGAGCCTCAGACGTTTTTCAAGTCCCGGTGGCAAAGAATCCTTAGACGGGGCTAGGAAAGACTCGTGAAAATACCCTGACCTACTTTGCTTGTCATTGCTAACATAATGGATTCCTTTTGCTAAGAGTAGAAGAATTTAGATGGCGCCCAGCTATATATAGATGTAATAGAGTCTGTTGGGGCTTCTCAGCCGTTGACTTCCATCTGTAGGGTCTGCGAGTTGATGCTCTATACAACTGGTTGATATTTTAGTGAAAGGGAACTCAGAGGGAACGCAAAAGGAAACGCCACTAACTTTGCATGTAGCTTTATTAGCAGCTGCAACATGATCATTTCTAAAAGAGTAGGCAGGATCTTGTGGTGACGCTGCAAAGTGCAACGGAGTTAGATCTAAATAAGTTGTAGAAAGGACAAAGTAATAACTCGAATAATATAAGAGGAAATGCGGGATATTCGTATAAAGATAGGATAGGTTATATCAGTTGAAAAGGAAATTTTGGTTATTGCCCTATAAGTGACCTATCGATTGAATTAGTAGAAGACAGCCTTATGTCTAGAAGTACTTTTGAACCGCGGTCAGAAACGTCCATCTCCAAAGGGTTTAGAGTAAGAGTATGACGCAAAGCATCATTTTATCGGCTTTTGTCTCGGAATAAATATTCCTGAACAACTACAGACCTCGGTCAGTATATCAAGTATGGTGCTTTCCACTGCGGCAGCTTCTATATTTCTCTACCTGCCTCCCTAGATATTGGCATATACACTGCATTACGGCTTTGCAGAGATAGGAACATGCACTAAGTAGGAAGTCCAAGAACTCAAAATTCCATTGATGATACCAAATCAGACCAAAAAAACATCAAGGAGGCACTGGGGGACCATGGGTATAGATCCTTGCACAAAACAGACAAGAACCACCAAGGCAAAGGCCAGAAACACCAAGTCAAAGGCCAAAAACACCAGAAAACACCAAGACAAAACCAAAACAAAACCAAACGACAGTATATCATCGGCAGCAGGGGGTGACGACCTGCGCAAGGAAAAGGATGAGCGGATCCACCATCCCGGCCGGTTCCGGGGTAGGTGGTTGATACAAAAAAACAAAGAACAATATGAGCGTTTCAAAGATCCTCCTCCGCCTCAGCTATCTCCTTCTTGAGCTGGAGGTACTCATGCGAGATCAACCTCTGCGGGTGATTCATGAGGGCTTGCTGGGCATTAAACCTACGTATATATCTATTAGCACGACAGACACAGCAAGAGAGTACAAAGCAGATTTTACATACCGCACCAGCCAAAGCAGAAACAACGAAATTATGACAAGGCCGACGAGGCCACACACGCCCCCGATGAGGGCGGCCAACCACTCCTCGCAAAATTCCGAGGGTTCTGGGCATTGGGTGGGGGTGGGCGGAGATGTGTTTGACGCCATTTTGTTGCAAGGTGTTATGTGACTTACAGGCCCGTTCTCTACGGGGGCCGGTCTACTTATATACCTCGAGGTAGGTACAACCGGTTCCTCAGATCACGGCTGTAATTTCGCTCAAATCTAAAGTGAGTATGGCTTGGTTTGATCTTACTTTTGCCTCAAATTGATAGATCCTTTGGATTCTGGTCAAATTTCGCTGATCTTGAGTCTATATATAGGTAGTAGTTATTGAATTTTCAAGATTTCAGCTATAATTGAGATGAAACTCTCCATAGATTGAAAGATCAGTGAGAATAGATTGAAGCTGTTCTGATCATACTGTCGAGTCGTAACAATTGAACCATGGATAAGTCTGATATATTAGCGAGGCTCTATATCCCAATCAATCAAAATGAAGATATCTCTAGGGTTGATCTCCGCTGTTTCACGATGACTGGCGGGTTGTTCTTTGCTAGCCGACCTTATTTGAACCTCATCTCTATAGCTGTACCGTCTGTCTGACTTTGATCTATAAAATGCGCAAAGGATCAGACAGAACAGAGGATTGCTTTCATTTGGCTTTGAGATGGATTGACTTTCTGGGCCGTTCCTTCCTCTTCGAAGGTTGACTTGCTGTTAGAAGCGGTCCGTAACAAAACAAAACAATTGCCTTGAGCCTAGCGGCCTTGACACAGCTCCTAGATGTCCTGTATCCCTTGTCACCAGCATCTATAGCAGCGGACTCGGAGTTCCAATGCATTCTTTTAATTTGAACTTTTTATATTTCAAATTGCCATTATGGGTCTCATCAAAGGCTCTCCTGGCCAAGTCGAGGACTACTTCCTTCGAAGCTTACTGGAAAATTATATTCCTGCGAAGAGCATCGAGCATTTCATGCATATGCGACACCTGCTTAGATAGGCTGGAAACCAAACTGGGAGGAACCCAAGGAGTTCTCAAAAAAGCGACGGGTAGAGAATAGGCTTCGCAACCAGTCTCTCACGGATGGACCAATACTTGAGGAGGCCCTCTGGTTTGATGGAATGGGGATTTCGGTTAGAAGTCGAAACATAGACTCGAGGGGCTTGCAGGGTTTATACTCATTTAAAATTATCAATTCCCTACATCCCGCCAAAGGCAAAGGCAACTACCCCCAAAAACCTTGCCATCTCAAGCAATACAATGCATTGATAACATAGCTCAATTCGGCTTCGCATAATTTGACAAAGAAAGAAGCGGGTTTCGGTTCTTGCAAAAGATTTCGACTACGATTTCAGAAAAGTGACAATCTAGTATATCATTCACTACTTGGCTCTGGATGGCAGCGCCCATCCTTTGACAGTCACTGTTCCGTTAAATCTTGGAAACATTACTCTAGTCCCCTCTATTCACCCCAATAGCTGACCCGAAACGGCCAAGGGGGAATCCTTTATAGCCTCATACGTAGAGCAACCAGGGTGAACCGACTATGCAGGGACCCTTCGTTGACCTGTGGTACATAGACTCGAAAGGGGGTAGGGTTGCTTGGCGAGAACCGGGTATAGCACAAATCTGAGGCAACCAGAGAAAGGGCGTGGTACATATCTGATTAGCAGCTGGGGGGCTTATAACTCTTTCAAGTGTCTGACCAAAGTCAAATCTGTAATATATATCCGAAGAGCCCACGGAAGAAGTCGAGCACTCTTCCACTAGCAAGAAGACTGGAGAATATATATTAATACTGGGATCTCGTGAGAAATTCATAGAATCATAGTTTAATACCTAAGGGGGACTTTCAACTTCCCTTTTTTTCTTAAAAAAACAAAATGATAAACCCCCATTGGAAACAAATTAGATGTATCCGTACCCCTTCTTTGGTAATTCTCATGCAAAAGAGTCCCCATCAACATAGACACCCCGAGCTTCATCCAAAGGCAGTGCCCCCGGTGACGGCCAACCTGGCCTTCGATAGCTTAACCACCCACCATCAATTGCTTCGATTTGTTCGAGCGAACATGCCAGCTGTATGGGAACGCGCATAAACCGGATGCCCCTCAAGCGTGGAATAGGCAAATGCTTAAGGAGCTTATGTCCCGGGTCACAATCCAGGTATATATCTCCTCTGACCAGGATGACTGTTTGGTCGAGTGCAAACTGTGCATCAACAAATACATAAGTACTAGACTCAACTCCATTACCCCAGATAAGATAGATTTGGACGATGAGCTCCCAGATATCCTTCACCTTCCTATCAGCCATGTCGGCTTCCCCGTTCTTCCAAGGAAACGCCCTATAGCCTCGATGCTGTCCGTTAGAGCTAGGCGTTACCATGAGCTTCTTGAGTCTCCGTGTCTGTTCCTCAGTCAGTCGATTGTGAGGAATAACACGGACCGCGATTGGTTGAGCAGTGATCCCCAGTTAGGTATAGCTGAGAAGTATGGTAGATCAGGGCCACAGAGTATCTCGATCGTGTCGGCAGAAGGACTTAAGAGACTTGGAAGTACCACTTGACGGTCTTTTATCATTTCCGTGCAGATAGTGCTCAAGGTCCTCCGAAACAACGTTGCTAGGCCTTCTCCCTGTTCTCCAGAGACAACGTTAAACTGCGCGGAATCGATATTGGTATTGGAGAGAGGTTCACTGAGACAGATGAGATCCGCGTCTTGCTCATCCCACCCGAAACTAGTATACCACGGCCCCAGTTGCATCCAGAAAGCCTAAAGGTCTCGTCGGGTCCTGAGACGGTGTCGATCCCGTGGAATCAGCTCCACAGAATTTATGGGGACAAAGGACATAGCGTCTCGCATGTGTTCCTCTTCCAACATGTGCTCCTCTTCCCACATGTCCTCCTCTTCCCATACCAAGGCTGCTTTTTCCATAATAGAAGGGATTGCATCTTGGATTGTCTTTTGTGTCTTGCCGAGCTCCTCTGTTGTGAAACGAGAGAGGAGGAATATCACTAAGTGTATCCTGCTTGGGCGCTGCTCCCAGACAGGCATCTTGATCTCGCTGCGGGTGTTTGAGACTTCAAGTGCTAGCTCGATAGGCAAACGGGGGCAAAGCGCGATAATCATGGCCTTCACATGGTGCTCTCGCCTAAGAATTGCCGAGTCAGCCGTGAACGGCTCTCGGTCGGGGTTATGTATGACGAAGCCCCTCCAATCCTATGAATAGTTCCAAAGTGGCCCCTAATATTTGTCGGTGGAGACGAAGGTAGGTGGTTAAGGATCGCTAGGTCCGGCCTGGTCATCATTAACCGCAGTTATAAAGTCATATTCAGGGTCCTTATAAAAAGGATGGCTCGTATTATCAGGACTATAAGGCCTATCAGAGTTATCAGGATTATAAGGACGACCAGTCTCCTGGTGAAAAGGTGGCGGTGAAAGAAACGGTGAAAGGCAATTAGCGCGCCTTATATGTACAGAAAACTTGTCTGGGTCGTCGTGCAATCTTTGGACAGATATCAAGATTAATGAGATGATATATTCCGAATCCCACGAAAGATTGATCTTTCTGGAGAGCTGGCGTTTGGTCGCCTCGTCTGCTACAATGATTCTTGGCCGACCTGACCGATATGCCAAGACAGCAAGAGTATGGATGTTACTCGCACTATCTCGGTGGGGGCCTTGTTGCGCGATAGAGCTGAGGAGGCGTTTAGATGGGGACTATATCTTGATATTGGAGTAGGGCTTCCCTCGGAACTTATCTCCAAAGTAATGCTTGTAGTGAGATTTGAGGTCCTTCTTGAGGGTTGACTGCACAAGTCTAACAAGTTTGTCTTGGTCGGTTTTATCTAGATCTGCCAAGAGAACGAGTGGCTATACGTAGTCTGGGTCCACAGGCTCGTTTGGGGGCGCGCAGCTGCGTGTAAATGGTATGACGATAGCAACCTGGAGATAGAAAGAGGAAGAGTTTGCACAGTGACTGGATATCCATGGATAATTTTTGAAAGTTTTCAGCATATAACCCTCGATTATATAATATAATGCGAGTCAAAAACTTCTATAGATTTATAGTGTATACAGCCCCTGGCTCTCAATGATAGCTTCCACCCGGTAACTCCCAGAGAGGTGCTCTAGATACTACAGCTTTAATTTATTATATGCCTGCAGTAACCAAACTCGCCTTTGTAGTGTTATTATTTTGTATGTGTAGTTTTCCTACGCGTCCTAGATAGGCGGTATATCTCTATTTTTTAGAAACTTATGTTCACTGACGGTAAACAAAGGGCGCTTTTGTGGAAGTCAACAGTATGATGTTATATCAATACCTAGGTCACCTGACTGGAATAATACTTTGTACAATGGATATAACTATTCTTATTCAATCTAGAGTAGTATATAGTAATATAATCGAGATATTCAAAATTAGGTAAATCTATACTTATATAGTCCTATGAAGGACCTTGTTTGCACTGTTTAGTCGAGAATAGGGGCCCACGTGGACCCCCGCAATAAGCTGTGGGCCTAAACTACCTCCAGGGCTAGGTACTAACACCAAATCCCAACCCTATTCGTCAGACTGGGTTCGGCTTTGGGCTTTGTGGGCTCTGCGGAAGTCTACTATCAACCTCACTATAAACTTAGCCCCCCTTCTTAAGAGTCAATCAGAGTATAGGAAATTCGCGAATAGAGTTAAGAGCAAATTCCATCCCTATCATCCCTCAACTACGATCATCATCCGCAAACTGCTCCCCCCAGGCATTCCGAAAATGAAAAGTCGCCCCAACCTCAGAAATCTCTTTCATCTCCTCCTCCGTCAACTTTACATCCAACACTTCCTTATATTCATCCAACCTGTCCACCTTCTGAGTCGTAGTCACAGCTACAATATCACTCTGAATTAACCAAGCAAGAAGCACCACATTCTCCGTCGTCTGATGCGCATCCGCAATCCGACCTAGCGGGCCCTTCAACGGTCCATCTGGAACTCGGAAAGCTGGAGTAAGGCCCTTGAACGAGCCTACCTGGATGTTATTCTCATGCATCCAGGGGACATACCCATTTGCACGCTGTAAGTACGGGTGGTACTCAATTTGGTTGATAACAGGTGGGTCGATGGCGGTTTGCAGGGTTGCTTCGAGCTCGTGGCGAAGATAATTGCTCACGCCGATGGACTTGGCTTTACCTGCGGCTTTGAGTGCCTCCATGGCTTTCCAGGCATTTTGGAGGTCGGTGGGCGATTCAGCAAAGAACGGCACGTGGATCAGGTACCTGTCGACCATTAATCATCATGTTATCATTTAGCGGCGAACAACTCACAGGTCAAAGTAGTCAGTCTGAAGTTTCTTCAAGCTCTGAGTTACGGCGGCATCGATGTCATCAATACCCTGCGCGACCTTGTTGGTGATGAAGAGCTTTTCGCGAGGGATGCCGGCCTCCTTGATTGCGATACCGATCTCTTCCTCCGTGCCGTACATCTCCGAACAGTCCAGATGGATATAGCCCTTCTGGATGGCGGTTTTGGTCAATTGGACTAGGTCGTTATTGAAGTCGGTGTCGCCTTCTTCCTTGTACCAGGCGGTTCCGGTGCCGAAGGCGAGCTAACTGCGTTAAGCTTCATGATAATCAAAAGCAGGGGGAAACATACAAGCGGGATCCTATTTCCATCGTGAAGCTGTAGAGTTGGGATCTCCATTGCTTTGGTGGTGATATGTCGAAACTGGAGTTGTAGTCGTTGAGTGGCTGTTGATGGGATGCCAGGAAGGAGGCTGAGGTGCCTCAGATGACGAGCGGGGTTGCGGAAAGCTATATTGCCGATTGCAATGCTGTCTAATTTTATTGATCGAGATGATGGGTATCAATCTATATATATCAGAGCAGTCAGAGGCTTGGTCAGCCTCATCCTGAAGGTTTGACCCCGCCTCTGGTCACTAGTCAGTGGTCTGACAGCGCCTCGTCGATCAGCAGCCTTGTCTAGACCTGCCTCGTATTCGGTCTGACTGGAGGCTGTACAGGGTTTAATACGGGTGAAAACAGCATCACCCGACAATCTCAGCTGCAGCCTAGTCCATCAATAATCAATCATTATGAATCTTTTAAACTGCAATACTATCCACACTCCATATACTAGCTGCAGCAATAACACGGTTAAGATGGATACACGTGGGTTCGATTCATTGCTCTTCTACTCAACCACTAACACCCCCTTAGTGCAAAAACGTCTAGGCCCGATCTTCGCATTCCCATTCAGCCGCGCTTTGGCACCTCCAAGCTCTCCCAGCCCGGTCCATGCCAACTTCCTAGAGCTCTGCGCTGGCGGCCCCACAGTCGACACACCGGAAGATTGCACAGCATACTTAGTACATGTAAACAAACTCTCAGCAGGAAAATGGAACGACGCATGGAATGAGCTCCTGCATCCAGATTACACCCTACCAAACTCTACGGATGACTTCGACATCATAATTCAGCTATGCAGCGAAATCGCTCAAATCCTGCTCGACCACGGTGTCCTATCCATGGCCCGCATAATCCAAAAGCTTGAAGCGAAGAAAGTCCTCCGTCCAGCGGCGAATATACAAAGTGACCCCAATGCACACGGCCTCGCCTTCAGCCTCATCGGCTGGTTATTACTCCTCTACGTTCCTGCAAAAAAGGCACGACCGAATGAAATGCAGGCTGCGGAACAGCGGATCAGGTCTGGGCTCCGGTATAAGGTGTCATCGGAACTAGTAAACCGCCCCTTAGATGAACTGCTTCGGTCCTTCGGGGATATTCTCCCTCGGCGAGAAGAGAGGCGCGACAGCGTAGTCTCATCAACGGATTTAGAAGAAGTCAGAGTGAAGCTCGAGGTCACGCACTTGAATGCGGCCGCCTTGAAGACGATGGCGAATATCCAGATCCGGTGGGTTGATACCCTCGGCGAGCACTTGGAGTTTAATCCAAGTGATGAGAAGGGTCCGACTGTTGGAGTTTTCAAGTGTCCATCGTTTTGTCGGGTTTATCAGAGTGATAGTTCAATTTTAGCGATGTATGTCTTTGTTTTTTATCTGAGTTGGGTTTGGGAACTAACTGGCCAATAGAGTATTGAACAAATTCTACGAAGACGACGAAAAGCCCACCGACAACTTCACCGTCGCGAAAATGATCAACGAAGTTATGCTCTCCTACACCCTCCTCTTCAAAGCGGACCGTAAAGCCCGCAAGCTATACCAAACGACCGAGCGGACAAAGGCTTCTCTCATAAAACCAAAGAACGGCTGTAAACCCTACATCGACCCCGTGCTCGACGAGCTCTGCGGTAACCACATCTCCTCTTCCTTCTTCAGATTCGGCGAACCAGTGCGCGAATACTACGACTCCATCACGGACTTTCCTATATTCAAGGACCGACTAAGGCGAATCCAGGACTATATGCAGGGAATTCAGCCTAATCGGTTTGTGAGTCTTTGGCGGGATCAGAGGGACTTGAGGCTCTGGTATACTATCTGGATGGTGATCATATTTGGCGTCATTAGTATTGTTATTGGGCTAATTGCGCTGTTTCTCACGGCGATTCAAGTCGATTATGCGAAGAAGGCTTATGAGTTACAGGTTAGCCAGGGGTAATGAAGACAAACGAAGACTCTGACACTTTCCGGGACCCTGAACGGTCACTAGATAGACTGAAGATCCAACCTCAATTCCAGCAACTGTCATACTATGTATAATAAATCACCGATCAACCACATCCGTAAAGGCATCCCACCCCTGCTCCTCATCCGGAGCAACAGGATGCAACCCCGTCTTCTCGAGCTCAAGCTTCGCCCTCAATGCAGAAGCCTTGTACGTTGACGCATCCGCCGTCCTCCCCTGCCTCTCCCAGATCTTGGAAATCTGCCACTTAACTCTCGCCGACTCGCCCTGGTCTCCACGACGGGGTTCATTGAACTGTGTGATTCGGAGAGCGTCACGAAGGTACTCGAGTGCTTGCTCGTCGTTCCTTTTTTGCTGCTCCGGATCGGTCTCGGTGTCGGAGCGACGCAGGCAGACGAGAGCTTGATGGTAGAGGGCTGAGGCAACGCTCTGATGAGTGGGTTTTCCGGGGTATTGGAGGTCGTAAGCGCGTTGAATATAGCGTCTGGCACTTTCAAGGTCGTTTTCTGTATAGGCAATTTTGCCGAGAATGTATGCTGTCCTATTAACTCCTTGTTAGCTCCGATAGCATTGTCATCGGCAAAGGAAGGAGACTTACTCCCCATGAAAATGACTATCCTCACCATAAACCTCTGTCTGAAACTTTTCCGCCACTTCCATATCATTCTTCGCAACATCCAACCTTCCCAGCGCCGCACTCGGCCGACTATGATTCCTCAAATACCGATCAATATTATACGTGGACTGCAGTTCCTTCGGCGCTTTATACACTAAATCCAGCGCTTTCTGTACAGCTTCTATCGCCTCTTCACACTTGAAGAGTCCAAACAAGGCAAGACCCACAGCGCTGTAAGCGTCTGCAAGCTCGGGGCCTGTTGTGCTGGGCTCCTTTTCGCGGATTTCAAGCGACTGGAGGAAGAATTTGTACGCGGGGAGGTACCGGCCGCGTCGGTGGTCGACGGTTGCGACGCTCTCGCAGAGGTATGCGTAAATCAGGGAGTTTTTGTCCGCGCAGTTGTCGGCTGCGCGGCGACCGATGGTTTCACCGAGTTGGAGGGAGGAGGTTTCGCTGCAGAACCTGGATTACCTTCATTAGCGGGGCACCTAAGGGTAAGACCCTGGATAAGAATGATAACATACCAAGCAGCATCAGCAAGCATAGTGTGATACTCTAAATCTTGGACATCCAGCCCCGTCGGTCTGAGATCCTCGTACTTATCCTGCGCGGTCTCGATATGGTGGATGAGCATCTCGCACGTTTCCCAGACTTCGTACATCTGGCGGCGTAGGGTTCGCTTTGGGAATGCGGCGCATAGGATTCGGTACGCAACGTGGAATGTATCGTGACGCTCTTTCTCGGTGAGGTGGTAGTAGTATGCTTCTTGAGTGAGTCGGTGAAGAGAGATCATCCCGGTGTCGCTGTTGATTTTGATCAAGGACTGATGAAGCAGGAGAGCCACTGCGTCTTCGTATCTAGCAGATAGTAAGTACTACTGGGTTGGAGTAACTCGGGACGACATAGAAAAACACACCCATCAAGGTCTGACAGAAAATCCCATGTTCCAGGAATCTGCTCAGTGGTATGGATAATATCACTAGGTATATCATCCGGCGCAAAGAAGCACATCAGGGCCAATAACTGCCCACTCTCCTTGGTGAGACTGTCAAATGCTGTTTGCCAGACAGTCACCAAATTCTCATTATAGTACGGGTTCCGACTCGCATACCGCGGCGGAACGCGCAGGGACTGTTTATTCTTCTTGAAATAAGGTAGAAACTGCCTCATTGTCTTTTTCTTCACGAAGATCTGCTTCGCCGTGATATCAATCGCTAATGCCAACCCACCTAGCATGGAGGAGAGCTCTTGTGCTGCCTCAATCTCAGCGGGGAGCTTGGTATTCTGCTTTCCTGAAAGCTTCATGAGCAGCTCGCCGCCTTCTTCCTTTGTGAAGGGGGGATTTCAACCGCTGTTGCGGCGGGACAGGCGGCGACGAGCTCGCTGCGACAGGTCACGAGGATTTGGCCGTTTCCAGCAGCGGGCCAGTTGGAGGTTAGGAGGTTGTTGTCGTCGACGTTGTCGAAGATAATTGTCCATGATATTTCTTCGTTCATTTTTAGCGCCTGTCGGACAATATATGGGGGAGTAGCGCATTTACCTGTTGTCTGTAACCAATTCCACATGAGGAACCGCACCCGTTCAGTGGGCATCCCATCCTCATACCAAGCTGGTCTTATTTCGCTTGCAGCATGTACCAGGGCCCTCGATAAATCAATCTCAGTTTGCGTCGGCAGCCACAGAACTAATTGACACTTGTTCAGAACCTGCAAATTCGCATACTCCAACGCGATCTGGGACTTCCCGATTCCACCGGTTCCCCACAACGCAACAGACCGAATTTGCTGCCCTTGCCCATCATTGCCAATTTCTTGCAATGCATCGTGGATACTCTGAATCACATCCGCTCTCCCAAAGAAATTGTGATTGCGCGCAAAAGGCAGCTGATAATACGGTAGTTTTGCCGTCTCCTTACGCTGCGTAATGCTATATTTACTCAGCGACTCCAAGAGTTCAGTCTGCTGTAGACTCATCTCAGTAATTCTGTGTGCCTCGACAAGCTGCCGGAGATGCGCGAGGCGATGTGTAAAGTCTTGGATCGCCTTGGTGAATTGCCTGTTGACGTTGGTCCAGGAGGTACCGGTAATACCGCCATGCTTGCGGAGGTGCTTGATTGCCAATGCACCCGCGACGAGAAGATCAACGAGGAGACTGAAGAACCGTTCCATGAACTCACCTTCAAGTTGGACGGATTTGTCGCTATAGACTTGGAAGAGCTCGATCTGTTCGCTAAAGTCGCGAAGGTACCCGGCGATTTCCTCCATTGCTTTTTCGGATTTACTTCCTAGCTAAACCCAAATATCAGACCATATCGGAGCAGAGTCTCACCAAGCAATTTACTGTCATATGCGAAGTACTCACAGACATAAGAAGATACGTCACCCCCCACATACAAGTAAAACTAATATTTGCGCCGGCCGCCACGGCAAGAAAGGTCGCAAAGGTATGCAGATGGACTAAATGAGGGCGCGCATTTCGCAGGAGTCTCGTCACAGTCGACTGCGCTGTGTTTTGCTGCTGGAGCTGCTGTACCTCGTAGAGAAGCTGCTCGGGAGTTTGGAAATTCTGGATCAGCTCGAAATCATCCTCGCCGAGGATCGTCTTTGTGTAGCTCAAGGCATCCTGCCAGGTACTCTCGTATAAATGTTTTCTTTTCGGGCGTGTTGTTAGCGACCGTTGGAATAACCACCGTATTTCCATTGCTGACAGAGAACCTTTACAATTGTAGGGCTGGATTAGCTTGCTCTTACCCATCTTGCATTGTGGCCATGGTCATGGCCAGACACTTTAAGTTGTGGCGAGTCGGAGTTAGGGCTGTAGACAAGGCAGATTTGAAGACCCCAAGGTTGACTTCGATAAATGAGGTAGGTAAGAGTTGAGTGGTGGATGGGAGTGGGGGGGGGGGGGGGGGGTCAGCGGATATCCCATATTTCAGATTCAGCCTCATCGAAATTACACAGAGTGGGCTGCTTAACGTGGCCGGTAAGTCCCTGTTTCCGCCCGCATAGAGCCATCATTACTCGACCATCCCCTGACCCGTCCGCTACTTCGTGTTAGCGGTACTTTTGGTAATATTTCAATCTCGGGTTCTCATTTATAAAATTTACTGCCTTACATCCTTGTATACTTCTAAGTGCTTCTTATTGGTGGCAGAAAAAGGCGAAATGCATTAGCGGCCAGGTTAAGGTATAAGTCCGGATTGGGCTCGAGCTCAGAGCCCTTGGCCTGGAACTCTATGCATTGGTTGCCACGTATGCTTGCAAACTTGTCTAATTCATTGCCTTCATGCAACGAGATCATTGTCACATGGGGTTTCTTTCAGTCGTGCCGGTGGCGTTGCTGCAGGATGCTATCACACAGGTAGTCTATCACACAGGCAGTCTTATAGTAGACTCTATTATGTTATCACAGGCTGGCAGAGTGAAGACTACAGAGCCTCATCGTGCTGCTCTGAGGGCCACCCCGCGTTCAATGTCTTATACTCATATAGATATTAGAGTCCAGACATTCTATCTAAACCACCATCCGCCTCACAAAGCTTTATTGTGCAATACAGGATAATGGCAGCCTCTGTCCTCCTCCCCACAACAGCCCGACTCTCGCACCTCTGTGACGACCCTATCTACAAAACCGAACGACCTTATGAGATTTGGGCCGATGATGTCGCTGACAACGTCCCGCGAACCAATGTCCGGCTCGAGTACATCCCAGACTGCCCGTTGACTGATATACGTACTGTCGAGAACAAGCCAGTGCTAGAAACCTCAGGATTCGAATGGATGAAGCAAGACTTTCCCTTCCAAACTGGGTTGCGCACTGTGGATGATGTGGAGATACAGATGGAAGAGCAGGGGCCGGTTCTGGATAACTACTTGTCGACAATGAGCGAGTTTCTCAAGCAGAGGTTGGGTTGTCAGAAGGTTGTTTGCTGGGATTGGAGGGTATGTTGCCCACTCTCTTTCTAGAGGCTATGTCACATATTAGTTGCTAACAATATACTAATCAATAGGTCCGCCGCTCGAAGAGGACGCTCCCTCGCCCCGTACCAAACATCTACAGTTTGAAGGACGTGGATGCCACAGATCTGCGGGCTACAAAGATCAATGCCTCGCATGTTATCCACGCCGGTCTGCACACTCCATTCCTAATATTTTGTCACGCCCTAACTATTACATCCCACTAACTTACTGACAGATGGATCGCCTGGCTGGGTCCAAAGCAGCGTCCTTAAAAAGGTCATTGAGGCAGACGAAGCCGCTTTAGTGGAGTCGAAGAATTACCGCACTAGGGTTCTCACGTATGTCGCTCCCAGGACAGCCCTACTACCAGGACAAGATAAACTACGAGATATATACTGATAAGTATGTAGTGTCTGGCGCCCCCTCGTCGACATCGTGCAAACAGACCCCCTCGTCTGTTGCGACACCCGCACTCTGAGCGAGCAGGATTACGACGTGATCCAGAAAGTGATGAACGATAGCGTTGAAGAAAGCATGTACCTGAAGTGGTCGCCCAACCATCAGTGGTACTGGATGAGTGACCAGACAAGGGACGACGTTCTTGTCATGACGGTTTGGGACTCGAAGAGGCCGTTTGAGAGGAGTGGTGAGTTGACATCATCCCTTTCCTTTCTATTCCTCTTCTGCTTCTTTTTATTGAACTTAGTGCTAATCGGCATTTGAAATGTAGCTGCTGTCCCTCATTGTTCTATGGTTCTTCCGGAGCATGTGCCTGATGCAAAGCCGCGCGAGAGTATTGAGTTGAGGTTCATTGTTTGGAATGAGGAATGATACAGCTGCCATGCTCTTGTTAGCAGTGTTTGATTCTCGTAATTATAGTACTCCGTTTCTGCAATTGATCTGGAAATGACAATTTGATCCGTTTTCTGTCTATGACTCTAAAACCTGTAGTTCTCTCCAAAAACATTGCGCTCTAGATATCGATCTCGAGACTAATCTAGAACTCGCCAATGAATTGTTTTGATTTAATATATACTGACTTAGAGACTTCAATGTTCTGATCCGGTGACTTTTACGAGTAATGGAGACCTTACAGAAGTGATGTTGAACAGTTCCTACCTGCCCAGAGTTAAATTCAGTGTGGGTGTAGTGCACTATAATAGTCCAGACAACATATCGACACCCCCGCTAGCTGTATGCCCTCAGACCGTATCATCTCTGACATACATTTTATCTAGCTCAAGAAACGAATAAAGCTATGATTTCACAGCCATCGTATTCCGAGATCTACTACTAAGCAATTTGTACCACGGACGCAACAAATATCAATATCAAAATTCCAGACTGTAGAATCTACCTGACTAGTAGACCAAATTGTCTCTACAGCTAGGTAAACTCGCAAACTTCCAGGCCGACCTTCTGTGAAACGAGCGACTGACTTAATCCCTTCACAGTCGGCTTGTGCTATCTATTGCCTTGGTCAGCAGTCTATCCTTACAAGTGCTAGCAGAATAATTACATACAGTGTCCAGCGCTCAGGAGTGAGCATTGACATTGTTCCCGTACAGGCGCATGTCACGGACCTTGCTAACGGAGACATCGTCCGTGACGGTTTTGAACTCGCGCCAGGGCTCCTTGCGGTCGTCGGGGGTGGGTGAGGTCTTTTTGGTGGGAGGATTGGAGCGTTTCTCCTCCTCTGTGTGCTCGAAAGAATCTGTGACAGGGTCCATGATGAACAAGATCAAGGTTGATGGGGTCTGTAATGGTCTGAGAGTTGGGGCCGCTTGTCTTGGGTGTGTGTCCTAGCCAGAAAGGCAGACTCAGAGGGGCATTATATCTTGGAGTTAAAGACTATGGAAGTGTAGAAGCGCCGCGCAGAGCCTCATTGATACGAAGTTACCACTTTCAAAGGTGCCAGTCATGCACTGTGTGCAGCACTGCACATTGAACAACCCCGCACTTATAATTGAGTTCGCCAGGATTGCAATGCATGTCCATTCCTGCATTTGTCAGCGAGGCAGAAAAGGCAACACGAGTAGAGGTCACTAATGTAGCCTCATCTGAGTGTGGCTAGAACTCATATTTAACAACAACCTTGCTGTCATAGGTCTACACCACCAATAGCTTATCCTGAACCCATATCTGCGGGTCTAACGTTGCATCACGAGAGAAGAAAAGACGCTAGACGCAGAAAGATCAACATCCAACGCCTCAGGCAATGTCATCACAAGACACGTTCAACGTCGCTGTAACTGGGAACAGAGTGAGTCAGCCGGCACCTCAGATATCAAACATACACGTTCAATACGCTAACCACCCTGCAGCCATTCCTGGAATACCCCGTAAACACGTCGCAATTGGTCCGCGACGCTCTCCCAGACGCCATCGACCGACCGAACAAACCAATCATTCGTATCCTCAAATACGACCGCGACACCATCGACACATACGCCGATGTAAGACAGGTCTCGCGCGAAATTTGGGGCGGCAACTCTTCCTTCTTCCGCCCGCCTGTGCATACGGATGGCAGCAGCAGCAGCGGCAACGGAAGCAGCCAAAGCAACGACCACGTCGAAATCGATCTTATCCTGCACTTGGGAATGGTCGCTTTCGACTACCCACAGATCTTTAGCTTTGAGACTATCGCTCGCCGGGACGGATACGAGCTCCCCGGTGACGACGGCAAGCCCGTAGATTCACAGGAGCTAAAGCAATTGGGTCTCCCGGACGCCCTTGTCACTGCCTTTGATGTTGAGGCTGCTTGGCGGAAGGTCAAGGAGCAGTTCCCTGTATGTATCTGAAATCGCCCCCACTCCGCGCACATGTTGTCTTCTACTCCACCTATGGGCCATGGCTTATCTTGACTGGCGCACACACTGGTGCACACGCTAATACTGGCGGGATATGGTGGAACAGGATACACCATCTACCGTCTCAAAAGATGCGGGGCACTATTTCTGCGAGTTCCGGCTGTATTCGTCTCTAGCCGAGCCGCTTCTCGACGAGGCACTGAGCAAGAAGCGAGGACGGTCTGTGTTTCAGCATCTGCCTGAGAGGCATTCGGCTGAGGATATTGCGTTGGCTACTAAAATTACCACCGCTTACATTACGGCTCTTGCGGATGATCCGATTGCCAACGGTGATGGCGTTTTTAATCACTAGCTGGCTGGATTACGGCTATAGACACATGATGAACTTTGTTGAATAAAAGAAGGACTAATATGACTTGACGTCAAAAGCTTAATATACGGAGCAAGTAGTAGAATGAGTGTATAGTGCAAAGAGCAGCAAGCTGCTTGAGCATATAGCCCCTGGTCGTTGGTATTAGGTAGAAACCTAAGGAGTAGACTTCCGCAGAGCCCATAAAGCCCAAAGCCTCACCCGGACCCAACCCGCAAATGGGCTGGGTTTTGGGCCCGGTCTCGGGCCCACCGATAGGCTATAGGCCTAAGGTAGAAGCCCACTGCGGGTTAACAGGCCCCTAAAATGGGCCCCAAACAGTACAGGTATACCGAGAATTCAGAAGTTGAACCCCCTTTTGGGGTTTTTAAAATTACCCTTCGTTTTACGCCCGTTTCTAAGCCTTATCCTAAAGGTAATATTTTATTAGTTTGAATGATTCAGAATTAATCACTAGTTATCTCTCTATATCACGTTTAAATATATAAAAAGCGCGTTATTTAGATAATTTATAAATTACAGAAGTTCACTTAAAAAGTAGTAATACTCTTATGCAAACCCAAAATATATATCCTGCCAAAATATTAAGATTAATGGTATCTCGACTTCTATCAGTTAGATTTTATTCAAATTTGAAATATATAATTAGGTGGCTAATATAATTCTAAATTCCAAATTTGAACTTTATATACCTAGTGGAAGGTTGTAATACAGCGATTACAGAGGCCGCCTAGGATGGGCTTTAATGGGGGCCTTATGGGCGCCCACTGATAGGCTGTGGGTTGGGTCGGGTTTCGACCCATAGCCCAGTACGGGTTGGGCTACGGGACTGAGGTCCGGGCCCATTTATGGGCTTTGCGGAAGTCTAAGGAGTACATAGTATCTACTCCGCATTATGTACATGTACACAACAATTAGTTCCAAGGCTATTTTCCGATGTCAATATGAAACCTGTATGTGCTTTTACTTGAATATGGAGTGTACTTCGTATGTTGACTTTGACCGCTAGCACATGACTGGTCCTGGTCAACCAGGTCGCGAGAATCAGGCTAGTATGACCACTATGGCAGCGGCTGGGTATGGTGGACAACCCTACGCTACTAAAAAAAAAAACACATTGCATGGAGGTTCGACGCCGGAAACTTTCCCTCAATATCATACTCCTTTATTAATATGTGATGCTGACTGCTTGGACAGGGGTCCTAGGTTCGAGCATAGTTTTTCGAAGAAACATATAGCGAAAATAAAGAGAGCTATGCATTGATATAGCATGATGCTGATATGCAGCAACTCAAATTACATATCAGTCAGAGTTCTTCTTCTACTTTGCCATCTCAACAAAATCAAACCTATATCCCATCTTCCAAAATCAGGCCAGTTCATCCCCACAACCTCTATATCAGTATCTTGGTGGCACTGCCAGAGCATAAAATCACTCAACCGGTAGACTCCCGAAGTACGTATCATAATATCCAGTGGCGGAAACCCCATAAACATATTCTCCGTCAAAGACTTTGCCGTGATCTTGCCAAGGAAGCCAGATGCAGCAACAGTCTCTCTGATAGCAGAGGTTATCTCATCCCTGCTAGTATAAGCGATACAAATGTTCAAAACCTTACCCTGATTGTTCTTCGTGGCGTTCGTAGCCTTGACAATAGCCCTCAAAGCGTTATCTTCTAGCAATTCCAAACGACCCAATACTCTGATTCTAATATCATGTTTCTTCACCAATGGGTCATTGTCGCCCATTTCTCCAAGTGTCCCATCCAGCAACTTCATAAGAATATCAACCTGCTCTTTGGGTCGGTGGAAGTTTTCAAGGCTGAAGGCATAGAGGGATATGGTATTGATTCCGCAGTCGAAGCATAGATCCACGATCTGTTTGTCTTGGTTAACTCAACAATTGACCCCCTACTCTCGGAATATTTAGCATGATAATTTACCTTCGTTAGAACCTTTGCACCAGCTAAATAACCCGATGCGACAGAAAGGTCGTTCTCTTTTGCATATCGTCGGTTTCCATCCATTATGAACGCTACATGTCGTGGGATAGGACCTTTGGCCAAAGTCTTCAATGCAAGTTGGATGACATACAAGAAGACATGCTCCAAAGCTTTATAAATGAGGTGGAATATGTGCATTGTGCCAAGTAGGAGATCCAAGAAAATCAGATCAAAAGCAGATTTTAGCCCGTGCAGTTGATACGGAGCTCGAGCTTCGTTCCTCAAAAGATCCGCAACTACGGAGTAGTATGTCTCACAAGCTACTGGCATGTATAATTTTAGACCGTTGTGTTCATTCCAAATAATTCGCATTGTTCAATCATAGTCTTCTGATACGCGATCATAACTACATTAGCGTTGTTTGTCCCCGAGGCCGTTGCATACATGTGCCGACGTTATCAAGAGTTCGTAGTATGATTCGGTTCATTGGGCGTCTCAATTGAGCTTCTTGAGTGCTATATAGGGGTGCTATACATGTTACCTAGAGGCGGTACATCTTCTAAATTCTGTTAGTCTTTAGACTAAAATTGCCCCATTGTACAAACCAATTCCATGTCAAGCTTTGGAATTAGCTACCTACACAGGTAACTACATGTACATCAATGTTTAGCCCGCGCGACTTTTGCCTTTCCGCTGTAGTGTAGAAAAACAAAGTACCTTAATTATCCGTGGACGGTACCTACCTATACCAGATTTCCTTTGCCACCTTCAAGGTTCCTTTCCTTCTCCGTTTTAGTGCTTCCCTGGCCGCTTTTTGCTCGCTGAGTATACCTGAGCACGTCACTGAGCATCGATGAGCGGAGTCGTAGCCGTATATAAGTTCTATGATCCAATCGGTAATGTACCACGGCCAGAATATTGGAATAATAACAAGTGCATTGTACCCGCGATTTTAAAGCCGAGAGAAAAGAGAAGAAAGACAAAAGAGTTGGCGATCGCCTCCGAGATAAGCTCTCGGCTAGAATGCCTTGCGTGATCCGCAACCTTAGGTAGATCCCGATACCTCCGTTAGAACTGTATGTCTGTCTCTAGCGTTATACCATCTCTCTTTTAGATATCGATTTAGGTCTATTGAATTGGTTTGATATTATTAATATAATCTTAGCTTACTGGGATAAGAATTATAGAAGTCTATGACCTGTCTCCTGTTTGTAGTAAGACTCAAAGCCTTATATAGAGTATCTAAATCTGTAAATTTGCAGATAGGATACAAACCTATCCGTAGATACTAATATGGATAGTGCCGCAGTCTAGCCCTATATAACCCTATACTCCAACAGACGTACACCATGCGGCGCCCTAGTTCCAATTTCTGACAATATATGTAAATTGCAGCACCCTCTACTGGTGAATAAATGTGCTAAGGCTGGCTTAGGGGCTTAGGGCCGCTTACCACATCGGGACCCCGCACCTGGGCAACCTTGCAACCCTAGTCAAATTCATTGTTCCACCTCTTCAATTCTTACCCTCCGTTCCTTTCTCTCTACTTGAACCATCTCCGTCTGTTTTCGCCCTCAGTCAACTGTCTACTTCATGTCTACCAATCAGCAAAATGACAACGACACAGTTCTCTATTCAACTAGCCTCCCCAGGAGAGGGCCCCATTCTCGGCAAAATAAGCAAGGACGCGTTTCTAAATGATCGTCACACTCAAATGAAAGGACTAGGAAATGACCCGTACGACCTCGAAAAGTCAATGACGGCATATCTTTCCCAACAAGCAGTGTCACCGAGAACCGTTCTTCTCAAAGCAGTAGACAACGAAACAGGCGACATTGCCGGCTGGGCCTTGTGGAGCTTTCGAGGGTTCACGGTTGAAGAAATCGCAGAGATACGGGACGCTGTTCCCCATGCAGCAACACAATTCACGTCGACAGCCGCAGCACAAACCACGGGCAAGACCGCTCCCAAAGACCAAACCAAGAAAGTCGACATCGATGATAACGACCCAATCACGCAGCTCGAGAGGATGACCGACGAAGACATGAAATCCTGGATGACGAAGCTCATGCCCGATGGCACCAAATGCATGTATGTCAACTCACTTTGTGTGGCAGCCAAATGGCAGTCTAAAGGAGTCGGAGCAGCGCTTCTGCAATGGGGTACAAAAATGGCAGACACATTGGGGGTTTTTATATGGGTGCATTCATCGGCGAATGCATGGGAGATGTACGCAAAATATGGGTTTAAGATTATTGGGACACTTGATGTGGACTTGGACCAGTATGCTCCAGCGCCGGCACCAGACAACAATGGGAAATGGGGTCATTATGTGTTTCGGTATATGAAGAGAGAGCCATCTCAGGAATAACCGTACCTTAACTATATCGGAATGCAAAAATTTGAACATGTTTTCAACACGCAAATAAGTTAGAGTAAAGACCTCTTATCAGAGACCTCGGTGAGTACAATTTAGTATATAGAGCACAAATAAACACGTACGTTGTGTCTTTTGTCATAGGCCATGAGTATAAATCTGATCTACAAAAATGGAAAACAAAATCTTTACCCTTCTGAACCTGAAAAACGCTCCGCATCTCCATCATCATTATACCGGAACCGATCAGCCCATGCAAACACATCCTCATATTTGCGGCACTGGTGAATACTCCCAATCCCATCTACCCCATCCCCCGGTCTCATCCCATCAAACCGTGACCGAAAAGGCTCCAGGTTTGAATCTGCCGCACACATAATCGACTGACGCAGATAGTCAAAGCAATGCACCGTGTGGCCTGATGGTTTCTGGATTTTGCCCTGTAGGGCCTGTGAATACTCTTCGAAGATGAGATACTAGTGGAAGATATCGGTGAGTTCAATTCTTATTTCATATCGAATAGATAGTGACGCACGAGGCAATGAAGTTGATGAAAAACAGCCACACAGAACCGGCCCGATTCATCGGTGTTGACACTTTGAATAAAATCTGGGATAGCGCCCAACTCTTTCACCTTTTCGATTTGAATATATCCCATTCCTCCTGATGTGAGGAGATTAAATTAGCAGGCAGATCCATAGTATAAATAGTAGCATACATACTTGGAAATAAATCCATCCACATGTCCCTGCTTTGATTTCCGTGAAAGATAGTGTAGAAAGGGTCAGGATTATAAGATTTCAAAACTGAACCAACTACTCCAACACAAATTAACATACGGCTTGCAACGAGCAGAGTAGGGAAATTCACGAGGCGGAGTCTTCAAACCCGGGAGCAATATCGAGGTGTAATCATGCCCAGCCAGCGAAGACTGCGAGAAAAGGATAAAATAAAACACAAGAGCTATAGCTATTGAAACTGTAAAGCTTAGTAGCGCTACCAAAGGTATCAAACGCCTCCATAGCCACAGTTGTTTGCTTTGTTTCTCTTCTGCCTGAAGAAGAGGTTCATTTGAACAAACGTCCCCATCCTCCATCATGGGTATTGAATAGAGCCAAATAGGTGCATTGTCTTGAATAAAAAAGAGGAGAGACGAGAGTACCAGTTCACAGATCATGGCATAGTGCTCTTTCTAGTTACCCCTCTTTTTCCTATGGCCCTCTTTTTCCTATGGCCCTCTTTTTCCTATGGCGCGATGAACCGACAATTCTGTAAATTCATTGATTTTTAATAGAAATGCCACCAAAATAGCTGCATATGCACATGCATTGTCAGATTATACGGAGTTGTTATTATTATTCTTGTTGTTCTGGCTGATTTGTTGCAAAATCAACTCAGGCTTAGGGCTTTCCCCATCTAGGAAACTGATCAGTCTGCTGACCTTTTTACTCCTCACACTGCATTACCTGCCTTGTAAGATAAGTCATATCCAAACTGAAATACGTACCGAAGAGTATTTTTGTATTGCAAAAACATCAATATCGACTAGCAGGTTTAAATTAAGGTCCACATGAGAAGAGTTTTCCGCTGCGGATTAAGACAGGCAAGTTGTAGTCATGGATGACGTCTATCATCATGGCTTACGATATGAAAAGGCTCTAATTTCTAGTGGAGCTAAGTCATTGTGTTGTATTGGAGGGTATGCTATGTAGGGAATGGTTGCGCATGGGAAGGGCTCTGCTAGATATACGTACTCGATTGCAATAAAAAGAAATATAGAAAGGCATGGCTATGGAATTCCCAGACACAGATGGAAAACTCATCCTCCTATGAATAAGTGGAACCACTCAAACCCACCCCAGATATAATAGTCTGCTCTCTGTCATGCACCCTCATAACCTCTTCACAGTGCACAATATGATCATATGCTGCCTGGATGTTCATCCTACCAAACAAAAATCCAGGCCTCAATTGTTTCCGCCAGCGATAGGTACAATGAGCAACATGCCAGTCCCAGTTTGTAAAGAATGGTAGTCCTTGGTCTGGCAGCAGGGACAGCTCCTCTATACTAAGTTCTCGAGTCCTATTCTCGTCTGCCCAATAGTACCATTGCCCGTTTGGTCCGGGTCCCATGCGATCAAACTCGGCACTGAGCTCGTCATCTCGACAGGCTACAGGCAGCCATGCAGCGGACATGGTATCGTACTTGCAGCCTTTACTTATTGCTTCAGTGGTAGAGCTTCCGCATTCGCAGTTGATTGGTTGATGCAATTGAATCAACGAGACTGTCTGGATGAGAAGACTCATGATTCCGTACAGAGCAAGTGAGATGTAGAGAAATGTCTTGAAGCGATAGAAGTATACTCTCCATCTCTGGCGTCGGGGAGGAGATTGTTCGATATCAGAGGCGTCCCACGGGAGTAGGTTGTCGCTTGAATCGTCGACATTGGCGCTCAAACTGAATATCCGTCAATCACTATAAATGGGGAACATATTCAGCAGTAGTATTGGTACCTTTGTTCTTTATACTGAATACTCATCTTGATAACCTATTCCAAGGCTGTGAAGAATATAAATGGAAAAAGACAAAATATGTGATTGCAGCCGTCCAATATTCCGACCGCAGTACGAAATATTTGTTAAGCTGAAAATGAGGTAGTGCAGACGATCAAGTGAAAGAAATAGACAGGATGAAAGGAAGGGGGAGGAGAGGGTAAATGTGGAAAACTGACACAAGGGGGAACTCTACCTGTATATTACCGTACCCTATAGTTAAGTATGCATTTGTGTGCTATAGTTAGACTTGAAAAAAGAATTCGTGTCTATAACCTTAGGAGGAGGCTGTGTATTGCAAATACGAACTGCTTATGTATATAAGTATTAATATCAGAATTGCTCAAAATGCGTTTTATATACATATTCTATTCTATTCAGATGGATTAGTTACATTTCATACAGGTTTACAATCTATTAGCTAGAGAATTTTGATGCAGTTTTGATAAACGGTTTGAATTAATCCATTTTATCCGCATTGAGCCCAGCTGAAGACCGCGTATTTATCATCTGGAGAGGCGAACGGCTCCGAAAAGCGGCATAACAGTGGTCGATATGATGATCTCCGTCCACACTCTTCTCAATCATCATCTTTCCAGACTTTCGCGCTCGTGATTCCTTCTTCCAGTAAAAAAGACAGTGTGCAAGGTGCCATTCGTGAGTCGTCCAGAAAGTTGCCTCATCGCCTTCCATCTCAGCAAGGTGCGATACCTCCTCAACAGTCATAGTTCTATTGCCGCTCTGGTCCGCATAGTACATCCACTCCCCATCAGTACCGGGACCAGCATGATTGAATTCGTCAATGAGTTCGTCATCGCGGCATATGGGAGGAAGCCAAGAGGTTGCCATGGGGTCATATTTACAACCATTCGCCAAAGCCTCTTGGATGGAATTCCCACAATTGCAATCCTGCTGTTTCACCCAGCGAGAAAAGGAAAATGTAGAGAAAAACACGGCTCCTAGCACAAGAAAAGCAAGTGTCAATATGCTGATAGTTGTTGTTTTTCTCCTCCAGTAGGATGGAAGTGATTGGGTTTGAAAGGAGGTGTCGCTGGTTTCGTCTGGTACCTCAGATAGAATCCGGTAATCTGTTTCAGCCTGTTTTAGCCTGTTTTGGGCCTTGTTTGATGAAATTTCGATAATAGAGAGGTAGTCATACTTCGAGACGTGAAGAACTTCCAAATCATCAGGATATACTTTTTGACGATTTCTATTCTGCGGTGGAAGTTGATTATATCCTGAGAACCGACCAAAAGTCATGAGAGAATAGTTCTTATAGTCCCGGAGAACAAAACTCAGTACAGTATTGCTTTGTAAACTGCGTGCAAACTATGAGATGTGTATGCAGTTGTAATATTCAGGTAGAAAAATACTAGTCACCCCTAAGATACTGCATAGAGCGCTAGCTACGGCTTGCATCTGACAATGATGAAGAATAAACTGTATCCGTCGTATTTTGGTAATACGGTGAGTCCATGGTCTTCTTCGTAGTTTATGAGGCAAATCCCGAGGCTAGTTCAAGGAGAAGATGAAAAAAAGGAGGGGTTGACATGATGAGAATGTAACCTCAATTAAAAATATGGATTCCTGGCATCCATTTTAAGCACGTCATCTTGCTGATCTATTTCACAAAATATTGAACTATCAGCAGTCATCGACTAGATCTCAGCGAAGCGGCTTGTGTGATGTAAATGCTGCTCAGTTGATGATAGGACCGGGGGAAATTGGATGTTGGTTTTCTAAGCCCCAGTGATATTGAATACTGCTACGGCTCCGATTCAAAATTTTCTTAGTGTTTAGAGCAGTCAACAGGGATGGAATAATCATTTTTCAAGTATAATTTAGCCAAACAGGGAATCATCCACATGATATTTGATAGTCTTGCTGATGTCTTGATGTAGGGCTATCAACACTACTAGGAATTGAACAGGGCTATGCAGGTCAGACTCATCGATATTGTCAAAGAATACAAGCAAAGCTGTTTGGAGTTCCCCTCCACTCTTCGGAAACCCCCATCCTGAATCTTTCCGCCCTTCAGCCAATCAACCTCGCCCCGGAACGACAGACAAACTGAGTTTGCAGATATAGAACCACCATCAAAAGCCTCCCCTCCAAAAATAACATCTCCCACTTTCCCTAGGTCCTCGTACATGAACAAGACCAAGTAGGAAGTGTCAATGTTTGTAATTGTCCATATCATGAGCAGTTGTAGGTGCGTTTTTCGAGGTCCTCGCCCTCCTCGCCCTCCAGTTTGATGCATGGATAGATATTGGTTCGTTTATCATAGTCACCACTCGTCAGACTTGCGTCGTGGGAGCTCTTGCTGAGAACTGGTGCAGCAGTAGCAAAGGCCACAAACATAGTAAAGGCGAAGAAACGCATGATGAACAGGTAGTTTATTTTCAACGGGGAAGTGTTTTGAGATAAGACGTTGGTATGGATCCGGACGTTGGACGAGAAAAGGAGTATCGCAGTTATCTTGGATGGCTGATAGTAGTTCTATCTGATTCTGAGACTGACAGAGACTATTATATATGTTTGATTCCACTCCGGGGCTCTCCTGGAAGCTGAGTCATAGAAGCTGAATCCTATTTCGTGATCGTCTACTGTCTACCTAGAAAATAGCTAGATGCAGTCCTGCATCGTACTATTGAGACATTTTTGCCATTGGATAACGCCCATAATAGCATTCGAGATAACGAATGTTGGTCTTTCTGTAAATAGGAAGGTAGTATCATGCAAGGCATGCCTAGGTAGTATATTAGGGCATGCATTAAACGGAACCAGGTAGAATACACATCCATGAATGAAAAGATTCACCGAGTGAAACCCATGCGGGGGTAGGTAACGAAAATATGCGGTCTGCAAGATTGTACAAAAAATCCAAATTGGAGCAATTCAATGTGTGATCATCAGACAGGCAAAGATACCATACCCCTCAGCTCAATTTCCCCCCTGTCCCTATCCTCTGGAACATTCGTATGGGATATCACGTCCAGTACTTTATCGTGCATGAGACTGTTCTGCAGTGGAAATTGCAGGGGTTATTCAGGTAACAATCACCTGCACTTTCCGGCCCTTGGCTGACTATTCTGGCTTGAAATTATATTTAATACGTGATATAAAGCTCCAACGAGATTTGCAACCTTTTTTGCACCCTACCTGATACACCGTACATCCAATTATTTCCATCATGTTCGAGATAGAAGGTCCCTCATACTTCAAGGTAGAGGTAGAAAAGACACAAAACAAGGATTCGTTAGACGAAGACTCTGGCTCTACGGATGGACTACTATATGAAAGCCGTACTGTGTCACTCCGAGAACGCTGGGTTCGGAAAGGCAAAAGCACCAAGATTGCTTTAGCTCTTGCACTGTGTGTCCTCATCGGAACTCATATACTAGCCGTACTCCTGGGCCTGAAGCTGCAGCCAAACGTGGATGATCTTTGTCTTCATCACAATTCAGCTTACTGTGAGTATTTAAAAATCTAGCTGTACACTGTTTTAGGCGCTGATTTATACTGTCAACAGCACCGGTTCTGAAAGAAATAAACCCCGAGTTACATCTTGTTCAATTCAACGGAACCCTAGGGCATCCCTCTGAGTTTACGGGTGATCCAAGTCCCGAATTGGATGCTGTGTGGGACAAGTGGGCGTACGGTAGGAGACTGCTAAAGATCTTATTCAATCCAGCACATAGCCGATAGCTAACGTTCATTCTCCCAGTCAAATATGCAAGTATTCCGCCGAAAGAATTCCTAAAACTTCCCGGCGCAGACCCGGAAGCTGCGCGGCTCACTCCTGAGTACGGAGGAGGATATATTGGTTTCTTGGAGATCAGCCACCAACTACATGTGAGAAAGTTCTTCAGTCTCGTCATGAGTAATGTAGAATACTAAGTGCCTCGGTCAACAGTGCCTAAACATGATGCGTCAGGCTATGAACCAAGATTATTATAACAACCCCGATTTCCCCGAACAGCAAGCCCCAGTTTTCACTGATAGGCCATTTACTGTCAAAATGCATCTACGTGAGTTACCTCACAAAGCCCATGGAGAGTTACGCAGCTGATTTAAATTAACAGAGCATTGCGTTGAGATTTTGCGCCAGAATATCATGTGCAATGCTGATGTTGGAATTATTCCTCATGAGTGGGTTTCCCAAACTCCAGACCCATTTGCCAACTTCAATACCTGGCACAAGTGTCGCGATCTCAAGAGCGTGGAGAATTGGATTCATGAACATGAGATTCCTACCACACCCGATGGGAGTGACTTGCCAATTCCTCTGGATTCAAAAATTTTTACCGCCCTGCCGTAAGACAGTTTATTTGGTTGATTTCTTTTTTATTTGCATGAAATATCTCGAATAGAGCAATCTATCTTTCGAAGGTTCCATTGACTTTTGAATATCATGTTCTGCTGGCATTGCTGCATCTGTGACTCTCAATAATACTAGTAGTATTATTTATAAAATGTTAATTCTTATATAGAATATCAAACTAGGTCCAGGCTATAGTCTACTGTAGATAGTAGTAAAGCTTCTTCTACAATAATTAGAAGTCTGGAATTCTCTTGATCTTTTACTTTATTCGACTTGCAATACCGATAGAGGGAAAATGGCACGTAGAGTGACCTATGTGGCTCCGGGGGTGCCTAGATGGATGCATAAGATTCAAAAATAACACTGACTTCTACTGGTCAATATAACAGTGTCCCTGACACTTATTAAATATCTTCTAAACGCAGGTTTGGGCACGGACTTTGAGAACAGCCATGGACAAACACCTATGCATTTGGCGACAAAAGGGGAGTTTCTCTTAATGGTCAGGATATTGCTAGATGAGAGCGGCTCGACACTACACATAGATGGTGGCGCCAGTTTCTCCTCTTCTCGTACCCCAAAGACCGCGTTATAAGGATATCAGCACGTGGTGCTTAGAGAGATGATCTAACTCTAGATAGGGCACTATAGGATGGACCGGCAGCATTATCATCGGCAGCTAGCTAGGTAGTTACGGCCACCCAGAAATGGTTAAATGCTTACTTGACAATGGGTCCGACATTAATGGCCAAATGAAGGTGTCCGCCAACGGGGCGACTCCATTGTATTCCTCAGTTGAGAAAGGCGAAAGTGTCATTAAGACACTTCTGGCTGATGGTGCTGATATTTAGTAATGGATGATTCGTGAAGCTGTGTCATAGTGCGACAAGAAAATAGTTCACTGGTGCAAAACTAACTTTCCGTATGGATTTATGGTGAAAGAAGCGCATAATATTTGACCACATATGATCCACTTTTGATTCGTTGCATATAGGTGCATAATGAGCACAATTGACCTGAAAACCAAGATGTTTGAATTTAGAGGTTAGTCGAAGTTCCATAAAAGCATGGCATATAATACCTCAGCCCCCCCCCCCTTTACCTATCTGTCCACTGGCATCAGCTAAACCAATTGGGTTGGGAAAGCCTCACCCTGCTATCTGGAACGGAGGCTGAGTCGTTTTTAGATTTTGAGTTGACATAGAGATTAGTTTTGGTTGTATAAAAGATAAAGGGAATCAAACCACTGACTAGCAGACCGTATCTTGTCGCTGGAAATCCGAGACAGCCCAAAACTCAAACATGATCACAATGGGAAGAGGCACTCCGCGGCCAGGGAAGCAACAGCCTCCATTTTCGGTGCCCTCCTCTCAATTCGCCACAGCTAGACACCAGATAAACCGTAATTAGGTTGACAAACTCCTCAATATCTGGCAGGGCCGAATGTGTCTTTAGTTGCAGGGACTTGTCTTTGCGGTGTAGTAGATAAATGGGACCAAACCGCTGGCTTGCAGATTCTGTCTTGCCTCCGCAGTCATTCGAAGGCAGCCCAAAACTCAGACATGGAAACAATTAGAAGCGGCAAAAGGCACTCTAGAGTGGACGCGGTAGGGACTCAATTTTGAGCGACCATTCTTCTCGAGTTCACAATAAGTTGGTCTTCCATTTAGATAGTCTATGGCTGTTTTCGTCAGCGTCGATGTTGCCATGTTGGAGCGACATTGAATAATTCAGGGAAGCGGCAAAAGGCACTCCAGAGTGGACGTGGTAGGGTCTCCATTTTGAGTGACCCTTCTTCTTGAGTTCACAATGAGTTGGTCTCCGCTTTGGATAGTCTGGGGCTGTTTTCGTTCGCCTCGATGTTTCCATGTTGGAACGACATTGAATATTGCCCGGGGTGGTTAAAACAAAGTACCAAGCAAGGTTTGATCTGCCAGAAGAGACATTTGAATGTATTCTCTTGACCGAACGGCGAGTATCAAGCAGGGTTTGGTCAGCGAAGAGACACGGTTGGAAGAATCGCATTGGCTCAGCGGTTAATATCGAAGACAGCACACAAGGTATTCGAATTTGTTGGAAAGCAAAGACGCGTGCTTCTTGACGGTATCTCCCAACCACCAAATGTTTCGCGAATGGGAATGACTGGACTCAAGTCAAACTTAGCTCTCTCTCCATTGGTTTGGCCCGAAATATAAGTGTCTGCCTTATTCTAGTCATAGAACCACTTGTAGAGTTAGCAGAGAGGTTTCAATGTCTGGAAGGTGCCTCTTACTGGAACTCAGGTTTCACACCCATGGACGGAGCCTGTGTTTCTCGACTTTGAATTGGCTCAGCGCCTTCTGTTTTAGGGCCAGCATACTTGAAACACAAGGAAGGGTATCAGGATCTCCAGGTGCCAAATGGCCCAGGTGAAATAGTATGAATAGTAGGATGGGAAGAGAAGTGAGAAGAGATTTCATGTGAGGGGTTGAGCGAGTTAAATATAAACCAGGACTTCCTAATTAGGTAGGCGCGCGTGGCGAGGAAAGCGCGATGGATATATGATGTTGGAGTTGGGGCGCTATGCACGATAAGCGCGTATGTATGTATTCATGGAAGAGAGCGAGAGAAGACATCCATATTCCATTTATCATATGTACTTAGCGGGAAGCAGGTCCTGACAAACGGGGGATGCGCGCACCAGGCAGCATTCAGAGCAAAAGGACCTTTATAGACTTCCCAGATATCTTGCTCAGGATTGTATGGATCTAAAATGCAAGAAAATAAGAAGATAACATATTCATTTAGTTGAGGGTTTGACTGAATTGCATTGCATGTAAATGAATTCTTCCATACAATTAATCTACATATATTGCATCTCCATTCCTGGTATTTCAGAACCCCAGTCAGTCTTGGCTGTAGTAAATTGTTCGAAGTTTGTCCTTGAAATATCGTCTTTGATCAACCGAACAGGTCTACCGCGCTGTTTCGGACGATTTTAGGACCCAGGACTGCGGCCAACTCGGCGATGATTCCCTTGAGAGACATTGGCGAGGTCATTTCCATGGTTTCCCATTTGACCAGATCCTAAGTGGATTTAGCAAATATATCCCTCACACATAGGGGAGAAAAGATGTGCGCGCACCTTCATGTGAACAAAGTTGTTTTTGAATAATAACAGCCAATGATCCAAGTCCAGTGATTCCACCTGGGGGATAGTAAGAACACCAGGCATACCAATATTAAAGAGCGAAACCTTCTCTAGATCATCATCACTTTGCGGAATCACAGGCGCAGGGGAGGATGCTCGATCCCGAGACAAAGAGACATAGGAACGGGAATTAAACTTCTCCGTCATTTCGCCATCAAGCGGGTCCCAGTTGGAGGATTCAGGGTCTGGGTAGCAGAGAAAAGGGTCAGATGTTGTGCACAATTTTTATGTAGTACAAAGGATATGTACTGAGACACGAGTGGAACTTACCAAGGATGTACTGGGGGCGGAAATTGGCTTTGTAACGCATCTTCTGGCAGGTGTGAATGTAGTACCCTGCATCATTTGTTAGAGGCGCATCCATAGAAACCAGTTTCATCATTGTGGCTTACCCATGTAGTAGTAAGGATACTGATTCTCGACCGAAAAGGCAATTTCACGCATGGCGCTGAGCTTGCCAATTTCCCATTGCTCATAAGCAGGGTCATAGCTGTGTAGTACCATATATCAGCTTATCATATACTTCGGCGTCTTGGGGTACGGTCAGCCATCAGCTTACAAGACATAGACGGAGCTAACGCCGTTGGGAACTAGATCCAACACCGCAACCGCAATGAGTTCGCCATCAAGACGATAGCACTGATGCCATGAACCGAGTTTCTTTTCAGAAGCGTTCGTGGCTGTTAGGGGATTCGGGGTCCGCTTGATGCCTGCGCATAAGAAGCGTTGAAAGTCCTTGGGTTTCCAGTGAGAGACATCCTCTTTATGGATGGCCGTTTGGTACTTGAGGAAAAGCTCAAATTTTGCCTGAGACACAGAGTCGCCTTCAATAGTGATTTCGAACCGGTGCGCTGGTTCAATGGGAAGCTTGGTAGCAGGGTCGATTGGCCGTTTGACGTTGTCGTATTCACTCTGGTGGACAGCTGACAGAAGGTCGAAGTTGCACTTGCGGTACTTTTTCTCTCTATGCATTAGTTAGCAATGGTCTGATATCAATTGACAAATATATAATTGCATACTCTCGGGTTCGTGGACAAAGCCGGGCTGCCTTTCGCATATACTCGGGACCTAAGATGAATTTGTTCCACTTGTTGATGGCCTTACGTTGATCGCGGCGGGGCCGATAAGCGGATGCCTCTAGCCTCAGAGTGTAGTGAGGACAACAAGACCGAAGCAGGTTTTGTTTGTAGTAGAGATTTCCCGATCTATGAATGTCAGTATGGCCTGGTGGGTTACAGGGAAATTAAACCGGAGGGGTCATACCGTCTCCAGCCGCTATTGATCAGCTCTTCATAATGTTCCGGGAGTACAGACGTGGAGCTTGCGTAGTACGATTGACCTTTTGCATGTCAGCACCCCGTCCTAACCTTTCTAGTCCTAAACGCAGGGGGGGAAAGGAAGAAACAAAGCAGGGGTAGGGGCAACAAACTTCCATCTTTGGACTTGCAGTAACCACACGAGTTCTTCTGGTAACCTAACGGGATCACATCACATTAGTCTCTGCATAAGAGGGGTTGGACGATCAAATAATAATTGCAGGAATTGGCGGTGATATGCTCGCCAAATTCCCCTAAGTGGTAACAGTCTGGGCCAGTGGAAGCGCCACGGGGTAACAGAGGTCTATCTCAGTGGTTCCCTGCAGCAGAGTGGGACGGTACCTAGTGGGCGGAATAGCGACAACTCTCGCGCGCGTTCGGCGCCAACCTGTTGCATCTTTGGATTGGATATGTGTTGGCACTTCGGAGTGGATGTGAATTGTAGTATCGGGAGGGGGAGAATAAGAGATAAAGTGGGAGAGGTTGGCGGGGGTTGTAAATATTGTAAATACGGTTTATACGGCAAGGGGTTATATGGCTACATATATGTGGACTTATGGTACTTATATTTGGGTCTAAAGCTCTTCTAACGGTGTATGTATCTCATGCCTTAAGCCACACGGCCGATCTTATGTTTCTGGTCAAATCGGCCAAGTTTCTCCCATCTCGGTACCAGCAAATCCTGTAGGTCTTGGAGGCTCAATACCCGCACATTTAGAGATGGCTCTGGGGTTGAATTATAGTAATTCACCCATAGTGATAGGGTAATATAGTATATTATAGTAAATTATAGCAAATATAACATAATATACGAAATTATAGCAAATTATAGGAACATCTCAAATAGTTCAGTTCTTTGAGCTAGATGGTCACATGACCATATATAGAGTCGAAAAGGAGAAAAAGTCCCAAGGTCACTGGACTGATTCCCAGAGCTTTCTCTCTATAGTTGATTATAGTAACTCTAGTGTACGATGTAACAAACACAATTAAATGTAAATAGGCAAAGAAGAAAAGAAAATAATAAAAAAACGAAGAAAAAAAAGCAACGTACCTTGACTTCTCCCGGACTACGCCGCCGGTGCCCCTCCATTCCCACTTCTCTTCTTTTCTCCATTCCTCAATAACCTCCCATTTCTCAGATCTTCTTTTGAAAACCATGCCTATTTCCACTTACCATTCCAATCCCCCGTCAGGCATGAACGGGAAGACCTGATCTCCATTGCCCTCCCTCCGCAATATCCAAAGGAAAAAAAAATTTCCCCCACCCGACCGCCCTCGCGCTGTACTCCCGCTCCTCTACACCACCCCAGAACACCTGGAGCTTCCACTCTCACCTCAGAGACCTGCCAGGCTCCGAGGGAGCTTGCGAGAGCATCATCTATTGGATTTTCCTTGATCTTTTTGATTTTCCTTGGCCTTTCCATTCTTTTTTTCTCCCTTTCTTCGTTTCCCCGGAGACTTCTTTTCAACCCCACTCAAATCCCGGAGTAAATCCAAGGATATTCGATTGTCTATCACAATGGCTCAAATACGGTCTATGGAAGCCCGCGTTGGGCGGAAAAACCAACGTGAGTTATCTCTGAGGTCGCTTTGTGGCTGAGCACGTGGAGGGGGACCCGTCCCCCTTACATCTACATCGTCCCTGTGTTCCCTGACTCTAACGGCTTGTCATAGGCTACGGCTCAAAAGGTGAACGACTAGTAGCCGGCGTTGTCCCTATCTCCGCCGATAAGACCAAAGTCCTCATGATCCAGTCCGCAGGACCCGGAGGCTGGGTGCTCCCCAAGGGTGGATGGGAGCTCGATGAAAAAACCGCTGAGCAGGCTGCATGCCGCGAGGCTTGGGAGGAAGCTGGCGTCATCTGCATCGTGATCAGAGATCTTGGCCTTATCCCCGATATGAGACCCTCCGGCCTTCTCACCGCGCAAGCCCCCAAAGCCTCATACCAGTTCTTTGAAGTCACCGTTGAGCGAGAGGAAACCGAATGGCCCGAAATGCACAAGCGGAAACGGCAATGGGTCCCTTATGCACAAGCTGCTACTGCCCTCGCAAATCGGCCCGAGTTGCTTGAAGCGTTGAATCGCAGCTCGTTGAAGCGGTAGTCCCTATCGCGTGCACATTCAGTTCTCTTGCACATCGAACACTCTCCCCTCCTCATTCTTCTACTTTTATGTGCATCGCTTTTCTGAGAGAGATGCTCCCTGATAATGACTCGACATGACCTACTCCAAAAAACGGTGGCTTCGTCGCTTCTACTATTGGCTTTGTCTACCCTTTTTTTTGCATCTTTTTAACGGGCTGCCGCTACCCGTTCTCTGTTTCATTTGCGAATGAACCATCTCAGTCTGCGTGTTTTGCTTTGTCTCGCTCTGATAGACGCCTTTTGCAAACAGGCTTGAGGGCTTTTGGGACGTTCTTGCATTGATACTGGAGGATTCTTTGTTCTTATCAAGTATGGTATCGGACTATTTTATCTGAATCCATTGCTTGCACTGTTTCACTTGCCAGATTTTAATCGAGCGCACTTCCCTCAGTTCTAGATACCAGTCTTGTATGGCTTTTTGGATGCTGGATCCAGTGTCTATACGCAACAACTGAATTAAATCTAAACCACTTCCTCCACTCTCTAACCAAGAAAGAGAGAAATGGAATGAACAGAAGATGAAAGTATTTTATTGCTGTAAATGTAAACCCAGTATGTTAAAAAAAAAGATCGACTTGATATTAGCCTTTTCACTCCGTGACCCGATTAGGCAAAGCGCAAAAAGCTGTCTCCGAGGGAGCAAATCCGCGTGCCCTCAAGCCAACAACTTGGCGCCCGTATCATCTACCACAACAGTTCTCATTACTCTGTCATTCGCCATTGCACTCTGAACTCTTCAATATACTTTTATGACCCGCGCATAAACACCTCCAGCTCTAGACAAGGGTGGCGGCGAGCAGCGCTGCCGCATACATACCAACATGGATTACGAAATGGATCTCGAGCCCACAGGGCCCCAAGTGACAGTCCGCGAAGTAAGCTGAGGGATATCTACAAAGCAGCAGGATAAATTACTCACAAATTCCATAGGCGGAACCCTACCGCGTTGACTTCAGACTGGCCGCAGTCGACCTCGCATTCGCCAACTCCCTCCGACGAACCATCCTTGCCGAAGTGCCCACTCTAGCACTCGACCTGATCGAAATCGAAAGCAACACCTCAGTTCTCCCCGATGAGTTCCTTGCCCACCGTCTCGGCATGATCCCCTTGAACTCGTACAACTGCGACCAAGACCTTGACTACACACGAGACTGTGACTGCGAAGACCACTGTGTGCGCTGCAGCGTGACGCTGTCTCTGCACGCGCGCTGCGGCAGCGGTATCATGTCCGTCTACGCGCGGGATCTGATTGTCGTGGGCGAGCGGATCAACGAGAAGATTGGTGATCCTGTTACCACTGATCCTGAGAACAAGGGTCCCCTGATTTGCAAGCTGCGTAAAGGCCAGGAGATTAAGATGACCTGCCTGGCGAAGAAAGGAACTGCTAAGGAACATGCGAAGTGGGCGCCCACGGCTGCTGTCGGCTTTGAATATGACCCCAACAACAACCTGCGCCATGTGGACTACTGGTATGAGCAGGATGCGGCGAAGGAATGGTACGTTTTTTGAGCCTTGATATGATACTCATAAGGTTGCTTTGACATATCTGCTGACACCCGATTTTCATAGGCCTATCTCTGAAAACGCTGCCTGGGAACCCGCTGCCAACCCTGACCAGCCCTTCGATTACGATGCCGAGCCTAACTGCTACTACTTTGACGTTGAGAGCATTGGAAACCTTGAGCCAGATATGATCATCCAGCAGGGTATTGTGTCGCTTCAGCGCAAGCTCGCAACCACAGTCTCTGTCCTCTTAGGCGAAGGCGAGGATGGACATCCCGGAGGCGCTGAAGATGCTGAGATGATGGGAGCCAATGACCCCGACGCTTATGAGCCACCTGAGGGCATTGACGGAAACATGACTGCCTACGGAAACGGTGCGGCCAGTGCTTGGGGCGCTAGTGCACAGACACCGTATGGTGCTACGCCTTACGGACAGAGCAGCTATGGGTTCTAAACGTGCATAACCCAGCAAGAAAAATAGAGCTCGAGCATGCGCAATGGAGTTTTGATTTCCTGGTGAATTGGGGCGCACTCTGGAGTTTTCCGTTCTTTGTATCTTTTGCTGTTAGGGACAGTCTTCTGGTCCTAGAGAATGACTGGTCTCTGAATCTCAAATATCTACTCGTTGGTTCACCGAACCTGAAAATACCGAATATCATGGAACTTTTGCTAAGACTATTACCTATCTCCAGGTTTCCCTAGAAGGGTCACTGTATTATGCGAGTGGAAACGACAATCTAATCCTCGTACAATGCCCTAGACTACTACGTAACTAACTATGAACCCCCCAAACCCACGTACTCTTTCTTAGCAGCTCCCAGACTTCATAGGCCTAGGCACGAAAACACAGCCCCAGACTGGAATAATCAAAGAGCCTCTCAGAGCCCTCTTTCTCAGCTTCTACGCCTACATGGTCGGGCAAGGACTAGGCAAGGATCTATATAGGTTCATCCTATATCATGTTTGTGCAATCTGAACACAGTATCTGAGCTCATTATTGAAACAAAAGATTGACCCAGACGTCAAATCAAACATTGGTATTAATCATCAGATACAACTACTAGTTACCAAGGTACCAAGAGATCAGATATGAACATCAGGCATGTTATTTTAGAATATTATTAACCATATTTCTGTGTAAAGCAATGAAGAAAAACAAGCATTTGATCCCGAAAAAAACTGCTGAAATGCCCATCCTTTCCGAACGCCCGGCATGCCACAAATGCGATGACTATACACAAAACACAACCATGCCTCGCTAAAATTGCAGAACAAAAAGGAACAGTGGAACAACGTTTCCGGAAACAATCACTCCATCAACTCAACCGGTGGACGAGCAGTCTTAGGTGGCATCTGGTTAACCGACATCTCAATTGGGCTCATCGCAGCATCCATATCGACATCCTCATCTTCAGGATCCACCGTCATATCCTCAACCATAACCGCGGGAAGAGCGGGGCTACTGCCATGGTCCTCGGGGTGATAGATGATGGTGCTGCTCCTGCTACGCTGCTGGGAGCCAGCAAGCGGCCAGCTGGGCGTGCGCCTATCGGAAGAGATAGAGACGGGAGTCGCGGGGTCGGCTGCAGACATCTCAGGCTGGGACGCCTGGTCGGTATTCAGCTGGGACAGAGCATGCGCCAGATCCGTGGCATGGACTTCTTTGTTGGGCGGGCCTTCGTTGCGCACGACCCATCCGTGTGGCGGGCTGGGCGGCGGTGAGATAAAGAACATCTTGGAGACTTGCGGGGCCTCAAGGAGTTTTGGTCGGCCGCCGTCTGAGATTGCGGTTGGCTCGCCGAAGTAGATCCGAGGGTACACGTCCCGGTTTAGGAGGCGCTGGCCGTCCAGGAGTTTGCGCACGGCAGTGGCGTCGGTCTCGTTGTTGAAGGAGCACACGATGCGGCGCATGGAGGGGAGTGGGGAGAAAGAGTTTAGAGGTGCCACGGCTGTAATTTGGTTGCGGATTTCTTCCAGTGCTTGGGGTTGAAAGACGAGGAGATCGTGGAGATCAGTGATTAGGAGGGTGTTGGAGGGTGGTGTTGGCTGGGAGAGTGGGGGCATGTTGGCGATATCGAGAGATAACGATGGTCGCGAGGAGGAGGGTGAGCTAGTGAGCTTGGGTACTGAAGCCATCGAACATGGTGGTGAAGCTGAAGTGGCCATTTTGTGTGTTGTATGGTTCAGATTGTAGTATGTTGGGAGGAGATGGATAAGGGAAGATAAAGGAGGTTGCCACCGGATAAGAAAATAAGAATTGTTCTGGAGAAGGATTCTAGAATTTTCAGTGGACTGTCAGATGGCGAGAGTGATTTAGAATTCTTTGAACTTGACAGATTAAACAGACTCCGGGCTTTGCCGCTCTTTAATACAAATAATTCAAAGAACAGATCTTCCTCTTAAAGACCGCCGTGAGGCGCAGCGGGCTATCGTCACATACCCCTGCACTGCCGCCCTACATTCCATGACTCCACGTTCCTGGCGATCCACTGCTTCCAGCTTAAGCCTAACTCTTTCAGATCAAAAGGCTGTGTGACGACTATATTTAATGCATTTTACTGCATTTTACCATAGTTTCCTACCTAAAAACGTTCTCAGCCATCGCGCTATTCATGCGCCACATACGCCACACATTGCCACACGTTGCATTCATTCAATCCCCTCTTTGACTGCACCAGCCACATCCCCGTGACTTCCCAACAGAAACTCCGCCCCTTTTTTCTGCCGGAACATCCGATTCCCCCGAACCCGGACTTCGGATGTATAGCGTTGTACGGACTTATGTACAATAACCTTGGCTATCCCCATCTCCCACCTTGCCTAAGCCCCATTGGCTGATACTTATCATTCTGCCTACATCATTAGGGCCTCCACTAATAAGCATTGCCACCCCAGTTTCTTCTTTAAGCCCTGGATAACGAACCCGACCCTTCGCAATTGTAAGCCTAGGACTGCGTTTGTTTAAGCCGCAAGGCTACTCAATTGATTATTTATGGAGCGGGTGTCCTATCGATTCTCCAAGACATGGTGAATGTAAAGCAGGCTATGGCACTAGCACAGCTGTTCGTGGCACATCCCAGCCCACAAGCCTCATTCGGAAATTCAGATCACGAGTCCTATCAGTTGTACAGGACACCAGACCCAGCCTTACTTTTTACTTTGGACCGCCAATTCCACTCGTCTACGTAGTAGTAGGTACGGGATTTCAGCCCGCGGTTCATTGATACTAGCGCTAGTAACTAAAAATCCATCTACGGAGTAATATTAACCATCCTTTTGATTAGCTCAACTCTTGGATTCATTCTTCAGCATATGGAATATGGATCATTTTGATGCATTTCACTAGCTTATCCAAAACAATCTCGGTGGCTGGAAGTTTGAGACTATCGTGATAACGGCCATCTAGGTCGGGATCAAATGTGCCCCCATTGAGGGGATCATAACATAAACAAAACTGGCAAGCTCAAGCCTATGCACAATGCTTCGCAAAAATTGAGCGATTGGGAAGTTCATAGAGATTGTCCATGTCCATTCAATATGGACGTAGAGGACTCTATAAGAGGCGCCGACACAAAGTGATGCAGGGTGCTGGAGATCTGCGCATTCATTACGCGCATATTGTGCGGTCTAAACTCCGGTGCATATATAAATTCCAATAAACAGATGAATATCTTTGAGATGTCTTAGCTACAGTTAAAAATGCCAAGAAAAATGGACTACATAGCATCAACACAGTCCGTCCACGAGGTTGAATTCCTATATGCTGAATGAACCAGACAATAAATGAATACATTCTATAACTTGCTCCCCTGGGGCTGAATCTCTTCTATCTCTCTTTCTGGCCGAGTTAGGCGTACCTGCCGCTGCGTTCCTTCCAATTGTTCAATAACAGCGTTGAACGCAGCTTCAACATCGTGTTCCGATAGCCACTTCGTATCTGGCCTTCCAGTCATACGAGCAACAAGCGCAGCATCCTCTTCTTCGCGTGTCGCAAAAATAGTACCTTTCTTGTCAATCTGGCTATGCACAATACGCAGCAACCGAGTTGTATGCGGCTGCCTGGTTTGACTGTACAGCCCCAATGCCTCGTTGATATTCCTAGCTGAGAACGTGGCTTTTCTCAAATAGAATACCTGCTTGAAAGCAAGGCCAAGGGCTAGAGAGTCATCTAGGGCCAGCGAGCCGCCGGCTGCGAAGGAACCACCGTGAGCGTGGGCTGCGTCTCCGACTAAAGTCACTCGTGACCCAAAGACCCAGTTTGGGAGAGCATCTCCTGCGAAGTTGGGATATAGATTTGTGGATGGGGTGAGCTCTGTCAGAGCCTTTACCGTGGGATTCCAGTCCTAATAGCTGTGAGTCAAGTGAGTTCGGACAGATCGATTAAGAACGTACCTTGTATCTCTCTCTTAAAAACTCCACGTTGCCAAGTTGATCCCACGCGACGCTTTTCTCAACCTCCTCTGCTGAGCGCGGGTCATCGTATGCACCAACGGTGGTGTACTGGTTCTTGCCTAGTTTTTCTTAGATCCATGCAGCCCTGAAATGCTGATTCTTTTCCACTTACCAAGCCGAGACGCAAAGAAGTTGTCTTTAGGGCCCCACTGTCAGTACTGTTAGCAATAATTATGACACTCCCCAGCACAGTTATAACATACCCAGTGCATCGAATCAGCAGGCAAATCAGGGATCTTGCCCTCCACCAACGAGGCATCAAACGTCGCTCTCATGAACACCTTCCCACTGAACCGTAGCTTATAATCCGGGATGAATGATTGTCTAACCCTCTGAACTTGAGTAAGCAAATCGCAAATTTAACTCAGATTACATCACAAACCGATCGAATTCCATCTGCTCCAATGAGAATATCTCCATGAGCACTACTTCCGTCCTCAAAATATAAGGAAACACCATCCTGGTCAGCTTCCACGCGCGCAATCTTCTTGCTCAAGTGGATTGACTCTCTGGGAACATGCTCGAGCAGAGCAGAGTACACATGGCCGCGGTGGAAGCGGGTAGTATGGTGACGAGGATTAGAGACGTTGGTGTGAGTGTCTATAGACACGACCTGATCCGTTTTCCAGTGGCTATTTGCCTATCAGTGTGCTGAGAATTACAACTCGAGAATACGTGATGAATTCATACCGGAATATCTGCGGGATCCCACTTGGGCCTCTAAAGCCGACTTCGTCGGTTAGGGCATTTTGTACGCCGAGTTTCTCAAGCGTGCGCATGCCCTGATTTTTCACATTCACGGTTAGATAGTCTAATCATTTCAAAATAATGCACAAGATACCTACATTTGGACTGAGAGCAATACTAGCTCCTATTTCCAAGAGCTCTGGAGCCTGTTCGTATAGCTGGATATCCAAGTTTGTAAGATTTGATATGCGTGTTAGAGATATAGCTGTTGCAAGGCCTGCAATGCCTGCGCCAGCAATCAAGACGCAGATGGGTTCTCTTTTTTGTGTCATACTACAATTGAATATCCGTCGACTTGACACGTATCAGTTGCGACAAAAGGCTACTTCTAGCAAGAAGATGATTTCTTGTATTTCAGGTCTATCGCGGCCATAAGCTTTTAAGCACGCCAACAATGCAGCGCTGGCGCAACCCCGCAATGGCGTCTTTAGACGTGCTTTGGAGTAAGACTCGCGTTTGTAGGATTGGAGATCGCATTTTGATAACCAAGAACCTTTTTGCCAAGTAAGATACTATTTCAATGTTGCACGACCTTCCAGATTAGGAGAAGACTTATTATAGACCCCGCAGTATCCTTCCTTTATCTGTATGCCAATCTCTCAGTAGTGCGAAGACGACGGAGTTTAGGAACATTGCGCAATTTTATCTGTAGGCTAATGAGCATCATAAGTACCTGTGTAGGACTGCAATTATATATTTTATTAAGCCTTTTACGCGCGTTGTTTATCCTACATTCCTTATACCTCACGAGATGGCAGTAGAAACCAACAAGACCGGCTTCGAGGCAGAAACAGAAACCAATGAAGAAAGTGATAACGAGTTTAATACCGCGCCAAAGCTCCCTGATCAATTTGCCGACGAGAGTTTTAAGCTATTCTCGAAAATTCAAGTCACAGACCCGACTCCCGAAGAAGCGATACAGATTCGCAACAAATGCTTATGGAGGATTTTGCCATTTCTTTGCATTGGATATCACTTGATGTATGTCGACAAGCAAACGGTATGTTAATTTAATTCCCCGAATAGGAGGATCCAGTAATAACTTGCTAGCAGCTTGGAAGTTCTGCGATCCTAGGGATCATGCAAGATGCGCATCTGAACTCTAATCAATATAACTGGCTCTCATCTATCTTTTATTTCGGATATCTTTTGGCTGAGTGGCCACAGAATTGGGCTTTGCAGCGGTTTCCCGTTGGAAAGTGGCTGGCTGGAAATTTGGTTGTTTGGTAAGCTCTTCGCCTACCCTCAAACAATAGTACATCAGTCACTAAATGACCCTCAAGGGGTGTAATTACCTTGTTACATATTCCTTGCAACAGCTTTGCGTCTCTTTTTGTTGTTCGCTTTTTCCTCGGGGTAGCAGAAGCATCTATCGTCCCAGCATTTCTGCTTTCCATGTCCATGTTCTTTACATATGGAGAGCAGGCAGTCATGATGCCGGTTATGTGGTCAATTGGAAATGCAAGTCCTATCACATCAGGTTTGTTGTCTTATGGTGTTCTTTGGATTGAAACAGGCAGCTTTTCTCCTTGGAAATGGTTTATGGGTAAGTTTGTTCCCCAATTATATATTCTTCAAGGTTGCTAACCTCTATTCTAGTTATCACCGGTGTTCTCACAGTCATATTCGGTGTCTTTGTCTATTTTTTCTTCCCCGATAGCCCTATTCATGCTAATTTCCTGACACACGAGGAGCGTGCAAAGGCCATTTTACGGATTAGAGAGAACCATTCTGGAATCGAGCAGAAGCTTTTCAAAAGATATCAGTGAGATACCTTTATCTAAAAATTCAAGATTCACAAACTTACTGGAGTCCTTAGATTTATCGAGGCAATTCAAGACCCTAAGACATGGCTCTTCTTCCTACACGCCTGGTCCCAGGAGATGGCAAACGGAATAACAAACCAATATTCACTGATCATCAACTCGTTTGGTTTCACGGTTCTTCAAACAACTTTGTTAGGAACCGTGACAGGAGTCGTATCATTCTTTTCTCTTACAGCAGCTGCGATTACACTGTATCACACCAAGGTAGGCCAAGCTAGGACATTTAATGTGAACATGGACTGAAACCTGCAGAACTGCCGAGCATGGGTATCACTCATCGCATACATTCCAGGTGCTCTTTCAAGTATACTTCTACTAGGTTAGCGGTTTTTCTTTTTGTTCGAAAATGCGATCAACCACTAATTGTAGCCCGACAGCCTTACCCTGGTCCAATCGATGGGGTCTAATCGCTGGAATCTGGATTCGATCAACAACTGGCATCCCGTATGCCGTTGTGATGATTTGGGCTGCCAATGCGTCGGCGGGTCATACGAAGAAAACTACTGTCATTGCGCTTTATCATATCGGATACGGACTGGGAAATATTATCTCTCCGCAATTATTCCGGCCGCAATGGAAGGTGAGTTTTTCGTTTGATTTGGCCTCGGTTCTTATACTAACTATGATTCAAGCCTCGGTACAGACCAACTTGGATTATTTTGCTTGTGGTAAGTCATGTTTTAAGTTATATGTGGATCATTTGACTTATAATTCTGAAGGTCGCTGCAATTCTTCCTTCGATCATTATTATCGCGCTCCGGATCTATCTCAGTCGAGAGAATAAACGTCGCGACAAGCTCGCGAAAACTAATCAAGTTGCTAGCAATGGGATTGTCGAAACGATCGATTCAGATGGGGGAAAAGTCGCCCGAATCGTGGACAACAGTCAATTAGATCTGACTGACAGAGAGAATTTGACTTTGTAAGTTTTCACCGACTGGTTTGTTAGTGGTGTCTTGATACTAATTTGAAAACAGCCGATATATACTCTGACGAATTGGATACTTTGTGAATATATTCAACCTGGAGGTTTGAAATACTGGGAGTTTTTACATTTAAAGAACTGCGCTTGATAGGTGGAATAATATGATCCCCCAGGGCTCTCTTTTTGGCTTACTTGATTTCTTGTTCCTGTACCTTGTGCTATATATAGTACGAGGTATAGATCAGTATCTCAGGAATGAAGTATACATAGTTTAACATTAATTCCCAAGCTTAAAGCACAATAGGCTCTAATGTTGTGCCATCACATTCCTATGGCGTAAACCACCCAGCTGCAAGGATCCAACACACAACAGTCAGCCTGAATGACGTGCCAGATGATTTCCAAGCACCTTAAAGCGCCTTATCTCCTGCTGACATTCAACTCTCCTCTTTGAATTGAATCCATTTAACCCTTCTAAATCACCGCGTAACGGTCTAATTATTCCAAATAAATATTTGTTCTAACTATACTCCAACCATCTACACCAGATCACTATGGACATCCAAGAAAGACAACCACTTTTAAATTCATCAGGTCACTCCAACATTCTATCTCACAGCTCCCAACAAGAACCACTCAGCCTTTTATCCGATGATTTCTGTGAAGCATACCCCGACACCTTACCAGGGACACCCTACAGAAAGAGCATCAACTGGTCAAGCGCGTACATATTAGTTGTTTCGCGTGTGATTGGGAGCGGTATCTTCGCAACACCAGGCTCAATCGTCAAATCTGCCGGAAGTATCGGGTTGACTCTACTAGTATGGCTGGTTGGGACAATATTATCAGCTTGCGGCCTAGCTGTCTCGATGGAATTCGGATGTATGCTACCTCGCTCAGGAGGAGAAAAGGTAAAAGCGCATTGCTGCAGGACTGCAGGAACACGTCGGCTAAATTAATTTACTTTTTGCGCAGGTATACCTCGAGTATGCCTATCCCCGACCGCGGTTTCTCGCATCAACCCTTATAACAGCCCAGATAGTGCTCCTGGGGTTCACGGCGAGCAACTGCATTATCTTTTCGAAATACACGTTCTTCGCGTTTAGTATTGAGCCCACCGAGCTTCAGCATAAAGTACTCGCTGTTGGTCTCTTGACTGCCATTACTATTATCCATGGATGTTTCTTGAAAACAGGCATCTATGTCCAGAATGCCCTTGGCTGGGTGAAGATCTTCCTCATTGGCGCGATGTCCTTGACAGGAATCTGGGTGGTTTTCCTCCGTTTTCATGGTGATACTGATGATATATCTCCAGTGTCAAGCTTCGGCAGTTCTTTTTCTTGGGATTCAATGTGGGAAGGATCGAACTGGAGCTGGAGTCCGCTTTCCTCGTCTTTGTTCAAAGTCTACTATTCCTACGCTGGGTTGAGCAATGTGAACTATGTTCTCAGTGAGGTCCGCGATCCGGTGGGAATAGTGAAGACCGTGTGTCCCACTGCACTACTTACCGCTGGCGGCCTATATTTTCTTGCGAATCTTTCATACTTCCTGGTCATTCCGCTTGACGAGATCAAAAATAGCGGGGAATTAGTCGGCGCACTGCTATTTGAAAGATTATTCGGAGAACACGTCGGAAGAATATTCTTTCCACTTGCTATTGCCATTTCCGCTGCCGGGAATGTGATGGTGGTGACCTTTGCCTTAGTACGCTTTTGGGATATACGAAATTAAAAGCAGAGAAATACTAACATTGTTAGGCACGTGTGAATCAAGAGATAGCCCGACAAGGCTTTCTTCCATGGCAAAACGTCCTCTCGTCCTTGCGGCCATTTGGCACTCCACTGGGTGGACTTATTGTACACTATATCCCTTCTGTGTTGGTCATCGCCCTACCACCACAAGGGGACGTCTATAACTTTATTCTGGACTTGGAGGGATACCCTGGACAAATGTTTTCCTTGGCAGTTACAGTTGGTCTTCTGATAGTACGATACCGGGAGCCTCATCTTCCACGGCCCTTCAAAGCCTGGTTGCCGGCTGTCTGGCTACGGATTTTGGTATGTTTAGTTCTTCTGGTAGCACCCTTCATCCCGCCGCCGAATTGGAAAGGGGACGTCGATTTCTTCTATGCTACCTATGCACTTGTCGGAATTGGAATGTGAGTGGCAATTTTTCCAGAGACTTTCCTTCGCTAACAAAGACAGTGTACTCTTTGGGGTTCTCTACTGGTATGTCTGGACAGTGTTACTCCCACGGTGGGGAGGCTATCAACTTGAAGAAGAGAAGGAGATTCTGGACGATGGGACTAGCATCATCAAGCTCGTTCATTCATATGATAATTGACAGCGTTGACAACGCATACTATGATCATTTTATGGAATTGGTCACTGACTTCATGCTCACATTTTGGGAAGCACGTGTTCATTCATAAAATGCTGGGTCTATCTATAAGGGATAGACTCTTAGTCCTTAGTGAGAGTAGGTAGCGGATTGCTATGTCCTTGTAATGCTGCCACCATCCAGAAAATGGTTGAGGGCCGGAACTACAAGTGAGCAATCACGCACGACAAACAATAGATCCCCTTCTTCCTTCCTTTTCCTTCCTCTCTTCTTTTCTCTCATTCTCTCTCATTCTCGTCCCTTTCCATTCAGCTTCTTCCATAGCAAATACAGCATACGGGTCTCCTTCTATATCTGTATTTGCTAGAATTACAATTGATTTTCTCAGTCCACTTTCCCCAGTTTCTCGGGATTGTCTTCAAACAACTATTCCTTTATCATGGCGTCGATGCCTCTGATATCTAAGGAGCCACCTCTTCCGTGTCCTGCCTGGGTCTATTCTAATAACTCCGATACTCAGTAGTTTCCCTTTCGCGGTTCCAAATGCATCTAGCTAACTAAGCCAGTGTTGCCAAAGACCGCTGTTGGTTCGGAAAAGACTACATCCCGTTCAGGTCTTATGTCACGGATATCGCTGGAGGCTCGGCTCAAGTCATTGGGATAGGAACTGTCAACATCCCCACCATGAGCTCGCCAACCGAGACCGATCCGGATTCGGACAACTCCGTCTGCTTGACGAACGTGCTGCATGCCCCCGCAATGCTCTGCAATATTATCGGAAGTCCCATGCTGGACGACTACTCTATCATATGCGACTCCCCACCCTCAACTAGCGCCGGCCGAATTACGAACAAATCTGATGGCTGTGCCGTGGCCTACTTCAAGCCCATTACTGGAAGTCTCAGTCTCTACCAAATTCAGGTTAGCCACCCTCCATTCGGCCAACCGTTCGGGGCTTCGCCGTTTTGCCCTAATGGGCTCTACATGATTCACGCCTTCTGGTCCCAGCGTGAGCGACATAGATTTGCATTCTTGAAAACCTCCGGTCTGATTCGAGCCTCAGGCGTGGAGCCGCTAACCGAGTACGAGCAGGACTGGTTTAGGAAGGAATGGATGACTCTGGACGGAATTCTAGTTGCTTATGGGTTGAGCAAAGACCGGGAGGAACATCGGCAGGAAGGCCGTGCTATCATGCGAATTCTCAAGTCGCATGCCGACAATGAAGCGAGGTTCGTATTGCATATGCACCCATGTTAGTGCTGGGGAGAAGCGATTTTTATTGCAGCGGCTTGGTGATTTCCCAGATGTGGTTGAGGAAATCGTCCAAGTTATCAGTCTTCCATAGCTTCATGTGTTTTCGAAATACCCCAATCAAGCGGCCAATCAAAATTACCATGCTTCCTTCATACATTCGTGGATAGTCTGACAAAAGTGTAGAACGGACTGACCGTCAAATCTGGTCCTAGTCCCGTATATTGGTTGTGGATTTCTTGGGGTCTAGGCATCGTCCATCTAGTTACATATTACAGTGTCTTCAAAGAGGCGATCCCTCTTTCTAGATACGGAGCACAATCTTCCCAACTTGTTTACCTTGCCAAACATATTCAATGGCCTCTTCGGCTTGCTCAAATGGAAATGTTTTGTCAATGAGGTCATCCAGCGGCATTTGAGCTGCTGATAGTGCAGCACAGAAGTCTTCCATATCATGCTTTGACCCTGCATTGATACCTCTGTTTCGTTGCGAGTCAGAATTTGGTATCCAATAATCAAGCACTACCGGTCTCGCCTCAAATTGATCCTCCGATCTATAATGGTCGGTATCAGCTCTCGCAGGTCGTTAGGGTCCGGCCGTGAAAGATATCCAACCTGGCTGACCACACCGCCGCGTCGAGTACATCTCATACTCTTAACCAAGGAGCTAGATCCGCCAGTCTCAACAACAATGTCCACACCGATGCCGTTAGTCAATTTGAGAACCTCTTTGTCCCAGCCAGGCATTTGAGAGTAGTTTATCGTCATGATGGACGGGTTTGAGTACTTGACCTTCATTTGTTCGAGCTTCTCATCACTCGAAGATGTTAAAATCACCCGAAGGCCCGCAGCCCTTGCAAGCTTGAGTGCAAAAACACTGACACCTCCAGTTCCTAATTTAGTTGTTACTGCTGAACTAGGCCTCAATCCCGGACGCACATACCTTGAATCAACACAGTCTGCCCAATAACCATACCCTTCAACGCCGACCAAGCAGTAACACCAGCACAAGGAATTATAGCAGCTACAACCCAGTCAAGGTGATCCGGAAGTTTACACAGAGCATTCTCGTCGAAAATAATATGATCCGCCATAACTCCATCCTCGTCTGCTGCCAGCCATGACCGCTTTACTTCACGTCCTGAAATATTCTCAGTATCTGTAATAGGTCCGGCCCTATCCCCGACCGCCAATGTCTTCACCTTATGACCAACTGCTAGGACCTCGCCCGCTGCGTCGTTACCCAAAATCACGTTTGGAATTACCGGCCACGGGTTCCCTCCATTCGCGATGTTGGCATCGCGGTAATTAAGAGCAACGGCATGCACTTTGATCAAGACGGCAGTCGGTGCAAGTGGCAGCGCAAGTGCTTCCCATACAAGCTCTAGCCTCGGCCTTCCTGGAGTATAATTGTCTGTTCGTCTGAAGGCACGACGGCGGGTGACTTGAGGGCTTGACATTTTGTCTTCTGGGCTTTTGATGGTGGAAACTATCAAAGCTGTTGAAATGATTCTGGTTTATACTGGACATCCTTGCATCGTCGACGTCACTCCAATATGCGGGCACCCACCTACCCCTCCTTATGCATACATGCTTTTTTTGTTTGACTGGGATTGCTATGATTTCTAATTTGGTGAGCAAGACCAAGTGTGGCTTTAACGCTATATGATCTCCGCCTCTGATTCTCTGACATCATCTAGCCAACGGGACCACAACAACTAGTCTGATAAACCGAGGCGATTGAGCATGTGGCAATTGTTAATTCTAGGATTAGGTCTCTAGTCTAGTATGTATATGTAGAGAAAGGACGCGCGGATTGTGCTCCTAGAGCTCATAGACCCTTGGTAGGAATGATGAGATAGATCCTGGCTAACTTTTGTTATCCTGATTTTATACCAAGAAACTGTATAAGATCACATCCCCATATATGTATGCACTTTCAAGTCTTGACACAGTGGATCCACGAAGCAAATTTAGTACATGAACAAAAATTCTCCTTGGATAGAAGAAATGACTTCTTATGCGTTGAAATTACCTATAGCGCTAATCCGAAAAGAGTAAATAAAAGAGTTCCTTGCCATGTATGGCTTCATCAAAACAATAAATCGATATGATACAGACAGCTTAAGAGTCTCATGTCTTATGTTGCTTGCCTGGTGCTTATGCAGAAGCAACTCATGCAAAAGCTTGAACATGCATCGCTGTCAAAAATCCTTCTCTTCTATGCTTATGATGGTTGTAAATAGCCCATTGGGCCATATTTGCATGCCACAAGTTAAGAAGGTGCCGGTTCATCCATGACTAAGCTTGCAATGATTCTGGGAAGCCCCCGTGTGGTTAGTGGTATTGGATATAGTTGCCCATTGGCTAAACTGATACCAAATACAATATCAACGTATCAGGTACCAGATATTATATTAAAATAGATCAGTCATGATATCGTATGATAGTATTGTATATTTCTGGCTAAATGTTCTTCAACAATGTGTCTACTCCATGTAGAAGTTAGAAGAACCTCCAAGGCTTGGTCCCCTCGGCTCAGCCTTTTTCCTTACTAAGGCCAAGGCCAGAGCGGTCAGGTGATTCCAAATGAATTTTATCCGAGGACAAATGATTCCGCATCAAGTTTACTGAGCTCCATTCTCAATTCCACATCTCACTATTCATAATGTTCCAACGAACCATCCTCCGACAGGCTCAGGCCGCCCGCTCCATCCTCTCCGCCTCCACCCCCTCCACCGCATCGCTGGCGCTGCGACGGACTATACAACAACAGCGTATTCCGGCCGTCCGGCCGTTCACTCCCCGGTCTACCCGTTTCTACTCGACGGAGACCAAGGAGAAGGAAGCCACCGAAGCCGAGACCGCAGAGAACGCAGAGGCTGAGGACCCTGTCAAGAAGGAGCTCGAAGAGAAGACCAAGGAAGCCATTGAGTTCAAGGTAGGCCGTTTCTCCACACTCACTGCTACGGGTAGCTCCGAAGCTCTTTCTCAGACGAATATTAACCCAAAATTCTTGTCAGGATAAATGGCTCCGCTCCGTCGCTGAATCCCGCAACCTCGTTGAGCGCAACAAGCGCGATATGGACGCTGCCCGCAAGTTCGCCATCCAGGGTTTCGCCAAGGACCTCCTCGACAGCATCGACAACTTTGACCGCGCGCTGCTGGCCGTGCCCGCGGAGAAGCTCACCGCTGCTAAGACAGAGGAGAACAAGGACCTCCTCGATCTTGTTGCTGGTCTCAAAATGACCCAGGACATCCTCCTGAACACCCTCCAAAAGCACGGTCTCGAGCGCTTCGATCCTGCTGAGAAGGTCGATGGCAAGGCTCAGAAGTTCGACGCAAACTTGCACGAGGCTACCTTCATGGCCCCCGCTGCTGGTCTTGAGGACGGCGATGTTATGCACGTTCAGAGCAAGGGCTTCCGTCTTAACGGCCGCGTTCTGCGGGTGAGTACCATCTACTAAGATCCAAGATTCTTGCGGAGTATTCTGACTGACTGTTTTCATTTCTGTTATAGGCTGCTAAGGTTGGTGTCGTCAAGAACGCTTAAATCGTCGGCAATATCTTCGATACTTAATCCTTCGACCTTCCCTAATCCTTTCCGCATTTTCACTCTTCTTTACCTCTCTCTGTACCATACATATGTCATACATCATGATCACGATAGGGTTTTATGCTCGGATATGGCTGGCTTTTGGACCCGGGAAAATCACTCTTCCTTGCTATCTTTCTGCTTGTCTCTTGGATTCGGCTATATGATACACCCTTGTTGCATGTGTCTAGAGGCGTACGGATCGTCTCGTTTTGGTGGTGTCTTTTCACTTGTTTCGGGACGGCTATGCCTCTATGTCCCCTGATAACTCTCTTCTCCTCGTCTGTATAATACGCACTTCTTCGGGGCACTGTCATAGCCTCTGATGTCTTCATTCTCTTTCCGCCTTTGGTAACCCATAAATTACATTCTAATCAAATAAAAAGCTGGCTATGATTTATATCTTTTGAAACTTTTGCTTAGTGAGATCCATATATTGATATGTACCTAATGAGAGGAATGCTATATCTTACATATTTTCCATAATAATCACAATATAATACAGAGATGACCCAACAATCTCCGAACTCACCTCAGCTCAACTCCAAGCTCTTCAACTAGCTTCTCCCGGACCTGCGTATGCATTTCATTACTCTCCTCATTCGTCAAAGTCCGCTCCAAACTACGGTAGTTGATGCGGTAGCACATGCTCTTGCGCGAAGTCTTAGGGTGCGTAAACTCATCAATGAGAGTAACATCCTCAATGAGGTCCCCACCAATCCCACGAACAATCTCCATAACATCATTCTCATGGAAAGGCACAGCACCACCAGCAGCGCTGCTACCACCCGTTACAGCCGCAGGAGGCAACCAGAAAGCAACATCCTTATAGCAAGCCGGGTGCTTAGAGAAAGGCTCGAAGCGAGCAATATGGCCAGCCCGGAACTGCGACAAGAACCGCTCATCCCGCGACCAGAACAGCCGGATATCAGGAATATTGAAAAGAAGCATAGCAATACGCTCAATGCCCAGACCAAACGCCCACCCAATCCGGTCTGGCACGTCAGAGTTGATCAATAGATCCTGCTTGATAACACCGCACCCCAGAATCTCCAGCCAATCTCCTTGCCAGAACACCTCCAGCTCCCAGGACGGGCTAGTGAATGGGAAGTAAGCCTCGACCCAGCGAACCTTGAGCGGCTCCGGCTCCGCGCCACCGTTGCTCGCCGCAGCGGCCTTGCTGGCTTCCGTGAAGATCTTAATCACCATCCGCTCGAGGGAGCGCTTCAGGTGTGCGCCCACAGCTTCGACCTCCTCGGCGCTGTGGTGCTCGTCCTGTAGTGGGTTCCGCTGCGCGTGGATAGTCGGGTTCGGGTCCTCGACCACGACATCATGGCGCGGGATCTTCTCTACATCAGCCATGATCCGCGCTGCGGTTTCGGCTGATGCGGAGAGCGGGTTCGTCGCTGGTCGCTTCCATAGCATCGCGCCCTCCATCTGGTGGAAGACGGGGTAGTGGCTACGGTCGATTGCGTCGCGACGGTAGACATCTGCGATCACGGTGTATCCGACCTCCTCTGGGCGGGTGTGCTCGTTGCGGGCAATTTGCTGGAAATACGCCTGCTGGTGTGCGCTTGTGTGGGTGCGCAGCACTGTCTTCTCGTTCACATAGTAGGTATCTGTGCGGCTGCGGCCTGGGTGGTCTTGGGGGAAGCCGAGGACGTCGAAGTTTTGTCTTGTTGAGACGACTGGGTTCTTCTCTGAGTAATTGCCATACGTTGGGGCTGCGAATTGACTTTCAATGAGCTTGCGGGTAATGGCGAGAGGGTGGTTCTCGTCGAGGTAGAGTCGTCGTCCGATATGGGATAGGATTGTATCGGGGGTATTGGTCCACTGGTCGGTCGGGTAAGACTCCCCTTCGAGTTTGAGGGTCGATTGTTGCTGGGGTGTTTTAGAGGTAGTGGCTGCTTTCTGTTCACTCCGGCGAGCTGCGGTTGAGCTCCATTCGCGGTTGCGGGTGAGAATGGGAATCAATGGGAGGGGGCGTGAAATGGCGGTTTGGGGCCGGATTGAGGTAATTGACCAACGGCCACTGCTCGCACGCAGGGCTCGACCAGTAGCGAATAGCCTCATGGTTGAGTTGGACGTTATGAGAATTCAATGTTGTCTATCGACGGTTATCAACACATGTTCGGATCGGCAAAATTAGTCCCCGAAGTACATTCGAGTCTGCATAACAAAAAAAATATAAAAAGGTTAGCATTTGCCTCTAGAGAGGATCTTGTAATTCGGATATATTTGATGTTCTCTGCAACTGATTGGCTCTTTGATCTTTCTTTCGTACGAGTGATAATGACTGAATACAAGTACTATCGCATTTGCGCGGAGAAAGCCCCTGCGGAACAATATATTCAACCAAAGTAGTCCCAATTTCAGTCATTGGGATATATCATGCCTGATTACATCACTCACAACCATAATAAATCTCAAGTATGGGGTACATGTAGGTACATAGCTTTGATGCATATGATATCTTGCCCCTCAGGGCCACAGAGCCCCTCTGCTTGGTAGTCCGACGCCAACCGCCCAATATCCGTAAAAACTCCGAAGATCCCCATCACAGCCGATCTCGTCATATTCATATGTTTTATCAAAGTGATTATAATGGCTGTATGTGCAAAGATGCCTTCGGCATTCATTTCAATGTCCGAAAAAGGACGCTATTCAGGGTCCCTGGGGGTCTCTGGCTGTATGTTGCATACAAGATGTTGTCCGGCGCAAAGGAAAGACAGGAAAGACCCCCAAACCGAGAATTTGATTGGTTCAAGTGGCAAACCCCCATCAAGGCACTTAGCCTGATTGGCTACTCCTATATATTCGGCTGGGGCTGATCGAGTGGCTTCGGAGGTCTGATTTGTCTCCGTCGGTATTGGGAGGCCAAATATTACGTCAAGTCACGTTCAAAGAGCCGAAAAAGGTCAGCAAAAAAAAAAAAAAAAGAAAGAAAATACGATTTTTTTGGAACATTCTCTCCCCGCCTTTTTTTTCCATTGTACATACATTGAAAGGGGTCTTGTTTCCCGGAAACAAGATGGCAGACGGAAAGATGTTGGAGGTGTCTCCTCATTCCCGGGTCGTGCCCATTCAGACGCAGTCAAAGCCGAAGAAGGTGCATTACCCGTTTTGGTTTGGAGGTTCGGCCTCATGTTTTGCTGCGTCTGTGACGCACCCGTTAGATTTAGGTATGTTCCTACTTCTTCCCTCAATTACATACTATATGCTGACTTTGCGCCTCTAGTTAAGGTACCTTCAAGTCGTTCTATGGCATATAGCCGCGATTACGAGCCCCGACGCTGATATCTGTTTGTCGCATAATAGGTCCGGTTACAGACTCGTACCCCCGATGCGCCGAAGACTATGATCGGGACGTTTGTACATATCGTGAAGAATAATGGCTTCACTGGGTTATACGGTGGTGTATGTGCAACCCCCCCCCCCCCCCCCCCCAAAATCTAGTTGATAGCGGATACCTTAGGGCTATCAATAAACAGACACAGTTGGCTAACGAAGGACGGATTGGATATGGCAATATAGTTGTCAGCTGCGATGCTCCGCCAAATCACATATTCCACAACGCGCTTCGGTATCTACGAAGAATTGAAGTCGCGCGTTGCCTCGCCCACCTCAGATCCCGCCGCTGCACCAAGCCTACTCACTCTCATTGGTATCGCCTCGGCTTCCGGACTAATCGGCGGCATAGCAGGTAACCCAGCCGACGTGATGAACGTGCGCATGCAACACGATGCATCTCTTCCTCCCGCCCAACGACGCAACTACCGACACGCGTTCCATGGGCTCATCCAAATGACCCGGACAGAGGGATTCGGTTCTCTCTTCCGCGGAGTGTGGCCTAACTCAGCCCGTGCAATCCTCATGACTGCCTCGCAGCTCGCTTCTTACGATACCTTTAAGCGCATGTGCATTGAAAAGGCCGGCATGGCTGATAATCTGGGCACACACTTCACGGCCTCATTCATGGCGGGCTTCGTTGCTACCACTGTCTGCAGCCCTGTGGATGTCATCAAGACTCGTATTATGACCGCTTCTCATGCGGATGGTGCTGGTCATACTATTATTGGTCTTCTGCGTGATATCTGCCGCAAGGAAGGCCTGGGATGGACTTTCCGTGGCTGGGTGCCTAGCTTCATCCGTCTTGGTCCTCATACCATTGCTACTTTCCTCTTCCTCGAGGAACACAAGAAGCTCTACCGCAAGATGAAGGGCATTTAAAGATGCAAAGAGTGATTATTCCTTTTTGGGCTTCTTTTCTGCCGATTCCTCCCAATATACAACAGCTTTTACGCCTTCTGTCCGATATATTCTCGGAATATATGATTTTTTTTGGTCATTTTCTCTGGTTCTCTATTTGGGTGGTGCACTTTGGAACTCACGCCCACCATTTTCATTTTGGCTTGTATATAACTTGCATTCTTTCAGATGGTTCTTTCATCGGGGATTCGACTGATGGCCGGAGACGGCCTTGGAGCATATCTAGAACAAGGCCCTGTGGCTTTGTATAGTGTGCTGGATGATGTATTTTTTTCTTGTCGGAGCTGGATTTACATAGAATTAGATATATACACACTAAACCGCATTCAGAGTATTTCCGCAAGGACGGTTTCTACTCAATATTTTACATCAGTTGCGTTTCCGAACGATAGTTTGCAATTAGCATCTACTGACAAAAGATATATAGGGACTACCCATGCTTCAGAAAAGTTAGAACAAGCACCAACTAATAATACATTTCTCTCTACGATACGGTGGGTTTATAAACACATTTTCTTGTCTTATACGGACGGAACGACCTAGGAAATAGAGGGGTTGTGTCCCCGAGTGACCCAGTAGAGTACATTGGAACTTGCGATACATAAAAATTTGACACGCCTCACTTGACCAACCGAAAACAACTGTTCGTCATCTATTTCTCAAGGTTGACAGGGAAGTTTCCAGCCTCTGTTAATCCAAGTTAGTAAAAAGAAACGCATATCTAGAGGAGACTTTGAGATGCATACCGCGCTGACCGTCCCAACGATCGGTCCAGGCCTTGGGGCAAAGAGAACGGAAGGCGTGGTAGAACTAAGAGAAGAGCTGTTAGAAGCTGGTAGCGTTTTAGAATATTGTCGGTGTTGAAATTACCTGCTTGCAGGGACGGAAGTCGTCGCCCTTGGCAGTAGTACACTTGTAGTAGTCGACATAGTTCTGCCAGCAGTGCTTGGTCCTGCGGAGCGGATTAAAGTTAGAGATATAAAAAGGTACCCAAGTAACAGCTAATCACGTACTGGTTCTGCTGGGGGAAACGGGCATCATAGCCTGCGATTCAATCGAAATTTGTCAATTACACCATACATCAGCCGATCGGGGGATATCGGTCCACGCGCACGCGACGAGTGAAAAAAGCGGGAAAATATCCAGGTTTACGCACCAGCTGCAAATAAATTAGCCATTGACTCTTTATAGGGCTCCTGGCCCCGGTTTTCGCGGGAGGGGGGTTAGTGGACTGACCAGTGACGAACTTGAAGGGCTTTGTCTCGAGGACCTCATCGGGGTCGGCTTCCGGAATAGCACCCATATTTGCGATGTGTAGCTTCTTGGGAAACACACGGGAATAAGAATTGGAGTGGAGTGGTATGAGAGGAGGGGAGAAAGTGAGCCGGGAAGAGCGACGTTGGGTGATTGAAGCTGTGAAGTGCCGGGTATGACCGCGGGCGGTCAAGCGAGAGCCACTGAGCGTCTCGCTTTTACACCCGAGCCAGTCACGTTCTTGGAAAGCTGGTGTTCCAACCTCGTCTTCTATCCCACTCTTCTTCTGCTACTCCAGGGTTGAACCACAGATCTCGCCATGTATCCCACTCGCATGCTGCGGATGCAGCCCACTCGGGCTTTCGCTTTCCCTACTCCTGTATGTTCTTCCCTTCGGCAATTGTGTTGTGATCATACGATCCGCTCGGGTACTAACTCTCGTCTGTAGAAGGAGCAGCAAAGTGGTATGAATCTCTGAGATCACCGGATCCGGTCATCAACGGAGCCATGTAGAATGGCTTCACTCTTATGGGAAGAGCCATTGAACTAACCATGCGCCTATAGCCCACACTATCTCGCAGCGTCTGCGCCAGCTCAAGCGTGTGCCCCCCGAGTTGCTCCCTATCGGTAAGTGCTATAGTCATGACTTCACGATATTTGCGATCGGAAATTGAGCTAACTGTTCTGTTTGATATTCAGGCTTCGTCCTCGCGTACGTTTCTCCCGGTTTGATACTGTCTACCGCTTGATTCCGGGAACACATGCCCGATACGTGCCGGAATTTACTTCCTGGCGATCAAGCTCATGTCTTTCCCTGATGCTAACTCATAATTTTAGTGTTGCCCTTGGCGCTGCTGTTTACTCTTGCGGCAAGAAGCTGATGACCGACAAGACCCTGCGTCTCTACCGCAACAGCCCCGAGAGCCGTGAGCACTAAATGTACCACCATGTTTCTTTGAGCTCCTAGAATGTGATCCGCAGTTTTTGGATTCCTGCCACTTGTATTGTTGATTAGGAGAATTTGAAGCCGATGGGCATGATTTGAGAAAAGGCCAATGGAGAAAAACAGGAATGGGTTCGAGATTAGAGCCCGTGTACATATTCTGGCTTCCTGAGCCTGAATCCTGGTGGTGTAATTGGCAAATTGTAATGTCGTGTGTGACTTGTGCTTTTTTAGTTTGTCATCTTCGTCGTAGCTATCGTAAAGTGTAGCGTGCCTCACTCGGGCTTCGGCCCAGCAACATCTAATTGTTCCAATCCCTGCATAGCATCCTGGGGACGACTGCTTGCAGCCTGAGCCTCCTCCGCCGCTAGCCGATCCTCCTCGCTGACGGCATGCTTAGCCAAATAGCCCTCCTATAGCATATACTGGTTAGTATAGATTGCAACTGGATATAGAATCGAACCCAACGCACCTGTTCCCAGATCGCAGTCTTGCTGCCTAGTCCCTCGTTGGCATCCTTCTGTGGCTTTGCAGCGGCAACTTTGATGGTACGTCCGTAGATCTCGCTACCGTCCATATTGTCGATTGCCTCTTTGGCGTCTTGCGGCAAATCAAATTCCACATATCCAAATCCGCGATGAACTTCGGCCGAGTTGGGTTGGTCCGGTTTGGGCAGCGAGATATCAACAACTTCGCCGAATGGGACGAAAGCTTCTGCAAGTGTGTGTGCAGTCACTCCCTGGTCAAGACCTCCCACGTAGATCGTGCTCTTAAGCCGCGTAGTTTCGCTCATGATGTGTAGTTGCGCTTCGGGTGAAATTGATGGATCTTTGATTTGGGTGGCGATGTGATGAATTTGCACAGAATAGTACAAGAGCGAGGGAAAAGTTTTACGACAACAAAGAAAGCTTTTGTGTTCGAAACTCTGAATCCAAGCTGTATCTTGCTATCAGCCCAGAACGGAAGATTGATATCACGTGCAGGACCTCGGAGTGTTTTGGCGAGTCTAAAAGCGGTCTAGCGCCAGTTCCCCGGTCCCTCCAAGTCCAGGAGGCCACTTGGTTTACTGCTATACTTGGAACATCTAGAGCATCGCCCCATTGTCAATTATTCATAAGGGGTGGTTCTTGATCCCTCTTTTTACCCATATTACTTGAGTTTCATTGTTCCTTGGATGATACCTTTTACACACTCTATTGGTCTCGATCCTCACCAAAACATACCTCCCCTGCCATCATCATGGTGCGTCTGAGGGAAATCCCAAGGACGGCCACCTTTGCCTGGTCGCCTGGGGCTGCGTCGCCATTGATCGCTACTGGAACTCGCGCTGGTGCTGTCGATGCCGACTTCTCTAATAAGACATGCCTCGAGCTGTGGGATCTGGGCCTTGACCGCGAAGATGCCAGCGAGGAGCTGCAGCCGCTAGCTAAACTCGATACGGATTCTGGGTAAGTGGATATTTCAGAACTTCAATGAAGATGAGAATTCTAACAGATTAATGTAACTAGCTTCAATGATGTGGCCTGGACAACGTCCGAAGACAACAAACGGGGTGTGATTGCGGGTGGCTTGGAGAATGGTTCGCTGGAGCTGTGGGATGCTGATAAGCTACTTGCTGGATCTAGGTTGGTTAAACTCTACATATGAACCACACCCTGGGATAGCTTGCTGATCGTTCAATTTCAGTGATGCATTGATCTCGAGAACTACCAAACACAGCGGCGCTATCAAGACCCTTCAGTTCAACCCAAAGCACCCAAACCTTCTCGCAACTGGTGGCGCAAAGGGGGAGGTAAGCTGCGATTCGAGGATAACGGGTTGGATATGTGGCTAATTACTGGACAGCTGTTCATCTGGGATCTGAACAACATCGAGAATCCATTCCGGCTGGGCAACAACGCGGCCCGCACAGATGATATCGACTGCTTGGATTGGAATAGGAAGGTTCCTCACATCCTGGTCACTGGTAGCAGCTCCGGTTTTGTGACTGTCTGGGATGTCAAGACGAAAAAAGAGAGTCTGACATTGAACAACAAGGGCCGGAAGGCTGTCAGCGCAGTCGCATGGGACCCCGAGAGAGTATGTTGGCGCCTCATACATGCTTATTCCAGGATTGCTGACCATTTCCACTTCTAGCCCACCAAGCTTATTACATCGTCGCCCCTCGAGTCAGACCCAGTGCTATATGTCTGGGACCTGCGGAATTCACATGCCCCGGAGCGGGTAGGTTACTCTTTCAGAGGCCACTTATGACCCAATACTGATATGATTTGTATAGACACTCACCGGTCACGAATCCGGTGTGCTCTCACTTTCTTGGTGCGAGCATGATCCAGATCTGCTCCTGTCTTCCGGCAAAGATAACCGTAATATCTGTTGGAACCCGCAGACCGGCCAAGCATATGGAGAGTTCCCCGTCGTCACAAACTGGACTTTCCAGACCCGCTGGAACCCTCACAACCCGAACTTCTTCGCAACCGCGTCGTTTGATGGAAAGATTTGTGTACAGACTCTGCAGAACACGAAGACCGATAATGCCCAGGCCATTGCCGATCACAACCAAGCCTTGGACGGCGAAGACTTCTTCAACAAGGCGCAAACGCAACCCCAAGTCTCCAAGTTCTCTCTCCCGAAGGCCCCCGCTGGCTTGAGCGGCCCTGCGGTGCTACTTTTGGCTTCGGAGGTCGGGTTGTTTCCTTCGGACTGACCGAGAAGGGCTCTCGTACATCCAGTATCAAAATCACATCATTCGAGGTTGATGAAAGCGTTGGCAATGCCACCGAGAGCTTTGAGACTGCATTGAAAGAGGGCGATATTCGTACTCTCTGTGAGTCGCGCGCTTCAAGCGCTTCCAGTGAAGCAGAAAAGGCAGACTGGAAGGTTATGCAGGCTTTGATTTCTGAAAACCCACGCAAGGGCTTGGTGGAGTACCTGGGATTCCAGGATCAGGCTGATGAGGCCGCCGATAGTCTCGCGCAGCTTGGTTTAGGCAAGAAGGAAGGCGAGAGCACCAATGGCGCTGCCGCCAAACCCGCTGGGGCTAAGAAGCACAAGCGTTTGCAGTCCATGTTTGATGCCAACCCCGAAGGTGACAGTTTCCTTTCCGAACTGGCTGCTTCCAAAGGTGCTCAAACCAACAACCCATTCCAAATTTTCAATGGCTCGGAAAGCCAGGCAGAGCAACAAATTACTCAGGCCTTGCTCCTTGGAGAGTTCGAGAAAGCTCTGGATGTTGCCCTACGGGAGGATAAGATGTCCGATGCTTTCATGATTGCGATTTGCGGTGGGCCAAAGTGTATCGAAAAGGCGCAGGAATACTACTTCTCCAAGCAGTCCGCCGGCCCGAACTATATGCGCTTGCTCGCATCCATTGTGGGTAAGAACCTGTGGGATGTCGTGCACAATGCCGACTTGTCCAACTGGAAGGAAGTTATGGCTGCCTTGTGCACCTTTGCCGACGAGAAGGAATTCCCTGACCTCTGCGATGCTCTCGGTGATCGCCTAGAGGAGCAGATCCAGAACAGCGATGATAAGAGCGCCCGCAAGGATGCTTCTTTCTGCTTCTTGGCAGGCTCGAAGCTTGAGAAGGTTGTAGCCATCTGGGTTGAGGAGCTCCGCGAGAACGAGCAGAAAGGGATTGAAAGCGACACTGACAACTCTTCCTTCTCCATCCATGTCCGTGCTCTGCAAGGCCTGATCGAGAAGGTTACCATCTTCCGCCAAGTCACCAAGTTCCAGGATACCGAGCGGAACAAGGACTCAGATTGGCGCTTGAGCGTCTTGTACGACAAGTACATCGAATATGCTGATGTTGTCGCTACCCATGGACGTCTGGAAATTGCTCAGAAATATCTCGACCTTGTCCCTGAGAAGCACCCCGAAGCTGAGGTGGCGCGCAACCGCATCAAGCTTGCCACGAGACAGGCGCCCCAGAAGGCCCAGGCCGCTGTCGGAGCCAAATCTTCCTTCAAGCCCCTCCCGCAACAGCCCAGTTTGTACCAGCCGCAGCAAAATTACAACCCTCCTGCTACTGCAACACCAGCTGCTCCTTCTAACATTTATGCGCCTCCTGCCCCTGCTGTTCCCCAGCAGACTAACCCATATGGCCCTCCAACAACCTCCTCGCCAGCTCCGCCTGCCAACCCCTACTCTGCTTATGGGCCAGCAGCCGGATATCAGCCAACTCAGGGCATGAGGCCTACTGGTTATACTGCACCATCTCCATTCGGCGGACAGCAGCCCACAGGTGCTGGTGTCCCTCCCCCTCCTCGTGCGTCATCTAACCAGTCGCCGGCCAACACAATCACAACATACACCACGGCCACTGGTCTACCTGCATGGAATGATTTGCCCGAAGGCTTTGCGAAGGCTCCTACTCCCCGCCGTGGGACTCCTGCCTCATTCTCTGCACCTATCGCATCTCCTTTCCCTAACCAGTCACCGAATCCGACTCAGGGACCTCCTCCGGCGGGTGCTCCGCGCGCACCATCCGTGCCTCCCCCACCAAAGATGGGCTCGGTGCCTCCGCCGCCGCGCATGATGTCGCCGCTATCGGGTGGCCAGGGTGTATCTAACATCCCCGGGCCTTCCCCACCACCCCCTGCCAACCCATACGCTTCTCTCCCCCAGTCACCGCCGTTGAATCAGGGGTCAACTATGGCTCCCCCGGCATCGATTCCCCGCGGAGCGTCGCCCTACAATGCTCCTCCTAACATGCCACCCCCAACCAACCGGTATGCACCAAACCCGGCTACCCAGGCTGCAAACCAGCAAATGCAAGCTCGAGGCCCGGTGGCTCCGCCTCCCCAGGCCGCTGCATCTCCATACGCCCCACAAGCAGTATCACAACCACCCGCGGCGAACCCATATGGGCCCACCACGCCTATTGCTACACAGCCTCCGCCTATGGCCCAGGGTGTCCCGCCGCCGCCTCAAGGACCTCGACCTCCCACAGCCCAGTCGCAGCGGCCAACCCCTCAGGCTCCCAAGTATCGTGAGTAATCCAGTTAACAATACCTGATTCCACCCAATTAACCCTTTTACAGCCCCTGGTGACCGTTCGCACATTCCTGCAAACGCACAGCCTGTCTACGAGATTCTATCTGCAGACATGCAGCGCGTCAAGACCCGGGCCCCTGCGGCATTCAAGGTCCAGGTTGATGATGCTGAGCGCCGCTTGAACATCCTCTTTGATCACCTCAACAACGAGGATCTGCTCAAGCCTAACACCGTTGAGGACATGGCGGACTTGGCCCGCGCACTCCAGCAACGTGATTACGATACCGCCCTCGCTATCCACATTAATATCATGACCAACCGCACTGATGAATGTGGCAACTGGATGGTGAGTGAATCTTGGCCCTACAAATTTTGAGCGGTCTCTAACATGTATAATTATAGGTCGGTGTGAAGCGACTGATTAGCATGAGCCGTGCTACTCCGTAAATGACACCTTTGTACCTTGTCGAGTGGAGAGAATGCTAAAGGCTTGGTATAACTTATGTATTTCTGGCCTTGTTTTCTCTATACTTCAGCGTTTTGATAAATTTTCTCTTTTCACTTGTCCATGTTATAATTAATGTCTTGCGTATTTTCTTCCGTTCCTCTTTGCTCCTGGGGATATATGTCCAATCATGAGGAAAGCGAAAGATCTCCCAACATTTCTTGAGTGTGGTTGATAGTATTAACTGCATGATGCCTTTTTATTCAAAATGCTAGCTAGACATAAATCAAATGAGGATATGGATTTCGCTATACAGGTCAACGAAATGTATATATTAGGGTCCCAGGCAATAATTTACTAGATGCAATCAAATAAATGAAGATATAAGCCCGTGTAACTCTAGGTCAACCACCTAGAGGACCTATTGAAATCTATATACATCCATACAATCGAACCAAATCCCCACGATCTAACTCCATCACCGTCCACGGACGGGAAGACCACCAAGTCGTCCGCCCCGGCTAGCAGGGAAGTTACGCGCACTCAACAGCGCACCCTTCACACCACGAATATCAGCCCTAAACCCAGCAATAGCCTCATCCTCCGCCTTCCGCAGACCAGAGCTATCACTTGAGTTATTGGGACTCCAGACCCCATACGCCGACCCAGATGAGTATGTAGGACCACTATAAATCAACCCATCACAGTACTGATGTAGCTCCGTGAGCCGAGTGCGCATAGAGTCATCTAGCGTACTCGCATTCTTCTCCTCGTCGATAATCTCGCGTAGCTTCGAGGTAATAGACTCAACGCGGCTGACGTGGGTGTTGACCGCCGTCGATGGAGAGAAGGCCGCCGAGTCCGCCGAGTTGATGGCGCCGGTGGTGCTGGAAACTGGAGTGGGCTCTGGACTTGTCTGCGTTGCGACATCCCGGTGGAACAGCTCAGTTGGGTCTGAGGTGATTGACGAAGCGTCGTCATCTTCGTCGCTGTAGGGCTTGATCTTCCGAGCTGTTAACTCAGCCGGGATCACGGATACAGTCTTCTCCAGTTTCTCGTTTAGCTTTTGCAGGTTCGTTTCTGCTGTGCTAGCGAGCTCGTATCGTGCGCTCGTCAGGTTCGCTAGCATTGGTTTCACTAGGTACTCGCTTGCACCGTAGAGACTTGCTCCTAGGCCGGCAGCGCCATATAGTGTGTACAGGAGATTGCGCATTGTTACAAGGGGAGGTGGTTTGGATGACTCGAAGAGGAATTCGGGGTAGGTGATTATTGGGGGGACGTCGCGGGAGGCGGGGGTTGGCGCTGGTTTTGGTTGCGATTGAGGCATAGTGTTGGAGGATGATGAAGAGGTAACAGGAAGAGAGGGGGTGGGTTCAGGTTGAGTAGGTGAAATAGATGGTGTGTCTTCCTGTGTTTTGTCCTTGGCCACGGTTGAGCTATTGGTCGCCTCTGCATTGCGGGAGACGCCGAGGACCTGCTCGATATCGTCTGAGTTTAGGCCTTTCGACTCAAGGAATGAGACCTTGCGGTCTGTTGGTGCATCGCGGATTGACTCGTCTTCTAGAAATTTGGATGCTTGGTCTAGGAGAGCTTGTCGGGATGTGGAGGCTGTAGTTGCGGGCGCATCGTTGGAGGTCGGTGATGGCGACTCATCGACCGTCTCATTGGCCCTCTGCCATGAGGGGATAGATGCTGATTTGGATGTGTCGTCAGGCATTATTAGGCGTCTGACACATTTGCCAGAAATATGAGAAAGCAAAGGAGTTGGAAGGTTGTAAAGAGGAGAAGGAACCTTCCCCGGACTTGGGGGGCCATGTGAGTCCCGACCTCGGCTGTTACAACGTCGACACCTGAGGCATCAATATTGCCGTACATGCTGAAGATCACAATGATATTTGTTCATATTGTACTAGAATATGATAATCATATTATCCAAGAACAATCCGAAATGTAAATTGTATTTTCCATTGTATCTAGGTAGCTATATCTAGATATCTAAATATCCAAAGTGGAAAACAAAAGATACCTGCATCGTTTTGATCCCGAAAATAGACTGTATGTAAGACGAAGCCTTACCACCTGACTCCAGCTCCAATTGAAGTCTATAGAGCCCTCTACATCAATTAATTTTATATTCTAACTGGAGAGATCAATTGAATATTGAAACATCATCACCAAATAGTTCAAATGGCATCCGTATATAGTCGAGACCGCCCGGCAGAACGGACCGCGCAGTACTTCATTTGTTCATCCAGCGTCAGCGACTGGACACCTAGAGAATCCGAAACTTTAGAGAAAAGTACCTGTGAGTATGGTGTTTCCCCGTTGATCATGTTTTGTGTTCCTTCCTATCTGCCCAAGGCCGTGGGGCGTTCGTTAGACTCCGAACATAGGGAAGACAGGAGAAAACAACCCCCAAAAGTCTGATCCCCTGTAACAGTGCGCTTTGTTCGCACTGTAAAAATCCCCTATAGAAAGGAGATCTGTATCTTCCCGGTTTGCAACTCCGCCTCACAATCAGTGGATGAAGTGATTGGGCGGATATCTTTCCTTTCTTCTCTCTCGCTCTTCAGGCTTCCCCCCCTCTCCCAATGGCTTAATGGCTTAGTTCATACTGCCACACACTTGCCTATCAACCTCCCCTGTCCCGCTTCTTTTTGCTGTTCTGTTTTTTTTTTGGCGTTTTCACTTTTCCCGAGACTTCTGTCACACCTGATAAAGCCACCATGTCGCTCCGTCGATCTCTTCGATCACGAAAGACACAAGATGACACCCCGGAACCAGAGGCTAACATGACCACCAGGTCTACGAGACAAACTCGCGCCTCTACTTCCGCATCTGCCTTAGTCTCGGTCTCTCGGTCTTCATTGAATTCAGAAGATCGAAATAGATCTCTCCGTCTTACTGTCAAAATGCCCTCCAGCAAATTACGGGAAGCTACCGGTGCTGGTCGCGCCGCTGGACGGCGCTCCGTTAATGTGTTCCGGGAAGATCCCATTGTTTCGGGACCCCGCTCCAGTCGGAACCGAAAGAAGATCGTAGAAGTTGCTACAAGCGACGAGGAGGAAATCGACGACCAAGAAGAGGACGAAGTCGATGATGAGGATGCGCCTGGAGATGATGACGACGATGAAGATGCTGACGCTGACGCTGATGCTGATGCTGACGGCGACATCGATATGGATGACATGCCTCCTCAGCCGCCTACCAGGCGTGGTAAGATCAGTCCTCCTTCTCGCACCAAGCCTCCCAAGAGTGTGGAGGCCAAGGAGATGGAAATGGAAGAAGACGAAGATGATGAAGATGAAGATGAGGAAGAGCCTATCTCCGATACGGACGAAGATGCCGAAGCCGAGGGCGAAGATCAGGATGAAATTGCAGTTCCGGACGTCAATGTTGATGATCTAGATGAACTCGACGAAGAGGATGAAATAGACGACGACATGGATAGTGATGCCCTCGCTATGCAAAGTGGCAAAACCACCAAGCGCCAGCGAGGAAATCTGGGAAATGATTTCTTGCAGCTACCTATGGGTGAGAAACTATAGATGATTGGCAATTTGTTGCAGCAGAAGCTAACTGAGAAATAGAGCCCCAGGTCAAGAAGCATTTGACCGCCGAGGAGCGCCAGATGCGTCGTGCAGAGATGGCGCGGCGAAGAAAGAACCTGAGTGAGAAGCGGAATGAAGAGGAGAAGGTATGCGCAAACGTCACTTGAAACACCCATGGGAGAACGACTGCTAACTCCAAACAATAGATGGATACAATTAATCGACTGCTGAAGAAGCAGGCCCCCAAGCGGCGTGGTCGACAGGCGGCTGAGGCGGCTGATGGCACCCCCGGCCAAGAAGGCGCGGAGACTGAGAAAGCCGACCCCACACTGGTGCGATGGATCAGTGGTCCAAATGGTTGTAAAGTCAATGTGCCAGAAGAATGGCTAGGTACACCTGCTGGTCGTGTCTTCGGCGCACCTACCGTTCCTGCGGGGAAAATGGTTGAAGAAGTTTGATATCCCATGCGGAAACTACAACGGATTGGCGCTTATGGAAGGATTTTCTACTGAGGTATTCGGGAATGGATTACATCGTTTGTAAGGGACTAGGGTTGATTTTCTGCGTTTCTGCGTGCTCTGCGAACGGCGTTGAAAACATGCCTCTTCTAAATTTCAGGTTTTAAAGGTCATGCAATAGTTAATACATCGACTGTTTCAAATGTCTTCAGATACATATTGATATGCCGAGAAAACCGGCTTGTATATTCAATTAGTCGGAAACCCCCGCTTGTACGCGGGATAACCAATTTTGGCACCATTAAGTACTCTACCCTTAACTACTTAGGAAATGTCTGTTGCGCCAGTTCCATATATACAACGGCCTCCAGGGCCGGCCACAAGACCTGAAAAGCGTGGCATAGCGAGACATCTGGTGTTGTATGCGCCAGAGCCTAGCAGCGCGAGGAAGAGAATGGTTCCCAAGTATAATGCGCAGAGAATAGACTACTGGCGCAATCATGCTTGGTGGTACTCGAGCCAGTTCAGTGTTCAGAATGCCACTTCAAGGGAAAGCGAAGTCATCGTCATTGAGTCGTTGACTTGTGATCTTGCTGAACGTCGGCTTTGGTGGGAGCATTGGTGTCCTGCTTCAGAGAAACAGGATCAGACAAAGTTGAGGTCTTCTGGGAGTGTTCTCTCTCATATTGAAGTTGCTGGAATGTCGGTTGGAAGGTATAGTAGCCTGGAGCAGATAGAAAAATTCGAGATTAGGAACTTATACCAGACATGACTTATTCCTGCTGTAGAGTATATTTACCTGTGAATATACCCACGCCAATAGCGAAGATGGCAGGGAAGAAATTGCGACTCATTTCGAAGGAATTGGGGTAGACGGCGAGATTTGCAATTGGGGAGGTTGCGGAGGTGATGCAGCCCCAAGGGAAAACGGTTATCAGCTGGCTGATTAGCAGCCGGCGCGTCTGTTAAATTGCTCCGTTTGGCACGCGTCGGAATCAAATTCCTTGCATTCAGATAGTTTGAGCAGTTGTTCGACGTTTGGTTCCTTTGAGTTTCACGAATTTTAACCCGGCACTTATTTCGCCCACGTTTTTGATCGCCCTGAGGCCACTCAATGACTGTTTAGAGACATGGGGGATTCCCGCCAAGGATGCAAATGGAATCATGGCGACAACGAGGATATGTCCCTGACTCGGACGAGGAAGATGGGTTTGATTCTCTAGATACGAAGAATGGCAATGTCGAAAATAGCCTTACTATCGAAAATCTCGACTATATTGACAACTCTTCATCATCGCCGAAGGAAGGGACGACGAGTGCAACGAAGGAACAACGGGCTGAGAATGGCTCCATCACACTCTCAGATACAGAGGAAGGGCTTCGCCGCAACACGAGTCGAGCAAGTCCTCACTTTACAAATGCAGCACATGACGAAACGACACCAAAACAAAGAAGAGGACGCAAGACTTACGGACTTCGATCGTCGGCTACGAAATCGACCAATCGCCACAGCGGCGAGCTGCATGATACCCATGCCCCCACAAAGGGTAAAGGTAGCATATACGACTTCCCGGAGTCATCACAGGAATATGACAGGTCTCAATCAAAGCCCTTGAGTCGCGAGTCTACGCCGAAGCCGTTGAAGACCGCACGGCCATCGCAATCACAAGTTATAGCAGAACCGCACACCTCAGAGGCCAAGACACAGGATGGTATCTCAAGTACTCGGAGCTCCTCACCTGACGAATTAGTATTGATCCCTCAGCCAGTCCGAAAGAAGAAACCCTTGGCCCAGCATGTCCAGCCAACGGAGGCGCCACTATTACCACCACCACTATCACAAGAGATATCAGAAGATGACTCACCATTATCTTCTGTACCGTCATCCTTTGGCTCCCCGCCGGCCAAAGATTCTACGGAAATACATGAAGATGGTGTGATGGAGGCAGAACCAGAAAGACCGGCAGATAAGGAGGCAGATTCACAGAAAGCAGTGCTCGTTGAACTAGATGCCAACCCCGATGTATTACCTCAGCTTGATATTCCCGAAGAAGTGTTGCGAGAATTACCGCATGCTACGCAAAGAACATTCCGAAAGCGCAATGCCATTCAGATGCACCCATACCATCTGGAACAGCTCAAGTTTGCCCAGCAACTGCAAGCGCGGGGTGTCAAGCCTTTCGGTCGACCTCCACAGCAAAGACAGCAGGTTACCGATGAAAGTCAAGGGCAGGATTCATATGATCCCGATGCACCTCCGTCAAGTCCTCCTCTTGAAGAGTATCTTCCGCCGATAAGACATGAACGACATCGTGGCGCACAATCTGCTGCGCAAGGGCAAGAATGCAACGACTCAGAGCGTTCTAGGCTACCGCAAGCCCATCTGACAAAGCGTCAGAAGACTTCTCATTCTGGAACCCCGAAAGAAAATCGAAATCTACACAAACCGTCTAAGCCTCGTGGCATTAGAGACAAAAATAGAGCTACTGGGAATCAAAACAGTATTTCTATCTATGAGCTATCATCTAGCCCCCCACACGCAGGCCGTTTATCTTCGTCCTCAAGAACCCCTCGTGCCTCAGAGGGAGGGTTCCGGTTCCCTCGTGGGTGGTCGCCGCCAGGAGAAGTTACAAAATCCGGGGCACAGGAAACAGAACAAGCCGGCGAGATCCAATCGCCTGGTGCGGGTACCGATGATGATAATGATGATGAAGAGGAAGTACAGTCCATCTCGTCCAACAGCCAGAGTGATCAAGAAGAAACCAAGTCAGATGCTGAAGAACGTGAAATTCGACGATTCCAACGAATGATCCGGGGAGCGCTGCCTGCGTCACATGCGCGACTGAATCTGAAGAAAAATGCAGATAAGGAAAAAGCTGCTCAACTAGATCGCCATGCTTTATTACAACGACCGGATGGAAAGGGCGTTGCGCGGAAGCTCATTCGAAGGGGTGATCGCTCAAGGCAACTAGCAACGCAACAAGCAAGAGGCTTGTTTGATCTTGGAGATTCTGACTCGGACGATGAGGACAACCATAATGGTGTCACAGGACATGTCTCTATACCTGATGACTCCAGTCAGAGGTTGACTGACACCCTTGGCCTCGAAGACCCTTTCGCGCTGGAAGAGGGTGATATATCCGAGGATAATCGCGTTGACTACATGTTTGCGTCTGTTCCGCGCAACTCAACAGGTTCTCGGCACAAAACAAATAGTTTAAAGAGGCCGAAATCGAAACAAAGTTTACTTAATGGGGAGAGACAGCCCAAGAGGCCTCGACAAACCCGAATGACCGATGCCTCATATGGAACACGAAGGACCAAGAAACCCTCAACTGCGCAGCGCCCAAGAATAGGAATCTTGGATGCGCCAGATGTTGCCGCAAAGCCTCGCAAAGAGCAATCGCGACTGCTTCGGGTAGCGACAAGACGACCACGCTCACGCAAAGATGGGGGTAGGCAAAGTCCCACTCAGAAGTTTGTGAAACTGGCCTCAAGGGAGGACACAGTGGATGCAAATGAGACTTTGCGGGATTGGAAAAGGGGAGCGATCCAACAGGCTAAGATTAGTCCACCTCGTCCCAGAGCTCGCCAGCACCGACATTGGACAACAAATCTTTCAATTCTCAGTGCTCGGGCTAAATCGAATGCCAAAAATGGCCGGATACCGAACCTATTCCTCGATGCAGAGGTAGACGCCGATGTTTCGGACATCGACACAGTGGAACCGGAACAGACACAGGAACCACCTGAATCTAGCGCAGTACCAGTCCTGCCAAACCAAGCCTCAGTGGCCGAGCCCTTGCCACGTCGAAAACCAGTGCAACACGGTCACACGTGGGTTGTTCCTAGAAATCTTGCCATAACATCTTTGAAGAGGAACACAATGAGGCCTGCGGCAACTAGTTTGGCAGGCCCTGATAGAAGCCAAAAAGTGCTTCCCGCCATGTTCAACCAGTCATTGTCTATTCTTAACCGACACTATAAGAATCAGCGCACATCTCGACCCTACAAGCCTAGCCTGACCTTGGATCGATATGTGTCCGACAGTGGATCGTTGAGTACTAGAGGCAATTCCTCGCCCAAGCATGCTTCTGTTGCTGCTGCTGTTGCCGCTTCGGCTGAAGTAAAAACTCAAAGCCCAATTCAAAAAGCCCCTGTATATCGACGGCGTTCGAAGAAGCATCTCCCCAACCGAATCAATCTTGATGCCGATGAATTCCGTCACAATCCAGATCCTGCTACCATAGTCTTCGATGACCCGGAACCGCCTACCATAACGGACGCCGCAAATGCACGTCCTTCGTCTTTCAGCGTCGGCGGTCTTTTCAACTGGCAACGCTTTTATCCGGTCGACTTTGGAGTGCCGTCCCTACGTGACAACACATTCTTCCATGAGACTACATTCATAGGAAGCGGGGAATTTTCTCGTTCATTGCGAATCACAGAGCGGGACTTCGATGGGGATGCTACTTTATTCCCGATTCAGCTCAGAGACAAGACATTCCAATGGGGTCGCTGGAACGATGCAGTATCATCAGAGATGGGGCAGGTCTTCGATGTCATAATCGATAATGTTGAGCGAAGTGCTGTTACCTCCCCAGAGACGGGCATGACGGCTGCTCTAGGTGTGGCATCGAGGCTATACAGGTTGTTGGTCAAATACATTACTCAAAACCTAGCTTTCATCGACCCAGTTGATCGTACGGGGTTTGTCACTAGAGCAATTGGCCTGGTCTCCCAGGTGAGAGACCCGTTGGCTGCCTTTCTGACTAGCGAAGAATACAACAAGAGCGGACTCGTCAAGATTGCTTGCTTCAACATGATTTTCTCCAACCAGATCTATCAAATTGCTTCTCATCGGCTCGTCAGCCCTGCGCTTGCGACCGAAGCTTTGGATCTTGTTAAAATATCCGCTAAAGATGTCGCAGGCTTGATCACGTCCAGAGTTGGTTCTTCCGAGTTTAAAACATTGTTCAAGGAAAACAACGAGCCTGAACGCCGGGAGTTGGGGTTGCGCGATGAATATCCATCGGTGGAGGCTTACGTCGTCACCAAACATCTTCTACGCAGCTCAGACAACTACAAGGGCTGCTTTGAAGATATCCAGCTTGAGACTTTCAACAATGGAATTATTCGCAATGAAAGGGACGTAGGCAGCTTGGAGGCTGGATGGCGTGGGATATTCACAGTCTTGCCCTTCAACGAAATAGATCTGCTTGGGATTGCGCGCCCTGGTTACCAGTTGACAGCTACCAATGACAATTGGAAATTAGCCAAGCGGCTTCTCGCCCCAGCTCTGGACCATTTTGAGTCCAACTCTAAGACACAACCCATCTCATACAACAGCTACTGTCGAACCTTGTTCCTTAGATGTCATCGGCTTATCAATTCATGGGGGTGGAGAGAATGCAAACCTATTCTGGACACGCTATTCGACTTCTTCGCAAAGAACACACTCCACAACCTGAAACTCGAGGACGCTCGTGGCTCGCCTTCATTTCTTGACGAACTTGATAGCAATCCTTCTCTGGATGTCCGGGTGGGGGAACCGTGTTTCCACACATTTCTCAAGATCGTAGCAAGCGGTCTCCGCTTTTTGGCGAAGAGATATGACAAGAAAAAGATTCGAAACTTTGCCTGGCGTCTGCTGCCTAATCACGGCCGTGTATACCCGAAAGAGCAGCCATTGCAGCACGAGGACCTCGATGCACTAAGAAATCACCACGATCTCCTCAGCACCCTGTACTGGGCTGTTCCCGATGGGTGCCGTCCTCGGCTTGAGACGATACGCAATCTGGTCCATCCTGCCACTTCACATCGTGAAGCGTGCAGTATCAATTTGCGCGCATGGTCAAGGCTTGTTCGATTCAAGCTTTCCACGGATGAAGAGGTTTCGGGGCTGGATCCATTTGGAGACTGGTATGGCTATTTCGTTACAGAGCTGCAACAACAGCATTCATATGCTCGCAAAGAGATCGAGGCTCAAAATACAGGCGACAATCGGGTTTCTCAACAGCTTGTTGAACGCACAATCTCGCAGAACCAGCGGCAGATTGAGACCTTGCTGAGCAATGCGCTTAGCGGGCTGCGGATTGCTGTCCAGCTAGCTCCGAAACTGGAGCATGCACACAGGCTTGTTCTGAGAACTCCTTTCGAGTCTATCCTTACACTTTTCAACCCCAAGCTCCCGCGCGTGAACGTCGTTGTATCTGAGGCACTGCGAGTCCTGGTAGTGTACACTCAGAAAGACGTTCCAGCTACATCCACATCAGATGCTCCTGCGGCAGTGGCTACTGATGAGGACAGCCAGGAGTTCGGTGATTGGGATGCCATTCAGGCTGTTTGGGACCAGCAAAGTACCCCAAGTGAAGGTATTGAACATGTAGAGAAATTTTTCCATCCGATTGTTTCTCGTCTTGTTTCGAACTGCTTTGGCGAGGACCACTGTCCAGAGGATGCGATTCTTCTCAGTGTGGTGGAATGCTGGACATCAATCGCCCAGGTTCTTATTCGCCATGGCCTCCGAAATTGGGACAATTATTTGAGCGAGTTCGGTGATGATTCCTGGACGCGGCTTCGGCAGACAGTCCAGACAAGAAAGTTTGCACCGCTGTTCCTTGCGGCATGCATTGAAAAGGACGCACAGATTATTTCTGACTGCCGAACTCAAGTTATGAGTATGTGGATGTCATCGCTGGTAGAGCGCTCCTCAATGTTCAAGTTTCAACATCGTCTCACGGAGGCGCTTTTGAATGGAAGTCCAACGGATCCCTTGCTTGCCAATCTCCCGTTCTCTAAGGATAAGAAAATTGGCCGGTATACGGTCACAATGGAGGAAATTAGCTCTCGGCGACTATCTCTCCTCTCGAGCCTATCGTCTAATATGCGCGAGCAGCTCCAGGAGATGGAACTTTCTGGCAATCGAAACTTCACTATGACAAAGCAGGAGTACTCCGAGATACTTCAGCGGGTGATGACTTCCATGAAAGACAACTACCAAGAGCTAGGCAATGGAACAGTGCAGGCCGCTCAGGGGGAATACGTCGAATTTGTGCAACGCGTCATCGGTTTCCTCCAGCAACACACCAGTGATATCAAACCCATCGACCCCTTCTTCACGGACCCTGCTTCGTTCCCTTTGCCATCTACGGACCCACGCTACATTGTTGCGAAGCTCAAACGCTACGAGTCGAAGTTGTCTTCCAGCAAAGAGATCCAGACCTTGATCGGCTTCGTCCAGAGCATTTCCGAGCGCGCTGCCATTGATGGCCAACAGTGCTATCTGGTTGACCAACTGCACACCTCGATGAAGAATACCTACGAATCTGGAGACAACGAAAAACCCACTCTCCGCGCCGTTCTTTTGCAATGCGTGTTTCCAGCGTATCTCGAAGCGACTCTTCCCAACCGCGCCGCCTGGATTCTCAGCCGTCCTATCATCCAGATCATCACACTGGAGTTCAAGAACCTGCTGTGTAACATAGATACTCTGGATGCAGCCTGTGTCTCTTCTGTCATTGATATCATTGATGTTGTGTGCCGAGCCTCGTGTCAAGCACTGGGTGTGGTCGCATTCCGTCGCCATTGTCTGCAAACTCCTACGACTTTACTCATGCTTGCCGCCTTCCTAGACATGATCTCCTCGGCGCTGCCAGTGGTAGATTACATCGATCGAGCCACTAACGCAGGAGAGAGTATTATCACGCACATCGAGTGGATCCGCGATTTTACCAATGTCGTGAGTACATGTCTTCAGAACACAGATCTAGACACAGACTCGCCCTCGAGCAATTCCCATATCACATTCCCTGCGACATCCCCGCCGTCTGATAGCAGGAAAACCGAACTCTTCGGGACGGCTAACACCCTCGCCTCGAATGACCTCCAGCTCTATCTCAGAAAATGGTCTCATCATCAGGATAAGTACTACTTTACTCGACCTGGTCATGAGTCACAGGAAATCACAATCGAGCCTGAGATTGCGGCTCTGGTGGCTAGTCCAAGTGAAACGGAAAAGGTCTTTGAGAATGCGGCGAGGGGATTCTTTGCTCGTGCAAATGCTCTGGAGTTGTTGTTTTGACTAAGTGGTGGTTCTTTTAGGTCTTTGTATACATGGTGTTATTGGGGGCAGTTTTAATGTGTCACGAATATTAGAAAAGAATCAATAATGTTATCTTGTGTTATATTGACAATATTGCTGCTATAGCCTTCGGGTTCCAGTGCACCTCTTACTCTGTATACATAATTTGGTTAATCGGATAATAAGGACTACCGCTGAGAAGAAGCCGGGCCATGCATGCATTATGCCAATGGGTCCAGTGCAAATAGCCCGGAATCAATCAGGGCTGCATGCACGAGACTGGCCTGGATATGCAGGTCACCATGGAATGCAATCTCCGTTGACTGACATGATCTAGAGCCCCCTTCATTTGCCTGTGTCTCATGTCCAATCTACAATACTATGTTATTCCTCCGCGGCGCGTTTGGCATGTTCTGATAGTATTTCGAGGTAATTAGCGTTTTTTGCAAGTCGATTCCCCCGTGATAGATTGTTTCGTCATTTCTAACCTCAGTCATGTGTATAGCACACGAGTAGAAACCTATCCGTCATTTGTCAAACGTACCCTGAATAGCGATATCGGTGGTGATATATGGCTCGACTTGTGCTGGTCATTTTCATACGCCCAGCACATTTATTTGCCTCGATCAGCTGGCGTATAAAGTTTGATTTGAGAATAATGCCTGTGATAGATAGTCCTCTCACAGAGCACTACTGTAGCATTCTTTCAACCTCCAACCCGATTGAGTCCGTTTCTGGAGCATCATAGCTCGACAGGCACTGGGCAGGTACCAATGCCATATGCTGCAAAAGCAAAATAGAGATGAAACAAAGAGTGGAGTCACAGGGAAAATATGCGAATACTACACAATCTCACGTGGATTTGATTGTTGTCGGGTGTTACAACATTCTTGTCCGGGAAGAGAGAACAAGTTTTATACTCGCCGTTTAAGTTAGTATCCAAGGTTTATATTGGTATTTCAGTTGTCTCGCTTTATTTGTTTCGAGTTTAGTTCATTTGGGAAGTATAATATCAATTGAGGGTGAACTATATAATCCGTTAATGGACCTCGGAAATTCACATCATCAAGAAATCAACTTATAAAATAGCAATTATGATTTGGAAACCTCTCTTTAGCGTTGCAGCCATATTGGCACATATTTTCCTAGCTTTAGCTGCCCCAACTCTCAATTCAGAGTTGACTAGTCAGTCGCCAGAAAAATATGTCTTCGCCCACTTCATGGTTAGTATACTAGCACCTGAATACTTCCCATCCCCATCATTGACATAGATCCAATGTATCTAGGTCGGTATAGTAAAAGACTACCAGCTATCAGATTGGAAAGAAGACATGACTATAGCCCAATCCATCGGCATCGACGCATTCGCACTAAATTGCGCAAGCATAGACAGCTATACACCAACTCAACTAGCCCTAGCCTACGAAGCAGCACAGCAAGTCAACTTCAAAGTCTTTATCTCTTTTGACTTCGCCTATTGGAACAACGGGGACACAGCGAAGATCACAGAATACATGAAACGATATGCAGGCCACCCATCACAAATGCAATACAAGGGAGCTGCGGTGGTAAGTACATTTGTCGGAGACAGTTTCAATTGGGATGCAGTAAGACAGGGTACACCACATCCCATATACGCATTGCCAAATCTCCAAGATCCCGCCGAGGCTACCACCGGCCCTGCCAGAAGCGCTGATGGTGCTTTCTCGTGGCTTGCTTGGCCTACGGATGGGGGAAATAGCATCATCCCAGGGCCGATGACGACCATCTGGGATGATAGATTTGTTCATTTCCTTGCGGGAAAATCCTACATGGCTCGTTAGGAACCCTTGAATCGAGTTTTGGTATTTGAATGAATAGCTAATTCAATGACAGCCGTTTCACCTTGGTTCTCAACTCACTTCAACACCAAAAACTGGGTTTTCGTCTGCGAGAACCTGCCAACATTACGGTGGGAACAAATGCTTTCCCTAAAGCCAGATCTAATTGAGATAATTACATGGAATGGTATATCAACAGGCTATTCTCAGAGAATTCCCCAGAAATGTCTCTGCTGATCGCAGTTATATATAGACTACGGCGAATCCCACTACATCGGCCCGTACTCAGCCCATCACGACGACGACGGCTCTTCCCAATGGGCAGCCAATATGCCCCACAACGGCTGGCGCAATCTATTCAAGCCGTACATCGCAGCCTACAAATCCGGAGCAAACGCCCCTACCGTGGAAGCGGATGAAGTTGTTTACTGGTACCGACCTACGCCTAAGGGCGTTGTGTGCACGGGGGATAACCTCTCAGCGCCGATGGGTGCTGGCATGCTCAGTGATAGTATTTTTGTCGCGACTATGTTGACGAGCCCGGCTACATTGACTGTGCAGAGCGGTAATAATTATCCTGTTAGCATTGATGTCCCGGCCGGAATCGTTACTTCGAATGTGACTATGGGGGTTGGTGGCCAGTCCTTCAAGGTGACGAGGAATGGACAGACGATTCTGAGTGGCCAGGGAGGTTTGGCTGTTAAGAATAGTTGTGTGCATTATAACTTCAATGTTTATGTTGGGTCAATCACGGGGGAGTCAACGGTATTCGTAACTCGACTGGGGATTAGGAAGTAGCATCTGCCGATACTATGGAGCATGTCTTGGGAATGGGGCTTTGATTTGTAGATTCTAGCAGACTGCAGTTCGGAGAAATTTGGAACAACTCTGCAGTATCGAGACAATCAATACTGTTTTGGGCCTGGAAAGCCTTGGCCATCTCAATCTGCATCTAGCTTGATAGGATTTCTTACATGGTGTTGGCAATGCTCCCTGTCATGACCTTGTAGTAAGCCGAGGATTTGCACGTATTGTCGACAACGGTGTCGAATGTCTGCATTATTTTTGAAGTACTGGAGCCGCTCTCAGTGGTATAGAGCTGGGCTGCGCCGAGGGTGTTGTAGCCCAACAGGATAGGATATCTGCCGGTACCAGTGGCAGTGAACGTCCATAGGGCCAGAGCAGCATTAGAAAAGTTGGGCTTCTGGACTACTCACGCCGCGAGTTGTGGTTGCCGGGGTGGCGGTTGATATTAGTGTTGTAGTCGTGGTGGCAAGGACTGTTTGTGTGACGGTCACGTCGACTATGGAGGTTATGATGACTGTGCTTAGGGCATCAACGATCTACTGCATTGTAGTACCCAGAGAGCTTATATCGCCTCTCCGGCGTGTCAGCATGACTTCTGGGTCAAAAGCATGGGCATTCCAAGCGACACATCCATCAATATTGGGCGAACCCGCACGCCCCAGGCTTGGCCAGGCCCAAAGCCATCGGTATTTTCCGATGCTCAAATCAGAGCGAAATTCTTGTTCGGGTGTTTTGACTGGTTTAAGCGCCTATGAATACCTACCTAGGTAGGTACGCGAACTGTTAGTCATATGAGGCCCAAGCCCTCCTTGAGAGAAAACATGGAAAATCGAGGCTATCAACTAAGCTAGAAGTTCGCTAGTCACTGTATAAGATCAAATCAAACCAAATTACACAACAAATGGCATTTCTTCATTGTGCAGAGCTAGAAAGTAAATCAAACACCAGCACGCTCAGATTATGAACATACAAGAAAACATAAACAGAACCTCCAGGTAGACGCCAGATGAAGCCAGAGCAACCTAGCAAGGTGAAACAATTTCCTCCGTACTAGAGTTGATGACTATGCAATTACTTATGATCTTAATAGATAGTAATATCCATTTAGGCCGTCGGGCCAGTGGCACCGGCTCCGGCCCCAGTATCCTGGCTGCCGCGGCGATGGAAGGGATGCGTTCCAAAATGGAAGACTTTTTTCACAGCATTGGTAATGCTGTTCTTTCTCCTGCCCTGTGGCGCCTCCTCAGCAGCTGTGTTTTTCTTAGGCACGGATGCATCATCGGCAAGGACAATCGATGTCACAGCTGGCTTTGGTGGCCACTGCCCGTCTGATTTCCAGCCTTGTACCATGGCTTTGGTCAAATGGGCGAGGTTGACGGGGATGGTGGGGGTCATGCCTTGTACGACAACCTTAGTATAGATTGAAGGGTAGATTGCGGGATTGATGGTTGCGCGAACTGGGTTATCGTTTGAAATGAAAGGCGGGGCAACGGGGCAAAGTGGTTCGTCAAGCTCTTCTTCTTCTTTCTCTTCTTCTGTTTGGTCCTCCACAGCCGGTAAGGTTGGCCGAGTAGGCACGATTGAGGCAAGTTTCTGATCCGGCACTGTGATATTGGTATCTGACGAGATCTTCGGTTTAGCCCCCTCGTCTGGCGTGGTAGACAATCCTTCCTCCTGATCTTCTTGCTGTCCGGAAGTCAGATCTGCTCGATGCTGGAGCTCCTCACTTTTCTCCCGATCCGCGATAGAGAGTGACGTGTTGGTTCGGGTCGCCAGGTCAGAGGCGCCAATACCCTCACTACCTTGGCTAGGCAGTTTCGCAGATTGGGATGAAGCAGACGAAGTCACATCATTTTCTCCCAATCCCGCGCCATCGGATTGATCTGTTGTATATGTCTGCGCACCAGCCAACGCGCGCTTTTCCTCCTCCGCGCGAATCTGTCGCCGGGTCTTCGCACCACACCACGCATCGCGTCTGGCCATCCATACGCGTAGCCCTTCGTTCCATGCCATTTCGTCGTCCATTTGTCGACGGCGCTTGCGACGCCGCTCGATGCCCGCATCTCCAGGTGGGTTCAGCGCTGACTGTTCATATTCTGGCTCGCTATCTGAACTCTGTGGCTCAAGTTCTGAAGCTGGGGTGTCGAATTCTCGAACTCGCCATTCGCACACTTCACGGTTATGGCAAAGCGTGCCATCGGCGGACGACGGGGAGGGAGCGCCGGTTTCGAAATCCCAGTCATTGCGGACGACTTCCTTGACGAAGACTTTCGCCTCGCGAACTGAGGAATCGCGAGACCCGGTGGCCATCATTTTCGCGATCTCGTCTGGAGGTGGGGGTTTGCTCGTGAGAAAAAGTGGGGAGGGAACTTTGTATCAAGGTTTTCTTGCTTGCCCGTGCACTCCTGATTTTCCCAACTAATAAAAGATGCGAAATTGAGAAATGCAAAGCAGCAAAGAAACAACCTTGGAAGGTCTCTGCAAACTCGAAGTGGCGGAATGATAGGACTCAAATGTCATATGGCACGTGCCCCGGATGCGGAGATACAAGCCTCAACTCTTTCTGCCTTGATTTTTGGGATCACGCCTGTTCAGCCCAACATATCAAGTGACGCAGCGCCAAGTGCCATCCTTGTCAATGGCTCACGCTGTTTCAAGCTGGTTAGATTAAGACATGGGATGTTGCATCATACGATCTCGAATGTATTTGCCCTTGCAGGGCATGTCAAGAAATTCAATTGAGCACCATTTCAAAAACAAGCTCAAACCCAACATTTCATATCCAATGCCTGACCTATTGTTCTTATTTGGTTACTTTGCTCAGAATAAACAACCCCTCTTCATGCATCGTACTTCGGCAATGCCGATCGTTTCCCCAGATTCATCTATGCTTGGCCCCCACTGACCTCCTTCAAGACGACCGCCCATTCAAGCTCTTCCAGGCCATCTGCATAAACCGATGTGTTGAGATCGAACGCTCTTTTGAATTGCTGCATACTACTAGCATAGAGCATGCACAGCTGCAACCGATATAGTTAGAACTTTATGGCCACGCGAATGGGCACGCGAGTTGAAAGACCAACTTACCTTGATAGGCGCATGGCAAGGACCCCAATGGACGAATACGGTCTTCTTACTGCGCAGCCAATGACTAGAATTAGCGACGGAATATTCCACTGGACTTCTTAAGTCACTGGGGTAATCTCTTACCGCTTTCCTTCGCTCCCAAGATCATACTCCATGTCATAGATGGCATACCGTGGAGCAGGGTTGCCGTCTTTGTCCACTGCAGCAGATAGCTTCTGGAGGAAGACCTCGTAGTCTTTCGCCGTGGATGTTTCCTCAACTACAATGCTCTTGTTGTCGTCGGAGATCTTGTAGATGATGAATTTGGGTCTAATAGCTTCTGGCCCTGATCGGAGCTGATTGAATGCAGATATGCATTCATCTGCGATAGAAATACTAATATATATCAGTTAATTGAAATGCGCTTTATGAATGCTTTTGTGGGGACTGTATAAATACCCCGATGGATTCTGTAGAAAGCAAGGTATTAGTATTTATATCCACTGCTTGTAGCGGGTCTACATACCGACATATTGGAGCCCTGGTTGTAACAGAGGAATTTATCTGGTTAGAATGGATAGAGTGAATAATATCTTGTAGTGGATGGGAAATGATGAGAAGAAGAGAGCAATTAGCTACTTTTCTCGCCTTATATCCCTAACCTTACGTGAATTCTATGTGTTTCTTTACATGCTGCCTGGCTAGGCTGATATATTCTATCTTAAAGGAATATAGAAAGGAAAAAAAAATCTTTCGCATATAGACGTAGGAACCCGATGGGTGTGCAACACGAAATGTCTCTGCCTGTGGCTCTACCAGCATTGCTTCAGGGTTGCTTCCTAGGCAAACTTCAACTGAAATGACCGGGATATATTTCAAGTAATCGACCCCAATGAGCACTTACGTATGTTAAGTTCACAGGTAGAAATCCACGAGTAGGCAGATATGGTGATGTTAGTAGGGTACTACGTCGCTGGTATACATATCCACCTCAAGGCTAGATTTGAAGTCCTCAACATATATGTATATACATGTAGGCACTCAACTTTAGTGATTAGCTAGATTTTTTAAAATCTAAAACCTGCAAACCAAGCAGGCTTGGGATACAGTCTACTTCATTATACTGGAATGGAAGCAAATTGTTTTGAACAATTCCAGTTTGCTTTTTGTGATTATATCCAAGACATTCTTTCTCAATTACATGCATTTCGACCCTGAGATAATATTCTTCGCGTTATGAAATTCTCGATTTCCCGAATGTTAAGGAATGGTTCATCGCCTAGAATGGAGTCAGGATGACCAAAGTCACTCGATACAGAAACCAAAAGAAAGCGTCTGAATAGGAAACAAAGCCAGAAAAAAAGATATTGCCCAAGAAATACATGGCAGTATATACGTTTGAGTAATGGTACAGATCTATCATATCGCTAAAAGTACATAGGGAACTCCCAATTTCCCCAATCCACATAAAATAACCCAGTATACAAGCCGGCGAGAAACCTCCATTAAAGCAAAAATCATGTTCGAACACGCGCCGAGTCAGCCGTAGCATCACCACCAGCACCAGGAATGAATCCCCAACCAGGGCTCTTCTGGCGACGACCCTTCCGGTCACCATACTGCTCGTCAAACTTCCGAATCGCCGACAGCGAAGACATATCCTCACTGATCGAAGCGCTGATTTCTTCCATTCCACGCTCGAAATGCGCACGAGTCAGGATGCGGCGCTTCGGGTAGGTATACGGCTCGGTACCGGTGTGCTTAGCCGCAGCGTCATTCTCCTCGCGAACGCAAGCCAGTGCAGCCGCCACCGACAGATTCTTCAGATCGGAGCCAGAATACAGCGGCGTGCGTCGGGCCAGTTCAGCAAGATCGACAAAGGGATCGAGCTGCTCTTCTTTCAGATGGATTTTCAAGACTGCTTCGCGGTCTTCCTCGGTTGGTAGATCGACTAGTAGACGGCGGGGAAGGCGGCGGAGAACAGCATCATCTAGATCAAAGGGTCGGTTTGTGGCGACCATGATGAATGCAGAGAGGTCGTTCATACCGTCCCACTCGCGCAGGAACTGGTTGATCAGTTCGCGGTGGGATGTGCGGCTGGCTGCTCCGGTGCGCGAGCAGAATATGGCATCTGCTTCGTCAATGAAGACGACGCAGGGACTGAGCTTCTTGGCAAGCGTGAAAATCGCTTTCACGTTCTTCTCGCCCTCGCCAACGTACATGTCGTACACCTCAGACCCGCTTACTTCGAGGACTGTTGCTCCGCTCTCGCGGGCTACGGCCTTGGCGAGGAGGGTCTTACCGGTGCCTGGAGGTCCGTATAAGAGAAGGCCGGGGATCTTGTCGGTGGCGAGAACACCGTATGTGAATGCCTCAGGGCGGATGAGTGAGAGGGAAGTTAGGGTCTTCAGAGCCTCGATGGTCTCGGGAGGCACATGCACATCGTTGAATGTGGTTCGGATGCTTTTCGCGTCGACTACACCGTTGAGCAGCTTTTTCTCGTGTGTGTTGCATGTTTTGCGCAGAGAGGCGATCAACTGGTCTCTGGTCTGTCCCGCTTCCGAATCTTTCTGCTTGGGTGACTTCTCTTTCAGCCATTCATTGGTGACTCGGTCGCTTTTATCCATGAGTTCGATTCCACGTCGGATGTGCTCAAATTCAAGGGGCTCATTGACTTCAGCACAGCCAAGTGCAAGGGTAGAGATCCAGTGCACTTGATTGTACGACCAGTATCGGTCCTCAATTCCTGAATCTTTGATGGTTGAAGGTTCCAGCGGCCAAGTACGGTTGCTCAGAATATCATCTTTTACAGGTAGAGCCTGTTCATGTAATCGGAAGCGAAGCATGCTCTGGAGGTGGCGAATATTGATATCCATGGTGCGCTTCTTTCGGTCTTCTGCGAAGGCCTTTTCAGCGTCTTTCGAACTCATGGCAGGAGTTATGAACAAAGTCTTCGAGAACTGATCATCGAAAACACTTTGCAGCAGACCAGCACCATCTTGCGAGGGCGAGTGGTGGATTTCCTGAGAGGTAGTTCCGATCAACAGAATCTTGGACCCTGCCCCTCTCCGGTCTTGGATGACTTTGTGCAAGAGAGAAATAAATTTAGACCCTTCACGGGTAGTTTGAATATCACGGTAGTCCTGGATATGCATAATGACATCTCGAGCTGGCAAGGCTTTGCTGTCTTTCGTTTCGGCAATTTCTGTTTTCTCGGTGGGGACTGGCAGTGCTGGTTGACCTGATGAGCCGAGGAGCTCATTGAGTAGTTGAATCCACCGAGTTTCAGCACGCTGACCACTTCGCGAGGCCCCAGCCCCGGGGTCCGGATCCGTTTGGTCATTGATCGATCCCCCCAGGAGGGTTTTCAGCCCAAGCCAATTGGGGAGCGGGATGTCACCTGCCTCTTTGCTGCTTTCGATTGTGATAAACCTAGGTGTGCTAATATCGCCGCTCATACCACGGGGACCACCTGCAATTTCAGTCACGTCATCCTCGCCGTCTCCTTCGGGGTCTTCAACTTCCGACCATGAAGCTGGGACGGCTTGTCGAAATACATCGTAGCCAAGAGATCGAATGGGCGAAGTTACTCCAACGTCTGCGAGATCTTGCTCGCTGAACAATTGTGCAATGTCCTGGGCATTAAGGGTCACCAGGTCAGTGCCCAACTCGTGGGCAAGCTTCTTCACCACCGCGTCTAGGAATGGTATACCATCACTACCCGGGTAGTGCAGTGCCAGGTGTGACTTCTTTACCGAAGGTTCTTTGGCATATTTTGCAGGTGGTAACCGCAAGCCTGCTTTGACGGAGGCTCGCAGCTCTTCCCATGATTCTTCAGCCACCGCATACCGATTCACTGCTGCTGTCGCTGGTTCACTGGATTCAGATGGGTCGGAATCTCCCCCGGAAGCCAGAGCTTCAGTTTGAACCTCCTCCGGCTCCTTTGGTGACACTGACTTGGTTATGCTAACATGTTGTAATGATTGTGTAGGGCGGTCTTCGGAGCTGTGAGACACTGTGTTGTGCTCGTAGAACCATGCGGGGATGGTTGCCGTTGATTGTGAAATCGGTTGTGTGGACTTCCGGTTTCGCATCGCTCTGCGTACAGCAGATCCGTAGGTTTTGGTGATTGACTTGGCCGACTCGGGAGAGGGAGATGTCGCCGGCGTGCCATTGTCGGGGATATTCTCAGTTTTGAGGGAAGGGTCTTCTACCGTATTCCCCGGCACTGCAGATCCGGCATCGTGAGGGTCTTGGGACGGAGATGCGAGCCATGTTCGTGACAGATGAAATCGCCGCGCGGACAGTGGTGCGGAATAGCGGCGGCGAGCAACAAATCGACAAGGGCGTGCAACTGACAGCCGGGCTTGTTGCATTGACGAATACATCCGGGACACTGTCACCGGAGCTTTATGTGATATCGCCGAGAATAGTAGATATCTGTAATCAGTCGCTAGTGGCGCATGGTCCCTAATGGGTCCTACGAAGGAGAAATGATTGGTCACGTGACTGTGGATTTTCTACCTTTGTACTCCATAGTACATATTTGCCGCTACAGTCTGAGATTCTTGGTATTATTAAGTATTTTTTATATACAAAAAAGCCTTGGGCCCAAATTACTCAATCAAGTGCACATCTCGATTCTGCGGGCGTACTTTGTACAATGTACGAGTAGTTGGGTTTGCTCTCTATCCATTCTTCAGTCGAGGATCTTACCCGCTTCGTCTCCACCGTAACTAATATAGAAGGTACATTTTGGATGGGCTCTCCATACAAAAGGTACTTCTGCTCAACCTTCAGTTTTGACTATAATATCTAGAGAGCAAATGACTTGGGCATTTCTAATATGACTCTATGCAACTATTCTTTTGTCAAATGTTAGACATACTACAAAGTCGTTTACACAGCTTTTGCTTTTTTTACTACCTTCGTATGGTACATCTAAAAAGACGCCTAAAAGAATATCCAAAAGCACACCCGGGCACCAGCCTTGGAGAGCGTGCTTACTTATGTACATATAACCTTCATCCCTCCAAGTTGATATCAGGTAATTGAAGTTTTACCTGAGTTTATTACTGTTTTGTTATTTTGTTATAGCTTCAGTATTGTGTCATCTTATGTATAATCTGTATAGTTTCAATCCCAGAGTCTGGATTTTGCCCACACCTAGAAAGACGTTGACTGATTGATCCGTACATTGAGAAGCAGATGCTCTGTCTCAATACAAAACAATGAGATTAGCCGTGATATTTTTGCCTCCAATGGATGCCAATGAGATGAGATCATAGATCATTTCAGCTATTTCTGTGTAGTAGAACAGATCTTGCTACCGTCACAAACTATGTTCAATCATTCTTCATTCCTGGCTTGTCGGTCTATCGCGCTTTGAAATTTTCGTTTATTTGTAGTGAACACAACAATTTTCTCCTCTCTTTGCTCCCTTGTCATGTCATTTAATGGTCCTTTTAGTAGTATTTTTAGGACTCTTTTCAAACTCTTCTCATATGATATTTATATGTCTTTTTTTCAGATGTTTCTATATATAACATGCAATTTACAGGTGTAAATCACCAAGTGGCTGCCAACATACACGCAAAAAGCATGAAGCTAATATTGGCCTCAGTGCTCCAGGAGAAAGATAGAAATCTTAGGGGGAAATTTTGCAGTCTAACACTGCGGGTGGGATTGTTAAATGAGGCAGCTAAAACCTTAACAATGTGGTTTGCACTTAATCGGTACTCTAAATAATTTTACCAATAGATTTTCCACAGCTTGATGGAAGACATCTATGCTGTATACACACCAGCAAGTGTGTAGTAATATGTCCACCTATAAGAGCTCACCGGAGTATTATATAGCTTAGATAGTATATATAACACTAGTAGCAGGTTTATGAAGCAATCTAAGCATGGAATATAGGCTACAGGAGACAGACATTCAGGTCAAAACAATGATTCATTCAAGTAATCCACAACTATATATCCAGACAACACACAGGTGTAATAACGAATTGATCATCAGAAGGAAGGCAACGGAAATCTCTACATGGTTTTGCGCATTCAGAACAGGTCTGTGAGTTTACATCCGGAAATTTTTCGTCACTTGATCAATTCGCCATTACAACGTGTGATATCCTTTTAGAATTGTGGTTTTTGTTTCGACCTAGAACTGAGAGCAATGTTAGTCAATTGCTCAAAACAAGACATGATCAAAATGCATTGCAATATAAGAGTTCTCAGACAAGATGTACTGGCAAGTAGCAGACCGACCGGGAAGGAAGGTCCGAATTGTCTCCGCATTGTCGATTTGGAGGGTAAAGAAGTAAAGGTTGTGTCATCCTTGAACGGATATGAAATGCAAATGCGGGGGGAGAAGAATGAGAAGGATCTAAACTCACGTTGAGCACCAGGTGCCATCACCTGACCTATCAGGTTGGTGGGGAGATTGAAGCATCGTAAGATGCTTGCAAGGTCGTAGTGCTATTGGCATCGAGTCATGCTATCCTCAGGAGTCATGTGCAATCAGCATCAAGATAGCTCTGGAAACCTGAGGAACACAAAATCCACAAAATTCAAATGTGAAAATCATCAATGAAGACTTTTTTCACAGTGATTGTAGACCTCAAAGATGCCAATCTGTAGTAGATGAGAAATGACTCTTGCAAGAGTCACAGTCATGTACCATAGTAAAGAAGAATGAAAGACAAAGAAGAAGATGAGGAAGAAGGAAAGAAAAAAAAAAGTTGTGAAGAAAAAGGCAGGGAATCACCACGTGACTTCCTCATTAGGGATAGCGTGTTTGAATCCGAGCAGGAGAGGGAGAGAGAAGAAAAAAAGGGCCTCAAAAAGGGAAAAAAACAATATTGAAAGATGGAGCTTATGCTTTAAGATCTATACAATTTCCCGATTTCATTGTAGCTCTTTTTTTCCCCATCCATCTCTGTTTCTCTCTTGATTAATCGCGTTGTCGTCTCGGTTAGATCCTCCACCCTACGGACCCGGATCCTCCGTCCCCAGTTCCCTCACTCCCACCGGGCGATCATCCTTAATTCCTGACTTGCGGCGTTCGCAATACCTTTAGCCCCTAATATCAGATCCCCTTAGGAAAACCTACTTGTGAGTGTGTGCATTTTTGAGATATTCTGATTGTTTGGGGAGCCCAGCCCCTCCACTCTCTCCCCTAGCCCCCGTCGCTTTTAGCCTTCCCCCCCCGACATCTTCTCCTCTTATCACTCCCCACTGACCACTTATTTCTCTCAGAAGGGAAAAAAAAGTTTCATTGCGCGGGTGAGTGACTTGGCCAGGAGGCCCCCGATCGATACCTCAGCACGTCGCGTCTGCTGAATACCGGTCTAAGTCGCTCGCTACAGACCTGGTCCATCCCCGAACGCTAAAAGCGGCCTGTTGTCTTCCTACTCTAGTCGCGCTCCACGCCACGTTTCGCACACCACCTTTTCGCCATCGCGAGCGATTATTTTGAAGTCCCCCATTTGTGGTGACTTCGTCGCTCAGCAATGATGATGACGCAGCCGTTTCCTGCCCACCAAGGCATGCCGCAACATGGGTTTCCCCCAGGTCACCCAATGGCTGCGCAACATCCAAATGGACATCCGGGCGCTGGAATGGTACAGCAAATGCATCCCGGTGTGTCTGCGCCGGGAGGACCTCAAGTCAGCCAAGCGGGCCCGATGATGGGTGGTATGCCCCCGGGCGCTGGAACAGCTGGTCCTGGCGGTCCTGGCCCCAATGCTCATGCCCTTTCCCACCTGAATCCCGCGCAGGCGCACATGCTTCAGAACCCCCAATTCCAACAAAATTGTTAGTATCCAACCTCCTAGTTGCTTAACACAATGGTGTGCGAGATTTGATGTTGAAAATCGTGATCGGTGCCCTATGCGGTGACTTCTTTCCCCCCGCTCTACTACCATTTCTTCCAGCCGTCTTGCTCGATCGCATACTTACGTCCTGATCAATCTATAGTCGCAAACAACCCCCATCTATTACACCAGCACCAACAGCAGCAGCAGCAGCAACAATTAATGCGGCAACGAATGATGCTCCAACATCAACAGCAGCAACAACAGCAGCAGCAGCAGCAACAACAACAGCAGCAGCAGCAGCAACAACAGCAACAGCAGCAACAACAACAACAACAGCAGCAGCATGGTCTCCCCGTATCAATGCCTAATGGCACACAGGGACTCAATGCTGCTCAAATCGCTGCAATGCAAGGGAACCCTGGAATGCGACCTGTCAACATGATGCACCTTCAGCAGCAAATGCCACATGGCCAGCCGCCAACTCTTCAACAACAGCAGCAATTTTTTGCTATTCAGCAGGCTCAGCAGCAGGCACAACAGGCTCAGCAGCAGGCTCAACATGCTCAACAACAGGCAAATAATGGACAGTCAGGCCAACATACCCCGCAGCGTACATCGGCACAACCCCCCAATATGCACGAACAGAGCGCCACTCCACAGTCGCAGCATGGCGGACCAGGAGGCGGCACACCACAACCTCAACCCTCTCAGCCGCCATCAAGTCAGCCCCCGCAATCGCAGGGACCGCCTCAAGCCCAGGCAACCCCCAACCCGCCATCGCAGCAATTGCCGCAGTCTCAACAGCAGGTTCAACAGGGACAGGCTGGTCCGCAGCCGCAACCTCCCCAGAGTGTCCAGGGGCAGCAGCCCGGTCCTCAGAATCAGCAGATGACAGCCCAGGAGGTTCAGTTGAAAACACAGCAACACCAGAATGCTATTATGATGCAACAACAGCAGCAGCAGCAAAGGAAGACCAACGCAATCTTGACTATTCATGCCTATGCCGAGCATCTGGGCAACTTCCAACCTCGCAACGAAACACAGGATTTTCTATATTGGCAATCGTTCGTCGATCGTTTCTACTCTCCTGTAGGTGTCTTGCGGCAGGGTGTTTGGAACAACTCAATTGGATCAAAACAATTTGAAATCGCGACCCCCGCACTGCCACGTTATTATTTTACCCAATTCGCCAGCGGGATTAGTCAAATTCAGATGGTGGTGGAAGGTGCTCGCGAGCGGGAATCTCACAATGGAGGGCATTACGTGGAAGCCCCAAAATGTTCATTCATTTATTGGTTCAAGAATGAGTGCCAGGTACATCTACTGTCTCGTGATCCCTTTTCTTTTCAGCCTGCTAACGTCCATCTCTTCAGCTTTTCACTAATGGCTCGCTGCGCGCGCATTTCGATATGCACAACAAGCTTGAGATGCTCGACATTAGTGTCGTTAGCCACAACGAGTTCATTCCGCGATCATTGTTACTAGCCATGGAGGCAGATTCTCTAAAGCAAAGCCCGAAAGTCGCGAAGAACTCAAAACGTGCCCTGCCCAAGCAAACACAGTCATTGGTGCCAGACTCCAACGTGACTGCAAATGGTGTGCCCACTTCAGTCATGGGATTCATGGAAGTGGCTGAAACTATTTCTGCGATGCAAATGCTGTTCCAATTTTCCCAGGCAAATCCGCAACTATCACCTCCTGACGCTTTGCGGAATCTTGTCAACACTCTCCAGGCACAAAATCCCAATCCAGGATTTGTGCCAACTCCCGATGCCCATGAACCAGGGCATGAATCCAAACATGAACCCAGGTATGAACCCAGGCATGAATCCCAACATGAACCCGGGTATGAACCCAGGTATGAATCCGGGCATGAATCCGGGCATGAGTCCAGGTATGAGTCCGGGTATGAATCCAGGCATAAGTCCGAGCATGAATCCAGGCATGAACCCAGGCATGAATCCAGGCATGAACCCAGGCATGAACCCAGGCATGAACCCAGGCATGAACCCAAGCATGAACCCAGGCATGAACCCAAACATGAACCCAAGCATGAACCCAGGCATGAACCCAGGCATGAACCCAAACATGAACCCAAACATGAATCCAGGCATGAATCCAGGCATGAATCCGGGGATGCACCCAGGCATGAGTCCGGGCATGAATCCAGCCATGCACCCAGGCATGAATCCGGGTATGAATCCGGGTATGAATCCCGGTATGAACCCGGGCATGAACCCGGGCATGCAAACTATGCAAAATGTTCGGGGACATAGCATGGGCGCTCCATCACAGTTTGCATCGCCGGCTATGGCCCATCTTGGTCTTCCCGGGCAGCAAGGCTCGCCTCATCTGACTGGCTCAGCACATGCGAGCCCAGCCCAAAGCAATCTTGCCGGTCCCCCCGGAATGCAACCACCAATGCAGCCATCCCCGGCTGGCTTGAACAACAGTCCAAATGTAGGTGGCAACAAACGTCGCCGGGCAAGCACCGTCAAAATGGAATCCGAGGACGGTGGTGGAGTTGAAGCTAACGGCGCTCCGCAACAGGGCTCAGCGAAAATAAAGGCTAGCCCTCGGGTGCCGAAGCGACAAAAAGGGCGCCGCCGCCTAATCATGTTGGGAGTTTGGTTTGCTTCCCCTTGCTTTCATTTTCCCTCGCCGTCTTCAAGCGGTGTGGGACCGGCGTACGACTGGATACCTGGGCGAGGCACGTCGCGCCCCCTCTTGTTTGTTTACTCCTCATCTAGGTCTTTTATCCCATTGAAAGATCTATCTTGCTTTTTGGCACATGACGACTCAATTCACAATCGACGGGATTTAATCAGTGCTTGAGGCCCCCTCCCATCTTCCTTGGCTTGGAAGTGGCATCAGGCCTCATCGATCCTGCTCAACTCCGACCTAATGTACTCTATCTTCCTTTCAGCGTTTCCTTGATTGGCTCGGGATCATGGCCTGCCCTTGCATGTTTTCTACCTCTTTCCCGTTCGGTTTTCATTTTCATACTTTTACCACCCTTGTCTGGGATTTAACGACTTTTGGATTGGTCTTTGTTTAGGCTTTTGCCCATTGCTCGCTGTTTCCTTGGCAGTCTGTCCATTTTTTCTCTGAACAGACAGAACTATTGATATCCGTGTTTGGCGAATGATATGGCGTCCGGCTTTTATGTTTCTTTGGGAACTACGTCTGCGTGCATAGGGGTGTTCTATGTTCCATTCGACTTGACATCTCTCCCCACTCGGGGCTTATCCTCTGCCGCATTGCTTGACGAATTCATAAATACCTGCTTTCCAATCATGATGCATCGTAGCTTGTATATTTGGACGTATGTTGAATGGTCTATAGCTGCATGTGCTGTGTGATTGATGAAATTTCTCTTTTGGACATCTTTACATGTTTCTTAGGTATTCTAACAACCATTAATCCCTAAATCGTAATTTATATAAAGGTCTTCATCTACTGAACTATAAGCTGAGCGGCGAACTCATCGGCGAATTGATAATATCAAAGCTCGGCATTTGTTATCATTATCAGTTCCCCACACTGGTCTCCTAAGGGATAGAACTGCCCCTCATCTGGACTTTTCTCCAAGATATTCTCAGGTTTCGTCTTTACATCTAATCTTGGAAGCTTAACAATGGCTCACTCTCACTCCCACGATGCTGGCATTGACCACTCCCACGATGACCCCTTCAACGGCCACGGCCACTCACACGATATCCTCGATGGTCCAGGCTCCTATGCTAATCGCGAGATGCCCTTGATCGAAGGTCGCGACTGGAAGGACCGTGCCTTCACTATTGGTATCGGAGGGTATGCAGAGCTTCCCATTACATTACATTACAATCAACCTCTATCTTACCCTCATGCCAATGCATATCCGTTCAAATAGCCCACTTATAGATGCATAGAATGGCTAACATGGATCCAAATAGACCCGTAGGATCCGGAAAGACAGCTCTGATGTTGCAGCTAGCTCGCGCCCTTCGTGACGAGTATAATATCGCCGCGGTGACGAACGATATCTTCACAAGGTAAGAGAAAATACACCAACCCCACTTACGAACCCCACACCCAAAACAACAGGCAACGCAACTCACACCTGCCTACTATACCGCATACACATCTCCAAGCTCAACACTAACAACTCTCCCAAAACAGAGAAGACGCCGAATTCCTAACCCGTCACAAAGCCCTCGCACCCTCTCGCATCCGCGCTATCGAAACAGGCGGCTGCCCGCACGCCGCCGTGCGCGAGGACATCAGCGCAAACCTCCTCGCCCTGCAGAAGCTGCAGAAGCAGTTCTCCACGGATCTGCTGCTGATTGAGTCTGGCGGCGACAACCTGGCCGCGAACTACTCTCGCGAGCTGGCTGATTTCATCATCTACGTGATTGACGTTGCAGGTGGTGATAAGGTTCCTCGCAAGGGCGGTCCTGGAATCACGGGTTCTGATTTGCTTGTTGTGAACAAGATTGATCTTGCTGAGGCTGTTGGGGCTGATCTTGGTGTTATGGAGAGGGATGCGGCAAAGATGAGGGAGGGTGGCCCGACTGTGTTTGCAGTCGTTAAGCAAGGCAAGGGTATGGATCATATTGTTAATTTGATTATTAGTGCTTGGAAGGGAAGTGGGGCTTATGAGGTTAGTTTGAAGCGGTGGAAAGAGGGGGCTGTTAGGGGTTCTGGGAGTCTTGATGAGTAGATAGGGGTTCTATTTAGGCTGCCTGGGTATCAAGTTTAGATTAGATACCTCAAGATCTTGGATAGGCGATCTTAGAAAGGTAAGGAATTGCTTTATGAAGTTCAATATATTCAGTTGAAAGTAGATGGTACACACGTTAACTGCTTTTTCCCTCCGAATACAAACATATTCCCCGAGAACGCCTGGAATGCAGCTGTCGCCAAATCTCCAATATTTCACAGAAGCCGCGTGTGGGCTGGGTATCTGGTTTTGGGCAGAGGGGTTGTTTCCTCTACTGCTCCACAAGATGTCACACAAGCAAGAAACAAACTTAGCGATCTCATTTGGCGAAACGAGACAGAGCAGGCCCCAGCTCCATACGTTCCTGCTTGAGCTTGTCCTTCGTGCGAGCAGCATACTCCTTGCGCAACGTCTCGGCCTTGACGCGCTTCTCGTCGATGACATTCTTGCCACCCTTCTTGCGGAGGTACTTGCGTAGAGCACTGTTGCGACCACGACCGCGGTTCTTGATCTTCTCCATGTGATCCTCGGGCTTGTGGTCTGGGTTGCGCTGCTCCTGATATCTCTTGTCGTTGATAGTATCGAGCTTTCCAATGATGTTGGGGTCGAGCGAGATCATATCCGGCTGCAACTTGGTGAGCAGCGAGTGAACCTCGTGTTCCTGGCGCTGTCGCACGTTCTCGTAAGGGTTGGCTTCGAGCGAGTCGAAGTTGGGTTCACCGGCGCCCGGAACGATCACGCTAGCGAATCCTTGATCGTGTGCTACGCCAAGAATATCTTCGTATGGGCACCAGCGCAAGTTCTCGATGCGCTGTCCGTCTCCGCCCCACGCCATGTATGGGCTCTGCACTTTGCCTTGATCGGCTTGCGCGGCGTCGAAAAGTCCACGCCATACGCTCATTTGGGTGCCCCAGCCAACTGCGGTCAGGCCGCGGTCACTGATAGACACTGATGCGCCGGGCTGGTAGCATGAGTATGAATGCACCTCGCGGTACATGCGGATATCCCACACATTCATTTTTAGGTCTTGGCCGGTAGAGACCATGTAATGGCCTGTGCGGTCCATTGCCAGTGACCGGACAGGTCCCTGGTGAGCGAGCATCTTTACGAGAGGGGTTTGAGAGTTGGGCGACCAAAGGGTCACGGCTCCATTTTGGTGTCCCATATGGAGGATGGCATTCCATGGGTTCTGTGCGAGAGCGGTGGGTTTACCCAACCGTGTGGATAGCTCAGCGACGATCTGGCCGGTTGAGGTATCTGTGTATTTGAGATGACCGCTCATTTGCTGTATGAAGGAGTGATTAGCGGGTGATATCTATGGAATCAAAGAATCGAGAAATACTCACAGCGCTTGCGAGGAGGAAATGATATGGTAGGAATTCCAGGAAGAGCGGTTCCAAATGCTTGCTCAGACAATGAATCTCAGTTCCCTGGTGGTCGTAGATATAAGTGTGCTTCTTCTGCGCCACGGCGAAGTACTGGTTGTTATGCAGCCAGCGAGCATCCCGCACAGTCTCGTTCAACTGTAACTCGCAGCCCAGTTTCCCCTCCCGCCAATCCATCGTCGCAACATGTCCCTTCCGTCCCGCCAGCAGCAGGTCACGTCCGTTCCGAGAGTAATCCATGCGGTAGGGGCCCATATCGGGAAGCTTCAATTCGAATCCCTTCTTTGCTGTCTCAATTCCGACACTTTCCCGAATCTCATCTTGGCGAACTTTGTATGTCTTCTCTAGTTCACCTTCGGGTTCGAGGAATCCTTCTGAGTGCTCGAGCAAAATCTCTGCATCCTTGGCTTGGAGGATAGCCTGCTTGTGCTTGAATTCCTGGTTCTTGAGATTTGCGCGCAGCTTCTTGTCCCGCGCACTCTTCACATTGGCACCTTTGCCTCGTCCGTATGTTTTCTCGGCTGCTGTGAGTCTCATCTTCGCTTCGTGGTCGCCCTTGGCGACAGCCATGTTGGAGGCTGAGTCGGCCATTTTCTCGCAATTTCTCGAGTTCGTTTGCTAAAGAACTCAGGAAGATAAGAAGGCGGACGAGAAGCGTACCTTCAAGAAAAAAAGTGTTTTGCCCAAAATTTCGCCAAGATTTGCGCTCACCGCTCGCTTATCCTCCACTGGCGAATTTTGATTTCTTATCGTTGTATCTTTTTTTTTTCTACAGAGGCACTTTCGTTTTTTACTGTATATTTGCCAGTTTTATATTGATCTGGTTCGATATTCGCCGAGTTACCTCTGACTCGCTTCAATCTGGACTCCCTCCCTTTCCGATTCAAAGGCTCAAACGCCAATATGGCGCCTGCCGTGCACCACCACCGCTCCACAACTAAAGTTTCCCACAAGCCCTACAAGAGCAAGCATGCCTCCAAGAGCGCCTTGAAGGATCAGGCCAAAGGTAGGATTTTTGAACTGCCCAGTATGATAAATGATGCAACTTCAATGCTTACACTATTCCAGGCAAAATCGAAGGTGATGAGCGGGGCGGTCGTAAAACACCCCACCAACAGCTCAAGACGAAACTCGATCGCCGTAACACCGCCCGCCAAAGGCAGGCATTGAAGCACCAGGAGAGATCCCAAGCTACCAGCATCTTCGCCGGCCAGAATGGTGCTCCCCGTCATGTCGCGATTGTGCCGTTGTCCGCCGATGTTGACACCGCCGCCGCTATTGCTTCTATCAACGAGAGTGTCGATGTTTTGACTGATGCCTCCCCCGATGGACCTACCCGTGTGCGCATTGAACGATTCCGTCAAAGCGTGCAGTACATTCCCGCCAAGTATGACTTGATCAGCGCTTTGGATGTGTGCCGTATGGCCGACTTTGTCATCTTGGTCATGTCGTCTGAAGTTGAGGTTGATGAGGAGGGCGAGATGCTTCTGCGCTCGATTCAAGGACAGGGTATCTCGAATGTGTTGGCTGTCGTGCAAGGCCTCGACAAGATTGAACCTCCCAAGAAGCGCCCCCAGGTGGCTACTTCATTGAAGTCTTTCATTAACCACTTCTTCCCCAATATTGAGAAGGTCATGTCTCTCGACTCGAGACAGGAATCTTCTAATGCTATTCGATCCATCTGCACCGCTACTCCCAAGGGCATTCACTGGCGTGACGATCGTAGCTGGATATTTGTCGAGAATGTCCAGTGGCCAGAGTCTAATCTGGAAGTGGTTGACGACGTTGTCATCACCGGAGTTGTTCGTGGAAAGGGCCTGAAGGCAGACCGCATTGTTCACCTCCCTGGATGGGGCGATTTCCAGATTGATTCTATCACAGCTGCGCCGCTAGCAACCACAAAATCCAAACGGGATGATGCAATGGCCGTTGACGGGAATGAGACCACACAGATCTTGGACACTCCCACCGAGGACCAGGATGACATGGCTGTTATTGCCCCCGAAGAGATTGAAATGGCGGATGACGACATGATTTCCGTGGCTGAGACAGAGAAGAAGGGTGTTCTGCTGGATGACTATCATTACTTCTCCGATGACGACTCGCACATTCCACCGGTGCCTAAGAAGTTGCCCAAGGGTACCTCAAATTATCAGTCTGCTTGGTATCTCGACGATGTCTCAGACTCTGGATCTGACATGGAGGATGACGATGAGCCCATGCAAATGGATACCGCTGGAGCACCTGAGGATGGTGTGTTCCCAGACCACCACGAGGCCATGACTGAGGGTGCTCCTTCAGAATACCCGCAATCGGAGATGTTCCTCGACCCCTCTCCAGAGGACGAGGCTCAGGAGCTGGCCGACTACCGTGCCAGCCGCAAGACCGAGGCCGAAGAGGACTTGGAGTTCCCTGATGAAATTGAATTGCACCCGAACGCCCTTGCCAGAGAACGACTGGCCCGATTCCGTGGATTGAAAAATCTCAAGCTCAGCCACTGGGAAACATCTGAGGATCGTCCCTACGAGCCCGAGGATTGGCGCCGCCTCCTGCAGCTTGCTGATGTCAGGGGTTCCAAGAACCGCATCATGCGAGAGGCTTTGATTGGTGGCGTTAACCCTGGTGTTCGCGTGGATATTCACCTTCGCGCAGTTCCTTTCATTCTGCGCAACAGCCCCAAGCCTATTGCACTCTTCTCTCTGCTCCGCCACGAGCACAAGCACACTGTGGTCAACGTCAGCATGACACTGAACTCCAGCATGGAGAGGCCCCTCAAGGCTAAGGAGCAGCTCGTTATCCAGTGCGGCGCTCGCCGTATGGTTGTCAACCCCATCTTCTCGTCGGCAGATAACACGCCGAACAACGTTCACAAATACGACCGATACTTGCACCCTGGGCGTAGTGCCATCGCTTCCTGGATTGGACCCATGACCTGGGGTTCAGTTCCTATTCTCGTCTTCAAACAGAAGCAAACTGAGGAGGAAGACGATGATGAGGAGATGGATACCGCCGATGCCAAGGAGGAGCAGCCGATTAATGTCGATCAACTCGAGTTGATCGGTACCGGTACCGTTGTCGCACCCGATCAGAAGCGCGTCGTTGCCAAGCGTGCCATTCTTACTGGTCATCCATACAAGATCCACAAGAGGGTCGTTACCATCCGTTACATGTTCTTCAACGCCGAGGATATCCAATGGTTCAAGGCACTCCAGTTGTGGACCCGCCGTGGCCGCAGTGGATACTTCAAGGAGAGCCTGGGTACACACGGATACTTCAAGGCTACCTTCGATGCCAAGATCAACCCGCAAGACTCCGTGGGTGTCAGTTTGTACAAGCGTGTCTTCCCTCGCAAGGCCAAGGCTTTGGGTGCGATTTCTGCGTAAGCTGTTGATGTCAATAGCACTGGCGAGGTGGATGATATGATACCATTTGACTGAACTGATTTACATGATGAGGGCAGCTCTGCTGATTCTGAAGGGTGCATGATAAACCCAAAAAGTACATATAGACCCGAGGCATCTTAAAATGATGAATTACGAATCTTTTGCACTTGCATTCCGTATTTAACAATAATATTTGGATATCCAGAATCAAGGATTCGAGGATTTGATATTCCCTATCACCAGGAAGGTCAGGCAAAATAATCTGGGTGGTAGTATCGATCTGCTTTCATTTCCAGACCATAAAAATTTCAAGATAAACAAATGAAGCCAAAAACCAAAAACTTGAGTTAATATTCTCTAGACATCACGCGCGGGGAATCACCGATGAAATCAATCGCCATTTAAGAGAAGTCCTCCTCAGCCTCCTCAATGTTATTCTTGATCCGCAGAAGGAGGGTTGTCTTCCACTTGTCCAGCTTGCTGAGCTGGTCAAACTGGAAGAGCTTGTCAGCGAAGCCCTCCTGATCACCACCCTCAACAGCCTGGGTCAGATCCACGAGTAGCTGGTGCTCCCTTGTCGAAGCAAAGGAAGGATCAAGTTCTCGGTATGATTCCAAAGCACGGTTAGTCTCAACAAGATCCTGAACAAATATGTAATTAATACTTTGTTTTTATGCAAAGAATAAGATGGGAATAACATACTTTTGTGGCAAGGTGGCAAATACCTGCCTTCAGGAGATAATCCTTCACAGACCACTTCATCAGGTTGTTGTTAATAGAGCTGCGGCCAATGCGTTCGTAGTTAGTGATGGCCTTGTAGTAATCACTTTCCAAGGCGGCCAGGTCTGCCACCTTGAGGTAGTGCTTGTTTGCAAGCCTGCATATAAAGTATGTTAGTTGAGTTATTTCCTCGAATTTACAGATATCAAACAGGCCACGGGGTACATACGCTTCAGCATTATCACCGTCGAACCAGTCGGCAGCCTTCTCATACGCCTCCAGCGCCTTCTTCATATCTCCAAGCTCCACCTCATACAGTTCAGCCAGATATTGCTGCTGCGTTGCCGCACGGCGCAGATTTCCTCGTAGTACGTAGTGCTGGATGGCACTGGAAAGTACACGGGCAGCATCCTCAGGGTCTGTCTTGCGGTAAACTTTGAACGCTTCCTGGAGGTTATTGGCAGCGTCATCGGGTTCGTTGAGGTTCTGGTTTTGGATGGAGGCAGCCTTCTCAAAAGCCTGACCGGCCTCCTTGTCTGTTTGAGAACACTCATCAATCATCGGGCTTAACCATGGCAAGGGAATGGACTGGCTAGGCCGCGGGGTAGCTCACTCATTCTCTGTACTCGGAACGCATTTGCAGCCTGGGTATAGAGATCTGCGGCGCCCTCATACTTCTCTGACCTTCCTCCAAACCAACTAAAGCCACCAGAGGCACCAGCCAGCGCTTTGTCGGCCTGTTACATCGCAACAAGTGCGGTCTGGTTAGCTATGCGGACTATCGTCATTGCCTATGCAAACAAGGCGGGAAAGTATACATACTTTTTGGAGTAGGACACGGGGATCTTGAGTCATCTTGAGTGGATATGTCTGTTTTTCCTGCGATAAGCAGTAGTCCGCAGTTATTCGATGTGAAAGTTAGAGTGTTGTGGCCAAATGGGGTTGCTATCGATGAGAGCATCGATCGGCGGGCCCGTGGAGGCGGTGTCGTTTATTTTTCGGGTCTCCGCCTAAGCTCCCCAGTGTTGACCCCTGCGACTTCGGCAATCTAGTTAGATTTACACTGTACTTTTCAGATTAGATTGTGTTTCTATATCACATATCACTCGACAAAGTTCCCTATATCTGCCCACAGAAAAGATTCTCATCCCCAGGTACTATACAATGGCCTCTATTCGCACTGCTGCTCGGCTGTCCAAGTCGCTGCGCCCAGGCCGTTCCCAACTCAATACGACTTTCTCTCGCCTCTACTCTTCCGAAAAATCCGACACTACTCAAATTGAGACCATACTTGGCGCGCCGAATTGGTCAGTCAGGTCGCTGCTCCCGAACCCAGCTTCAAAGCCGCCACCATCAGTCACACCGAAGCAACTCCATCATCTACTACGCATCTCGGCTCTTCCTCAGCCTGCCAATCAAGAAGAAGAGCAGTCAATGCTTGATACACTAGAGTCTCAGATTCATTTTGTGAAGGAGATCCAACTGGTTGATACTACTGGTGTCGCGCCGCTTGCTAGAATTCGCGACGAAAGTCCTGCTGCTATGGAAGAGGAAACGATTGGAATCGAAAAGCTCAGCATAGCTCTGTCTAAGGAACAGGTATCCGGACGACGAGGGAAGATCCAGCGTGTTCCAGGGGAAAAAAACGATCGTCCGGATGGAACGGCTTGGGATGGGAATGCGCTCGGGTCCGCAACAAAGACAAAGGGGAAATATTTTGTTGTTGAAATCGCCAATTGAGCTATTCTCTCAATATTATACAGCATCGGGATATGCACGAGGCAAAAATATTTTGCATGAAGCAAAACAGTGTGATATCAACATGCTCAGATGTTTCTGCCTCAGGCTGTTGGCGGAGTCAGCGGCCCCAATACCCGAGCTATCTGGGGCCATGACATAGCCCCTCTCAAACAACACCAACTTCTGCCTGTTTGCTCCTTCAAAACTTGTCAACTTCCTTTTCACTTTCGCTCAGCGCCAATGTTCAAAAATTTCAGAGAAAAACATGGAGGGTTCTTTGAATCTAAACAATCCAATGCTTCAGAAAGCGATCGTGGTCAAGATCTATCATCAATCTTGGACCGGTCGCAGCGAGGTGATTTGACTGTCCTTGTCGCTGAGGTAGCTGAGTCAATGCGGGTTCGTATTTTGGAGCTTTATGAGCATACAAACCCAAAAGATGACTCCCCCAATCGTCGCTCCAGTCTACATCCATCTCCAGAGGCGGACCACGATGAAGATACGCCACCCTTGCCCCTAAGACCACAAGGCAACGGGGCTGCAGGAATCCGCGGAAATCCGCGGCGGGGCTCTCCAAGGAAGCAGCTGAGCCCTCAAACAAAAATCACTGTGCTGTCCGCTTTCGAAGATTGGAGGGATTCTGTCCTTTTGCGGGTTGGTGCAGTCGTCAATAAAGATGACGACGACCAGGGGGGAAAGGAAGGCCAGGAAGAGCTGCAGGACGCTGCCAAGTCTGATGATCTCCCACTGGACGAGGATAAAGATAGAATCGCCAAATTACAAGAAATATACCACCCCGTGGAAACACCCTTGGCTGAACTTCCTAGAGCAACAAGGCTGCTTATCCTCCACTCGCTTCTCCTTTTAATGCTCAGCCTAGAGCACTACAGTGCTTACTCAAGAGTTTTGATGTTGAATGTTACGTCCAGTCTGAACATAGATATCAACGTGCTCAATCAAGACGAAGTCAGTGTCGCCCGCGGATTGCTACAGACAGCTTTGGCGCTCTCGGCAGACCAAGATACTAAAGAGCAACCAAAGAGAAATGATGACATGCGAAAATGGAAAGTTGGCCTCGCATCTGTGGCTGGAGCCGCTTTGATTGGCCTTACTGGCGGACTCGCAGCTCCTTTGGTAGCGGCGGGTCTAGGGACTGTCATGGGCGGATTAGGCCTTGGCGCTACCGCTGCTGCTGGGCTCCTGGGTACTTTGGCTGGGAGTAGCGTTGTTGTCGGTGGTCTGTTTGGCGCTTATGGCGGGCGTATGACTGGTCGCATGATGGAGAAGTACGCTCGTGAAGTGGATGACTTTGCATTCATCCCGATCCGAGGAGAACGCCGCCGGAACGTGAAAGTGAAGGAGTCTGCTCAAGAGAACGAGTCTGTTAAAGAGAAGGAGTCTGCTAAACAAGATCGTCGTTTAAGAGTTACAATTGGTGTCACTGGTTGGGTCAAGGAGGAGTCAAATTTCGTGATCCCATGGCGGGTGATTGGTGCCGACACTGAAGTGTTCGGTCTTCGCTGGGAGATGGAGCCTTTGATGAACTTGGGCAATGCAATCTCGGCTCTTGTGACTAGTGCAGCATGGTCGGTTGCCGGTCGTGAAGTCTTGGCTCGTACTTTCTTCCACACGATCATGAGCGCGGTGATGCTTCCCCTTGGTCTCATGAAAGTTGCTGGCGTCGTTGACAACCCGTTCAGCGTGGCCAAAGCTCGCGCTGACAAAGCAGGCGAGGTTCTCGCCGATGCCTTGATCAACAAAGCCCAGGGAGAACGACCCGTGACCTTAATTGGGTATTCTCTGGGATCTCGGCTGATTTTCTCCTGCCTCCAAAGTCTGGAAAGAAGAAAAGCTTACGGCCTGATCGAGACGGTCATTATGATGGGTTCACCTACCCCTTCAGACACGGAGGGCTGGCAAAAGATTCGCAGTGTCGTGAGCGGACGTGTTGTGAACGTGTTCTCTGAGAATGACTCCGTTCTCGCGTTCCTTTACCGAACGAGCAGCCTTCAACTCGGTGTTGCCGGATTGCAGCCAGTTGAAGGTGTTCCAGGCGTTGAGAATCTGAACGTAAGCGAAATGATCAGCGGTCACTTGCGGTACCAGTTTCTGCTCGGCAGAATCCTTGCCCTTACCGGGCTTCAGGACCTTGATCCCAGTGAGATCGAACGCGAGGAGGCTGCTCTCGCCTCCGAGGACGAGCGACTGGAGAAGGAGCGGCTGGAGAATGAGCGCGAGGCTGGTGTTAAAGACCGGGAATCATCTGCTGCTCGTGATACCCTCAACAGCCACGAGGGCTTTAAGGAAGATGCGCGGTTGCAGAAGAAGGTCGAGATGCGGACTCAGGAGAACATGACGGCCCACCGGATTGAAATGCTTGATATGGACGACGATGATAGTTCCGCGCCTTTGTTTGCAGATCCCTCGAAGCATTCTACCCTCTAAATAAGGATCGAGGATCTACCTATGAAGGCATTTAGATACATGTCTCAAATGTCTCATTTAATACAATACACTAATTTTATTTTATTTTTTTACATTTTTTAACTATTACAGCAAAAATAGGCCGACCCTTTGATAATTCTGTCTCCACTACAGCCTGTGCTTCGCGGCGAAAACATGACCTGTTAATATCCTTAGCTAGTTTCCCTCGCACAATAGATAGAAACAGCATCCCAATAGTCCAACCAATCCATCCCACGAATCATTCCGTTGAGTCAGTTGATATGATGTTGCTCCAGCACTTGCACTAATAATGATCAAGTTCGAACCGAATCAAAAGATCACACGCCGTAACCTCCGATGTCGAATAAACCCAACCTTGAATGCTTTCAATGGCCCCACAAGGTCGAACGGTGTATAAACGGACATTTGGATTCCTTGGATTCCTCAGATTCAATTTGTTTTGCCCGTCTTTGAGCCAGCCAATCGACATAGGCATGAGTTATCTTATATTGGAACGCTTCGGACCAGTTCTTCCTGCGAAGCGATCTTTGAACATCACCGAGCCGCGGAATCCCATCTGGAAATTCCTCAGACCACATTGCTGAATCCCATTTCTCATATATAGTTTGATGATACACCCCATATGCATCGGGCAACTTTGATCTGCGCGCATGCATGGCATGGTGTAGCAGAATAAGATTGATGTATCTCTCATTCGATCGATAGAGCCAGGGATCCGTATCCATGGTAACCCAAGGGCAAGCACACAACTGGTCTCGGAGTTCTGTCTCATATAGCGATTTCCAGCTTGTGCCGTCCTCAAACCAGTTTTGGAATCGTTCAAGACGAAGCAAGCAAGCTGTTCTGCCTGGTAACTCGTCAAGACTGGTTTCTAGGAACATGTTGGCTTCGGCGAGCGCGCTTTTAATTTCGATGACAGCTGTGTCTTGCGTCATGGAGAATAGTCTCCCTAATCTGCGCTCGATGCCGGTTTGTTCGAATAAAGACATGAGACGCCAGTGTAGGATGTCGAACTCATCGTCTGGCATCGCGGGTATATTTGCTGCGGGATCTTCGTTCCATAGTTCAAGACGAAGGAATGGTAACACGGCAATATCGTAGTCGCAACGGTATTTGAACATAGGCTCGATTGACTGCTGCAGACCCCCCATTTCATAAAATAGGTCTCTGTTTCGTCGCCAATAAGCTGGTGGTTCTGTTGAATTCCACGACCCCTTTATAACTAGCTCTATATTCGGCTGAGTCATGGGGATTAGAAGTTTCATAGGAATTAAAAAATCGACTAGCGCGTTGACTTTCTGCCAAATCAACACTAGTTGACCTGGGTCTGTTGGATCTGGGGAGTAGATATGGACTTTCAATGTCGTTTTTGAATTCGGGAAGTTTTGGAAATGCATTTCGGCGTCTTCTCTGTTTTTGAGAGTCCACTGGACATCCACGGTTCTTGATTTCAATTGTATGATCATCCACTCTTTTGGATGATATTCTGCGTCTAGTGAGATAATCTGGGCGGATTTGTTGAAAAGATGAGACGAAATCTCATTGTAGAGGTATCGACTGGTGGAAAGGATGGACAGAGGGTTGTCTTTCTGCGAGCTGTCCTTGAGTGGTGATGATTGTGTGTGGATGGATGAGATGAGATACTCCCATATGATCAAGCGGATTTCAATAGGAAGCATGGAAAACATTCCTAGAAATTTGAATTGAAAATGCATTTTGGGAGGATGAACTTGTTGATGATTGTAAGTACTAGTAATGAAGAAGATGGGAAAAGAAACAGATGATCAGTGGCGAAGATCATTTCATAGTACTCACAAAGCTAGATATATCGTCAATTTTACGTCGAAACTTGCTACTAAGCCCTTCTGAGATGGATGCGATGTTTTCCTGATTCGGAGCGGAGAGGTATAGTCTGGCCAAACCCTAAAAACATCATATCACACCAAACTGACGAGGAATATTTGTATTCGATCTCCACTCACGGCTTAGCCACATGAACAATAATCTTCCCCCTAGCACGGCCAGAGCGAAGCTTCTCAAATGCCTGAACAGTATCTTCAAACTGGTAGGCAGTATCCAATTGAATTTTGATAGCCCCCTTTTGTACCCATTCTCCAATCTTCACAAGATCATCCTTCGTATTCTTGAAGAAGAAGATAACATACTTCCTCTTTCCGCCACCCAAGAAAGAGGGCCAAAGCAACCTATCAACAAAAGTGCCCATGGCCGACGCACCAACCTGAATAAACGCCTTCCCAGCCGCCAGGAAGTGATGCGACTCACGATACATCGCCGCAGGGTATCCAATATGATCAACAATATGATCAAAGATGACCCCACGATCACGTAGAGTAGCAACCAAATCCTTCTCAGCCGAGTAATCAATAACCTCATCGGCGCCGAGTCCACGGCAAAACTCCACATTCTTCGTCGAACAAGTAGTCGTAACATGACACCCCATTTCCTTGGCAATTTGAATCGCGAAAATTCCACATCCTCCAGAGCCGCCATTGATAAAAACCTTGTCGCCGGCATTGACATACCCAGCCAGTGACTGGTACGCCGTCTGTCCCGCAATACCGATCGCCGCAGCATGATCAACCTCCACGCCCTCGGGCACAGGCGCAAGCAGACTAGCAGACGTCACAAGGTACTCACCCAGAGAGCCGAATTGTCCGGGCTTGCTGAGGCATCCGTACACGAGCTGGCCGGGTGAAAACTCGGTCGCGGCATCGCCGGCGACAACCACGCGTCCGCAAAAGTCCATTCCAGGGGAGGCGGGCATGCCGATCACAATTTTGCGCGCTACTAGTCCCATTTCGGGGACTTTGAAGTCAGCCGGGTTTAGGGAGGCTGTCAGGACTTGGACTAGGACATTGTTGCCGTGTACGGCTGGTGGCGCGCGTGCCGACGCGTCGAAGTGGAGGTTCTTTTCTAGGCCGTTGGTTGTGCCAGAGTAGAGCCAGGCTTTCATTTCTGTTGGTTGAGCAGATGCCATTTTGATTGGATATCACTTGATATTTTTTTGGTGTGATGTTGTTGAGAAATGGTGTTGCCTTTTTATTTTAGAGAGCGAGTGATGACCTCACCCCTATACCTGGGGCCTGGTCCACTTTACATATTAACGTCAGGGAGTGAAATGATATATCCGTATACTTGAATAGATTTATGCAAACTTATAATATCTGTCTTCATTTTCTCTTCAAGAAAGTCAAAGCTCCAAGTGCCATGGCATCTACACCCGTACGCAATGTCGGCTGGATAACCGGCGCAAAAAAGGGCGAGTGGTTACCAGCCAGTTCGTTGAGAGTCCCATTAGCAACAGCATCATCCCAAGTCTTATGGTCAGTTCCACCAAACATCCACATAACATAAGGCGCACCCACAGCAGTCGCCAGCAAAGAAAAGTCCTCACTAGCAGCCGGGGTTTCCATCTCAACTAGCCGATCACCAAAGTACGGCTTGAAAGTCTCTCGGAGAGCATCAACAGTCTTCTCATCATTAATCGTCGACGGGGACGAATCAGTAAGCTTAATCTCAGGCTTCTTCTCAACGCCCGCGGCCATACACTCCGCCTCAATAATGCGGTGAATAGCAGCACACACGCGCTTCCGCACGTCTTTATCAAAAGTCCGCACATTCAGTTGTAGATCCAAATATGCCGGGATAATATTCGATGACTGTCCAGCATGAATACTACCACAGCTCACAACAGCCATCTTTCCAGGTGCGACCTCTCGCGAGACGATTGTCTGCAATCGCATAACAATCGCCGCCCCGAGCACAATCGGATCGATAGTCGTATGCGGCGCAGACCCATGGCCACCACGACCAAACACGCGCACGTCAAAGGAATCAGCGGCAGTCAGCAGTGGGCCGGCGCGGAGATTCACCGACCCCGCGCGCATGGTCACTACATGTTGCGCGAGCACAAGGTCCGGCTTAGGAATCTTTTTGTATAGCCCGTCGTCAAGCATTGCCTGTGCGCCATCGAGATGTTCCTCGGCGGGCTGGAAGATACAGATCAATGTTCCTGACCATTTATCGCGCGCTGATTTCAGGAGCGTCGCGGCCGCCATCAATGTTGTGACGTGGGAGTCGTGTCCGCAGGCGTGCATTACAGGCTGGTCGGCTCCATTTTTGTCTTTGACGTGGCGGGTGCTGGCGTATGGCAGGCCGGTCTGTTCTTCTACAGGTAAGGCGTCCATGTCCGCCCGTAGGAGAATTGTTGGGCCAGATCCATTTCGGAGGACTCCTGCTACGCCATGGCCGCCGATTTTGGTGTGGACTTCAAAGCCGACGGATTGGAGGTGGTCGGATGCTATCTTGGCTGTTTCCTCTTCTTGGCCCGATAATTCGGGGTTGGCGTGGAGGTGGCGGTAGACATCTTCGAATGGCTTTAGATCTGGTCGGTGGGTATTGATGATTTCGTCCAGATCATTGTTTTTTTCTATATAGGTGAGCATATATATATTTCAGTTAGGTGTAGTCAGTCGTACCTCTTAACTGCATGTTGGAAGTAGTTAATTATTCTAGTTCAGAAAAGTAAATGTCCCTTCCCTTTGGGGTTTATATAGCCGACAAATCGGATAGCATGCACCCGCCATCGACTCTTCCAGTAGAAACCCACCTCGTCGGCAAACCCTCGAATCATTCGTGTCCCCCGCAACTGCAACTCTACATATCTTGCCAATTGCTCGCCTATTGCCGATTTTCCCGGTTAATTCAGTTTTTTTCCATTATCAACTATATAAAATTGGGCTTAATCTTCACCAACTGCCCAAACTGCCCAAATTACCCAAAATGTGTAATAATCACATAGGTATGGAGTACTAGTATTGCCCTAAATACCCTAGTATTCTTTTCGTTGGTATAAGAAGCCATCTACCCTGAACGTTTCCAACAGCCCAGCCGGGCTAGCTCAATCGGTAGAGCGTAAGACTCTTAATCTTAAGGCTGCGGGTTCGACCCCCGCGTTCGGCTATTCCTAAAAACCAAACCTGAGATTTCTTTTTTTGTTTGAATGCTTTTTTACCTAGACTTTTTTGTGTGGCCCTATTGAAGAGGGTCAATGGATGCGATTAGAGGTGGCCAGGAGCCACCTTGCGCCATAGATTTTCATTTGTATAATACTAATCAATCTGCAAAGAACATCCTAGGAAGCTCCATGATACATCTTAATCTACAAAAGCAAAAAAAGGACAATTGGTAGTTACCCAGCAAGAAAGAATCCTTGATATATATATTTCTAGCCACGCAGGAGTGCACCGCAACAGATAAACCAGTCCACCTACCACGGAACGCCGGCCATATTCAAACTGTAAGGCCTGCTCCATATCGATACAGAAGTTTACTGTACCCATTGCAAATGCAATTTATAGAGCGATATCGTAGAAATTCATGCATAATCCTCCTTGCAGTCGGTGTACCTTCAGGTGCTGCTCTAGACCTCCTATAATATAACCAGATTGAAGCAGATGAGAGGCAAGGAGGTATAATCAGTAGCGTGGGTTTACATGAACGGTATGGAGGGATAGTTACATGTTCAGGCACTGAGTACTACACTTGTAAGCCTCGTGGATATAGTGGCAAAAGCCTATCAGGGCATATATTCTTTGCGTTGGACATTGGCCATTCCTGTAGGTTTCCAATTAATTGGATCTCATAGTATGTACATAGCACCTCGTATTTTCTCTCGAACAAGAACAATCAATTCATTCTTTAAATTAAAACAAAGAACAAAAGCGGTTATGATTCGATTAATTCAACGAGCCGAGCGTGAGACCTCGTGGTGAGAATGTGTCAACTTCTCCCATCCACAACTTGAACACAATCATATGTCGTACACCCCTTGAATTAAATGACGTCTTCCATCTCATCTACTATCCACACCAAAAAATAACATGCTCGCACTTAGTATCCGTAGTACGGGTTGAGGGCCTCCTCCTCGGTCGCCTCGGTGCAACACTGGCCGTTGATGTTCGTGCCGGTGGAATCATACAGGCAGTTATCGGCTCCAAAATAGATGTCACCATAGGCGCGGGGCCATTGAGCTACCAGCTTGCAGCCAGGAACAACCTTGTAACTAGTCTTGACGGCTCCCTCGAACCTCGCAAAGATGGTTGTGTTACTGATGTCGGTTCCTTGGTCTGCAATGTCTGTTGTCTTGTTAGATCCCGGCGCGCACATAAGGAGATCGCACATAAGGAGATCGCACATAAGGAGATCTTGAAAATCATAGAAACTTACTGATAGAACTAGTCTTAGACTTGCATAGGGTCTCGCCATCCACATTGATGCATCCGTAGTTGACATGCTTCATGATTTCCTTCATGTTAGCAAGATAGTCCCCACACGAGCTGTGATTTCGTCGGATACGTACCACATTAGTTCCACTGGGATTGTATCCTTCTGGTGCGTCACAAGGCCAGTAATCCCCCCTTGTGGTGACGTATAGAGCATTATTGTATGCTGTATCGAAATCGTCGCAGATTGGCAGGTTGAAGAATCCCGGGGTACGGATTCCATTTTGGAAGACATAGTCACCCAGTGTGCCTGCTCCATCAATTTCCTTTGACTCCTTCGGCATTATATAGCCATTTTTGTTGCCATTCCGCTGGAATCCCTGGTACGAGCTCACGACGATATCCTCCAGGGTGACGCCGCCCCAGGCATTGCCGTTAAGAGTTTGCTGGTTTCCTCCAGGAAGGGCTTGGAAAGGAATCGTTCCTTTTTTTCCATCGACGTTCACGACATAGAAAGCGTCGTTATTGTAGCAGACATATCCACCGACTAGGGCATCTTTGTTTGTGTGCTCGAGAATCTGAGGGTCGATCGACGTAGAGCAACCTCCAGCCTTCCGCCTGTTGATAAAAAAAAGAACTAGTTAATAACTTCTCTTGGTTATTTGTAAAATGACATAAGGGTGCTTTTCTTACAGAATGCGGGGATAGAGGCCGGCGGGGGCTTGCGACCAAGCTGCCGGAATCAACTGTCCGTAAAGGATCTTTGCTGCCTGCGCAGTCATGCCAGTCAAGTCCACTCTGGACGAAAGTAGAAGCATTCCACCGCTGGAAGTCAAATCTCGAATAGCGTTAATCGAATGCTCATCATTAGTTCCGTTGAATAGCGCGCTGATATATTCGCTCTCAACGCCAGTCCACCCGGAGAAGTAAGTGCCAAGAGCGGAGGAAATGCTGTTCTGGGTGCCCAATGCATCTTTGGCGCTGTTTGGAGGTTATCCGTTAGTACAACCAAGGGTAAGGGTAAACTCGGGAAGAATATATGACTGACGATTTCAGTGAATCCTTATACATCGTGCTGCCATAAGAAACAGCTGCTGCGTTGGTTACATCCTTGCCCATGGAGAAATACTTCGTCCCGGCTATCATGGTACCCTTCAACGCTATAATTGTGATACCTCATTAGCAATAAACAGGTTGCAGCTAGAAAATATGCTTACCAATATTCCATGCAAAGGAGCTGCCAATACTAGCCACCATGACAAGGGAATCAATAATAAACTTGATTATTTCGAGGTTTTCTTTGACCTGAGGCGCAAAGGTGCTCGCAAAGGTACCAACCTCATTCTGCATGATATTAAGGGCATCTCCGAGAGAGCTATGGGTTTGTTGATGAAGCTGGCAGAAGGTATTCTGAGTTAGTGGACTGCCTGTGAAATCCAGAGAGAAGGATGATATACCTGGTGGATCGAGGAGAAAGAGTTCATAATCAGGTATCTATATTCCTCTGTTAGGCTTTGCTTCTGTGTGTGGTGCTTTGTAAAGAGCCTGTGTACTCACCCCGCGGGATACAGGGCCTGATTACAGGTCAACACCGTGGAGCAAGGAGTGTTGCCGATATCTTTGCAGTTCCAGTTGTCAGGGCCAGTAAAATAGCTGCTAATAAACTCAGGGAAGCCCAAGCCAGTGTTGATCCCATAAGTATTCCAGGCAGAGATGGCGTCGTTAAGGGCATCGCTAGCTCCGGCTGCATTCCAACGAGCGGTGGGATCCAGTGTGGCGTCGGTGATATCAGGAGTGCACGTAAGATCCATCCAAACTCCCGTGGTTGTCTGGTTGGTCAATACAGCCAGGTTCTTTACCGAGAAATTGCTGCTGCCTGTCGACAGTTGCGTATCGCCGCCTACCGATGCAGCCAGGTTTTTGATATTGATAGCCTGAGTTGGGGTGGGGACTGCAGCGGTAGAGGAAGCCCTGGTAGAGGAAGCCCTGGTAGAGGAAGCCCTGGTAGAGGAAGCCCTGGTAGAGTGAGGGACAGCCTCTACGCCAACTGCGCAAAGAAACGAAAGGGAAGCTCCGAGGATGATAGAACGCATCTTGAATCCAACTGTACTGGCAAGAAGAAGTAAAGAATAGAATAATGCGAAAGCCTTGATCCTTTTATATACATTATACCCCTATATTTGTTCGACATAAATAGACCAAATGTTGATCCTTCTTGCTGGGGAATCCTAGTGCCCAGCTGCCAGCCTGTTTGGAAGATCGTCTCATATGTTGTAGGCCGTTTTTACCTCAAGGGACGTTCTTCCCAAAAAGGAAGTTGGTAGCCTGCATATTCAATAGCTAGGGCTAAGTAGCACTACAATGCCGTAGGGTTTATTTTAGTAGATCAAGGTTCCTCCAATCAGTTAGCCCCGATCTTCCACGTGAAGCCGACCTTATTTACGTTTCGCATACTTCTATGATTTTGTTTCAAGTATTGACATTATTTCCTGTGCTCGTATCTCCCCTGATTTCTTATGTTCTAAATGACGGTAATTTGAATGTTCATTTAATATTAGCCGCGAGGGAATGAGATCCTCCTTATGGCCCCCCAAAGGAATACGGCACCGCAGATTATGAATAAGGTGCGGGAAATTGTGCCCCACAGCCATTAGAGCACGATGTTCCTACGGCGATGCCAATTCGATATCAGATGTTGCCTAGTGCGGGAGTTTGTGTCAACTCTGTGGAAATTGACCAGCTATATACGGAGTAGCCGAAGCTAAGTTGTGTTGGGGACAGTATAATAACAATCTATATAATGTATACATACTATGTTTTATGTGCTCCATACCTTTTCTGGCAAATTGGGTCCAGTCTTGCATATATATATAGCCTCAAACTAACTTGGTGTTTCAGAAGCCAATGAGGTTTATAAAGTATGATGTAGTTCGTATGAAAAACCACCATCAGTTTGCTGGCTTTCGAATGTTCCGCTAGCAAACATGACATTCAGTAGTTATGCGATCGAACTTGCTCTCGTTGCCTTGTTTGGCGCATGTTTTCTCAAAACATAGATGGTCCCAAATATGACCACCCGACCGTTAGGTCACCAGAAAATTCGTTTACTGCAACCATAATCATCCCTGCTGCTGCATTTCAGAACGCAGCCCTAAGGCTAGTAGCGTGGCATTAAATGCACCTAACCCGATTACTAGCAACAGAGGAACTTCCAAAGTGACCATATATAGTGACTGGTCGAGACTTGGCAAGGTAGAAACATCATTTCTGTTGCGATGGATGTGTATGGTTGCCTAGTAGACCAGGTTACAACCCACAATAGCAGTCGGTTCTGGGCGCTTGTTCCCTCTTATTAAATACCCATCTCTTTCTCTCTCCCTCTTTCTGGTCTTTGTCTCGTAGACTCCAGCAATTCATATGTAAAAAAATCTCAGCCGTTTGTATCTTAACCTCAATTATTTCAATACACCAGGAAGCTTAGACAAATCATCGACAAGTCCTCACGAACAAACAACGTCCTAGAATGGTTTAAGGCGATTTTGCGGTAGCCGCATACTTCCCAAGGTAGGAAACTGGTCAATATAGAAAAGACTCAAGTGCATAGCACACCCGTGAACCACGGGACAGCCAACTATATACCCACGTGCCCCACAGTTTATATCTAGGTCACGTGCCCCACAGTTTTGGCGGGGATGTACGGGGCACTAGTCTCAGAATAGTCTAGTGTCCCATCTCCTATGTTTCATGAGCCTCAAAACGGCCCTGAATTTGAAATGTGTAAATTTGCCACACATAGCCATGTCTCCATTAAGGGGCGCTTCCATCCTCCAAAATCCCACCGGGCGCTTATAGTCAGTTTGCTCCCCAGGATACTAATCAACCTCTCCAACACTGCCAAAGACATTCCCATTCCCGCCTTTAAAGACTTGAGTAAGATCCAACTAGGATATAACATAGATAATATCCACAGCAGTTAATCAGCTAGTGACTTAAAACACGAGCCAAGAAAGTCATACCAATGTATTCTCTCTCAAATTTGGGTGGAAGAATACGGGCCAGATATTCTGGCCAATCATACATCGGTCTCAGATGCCGAAGTGCCTGACAATATTCCCAGTCAATAATAGCCGTAACCCGACCTCCTTCAACAAGAATATTCCGTGGGGCGAAATCAGAATGCGTGAAAACAATCTCATGGTTATCCATAAGCGCAAATTTGGCATAATGTCGTAGCACATCTGGTGCTAGATCAACCATATCTGCCAGGATAAATTTGTTGAATTCCTGCTCGGTATCAAATGGTCCTCCTTCGATTGACGAAATATTTCTCATGATAGCTTTGCCGCGACCAACTGCTACGATATAGTCACCCTTCAGTTCGCGAAGTTGGTTCATGTAGGAGTGTAGCTGATCGGCAATTGAGAGCTTCTGACTGGAGTCTAAAGTAGCCCATGCTTCATCAAGTCGCTTGCCAGGCATGTAGTCCATCACTAGTGCCACAGGTTTGCCATCTTCACGGCGGATATCATGAACCTTGGGTACAGGGATCGTTGTGTTTGCTGCAACAAAACGAAGTGCTTCCCCTTCGTTGCGGCGGATATCATGAACCTTGGGTACAGGGATCGTTGTGTTTGCTGCAACAAAACGAAGTGCTTCCCCTTCGTTGCGGCGGAGATGACCTGACTTTATGACAAGATTGTCGCCGAGTCGGACAACAGTACGGCCGTGTATTGAATGAATTACCGTACCGTCGTGTTTCTCCGTTCCTTCTTTATTATTCGTTGCCTCTTGGTCACTCGTTGTGTTCATGTCGAAGGAGATATGATTGCTTTTTCAGTTGAGCGCTACGAGTAATGCATAGGGAGAGGTAAAAGGTAAACGTTGAAGGGAAATAACACCAAGCACTTAGCCAGGAACGCGGAGTGCACAGCCCCTCTTCCCGCACGGGCCTGGATAAACAACCCTGCCCCCTTCCCACCTCCAAACCCCAGTAATTATATTTCAGGATATGGGAGAAATGCCTTTCAAATTGACTAGCTACTAGATCGATGGACTAACGTCATGGCACTCACTTTGGGAGGCTTCTCGGGCAAATGGCAAAAACAAAGCAAACAAAAAAAAAATCATAATCCTACGTCTTTGGCGACTTTGGGAATTTCTCCAACTCAGTTGTGAAATCGATTTCGGAACCTTGGCGCCATCGATTACGCTGAGATTGGGTTGAGGAACCTGCTGCACTCTGGAAAATCATATAGAGAAGCGAAACAATCTCAACTTTTCTACTTTCCCAATTATAGCTTCGAGTAATGTACTAAATGACTTATTGGTGACATTCTAGTATGTTTCGGGGGTTTTCATACCTGGCCATTCGCTCGGATGTGAATAAACTCCCAGTCAAAGCTATCGGTGACAACGCCGTACACAGATGTATCATGCATCTTTGAAGTTTTTCTTGCATGATGAATCATACCTGTTTGTGTCAGCATATACTCTTTTTTATGTTTGTAAAGTTTATCTCAAGACTCACCCATATATGCTAAGCACTGAAGCACGCCGCCCTTCAGAAACTCAGCTTTTTTTGCTTGAACCATTACGAGGTTTGTTTCGTAATCTTGTGGTGTTCCGAACCAGAGAGAATAGTCTACCACGCCGGAAAGTAGAAATCTCTTGTCCTTGGTCTGCCATGGACGTTTGATACTCCGTTCAAATTGAAGATGCAGGGATTTTATGGTGTCTGTAGAGAGGACAGATCCGATAGAAAGACGGGGGTTAGACACCGATTCTAGTTTCATCTTAGCAAGCGTGCTCAGCACGATGACATCAATTCGAGATCGTAACAAGGCTTCGTTAGGGGGTGAGTCGCCAGTTGCAAGCTCATAATCTGCTAGAAGGCTTTCTATTTAAGTTAGTATATATGGACACAAAACAGTATGGATCAATCAATTATACCAAGATAACTGGGAAGTGAGACTTTTTCATCGTCTGTCGGCCAAAGTTCTTGATCGGTGGGCTCATCGCGTTTGAGAGAAAACAGTTTTGGGATTTCCGACGGCTCTAGATCAGTAACTGCCTCAGTCGGCAGTTTGGCCGCCTCCTTTTCCAGTTTGAGATTTTGGGCTCGGACAAGGGCTGAGATTGCTTTCACCTCATCGATTATTCCCTTGTTCTTGTTAAAGCGGGCCATTTTCTTGTTGAGGGAGCGAATCATGTCCTCGAGCTTTTCCATAAAATCAGCCATGATTGGAGAGTGTTTCGAAAATTGCAAGAGGTAACAAGAGAGTAAAAGAATGTTGCGGAAGGATGCTTAGAAACTTGGAAAAAAAGGCCTCGGCAAATGAATAAGAGACTGTAGGATTTCAGAGGGAAGAATAAGAAAGTGTGAGTAGCTCAAGATATATGTAGGATGATAGCGTTGTGGGATGGAAGACAGAAGATGTGAGATGGAAGAAGAGTGAGTGAGTGAGGAAGTGAGCAAGAAGTGAGTTAGAAAGTAAGTGAGAAGTGAGTTAGAAAGTAAGTGAGGAACTGAGCGAGAAGTGAGCGGAAAGTTAGTATTGATGATGACTCTATAACCTCAGAACTCGAATGTTCTAGGGTTGGTATCTTCTACGAAGGGAAAGGGTGAAACATTCGAGCTAATATTCCAGCAATGAGGTCAACCATTTTTCGAAGACCGGTTATAGACAGTGAGCAAAACGCCATACATAATTCTAATACTTCACCCTCTCGCAGACCGCAGTTGTCTGACAGCTCCTTTGGCGATTCACCAACTCAATGGCTGATGAAAAATATCAAAGGCATCCTCGGAACTCTTGTCACTTGCCCGGTCATTACTATCGGCAAAGTAATTGGATGTAGCAGGGATCTCTTCGATGCGCCAGCCACTAATCTGCTGAATAGTAGGTATACGCAGAGAGGAACGCGGCACCACTCGTTTTTTGTAGAGATTGACTGCCTTGTCGATGATGTCCTGAACTTGGGCAATGATCTGATCTCGGTGGTCACTCCAGTCAAATATTTTGACTGTATACTAAAAGAAAGTTAGCCATAAACCGAGTTTTTTTTTTTTAAATCAACGACCCACTTACCCGACTACTGTTGCTAATATGAATGAAGATCCATTCTAGCCCGTCAGTAATAATACCGTAGATAGCTGCGTCTGCATCTGGATCTGCAAACTTGCGAGCACTGTGGATTCTTGCCATATTCAGAAGCAAAGCCCAGTCCTTCGGCTGGCCAGCCTTTGGCTTCATGACGATGAAATTTGTTTCCAACTCCCAACAGTGTCCATACCATAGGACATAGTCGATAATATTAGCCGAACCCGCGCCTTTGCTTTTTGCCGTCATTATTCGCTTCTGAAAACTCCAGTGCAGCGACTCGCAATTCGCAGGCGTGGGAGAACAAAGAGCTTCTCCTTCTTTGCTGATCTTGTCTGCGAGTTGTCCGAGTAGAAGGGATTCTACTCGCACTCGGAATAGCCATTGCATATCATCTTCTCTACTGGTGACTAGTGCGAGGTCGTTCCATAAACTTCCTAATAAACGTCGTTAGCTTGTAGAACTCCTCAAAGACCGATCAGATGAAGCTCGCCTAGATGCTCTGGGATTTTCCAGGTTTTTCTCGCGTTCAGTTGCTTTCTGTTCCACCACCTTGTCGGTGAAAGCCCAAAGGTTTCGACTGCGCGGTGGAACCTTTTGGATGGTTTATGTTCCTTTGGCTCCTTTGTATCGGTCATTTGGGATGATTTCAGTATAAAAATGGATGTAAATGAATGAAATGAAGCGCTATAAGATGAAAAAAGCATAATAGTAGCTCCTGAGGTAGTACTTTCCGCATTTTTTGTACTTTCCCTTCCTAGGAAATTTCATAATTTTGCCTCTCCCAAGGTTATCTACTGACGTCTTACCTTCGTCACTTTCTTCTATAATCCTACAGTATATCATTCGAATTCTGAAAGCATCAGCTGCATATTGCTGTTTGTTTTCCTTTATGAGTGACAGTGAGAGTATCTTCCACTTTCATAATCCCAGACATATTCGCTCTGATACCCAAAGTCGCAACCATTGTGCAATAAAACCATACATTTGCTAGATACATAGGTAGTCATGCAGAACATAGTAACTCGACCTTTGAATGGCCAATAAGATGATATGCCCACGGGTGGGAACCTTGGAAATAGGTAGAAGTCCTGTGACCTCCTAAGACCTCTTTTCATATCAGCTGTGAACATATCCTTGGAGCATCTTGTCTTTCATTGAATGACCACCCTTGCCGTAAAATACCCTTAAGCTTCAATTACGAGACTGGTATTCATCGTCACATATACAAGGCTGTAGTTTACAGAGTAGACCGTATCTCCTTTCCCATCTAGGATATGATTAGCGACAGAATAATCAATAATTAATTACTTTTGTCCAAGGCAACCATGGAAGACAGAAGAGGAGAAGTGAAATAAAGAAAGTCCTGGAAGATTCAACCTGTTGATCACTTCGAATACCGGTTCTACTTCCTAATATGGAGTCTAAAGCCACACTTCAGGCAGACAACCAGATTGAAGACTACCGAACCTTAGAACAAGGCATCAGACTATCAAAATCAGCCCCAGTGGCAAATTTCATCCGTATTTTTCACTCTCAACCGGGGATTGTAGTCCGTTGCAGGCCGCCATACTCGGGTTGTATACTTGGAGTAACCCTGTACTTCTCCCCCTGGTCCTCTCGAAGTCACGTAGGAAGTGAGACATATCCCGTGTATAGGAATTAGAATTGGCCATCATATGCAAGTCCGTCCAGGATCACATATAAAACCGGCATGACAGTGTAGCCACTATACGTTGGATTCAGCTGAGCAATATATATCGAGGAGCCCGGGTGATTTTCTTGCAGGTTTCTCAACATAATGGCCCCTGATGACGAATTATACAAAATATGGCATGGTTACTTCCCAGGAAGGTCAATCCAATACCCGAATTACACTATAGATTCAAAAGATCCATGTCCAGCTGAAGGGCAAACCTTGTCAAGTCATTATCGGCACAAGGCGTTCTCTGCCTTGCGCACGGGCCTGATTAAGCCACAAATGTCAGGATCATGCCTTGCTAGTAATACTCAGTGAAGAATCCTCACGCATAATGCTTGTACTACGTACAATTTACTTGTTCATGCGTGAAATAACATGCAAAATATGTACAACATATGTTGTATGTATGGAATTTCCCGCTTTGCCACCGCGCGGTTCTCAAGCATCGGCCCGACCCACTAGTGGACCCAAATGGCTACGTCAACCAGTAATATTCGAGATAAGCCAGGGAGGCTCAACAGAATTTTCTTCATTGAAAAAAAAAGAAATCTCAGGTTTGGTTTTGAGGAATAGCCGAACGCGGGGGTCGAACCCGCAGCCTTAAGATTAAGAGTCTTACGCTCTACCGATTGAGCTAGCCCGGCTGGGCTGTTGAAAGAGGTTGTAATAATACAATTGATATCGGTCTTAAGTTAGGGTCAAGTCAGGCCACGATTTGGCTGAGCGGTTAGTATGGGAACAGGGAATGAACGTGTGGAGGGGTATATATTAAAATGAAAAATCCCATGATCCATGAATAAACAGTGAGTAGGCGTGTGATCCAACGGAATACGATAAAAAAAGATCAATCTGTCCTTTTTGAGGTTGTCGGGCGCAATCGAGGGATCAGGACCCCTGCCTCGATACGGAGTATAAACAATGTGGCTCCAAGATGCATGGGAACGTAGGGAGAGAATGCACCGAAGAAATGGTACCCTGGCGTGCGCGTGAAGCGATGTAAATTGAAAGAAGAAAGAGACAGAAAGACCAGGTTATGACCGAATGGGACCCTTGGCTTGAGCGCCGGCGGTGCAGCGAGAATGGGGCAATTGCGAATAAGCACTTTCTGAGATGTTTGACATCGGTGGCTGGTGTGTCGAATCAAGAATCAGAGATAGCACAAGAGGAGGCTGAGGCTTAGCAATCGTCCTCCATTGGGGATAGACTGGGAAATGCACTGGATGAGAGCTATCGGATATCTTGTGGCTTGCGGCTAAGGAGGGGTCAGTTGAGGCTGATGAGAATCCCAAACGTGGGGTCCAAAATAAACAATAATCCATGGTCGCACACTATTCTTAGATGGCTTGAAACGTTCAAGTATCTCCAAATAGAACAAGAGAACAGTGCTCGAAGTCCCAGCCAGGTGGTTTGGTGGTGTTCCAGAGTTGTCTCGGTAGACGCTCATCGGCGGTTGTAGGAACCTATGAGCATGGGGTATCAGTGGACGGAAACCTTGCGATAAAACACCTCCTTGTAAATGCACTGGCTCTGGTTGAATATTGAGGATCTATTTCCGAAAGTCATGTCGAAAGGGTTGTAAATGGTTCAAATGACGTGAACCTGAGGCCTGTCCTCAGGGGGCACCAAGCGGCACGGGGCCCTTGTCATGGCGCAGGAACACGAGAAGCACAAGCCACACGATATTGGAAAGGCGTATGACATGTGTAATAAAAACAGAGGATGATATTTGATGTCATAGGAATAAAGTAACAAAATAATAATAATTCCTTGGACATGCCGGAAAATGGGGTCGGGAACCAAAAGGGAGATGGTGTGAATAGAATGAAGAAGTCGTGCATAGTGAAGTTGACCGTCAATTGGGGGAGTCGAGCCAATCAGACAAAGGATAAGAGCGAATACGGCGGTATTGGAAGCCAAAACACAGCCTCACCAGCCACAGAACAAGAGATAGTGCGGTACGAGCCTAGCACTTGCATTTCTCGTATCTTTAGCGTGAGGCGCTAGGTACTGTGGAGGTATTGCAGATCCCCAAGGCCGCAGCAGACACCATACACTCCAGGCTACAGGACACGATCTATACAGCCTGCATGACCGGTGCATGTAGTATAATAAGGGCCACCCCCCACCCCTTTCCACTTGAATATCTACCTCAATCCACATACATTTGACATACAATTCACATTCCATTCTATATCCATTGTCACACTTGGGTTTCACATCCGATCATCTATATACGGTGATCATCTACTATCTTCGCGTGACCTCCATAAATCAGCCAAGCTGTCGCCCTTTCGCTCAACCTCGTACACCGTCGACCGCTCGACTCACTTAACTACCAAGGAGACATCTCCTTCTCGTCCTAGTCTGAAGCGACGCCTACTTGGACTACGCCGTTCCAACACAATGCCTGCCCCCATTGAGATAACAGACCCTCTCGCCGTCGTTCGTGAGCTCTACGACGACGAGAAGCTGGTGGTCAACGACTTCGAGCGTCACGCCAACCACTGCGACTTCTGCGCCCACGCTGTCAAGACATACAAAGATAGCCATGCACTCTGCGAGTCGGGCAACACCCGCGCCCGTACTCTCCGCAAATACATCTACAGCCAGAGCGGCAAGCACTACTCTACTGTGGACTTTGAGAGCGGCAACCCGACCAGGGTCAAGCTGCCCCGGGATGCCCTCGCCTCTCGTGAGCTGCTCACAGCCCTCGAGCAAGGCCTGCGCATCCGCGAGAAGGCCGTCGTCGTCCAGAAACCCATCCAGCCCATCCAGCGCGTCCCATCTGTGAGCTATGACCGGACCTACCCGGTCCCAGCTCGCAAGGTCAGCGGCAAGCAGGCTCGTCCTCGCTCCATGTCCCCCGAGGCTTACCAGGTCATCGAGAGGTCCCCTCGCCTTTCTCGCTCTCCTACTTCCATCATGTACCGCTCGCCCGGTGGCTCCCCCAGCCGTCCATCCTCCAGCCGTGGGTCGCTGTACAGCCTTGACCGACAGGAGCGTGTGGAGCGAGTCTACGAGACACCTCGCCGCTACGTCGAGCGCTCACCCAAGCACCGGTGAGCGTCTACCTGCAAAAGAACACGAACGTGGAAACGTGCAGCAATGGATTTTGACTCTGGTTTATCTGATTACCACCACACAACCCCCACCCCCAATCGCTTCGAAGAAGCTTCAATTCACTCGCGATGGGCATTGATTGCCCACCCCCCCCATTTCGACCGCGAGTCGGTCTTTGCCTGTAATGTGGAAATAGCACATTATGGGCATACCCACCCCCCCTAACCCAGTCTTTGATGATCTGGATTGATAGGGCCTGCCTGGATGCGCCCTCGGAAATTCACCTTTCTGTTTTCCAGCTTTGATTCTTTGACTCGAGTGCACTTCGGGGTTCTGGATTGGGATTTAGTCAGTCTCGGACCCCGACCTGATTGTGACTCGATTGATTGTTTTGATTGAACGCAGTTATCTGCAGTCTTGGCCTGGCCCCGATTACTCGTATGCTCCCGGAGGAGTATGCAGGTGCGGGGACATTGGCCAATGACAGATGCGGAAAGTCGACGATGTTCATGCGATTACTTTTTTGCGGTTTTACTACATGCTTTATTGGCTGTTGTTACTGTGACTCATTTTTTGGCTGTGGAGAAGATTGTCTCTCCTGATGATTTTTGGTTTTTTTTGACCTTTTTTGCCAACTTTTTTCCTTTGTCTTTGATCTGACGATTTGAAATGCGCCCTTTCGGGACATGGCTGTCAGCCTCACACTCTTTAGACAACTCCCACTGTGGGAATTAGCTAGTTGCACGCGTTACGATTGAAACAATGAATGTCTTATTGGAAAAACCAATCATCTTTCGAGAAAATAATTATAACGGCTACGCACTGAGACATTGTTGTATTTCATCAAGCATAGTAGCTAGAAAGTCCAGTCATGAGGCTACCCCACATTGCGACGATCATGATCCTCCTACTCTGTGCTCCCCACCATTCACATTATATTTACATTACTGCTAGTATCTTTTTGAGGTTTTTACAGTTCTATACATGACTCACTGCGGGGTTGTGGCTGAGGAGAATGATCTGCCTTAGGCGAGGAGGCAGAAGTCTTAAAGTTATCCTATTTATATCACCTGTACAAATTGTCGATGCCACGTGAATTTCTTTGAAGATGACTTCGTAAATGATATCAAGAATGTGATACCTAGATGAAGAACTAATAAAAACCAGAGTCACCGGCTAAATTTTTTGGTTGTTTCTCGACTCCTGATACTATCACTACTTCTTCATGATCGGAAATAGGCAGGGGAATAGAATTTGCTGAATCTGACATCGAAAATATATTACTGATAATAATTTGGCACTTTCAGTCCTTTGAACTCAAACGAAGTGTTCTCCCGACGATCAATCACAGTCTTATGATGAACATCGCGCACACGAGCTCGAACATACTCAGTTCCCGTGGGGGCAGGTTCGCTTTGATTTTTATCTTCTTCGGTCAAAAGACCAAGACGGTCAAGCAAAGGCGAGGGTACAGTTCTCATTACAGTATGATCACCCGGTCTGCAGAAATAGAGCAGCCCAAGACGGGGGATGTCGATCTGATCTTTCGGAGGTGTAACAACACGATGGATGGTGGATTTGAGGAAGCCTGTGATTCCTAGTTAGCGAAATACTTATCTGATAACTACTATAGGTAGATATAGGCACTTGCCATTGGTAAGGAATGATAACGTGTCAGCAATATTGCACGTAATCCCACCTTCAACAGGCTTCACATATTTCCATTCCCCATCTGGCGCCCGGATCTGCAAGCCAGCAACATGCTGTGAGAAGAGCAGTGTTAAGCTACCAAAGTCCGTGTGACCGCCCTTAGTATATGCTTGTGCCTTGTCCCATTCCTCTTGAGTGCGAGTGTTGTAGATCATGTATCGCAAGTGGTCGTCGGAACGCTTGTCATAGGCGTGGGCTTCAACTAGATGATTTTCTGGCAGTTCCAGAATAATAGCCATCAAGATAAACAACTTGCGGATAACTTTGTCAAAAAGATCACGATGGAAGCTGGAAATCTCATCGTAGTTCTGATGGACGATTCTGTGTTTGGGGACATCATCCCATGCAGGGATCGCTTTAGGGATATTGAGCTTTACGAGTTAGACAGATTCAATATTTTACACACGAAGATAGGTAATTATGTACATACCATTTCAATATTATCTTTCACACCCGTTTCTCCAATCCACCTTGAGTTTTCACGGTATCCGAAATACTCACCCTCGGCAAAATTGCATTCGAAGCTTCGCTTTTCCTCAAGACTCTCTTTGAAAAATGCGTTGCCGATACTGAACTGGCGCAGGATACGTTCATCGTCAAGTCCATGTCCGACCACTATCCAAAACCCGACTCGTGTCACAGCATCGTATAACTGCTTTGCGAGCTCTTCTTTTCCGCCGGGTTCGTCGAAACGAGAAAGATCAATTTCAACTAGTGGTGCCCAATCGAGTTTCTCGTTAGTAGGTGAAGGCCGGCTCCATGGTTTGATGGTGGCCTTTTCGATTGGGATTTGTTCTTCTATAGCGGCTGGAGCCATATTTAGTTGAGGATAGACAGCAGCAGTGATGAACTAGGAAGATATTCTATGCGAAAAGACTGGACTTATATAATTCAAATAAAATTCTAATTGTGATCTACAATGTAGTCTTGTCGTGAGTACTTTGCCATATATGCGGGGTCTATGGTATCATGCTTGCCCAGAATGGCGTTATATGCAACAGCATTATCGTGCTATGAAATGAGGTTGAATTATAGTCAATGAAGCTTCAAATCAATAGAACAGAAATTAAATTCTGCTGACTGGGCATGGCGTTTGAATGTGTGGAAGCCTGGGGTCAACTGGAGTAGCCATCCTTTATACTGAATGTCATATGAATAGCGCGGCGTCTATGTTCGCTTTCGGATATCCATACGCCAAACTATACTATCTTTACTTCCACCGATGAACAAAACCGACCTGTATATCGAAGCTCACTACCGTTCATTGGCTATTTACACTATGCGAATGTTTATTCTTCTCGATGCCACACATTTCGGGCTCCTCCAGGTCCTAATGGAGACCCAAATCTCCCCGTGATGCGAACTTGTGACAAAAGACGGGCTCAGGTCACTCGGAGAGAAAGGAAAGAGAATCCATATATTGCGTTTTTTATTGTCCCTAGCTCAAATTAAGAATAGGAAAAAGGAGAAACGACGGTTCAATCAAACAAGCTGGTAGATGCTTTTGGGATAGGCACGGTTGGGGAGGGTATGTCGTGATTCAAACTATCATGGCATAACATCCCGTGTCGCCAAGAATGGAGGGGTTCAAGTGTCATTCAAAAATAAAGGTCTTACAAGAGAAATAAGTTAAATTCGGCTTATGAGGTAAATTTACTCAAAACAATTCAGTTTGCATTGAACTGACATTGGGAATCGACAATATGGTGTTGGATAAGTGCGACGAACTGGAAGTAATTACTTCCAGTGTACATTCAACTACGCCCAATGAGATCAATCGCAAAGATTTAGAAAATGAATATAAAGCCAGACTCGAGAAGAAAGTGGTGCGAAAGATAGATTTCTGGCTCGTTGGGTTTTACTCAATTGTATACATCTTTCGGGTTATTGATTCCAACAACTACTCCAATGCCGCCATCATCAATCTAGAAGCCGGCACTGGAATCAAGAAAGAGCTCAATTTTAACTCCGCAGAATGGGCCTGGACACAATCTATCTTCTCCTACAGCTACCTCTTTTTTGAGCCGACCAACACCATTCTCCTCAAACGAGTCACGCCCTCGAGATGGATGTTTGTTCTGATCCTTGCCTGGGGTATTTGTGCCTGTGCTGCTGGCGCTGCACAAAATTTCCCGGGGATGATGTGTGTGCGGTTCGCAATTGGAATGGCTGAAGCCGGTTTCTACCCTTCTGTGCTATACCACATGGCATTCTGGTACAAGCCGTCTGAGCTGCGCTGGAGAATAGCTCTTTTCTACTCTCTTGGTCAGGTATCTGGTGCATTGAGTGGGCTTCTGGCATATGCTATTAGCTTTATGGATGGAGCCGGTGGGCTATCAGGCTGGCGATGGCTTTTTGTCATCGAAGGCCTTCCGGCAATTGTGCTGTCTGTGGTAGCATTATTCGGTCTTCCGGACTACCCCGAAAATGCCCGCATGTTGACAGAAGAGGAGAGAGCTTTTCTCAAGGGTCGCCTATCCTCGTCAGCACCATCTGGAAAAGACAAAAGCTGGAACTGGGGGGATATCAAAATTCTCCTCTCAAGTCCAACGCTGTACACATTCACAGTCTACTGGATTGGACATGGGATTGGCGGGTTCGGGGTGAATTACGCTTTGCCTACTGTTATCTATGAGCTTGGTTTTACTTCGACCGCTTTATCACAGCTGATGAATATTGTGAGTTGGTCTCGATCTAGAGAAATGCACCAATCTACAAGACATCGCTAACCAAGTTCATAACCAATAGCCTCCCTACGTCGCATGTTTTTTCTTCTTGAATACTCTTGGGTATCTGCTACACAAAGGATGGATCAGACCTTGGACAACTGCTGTCGCGAGTAAGTATCAATTTTTCGAAATATCCACGAGGTTCCTACTAACAACGGAGACAGTCGAAAGCACGACAATCATCTGCTATATCATTCTGATTACAGTTCCAAATTCAATCGTCAAATACCTCGCTTTGGTTGTAGCTACTGCTTGTGCCGGATCTGCATACCCTGTCATCTGGCCAGAACGTATTCGTGCGCTTGAGGGTACAGTGGCCGTGGGGATTGGTATTGGACTGACAAATGCCATGGCTCAGTTTAGTGGCATTGCTGGACCTCATATATACAGTACGGTGTTCGGGCCAACGTATCGAGTGTCATACGTTATCTGTCTTTGTTTCCTGTGTGCGGCTATCTCCGGGATTCTGGCTTCGTGGTGGCTTGTCTGGCGGAAAGATCAGAGGAATGAATTAGACAGTGAGCGTGAGGAAGATGCGTGATGATTCGAGAGACAATCCCTCTTGTAGGTTGTGCGACCCTTGGAATTTATATGAAAGTGATATTTGCATATACACAAGCCATGAGCATAATGTAACTAGGGACACAGGCAAAGCAACGATCAGTCAGTTTCAACTACGTGACCTGTTGTCCCATCCAGCTCTTTCGAAACACATCTTTCCTCCAAACTTCTCAACAAACTTTCCATATTACATGTGTCACGCAAACATTGATCGCTCATCTCAAAACAACCTGCATCTTGAAGCCTTGCGAATCTCACTTGCTTAATTCTCCACTCTGACAACCATGCCTCACGCGGGTCCCATGGACTTCCAGGCCCTCATCCTGTGTGGCCCTGGAGGTTCACTCAATACATTCACTTCCAGACCCGAGGAGTATCCAAAGTGCCTCATTCAAGTCGCAAACAGACCCATGGTATTCTATGCCATTGACTTTTGCATACGATCAGGTGTCACTAGTAAGAATCCTTTTGCTGTCTTGACCCGTTGAATTAAATTGACTAATTATAATACAGATATCACACTGATCACCCCTGCGCTGGCCTTCCCTCCACTTCGAGCCGCCTTGGACCAAAATCCACACCTTACATCATTCTACTCGCACCCAGTCTCGGTTATTGCACCGAAAGACCTTGAAATGACAATGGGAACCGCCGAAGTGCTCCGCCTTCCCGAAGTCCAGAGATGTATCACCACCAATTTCCTTCTCCTTCCCTGTGACATAATCTGCGGAGTTGCTGGTGAATCAATACTTGAAGCATGGATTTCTAATCAGTGCGTCAATGGCGATAACAATGATTCTAAAGGGGCTCATCACCCATCCCGTCCAACCTCTGGGTACTTTGACCGTCAGCCGGAATATCGCTCCGGTGGTCTCGCTGTGTACTATCAGACCGACAATCGAGAGGAGAGCATCCAGGAAGAAGCAACTGATTTTGTAGCTATCGCACCGCTCGAGCGGGACGAAGCACCCGTGATCCCACCCCCCAAGGGACCAATGGTCCCACGGTTCAGCCTCTCCAAACTCCTCATGTCAATGCCGATGGATACAATCAAGGAAAAAATGAAAGAAGACAAAGGTCTACTTATTCGTCATTCTCTTGTCCAAAACACCGCACGCATCAGGATGCTCACCACATTCCGCGATGCCCATATTTACGTCTTCCCCTACTGGGTCAAAGATCTAGTCCACTACCAAACAAAACTGGAATCCGTCAGCGAAGATTTGGTAGGCACTTGGGCAAAGTCAGCATGGCAGAAAGGTCTCGGCGAGAAGTTAGGATTGACCAAGAACTTCGACGAAAACACCATACCCGTCAATCACAGAGATCTCAGCCCCGCAAGCAGTCATAGTGGAGCATTCGTCGACAAAGTAATCGACCTCCGCGAGATTAGCACTACCAGAACTCGCGGTGGCTCTGATCAGGTGCCAGACCAATTCAATCAATCCACTGTTACTGAGCTGCCGCAAATGCTAGCTTACGTTCACCGAGGATCAGCCCCGTTCATCAGAAGAGTTGATAACACAGGAATTCTTCTGTCAACTTCCCTTCTCCTGGCAAAACTGCCCTCTATCGAGGAAGTCGGCCGCAAGGCAGCGTCGCCTTTCGCGCACTCTCAGAAAGTTGCCTACCCCGAAGGCATCTCCTTGCCTAGCAATATTACGAAGAAAGATTGTCTGCTCGGTGAGAATGTGATTGTTGCACCAGCGGCTGTTATCAAGGAGAGTGTGATCGGTGCGAATTGTCAGATTGCTGGATCCGCGCGCATCATTCGTTGTGTTTTGATGGAGGGCGTAGTTGTTGAGTCTAGGGCTCAGTTGACTGGATGTGTAATCGGCCGACGAGCTCATATCGGTCGCGAGTCTGTGCTAAAGGGATGTGAGATCCAGGACGCTAATGTTATTCCAAAGCACACGAATGCCAGGGATGAGAAGTTCATGGTCTCTAAGACATTGTGCGTCTGAAGCGAATGGTGTGCTAGCAATCGGTTTTTTTCTATTTCTAGTCAACTGGTATATGTCAACTAGAATGGAATTTTAGTTAAGAAAAGATATGAAAAATAAAAATGCCATTGTTAGTTAAAATGCACGTCCCCGAATTTGGCCTTTACTCTAATGTACACAGCGTAACAACTGCACCACTACCACAATCATACTACTCAGCCTTTCTACGAATCAAATTAGACTAACCGTCAAGAGAACAGTTCTGTTTCTATTGTAATTTATATTTTTTGCATTTGCTAAGCTCTTCATTTGAACTATATACGGTAGCGACAGTCATTCCCCCACAACTCTCTCTGGCCAAGAGACGCGAAACCCGATTTATTGTTGCAGAAATCAACACCACAATGTATCGATTGTCTAGCAATATTCAACCCAGGCATCGAGATTCATGTTCTTGATGACAGTCGAGAACTTGTCGGCGTTGGCTGCGTTGCAGGCTGATGTCTTCAACGAAGAGGAGAGAACGGCTCTGGTTCGGAGCTTGTGCTGACCGTGTGTGTGTCTGTGACGGCGTTGGTCCTCCTTGCTACCATTGGTACTGGACTCGTCTTCATCGCCTTCATCATCCTTGTCATCCTCCTCATCATCCTCATCGTCCTTCCCATCTGCTTCATTGTCCTTCTCATCAGCTTCATCATCCTTCTTATCGTCTTCATCGTCCTTGGCATCGTCTTCATCATCCTCTTTGGCGTCCTTCTCATCAGAATCAGTGGAAATATCAGTGCTACCAGTCTTGGCATCATCGGCGTCTGTGCTAGTTGCAGTGGCAGTGGCAGCAGAAGAAGTAGAAGTGGTAGCAGGGATGGGGGTGACAGTGACAGTGGCGGTAGTCTTGCTTTCAGCAGGAGTATCGGTGGTGTCGGAAGTATCAGAGCTATCATCAGAGCTATCATCAGAGCTATTATCAGAGCTATCTGACTCGATAGTCTCCCCAGAATATTCAATGTGGAAAACCGGCTTGTTGACTTCTGTGAACGCAGCGTAGACGTCGCACTCATTATACTCGGCACATTGCTCATTGACTGACCACTGCATCTTATCAATAACAGAGCCGATGATATCTCCACCGTTCTTCAATCCGATCGACATGCCACGGGAGTGGGATTCGGACGCCAGGAAAGTCAAAAAGTCAACCGAGTCGGCCTCGGTCAATCCAAGACCGTTCTCATTTCCATAAGCATCAATATTGTCCGGGTCAACACCGTCGCAGCCCTTCTGCTTTGCCAAATCCAGACGTGCGCTCATGATCGTGCGAACCTTGGTCGACTTGATGTTCAACCAGCGCTCACCTGGCCACTCATCGAGGTTGCTGCCAAAGTCTGCGGAGTCGAAGTCGCTAATATCTGGGCGCCAGTCTTCGTAAGTACCGGCAGAGAAGTAGCAGATAACCTTGTGGCCTTTGCCCTGGAGAGCGGAGACTGTCTCGGCGGTGTTGTCGAAGAGGTCGATGTCCCAGATGTCAGCGTCAACGGTGGTGTCCTCGACGGCGTCAACGAGCTGGATTTGCCATTTGACTCCGGCGGCTGGTTGCCAGATGGCGGTTTCGGTGCTGGTGGTATCGCGCTTGAGCATCTTCTTCTGGTTGTGTCCAGCTCCGAGCTCTGCTCGGATGTCCATCCCGATGGCAAGGAAGAAGAGGCCTAGAATGCAGGATACCAGGAGCTTGCGCTTGGTCACTAGGACCTGCCAGCCTGAGGTTTGGGTATAGTTCATCATTTTGGTAAAATCGTTTATTTAAGTTGAAAGGAGTGTGTGAAATGAATGTGTGTGTGTAGAAAGGAATGGATAGACAACTTGAATCCAGCAAGTGTCAGAAAAAGGAGAGACGGAAGAATGGTGATAGAATGGGAGACATCATGAGTAGACGCCTAGTACTTATAGTCCTACATATTAATGTTACTGGGAATTATTTGGGGTATAGCCTGCATCGAACTGTTTCACATTTTCCACATATGGAATCGAACGTATAAGGCTGGGGCAATCGCCTAAGATGGCCGAACCACTAGCGGGGGACGTTAAACGAAGCCAAGCAAAAAGAACGCCCCATTATGTCGTAGATCGGACCAGTAGAAGTGATAGGTTCGAGAAAATGGTATGTTAAATTGAGGAGGATCAGTCCGGATGAGTATGGGAAAGATGAAACGAATGCCAAGAAACGCCTCGCGGTAGATGTCGTCCGTTCATTTGCGGATATTCTCCTTGGAGTCGTGAACTCTGACTTTGATCTAGTCCCAGATGCAAGTATTTGGCGTCATCTTGTTCCAATCGGAGGGCCCGGGAGGTCTTGTACCTGTCTTTAATTAATTAGACATAAGGTGAGATCTATGAAGCCCCCCGACATTCACACATCCTTAATTTCCACCTTAGATATCACAACAATTTGAAATAAAATGCACATCGGGGAATTGCCGAATGAGATGATCTGCGCGAGTCTACTTGATAAATTGTACAAAATACCCGATCTCAACGGCATTAGTGTCAAGCCTCAATAGAGTTGGGCCAATTATATAGAACTAGCCCTTGGCGAAATGGCTTCTCGCCCTTCTGGCCCTGTAAGACAGTCAAAGAAACCTGGAAATCAAGAAATATCTTCGCATTGCCTTGGCACATTGATGAGAGCGCCTACTTTCAGCACGTTCTCATTTCAGACAGGTCTTACTCGAGACAGCTTTCTTACTTCTCTTTTTTGGGTTCATTATTGGATTTAGTCTCTTCCTATGTTCGTACATGGCATTTACTGTATTGATAGTAGAAAATAGTGAAAGCAAATGTAGATTATTAACAAAATGTTGTATAAAAATCTTGATTCCCCGCTATGTCCATGCATCTGTTTGCATTTGCATATGTTTCAAGTCAGACCAATCTCACGTGCATCCTACCCTGCAAGTAAACTATTGGTCATCATACACATCATATCCGTAATTCCTTCCGACATGGTCCTTCCGCAAATGTCTTTGTCCATGTCCATACACCCTCTCCCGCATCGTACCACTCTCACCTAAGGGCGCGTATACCCCTCTTCTCCTCAGCTCAGGCACCAAGTGCTCGACAACATCCTCAAACGTCCCAGGGGTCTGCACGTAACCAATATTGAACCCATCCAAGTCCGCTACCCGGACCCATTCCTCCAAAAAGTCAGCAACAGTACTTGCAGAACCAACAGGAACAGGCCCCGCTCCACCAATCGAGATATGCTTCCCAATATTCCGTGGCGTCCATTCAGGCACATCTGGACTCTGATAGGAGAGTGTATTAATGGTGGAATGGACGCGGGCGTCCACGTGTACATCTGATGGCGTAATAGGCTTGTCTAGATCAAACCGGCTAAGATCGATACCGCTCCCACCAGAGAAGAATGCAAGACCTGCTTCTTCGCTGGCGTATTCTAGTGCTTCGCGATACTTTTCCTGCGCTTCTCCGTCGGTTCGGCCTACGATCGGCGTGAGGATGGCGAATACTTTCACTGATTTGGGGTCTCGACCGAGCTTGGCCGCTTCGTCGCGGATGGCTTTGATGCGTGGTGCAAGGATGTGCGGGGAGGGAGCTGACACAAAGATTCCTTCTGCATGTTTCGCGCCGAAGGCGACGCCGGCTGGTGATGTGCCTGCCTGGAAGAGGAAGGGGGTGCGCTGGGGTGATGGGTCGAGGATATGAGGACCATCGAATTGGAAGTGCTGGCCGTGGTGGTGGATGTATCTGATTCGACTTGGATCCGCATACACGCCTGTTTGAGCGTTCTCTTGGAGGGCGTCGTCGGCCCAGCTGCCCTCCCACAGTCTATGCAGGTAAGTACTTTGTATGACTGTCTATGTTTCACTGTTGCTTACTTGTACAATGCGGTCAGGTACTCGTCGGCAATTTCATACCTCTTGTCGTGATCCACCAGAGGCAGTCCCACCTATGGATGTCAGTTTTAGGTGAACGGTCCTTCACTGAGTATACTAACAGCCTTTGCAGCAGACTCCTTCCATGATGTCACAATATTCCACCCGAATCGACCACCCGTCAAATGATCCAAAGTCGAAAACCTCTTTGCCACAACGTATGGAGCCTCATATGAAGTAGAGGTGGTGATCGCAAAGCCTAGATTCTTGGTGGCTGAAGCCATCGCGGAGATTGGCTGATATATATCATGAGCAACCTAATTCTATTAACGAAACGGACAGTTGACTTACTATCGAAGGATCCCCCATGGGATACTGAGCCCCATTCCGAATAGCGGGTTCTGCAGTCCCCTTGTACGTGTCATATAGACCATAGGTGTCGGCAAGGAACAACGCATTGAAGTCGCCTTTCTCGAGTAACTGGGCGAGATTTGTCCAATACGACAGATCTCGTCGCTTGGTGGCTGACCGATCGGAAGGGTTCTTCCACTGACCAAAGGAAAGATGTCCTACTGTGAACATATCGAAGCCATTGAGGTATATCCGCCGCTTAGGTGGTGAGGTTTCGGCTGACATTGTACAAGGATGTGTTTTAAGCTCAAGACTTGATTTTATTTTGAATATTTGCGATCGGATCAAATGTCTCTATTTAACAATTCTCAAGTCCAGGTGTTGCTATATTTTGACAATATTTATCTGCCCGGTTCATACAACCCCGCTTGACTCTCAACTGCTGTCATCTTAGCGAGAAATCACGAATACTCAACTTTATCGTATCAGAGACTCCCACTACCCTGGCCAAATGAGATAAGCATTGCTCATGGGGGTACCCCTCTAGAAGAACGCCGAATAACGTCGTCTAGAACGGGATCGCGTGATTTATTGTCACAAATACACTTGACAGGTTGAATATATTCCTACGGACGTTAGAAAATAAATACATTGAGTCTGCTTTGAAATACTCGTTGGTTTAATTTAGTCAATTGCCACATATGTACCGGATTCATATAGTCATTGCCATAGGCCTCGCAATAAGAACTTTGTACCACGAGTACGATGCCATATGGCCTCATATATCATACAAAAGGCGAGTTTAGAGCTATGAACAAATCTTCCTTAAAAGATACAAACTCGGATTTTCCAAATTGATATTCTGTCTTAATTCCAAACTATTTCTCATGTTTTTACAACAACAAGAGACTACGTACCCTATACCCCTCATGATATTGTTTAGAGTACTTGTATATTTAACAATCTGGTATTTTAACTTGATATATCCACAGCCTCAAATTATGGGCTAATATATCGGCGGGATGGCCCCATGGATCACAGTGTGGATTACTTGGACCGTAAACAGACTCGCTGTTCACCTGGAAATGACCTAAATCTATTACTTTCGCTTTTTATAGTTGTCCCGGGAAGATTGCCGATCTTGTTGTGCCGTTGGTGGTTTGACCTGCGTCAAAGGCACCTGGTTTCTGCGAGGAATTTATTTGCGTATGACTGTTGTTGAATATTGTGACGTCTTATGAACTAAATGATCATCCTCTATAGATGCCAAAATGGTGAGTGTTTTCTATCTATTGAATGTCACTTGGATTCTGATTAAACAGAAAAGAAGCAATAAGAAGATAGCAATGGCAGAAGAGCAAAGAAGCAGAGAGGAAGAAAGTGTAGTTACAGATCAACTGATTATGCATGAAGAAGTTATCAAGTTGCGATAATAATTTTGCGGCAGAGGAGCAATAAGATTGGGGTGACTGAGATTCATTCATTAGGCATATTTTCAGAAAGCTTGGTGCCAATGTACATTTGATGTAGTACTGTTGGAAAGATGGAGTAGGAACGAGAAGAGAACGAGATCTTGAGGAATATCATAGGCGTCGTCGGCTAGCCTAGAAGGTGGGTCATGTGGGGATGGGTGCCTGCGATACAACGTCGTCTTTGGTGTGATCCTCCGTATCTTCCATGTTACGTATCTTCGGAGTCTTCCTCCAAGTTGTCTGCCAGGTTATCCTCAGAATCAAGGCCCCCTGACATGATTGCGAACCATTTGTCTACCAGCTCCATGAAAAGGCTCTTTCCCAGTCCATGTTCTAGCTCTTTGGACTGATTGCTTGAAAGCTTGTAGGCCTGCGGTAAAGCGAAGTGCGTCTCGCATCGCCATGCGATCCTCCTTCGATAGGAGGAACGATAGTGCGACAGTCCAATATTCGGATGACTGCGGCAGCTCAGGCATCGTTTGTATCCATAAAGCTGTGGCATCTCGATCAGAAATTGGGCCATTAGTCGATTTCAGCAGCATTCTAGCAGCAAAATTCGAGGTGCATACTGCAGCAAGAGCTTCCAGCCGACTTGCTGCCCGGTAGAGGGCTGACAGTTTCGCTGCCACACCCAGTCTCCACAGCTCTCCCATGATTTGTAAAGTGCTAGCATCCTGAATCAAGTAGATAATGATTGATTCAGGTAGGGCTATCTCCCCTAATGAGATTTGGCCTATGCCGCGGGGTTTGAGGGAAACGGGTGTATTCAGGGCTAGAGCGGCGTCAGGTTTGGTTGCCATTTAGCCGGTAGAAAAATAACCCAAGTAACAATGAGACCGAGAATATGTAAGTAGGTAGTAAATTTAATGACTGGCAAGGTAGGACGTGAAGAGGATGCGGGAAGTGAGAGAGAACTGGGAGAAGTAAGAATTAACAGAGAAGTGAGAGAAGTGAGATGGAAGTGAGAGAAGTAAAAGATAGAACCTGGTGTATATTCTCTATCTGATCGTGGTTAGAGGTCAAGTGAAAAAATTTACAGTAGAGGAATTAAAAAACTATGTCAACCAAGTACTTATTTACTACTTACTTCTGCTTTGGTACGGCGGACAGCTCGGTGCTGATTTACATTTGATGCTATATTTCTAGGAAGCTCCGTATCAACGAGAAAATAATGAGAACATACTAGGAAAACGTGAGATCGGAGGAGTGTAGGCAAACCAAAGCAAACAACTCCAAGTTCAGAAAGAGTCCCAATTAACCGGTGTTCCTTCATTATACACAGTCGTGTTTCTCTCAGGGCCGGTAAAAGCTAAAGAGGATTTAAACTTATACCCAAGAACACACAAGATTGACACCTATATACCTATCTACATATTGTAATATGTACATAGAGATGTCCAGGTATATGTATTAGGTTATCCAGATTCTACTGTTCTAAACCCGGTGGCTCTGATCAAAATCACTACTGAAATAAACATATTACGTCTAACTGTCCGCTACTTTGACCTGAAACCAACTAGGACAATTGGCAACTAACCATAAGTTATCTGATCTTTAACAATGATATACAAAGTACACATGCCTCCTTCATTAGCCAGTGTGCCCTAACCTGAAGATGACGTCATTGCGAATGCCACGCTTATCTAATGTCAATGGCGCTTCCACTTTCCCCCCGAGGTCCTAAGCGCCCATAGTTTTCTTTATGACCTTCCTCTCTCGTAGCCTGCGTATCGACATATCCTGCCATTTACAGCCTAGTCCTGCCAACTGTAAGCGTTGTGCCATGCCTACTTCGCATAGTGAAAATGAGATAGGGGCAAGCAATCGCCCAGTCCGGAAGAGGACTAGAACCGGATGGTGAGACACTTGCCTACATCTTTGGGGCCAAGTACTGACAAAGAAATCTAGCATCCAGTGTCGCAATCGCCGTCGAAAATGTAAGTCTGATCTACTCTCCTCTTGCTAAATTTTGGCGGCAGCTGACACGATCTAGGCGATGGGGCACAACCACGATGCCGTGGCTGTGAAGTGCGAGGCCAAGTCTGCCAATGGGGACTCAAGGCTTCATTCCATCCCTCACGTACCATTAGTTTATCACGTCGTGAAGCTATCGCACTATGTGAATTAGAAGAGGGGCGAGAGTCGAGACCACCTCAGAATCAGCAATTCATAGACGAAACCAGTGAGATTGTTGATGCATACTTAGCACCTAGTCGTCTGTCCTGCAGCCCTGAATTTCCAGTCCGAAATGAACCTTCACCTAGCAATGTCTCTCACGCCTTCTCACAGCCAACTTCCAGAGAGTTCAGCCTCGCTGATTCTTTCAATCAGCATAGCCTACAGGCTTCTGATGTCCTACAAAGCCCACTAAGTAGTGACCATTACTTCTCCCCTCCAACGGAGTTACCAGCCTTCAATTCAGTATCCGAAACTATATCGGCAGATACCCAAAATCATATTTACCCTTTCTCGCTAGGCCGGGCAAGCTCGAAGCATGCCACACCACAGCCAGTGCCACGACTCCCAGTCACGGATGGGGAAAAGCTACATCTTATCTCCGCCTATCTACGGGAGACAGGTACCTGGTGCGAGACAACAGACTCCCAAATGCACTTCACCGTGAAAAGCATTCATGAACTAATGAAATCATCGTCATTCGTCGCTGCGGCGCTTTCACTCGCCTCCCGCCAGCTAGATTATCTCCGGGGGCGGCAGAGGCCCATGACGTTGGAGCTATACCAATATACCATTCAGCTGCTCCTTTCCCAGAACCCTGCACAAGCTGACACGTCCATTCTGGCTACTTGCACTCTTCTCTGCGTGTATGAAATGATGGCATCGAAAGTCGAAGAATGGAGACGGCACTTGAAAGGCTGTGCGGGATTTCTTCGCACCCAAAAATGGAATGGATCTAGTGAAGGCATTGTGAAGGCGAGCTTCTGGGCCTTCGCCCGTATTGGTGAGAAGTCTTATTCACTTCCAACATGAGTTCATGGCTGATTACGATGGCAAAAGACGTGTGGGCAGCCTTTAATAGTGGAAAAGCGACGTTAATTCCAACTGAGTCTTGGGTAGACGATATGTGTATTGATTCTGTTTTGATCAACGGAGACTTGGATGACTATTGCAATCTTGCAATCTTAATCTTCGCCAAAATTGTGAACGTTCTTTCTAATTCCCAGAGTTCGAGAAGAGGAATGGGAGTGGCTTCATTAAAAGCCCCCCTTTCCGAGCTTTGGGATGCAATGCAGAAGTGGTACCAGCTGCGACCATCAGAGGTCTGTCCGTTGCTGAGAGACTTTGCTCCCACGAAGGTCTTTCCAGAAACGGTTTACGCAAGGTCTTCTCCTAGTAAGATTTTACCTCGCTAAACAATGAAACCGCCGCTGACTCTCCAGACTGCGGCAATACATTCTATCACTCGGGTTGCATATTGCTCCTACAGACTGGCCTGGTGATGCAGGGATCAGAATATCAATATTCTCCCTCGCAAGAGGAGATTGTGAGTCTAGGTCTCCTTTTCAAATTTATGTACCCTTCATCTCACCACTTCCTAGAATGATATTATCTGGCATGCACGGGAACTGGTTGGAACCTCCATTTCAAACCCATCGCAGTATGTTTGGCAGCCCTCCTCCTCGGTTTCATTTGTAGACAAAAAGAACCAGACTAATATTTCGAGCTGAAACAAGTGCGAACTGGGTCAATCAACTTCAACCGTTGTTCATCGCCGGGACAGTATTTGGAAATTCTGTGGCCACCCCAACCATCCGGGATACTCTATTCGAGTCTCTAGGTGATGGAATCTCGACCGCACAAAGCTATGACTCTGATGAGTTCTCTTCTGAAAAAATCTTATTATTAAAGCAACTAGCCAGAATTGAGCGCGAGACGGGTTGGAAGACCTCCGATCGAGCCGCTGAGCTGAGAATGCTTTGGGGGTTTGTGTGATATTTGTTTTCAACAATGATCTATATTAATGGTAGGCTTTTACATCTATTCGAACTCGAGGAAAATTAGGCAAGGAATTCTCCCATTGTGGCGCAATTGAATGCTGATTATTTCCGATCGAAGCGACCGCAATGCTTATATATTGACTAATATTCCAGCTGAAATCGCGGCTTCAAGCGCGAGCCCATGAATTGATGACGGCGTTTGACGAGAAAAACTCTCGAACATCTTTCACGAACAAATCTGGGCGCTCTAAAGATGAAAAATGGCCGCCCTTCCCGTATTCGCGCCAAAATTGAATGTTGGCAGCCTGGTTGGCCCAGTCCCGTGGGCACTGTCAAAACTGCGTCAGATAATTCAAAAATTAGGAGGTGAAAATGGACTTTCTTACATGGAGTTGTTCCTTTGCATACATGCTCACACCAGTGGGAGCAGCCACATATGTCTCAAATGTTCTTTCAGCCTCATGCATTCCACGGCCAAACGCTTCCCGGTAGAAGCGCAGACCAGGAGTCGCACCCTGTATCCAGTGCATCATAACCAGCGTGATTATATCATCGTCACTGAACGCATCATAAACATCAGCCCAGTCGTGAATCTTCTCCACAAACCAGGCGATTAAACCAACTGGTGAATCGCCTAGAGCAAAGCCAAGGGTTTGAGGTCTGGTTTTTTGTTGGTCAAGATAACCGCTTTGATCTTGCTCAAAGTTTCGCCTAACCTGCAGTGCTTTGTGCTCAAATTCCGAGTATGTAAGGGCAGAAAAGCACCACCGGATGTAAGCGGCAGGAGCTGAGAAGAGACTCGGCGGAGGAACTGGAAACATGTTCAGATGTTGAGCTCTGACCAAATCCGGATATTGTATGGCCAGAGAGCGGGTGATGAACGACCCAAAATCTCCTCCCTGTGTGACAAACTTTGTGTAGCCCAAGACATCTGTCATCAGGATCTTGTAGGCGCGGGCTACCACATTCGGCCCAACGCCAGATTTGGTCGGCGCAGGGGAAAAGCCAAAACCAGGAATGGAGGGAGCGACGACATGGAAAGCCGGGTCTTTGGCGTCCTTTGGCTCGCTTAATGGTTCAACAACACGAACTGCCTCCACAAATGAGCCTGGCCAGCCGTGGGAGAATAAGAGAGGAATTGCTTTGCTACTGGAAGAGCGTGCGTGAGTATAGTGCAGCACGAGAGTGCCATATCCAGGGACGTCAAGCTTCACAATGAAGTGGTTGAAAGCACTATTCAAGATTTTCTGATCAATTAAATTAGTGTTAAGGGGTTGTTATCGCAAGATTGTAAGTATAGTTACCTACTTCTTGTGTGTCCCAGTCATATTTGTTCTGCCAGTGCCCCGCGAGATGTTTCACACGAGAGACTTTAGCGCCTTGCGCCCAATTGTTCTCATTAAAATCAGACTGCTCTTCTGGGTAGCGGGCTAAAGCTAGCTTCTGCTTGGTGATATCCAGCAACTCCCGGTCCACTTGCAGCTTGTAGGGCACGGGGATGTTGAATTTCAACTGCTCGAGGGGAATGGGCGATTTGAGTACCATGCTGGAAATTAGAAAAAGGGTCAAAGTTGCATTGATCGAAATAGATGCTGAAGCCAAAGAGGTCCCCTTGAGTTATGTATCCTCGAGTGGCTATAGAGAAAAAAATCCATACCTCATCGTGGTGGATCTATACCTTTCTTTGGGGGATGTCGGGAAAGTGCAAGCGCAAGCGCCGCTCCACAAAAATTCTGGGGTCGTCTCCACGATCAGGTTAGTACTCCGAATAACAATTTGGAATGCACATCTAAAATCCGGACTCAGTATACTGACCAAATATACTATGAAAGGAGAGACTATAGGGAATTAATGGATATAGGGCAAGTATAGCCGCCATATATTTTGACGTTCATCGTAACCAGCAACAAATGCAGGCACTTAAATACAAGTCTGTGCCTGTAGGTGTAAGGCCTTCGACATCATTGACTTAACTCAAGACGTTGTTCTGAATACTTTATTAATTGACTGCCATGGATCGATCCAAAGAAGTTATTATCATCGGTGGAGGCATATCTGGCCTTGGAATGGCGGTTCAATTGAAACGTCTCCTCGGCCATGACAACTTTACTATCTATGAAAAGTCCGACAATATCGGTGGGACATGGTGGCACAATCGATATCCTGCTTGTGCATGCGATATCCCGAGTCACTTTTACTCCTACAGTTTTGCATTGAAGCATGACTGGACCACCATGTTTCCTGGGAGGGATGAGCTCCATGCATGTAAGAAAATAATTCTTTCGTGCTCAAGTATTTGGCTAACATGTCACAAGATTTCTTTTCCGTCGCTGAACGATTCAATATCCTACCACACTGTCGCTTCAATGCTATGTGCACCAACATGACCTGGGACAATAACCGCTCTCTGTGGATTGTAACCTTCCAGGACACTAACTCCGGCGAAATATTCAAGCGCGAGGGTCCTGTCGTCGTTAGTGCAATCGGAACTCTTGATCGTCCAGCCATTCCCTCTATCAAAGGATCCGAGACTTTCCAAGGCGAGACATTTCACAGCGCAGAATGGAAAGATGACTTCAATCCCAATGGCAAGCAAATCACTGTTGTGGGCAATGGCGCCTCGGCTACTCAGTTTGTTCCTGAACTGGTAAAGTCAGTTGGACCCAAGGGCATGGTAACCCAAAATATCCGGAGCTCCCACTGGTGGACAAAGCGAGTAAGTAGGCTTTCTGCGTTGGCCAAATTGTGATTCTGACTAGGGAAAAATAGGGAAATCCAACTTACTCCGAATCATTCAAGTTTGCCATGAAGTATGTCCCGCTCGCCGCTCGACTCTACCGTGCCATTTTAGCCTGGCAGCTGGAGAGCACTTTCTATTCATTCTACATGGACAGCAATGGCGCAGCTATGCGCCAAAAGATTCGGGAAGCTACATACTCGTACATCGAGAATGATGCGCCAGTTAAGTATCGAGAAATCCTGAAGCCAGACTACGAGCCCGGTTGTAAGCGTCGAGTCAACACTGCCACCTACTTGAAATGCCTGCATTCTCCACAGATGTTGCTCACCAAGGACGCGATTGTGAGTATTGGACCAGACTATGTCGAGACTAAAGAGGGAAAGCGCCACCCAGCGGATGCGATTATCTATGCCACTGGTTTCCAAACACAAAAATGGTTATTCCCTATGGAAATCAAAGGCATCGGAGGCAAGGACCTTCACGATCAATGGGACGCGTCAGGGGGTGCCGAGGCATACAAGGGTACTGTCGTGACCGATTTTCCCAACTTCTTTATTCTGTACGGACCCAATGCTGCGACTGGCCAACACTCGGTCATCTTCCACTCCGAATGTCAAATCAATTACTCGTGCCGACTGCTGCGTCCCGTGCTCCGAGGTAACGTCGACTCGATAATGGTTAAGCCGGAAGCTCAGAAACGAGACCTTTCCTGGGTCCACGACAAATTGCAGCATCTCGTCTTCAATAGCGGTTGCCAAAGCTGGTGGATGGACCCTGTTACGAAGAAAAATACTTTCATCTACCCGGATCCTATGTACAAGTACTGGTTACGCACAATTTTCCCCCGTTGGTCTGACTTCGACATGCGCACAACTGAACGTTCGTCAAAAAGGTGCCTATTACTGGGTTGTTTGGCAGTCATCGGGATTATCGGGTATTCCACTGTGGGCATGCAAGGTGCGGTGAAAATCATCGATGAAGCTTCGTCTCGGCTGTCGATTCATACTGGTTGGCAACTCAGGAGTCTCTCCTGATATATCTGTCAAGGGAGAGGAAAGGGACAAGCGATCCCAATAAAGCGGCTATCTTTGACAGGTGATATTTAATTGTATTGAATATTGTTTCCACGGTTTTTGAGTATACCTTCCTTTTATTGTTTCTATAGTCACCTATAGCTGGTTATCGCACGGCCATGGTGCAACTGTATAGTCTTTCTATGCGATACAGAACTCACCGGGGGTTGGTTACCCTAGTCTACTACAACCCCCAGTATAATATGTACAAATATTCACCAATTCACCTTCTTCAATCACTTGGAATGGGCTTATTTCTTCTTTAATTGAACCCAGTAGGCCGAAGATCCGACCTTAACAAATAAAGTAAGAAAGCCATTCCCAGCCCATCGCATTTCTACTTTCTATTCTACTTTCTATTCTTGAAGGACTCCCAAAAACTTTCGGTAATTACTGAAAATGACCCATTTCCTGAGATCTATGAGGATCCATCCGGTGCCCACTTTCCGGGTTCAATTGCAGACTGCTGGTAGATAGTATCAGATCATGACAACCTTCAAGTTAGTTCATGTATTTGATTGAAAATGTCCTGTTGACCGAAGACTTGTTTCGACAATACTGCCCCCAAGCGAGTCACTTTATCTAAATATTGAACTTGATTATTGCAAATTGCAGCTTATACTTTATTCATGTCTCAGAAATTTCCGTTCCTATGTTGTAGTCAGTGGAGAGAACGCTTGGCGTTCAGCTTGCGGTTATACAAGAATGGCTATGGTAAGCGCAAGCGCCTAACGTCCTTTTAGGTATTCCGATCCCTTGCCAACTGCATACGCCTTTATGCACTAGAAAATCAGGGAAAACCGGAATCTCAGATTGCAGATCACCCCAGATTCGATCCTGCCGCCGGGGAAGCTCATTCGTGGGGTGACTGGGATGTATAAATTCATATGAACCGCCCTCTCAATATGCATCACTTTGGATAAGCTCTCCTCAAATACTTACAGACATTTCCATTATTCCTTCTTTTACCTTTTCACAACTTCTATACCATGCATTCGTTTCTTGGACGGGGAAAGACCCTCCAGTTCGCTTTGACGGTATGCTGCTTAATGGCCTTTGTGCTGTTTGGCTACGACCAGGGTGTTTTTGGTGGAATCCTAGAGAATAAAGATTGGTTGGACCAGTTCAATCATCCTTCTGATTCGAAGACAGGTATTGTTGTTAGCTGCTATAACCTCGGATGTTTTGCCGGATGTGTCGGTCAGTACATCAAACATTTCATAGATCCATCTTAAATCTCCCATATGGGCCATCCTGGTGCTAAAATTCCTATGTAGTAAACTACATGATAGGGGAAATGCTCGGCAGACGTCGAAGCATATGGTTTGCTATGGCCTTCGTGATTGTCGGAGCGACGCTTCAAACTTCAGCCTTTACAGTACCTCACCTTATCATCGGTCGATTAATAACAGGCGTGGGTACTGGAATCAAGACATCGACTGTGCCCATGTCAGTTCTTCCTATTTTTATCTGAATTTAGCAAATTGCCTCAATTTGGAGTATATTATGTCTGTCCCGTACTGATGCAGTGGTTCCACACATAGGTACCAATCCGAGCTCTGCGATCAGCGATCTCGTGGTCGTCTTGTTTCAGCAGAAGTGCTGTTTGTCGGTATAGGTATCGTGATTGCATACTGGTTCGACTTCGGTATGTCATACGTTGGAGGCCCCATTGCCTGGCGCCTACCTATAGCCGCACAAATAATTTTCGCTCTCGTCGTTGTGATATTGGTCATCGGGCTCCCAGAATCCCCACGATGGCTATATAAGCATGGAAAATACGAAGAGGCGATGGAAACCCTTTGCAAAGTATATGATAAAGAGTCTACCGATGTTTATATCCTAGCAGAACGGGACGCTATTATCTCTGCCCTTGGGCCCGAGTTGGAAAATACGGAAAGCAACAGCCTTCTAGCCTTGTTCAAGGAAGACAACGTGAAAACAAGATACCGTGTGCTCCTTGCTTGGTGGGTTATGTTTATGAATCAGGCCGGTGGGATTAACCTCGTTGTTTATTATGCACCATGTAAGATTGAACATGATATGATCCCCGATCCTAGTCAGAGACATAAAAATTTGTCAAACCGAAGCTAATACACATCCCCATCATCAAGCGGTTCTTGTTCAAAACATTGGAATGACACCAAAACTTGCTCAAATTCTCGCTGGATTCATCAATTTAATGTTCGCCCTCGGTTCGATCATACCCACACTTACATTGGACCGCATGGGTCGACGAAGAACGATGATATGGGGATGCGCCGGTCTGAGCATTTCCATGCTGATGGTTGCTGTTCTCCTATCTCGTTCTGACGCCCCGAATGGACATGCTTGCGCTATTGGTGCCATTGCATTCCTTTTCATCTACATGCTTATCTTTGGAATGACTGCCAACTGCGTTCCGTGGGTCTATGTTCCGGAGATCCTACCTTTGTAGGCACGCACGCGTGGCACGGCAATCGGTGTTGGTTCGAACTGGCTGTGGAACTTTACGGTCGTCATGATCACTCCCGTTATCATTAACAGGCTACACTGGAAAGCATATCTTGTCTTCATGGCCACGAATGCAGCCTTCGTGCCTGCTTTCTACTTCTTCTTCCCCGAAACCAGCAATTTGCGACTTGAGGAAATTGACCTTATTTTCACGCGTCCTGGTAATCCCGTGCAGAATGCTCGGGAGATGGCAATGGAGATAAAGAGATTTGGTCACATTGCGGAGAATACAGGGAGTGGATTAGAACCTGCCATGGTACTCAAGGAGGAAAGCGACGAGCAATGCGAACATGCTTAGGGATTCTTGCTTCCCACCCGTTTATCGGAAAACATTGCGGAGTTTTGGCAAAAAATATGTTTTGTCTGCTGTGTAAGATTTTTTATCGGTGCTTTGCGGTTTGAGTACTGTGAATGAGAGTGCAACTCGCAATCTAAGTCGCCTGCGTAGCCTTTGTGGCACGCAGATATATAACCCGTGGAAGCTAGACTACAAAATTATTGACTTTTGAATATAAAATTGTAGCGGAATACTACCGAAAGCTGTAACGTATTTTGGGACTCTACTACTACACCCTTCGGTACAACCCCTTGCAGGTGAAGACGTTTCTAAATAGCAACTGTAACCGCACACGCTATCAAAGATAACCTTACATTACAATAGCAGATGTACCCGGTCCTTGCTGGAAGTCTCAGGGCTAACCTAACCCTAGCTGCAGCGGGTTAATTCCACGCCTGATTCTAGCTCTGAAAGCATTATGTACAGATTCGGAATCTCTAGGCTATGTACATGAATAACCTAATGCACCACATTCACAGCCTATAAACTATTTTGTAGGCAGAAATCTGCCCGTCTCTGTATTCCTGAAATCCACCTGGAACAGCGTCCAATCCGGAAAGGACTTTCGGATTGCTCGGCTTAAGCGTACCATTCTCCAGCCAGGATGGCAGATTTTCAAAAAGTTCGCAGCTAAGTTCGTGGTCTTCTTTTGAAGCCTATAAAGGGTTGAAGTCATAATGTCAGTACACGGAAGAGACATGCATAAGGAGAAGGGGCCTTATCCACTTACAGGCCACTTGAATTCCCCATAGCTATGATCATTCAGGAACGCAGTCCACACAAGCACGTCCGTAATATGGGTACCGGGAAGGACATCTTGGGTATTAGCCTTCCCTGGGCGCACTGTGCATAGGTTGCCAGGTCCCGCACGGAACGCACGGGAAGCGACAGTAGAGGAATCGGTGGTCCCAATAGTATCGAAAGCGTGCTTCAGATTCGGGACCGCATTATGGATCTTCTCAACCACATTTTTGTCTTTGTAGTCAAACACATGTTTGGCACCGTAGGAACGGACCAAATCGGCATGCTTCGGGCTACAAGTGGTTACCACATCGAAGCCGCAAAAGGAAGCGAGCTGGATGGCATATAAACCCACACTCGCTGGGCAATGTCAGCTTCAACTTGTAATAAAATGTATCTGAGGGGTACTTACAGCTGCCACCCCAAACGAGTACGCTAGTACCCTTCGCCCGAGAGCGGTCGAGGTTGAGGCAGTCTTTAGCGAATAAAGCGAGCCATGCGGTTGCCGACGCTAATGGGACAGTGCAAGCATGCTCACTGGAGATGCTCTTAGATACCTTGAATGAGATTTTCTCGTCAGCGACACAGTACTGGCTGTATGCACCCAGACCCTTGGTTTCACCTGTATTACCACATAGTCGTAAGCATATACGACGAACTATCGGCACTGGCTCAAAATTGGAAACACTCACCTCCCCAGATCAAGCCCGCAATGATATCTCCTATGGCCAACCGCGTGACATCCTTTCCCAGCTCAACGACTTTGCCAACAAAATCACATCCAAGAACCACTCCATCACCAAAGGCATTCCCATCAAAAGATTGCACTGCAAACCATTGGTAAGGATTAGTAAGCTGGTTATATAGGTACGTTATATAAGTATAATCGGAACATAACATACCATCTGTGGGGTTCTGGGCGACATGGGATATCTGCACAAGCACTTGGTTTGCTGCGGGAGAAGGGCGCTGAATGGCCTCTTTCGATAAAGTAGGCGTTTGTCCGCTCACGCGTACGACGAGAGCTGTGTTGGTTTGGTCAGCCATATTAAATTGATAAGTCTGCAAATTCAGTTTATGAGAAGATCCTGAGAAAGTGGGCATGTTTATTTATATATACATTGGTTTCAATTATGACGCACAGTGGAAGTCCCAATTCTTCCAAGTGCAAGCGCCGGGGAAGATATAAAAGTGGGACCACTGGAGGTTGCAGTTGCCAAATATCAAAATTCCGCTAAGATAGATCTGGACTTAGGTCCAAGAATATAATTGGAAAAATCTCGTATAAGATCTACGGAACACGATCCACACGTTGTGATGGGGCTTAGGGTAACTTCCGCACCCGCAGAAGGAATGCCAATGCCATGCCAAGCCGGCTAAGGTGAGGGTCTATACGAAGTATATCAGCACAGGTATGTATGGTTTTGATATGAACTCAAGTTTTACATTGCAGTATGCATGTGCAAACATTATAGCAAACAGCCTGGTAATTAGGGCTGCATATGCTAGACATATGCAGCCCACTATCGAACGCCAGATACAATCTCTGCTGACCACCACAATCATATTTGTCCCAATTTACCTGTGTCTTATATCCAATCTGTCATATATTATTTCCTCTGACTTCGTAGAGCTATTCTTAGGGATCTTCTACTTCGTCATCCTCCCGGTACACATCGTTCTGTACTAGCATTATCCATAACTATAGAGCAAGATGAGGAATAATTTACTCAACAGTCAAGTCTCATTCTCGGTTCTATCTCACTAACAAATTGTTGTTTATAGCTATTTCAAACGCTACACACCTCTGTCATTCACTATTCATCCTATGATGTTTTTCGGATCAAATCCAACATAGCTAGGCAGCTGGTTTTATTTACTCAGCAGCACACTTTCCACTCTTGCAGACAAGGTCGTCCGAGCAGTCGTTCTCATCAGAGCAAGTAGCGCCTAGAAAATTAGTTAGTGACCGTGAAGAAAAATATCAGCAGAAGGATTCTTACCAGCACAGTGTCCTGACCATGAGCAGGTAGTAGTAGGGGCGGTGCCAGCAGTTGTAGTAGTCTTCTTGGTGGTGGTGGCCAGGGTGGTAGTAGTGCCTCCGCTAGTCAGGCCGAGGTTCTTGGCAAGAGCGGTCATGAGCTTGTCACCCATAGAGCGGAGGGTGGTGAAGTTGGTGATGTAGTTCTTGGTGAGAGCACTGCTGGGGAGCACAGCCTCGTCGCCAGTGAAGAGGATGTCTTGTTGAATTAGTAGCTGTCCAAACAAAGACATAGATGTTCTAGACTTACAGGTAACATCAACATCGCTGTGGCCGCTGTTTCCGTTCAAGTCATCGTTGGGGAAGCAGGTACGGGCCATCAACCACGAGGCCTCGCCGATAACCTGGGGGCTATCACCATCAGAGTCTCCGTAGATACCGTAGAACATCTTTCCGTCGCTAGATTTCAGTTAGAATAGGACGCAGACGTAATATCAACCAAAGAGAAAATCATACCAGATGACTGCACCGATGTTGTTTCCGGGAAGAACACTCTCGTAGGTCGTTCCGAACTTGTCGGGAATGACAATGAAGGGCACTTCATAGGCAGCCAGAGCACCGAAGTTGGTCTGGGCCTGGCCATCGGGGTTTCCCTACAGCATCGAGTCAGTGAGAACATCTCAGGCAGAGAATAATGGTCAACATACAGTGCACTTGTAGTCGATGCCATCGCAGTCAACATCCATATCGGCAATCCAAACGAATGCAGCACCCTATCATCGATCAATTAGTATGCGGGGTTTAAAGTAGCCTAGTAGTGAGAGTATCTACCTCGCTGAACTTCGACCAGTCGCTGTAGATGGTAGACTTCTTAGCTCCGCTATCATTGTTGTTGAGATAGGTTGCATCCTTTGCAGCAGTGCTAGCCTTTGCAGCGGCGCTCTTCAATGCAGCGACGGGGATAGATGATCCAGCAGCGAAGTAGCTTGCTGGAGGGCCGGCAGTGGGCTTGTTGAAGGAGGCACCATCAACAGTTTGCGAGAGGCCAGTGCCAAACAAGGCAAAAAGGGCAAAGGGAATTGAGCGGCTGTAGTTCATCATGATTGCGGTAGGAATGTTGAGCTTTGCGATGCTTTGAGATGTTGGAGAAGGATGATTCTTGTCTTTCGGGGCCGGGCAAGTCGTGCTTTATCAACTCTTCTGATTCCTGAAACATCAGTCCATTAGCGACTAGTGATGCTAGCAAATACTACCTCCGGATTCACCGGCGCTAGTTGCCACTGAGTGACTTTTTTTTTTACATAGTCCATATCACCTCGTCAGCTTCGGTTATGCAGCCGATCCTTCAGTCCTGCAAGAGGTGAGACAAACTAACTACGAGGAGCGGGAATACTACCTTGTTCAGCCACAGCAGTCGTTATATCAGACGACTGTGGATTCGGAATTGATATCTGCAGAAAATTGTGCCTGGATGACCAGGATAACTGCGGGGAAGACCGTTTCAGGCCCTGCATAGCGTCACATCGGCCATGCTGTGATGTAAGGTAGAATCATGCAAAGCTAGCTAGAACTTTATTGGTTGCAGACTCTAAAGAATATTAATTGCAAGGCTATCAAAGCGCTTACACTGGCCGATTCCGGATTTAGAAAATGCTAGGAAGTAATACATAGATCGGCATAACTCCACATATTAGTTCGCATATTCGGGCGACACCCACAACTTGATAGGCAACCAATAATCAATATCCTACTAATCATCCACGGGATTCCCGGCTAAAGCTTGTGCTGAATTGGCGAGTTCTGCGAGGATGATCGACATTAATAGATGACCAGACTGGAACTTGAAAATCCAAGAACTAGGGCGTGGTAGGTCCTAATACATCTATAGGTCCACGAGAGCATAGGATATTCTACATGTAGATAGTGTTGCAAGACTTTGTTTTTCTTTATTAAAGCTTCGATAAAAGCTTCGATTATTCGCAGCCGGTTCTGGTATTCTTTTAGCCATATTACAGACCCTCGGTCCTCCCATGTGAGAACGTACCTTTTATGTACCTTTTACTAGACAGATCATACAAAAGGTACATATCCATATGCTAGGTTTTTTTTTTCCAACGTATAATAACTGTCAGGAGATCTTACTTTAAGTAAGCACTAGTGCCCTCCAGGGCTAACATCCTAGTAACGGTTTAATGACAGGGGACGGATGTGTTGTTTGTTGTATATCGCATGTTAGACGCGCCAGTAGGTTCAAATTTCCTAAACCTAGGCTAAAACTCGCATATGAAATTTAAATAGGAAAGATGAATATATATTCTACGTTGTACTAGGGTGTTGGAGAATATTGTAGTAGAAAAGATTTAGTACATATTACACAAGTACCTAACTATACGGGGTTCCTGGTAAAAAGTACATTTTTATATATGTGAATCCCTGTAAATTGAGGGAAAAAAAGCAAAAGCTGTACAATAATTCATGCACGAGTGTACATATGGATGCCTACCTTACTAACTCAAAAATAATCATCAAAACCTCTCAACTGCAGATCACCAGCCAACGAAACGTCCACGTTGATCTCCGGCCAACATCCCCGGCCCAGGGCCGAAACAAGCAATGACTAAGCTTCTTTCACGTGACCTACGGGAAACGATCAACTCCGACCTCGAAATTGTTTCAGAGCGACAACTCGACCAAGCACCCCGAGACGCCGCCCAAGATGGCTAAGAAAGGTATGTGTTACTCAAAGCCAGATTTTCAGTCGCATGATCTACCCCGCCCCTCCACACCACAATTGAGTTGTGAAAACTGGGATAGCGAAAACCGCGAACCCCCGGGTTCTTTGGCGGCCGATTGCTAACATCGTCTTTTTCCCCGACACAGCGAAATCCCGTACCATTGCCGTTCGGCTGATCTCCATGGCTATGACGGGTTACTACCGCACGATGATCCGGCCCCGTGTACACCGTCCTCTCAGCATGATGAAGTACGACCCTGTCGTTAAGAAGCAGGTGCTTTTCCTCGAGGCGACCAAGGGTGGAAAGAACAAATAAGCTATCCCAGTTAGGATCTGAGTTCAGCTCGACTTTTTTCCAATTCGATTGTTGTGCGCCCTGAGAGATAGCCGCCTTCCAACTGCGATTACGGCTGAGTTCGATATCTTATTTTCCTCCAATCGAATCTCGCCTTTCGTGTTCTTTGCAATCGCTATCTTGATACACCATCGAACAATATCTCAAACTTTGGGGCGCATCTAGGGGAATGCGATAAGGGTGTCAGGGAACGACCCTCGTGTGTACATTATTTTACTGGAGGCAACCGGGAATTTGTGATTTCCCCGGTTTCCCCGGTTTCTCGGATATTCTGCGGTAAACCTCCTTTTGATGGAGCATTGTGTTTGGCGTTAAGAGCAATACAGCTTTGGGTACCTCAATAAAACTAAAATAAACATCCCACATTCCACTTTATGGCCTTCCGAGGCATGACTTCTGGCTCTTTTTGTCCATCCGTTCATGACAACAGCATATCTTTCTAAATCAATATTTGGATATCCATGCACTTGTCACACACACCTTGCTTTTGATAAAGTCAATATGGAAAAATTTCTCTGACATGATCAGAGTATAATGATGAGGAATGACATTTCTCAAGTGTTGAAATGCTCAGCCGGCATCTTGGCTAAAGCGCTGATTGTAACGGTCGCCTTCTAACTCTTAGCTGAGGCTTCCTTGGCAAAACATCAGGCAACTTACCTCGAGTGCGGCGCTTACTGCGGCCTCGCATAGTGCTGGCCTGACCAGCTGTGTTTCTGCTGCTACCTGAAGCCAAACCCTTCGGACTCGGTCGTCGCTCCGGGCCATCGGCTGCTTTTCGTGGCCGTTTCGGCGGCCTTAAGTTCGCATTTGAAGAGAACTCAGACTTGTTCACTGGCCCCTGTTGAAAATCTTCCACCAAAGAGTTGTTGACAGGCTGCATCTCTGTAGTCGTTTCAATTGAAGTTTCCGACTGTTCAACCGACTGGCGAAGACGGCTGTAAGTCCGTTTCTGGGTTCTCTTTACTTCCTTATTTTCGGACTCTCTTCCAGAGCTGTTGTCCGTTGCATTCGACATTCGTCTAGCTTTTCCAACCTCTGTTTGAGTGATAAACCGCGTCCCCTCGAAGCTGACTACTTTGCGCTTGGTGTTGGGCTGTCCGTTCTTGGCAGCTTTTTCAAGAGCCGACTGAGGTCTTTCGCTTTTATTATCACCGGTGCTGGGAAGTTGCATTCCAAGAGCAGGGTTAGGTTCATTGAGCTCTCGACTCATTTTCGGAGGCTCAGCTGGAATCTTTTGGTGATCTTGAACTTTCTTACGGGCATCATCTGGCACCGACGCTCCCTGGAGATCTGGAGTTGACATAAAGAGCATTTCGAGCTCCGCTGGATCATTCAAAAGTGAGAGACTATTTTCCCGTGAAATTCCGTCATGGAGACTTGAAAACGGAACAATATGACCGTGGCCAGTAGGGAATTTCGGTAGAGAATCAACACAATCACCATGTTTCAAGGCCTTCGTGGGGCTACCGATCTTTGATGCCGGAGGTCCATCTACCTGCATGTCTCCAAGAATCTGGCGAGCCCCCTTGTTTGATACATTGGCCTCGAAAGAATCGACAAGTTTGCCTTCTCTTGGCCCCAGTGCCAGATTGCTGTCTTCAATCGCCTCCACATTCTCTGTACCGTGAGGCTTAGTGCAAGACCTATCGTCAGTGATGGACGGCTGAGCAAGCGAGGGCTGAATGATTTCTTCCAGTTTCTGCCATGTTTGCTCGAAGGGCTCGTCAGGATGTACTTCGATCATCTTCGCAAACCCTTCTCTTATAGTTGCCTGCCAACTCTCAGCTTCCTGGGCACGCCGGAGGAGGGAAATTATTTCAGCATCAGCTTCCTCACCGACCTTCTCCAAAGCCGATGACCGTGATTTGACCATGGCGAGGTTTTCTTTTATCGCTGCAAGCTCTTCAGTCTTCTGGGCCATCTCCAGCTCAAGCGCCTCGGCCCTCTGTTCTGCTTCCTGGAGTGCTTTCTCTTTCAGCATTACAGACTCAGCCTTCTGCCCCAGGCTCGCTTCAAGCTCGATCGTCTTCCCTTTCGCTTGTTCAAGCTGTTCAAGGAACCTCTCCTTTTCCGCCAAGAGACTCGATTCAGAGCTTTTCAATAATTTTGATTCATCGTCAATGGCTTTAACCTCTGTGATGTATTTTGAGCAAGAAACATTCAGCTCCTCGATTCGTTTCTGTGATTCCTGGAGCTGCGATTATCAGTAGAGCACATCAAGACGATGATTTGCACCGCTTACCATGGTGGCCTTTTCCAGTCGCTCATTATCGGCTGTCTTTTCAGTTTCGGTCTCCATACTGTTAGTGAACCACTTTCTCATCAGCCATGATCGGGCTTACCAAAGAGCTTTGGACATTTGCAAGCTGCGTTTGGAGGTTTCTCTGGTCTCTTTCTAGCCTCGCCTTTTCTGTCTCAAGACCTTGGACTTGTTCTTCGAATTTGGCTTTCATCTGACCCTGAAATTTGAGGTTTGCGGCGCCCAACTCTTCCCGAATTCTTTGCTCAAGCAATTGAAGCTCACCCCGCAAGGCCATCTTCTCAATTTCCAGCCGGGCATTCTGGCTCTTGGATGCTTGCTCGTTAGTAACAGCGTCGGTCAAAGCATGCTGAAGATGTTGGTTCTCAGATGATTTGTTGGCAACTTGCTTTCGAAGAGACTCAACCTCGATTGAGATTTGTTGAAGTTCAAGTTGCAGTTGCGTATTTTCAGCGAATTTGTTGGAAACCTCCATCTCCAAAACAGGGTTTCCTGCTGGGATTCGAGCTTCGGAAAGCTTCTGACTAAACGTTTCTAACCCGCGCACAAGATCTGTTTCCGTCATTCCCACGGCCTTGATAGAAACGTCGAGACTGCCGAGCATTGGCTCAACAATCTGAAGCTGTTGTTGCAAATTTCCATAACAACTCTCGCTATTAACGAGCTGTTTGAAAATTGATGAATACGGACCAAGGTTGCTTTCAATCGCTTGAAGGGCATCTTGAAGGGCTTGGAAGACATTTTTGCTCATTTCCGTGCTCCTATCGACATTACTTGCGACCTGTCCAGCCAAGGAGTTGAAACTAGAGTCATGGTCAGTCTAAAATATGTGTTGTCTTTTGTTAAACTTCCACAGAGCTTACCGAGATGTCGCCTCATGAACGCTGTTGGTGAAGTCTTGGACATTCATATTTTCGGAAGCGCACTTTTCTTTCAACCCCTGAACCGAAGCGAGACAGTCCTCAAGCGCCGGACTCAGTTTCGACAGGATATTTTCCTCAGATTTGAAACAAGAAGTGGTGAACAGCTCGCAGGCAGAGTCGAACTTTCCTGCCATTCTGCGCTGGTCGTTTCGGATTAGGGCCAAGTATCGTGACTGGCTCTGAGACTCATTTTGGACGTAGGCCTCCAGAGTCGCAATTCGCTTTTTTTCATTGGATAGCTGAATCTTGATCAAATCTTCCCTCTTCTCTGAGTGGTCCAAGGCCTCCCTCAAGCTGGCAACAGTCCCCTCAGAATTTGAAAGTCTCTGGTGTTGGTCTTGAATGGTTTCAGCACCACTTGAAACCTTCAACCTGATCTCTTCCAAACTGTGTTGGATCTCGCTTTTCTCTCTATCAAGAGACACAGTGGCTTCTTTCAATTCTTTGGCTTGCTCCCGGACTGCGCCATATTCACGGCCCAGTTCGTTGAGAACACCTTTGAATGTGCCAAGTTTCGCCTTCCACTTGTCTATTTGTGCACGCTGAGATCTTGACTCGGATGATGTTTTGGAGAGCTGTCCTTGGCATGTCTTGAGCCGGTCCCGCAGATTAAGATTCTCTTCCTTCAAGCCCATGTTCTCATTCGTGACTTGTTTTTGGATAAGTGCAGCCGCTTGCTCGTTTTCCTCTCGCTGTCTCATTTTCGTGATGAGAAGCCGAAACAGATCATCCTCACTGAGCTGAGGGCCGTTCTTGCCACCAGTGGGCGGTGCCTGTTGCTTGAGAAATGCTTCCTTCTCGGGGGCACGGCGTCGCTTTGACGCCTGAAGCTGATTGTGTATAGGCTTGAGAGCGACACGAGGGCATGGGTTCTCTAGAGTCTCTTGTCTTTCTCGATGAAGCTGATGTACCTGGGGTGGCTCGGCCAAAACATGGTCAACTTCACCAGTCTTCTCAATGTCAACAACACACTCTGGACTCAAGTCAGGGCCAATAGGCTCTCTGGTGGTATCGGCCCCGATGGCGTCGTTCGATCGAGAAGCCAACACTGTCTGTTCTTGTCCTAAACTCAGTTTCCCTAAATCTCCAGGTGCGGGTCGACTGCCGCTGTCTTTATTAGGTTCAGCTGCTGCTGATAGCCGCCTTGAGAGCTGAGAAAATGCAGATACTCTCGCGGGGACTGGTGCCTTGGAGATTATTTCTTTCCCAACGCCGCGAGGATTGAGAGGGCTGACTCAGGAGACCATGTTAGTCTATTGTGAACAGTGGTGTTCATCTGTGAGAGCAGCCTGGGTCATTCACATACGTGTCTGGCCTAGCCAGTTGATGATTGAGACCGTCGTCCTTTCCCATTAGTTCTCTTGAAGGTTGGGCATTATCAATTGCAGTATGGGGGTGGTGAGTTTGCTTGGTCAGGTTTCGCGAGTACGAGGGCATGTGTGAGGCGGGCTTGCTAAATGAGAAATCTATAACATCAAAGCCAGAACTCTCTGGGCGCTGCAATAGCGGCCGGGGAGGTTCGGTGCTCTCCATGTTGAAGGACTGATTAGGAATTATGGAAAGAGTGAGAAGGATGAAGAAATGATTCGGTGGGATGAGAAATGGCATGGACGTAGAGGAAGCCAGACTTGGGAAGGAGCTACCCCGTGACCGAGCCACCATCTCTACGCCTACATCCTCAAGAGATCTACAATGATCCTAAGTGGCCTATGGTGATATACATTAGAAATGAATGGTTAAATTGGGGAAAATTGACAGCAGAGGCGAGAACTACCAAGTACAACCTGTTCAAGACACAAAATAGGAAGAATTACCTTTTTAGCCAGTAGCTCGCGTTTAGCTGAAGCTCATCCAATAGTTGGGTGTAGTTGAAAACTGAATGGAAATATGAAAACATCGACTCCTTTTCACCAGATAGGAGTACGGGTGAGTGCCTATTTTTAATATTTATTGATCTGGTAAGCTATCCTTGTTGATGCTAGATCTACATGAAGATATATTTTTGGGTACTGTCGTACTTCTGCACCATTTTGTATGAATAAGCTAGTAATCGACCCGGACTTCTCCGAGACTATGTATGGAGTCTATCAATCATGATTTGTAGTCATATGAAATGTAGGTACTATTCAAAATCTTTGTTGTTGAGTGTCTGTGATGTAAGAGATGAGATGAGAAGATATGCCAGCACAAAGAGGCCATGTAGAAACCGCAATTGTGAAATCAATTGACATCTCTATTACTCACAAACCTGTTGCATATAGTAATACAAATAAGATAATACAAATAGTATAAACAGCCTCATCCTAGGTTTCTTGAAAGTCAAAATAGCAGGCTGAAACCCCCTGATCTCTTTGTATGTTTTGCCCAACGGTCTGACAGGGATTACCCACTCCGTTTTATAAGCTCAGTGGGCGTTTTCTAAGGTTATGGGCTCCCATTTGGCAGGGGGCTCAGAGCCCTGCACTAACCAGCTGACTGCGCCCATGTCATGGTGGAACCAATAACAGTCAAATTGATAGAGTCAAGGTGTTAGGGAAACATACAACATACGGAGTACATGTTCAGCATATCTGCACCCTAGTGGAGCAAAAAAAGAAAAGACCCGCCTAGAATCTGGCTTGATCCAACTGCAGTTGACAAAAGTCCTGTAGTCCTGCATGTGAGACGTGAGTGATCAAATCCAACGTTGAATATTCTAAGGCATTCCAAGACCATTCTATGTGACAACAGTTGCCGAGACAACTATCGTATGCATTTATGCCTAGCACGGTCAATGTCGTGGGGCCCACGAAAGTTCGGGAGAAATAGGCATCTCACATGCCGTGGCAAACAGATCAGTCGACTGCATGTTTCTAGGCTAGCTCCTGGTTGGTTATACTTGGGGATATTCCAAATTGTAACTCTAATGAATCAATGAGCACCATTGGACTGGTAATAAGATAGAGAACTGGGAGATAAGATCAATTCTAGGTGGCACAGACTCTTACAAAAAGAGGGCGTAGGGCAGAGACACTTAATGCCTAAATAGTAATCTATGTACTCCGTAATCCGTACTGTACAAAAGAGCCACCTCTCAATCTCGCAGAATTCCTAATTTCCCCCCTAAATGCCCAAAGAACGACCGTTTCAAATTGAATTTTGATCGCCCGGATGTTCGACTAGGATTATAATGGACAAACCGGATTGAAAAGTCTGTGCATTTTAGCGGATATCATAGCCTCCGCTCAGTCTAAGCGGGTCGAACTGGGCTATATGCTCTCCACCTAACCTCATGCCTCAGAGCCCGATAATCGGAGAACGTGGAGGTCGGATATGTTGTACATATATGTAAACCGTTATCCATTACTGTTCAATATTTCCATAGAACATTATCCTAGATCCAATTCAGAGACACAGACAACGGTGACGGGCAATATCATACCTTCCATAAAACAACTAGTCTTGAAGTGTAGCAGCACAATGTAGATCTCACGGCAATTAAACCAGAATAAGCATAGGTTCAAAACTATCAGGCCCTTTTCTTTCATTATCCCCTTTTCCCCCATTTTCTTGCGCGTCACGCGTGATTGGCCCACATTAGTTACTGCCGTTTCTCCCAGACCGCTCACCCGCTTCATCCCCTTTCTTTCATCTGGCTTCACTTCCCGAAGTGGGAAATTCTTGGTATTGCTGTGTCATTTGATATATCTATCTCCTCTAATTTCTACCTCGTGCCTCCCCCCTTTTTTTCGTGGTGCTTTATCAAACCCGAAATCGGTGTGCTTCGCAAGCTCCCGGGCCCTCACGTTTTCCTGATATACATATTCCTGCAGGATTGCAACCAGGAATCGTATTTCTCACACTTGAAGAGTTTTGGTGGCCTTCTTATTGCATCTAGTCTTGTCTAGACCTCAAAATTTATATCTAGACCTGCATCGATAATCTTCGCCCGACTCTGACACATTTGACCCCCGCTCGGGCATTCTATCTTCGGAATTCACCTCTCATGGTTCCGATTTAAGCTCGATATTCGCTGAAAATTTGCTTCCTCTATTCTGTCGTGGTTTGTCCGACTACCGCTTTTAAAGCAATCACGATTCAACCGGTGGACTTTTGGGAAGAAGTGTGATGTTGCTAGAACGATACTAGTTAACTTTAATTACTTCGGCCGGTGGTCTATCCTCACAACATGGGAAACACTCAAGGGAAACAGGTGTCTTGCAACGATGCAGGTAAGTTCACTCGAACCAACTCGGGGATGTCTTCGTGACTTCCTGTGTTACCGCTGAGTATTATGTAGAATAATATGCTGATCGCTTCTTCTCTACCAGTCAACCTCAATCATTTCCGGCTCCTGCGCGTCGTTGGAAAGGGCGCATTTGGAAAAGTACGGATCGTCGAAAGAAAGGACACAGGACTTACATTCGCCCTAAAATATATTCGCAAAGAGGAAGGTGAGTTGGAGCTCCAAAGCCGCCGAGCTGAGGGAGCTACAGCTAACACTCGTTTTAGTGGTCCGTTCGGAAAGCGTACGGAATATAATTCGTGAACGGAGAATGCTCGAGCACTTGAACCATCCATTCCTTTGCAATTTGCGATACAGTTTCCAGGACATGGAGTACATGTGAGTATCCTCAAATTGGCCCTTACTACTCACTGCTGACCGATTTGAAGCTATATTGTGGTTGATTTAATGAACGGTGGCGATCTTCGATTCCATATATCCCGAAAATGCTTCACAGAGGATGCGGTGCGGTTTTGGATGGCGGAATTGGGGTGTGCTCTGAGGTATATCCATTCACAGGGTATCATTCATCGAGATTTAAAACCAGACAATGTCCTGTTGGACTCCGATGGACACGTTCATTTGGCTGATTTTGTAAGCACTGTCGGCATGCTATCGCACTTATGAGCATCAGCTAACTTGAATTTCTAGAACGTGGCATCAGATTACCGACCGGGGAAGCCGCTTACAAGCAAGTCAGGAACACTAGCCTACCTTGCTCCAGAAGTCTACGAAGGAACTGGCTATACTTTTGAGGTCGATTGGTGGTCATTAGGTGTCACTTTTTACGAGTGCATTTACAATAAGGTATGAGAAATTCTGTTCCTCGTCTATTTTCCGTCTAACCTTCAGTGCAGCGACCCTTTGAAGGACGAAGCCAAGAAACCCTGAGTGAAAATATCAAAAAGGCACAGCCGAAATACTACGTCACCAATCCTGCAGTATCGGTAGCTTGTTTGCGGGCTTTGGGAGCATTGATGCAAAAAGATCGGAGTCAAAGAATCGGCGCTATTGGTTTTGAATCCTACACCTCGCACATGTTCTTTGCCGAAATCGACTTTGAAGCCCTGGAGCGCAAACAGATCCCGCCAGTTTTCGTTCCGTCAAGTGAAAAAACCAACTTCGATGCGACTTATGATCTAGAGGAGTTGCTTCTTGAAGAAGCGCCCTTGGAGGCCAGAGCGCGTAGGCAAAAACCGCGCGCTGAACTAAGGGATGATGCCACCGCCAAGGAAATTCGAGATGATGAGCTTCATCGTCTCATTGAAACAATGTTCGAACCATTTGACTACACTCTGACCAGCTACCAAGGCAATGCCGCGGAAGCGATTGCTGCTGTAATGTGAGTTTCTCCCATCAAGAATATTGCCACCTTGTGCTAACAATGTATTTCAGAAATCCCGAGGAGTGCTTTCCAATGGCCACAACAACCCAAGGGAACACCACCATCCCAGCGAACCCAACTATACAGACTGTACATGCCCGTCAATTCTCACAGCCTGACCCGTCTCAAAATACATCTCCCACCCAAGCCAACGGCTCACACTACCGTGGTCCACCAAGTGAAACCATGACCACGCTCAGCGAGACCCTCGACCCAAATGACCCCGCGACTGGTCACCCTCCACCTTCCCCTTCAAACCGCATGTCACCTTCACCGCCGCCCGCCCCGTCCTTCCACCGACCCCTACCCCAACACAATCGACACCGCGGTGCCACCCGGCAAATGAGCAAAAGTGGAGGTGTACAAATGGTCCTGAACGAAGCTGGCAGCTGGAGTGAGCTGGCCCATAACTCTATCCCCATTGATGGAATGGACAATAGTGACGACAAGGGCAAACAAGCCAATGGCATGCTATCGTTCTTCAGTCGGAAGAAGGGCCGCGATCGCAGTCCAAAGCCGACTGAGCCAGGTGTTCTTGGCAAAGAAGGAGCCAGACAGATCATTAGCTGAAATGCTTGCCTTCGGTGAAAACCAATCGTCGCTCTTGCGGGTGGCGCTGTCACTGCTGACAATATACCCGCACAATATGGTCCAACTTCCGTGGTTTTGACTTACACTTGAGTTTGAAATCTAGGCCCATAGACCAATGCTTCCCGGCTTAGCGCTCAAGGAGGTCGGCGATTAAATGCCGGCTCTAATGCTTTGGCCGGGTTGCCACCACTTTGACAACGTTCCGGCTTCCTCTCTATTGGGAGCGGCCGGAGGGAAACGGCCTTGCTGACTGTGTCTGATTGCATTTTGCAAATCGACTATGCATTTCTCTGCGTTGATCTCCGCAGCATTGAGATGCAGTGCTCGAGGCACCATCTCCCTTTCATTCTATTAGATTCCCCAGACGCAGCGCGAATTCATTTATCTCATCTATATATCATCCTTCCTCGCCATCTCTCCCCCTCACAGTTGTACAGATACTCATGGCAGAACTCGCACTATCATTGTTTTTTTTCTTACCAGTCATATTTCAGTAGGTTTTGTTGGCTTTTGCCCTTTCTATTTTCGCAATGATGTCTTTCACCTTGTATTGTGTTTTGGAGTTTGCATACCCTTGACTTGTTGATATGAATCTTTTGTATTTTGGTTAGAATGGACCGGAGCTTGCATGCCTACGTGGACTGGGATAGGTATACTTACTTAATGCTATATCTTGCATTTCAATATATACATACTTAGCTGTACTCTCTCGCATCTAGTGCTCCGGATATATATATCGCCGTAAATATTCGCCCGTTCCTCCGCAACCATTCACATCTACCTAGACGTACATAGGTACATCAATCACAATATACACAGAGAAGTCGTCTGCAAATTTTATGCTTTTGCTGCCTTCGTATACATCTAAAAAGACGTCTAAAAAGAACATGCAAAAACACATCGGAGAGTGTTGAAGTTTACATATACTATCCCTAATGTCTTGTTTGGCCGAATATAGCTACGTCATCAAAGACAGAGGCAGACAGAGGCCGCATGAGCAGCCGAGTTTTCTTGTATGCATCATGCTAAACCGAAACTGATAGAAGGTATATAGCATACAATAATATACAAAGCGATTCAGGGGGACAAACCCTATGAAGTAGCAGACCAGCTGTTTCACCTTGGCGCTATACAAAGACTTGGCAGGATCTTGTGGGGAAAAAGCAAAACAAAGCCATAGAAAGTGACCTTAGACCGACAAGATATAGATTGAAATTCCAAGAAATTCCAAGACAGGCTGAGCCTTTTGCCAATCCCACGTGTGATCCAACCCCAACCTCGACAAATTCCAATTCCATTCCCTTCCCCTCCCCCTTCCTACCTAACACTAGCTCACCAACCCAATCGACAATCATCCCACGCGCAACCAACAATTCCACATTCCTCATTCCAACGATCAGCGCATAACACATACCAAATACCCCCACCCATCTGGCATGCCAAGCCAATCCCAAAACCGAGACCGATCCGATAAACGAGACCGGGATCGGGATCGGGATCGCGACCGCACACGTGAGCAAGAGCGCTCGCGCCGCCGAGAGAGAGACCGAGAGCGGGACCGTGAATATATCCGTGGTCGTTATGAGGATGATGAAGGCGCAGCATCCAGCCCTGGTAACGCGCGCACCGCAAAATATCGCTTCCGCGGGGAATCAGGGTACGAGTCGAACTCGCATAACGAGCGCGATGATTACGATGAGGAGCGTGAGCGGCGCAGGGAACGGAGGCGCAGACGGAGAGAGGAAGAGGAAGCGGAAGAGAGGGCAGGACTTGTTTATGGGGAGCCTGGGGAGGGGAGGAGACGGGATAGGGAACGGGAACGTGAGAGGGGGAGTCCTAGGGTGAGGGACTCACCTGCTGCATCGCCTACTAAACGGCGAGATCGCGAGAGGCGATATCGCACCGAGGAGAGTGCGAGTCCTACCAGGGAGAGACGGACGAGGGATCTGGATGCTGAGGCTGAGGCCGAGGCGCGTCGACGGAGACGGCGCGAGCGCGAGCGCGAAAGAGAACGAGAGCGCGAGCGGGAAATCGATGCTGCTGCTGCTACGGCGGCGGCAGCGAAGAAACATCGCAGCACGGAGTCTTCGAGTAGTGCAGCGCATCTCTTGAGTGTAGATGCTATGGCCCGTCTTGCTGCTGAGCACGAGGATGCGGATCGCATAGAACAGTCCCGCGCAGAAGATGAGTTGCGTCGGGAACGTCGACGACAGCGGAAGCGAGCTGCTTTGGATGCTGCTGCTGGTGCGGCGCTTGGCGCTGAGGTTGCGCAGGGTCGCTCACGCCATAAAGCGGGCGCAAGAGTCGTGTCTGGTGCTTATCTGGAAGAAGGGCATAGCTCTGATGCGAGGGTTCGGCGTCGTGGTGGTGGTGGACCTGCTATGGATGATCATTGGAAAGACGAGAATAGTTGGGATGGCAGCTCGGAGGGCCGTGGAGGGCTGCCGAGATGGAAATTTTGGTCCAATTGGTCGAAGAGAAAGCGTATTTGGGTCGGATGTCTACTAGCGATCCTCCTCTTGCTTGCCATCATCATCCCAGTTGCACTTGTTGTATCCAAAAAGAGCGACTCGGATTCAAAACCGAGTTCCTCAGACTCTGATGACAGTAGTCCTACCTCTAATCTGGACAGTATCAGCCGCGAAAGCATACCGGTAAGTCTTAAGTTTATCACCTTGATGGAATTTGCTGACAAGATTACTTCAGAGTTACGCCAAGGGCACTGTCTTGGATCCATTTACGTGGTACGAAACCGACGGCTTCAACCTCACTTTTACAAATGCCACCGTGGGTGGTCTTTCAGTAATGGGAATCAACTCAGCTTGGGATGACTCTGCCCGGCCTAATGACAATGTGCCTCCTCTCAACAAGCCGTTCCCTTACGGCTCACAGCCGATCCGTGGGGTCAACCTGGGCGGATGGCTTTCTATAGAACCATTCATTGTCCCGTCCATGTTCAGCAAGTGGCCATCCAGCGCCGGCATCATTGACGAGTATACCTTGACAAAAAAGCTTGGAAACTCCGCGACGGCCACGTTGGAGAAACATTACGCTGAATTTATTTCAGAATCGGACTTGAAGGAAATCACGGATGCCGGACTCGATCATGTCCGCATCCCATACTCTTACTGGGCTGTGAAAACCTACGATGACGACCCATATGTTGCCAAGGTTGCATGGCGTTATCTCCTGCGTGTGATAGAGTGGTGCCGCAAGTATGGACTGCGGGTTAAACTCGACCTCCACGGACTCCCCGGCAGCCAAAATGGCTGGAATCACAGTGGCCGGCAGGGCAGCGTCAACTGGTTGGAGGGTACAGACGGTGACCTTAACCGTAAGAGGTCACTTGAAATTCATGACCAACTTTCACAGTTCTTCGCCCAAGATCGCTACAAGAACGTGGTAACAATTTACGGCCTGGCGAACGAGCCACTGATGCTGTCGCTGCCCGTTGACAAGGTCCTAGATTGGACCCAGGAGGCTGCGGAACTCGTCCGCAAAAATGGTGTGACTGCCACTCTTGTCCTTCATGACGGGTTCCTGAATCTCGCAAAGTGGGATAACATGTTCCCAAACCACCCGGATAACATGTACCTCGACACCCACCAATATACTACCTTCAACACGGGTGAGATCGTGTTGAATCACACCGCCAAGCTCGATGTTATCTGCAATAATTGGTACTCCATGATCAAGGAAATCAATACGACAACTTCTGGGTAAGTAGGACTCATTTTCCATTATAATTTCATACGCTAACACACAGCCAGATGGGGTCCAACTATTTGCGGCGAATGGTCGCAGGCGGACACCGACTGTGCACAATACGTGAACAACGTCGGTCGAGGTGCCCGATGGGAAGGGACCTACGATACCACATCCACAACGGCGTACTGTCCAACAGCGGACCAGGGAACATGCAGCTGCTCGGATGCGAACCAGGACCCATCCGAGTATTCCGCAACCTACAAGAAGTACTTGCAGACATACGCTGAGGCACAGATGTCTGCCTTTGAAACTGCAATGGGGTGGTTTTACTGGACCTGGCGGACGGAGTCCGCGGCTCAGTGGAGTTATCGCACCGCTTGGAAGAATGGATACATGCCTAGCAAGGCATATAGTCCTTCCTTCAAGTGCGGCGATGAAGTGCCGGACTTTTCTGAGGCATCGGAAAGTTTCTAAACGATCCTCCTATATTTACTTGCATTTTTTTGTGTTTTTTGCGTTTCATTTGTTTTTTTTTTGCATAGATACCATGGATAAAGATTAGAATTCTTGCATATAATTGAATGCCTCGATCTGGATATTGGATATCTTTCCTCATCTCTGCCCTTTCTTCAAGTCAAATAACGTCCATCTCACCTCTGATAGCATGCCATGCTATGCCTTCATCTAAGCCTCAAACCACCCTCCAGCCTCCCACACACCAGGCTGATAAACAAGCTCCTCCCGCACCCACTGAAGCCTAACACCCCCAAGCAACCGATCCACCCTCTGGAAATCAATCGGCTTCATGACCCACCCATCAAAGCCCGCATCCATATACAAATTCAGATTCTCTTCGAGCAAGGAAGCCGAAACAGCAAAAATGGGAATGCGAGGTGCAGGTGTAGTCTCATTGGCCAGCTCTTGCTGCTCGTATTCGCGTATCATCTGTGTTGCACCGAGACCATCGACGATGGGCATCTGCAGGTGGGGATTTTAGTATCAGTGTTAATTACATTAAATTGAATCAAGTTAGGAATTGAATTGAATAGGTTGGTGAACGTACTTGTAGATCCATCAGCACTGCGTCGAAACGAGTAGGATGAGCTTTGTAGGCAGACGCGCATTCTTTGCCATTGCTTGTCATGTGCACTGTGTGGCCAAATTTCTCAAGACGCTTTTGCACGATTGAGCTGTTGATCGGGTCGTCTTCTGCGACAAGGACGTGGAGGTTCCAGTCCATTGCGGGTGAGGAGCTTGGTGGGCGGGTAGGATGGTTAGTTGGGGATTTTGTCGTAGGTGAGCTTGAGATGTTTTCTTTGATGGGAGACCTAGGTGCTTCTAATGATTCCTTGGGATCTTGAGTCTGAAGTGAAATGGTTGGTTTATCTGGATTGGTGCTCTGATCGAGCTGTTGGCCAGAAAGTGAGAGGTTTCTCGGTTCACCGGTTTTCAAGCTCACATCGATATTCACGACGGATTCACCTGATTTCATTTCTGGAGTATGACCACATTCACATGGAACAACCCCTTCTTCCTGAGACTTTACGCAACGTGATGATGTACTCTCTTGCTTTGTGTTTCGTTTTCTTTCATCGTCCTGCAGATGGTCGTTTGACGTAGCACACAAGTTCTGCCTTTGACCACTCTTTTCATCTGGTAGAGGAAATGCAAGCTTAATCTTGAAGCAACTTCCCTTCCCTTCTTCAGACTTCAAGCTTAGCTGTCCATTCATATTGCGCACGATTCGGGCGACCAGTGCGAGGCCTAGACCAAGTACACTTTCAGTCTCGAGCACTTGGCCACTCGAAGTTTGCTCATATGACTTAGGATTCTGCATATATCCCTTGTTAGAGACTTGCTCTAGCTCGCAGAACAATGTTTCAACAGTCTCTTGGGACATGCCAGACCCGGTATCGTGTATTGCCACTTCGACACAGATGTGATCCGGCTCTAGCGGCTCAGGTACGATACAAGACTCTATTGTTACAGCTCCGGTAGATGTGTGTTGTACAGCGTTACTGATCAAGTTTGTGATCACCTGGCGTACTCGTCGTTGATCTCCGAGGACGGGAGGTAGGATTGCGTGTTGGACTACCTGCAGGTCGACATTTTTCTGTCTTGCTTCTTCCCAAAATATATCTGTTGCTTCCCTGAGTGTCTCTGTGAGATCGAATGCCTCATCCTTTATCAACCTTTGTCGGTTTTCAGCATTTGTGAGGTCCAGAAGGTCATTAATGATGTATACCAATGACTTGGAAGCTGAGTGGGATCTGGAAATGTGGTCTCGTGTTTCTTGATCCAGGGGGCCATCGAGAACAATTTCCAGATAGTTGATGATGGCATTAAGAGGTGTTCTGAACTCGTGCGCAGAATTAGCGAGTAGAAGCCTCATTAACTGATTGTGCTGTAGGGTAGCCTCCTTCTCTTGCCATATATCAGTGAAAGTGCGATATAGCAAAGACAGAACTGATGCCTTTCCAAAGTCTGCTGACGACCACTCATGCTGTCGACTCGATTTGTCCGAGTCAGACGCGAGGGTATGGCTTTCTAAAACAGCCCGGAAGAAGATGATAAAATCGCGACCGTCGACTGAAAGAGGAACGTAAAGCAGACCGGAAAGATGATGAAAGCCGCGCGAGTAGCTGAGATCCTGAAAATCGGCAGCGATATCTCCGGACCAAAACACAGTGTCATTTTCCTTAGCTTTCATGTATTCAAGCAATGCCAGAACTTCCTGCGAGTCGATTGGTTTCCCCAAGATTTTAACCTCGCCCATAATCGATGCTGCGGCATAATCTGCCCCGAACAGACTGAGAAGATCGCCAGTTGGAGTCTTGATGGCCTGAGTTGTGCTCGTTTGGTTCAGGGAGATATCCGGTTCTCGAAATTGAAACGGTAAGGTGTAGGAAAGACGCTCAATGTTACTCGAAACTGCCTCGGCCACAAACCGACAGATTTTCTGGATGAGCGGATGGAGTCTTTGGTTACTGTCATAGGACTGACATGATATGAGACCCCAAAGCTTGCCAAATACATTGATTTGAATTGACAAACAGGCCTCGACAGGATTTTCGGTGTCTGTTGTTGGGAGCGCTGGTGCAGCAGAGAGATATGTGTTCGACATATCGAGGGCCCTTTTGTTGGTGGAAGCTCGATATAGAAGCTTTGAAGTGCCTTGACTTCCAGAACAAGAGGAACATACAATATTGCGTGTGTATAGTTTCTTCAATGCTTCTGGGAACGTTGATTCCGGGAAATGTATGCCTTCGTATGAAGTTAATCTTGATGAAGTATCAACCGCATCGGCGACCACGATTCCGTTGCGGTCACTATCAAAATGATACATGGTCGTTCTGTCAAATTCAACAAGACGTTGCAAAGTGGTGATGGTATGTTGAACAAGCGTTTCTAGCGTTTGAGCACTTGCAATTCGCTGGAGAATTCGAGGGATCATATTGAGAAGCTCCGAAGAGTCCGGAACTTTGCTGTTTCTGGTATCAAGATCTTTCCCTGAAGGCCTGGAATCATCGAAGAATGCCCCAGAAGTCATATCCAAGCTCCGACCATCTGACGTTATTGCTTGACTCTCGGGATTCTCGAAATCGTGATGATCCTTTGTCCCTCTGCCCTCAGGCTGTAGCTCGCAGATCACATAATTCCTATATAATGTGCTAGTATGCATGGTACACCAAGTACCCTGAGTATCTCCTTCGGATGATAACACAGAAAGGAAGAAAACGTCCGGGCCAGACTCCTCAACTGAGTAGTCATCGCTCAAGACGAATTGAGCATGATCAAGAAAATTCTGTTTTTGCGAGGATTGCAATACATCACAAAATGACGGAAGCTCGAACAGTGTATCAGGGGAATGCCCAATGATTTCCTCGGAGTTATCGCTCGCTATCTGCACTTCAAAACCCCCGTCGGATTCTCTCATCACAACGAGTGCACCGAACGACTGAATAAAAATGTCCTCTTCATCTTGATGCGAGAAGAATATCCCCTTCGTCGTTTTGTGGAAGTCAAGGATGTCACCACCGTTTTGCGCGGTGTTTTTTAATTGTTCCAAAATGTCGAGATTATGGCCGGCGTAGGATTGTCCTTTGAGCTCTGATGAAATCTCACTTCCGCCACTCTGATGTAGTTGAGCGAGATGATCAGGTCTTTTTGAGACACCATCCTCAGCATTCATGTTCTCCCCCGGTAGATTCTTCTGCTGATAGCCCGCTTGTTCGTTGAAGCCTGCACTCCATGTGTCTGAAAAAGGAGATATTGGTGTTTCGAGCTTATCGAGGGAAGGTGTCTGTAGGGCAGATGAAGGGGTGGAATCAAATGAGACGACCGAGCGAACGGGGAAGACTCTCTCCGCCGAGTCAGTGCCTAGCTGAGGTAACTTCAACTTCGGGGATAAGAGCTCGGCTACTGTTGATATCTCAGTCTTGTTGTCGGACATAATAGACATGGTCTTTGGTATAGACAAAGTTCGCGAGAGAGTCTTTCTCCTTCCGGAAAGCTTTTCTTCTTTCTTGCCATTTTGGTCATCCTCATCCTGGTCATCGTAAATGACTGTCCAATCGCCGTTGTCTTTAATGTCGGATGGTGAAGACATATTTCAGTCTTCAATCCTCGAGGGACAAAACAGTTGCGAGATTGGTTTGAACTAATAACACCACCCGTGCTAGCCATAAGCCAGACAGATAATTTGGCAGGAAGCTGGCCACGGAAAAGTAGCGATGTATTCACGCAGTTAGGTATGGACTAGCAACATCAGAGTCATCGTGTATCAAGATGGTTCGAGCAGGACAGGGAGTGTAGGAAAAAAATCAAATGAGATTGAAGAGTATATAGTGGGGGATTGAAAGTGGGGGATTGAAATATCTCCACGAATTTTCATGCTTTGACCAGAGTTACTGAGGGAGTTTCTTCCCCAGCTCATGCTTTCTCCTGATCTTTTAACCTATCATATCAAAAGCCTGAGCCAACGAAACAAGCTTCCTCCCTGGGAGCATGTCCTCGGTTCCCTTGTCCGGTTCGCCGGAGACTACCATCAGAAAATTACACTCGCAATCCTTTGGGCTAGACTCTCAGATCCATGGTATGAGCTTCGGCAAATGGTCTGGTCGATCAAATGGCCTTGGCTTGAAGACCATCCGAGGGGTGCGAACCTTTGAGCGGAGACTCCTCTGCTCTCAGAATTTTGCGAGATTTTGCATGGCGGACAATTCCATGTGTTGCTAAGTATCCTATTCAACGATTTCCAGGGCATTGCCGGCAATTTAGTCAAATTGTAGGATGGCGAGACTCGGCGACTCCGGACCAGGACCATAGAACATGACATGGAAGTGCCTGTTCCGGCCCATCGGAATCAGCTCAGCTGGAACAGAAGATACCCCACACATTCCACAAAAGATGAGTGGTCTGCTCAGCTAGTATGCAACGTGTTGCATGGCAAATTTGAAACCGGATTTGACAACTGGATTCTCAATTAGCTTCTGTCTTGCCGTATCAAGTATCGAGATGAAGTCGGAATAGACCAAAGAGGCTGAGTTAGTCCACTCATCAGTATCAGATAGAGACATATCGCACCATTGTAATGGGGCCCAAGACCCCCTCTCCATAGCAGCAACAGTTACTACCTAGAAGCGTAGGTACTTCAATCGGACCAAAATGCCGAGCCCAATTGTGAAATCGTCCTATGTAGAATTGGACGGAGATCTAACTCGCGGGCATTGTTTCCGGATACATGGGAGGCGTGAGGCCAGTCATAAAGCAACCAAGGTTCCACCAATCTTTGACCTGCAGCAACCCTAGGCCGATGAAGGGGAACGAAGGATACGGAGAGTAGCAAGAAGTTCAAGGGATGTACGAGATAAACCAATAAAATAATAATATCAAACAAGAAGTGAGAAAGATTTAGCAGAGTTACTTCAAACACATTCCTCGCGCCAACCGAAATTCCCCAAAAAGTCCTTTCCAAGTACCATTTCATAATTTCATACCGTACCGCCGAGGTGATTGATTACCAGCGTCGACCATAAACCGAGTCTTCAGTTCGTGGCCGGTTAGGCTGGACCTCCTTTCCCCGGCTGCGCGGGTCAGAGTGTGTTGACTCCCGAGAGGAGGAATGAACAGGCTCAGTTTCATCCCCATTATTCAGCAGTCGAGTAGGCTGATTGAAGTCCAGAAGACTCTGGTTGTCCGTGAATCGTGATTCTGCATCACGACCGAAGAGCGCCATCATGTCACGCACGGTAAGCTTGCCAGCGCCAGCCTTGCCCTCGATAGTAGCATTGGCCAGTTCGCGCTTGCGGTCCTGCAGGGCAATAATGCGTTCTTCCACGGTACCCTTGATAACCATCTTGTAAATTTTTACGTCGACAGTTTGATTCAGACGATGGACACGATCGATAGCTTGCTCCTCCACGAACTAGATTCAGGGTTAGCACAATGCGGAATAAATTGGAGAAATTTGCAACTTACGGGATTCCAGAATGGCTCCAAGATGACGACGCGACTAGCGGCTGTCAAATTCAGGCCTAACGCACCGGCACGCAGACTGCAGAGCAGCACACGAGTGCCACTATTGTTTCGGAGCTTTTCGAGACTGGCCTCGCGGTGGGTATTGGTCATTCCACCATCGTAGCGGGCAAAGCCAATATTAGCACTCTTCAAGAAGGGCTCAATCTTATCAAGCATGGATGTGAAGACGGAGAAGACGATGAACTTGAAATCTGGTGCCTCGCGGTTGAGAATCCGCATAAGATGGCGGATCTTGGTGGATGGAAGCTCTCCGTTTTCTCCTTCATCGTTGTAGATGTCCTCGGCTTCGGAATCGCTTTCATCCTCAGAATCACTTATAATGATTGGTTTGCTCTTCCTCCTGGAGGGCGATTCGATCTCATCATCAGTTTCGTCGTCCGAGACGAGCCATTCACCACCTCCTTCGGCATTTTCATCGTCTGAACCACCTGCTTTCCCGAGGCTAGGCATCTTGCGCTCATCATCAGGTACAACCCAATCACCTTCCTCTTCATCTTCGTCGTCACTGTCAAGAATTACTCGTCGGTTTTTGCGAGAACGAGCGATCTGGGCAGCTGATTTGCGGGCTGATGGGGAATCTAGAACATCAGGTTTCTTGTGGCTCTTCTTTTTCTTCTTCTTATCTGTGCCCATAACATTGGTATTCAGATCCGCTTCACATTCACCACATCGACTGGCACCGGCCTTTATTTCGCCTGGATTCAGGTCGGTTTGGCAAACATCGCATTTCTTTGCGACAACGCTCATTGCTCCAAAGAGATCAGCCATGCTGTCAAGGTCATCCGGCTTTGGCTGTGTTGACTGGCTGTTCGTATTGCCATTCTGCAAAAGAATATCCTTGTCCTTGGCCAAGTCACCCTTGACCAAGTCGGGGTGATTACAAGCCTGGCGAAGACGTAACAACAGAACCAAAGCTCCAGCGTAATCGACCTTAGCACCGCCCATCATTTTCTCAAGACTATTCTCCGTCCGCTGTTCGAGGCGTTTGTAGAAGTTCAATTCTCCAGGCATGAATTCGGGCTCGACCTTGATGACCTCTCGCTTAGTGATGTGGAATCCATTCGAGGACTTCTTTGGCTTGCCGTCTGCTTCTTCTTCTTCGCCAGGCTTCACATTGTCGTTGAGTCTGAGGACATCCTTCGTGCGCCGTTTCATAAAAGCCTTCAAATAGACCTGTAGTCGCTGAATGGCGAGACCTCCACGGCCATTATTCAGAGGCCGGCTGATTTGATCTCTCCATGCGGCCAAATCGTCATAGGGCTTCACACGAAGGAATTTGATCAGGCTCTGCAACTCATCCAGGTTGTTTTGCAATGGCGTTCCTGTCAAGCACCAACGGTATTGGGCATCCAATGCATATGCGGACTGTGTAGCTTTGGCGTTACGATTCTTGATCGTGTGCGCTTCGTCGAGAATGATACGGTACCAATGAACAGCGAAAATGCCTGACTTTTTGGCCTTGTCTGATGCCGAGGAGTTGAATTCGGAGGTGAGAGTTCCGTACGTTGTGATGACAACATCGTATTTGTCCAACGTTGTTGAAGCCTTTGCGCGTGTTGCACCGTGATAGATGCAAACACTCAACTTGTGAGACGGCTCAATTTTATCCTTGATTTCCGCCTCCCATTGCTTGATGAGTGCAAGAGGCGCAATTACTAGAGTAGAAGCAATGCAGTTTGGGGGCAGCTTGGTCGTCTTGCCGTCGGATTCGGTGTTATCGCTGTGTTCGTGGTCGGATTTACGGTTTTTGAGCAGCAAAGCAATCGTTTGCACTGTTTTGCCCAAACCCATATCATCTGCAAGGATTCCACCTTTGGGGAAAATTCCTTTGCTCGTCTTTCGGCCAGTCTCTTTGTCACACATCCATCTCACGCCTTCAACTTGATGAGGAAGGAGGGTCACTCTCAAGCCTTCGACGAATCCGTCTTCTTCATCGTCAGAATCCTCCTCTTCTTCTTCATCCTCTGCTGCCTCATCGTCTTCTTCATCTTGTTTGACAACTTCGTCGTTTTGCTCAGTCTTGGCAGATGAATCATCTTCAGACTTGTCATCACTATCCTTTGGGTCATTAACCGTGACCCCTTGAAGTTGAGCTGCAAGATCATCGAGGTCATCAATCGCTTGTTCCTTCTTCTTGTCCACAACGACTTCATCTTTCTTCTTTTGCGATGTCTTCTTCGACTTCTTCTTTCCACTCTTTTTCTTCTTGCCTTTAAGTTTCACCTCAGCGTTGTCCTCATCGTCCTCGAATGCGCCTTCAAGCAAAGCTTTGATGTTCTCGTTTGCCATAGCCGTATCCACATAGCCATCCATATCCATAGCCCCGAATTTTGACGGCGAATAGGCGCTTGCTCTTGGAACAGGATCAGTAATATCGCGTGTGAGGTCGATAAATTTCTGCAGGTTCTTCGACGCGCCTCCCATCTTCGATGGAACAGGCTTGGATTGATAGATAGGCCTAGGAGCCCGAGGAGTTGACCAAGTGACATTTTCAGGGCGCTTAATACTAACTGCACCATGCTGGAATCCTCCGCGAGGGTTGTTGTAGGCCGATGGCGCCACCGGCTTGAATGGATCCCATGGCTCGCTTCGCTTCACTGACGGCGTAGCGACTGTGGCACCCGAAGTGCCCGGTGGGCGATAACCTTGAGGTGCAGCACTTGACTGACCTTGGCGTGATTGTGGCTGATGTTGCGGCTGCGGCCGAGGGGCGGGTCGATGGTGTTCGGCGCGAGATTGATTCGGTTTCGGAATGTTGAAAAGGTGGTTTGATCTGTGTTGTGGGCGGCCGAGCGGTGAGGGTTTTCCGAATTCAGGTTCCTGGACATGCGCGGGGTGAGGCTGGGTGTTTGGTTTTCCCCCTGGTGTGAGGGGCTCCAATGGAGCGTTGCTTTCTCTAGCCATGTTGCTTTAACGAGCAGTGTGGTTTGGACGATTTCTTGTCAGATAGGTAATAGATTTGTTGAATTCACTAGATCAAAAAGTCTGGAATGATCCGGTCTTTGGGCATTAAGACGCAAAGAGGAATCTCAGAGCACTGAAATTTAAAGTTAGGATTGGTTCTTTGTGTGTAGGCTCGACGACTTCGGAAACCTTGGGGACTAGGAATTGAAGTTTCGAATCCAAAGAATGATGTGAGTTCAATAGTGCAGGGCAAACTAACCCTTATATCATGCTTTGAATGCGATGTGTTTTGTCGTTGGTGGGGGTTTGCAAACATCAAAGGAAAAGGAGTCGTTATCGATTCCAAGAAGGTTATCGCTTTGTTTGGGGTCGGCCTAGCAACCGGTGATGCCTCAGGCAGAAGTCCGGAACATCGTATCCAAAATGTTGAGAGGCATAGTCCCGCATTATGCACGATACATCACAGCACCGATTGCAAACCGTCCTGGATATGCAGGCCAGGATTGAATACCTACCTAGCTTCTGTTGACCGCCATGATCCAATTTTCCCGAGGATCTCCGTGTCTCTTCTCTACGCTGTCATATAATATTAACCTTGCTAGTTCTCACCCGGAAATATTGCACATTATCCTCTTCTGGTGTACATTGTTCCGCATATCATTCGTCATAAAACTTCACATTCATTCCCTACAACTATACCTCTCGTCTATGAGCACTGAATCGCTTATATTTCCCTGAGATAGTTGTATACTTCACGAATGGTCATCAATCCACATCGTCAACAGACATGTTCCTTCGGACCACTATGTGCGGAAGGGCGGAGCACACATGGCTTATGGAAATATTTTACTATGTATCTTGAATCTTGAGGTTGCGATCTCACATTACCGGGTAGCTATCACAGTTTATGATTTATTATTCCCACCGTGCTAGTTACGAAACTGTGTGTTACACCCCTGGAGAAAGAAAAAAATGTATACCAAACATGTTATGTCTTCCAGCATCATCTCATGCGAACCATCCGGATGACCAGATTGTGAAAGTTATAATTGCTAGACGCAAAGGTCCTTCATCTATAAATTTACTTCCGACTCATTCTCACTTCACCTCTGTTTTCTTGTGCTCTACTTTAGACATCTTGTCTTTTCAAACAAACTATTCTCAACTACTTGTGTCTTGTCTTTTCACCAACAGCTTCCACTTGATGTATAGTCTTTTTATTCCTGAAACACCATAGCATTTCCATTATGCTAAGGGATGAAGGCAAGGTCTTCAACCGAACAGTCCCCGGCTTGCCTTGCGAGGACCTGGTGGTGCGTCTCTGCGAGCAACAAGGCCTCCACTTCAATACCCTGACCTACTCTGCGCGCGCCGAGAATTCCTTAATCAAGTACAATAATGTAACAATTGAGGAGGCCCACGTACAACTATTCTTCCGCCTCGAGGTTGGGGGAAGAACGAACAACACCATCCGTATCCCCAAGGTCTACTATGCTTTTGAAGCGGGTGGCAGAGGCCAGGGATTTACCTACGTCATTATGGAACACATCGATCTCGATTACGAAAAGACCACTTTCATCTCATAAAATAGAAAATGTCATTCGCGATTTGACCAGTCCCCGACCACCACCTGGTGCCTTTTGGAGCTCAATCCGTCAAGAACGTAGACATCACTTCTTCTGATATAGAAGCAATTTCCCAATTGATCAAAACGGCCAGCTTTGGGCTGTCAATTTTTCTCAAACTGGAGTTCTGCTGAACTTCTTCCTGCGGTTTGAGTGACTTGTGCGTTATGACCCCATCCCAAAAGCGAACATCAGAGTCCGCATTGGAGGAGCTTTGGAGTGATCCTGCTGTCAAAGTGATAAAACCTCGTGGCACACTTGGCCGTGCTAGCCTTTTGGGCAAAACTACTTTTGTATGCACATGTTGACTTCTAATTCTATTACTCATCTCATCTCTAGACATCCGTCAAAGAAATCGTTTACGCTAATGCTGAAGCATTCATTTCGCATTTTAGGAACCACAAGTCCTTCTTGGTGCAAGATGACAGCAGCCTTTCAGCATACACATTTGTAAAAACAAAAAACAATTTCTAGTGTGAAACTACTTATAGCGCCGTGCGACAGTCAAATCAACAGGGATTTACTGCTCTAACAACAATCCCATTTGGCATATCTAGCGCTTTCTTCTAGGTCTCCTTCCACATAGATGGTACCCTATATATCAAAGTCAGCTGGTGATCAGTTGAGAGCACTATCAATACTCACAAAACCTCAATGACAGCACATCTCCCACCCTGAACAACAGCGGTCGCTTCTTTGATAGCAGGATCGAGCTCGCTTTGCGTAGTGACTTTCGCACCCCAAGCCTTGCCAGAAGCAGCAGCGATTCCAGGATAATCGGGAGAAGGGTCAAACGAGATATTGAGATCTGCACTAAGTCAGCCACTGTGCACAAGATGAATTTTTAGTTAGATCTGACTGACCTCGTCTGTTTGACTTCGACGATAAACCGTCCTTGTGGACCAAAAGTGCAGACACTTTTGGTGCGTTCCATCCACCATTATTGAGCACAATGAGGAGAAAGGGAATATCGTACCGCCTTGCGATCCAATAGACGCTTTCCATCTGCGAGAACAGATAAACCCCGTCACCGACACTGGGCATTCGTTAGATATTATTGAAGACTTCCCACACTCTCAAGTACTTACATTGCACAGATGAATGAGCCGGGCTTGCCTAGCTTGACGCCGAGTGCTGCACCACCTCCCCATCCCAGACCACCTGCACCGCTGGCAATCAGACTTCCTGGCTAAAATTTAATTAGCATTGAGTGAGTAGTTTGGTATAAATACATACCCTGGTCAGGTTCAAATGGTGAATGAGATGTCCTGCATTGGTTACTGCCTCCAAAACGTAAATAGTCTCTTCGGGGAGAGAATCTCGCAGTCTTGATGCCAGGTATGGCACACTGACTATACCATCTTCCGGTGGTGATTCAAGTGCTAGTAGGGCTTTTCTCCAGGCTTTATAGTTCTTTGATCGGTCTTTAAACTCTCGGATATAATTAGCCTGGTCGATGTCCTGGTTATCCAGGAAAGCATTGATTTGTTGAAGTGCAATTCCACAGCCAACCTTAAGCTTACGAATGGCGTTGATTGAAAATACTGATACATCGTTGTTAGAAAAAAGCAGGAAACGGTGAGCCCTCTGATCGATAAGTGAACTTACGTGGCATCTGTTGTTTGAGCGGATCGACATCTAGATGGAATATTTTGGTGCCTGCAGCGCCTGTCAGAAAATCATTTTAAGCGTTGGTTTCTCAGCTTTCTTACCGCTCCGAGGCTTTCCAGCAGTAGGGATCCAAGGCACATCACAATCGAGAATAAGAATAACGTCGGCCTTCAGAACTTCTGGATGAGTTGTGACAGTGACGCCGCGATATGCTTCGTGGTCACTTCGCAGGGAAACGTCCGAGCCAACCATCTCCACAACGTTGATTGGAAGTTTGTCACAAAGCTCAGCTAGGAGGGCCGGTGCTTTGAGATTCCGACCAAGATAACCCGTGATGACAAGCGGTCGCTTTGCGTCCATGAGCGCCCTCGCAATTAATTCCACGTCTATTGTTGTCAGCGATGTGAAGATTTAGCCTGGGTAGCTATCAACCTACCTTGCTCTGGCAATGCGCTTGGAGTGACTGGACTGAGAATTTCTCCGTCTAGGCATTCCTTTCCCACGCGCTGCATGGTAGATTTGGTTAGTAGAAGTTTTTGTTTAGTTCAATGACACTGAATACATACTTCTTCGAGTACCTCTCTCGCAGCCATTAGATATGTCGGGCCTTTAGGGTCAGATGTAGCAAACTGTAAAGCTCGCGAGACCATCTGCTTGATATTGCGTCCGGTCTTTATTTCAGCTGTGTATCTGCAGTATTGTCGGACAATCGCTGCTTGGTCGGGTACATCTTGCAGCCAATGGATGAACCTGTAGTAGTGTCAGTAGGCTCAATGTGAATGTTAGTTCTTGGGCTTGCTCACTCTGTTCTAGAACCCAACAATTCGCCATTCTGCGTAAAAGGACTCAAGCCAGCAAAACACAAGACAGGGACTCTGCTAACGGAGGCATTATGTATGGACTGTCCCATAGCGAGAGTTCCACAGTCGACATGCACAATCACACATTGCTTGCCACAAGTTAGCGAAAATCAAATGATGTGATCGACATGGTAACTGACCGGCACTCCTGTAGCTTGAGCATATCCTAGTGCAGCTGATAGCGCAACTAGCTCAGAAGGACAGGTAATAATGTTTGGGAAATTGAGGTTATTTTCTATTATAATTTAGCACTGGTATTATTGAGTATTGGATAACCTATCCGGTACTCACCTTGCTTGGCTTTGATCATCGCTTCCAACATCGCGGGATGGTCGCTCCCCCTATCGGACTCGTCAAAAAACGTCAAATTGGTGGATTTAAGGGACTCACAGGTTGACAAAGCAGTGAGTGATGCCGGCCTCAGCTGCGATAAAGGTTAGCTTTTCTAATGGGCCTCGTAGAGCTATGATCACATACACAGCGCCTCGAAGAAATTCTCAGCTGCCGATGTGAGACTGCCATCTTTGACAATCGCGCCCTCATCGTCGCTCTCTTCCTTCTTTCGTTTCTGGGGTACTCTTTTCGACTTCATTGTTTAGGCCCTGAAATTGAGTTGCAATTGACGGTGGTAGAGGGGATGTGCAAATTTAGATGCCAACTAACCCCTTGGATATCTGCGAGGGCTATGCAGCTCTATATATGAACCCCCCATAGTAGCACAGCATATACGTAGTATCCAGGCCAATCATTTTCAATTATCCATCGTAATTCCGCTATTTATGGGGCTTTTAAAGTACCTCCGCAAAATTATACGACTATGGGGTATCCTAGAAGGATCGGCGTTTTCACCGGCATTTAATGTGTGTGTCTTGGAATCCCCACGATTGACTATCAAATATCGAAGAAGTAAATGGTACAACTCCATAGATTTATGTTGGAATAGCAATTTCTATGAAATCCGAAGCTCCTTATCATTATTTTCATCAATCCCCAGTGTATGTAGGCAAAGGCCCATATTCAAATTCGCTAGTTCGCATACCAATCCCGAAAATTTTCAAATCTCGCCAATAACGCTCTTGAGTATCTCAGGGATAATAACCCCCGCATCTCCCTGGAAGAACCAGTCACCGTAATGAAGCTCACCCGGTGTATCCTTAGGGTCCATATTGCACACTGCAACTCGGGCGCCCTGCGAGCGAGCCTCGTGGACATACCCCGCAGCTGGCCAGATGCGCGCGCTGGTGCCAATGACCAAACACAAGTCAATTGGACCCGCCGCGATCCACTTATCAACAACTTTGAGTGTTCTCTCTGGTAGAGCTTCTCCGAACCATACAACCCCCGGTCGGAGCAAGCCATCCTTGCATTCCGGACATTGGGGTAGGTCCTTTTTGTCCACTATGAAAATGGGGTTGCTCACATCAGAGATGTCGACCTCGTTGGTCGTGCCGCTCAGCGCCTCTGCAAGCGCTTTTGATGCCTCCTCGCCAGTCTTGTCCGTCGCAGAAGGGTTAAGGCCTGAGCTCTTTTTTGGGATCTCGAGGGCAGGAACAATGGGATCTGTGTAATTTTCTTCGCTGTAGTTGCAATAGAAATTGGTGCATTTGACGGTGAACAGAGTGCCATGAAGAAGATGCAGTTGTTTCGCGGGATGGTTCGCTCGCTGAGAGAGGCCTAAAAGAAACGAGCGGGCTTTATTAGTGAAGGAAACAAAAGAACACGTCTGAAATTCCTACCGTCAACATTCTGGCTCAATGTGATGAAGTCGGCATTCCTCCGCGCCAGCTCTGCCAAGGCGTGGTGTGCTTTGTTGGGGTCAGCCTGTAAGGCCATGTGTCGCCGATAGCTGTAGAACTGCCAGACGAGACCGGGACTCTCATCGAAAGCTTCTTGAGTCGCGAGCGAGGTTGCGTCGTGAGCACGCCAGAGTCCGCCTGCACCACGGAACGTGGGTAATCCTGATGCCGCGGAGATTCCAGCACCAAGAAGAGCAACGATGCGTTTGCAGCCTACCAAATATTCAGTGAATGATTTAAGATCAGCTTCAGGCACAATGCTCTTTCCGAATGAAGCCATGGTCTCTAAGTCCCAGTATGGTTGAATATGGCCGGGGAAGAGTGGAGCTTATCAAAGGAAGCCCAGGAAGATGCGGGGGAATTTATACTCCATCATCGCCTAATCCAAAAGGCGCACGGGGGCCAGAAAAGAAATGATTGCTCAAACACAACTAGATAATTATTTGTCGTCTTACTATTATACTTCTTCTTTTCTTCTTGTCTTCTCTTTGGAAAAGAATTACAACAGTTTAGCAGGGGCTAGCTGCTGTGAATTCCTGGTATTCTACAGTTCAAATTCCTTCTACTAAATTTAGATAGATCTATCAATCTAACAAAACACACTACTCGAAGTGATATTTGACATAGTGAAAACAGCAGGTGAAAGCTTGTTATTACAGTAACTATAGAAGCAATAGGGGAAAATAAGATGAATGAGACAACTTATTGCCAATCAACAGCTGCCTGTGTAGCAGCAGCATTTATAACCGCTGATCCTACACTTTGCGTAGTCGTAAAGAGACTATTAGCTGCGATATTTCCTATCGTACTTTGGACCATAGCAGCGTAGGCCCCTACCCTCGGCAGCAGGTTAATGAAAAGAATGAACGCTCAATGACTTATATACAAATTGGAAGTGCTCGGTTAGATATTGTAAATACCTGTGGTGATACCAGCAGTATTGAAACCTAGACCTGATAGGATTGGGGCTGCTACCAGCACCGGCTACCATGCGGGTAACTAAAGTGCGGTTCTTGAGGGCTAGGTGCCTGCCTGTTGTATGTGATCAATTAGTTTTAAGATTACTGCATATAAGAATGACCTTAGGAGCACATATATATGTCTAGAGGACCAACCTTTACCTTGGTGCAACGAAATATAGATATTAATGTATAATATTGTCTAGGCGTAACCATCTATGGCCTAATGTCATGATAATGCATAGTTCATGGCAATGACGGGTAAAATACTACATGCTGCTAGGATATTTGATTGAGAGGTTTCGGCTAAGGACTCGTGATTCGATTATCATTTTGGTCAAGGGTCGCGGGAATTGAGCTACTTAAAATAGAGTAAAGGTAAGTACTTCCGTTAGCTCAATAAGCATATGGATAGCAAGAATATAGAGAGACCTCACTATAATGAAATGGTTCCGTACTACATATGTGCTTTGGCTCGGCACAATAGATGCCCAAGTATCATTGATCAATCTATCTACGTTGCTGAGGACCGAGGCCATATGAGCGACTGACTCTTCTTGTTTGTTTTATTCTACAAATCATCTTTATTTTATATCCTGCTTTATTCGAATTGTTTGTCTTTTGGCCCCCAAGTTCATAGCCGCAGTTTTGGTGGCGCAATTTTATCCTTGCCAAATACGCCCTGGCATGTAACGTTGATGCGCTTAACTAGCCAATATATCATCCAACAGAAAAACACCGTATCAATATCTAGTTTCACTCCCTATTATTTCAAATATGGCATCTCTAAACCTGGGCGATGAATCCAACAGGAAGAAAGCCAGCTTGGCAAAGAAGAATCGACTTCAAGATGACGACTTGAACGACCCCAGTTCATCTCCAAATCCCCGCCCTAGGCAACTGACTCCACCACTTCCGAAGGCTCAAGGTCTCAAAACTCAAGCCTCATCGACTAGTCGTGGATGGCTACTGTCACGTTCAAGACGACGCAAGCAACAATCTACCTTCGACCAAACCCAATCTCCTCTGTTCGAAATTCTGCCCGCCGAAGTCCGGCTGCTCATTTGGGAACAATATCTCTCGAGCCGTATGCTGCATATTATGCGGCCGAACCAGCGCAAATGGAAACAATCCCAGAAAGAAATCGTTGGGATTTTATGCAGCGAACAGCGCAACTTCTGTCCATGTAGTCATCATTGTTGGGGACTACTTGCTCGTCGGCCTGTGGGTAATTGCATTACACCCATGGATTACGGTTCATATTACCACAAGAATTCAAAGTGGAGATTTGACACGAGAAGAGCCGATTTTGTGCCACTTTTACAAACGTGCCGGAGAGTGTGAGTATTTCCATCTGTGTCCAAATAACCATCTAACATCGCGGTAGATACTCTGAGGCCATTGATATCATCTTTCGAAAGAATAATTTCCTCTTTAACCACACAGACACGATTATCGATTTTTCAAATACACTTCTACCACAGCGACTGAGCCTGATTCGCACTTTGCATCTCGGTTTTCCGGATCCTGGTGGTCTATCTTGGAATATATGTTGCCATGTTCTCGCTAATAAGCTACCTGGTTTGAAGAAATTGACCATTCATTTATATCCTCACGTGGCAAAGCGCCTGGACGATTGGCTTATACCGCTGCATCAGATTCAACAACCCGCGGTCTTCGATGTCCTGCTCATCAAACCATGGTATCTGGATCCGCAATGGGAAAAGTCACTTGGGCTTGTTAATGCACCATTTCAATTTTTGATTACTGATGTGGAAAGGCGTGGCTTTTTGAAGGCTGTGAGGCCAGACCCTGCTTCTTGGGTCGAGATTCCTTGATGATAGATAGACACGATTTACAAACCTAGACCGATAACCCATCGAGGTCTACTATGCTAGGCTCATACTCCATTTAGAAAATAAATACGCTGGACTGTATCAATTAACTAAAACCAAACATTTTCTTTTTCATTTTCTGTGTACTAGCCATGAAAATTCATGGCGATTTGGACTCCAAACATTCAACTATCCTCATATCTCCACAACAACGCTTTCGTACTTGAGAACACTTTCACTTCTGTTTCGATGAATCGAAGTCCCACAGTCCATTCATGCATTGGCTTATTCCTGAAACACCATTTAGCCTTGGGAAGCTTTGCCCGAATATATCGCTGACTTGTAACCGTGCTCATAATAGTCACTCGCGTCATCACCACCCATGAACCCGCAAGGAGGTAGCTGTGTGCCCTGTGTGTTCTGGTCAGAGATGATGATACTGTGTTTCTGTTACAGGAATGATCCTTACTATTCTGTAGGTACTCTGATTGCGATAGAGACACGGTCTGATACTCAACTTGCTGCAGTTCTCTACCCAGAGCTGTGCGCCCGCGCTCGTTCTCCACTGGTGTTGGAATACCTGTCGATCGTTGGTGGAAAGTCTTGTCGCTCGGGTTGACATGGGTCTGGACCTGCAAGTCGGGGCCACCAGCTTCACCTGGATACCTTGCGGTATTTATAGTTCGAGTCATTTCCGTGCATTGCTGAGTTTTCTCTTCTTCGTCTCAGCGGGTGGTGATTGCATTTTGCTCCGTTGGGTCCGCATGGTACCTTGAATGCTGGCTCCTTCAGCCAAGCCTGCAGTGAAGTAATTTGGCACTTCTTCCTTCGACCGTCCCAGGATGGCGCTGAATGGAGTCATTCCAGTCGCCGGAGCTCGAATGGCACCATGATCGAGTGAAGGCTGCATGGAAGGACCAAGAATACGGGACTCCAAGTCTTGTTTGGTCCATTTGAGTTGCAGAGTTTCTTCCATTTCGAAGATTTTCTCCGGAACCACTAGTTTTCCCTCTTGGAAGGCCTCCATCAGTCTCATCTTGGCTGAAGTATTGCGTTTGGCTGGCGGTAGTCCGAAATGGGAAAGCTGTGCTTCGTACCAGTCGGCTTCATTGTCGGGTCTATTCCTTATGGCGCCTAGTGGTGCACTGAAAATCTCATTCAGCTCGGAGGATGTCGCGCGTGCATAGATATGACCGGAGAACGAAGTGAAGTATAAAGTGTCATTGTCGTAACGCCACTGGCCATGATAGACAGGTGCCATGATGTATCGGGTGATAAATAAGAAGAGGGGAGCAGTCGAATCCAAGGTGAAATAAATAACAATCCACCAGGAACCGTGATTAGATGATTACATGTTCTTCTGACGATATTACATCGTCGATGCCGTATAGGTACACTTGCCATTTTGGTAAGTACGCAGTGCGGCACTTATCAACTATCTATGAATTATTACTTGATTTAGTAGTTCTACTTACCTTGGCAATAAATGTTTTCTCTTATAGATCCCTAATAGAACAATGGGGCTCTTTTCTTCCGTGAATCTTGACTATATAGTCCTATTCATGTATTTGCACCGAGGTTAAGTTGCTCATAGTCCACCTGCTCACAGCGGAAGAAGCCACCAACAGCATGTCCTAATATATCTGTGTATTTATTTAGGTAGCTATCTAGATGAAATACTAAGTTTATGATCATAGTTATGTATATTCTCAAACAAACTTGAGAATTCTCTGAGTAATCATCATTGGTTAAATAGATGGATGTAAGTGTATAGTTAGGCGTGGCCATCCCACGTTCCACGGGCGACGGCCCAAACTTTAAGCGCCTTAAGGATCCCCCCCTTCGTCAGCTCTCGACTTTCACCTTTACTCCATCCCATCTACTGACTTACTTCTCTTTGTACATCATGAATCCATCCTCTCCCTCAGCACGCTCTTCCCAGGGCTCCCCTACTCCGAATACACAAAGCACACCTAGCCATCGTCCAAGCCCGCGCCAACCCCAAAGCTCAGGCACACCACCTAACAACTCAGGGAACGCCCCGATCCCAGATGACGATCATGGCGCTGATCTACCGATGAATATGTCGGCATCGGTTATGCTAACCAATTTACCCCGTGATGCGCACCAAGCACTCGCCGATGTTGAGGGTATTGACTCGGGGAAAGGTAAACACCCCTCCTTTTCCAACGAGCGTTTGGTTGATCAGCCAACCGCAATGTCAACAAATGGTACAATTCAGCTAACAGCGATCAAGTTACTGTTCGCTTTCAGCCTCTTCCTTCGGCCCCTATTCTGAAGAATCGGGTATTCAAGGTTAGCGCTTCGCAGAAATTTGAAACGGTTGTCAAGTTTCTGCGCAAGAAGCTGGACTGCAAAGAGACAGACTCCGTCTTTTGTTATGTTAACAGTGTGTTTGCGCCCGGGCTAGATGAAGGCATGGGCGGACTATGGAGGGTGAGTTTCAACTCGACTGGTCCACAGCACCTCCATATTCGACAATTTGAATGCTAACTGTATAATAGTGTTTCAAGACGGACGATCAATTGATTGTCGCTTATTCAATGACGCCAGCGTTCGGCTGAGTAGGCTATGAAAGATCAGCACGAACTGCTGAATGATGCTATGTACAAATGATGATGATGACGATGATGTTTAATACAGAACATGCAAGAAATTGCCATGGAGAAAGAAAATGGCAACCAGAGGTATCATGATTCTTGGAAGACCTCGTCCACCGTTTTCTGGAACCCAGCAAGCTCCTCCTTCGCAATGGGATATGTGTACTCTTCCGAAGGGAATGCCCGACTCTTAACTTCATCGCGATACAGCGAGATGCCACGGGCTGCCTCATCCCAGACATCAGCATACTGCTTAACAAACTTCGGCACGAACCGACCAGGTCGGAAATTCCCAGTCATGTCAACCTGCACGAGAACCTGCCCGGAGCAGCCGTTCCCAGCGCCAATACCAATAGTCGGGATCCGCAGCTTCTGCGTAATGATCGATGCGACCTCTGCTGGCATCGCCTCGAGCACAAGCATGAATGCGCCAGCCTCTTGCATAGCCAATGCGTCGCGCAGCAGCTTTACCGCGCTGCCCGCCGTCTTGCCCTGCACACGGAAGCCCCCGAGCGCATTCTGACGTTGCGGTGTGAGACCGACATGGCCTACCACTGGCACGCCGGCTTGTGTAATGCGCTTGATTGTAGGCGCGAGTCCCTCCCCACCTTCGAGCTTGACGCCATGCACGCGGCCTTCCTTAACCAGGCGCAGGGATGACTCAATGGCTTGCTCTGCGCACACTTCATATGACCCCATTGGTAGATCTCCGATCTAGAATTGGGATATGGTTGTTAGTTGGTGGCACGGTGGCGCTAATCAAGGAATCTCGGAAACTCACAATGAAAGCGGCCTTAGTTGCTCTTGCAACACTCCGACAATGAAGAATCATCTCTTCCATAACGACTTCCGTTGTGTTTTCCAGTCCAAGAGCTACCATACCTAAACTATCCCCTACCAAGACCATATCCATCCCCGACGCATCGGCCACATGAGCACTGGGGAAGTCATGGGCCGTGAGCATTGTGATCGGCTCTCCCCTTTTGTACATGTTCTGGAGCGTCTGAATGGTAACCTTCTTCCGCGCCTTTCCATTTTCACCCGGTGCTGGCGCGGAGTAAGAACTGTGTCGGGTTTGGGAGAGGGAGTGTGGCGTTGGAACGCGGGAAGCCAGGATGGGACATCGGGCAGCACGAAGGGTGTGTATAGCTTGTGTTCGGGTAGCAGGGATCACCGCGGTCCTTAACAGCGACGAAGAAGCGAATGCTGTGCGCCGCAGCGCAGAGCCCGGCGCAGCCATTGTGTGGTATGATTGTGAAAAACGGAGTGGTGTGATGCACGTGGTGATGCTCGATATCGAAATTCCAGGACTATATGTGTACAGTAAGTATAGTACAATGTGTCACAGTGTACAATGCTATGTGCAGTAGTTGTATCCGTCGGAGAGCTGTAGAAGTGGCGATGACAAAGGAATGGCGATGACCTCAGCGGCGAACCGAAGCTTTCCAAAGTTCCAAATGCACGAGCGGAAAACACAGAGAGGTCATAAGTTCTTATATCCAGGAGTATTTCCGGAGCTGCGGCTTTGTTCAGATATCCTTCTGTCCGGACTAACGTGCTGGGTTATGCGGCGTAGAGGGGAGCATCAAAAATTCCTGAAGTTCAAGATCTTCTTTACTGCCGCTGATTACGGGGCCGGGTGCCGAGATGTTTTGCGGGGCTGCTAGGTGCTTTTGGACTCAGGAACGATGCAGGTCCTCAGACCTGTTTTAATGGATATATGCGAGTATGATAATTGTCTATGTACCAAAATAATATCAAACCATAAAGGTTTCATCTTGTTGACATCAACTGTGGAAGCTCGAGGATGTGTTTTATGCATTCTCACCGCCTGGCACTACTATCACCGCCTGCAGTTTACGTCTCGCCGAGGTGATTACTGCATTGGGCTAAGTGAGGGGACATTTTACTTCAACAGTCTAATATTTCTTTTTCTTGAGTGAAGAATTCATTCAGTAGCAGGGAATTCAATTAGCATGATACAAACTGCATACAGATCATCGAGTCGAATAAATGCTTATGCGGGTAAGTAATGTCACGAGAAAGGAAAAGTCTCGACAGAGACTTGATCGTCTGCGCTGGGTAACAAACCACAGCCGTCGGGAAACAAGACACCACCAGTGAGAAGACATAAGGAAAAGAAAATCCAATGAGGATAGAAGACATGGCCCCGTAGGACCAAAAATGGGGATAATGATGTGTTAGAACGGAGTGCAATGCAAGGATACGAACCCTTGAGTTCATGCTAAATCGTTCATTATACCTTCGGTATATCGCAACCGGCCACACTATTGAAGACCGTAAAGCATAAGCTTATTGCATGCCAGGCAAGCAGCGTCAACCATGAGTTTTTCTTGGAGCAACATAATGAATGCAAGTATCCAAAATTGCCGTCGACGGTTGATGGAGGTCGGTTCACGAATTCGAAGGGGTTGTTTTGCTGTTTTAAAATCCGATATTCAATACATTCGAAGAAGTGAAAATGCTGTAAAGGAGTGGACGACCTCCATCGAGATCAAGGCAAACAGCCAGACCGTCGGAGAGGGGCTGGTTACTAGTACTGCTGATGCATGATAAAAACAAAAAAGTAATGAGTAAAAAAAGGAAAAAGAAAAGAAAACGCCACCATGCATGTGTCGATGCCGAGGGTATGGTTATGCGAGAGGTTGAGGTTCAAATCGGGCATGACGGAAATAAAAATTGCGACGCGGCAGAAGAAAGAGAACTTGAAAATAAAAGCTTGACAAGCACCACGATGCAAACGTGTTGCAAATCAGAGGAGGCCGAGGTCCAAGGATATCATGGAATGCTGACAGAACAGCAGATCTATTCATCATATTCATATTGTTCCTTGAGCGGGCGTTGAATTTCAGCAAGCAGTGCATCAAGTTCGGCCCAGTTGGTCGAGTTCGCAGCAAACCGGCGATGTTTCCGAGTCAGAGTGTGCTAAAGGATTGGTCAGTATCTATAGGGATCTAAGTAACGGGACAACCTGGACCATACTTCTTCAAAATCGTCAAACTTGTCCCTACAGTTCTCGCAATAGCCAGGCTTTGGATCTCTGCGGCGCTCGGGTTTCTTTTGCTCATCTTTGTCATCCCTTTGTCTCTTTGAAGTAGCCGTCTCAGATTGCTTTACTTCATCCTCAGTAAGGTTGGACTTTCCGGGGGGATTGACGTTGTTCCTCATCGGAATTGTCGTAACGGCATCCCCACGACGTTGAGGAGCAGCCATAGATCCCGCTGTGAATCCACATGTGCCCTTCTCGAGAACCTTTCTCTTGAGTCCATGAACCTCCTTGCTGAGCCCTGCTTTCGCACCAGGCGCTGCAGCAGTGGATGAGATCATTTGTGAGCGAATTGCGGATGTCATATTAGAGGGCTGAACACCTGAGGCAGCAGGCTCACAACCAGCATAAAATGGTCCGGTCCGAGGGAAGTGGGGAGGAATAAAGCTTTCAGAGCTCTTTCGTTCATGAGTTTCATCGAATGATGGCTTTAGGATTTCGTTTTGAACCGGCGGTGTAGCACGCTCCTCTTGTTTCACCAATGGCTGGGAATGTGCGATTTCTGTTGTGGTCACAGATTCAGGGGCTTGTTGGACAGGCTCAGCTTTTTTGGTCTTGGAATCACGAGTTCCACCAGTCTTGTGAGACGCAGCCTTCTTCTCTTTCTGAAGTTGGCGCAACCGGTGTCGATCATATTCCCTTCTGCTCGGGGGCTCATCTATGAAAGGACACTTTCCAAGGGGAGCGCTTCGGAACTGTGGCCAAGATCCATCCTGGCGTCTAGCGACTCGAGAGTATTCTCTAACCATCACTGGTTTTGTTTTCTCGTTCATGTCATGGATGTAGACAAATGGTCCTTTGAATATCAGCATTTCCATTGATGTCAATGGATCGCGATCAGATGGTCCATTGAGAAGTTCCTGTCGAAGAACTCGTGAGAGATCATTTTCACCCTTGCCGTTGGCAGCGCTACCACCAGCGGCTCTATTCCGGGCGGCTTGTTCAAATTGGGCACCAATGTCACTATCATTAATGGTTGTGATCATACGCTGAAGCTTTTCCAACGCCCAGATTTTCATGCCCATCTGCCGAGCCCTTTGCAGAATGTCCATAGTTACTTGATCACGACGCGGCTCGGTTTTTAATGAAGCATGCAGGTGAGTCTCGCCGTTTCTCTCCAAAAGAGAAGGGTTGACAGTTTGGACATTGCTATCGCCATTGCTGGCCTCTGCGGTTGACTCCGGTTCTACTGGAGTGGTTGATTCTGGGGGGATGGCACGCGAAGTGACAACGTGGGTTACTAGACGCGAGAAAAACTTCTCCTCACGCTGAGTTGAAGCGGGTTAGAGAAAGTGCCAATGGAAGGTGCCCAATACTGAAGACAGGAGACAAGAGGTGCAACCAAGACGGGTGATGCCTGTGGGGCAATGTGACTTACAGCTCCAAGATCAATGACCTGGCGAGAGAACCGCCGTCTGACATCCTCAGGGATGCTATCAAAGTAAAACACAAACTGGGGGAACGCCTTCCTATAGTGCCGCTGCCATTGTCGAATGGAGTCCATGGTATCTGCCGGGGCCTTCTCTACTTTGACGTGCTTCATTTGCGGCTGACGTTCTTTCTCCCGGGCTGCGACGAGCTTCTTCTCAAATGCACTGGGGTTGCCATTGTTCGATCGCCGCGCGAAGAGTTTCGAGTCCGTGTTCGTGGTCTGGCAGGTGGTCGAGCGAGGCTCGTATTGCATGTTCTCCATAGCTTGTCTTTTCGGCGGCGGTTGTCCGTACGGCATCTCCATTCGGGTAGGGCGAGCTCGTTTAAGCAATAGCTCGGCCCTGCGTGGAGAATTGGTTGCATTCGGCACGTTTGCGAGTGGACGACGAGTAGCCATGGTCATAGAAGTTCGGGGCGAAGGGGGTACGAAGACAGTTGCCATTTGAAAACGAGTTCTCAGGGCCGAGAACGCGTGTAGATGTTGAAGAGTGACAAATAGTCGGATATCAAAGAGGGGTACTCGGTGAAGAGCACGCGTACTAACACGTCTTTTCAGGGTCAGAGGAGATTAGAAGATGGGCATTGTATCCTAAGAAACAATAGCAAGGAGCCAAAGGAGAGAGAAAGAGATCGAAGTGCTTGAGAGTGGGATGGGAAGAGAAAGACGAGGTGGAAGACCTGGAGGAGGAAAGAAAGAAGAGCAAAGCAAGTCGTGTGGTGTGGAGCTCAGTTTGTTTTGGGCGGAGGCCCGACAACCAACGGCAGAGCGCGAAGCATGAACATCAACATTGCATTCTTTGATCGCGACAACAAATATTTTTCTTCGGGTTTTCTTTTCTTCTTTACTTCATTCTCGAGCTCATTCTCTGGGGCTATTTCGTTAATTGTTCCTATCCTTAAAATATAATTACTATAAGTGCCCAATCATGTCCAACCACCCCAGACCAGCCAGCCCCCAAACAAGCCCCAGACCAGCCACCACAAAGTACCTAATCCAGGCAAGGATAAGTCAGACATGTAGATTACAGCTTAGAACAAATCAAATCAAATAAAATAAAGGGGCTCAAATATGATCCTTTGGAGCCTTATGCTATTATACATGGGAATTTGAGGGATCTGACGGCTACCATATACATCACATTTAATTTAACTACGCAGCGCCTCAATGTCCTCAACCTAGTAGAAGTTAGTGACGACTGAATATAGGCAATATTGCAATCTTGAACATACCTCCTTGACAGCCTCGGGGGTTAAAACAATCGGGTGTTCGTCGCCGACACAAACACTATCCTCGATACGAATTCCGATCCCACGGAAATGGGCGGGCCATCGTTCATCGTTAGGAACATAAATACCCCTAGCATGGATTAGCGCGTTTCAGGTTTGGAGGAAAGGAGGCTGGGGACGAACGGTTCAATTGTTATACATTGACCTGCTTTCAGGTCGAAGCCTCTAGAATACCCAGGGCAGTCATGAACATCCAGGCCAACATAGTGGCCTAGATGGTGCGGGAAGAGAGTACTCAGTGCCTAGTCGGAGTCAGCAGCATTCTCCACGTGGGAAGGATTTGGATGCATACGTTGCCAGAAAGATCAAAGCCAAGCGATCTGAGCTCGTCTTTCAATCCAGTCTCGGCAATGCCGTGGAGTTTGTCTAAAGAAAGATTGGAAGTCTCACGGCACAGAGAGAGACAGCTCCGGTGTACCTTGAGCACGGCATTGTACAGATCCCGCTGGGGATCAGAGAACTTGCCATTGACAGGCCAAGTTCTAGTAATGTCGGAGATATAGCTTCCCCATTCCTATAATTCGGTCAGTTTTCTGGAACTGTAAAGGTTAAGTTCAGATAAGAACTTACACCACCGCCATCGACGAGAACCAAATCACCATCCCTAAAAGTCAGTGTAAGCAGAATCCCACAATACTTTAGAAAAGGTATACAAACTTCAACACATCATCATTTCGAGTGTAATGGATAGCCAAAGCGTTCTAGGTCCGTCAGTATCGAATTCAGCTTAGAAGAATGTCAGGAAATTTACCTGGCCACCCGCAACAACCGGAACAAAAGCGTTGGTGTCACAGCCATTCACCTTGAACTGGTACTCTAGGAAAGAATAAAGATCTTTCTCTCGGGTGAAGTCCTGCCGCATAGCCTCCGTGAAAGCTCTCCCTGACGCTTGTCCCAGTCGGCGCATCTGTACAACTTCACTCTCACTCTTGAACACCCTCATTTCATTGAGTAGATGCTTCAATGGCTTGACTCTGCGGTGATCGATGACCTTCTTCAGCTTTTCCGACGCAATTGTTGGCCCATAAAGATACCGATTCAACGATGATCTTGAACCATCAAATGCTGGGATATCTGAGTAAACCTCAGTTGCTCCCTGGACAATACTCGGCAAAATATCACCGATGCGTTCGATGTTTCCTGTCTGCTCTTGGTGTCAGCTCGATAATTTGTCTAATTGTTGGGCCAATGTTCCGCACCTCGTCTGCATTGAACACATCTACAGCAGCCTGGGTGCCGGAGCGCGCCCCGTCCCAGAGTTCTGCCTTGGGGTCCTTTTCCCGGACATATAAATGGAAGATATGGTTGTCGCCAGAGCCGTCGTTACCGATAATCGCAAGTGCATTCGGTTCATTGAATCCTATCCGGCGGGCAAACGTTCAGCAGGTTCCTTCCGCAGCATCACCAGTCTGCCAAGCAAACTTACCGGTTAGGTAAAAGAAATTGGAATCCTGGCGGTACTCATTGAAGATGCCTTGCGCACGGTACTTGACCTCCGAGGCAGCCAGCACGGCAATCGCGCCTTTAGATAACTTGTTGGCGAGTTTCGATCGACGTTGCGCATATTCAAGGGCGGTGATTCCGGGCGTAACTAGACAAAAGACGATCAGATAAATAAAACTAAATCCAGAGACATAGATAAGGACCCACGTTCGCCTGGGCTAAGAATATGGGGATGCGTCTCGTGCAACGGCTGGCCGAATTTGAGTTCCGCGGCGGCCACGGAGGTAGCATAACTGCGAGGTAGGGGGTTGCATCTAGGCAATTGGCGCAATGAATGAGTCAACGGCCTGGATGAGCGCAAATGGATAGCGCATTGGCGAACTAGAGACCTGCATGCCGACATGCTTCAATGTCCCAAAAATAAGTGATAAGAGTAAACCGTTGGAGGAGTTGTTATCGCCAGGTAGTCCCAGTCGGCGGTGTGGGCCAATCATCTCGGGTACGTTTCGCATCAGACACTCCTTCTCTTGTCCACTCCTGTTGCATGCTCCGTAATTCTTGCTTTGGTGGATCTGTGCCCAGCCTGTCATCAGTGATGCAGTCTAACCTTTGTGGGGATATCTTGCGCGGATGGACCTGCCAAAAAGGGTGTTTGAAGGCGTGCAGCTCATCGGGTCACTTATCTCAATTCATCATCTATCTACTTAAATGCTCAGTTCTTCGCTGCTTATTTTTTGTTTCTCTTAACTTCACACATTTTACAGGCTACTATATACACTATGGGACGAACCTTGACCTACCCCAAGAAGGTTTCCAACACTGCCAACCGGTACAAGCATCGAGGTACGAGATAACTTTACAAATATACTAAATCCAACTAACACTATATTCTAGCTACATATGATCTCGGTCCAATCCATTCAATCATCAATGACTCCCAAGTTCTGCATGTATCCTTCAACCCAGGGCCGGATGACCCATTCCCCGCAATCCTACCAATGATAGGACAAATGGGCTCATTTGACTTTCCCTCCGCGAGCATCGACGAGCCTCTAGAGTGCTATCTCCACGGCTACGTCAGCTCACGTATTATGAACCTAGCCCGCAACTGCAGCGATGGCGATGGACTTCCCATCTGCGTGGCAACAAGCAAAGTAGACGGGTTGATCCTGTCGCTCACACCCAACTCGCACAGCTATAACTACCGCTCTGCCATCCTACACGGCTACGCGACCCTCGTCACAGACGAGGAAGAAAAACTCTGGGCGATGAAATTGATCACGAACTCTGTCCTCACAGACCGCTGGGATCACTCGCGTGTGCCGCCGGACCGTGCTGAGATGCAGTCGACTGTCATCCTGAAGGTAAAAATTGTGGATGGCAGCGGCAAGATCCGTGATGGCGGTGTTTCGGACGAGCGTAAGGACTCGGGCAACGAGCATGTCACTAGCAGTGTCTGGACTGGTGTTGTGCCAGTCTGGGAAACGTTTGGAACACCGATTCCAAGCGGTGATAGTAAGGTTGCTAAAGTGCCTGAGTATATTACTTCGTATATCGCTAGCAAGAATAACCAGAACAGGGCTCTGGCGGAGGGTGCAGTGAAGATTCAGCTGCCGCCTGAGGAGCAGCACTGAGGACCGTGCAAACGCTAGATTAGGTCAATTCATGATACGACTTTATGTTTCGGTAATGCCTCTTATTCAATTCAATTCAATTTTCTGCCGTCCTTGGGAAATCCCTGTAGCTTAATATCGCACAGTAGATTCACTGTAGGCTCAAACGATGCAATATGATCATTGCTTTTCTGTGATGACTACTCCGTATGGTCTGCTTCTTCTGCATATATATTTGTCATACTCTTTAACAGTGGACTTCCGGTATCTTTCTATATATCTTCCTATATTGGAAAGGAGGTCTTAGGAATACATAATCAAGGGCGAATAAGTTCTAGAAACCGGAATCAAGTACTAGATGTGACTGGAATGCATTTAAATAAGACCTGTGGGAATAAATATAAACATGGTACTATGAACGACCTTCCCCCATACAAGCAGACTACCAATGAGCAGCCATGCTTCCCCACGCTTCATAATCATCTTTAACCGTAGGCTCCGTATTATCTTCAGAGCCAACATGCCGACCAGTATTCCGTCCCGCCACCGTCAACCTCTTAGCGACTTCATTCGCCTCAAACAGACTGACAAGTCTTCGCTTTGTAGGCCGTTGCTGAGAATATTTCTGGCAAACACGAAGCATAACCTTGTCTTTCGAGTAGTGCATTCTAGCACCGGGAAGGAAGAATCGGGGCTCGCGCTTGATAGCGCTCTGCCACTCAGGGTGGCTATTCAATGATTGCGAAGGGCTGGAAGGCGGCCCAGAGGTACTCTTGTTGACCCAAGCATCAACTGCCATTTCGAGAGGAGTCGTACCAGTGGCATTCTCCCGGTTGAGCATGTCAGGGCGACGATCGAGGAGTAGTCCGAGGACTTGTGGGAAACCCTTCTTGATAGCATCGTGCAGCGGTGTGTTTCCAGCTTCGCCAAAGACCTCGAGATGCTTTTGGTCCGTGGAGTTGCCCAGGTCCAAAACGAGCTTCGTCATGGCGGTTATTATTTCATCGTCAGTTTGGCTACTGTTAGGAGGCCGGGGGATGACCGGATCCACTGGCGTGAAGCTGTGGTAAGCATTAAGCCATTGTGCAAAAGGCGTTCTTGAGCCTTCGCCGCCGCGTTGCATGAGCATTGTTGGGAGGAGCTCCTTATCTAGCAGCTCTATGAGTTTGGTGAATCGGTGGGAGTTCTTGCAGACCCGACCACTGTCCGATACAAGGATCAAGTGGAGGAGGTTGTGCGCAGCTTTGTTACGGACAGTCTGGTTTGCTCCGGCTGCTACCAAGATGCGAGCGAAGCGGACCTTGTGGAGGGACATGGCCCAAGCAAGAGGCGTCAGTCCTTCGGTCGATCGGACCTCCAAGCATTCAGGGTGATGGTCCACAAGATACTGAACCAGACGAACGGATTCATCATTTGGCTCAGCCATGATTGCGCAGTGGAGAACGAGGTTGTCTTTTATATGGTTAGCTATGTTTGGAAAAAATCATGAATCAGTTGGAAAATTACTTCTCGCGTGTAACCACATTAAGAGTGTGCCCTCGAGTCCTAGCTTGGACTTGGCCAATCGTTTCACTCTCTCATCACCCTTATTCGCATTCAGATACTCCAAGTAATAGCGAGCAGCCGCGGTACCAAGGAAGAACTCCGTGGCGGCCAGGTTACCCCGACGAGCCGCAATAAGAAGAGGTGGACGCTGTGTCTGCGCTTTCATTGGCTGCTCTCGACCAGCATTAGCCCAATCGGCACGCTTTGCGCCACGAATGGACAGCCCAGGGTAGTACTGAGGCTCTTTTCTTTCTTCAAGGCCGCAGTCATCACTCAATTTTGCGAGAGGAAGGCCAGCTCCAGTACTCTGAATCATTTTGGCGAGACAATCAGTACGCCCAAGTGAAATTGCAATCTGGAAGTCATCGAACTTCACAGTGAACGGCTCCTTTCCGGATGGGTTGGCGGAAGCAAGATCCAGTCCAGTCTTCAGAAGGAATTCCAAAAGAGGAATGTTGTTTGTGTAAATAGCGTATTTGAAGAAGCCATCAAGATGGATAGGATTTCCCCTGTTAAACCAAACTTCCTCGTCTTTGTATTCCTCCAAAAACATGGAGGCATTGAACGATGCCACGAAGGCACCAAGAGGGGAAACTTTGCTCTCGACCTGGCTAGAAACTTCACCGATATTTTCGTAGGTGAAGGTGTCATCGACTATTGTACTGACAATGTTAAGACCTTCGTTCTCTCCATCAGAATCATCAGAGTCACCACGACCACAGCCACCGCAGTCGTCAGAGTCGTCAGATTCATCAATATCAATCTCAAAGCGCTTCTGACCCTGGAGCTCTTTCACTTTGTGCTGCACGCGCAGAATTTGAAGAACGGCCTTAGCAACAGCTAAATGGCCGCGCATAATGCAAATTGAAAGAGCGGACAGGCCATGCTTGTCGGTCACGGCGATCTCAAGTGGTGGTTGGTCATTAAAAGATCCCCACATGCCTAGTGTCAAGGTCTTGATGGTATCAATATTGCCATTCCAGGATGCTTCGAAACTGTTGTATTAATGTTAGCAAGATGTTCTTAGGCTACGTGGATAAGTAGGGGACACGTACAGTTTTAGGTATCCGTCGCGAGCATTATCAGTAATAGCTGGGACATTGAACTTGAACTCGACTTTCCAAGGCTCAGTACGATGCAGTGGGTTCCAGGTCGAAGCGTGCACTGGGAATGGCACTGGAACATTCTGCACAGGATAAAGCTCGTCCCATGTCATTGCACCTTTTTGCAGCAGGATAAACTCCAGCTTCTCGTAGTCGCGAACCAACTCGGCAATGAAGGCCTTCTTCTCGACCAAGCCAGGATCAGCCGCCTTATCTTCATCTTCTCTGGCTTGTTTTTCAGCCACTCGGTTCATCCTGCGTACACTGCGGAGCAGATTCTCTGCAGTGAACTTTCTGTAACTACCAGATTGGAATTCAGACAAGTATGTCTCATCATTTGAATCCAGTGGAATGGCAATGTTACGATGGTAGGATTGGTACTTGCGTTCGACCAAGAATTCACGGAGCCGTTGCAAAGTTTCGCGCAAGACGTCCAATACCGTTTTCCCCTTGTTTTGATATCTCTCCTTGATTCGGTTATTAGGGCTGTTAGGATCCACCCCGCGATTAATTAGATCAATGGCGAGTAAAGGAAGCTCGTTTTCAATAGCCAGCAAGATTGGCTGCTTCACACTGGACTTTGCGTCTTCCTCAATGCTATCGTTGTTGTGGTAGGTCTGGGTTCCTCTAGATGTCATGATAGCCTTCACAATCTCACCAAGGTCAATCTCGTGGTGGGAACCTGTATCCAACAGCTTAACTGCCGCGGGCGCGTTCTTCGCAGTTATTGCAGCCATCAAGACCGAGGAAAAGTCTGGTCTCCAGGACGAGCCCTCAACTGCCAAGTGATTGATTGCCCGCTTTACGGCCGGCTCATCATGCTGCATGTAAATGTCAAGAATGTCAAGCTTGTTGGAATGAGCAAGGTAGTATAGCGGTGTCTTCTGCTTGAGGTCTGCCTGGGCTGGTGAAGCGCCAAGATCAAGAAGGGTCTGCGACATCTCCTTTGCTTTTTCGAATGGGAGTGCATGGATGAGAACTAGGTTGAGAATCGCTGCCTCGGGCGTTTTGTAGTGCTCATTTATAATTTTGATTGGCATCAAGATGTCAGCACCGAAGGACGTGACAAGCTCTTTGACGGCCTCAGTGTGGCCATGGAGAATAGCGAGATGTAAAGGAGCAGTCCTGCTATCCCATGCAACGACATTGACGTCGAATACATCCGGCTCGAGGTCATTTTCCTCGAGCGTGTCGTACTTATTCAAATCCTCCTTCTCGTCAGCTTCGACCTTAACGTAAGAGGCAGAGGTGTGAGACATGGCATCAGCTTGGTCAATCATCTCAATATCTTCATCGTCGTTTGTGTTGGACTTGGTCTCTGACTTGTTCTTTTTCAGAGAATCCTGCTTCTTGGTTTCCTCTTCCTCATTCTCGTTGCTCTTTGTAAGTAGAATTCGAATGATATCGACGTGTCCCCGGGAGGCAGCAAGATGGAGCGCGGTCTTCCCATCAGCCATACGGGGAATCATGCGAGCGCCGCCGTCAATCAGGCATTGGACAACTTCAGGGGTCGAGCACATGCAAGCGAGTTGAAGTGGTGTCCGTCCAGTGTAATCACGACGGTTCGGGTTGGTACCTTCATCTGCAAGGAAAGCTTTCACGGAGTCAACATCGTTTGCCACTATCGCCTGGCAAAGTCTCTCCGTACGGCCGACATAGGCCATTTCTAGCATGTTCGTATTAGTGCATAATTCAGGGGGGAAAATCAACATGTCGGACAATTCACTCACCAGTCCAATCAGTCTCGGTGATTGGATTAAAACTTCCAATTTCCTGGCGACCGGGATCATCTTTGATGAAAGAAATATGACCAGAGATATAAATCTTGGCCTCCTCTTCGGCAATCTTGACCTCTTCCTCGGTAACAGGCTTGGGACAAAATCCACAGCAGTCTCCAATAACGTGTTCCGCCTCGCCGAAGAACGCTGGATGACGATGGAGATAAACTGTACGCTCTTTGGGCTGATTCCATTGGGCATTCAGCAACAAATCCTTGGTGTAAAGTAACTTTTCAATACTTTTCGCGTTAAATCTCCGACCGTAAGGGATAGTCTATTAGAGGGTCAGTAAGAATTAAGGGGCGGCATTCTCAGTTGCAGTGAAAGTACGAACAAAGGTGTGGTAGTCAGACACCTGGTCTTGCTCTTGCCATTCAGGGACTTCATCTTCCCAGTCGTCCTTGATGTTACCATGCAGCATTTTGCCGTGACGACGTCGCAAGTACAAATTCAGAGGAGGACGGCCTCGTTCCTCGCGCCGCTTTTGGAGATAGTTGTCCCGATCTTGAGATCGAGGAAGTTTTTCCAACACGAGAAGTCGTGCCAGACCTTCAGTTCTGGTAAAGCTTCGCTCAAAGATAGTCTATCACAACATCAGTTTCGCTGGAATTTCATCTACCCGGTCAAAGGATTCAATTCTCACTGGGTCAATCTTAGATCTGTCAAGAGCAGGCCAGAAAACCTCGAATCCTCGGTGCGAATACTTAGACAGACGATTCTCATATGAAGGGGATCGTCGAGTTAGGTCGACCTGATTTGCCTGTGTGATGCAGGCGGCAATTGCACGCGGGGAAGCATAGACCTGGCTACCGTCATAAGCCGCGCACGAAGCATCCACGTCAAAGCCGGTGAGAATTTCAGCGACTGAGTGGTAGATGCGAAGCACGATTTGCACATGGCGGTTCGGATATTGAGAAACAATGGTAATTGTATTCTTGGTCCTAATAGTCGTGGTCTCATAGAGGATAGTGTTCTTGATCTTATCCTCGATGTGCATGATCTTCTCGAGAGCTTGCTCCTCATTCAGGCCATACAAGAAGAGATCCACATCTGAAGCTGGAGCAAACTCTTCATGGTAGTACTTGCGAAGTCCACGCTTTGAGTTGCGATATTTTTCTGGCACAGGCAAAAGCGAGGTCACAACCGCGCTACCAGCAACGACAACGTTGGACCAGTCAATGTCACTTAAAGAGCCCTCTGTGAAGAGTGTGAAGTTGTTCTGAAACTCATTCAAAGAGGGCACTATTGCTGCAGAACCATGTGGTTTCCGTTCTTTTTCACTCAGGGGTAAAAGATACTTCCCCGTTTGTTCTGGTGTTTCCGAAGCAAGATCTCGGGCTCGAATGGAAAGATCTGTGGAACCGGTGTGGTCGTACAGAGGAACAATATTGACATAGTTATCTTGGATTGATGGATGAGATGGCTCCTGGGCAAATCTCTTGCGCAAAATGGCATCATACTCGTTGTATGGCTGAACCAAGTCGGCCATGGGCTTCTCCGGGTTGGAGTTGACATACTTCACGAAGTCATTGTGCTTCACTGGGAGAGAGGGCAAAGAAGTCATGTCGCCGATTGTGCAGATGTAATAGGATTACGGTATGTGAATTGAATGACACAATCCGGAGAGCACGTAGTTTAAATAGAAAGACCAAAGATTGGATTTATAGTTTGACGATATCCACTTAGCGTTAGCGCCCAGGCACCCCTAGGCAACCTTAGGCAACAGGCCCACTATTGCCTCTTTTTAACCAATCCTTTCCTCTCCGCTCCCGCTCCGCTTCCCCTTCGTACAACTACCAAGCATCAAGCAAATCCTGCTATGTTTGCTTATTTCGTTTGGATGCCCAGGTGGGACTCAACTCCTTGGATCTTAATTAGTGAGACATCAGAAGACCTGGCTAGTGTAGTTTTGACCTATCACAAGGGCAATACACCGACTATTCACATTATCCCGGAGCGGTCTGCCAAGAGGAGGCTTGTTGCGCAATCAGTTGCTGCGGAGAGTGCACGATTTACTCACTCAGGTTAAATGTTATACTTAAGCGATTTGGACATGTGGGTATTCTTGCTGAGATCCTACTCGGGTCCCCTGTTGTGTGGTCGCTTCTTGCTTTAAATATCGTGCTTTATGGCCAACAACACATATATATTGCACCGCTAGAAGTCTAGCCTAGCGTAAACGGATCTGAAAATACATCAAGAAAGACATTGAATAAAGGACATCCCAGCAGGTTCTCAAATATGACGTCTGCAATATCATCTTAAATTGACTAGTCAGTCAGGTCATTCAGATCTCGTATTGCTACGTCTAAAGGCCAGATAAATGGCCACTATTTTACTTCTACGGAAATTTCTGAGCAGAAAGTTGATGTAACAATTGAAGTAAGTATTACCACCGTTTTAAAAATCACTTCAGAAACGGTAGAGATATTATTGGTCGTCCTAAACGCTAATAGGACCAAAGTCCCAGTGGTCACTATACACTACGATATATATAGTTGCTAAGGCGGCGCACTTATTAATATAAAATCCATCCCGAGGTCTCATCTAATTATTGATACTTTCCAATAGGTCTATTGCATACTTTGAGGCAACCTCCATATTCAGCCCGTATTTGCTCTATTACAAGTGGCCCGCGAATGACCTCCGATTGCATCATCGAATAATGGCTTGTACCCACCTTCTCCAATCTCCTTGAGACTTGATATGACTGAATATGTAGAAAGAGATAAAGTTGAGCACAATTTTTCTAAACTCACTTACCTAGACAAGAATAATCGGCCGCTTATGCGGCCTTAGGAAGTTAGGATGTCTTTTTGACAGTCTTTTTCTTTAGTTCTCAATTTTACAGATAGACATAGAAACAGACACGAAAGGAAGATTCAGGAATCAAAATTCCACTAACAATACCAAAGCAGAAGAAAACTCCAACGAGGTTCTAGGGGGACGGACCATGGTTATATAGATAGAAACCCCAAAACAAAAGCCCAACAGACAAAATCAACAGAAGACAAGACCTATTCAAAACCAATCCACATCAGATTAATCCCAATCCAAATTCGAAACAAAGAAAACAAGACAGGATTCAAAAGAAAAGGCCCCAAAGCCAGACCCAAAAACCAAAAAAACCAAAAAACTGTAGTACATCCATGTGTACTATTTGAGCAGCAGGGGGTCGGCCTGCGCGAGGAAAAGAATGAGCAGATTCACCATCCCTAAGCAAACAATAAGCAACATAATCGAAGTTCTTTTTCCTCCTCTTGCTGGTGCCATAGCCGAGGTGTTGGAAGATGTCGGCGGCATATCAAAGCCACTCCGACCACCCCGACCATGACACCACATCCTTCCCTCCCTTTCTATCCACTGCCCTTGAGGGCTTTCTTGACTGCCGAAAGGATGTCAGAGTCAACCTCGGTTGGCGTGTGGGGGAGGGGGAGGGGGAGGCCCTGCGGTGCGACAAACATCACCCGAGTCTCAGAGGCCGTCTTTTGGGTGTATGGGGAGGGCTCCGAACCGGTCGGCTTGGCCGACGCGTCGTCACACAGGACCGTTAGGCGAGGAGGGGAGAGCTTCTTCCCCTTGACGAGGAAGGCTTCGTCATCAGTGCCGGCGGCGGCCTTATTGCTGGCTCCTCATTGCTGGCTAGAGAGACATTCTTGTTTAGTATTGATATGTTTTCTGATTCCCACACTTCCCACAAGCGCTTCTCGAGTTACTCACCGTGAGCCCAGAATTTCCACCATGGAGCACTCTTCGCCTTCTTCTCCTTGAGGTACTCCTCGGTGAACGCGGCCTAGGGGTATTTCAGGCGGGCCCGCTGGCCGTTCAACCTACGCATATATCTATTAGAACGATGGATAAATCAAGAGAGAGCAAATCAGAGCATACGTACCATACAATCCAGATTACGGCCCCCAAAACCAACGCCAGCGCAGCCAGGCCAAAGAGGGCAGCGATAAGCTGGCCCTTCCAGGAATCAGGGTCTCTGCATTTGGCAAGGCAGACAGGACAGTTGTGTTTGCAGGCATTTTGGTACCCCTATGAGGTACATATAATGAGATTTTACAGGCCTTTACTCTACGGGGGGTTGCCTTACTTATATACCTAGAGGCAGGCACCCCTGATCCTTCAGATCAACGTTTAAAGTTTGTACAGTACGGCTTGGTTTGATCTTACTCTTACTTCAAATCCATAGATCCTTTGATCCCTAGTCGATTTTCACGGATCTTTTGTCTATACAAAGGCAACAACTATTGGAGATTCAAAATTTCAGTTATAATTGGAGTAAATCCTTTTACAAAGTGAAAGATCAGTGAGAGTAAAGTGAAGCTGTTCTGATCAAACCGTCGAGTTGTAACAATTGAACCATGGATCGGTCTGATAAATTGACGTTGTATATCCTAACCAATCAAAATGAGAACATCTTCATCGTTGATCTTCGCCGTTTCATGATGACTAGTGGGTTGTTGCTTGACAGCCGACCGTATTTTGACCTCATCTACACAGCAGTGTAATCTCTTTTACTTTGATCTGAAAGTTGCGTGAAAGATCAGAGAGAACATGAATAAGTGTGCTCTCTGTTAGTTTTGGACCAAATTGACTTTTTAGGCCGTTCGTTCCTCTTCGAAAATCGTGACTTCCTACCAAAAGCATTCTGTAAAAAGGAAAGGCAAACCCTGGATGAAAATCTACACTTCAAGGCCCTTTATTTCAATATCCTCGATAGATTACAGTCTATCAGGAGCAAGCCCAGTAAACTCATTGTCATTTTTCAGTTAGAGCCCGGTATCAATAAGAACCAGGGAATAGTAGCCCATCTAAAGGGAAAGTGAACTGATGCTCATTTTCTAGAAGACGCATTAGAGCCCGAACTAGCAGAAAGCATAGGCTGCGCTCTCGAGATTGTAGTCATGATTGCTCTGGCAGATTTATATATGCAGCTTCTATCATTGTCTTGCCCTCCAGGTAAATATATATTGCGCAAACCGCCTAGAGAGGCGGGGAGGCAATATACCGCTCAAAAACATATAACGAATCATATATATAGCCTCAAACCCAAGTTATTACGGTATTGATATGTTAGAATATTAAATAGACATTCTCAGATACGCCCAGGTCATATCATTCTGTTGATCGACGCTCCCAGACTTGTTATTTCTTCTACAGATGCCATACGTCGAAATCTTTGGATTGATTGAGATACAAACTTTGAATAAAAAGGTTATCATCCATAGAAACGTTTTCTCAAATGAAGCCTCTCGCCACTTTTCTCTGCTGTCTACAAACGGGAAATGTAGTGCATATGCTGATAGATACAAAGTAGGGAGGCAGACAGAGACATAGAAGCTGCAACAGCTCAGAGCACCATAAACCATATATCGACTGATATTTGTAGTTGTCCAGCAATATTCATTCCGTGTCAAAAGTTTACCTCAATGAAGCTATTTGCAGTCTAAAAAGGACCGAGTTATTTAGTGAAAACTAGTCCTTATAAATAAGTAAGCAACCAAGGTAACAAGTATGGTAGGACTCACACTCCCACTACAATGGTTCTGATGGAGCTGGGCTCTCTTGCTGTGGTTGCTGTGGTCGTACAATTGAAATAATAATTCGAGATTCCAACCTTGGGAGCGCTTGATGTATAGCCACATGATACAGATATACATATTTCGCAAATGGCACCATACTCTTTGTTAAGAGAGGTCTATGGATACGCCTAGATGCATGGTGTAATGTGAGAAGAGAGATTGATGAGTTCGTTGTAGAAGCTAACTAATCCCCTTACAACTTTTTACTTCAAAAGTCGTAAGGGCCGGTTAAGTTCTAGACTAGGCATTAAGGTAACATTCTTGCTTTTTACCTTTAAGCGGTATTATATTGCTCTGACTGTCATTGAAAATTACTTATACGTATAAAGCCCCCCTCTACTACTTCAATCGATAATACTCCGTACACCTAACCCATTATATCGAGCCTCGAGAAATATAAGTTTCTAACAACGGTCAGAGAAAGGTATAAGTAATTTCTGACACCCGTCAGAAATAGTGGCTTAAATCCCAGATATCGTATTTCAGTAGTTAAGCAATCCAATATTTTAGCAAATGATTTTCTCCGGTAAAGTAAATGGGGGTATTTTCAATCTTCCCTATCAGCGAAACCACTTTTTAAAAGTTCGTTGCTTCGGGGACTCTAATTTCAATGGACAAAAAGAGCAATTTGCCAAGTGTATAGTGTAGGCCGAATTATGTTCTCCCAGAATTTTTTCGAAATTCTCGCTCATCTCCTGTTTTTCTTTCTCTGGGAGCTCGAAACCTCGAAAGCTGATACAGCACCCGCACTCCACGGTACAATGGCCTCTGCCTTTCTTCCTTTTAGACAGATGCCTCAGTTCACAGCATCCACATTCCCGGCTACAACACCCGCCTCGATCTGAACAGTCCTGAACCATTTCTTCGCGCATAAACCATTTATCATCACGCCTTAGGCTATCATAGAAGGCTTTAAACTTTGCGTGTAATCTGCGCTCTGCTAGGTAAAGGGCGTACTCCTTTACTGGTTGTTGCGCTTGTACCGTTTCAAGCTCTTTATTTGTGTTTTCAAGTTGGGTCGCTTCACACTTCCCATCAGATTCGAAAGCCATAGCCTTTTGTAAGGCTATAACCTTGCGGTGTAAACATTCCTCACGCTGCGTTAGTTCACGTAGAGCGTGCTCTGCCAGAAATAACGTAGTGAGTCTGGACCGATGGACGTAGTCTGACCCATGTCTCAGCAAGTCATTATGGTCTCTGTCGAAGACAAAGGTTGTATCGAAGGACCCCATGATTCTATCGTGTGTTGAAAGCCTCCAAGATTAGTATGGGTATAAAGTAGGAAAGATAGAGTGATATTTGTACCTCTGTGATAGGAGAGACTAGATACAAGATATGAATTTTCAATAGACTGAGTAAAAGATATCAAAGCAGAACCTTGGAGCGTTAGATGAGAATAGAGAGGAAGCTCCCGTGGTCCCTGTGTGGCTTCGTCACTAGGCCGCCACCCAAAGTAGATGAGTGGACGTTTGTATGCGGATGTGGTATCAAGTTATGACGCAATTACACAAATGAGAGCCGAAGACCCCAAGAATCTTATGCACCACAAATCTTGTTCGGAGCATGAGGACCCCGAGCGCTCTTATAAAGCGCCAGTACCCGTTCGGAAAAATCGCAGCTACAGCCTAAATTAAGGTAAATACTGCTACTTCTACGTATTTAACATCTACGAGAATAGTCAGCCGCATGAGCGACCTCGTGATGTCTTTTTTGGCAACCATTTAGATGTCTTTTTTTGTAGGTACTGTTTTCTAATTTCAAAATCTACATGTTACAGTCATGCCCCGGACATACAGCTAATATATACACTTGGAATCAGAACTAGACCCAGTCAGGTTTTCACAGACCTAGATAAGGATTAAGACCAAAAGAATTATACAGACATCTCGATGAAGTAGGTAGATGGGCACAGAAGATCAGCCGTGGTAGAGGCGACCGGTCACGTGGACGCCACGTGACCTAATTTAACCTAACTAGAGGTACCTAACAGAGCATGGATGATCTAGGAATGGCGCATTTAATTGCACACTTTGTCGATTTGGGCATGATCAACAGACAAAGGATTTCAATATGTAGTCTGATTGACCTAAGCATTACGCACTGTTTTTGTCGTATATTCACGTTGGAAATACGATCAAGAAAGTAGAAATTAGTGAGAATTAGAAAACCACCGACGTATAATCAAAAGGCCATGGTTAATGCGCACCATATACATCTGGTCTATCCTTGGCAGCACCCTGGCTAGGTGTCTGTTCATCCCTAGCATGTTCAGGCATGGATCCACATGGATCCACATCTATCCCAGTGTCATGACGCCGAGCCCTGGCGCGGCGCTGACTCATCGACTCATCATGCCCGATCTAATCATTCAAGCCTCTTCTCTTCTTTTTATCTCGTTTACGCAGGTCTGAGAAGTGAGACATTCTCTGACATTTGTTATTCTCGTCACTTTACAACTTATTACTCGATCCTTTAATCCCTCATCAACTATTTCAAAGTTAGTACTCTGCCCCGCCCATTACTTCCCCGCTCCAATTCCGGGAATATCTGCTTTCGTGAATCACGACAGTTTGACACTGCCACGTCTGCTTTTACTGTAAGAGCTCGCAGCTGATAATATTTTCAAGGTCGAAAGTCTTCTAGCTATTCAAACCGCCAACATGAGTAGCCCGAAGCGCAGAATCGAGACAGATGTGAGTACCGTCGCAGGTAGTCCAATAAATCCCCAGGGTCGCCAGAGATGCTAATAACGTTTGTCTTTCTTTCTGCAGGTCATGAAGTATGCTCTGAAAGTCCAAAAACATCCAAAATATACGGCTACTAACCTTCCGCTAGGATGTACGACCGACAATCCCCCCACCCTTTGAATTTGGCCGCTTTCCCCAAACTTTTTGTTCGGCGTTGGCAGGCATACTCAGCTCCTGGGAAGTAGTCTAACAGTTTCTCTAGGCTGATGAGTGACTACGAGGTGACACTAGTCAATGATAACAGTAAGTTTTGACCCTCTTGTTAGTTATGGATCTATACGCTGACTTTGGAAATCTAGTGTATGTACTTCCTACATCCTGCAATCAACTTTTTGAAGATCTCCGATACTAATTAGTACTAACAGGCAAGAATTCTACGTTCGATTCAAGGGCCCGGACGAGAGTATGTTTCGCTCGTGATTGACCGGTATTAGGTTGTACTAACATTCCTAGCACCTTTCACCGGAGGCCACTGGAAAATCCACGTCGAATTGCCTGATCAGTACCCATACAAGAGCCCAAGCATCGGATTCGTCAACAGAATCTTCCACCCAAACATCGATGAGTTGTGAGTTGGACTTGGTCTGAGATGTGTGCAGGGTCAGAGGTTAATGCCATTTTCTACCATAGGTCCGGCTCAGTCTGCCTTGATGTGATCAACCAGACCTGGTCGCCGATGTACGATATGCTCAACATCTTCGAGGTCTTTCTTCCCCAGCTTCTCCGTTACCCCAACCCTTCGGATCCTCTCAACGGAGAGGCAGCAGCGCTCATGATGCGGGAACCCAAGGCATATGAGGCAAAGGTGAAGGGTGTGTTACAATCCAAAGGCCTATATATGCTCTTATTCTATACTGACAATTCGCCACCAGAATATGTTGCCAAATACGCTAGCAAAGAAGCTGTCGATGAAGCAGACGAGGACACCGAGTCTGAGGATGAGCTAAGCTCGGCAGGAAGCTACGAATCTGGCGGCGAAGAGCCCGCTGGCACTATGGACGATGTCTAAATGCCTGCACTGCGAACGTTTTCGTTGGGCTCGGGATTGACCCAGCACCAACATATTGCATCACTCTACTCTTTTCTATTCCCATACTGGTAATGGATATCAGCGGGCGTTTTCGTTTCTGTCATAAGGGGAGTTATCATGTATCCATTTCCTTCTTTTTTCGAGTCAATCTCCATGTTTGTTCTCGATTATTAGTATTATTATTATCTATTTCGGTCCACCCAAAGCATTTGCAATACTTATCGGAGTTCCGGGTTGCAAAATTGATGCCGAATCTCTCATAGGTTTGAAGAGTGATATTCTTTTTTTTTTGATTCCCATGATACCTCAATTTTATCATGATCTCGAACTTGTGGGCTGACTCTCCTACGGTGTATAACCCCTGCCTTTTTGAACGATTAACGCTTTCAGTGCCTGCATATATTTGGCCTAATCTACAATAACTCACTTTATAACGAAATTTAAATTATGTGTCTATACGAAAGGGAAGGATGGAGTCCGGTACTCAGAAAGAAAAAGTACATACACAAACAATGCACAACTAGTAAGATGATATGAAGACAGAGAAACAAACCCAGAAAATGACATAACACGCCAACAAGAAAAGGAACCAAGTTAGGATGAAGGAAAAAAAAATCTGATAACAAAAGAAAGAGTCTGCGCCGTTGGGTATTATCAGACCAAGAATGGGGGGAAAAGAAGGAATGACCATGTATGTCCGAAAAAACAGTCGACCTGCGATCAATGCAAAAAATAAAACCTCCCAAAATAACAGCGCAGCGCAAGAAAATAATAAAAACGGGGTTTCCAGTACCCTTATCTGCACCCTTTCTTTTAATCCTTAAGGCCCGCACCCTCGTTTGTCGTGTACATCGTCATCGTGAATGTGCAGCGATGCATGTTCCAAACTTCCCATTTTAGGTGACGTTCAAGACTCCAAACACATCATGGCTGACCTTAGCATCTGTTTTGATGTCGGCACGAGACCGTTTCTTGTTCGGGTTCACGACAACTTCACCCCAGTGTTTCGGGACAGTTCCTGATGCGCCGGAGGAGGGACGGCTTGGCGGTGATGTGCGATGGGTAGATACCACGGGTGTTTTATCAGCTTTTTGTGATGGAGCGGGTGACGCAATAGGGGTGTGGAGGGTTGCTTGGGGTCGAAGGTGTGGTTGTGGTTGGAGGGACCAGATATCAATGACGGAGCTAGGAGAGAGATGATTAGCATGAACACAGTTCCTATCCCAAGCTAATTTGCCGTATGCTAGAACAAAAGACAGCTAGTATAGTATACTCACTCAGATGTTCGCTGGCAAATAGATTCCAGCGCCTCCCTCTCACGCCTCACGTATTCCGAATCCGGCTGGCTGACCTGCTGAGCATGGTTGAGTGCTCCATACCCGTACCCAGCTTGATAAGGATCCTCTTCGAGTAGACGTGAAGACTCGGGCTGGAAGAAATAAAGGTTAGACAGGTGCACTCTCCGCCAGGCATCCCACGCATCGCGCATCAGACTGAGGTAATTTGCGGTAAACATGGTGGGCGGGAAACTAGAAGGACTCACCTCAGGAGATTCGTGGCGATTCCCGCCGAGACAGGAGGCACAGATACCCATTTATGGGAACTGGGATCAGGAATTCAGAATCGGGGATGTTCTTGGCTGAACGTTTGCGCTATGCGATGGACACGAGGCATTAATCACCCCAATAGTTGAGACGCAGGTGCCCTTCGTTGGAGTAGGCGAGAGAATGATCAGAGGGTAAAGAGTGTGGAATATGCAGAAAACAGGGAATATGAAATGAAACAAATGGCGCAGTAGAGAGTCACACTGTAGACAAAAAGGACTTGTTCGAAGTCGGAAGTTGAGGCTGGGCGGCCCGTGCCATATCATTAGGCCGTGGCCGCAGTGCGCCGTGGAAACATCATTTTTCTTGATTTGGCATTTTGATCTTATTCCTATCCCCCACACAACACACGATGTTCGATCTACCAGATGCTAAGCGGTATGTGAGCAGGCATTTCATCCATGCCTCTCTAAATATACCCAGCAACTAATAATACGGCTTCTACAGCGTTCGCCGCGATGAGATGCGTTCTCCAGCCACCTCCCGCTCGCCATCACCAGCACCAGACGACGCCGCCGCCCAGGATGCATATGCCCGACTAGGAAAGCTACTGAATCTCGATCAATTGGACACTTCAGAGCAGACAAACAGCCAGGATAATGATCCCTCACAGCCTGCGGAGAACGAAGATGAAGAACAAGAATTCGAGTTCCGGCTATTCAGCGCCCCCGCCAAATCAACGGAAGATACCACCAAGCAGTCAGGAAAGGATACAGATGAGAAAAGCACAGAAGAAAAGCCAGCCCCAACTACCCAAAAATTGAGGATTCGGCTGCATTCACCGACACCGGGATCTGGCGCTGGCACCGAGGGACGATTCGTGAAAGCCTCCCGCGGATGGGATTATTACTTCTCTACACCTTCTCTACAGGGCACAAGGAGCGAACCTACTGCCGAAGACGAGATCCGGATAGCGGAAAAGAAGAAACAATTCGAGGATGTGGCCGTTAGCGGGCAGCACATGCTGACATGGGCTAACTCGCTAGTCTGGGTATGTAACCACCCCACTTTGATTAGTTTTGCAGCTGCTAACTTGACTCCTAGCCTGGCTGCCATCTCCCCTGGCGAGTCATCCATCTCAAGCGACACCAGACCAAATTGCCGCGGCCAGCCAATAGTCTTCCCGTCTACGTGGTAGAAGGTGCACCTGTCTCGAAGAGTCCACTTACACGCAAGAAGCCAGGCAAGAAGCGACGAGTACAGTTGCGCAAACGGGCTGCGGCCGCACAAGCTGCTAAGGAAAATGAAGCAGAGAAGCGGACGAGGAAGAACCGCGAAAGGAAACTCAAGCGCAGACAAAAGGCGAGAGAGCAGAAGGCTGCGGCGGCGGGTGTCAGCGTTGAAGATCTCGTCATGGCTGATGGTGATGATAATTCATCGGGCGGGGAGGAATGAAACTATCTAGCATCAGGATAGATTCTTAATGTGATACCCGTAGGAGTGTTGTTTTCTCCTTTGCCGTCAGCAACAATAGCATAATATATCAAATTAATAGGGGAGTTTTACAGTGCGTGAGAATCTTGGAATAGATAAGTAGAGCTTTGCATGGTATTGAGCGGTCTGATCGTGGCCAATATGTAAGAAGAAAAAAGCATGCAATGCATGGCTTCGTGAAACGGATTAATATACAACGCTGAGGGTATGAAACGATTTAGGGAGCTGGAAGAAAGCACTCGCAAGTTATATCGGACTTGCCAAGAAAACAAACCCTATTCTTGCCAATCGAGTGGATAATCACACTTCTATTTAGCGGGCGTATCTAGCATCGCTGTTAGCTTTATTCTCTGCGCCGTGAAGATAATCGACTTACCGGCCTTGGCAGCAGGTTCCTCGGGGGCAGCAGCAGCCTCGGGTTTAGCAGCAGGGGCCTCGGTAGCAGGGGCCTCGGTCTTAGCAACAGGCTCCTCGGGCTTAACAGCAGCTTCCTCAACCTTAGCGGCAGGCTCCTCGGGCTTAGAAGCAGGGGCCTCGGTCGTAGCAACAGGGGCTTCTGACTGCGCAACAGGTTCAGGCGCAGCAGCAACAGCCTCAGGCTCATAATGAGTCTCGACGGGGCCGGCAGTGGCCGACATTTCAGGGGAAGCGACAGGCTCCGCAGTGCTCACATCCTTTGCCTCGGGCGCCTTAGTAGCATCTACAACAAATCGAAAAGTTAGTTGGGAACCAAAAATGAGACGAAGTTAATATAAAATCGACAAGAGTGTCATACCGGGGGCAGAGTCCGGGGTGGCAGCGGGGGCGGTGGGTTCCGCGGGAGCTGTCTGACTGGCCGCAGCAGCGACGGGGGCAGCGGTCGCAGCAGCAGCAGCAGGGACGGGTTCGGCCTTCTGAGCTGGTTGCTTCTTCGCTGCCTTCTTGCGACTGCTGAAGAAGCGTTTGAAGCCTCTCTTGACCTGCTCGAGGGCGTCGGGTGCTGGGAGATGTTAGCGCTATGTACTTGTGGTTGCGACGGGCGCCAAATATTGGGTCGGAAGTATAGGGGATGGTTGGGATCACTCACGAACACCAGGCATTTTGATCGACGAATTTGAGATCGGGGATAATGGGAGGCTTTGATAAATGCGATTCGACACTCGATGAGAAACGTGTTGCGAAATTCGAAAAGGAGGAGAAGCGCACAGTCGATCTACCTATTTACTCCCACGTGACGACCCTCATCTATGCTTTTTAGAGTTTCTATTTTTTTTTGTTTTTCTTTTTCTTCTTCTGGAATTAGTGTCTTTTTCATGTGCTGGATAACGCCTAGCACTCCTGATTCGGGACCTTTCCTCTCCCATTTTAGTACTAATCTCTTGCCGCTTTTCGATTTCAAAGTAAAATTGAGCACGCCACACTCCCGACCTGGGAGGCCTGACCCGTCATTACATAAGCTAATTAAGCATCTTTGGATCCATGGATGGATCCATCATCTGACTCCAGGGCTACATCCCGAGGTCCATATGTATGTAGGTACTCCGTAGGTACATACATATGTATGTTGTACATATATTTATGTGCCTGGGCAGATATCACATGAGAAAACCATCCACTCACTGATCATTACATGAGCGATCTAATTTGCTCAAAATGTACGATCAGGGTAGAGGATTAAGCGCAATAAGTACAGCGGGACCTTGAAGTATGTACCTATGCACTAGGTGGAATTTTGTACCACATATCAGGCGTTATGTGGTACTTTTTCCCCAATAACAACCATCGACACCTATTAATACAGGGTCACTTCTCTGGGGAAAATATACATATAATCGAGAGGCTATTGAAAACAATGGATGATATAACTAGCAAAATGTGCACTTTTGTCAAGAGAAGATTATCAAAACAACTCCCATCCAGATGATGAACATGGAACAAAATTTTACCACTGTACGCTGATATTCTACTCCGTCTTCTCGAGAAAGGACTGGCCTAACAGCTTCTTGCCTTTCGGTTCGTGTAGTATGGTCCCTGTATTTCCATGCCGTGGAAAGTACGCTGAATTTTTCACGGACTTTACTATCCAGACTGGAGGGAGAGCTATTATCTACTATAGGAGGATCAGTATAGCAGATGTTTTGCATCCAGTATTTTGGGTAGTCGTTGGACCGCGAAGCAGCGAACTGAAAGCCAAGCAATATGAGAGTTTGCTCCACACGTCCACCAGGATTGACGAGCATTCCATTACCGATATCAACTAAAATGGGAAGAATGTGGTCTGGGATAAAGGCAGCGATGAGGTTTTGCCCTCGGTTCTCTTCAAACTGGATCCTGGCAAGATGCATGCTACGAACATCCGATCATAGAAAAGGCCGAGATGTACCCTGAGTGAGGCCACATAGAATAATTCTTTGTTTCTCTTGATTTGGAATGCAACTATAAATAGTATTGGATTGCCCATTGAGTCAGCCGATTTGAAAGGCCTGACCACCCTGAGCGCTTAGAGATCGTAGGAGTCTCGGAATTAATCCCTCCCTCGTCAGAGAATGAAGCCACCGTGGTTCCACCCACATGTTTGAAGGCTTAGGGAAACTTGCCAAGGGCAGAGGCGGCCATGTTGGTAGGCGATGGAAGGAAATACTTCAAGTCACAAGATACCAAGACTGATCTCGGCAATTGGAAGGCAACTCAAGTGGAATGGATTTAGAAAATAATGCAACTTTATACAGAGTACTCCACTCCTTATGCTACATGGGTCTCTTCTAGGCCCAAGCCTATAATCATGTTCACCCACTGCTACTGATCCGCATGAGGACCTTGCAGCGTGGTGGTCACAGCTTACGTTCCCCAGACTGCAATGCAGACCAGATGACTATGGGGTCAAGATAGCAATGCAAACCAGATGGCTTACGCGACCCAGACTGCAATGTAGGTAGACCAGATGACTCACGTATGTAGAGTATGTGCTGATATATCAGCAACGTAGCAAAGAGGCTCTCACAATTTCCTTTGTATCGTTTTTGCCGACCTGGCCAGGCTGAGCTGGGTATATAGAAAAGCGATATTAAGAAGAAAGAACAGTCCTTATTTAAACACGGGAGCAATTGAAAATAGGCATCTCCTAAGTTTTAGGAACTCAAGTAGGGGTGCAATTTACGATATCATGAATATAGTTTGATTGAGGTAAGGGGATCCAATAATGCAACCTTGGAATGCTGCTTGTGTGTGCTAATTTGTGACTATGCCACCGCCAAGAAAAAACGGACACAAAGTATAGGGCATAGCTGAATAGTTTCGAACATCTAAATAGTAATTTCAATCAGAATAAACACTAAATGTCAAGGGCCTGATCCGTGGGTGTTGAAATTAAGCCCATCTCGATTTTTCAGTATGTGACTTTGGAAGCGGGCTAAATTCAAAAGACTGGAGAAAGGCAATGATCTATGGATAGGTAGATCTACGCGGTACGGGCCGCATTCTGTCCCGCAAAAGATCAAAGTTAATTATTATGTACCCCAAAAGTCACACGCATACCCAGGTGGTATCACAGACATTCCTTTGTAGTGAGGCTGCATTTAGTATATGATACATACATATGATACATCGACGCATCAACTACAACATAGTCACAAGTCATCCAGCAAGAGGGCTGAGGGGTTGATCATGAGCTTCAAAATTGGAAACAGACGAGCTTTAAAAGGGCCAAGATCACCCAGCTATCAGGCTTGTAGCACAGATCACTGAGTATCACTTTCTTATATTACCGAATATATCTTTCTTTACTATTCGGAACAATGAAGCGCTCTTCTATCAGCTATCTCGCTCTCTTCCTGCAGCTACAGACTGCCTATGGCTACAAGGTCAACGTGAGAGATATTCCACCTGATGCTGATATCATCGGCAATGGCGTTTGGTGGGGAACTGGTATGCCTCGTGATGGCTTTCAATGCTCGCCAGCCTTTCCTTTGAGCATCAGTGCCGATAAGACAGTTGCAACGTGCTGTCTGCCCGGCAACAGTCTCAAGGGGTCTAAGGACACCGAATGGCACTGCTGCGCTGACGGCCATGACTTGACCGGATCCAAAGACAATGGTTACCAGTGTTGCGCGGATGGTAGAGAATGGAACGGCACCGAATGCAAGGAGAAGACATGCCCCAATGGGAAGGTATTAGTCAATGGCGTGTGCCAGTGTCCCGATGGGACAGTTGAAGGTACCGACGGTACTTGCAAGCCTCCTCCTCAATGTACCTCGGGTCTGACAACCGGTATGTGAATCAAAAAGACTCTTCATAGCAAGAAGCCGTCCTTTCATGACCGAAGTCGAATAACTAATTCCCCTGATCAGGCAAATGCTACGGCTTTGTTGGAACAAAGGGCCTCCCGCTGGCTTTCAATGAGGGTCAATATTCAGAGCGTGCTCCTGGAAAGTATCCTTGGGTTACTCCAGGCAAATTCCAGCTCTGTCGCGATGAGAATTGCGCCTCCGGTCTCCCTGTTAACCCGGGCACCGAGGTTTATATTAAGGACCTCCACTCCAGTCGGGAGCCTGGAAACGACGCCGGCCAGTGGCTCAACAATAATCAGAACGGAGCGCACATCACTAAGACCCCGAACTTCCTCAATGCCGGAAAATTCACATTCACAAAGTGGCCCTGTGGCAAGTACTGTATTGCCGGACTCGAGGCTGGACTACTCCAGGCTTGCCCCGATGCGAACCCCGGTCTTACCTTCTCACAGCAGGATCCCGAGGCTTGCTTAGAGTATGAAATTACCGAAGTGCCCTGCTCTATTCGCGAGGAGTCAAACAACTGTATTTGGAAGACCGGTGCCAACCAATGTTGTGGTAAAATGGAGTGTTGAGCCACCTTCATCGTCCCTCCTATTGCACATATTACAGGCGGTGATGAACTTGATTGAACGGAATGGACTTCAACTTCCTTCCGGATGTCGCGTTTATGGTGCGAGTACCGAATACAAAGGCTTAGTGGCTGGAGACGGAGGAATTGGTCGTCTTCACGGCAAACACCACGCTACTGTCATTACGATTGTTTTCAATTTCTTTTACTTCTGTGCATGTTACCGTTAGGGACTTGCCAGAGATTATAGTTTTCAGCTAGCTCAACACTTAGCTTTCTCGGCTCTTCAATTATTTCACATTTCTACCATGCACCTAGACGTCTCCGTAGACCTCTTCTGATAGAATTGTACACTTAAGCTTGGCATGCGCATCTTCACCTAGGTCAACGTTATGAAAAGCCCTCGGGAAAGACTACGAAAACTGATCTGGGGACACTTAAAACAAAATGTCAATTTATTGTTTACCAACTTAACCAATGCCTCGTGCTTTTACTAAGTACTGTGAATATACAAACAAGAAAATAGTTCAATTGATCCAACTTGATTGAAACCTATGTAAATAAATATAATACAGAAATGTCTGGATCATCAGCAACGGCCGTAGAAAAGCTGTAAAATTCGAAGGCACCTGTCCTCTTTCCGCAATCGTATCAGCAAAAGATTTCATGGCGGCTGTCAACTAGTTCAGTTAGAATATATGTATCAGCAAAATTAGTCCCAGATCTCTCCTTGGCGTAGCCTGAGCTTGTGCTGATATTTACTCTAGGAGCATGAGTCAGAGCACCCTCGTTAAAGCGGCAGCATCTCAAATAGGAGAACCCCACTAGCCGGTATGGAGTACATATGGACGCTGTTTCCAATGCGTTGGGAATGGGCTTTTATTGGCTGCTGGCGATATAAAGGGGGTCCTATCCCGCAGCTTATCTTGGCCTCTTGACAGCTATTGTGGCTGTGCTGGCGCTAATTTGCTTGCACTTTCATTTTATGTTATTTCTCTGAAACACACTCCCCATTTAGTTCCATACTATTAGCAGAAAGTGGAGATATGTAGCTCCCAATAATTAAATGTTTTATTGTTCCATTGCTATAGATCTAGATGTAGCGAATGAATTCCGAGGTTCCAAGCATAAGCGATGCAAGCATAAATGGTGGAGATAGCAAAGAGAAAGAGAAAAAAAAAGATAACGCCGGGGTATCAATGATATCTGGTTCGCAAATCACTGCGCAGGATGTGTATAACTAGAGAAATTTGAAGATGGTCAAGGCAACAGAGTGCCCTAAGCCACATCGTATTAGCACCCAATCAGTCTTGACTATGAAGAACACACGTACCTAAAATGAGAAAAAATAAAGCGACTGCAATCTTAATGTTTTGGGCGGCGATAATGATGAATAGGACAGCACAGAGAGGCCATACGGATGATCCCCCAATACCGAAGCCCTGGACATGCTTAGATTTTGAAGCTGCATCGTCGATGATGGATTGCAAATTCGCAGCAGCGACGGTAGTTTTGGCCAGCAAAGTTTGCGACACTTGTGCGTGGAATTGAATGGCCTCCTGGGCCCGCGATTGTGCAGATAACGCCTCTGCCTGTTGGTCTTGAGCCCTTTGTAACTCGCTGGCTTTTGATTCGGATTGTTGTATAAAAGTTTCCATGTTTTGAAGTCGCTTTGGAAGTTAGTGAGAGAGTTGATATGTGGAAGATGTACTCGTACCTCTGTCATCCTGGTTTCTTGCTCGAGGATCATGTTCATTCGGCTGGTCAGCCATTCCTACAAAAAGAGACGAAAGGTTAGTCTCACGGTATACACCAAAGGTGAATTCATGTTTGGCGTACCATTGCAGTATCGAATTTCTGCATGCCTCGATACACTCTGTCCATGTCCGAGTCCAGAAGTGACTCGAGTGACAGGTGTAAGGAAGAAGCGAGATTCTTCTGGGCAACAGCATTGGTTTCTTGGACTAGCACTGTCTCCTGGCTTCTAGCTATTGCATCTTGATGTGCAACCTGTAGAGCCTGTTGAAGCGCTACCACTTTGATCGATACGTTCCGGATGTCCTAGTCGACAATTAGTACACGTTTCAATTCCGAATAGCATAGCTTCTTTGAATCTTACCTGTTCGAGGAGCCCTGTTCCAGTCCGAATATTTGACAAACCCACAGATATCGAATCTTGAAGAGACATTATCCCAGTTTCGATTTCTCGAAGAAAGTTGCCGAATGTTCGTTTGAACACAGAGTCTGTCGCCTCCATATCGGTCACGATCTTTTCTTGGAGTGACTGAACAGCTTGTATGAATGATTGCTGCTGCACAGACCGTGCAGCAGCATCCTGCAATGCCTCTTGAATCCCATGGTTGAGCTTGAGACTACTCTTAGCAATGGATCGATGCAGGTCAATAAGCTCATCTTTTTCCATCTCCGTTCGCGAGGCATGGCAGATCACAAGCGCGTTCTGTCGACTGTTGCTGTAAGAAGTCCACCACTGCGGTCGCGACTCGAGCGTCCTGAGACACTGCTCCAGTAATTCTTTCGGGACTTCATCAGAGTCAGGGTCAGAACCTCTGTGCCGACCCACAAACCCGAATCGATTCTTCTGTGGAGGTGGCGAAATAGTGATTGGAAGGCATGAGGGAGGCATCGGGGTGCCTGTGCCGTCGATCTCACACAGTGCAAGGCGTGCGGCATAGACGGATCGAAGAAGGTCGAGTGTCTCTGGGTTATCCGCCTGCGCTCCGTCTTTGCCATCGCTGAATGTTTGACACGATTTCACTAGTTTTGTCGCTGCAAGCCGGTTGCACGAGGGTGAAGATTTCATCGAGTCCAGGATCTTGACAGCTTCATTGAAGATGTTGCCTTGGTCTGGCGCTCGGGAACTGAGGAAAGAGACCGCGTCGATGTCTGGCGGTTTTGGCGCGAGGATTGGGACAGCTTGTTGGGTTAGTAGAATGATTTGAGACATATCTGACTGCCTTACTGTGCTGGGAGACACTCGCTCGACTGAGCTGTGCGAGTCCTAGGAAGATATATGAAAGGACTCGGAAGCTATCAATTGCCCTCATAGTGAACGGTCTGGCTGGTTTGGCCTGCGAGTGCGGCTTTAGACGGGCTCCGAGACTCGATCGTGTATATTGTCTGAGATGAATTGGTATAGGAAGGTATGTGAGTATGGAGTGTGGTATAGGATGGAAAGAAATCGATGAAGGATGACTTCGAAAGTGAGGCTTGACATCCAAGTTGTTTGGCTCACGCCCAACGCTTGCTTTACTTTTTTTGTGGGAAAATTCCCCCTGGGGACTCACTTGCTTGCGTATATGGATTAATTTTCTTTTATCTAAATAGTAATGCGGTCGCTAACATATGGTTAAAACTCACAGAGCGATTGAGGATCCATATTTGATCTATATCAAGTTAACCGTGGGATATTCTAGATGTCCCTAGGCAAAGAAAAAAAAAACGTCAACGTTATTGCAAGGTTAGAACAGGAGAATCACCCTTCGCACAGCGATGTCTTAGCCCTTGGTAACTATTTTTGAATAGTACATTTTATTATGGTATCGACATAGTAGGAATCACAGGCTTCTTACAGCCTTATCCATACGACATATCCGGGGGGAAAATACACTAGGGCTGAGCCACAAAAGTATCATGTAACTGAGGCTCAAGGCTAGTAGACTCCTTACATACTAACCCGAGAAATGATTGGTGCTAAAAGAATGTTCTCTACGGAGTATGTAGCATTTGAATCCATGGGATATTACTGGACAGTCTTATACCACAAAACAATCGCCCGGGTTACTTTACAGATCCTATGGAAAAGTACTAGTACCAATACTGAAAGATCCCAGGGTTTTTTTGCCCTTCTTTGTGGCTGAATTAACCATCTCCAAAACCCGAATACTGTACTGTATCTGGACCTGCTTAAGGTACATGTAGAAAAACAAGGGTGTAGAGAAATAGCGATCGCAAAATTGCCACATGTTGAGATCTCATCGCACGGAATATTTTCTTAAAAAAATAATAATATAAAAAGGTGAGGGATGACAATCCGCCGGTCTGGACTCTCAATCAGCACCTTCACCCCAAAAAGGTACCAGGAACAAGCTTCCCCCCGTGGATCTCTTCCCCTAGAGATCGAGCAACGAATCTCACACAAGGAATTTCTATTTAAACGTCCGTTTCCTCCAGATCAATTATTCACCCAACACATTGGTTGATTCGCCAGCCGTTTTTCTTTTTTTACTTGTTCTTCTACCATAGTTCATTAGTATGGCATCTTCTTTTTGCGACCACTTTGATCATTTACAAGTGCCAGGTAGTTCTGAATCTACCATGATGGACTTCAACTATCCCGAATTCTCCCCTCTTGCCCATCCATCTATCTCCATACTGCCTGAGCCATCTTTTGAATCTGCGGATCCTCTTCCATGTACCTATCCCATACACTGTCCTACTTCGGCCGTTGTGCCTGGCTTTGCTATACCTTCTGCCTCAAAATCGATTTGTCTCGATCTGTGTTGCTTCAACCAGAATGCCGTACACCAATCTCTAGTCGATAATGGCTGTGCAGATACATCCCCAGTGGCAGGGTATCTCAGCCCTAGCCATGACATCGCTAGCACCAATTCACCGGCATCTACTCCATCTGTTCAAAAGGCATCTCGGGTCAAATCTACTAGCCATGGCCATGCCAAGGGAAAGACAGCTTCTGGTCGCAACCAAAGACAGCAGAAGAAACAAGAGTGAGCAATCTTAGGATTCACCATCAAGCATGAATACTCACTGATACCATTCATCCATTTTAGGAAACCCCAACTATCTTTCGAATGCCGTTGGGAAGACTGCACATACCGCGATCCCTTCTCCGGAAAACCAGCGTTGATGCGTCATATCGACACGCAGCATGTAAATCCGCGCTCATTCAATTGCCCTTCATGCCCCATGTCCTTTAATCGGAAGGATAACATGACCGAACACCTAGGACGAGTTCATTGGACACGAGTTTAATGTTGATGCTGAGTTGGTGGTGAGGTTAGGGTTAGGGTGCCTGATCTGCGTTATCTCGAAGAATTTCGGTATCTGAAGACATGTATGGGTGTGTATTGGGACAAGTTATATTGCTTCTTCGCTTTCTTTCATTTGTGCGTGTGCGAGAGAATCAAAATGGCCATCGAGAGTTTGGATTCCTATGCACTAGTTTAGCAACCTTCGGGTGTAGATGCATCCAAGAATAAATATCTAAGTTAACACTCAATCCCTTGACACAATGGACTCGAATATTGTATCTCTTGGGTTAAGCACATAATTAATTATGTTGAGATCATGAAATTCAAAACAGACAAAAAGGAGCAAATTATATAGATAGTCACGTGTACGCTAAACCCATTCGAGACAAAGTCCGCCTACAACAAAATCCAAAGTCCGCAACGCAGCATCCGTCCCAAAATACACGCAAATCACCATGTCGTGCTCCATACCCCAACGCTGTGCCCGCCAGCTTCTCCGAGAGCCCTTCCAGCGTGGCTCCCTACCAATCTTCCTCGCACCCGCCTTCTCCCCCCGCACACAATGCTTCTCGACCACATCCCCGGCGCAGTCCCGAGTCGGAGGTGCCGCGCTCTCCATCCCCCCGGAGGTGTCATTTAAGCTCATTGATCTCCCTGCGACCCTCACCCGGACACGAGGAAAGGATATCCCCAAGTTCATGGCTGAGATTAAAGGGCCTAAGGGTAATTTGTTATTGCTGAAATCCGATCCGGCCGATGGATGCTAACTAGTCTAATTTACAGGCGAGATGACCCTGAACATTCCCTCGTTCCTCACTATCACCCCTGATGAGACAGGCCAGAAGGCTACTTTGTCTGTCTTGGACCAGGAGGTCCCTCACCAGCGTGCCATGTGGGGTATGTTCCCCTGTCTTTTCTCCGCGGCAAGTTCTCCATGTCTAACATTTTGCTTTTCTATCTAGGAACTATCCGCGCACTCCTCCAGAACCACATCCTCGGTGTCTCCGAAGGCCACGTTTGTGTCTTGAGTATGGTTGGTGTCGGTTACAGGGCCACCGTCGAGGAGAAGGCCTCCACCGTCAAACCCACCTACCCCGGTCAAAAGTTCGTTTCCCTCAAGGTCGGATTCTCCCACCCAATTGAACTGGGTATCCCCCAGGGCGTTGTGGCGAGCACACCGCAGCCTACCAGAATCCTGTTGGAGGGTGTCGACAAGCGGGTTGTGACCCAATTCGCGGCTGAGATCAGAGAATGGAGACGTCCCGAGCCGTACAAGGGCAAGGGTATCTTTGTCAACGGAGAAACTATCAAGCTTAAGGCCAAGAAAATTAAATAGACTGGAGGCGCGTTTCTTTTCTGCGCGGGACATTTTGTGTTTGGTTCCGTGTCTTGTACTCTTATCGTCATATATGTATTTTTTTTATTCCTCTCACAAGCGATGGTATCACAAATCTACTTCAGGCTGAATCTGCTCCCCTGGAGCTCAAGCAGTGAAAGAGGCGACGAAATTAAAAAAATTTAAACCCATTATAGCTTCAGAACGGCCTTGACGGCGTCAATAACCTGGTCCTGGTGGGCCTTGGGAGCAGCAACAACACCCTTGTTGACAGCCAAGGTCCGGCCCTTGCTGAAATCCAACCGGTTACCGTACATGTCAGTCACCTGGCCGCCAGCCTCGCGAACAATCAAGTCACCAGCGGCGTGATCCCAGATCTTCTCCTGGTAATCCTTCTTGACGGGGAGACGCAGGTAGATGTCACCGGCACCACGAGCAATGGAGCAGTACTTGGCCTGCGAGTCCAGTCGCACGCTGGGGGCAGTGATACCAAGAAGCTGAGCAACGGCGGCGTTATCACCCTGGGCGGAGTGAGCAGCCTCGACACCTTCACAGAAGACAGCGTCGGAGATCTTGGCGACGGGGCGCATGGAGATGGGCTTGCTGGCAGCAAGAGTACCGCTGGCCAGAGGACGGCTAGTGGCACCCTCACCCAGGATGGCGGAGAACAGGACGCCGTTTCCGGCAGTCGCGGACTGCTGGACACCAGTGCTGGCATCAATGGGAGCAGCATCATCGACAGGGAGGTTAGGAGTACCAATAGCACCGACCTTGACGTCACCGTCAACCATCAGACCGAGACACACAGCGTATTGGCCGCCGCGGAGGAAGCCCTTGGTGCCGTCGATGGGATCGAGGGCCCAGATGCGACCCTTAGGACCACCGGCACTGTTACCGCTATCAATGATGTCCAGCATGCTCTCCTCACTGGTGAGGGGGCCACCCAGAATATTATCGCTCTCCGCATCATCCAGCTTGATGTCCTTGACCAGACGCCAGATCTCAGCACTCAGGCCCTTGTCTTCACGTAGGGTGCTAGCCTCCTCCTCGGCGACGATCTCATCATTGGGGAAGTTTTTGCGGATGGCGGAGATGATCAGAGCCTGGGCGCCGAAATCACCAATGGTAACGGGGGACTTATCGTCCTTGGAGACTGTGCCCTTCGCCTTCTCGAAGAAGACCTTCTGTGTGAGGAGACACGCCCGCTGGACGGCCAATTCGGCGATATAACGTTCCTGTTGGTAAGACATAGTTGTGGGTTGGTTGAAGGAGAGGTGGGGGAGGAGGAGGGAGAGACGAGAGCGGGATTTCAGAGCCACGCTGACGGCGAGAATGAGGGTGGAGCAGACCACGAAGCGGGACAGTACGCGTAACAAATACGAACGTGGGGATGGGTCTGTCCGGTGTGCAGATGAAAGCTTCATCCGAGCTCAATTAGCAAGAAATGCAGCCTGGATTGACTACTCTTGCTTTCTCGAGGTCTTATTGGTTAATCTATTGGTTTGCTAATGTCCCGAGGTCGTTCATGACCTCTTGGATCTTAAAGTCGGCCTCAGGCAACAGACCCCGCCCTAATCCCCTTTAGGTCAGAACAGTCACGAGGGGGTCGATAAGCTTAAACTGTCTCAGCATTGTTTCAACTCTCTCTTCCTGTACACAAGGCCATTTTGCAATTTGAGGCCCCGTTGAACAAATTAGGATCTGGCTACATATTCTTTCCTGCATTCGCGCCACTTTTCGTTCCGCTTATCGGATCAATAGGCTGCCAAGACACCCCTGGGGCCTCCGACGTCACCGACACCACGTGAAGGTATCGCGAAAAGCTCTCTGAAACCTTATGTTGTCTTTTACACCGTTAATCTCTTTCTGGCATTTTTCTAGCGAATCAACTTGCATCCTATCGTGACGGATACCTCATATACCCAATTCTTGCGAAACGTTTGTGTAAACAGCGCCGTGCGGGGTCATCTCTATACCGACATCGCAGCGCGGGGTGATTGCGGGCTGTTTGATACAAGGGACAAAATATTCAATTTCCCAGACCGGTTCCTACTGAAAATAAGTATACACTGCTCTAGAGGTTATATCCCCTTGACTAGGCCAGGATGTTTCAATCCTCCGTAAGTGATCACGTGGAGCTCGTACATCATTCCACCACTGACTGATATGGATTTCAATAGAAACCGTATTCGGCAGTGACCGTACAAATTGAGGTCCTTACGAGCGAGCAATATGAGGTCGATGACTGGAGCGGTATTGTCGATCTTGTGGAAGTGGTTCGCATCCAGGCCAGCGGCCCAATGGAAGCAAGCCGCGCTCTTCGCAAAAAGCTGTAAGTCCACGAGTATGTATTAAGTATGCTAAAAACCAGTCTAACAACCGCAGAAAATACGGCAATATCCATCGACAATTGCGCGCGCTTACTATTCTCGACTTCCTAGTTCAAAATGCAGGAGAACGTTTCTTGCGCGATTTCGCCGATGAGGCATTGCTCGAGCGTTTGCGAATTGCAGCTACTGATTCCGTTTCCGATCCGCTCGTGAAACAGAAATGCAAACAGATTTTTGGACAATGGGCGGCAACTTATAAAGACACCCCTGGCATGGCGAAGGTCACAGCGCTATACAAGCAGCTCCCCAAGCGAAAGCAGCCTGCGACGCAGGCAAAGGCTAAGGTTCTCCGCGAGGGCTCGGCTGCGAGTCCAAACGAGCCCCAGATGGGTCATATTGTATCCGTGTCAGGTGGCAGTGGACCATCGACTTTGCTGAGCGGCCCCAAACAAAAGTCCAAGAAAGTCAAGAAAGAAAAGAAACTCTCAATTAGCGGCAGAAGGTTTGATTTGGAAAAGGAGCGCCCGGAGATCTTGCAAGCACTTGCTGCCTCGTCCGTTGCTAGCACCAACCTGTTGAATGCACTTAAACTCGTCAATCGCGAAACGCACCGAGTTAGTGAGGATGCGGAATGCATCAGCCGATTCGAGACCTGCAAGCAGCTTCGCCATGGGATTCTTCGATATATCCAGTACATAGAAACCGAAGAGTTCCTGGGCGGCCTGATCCATGCAAATGACGAGCTAGTGGATGCATTAATGGCATTCGAGGTGCTTGACAAGAGCGTGGACTATGACAGCGATAGTGAGGACGAGATGTTGGAAGGCAATTGGAAGCAACGACACGGCCTTGGAATGCATGGCATGGACGTGAATGACGGCCTTGCTGGGCTGAATATCAATTCTTCAAAGCCGGCAAGGCCGAATCGTCCTGATAGCCTCCCCGTTGTATCTTCATCGCAACACACACGCCAAATCTTTGAGAGCGAGAGTGAGTCGGAAGAAGAGGATGATGAAGACAATCCATTTGGAGACAAGAATGCTATTAAGACCCCAGCTATTGAGAAATCTGGCCATACTTGGTACGTCATTACCCCGCTATATTACATTTCGCGTTATTAATGTTCCTATAGGAAAGAGGTCTGATTGATGTGATTACAATGCTGATGTTGGGATGGCCTGTACTTTTGCGGTTTGCGGTTTTGGTTTTTTTTTTCGTATATTGTTTGGTCTTGTGCTTGATCGGTATACCCAAAGCCATTGGCTATCGTGTTGCTGAGGGGCGAATATCCATTTTGATCGTTGGTGTCTCGGTTTTGTATATTGTTAAATCGATTGAACGTTCATTGCATAGCAATTTCTGGGAGCCTTTTACAAATTCCGAGGCGAAGATATATATATTGGTCCTGCTTGACAACACAAGTCCAACATTCAAGATATCCAATAGCGATCAGCCCTGCTGGCAGTAGTCTCTGCATGAAACACACTGAATAATCACTGATTAGTCAAATAGCGCATCTTGGAATTAGCTAGAAGATATAGGGCTTACAGAGGTAAATAAGCGCCCCCACCTCGACTCGCTCTTCGGCCTCTTTCGCAGCCCGACAGACTAGATAAGAAGACCTTTAGAACGACGCGCAACCTGCAATAAGCAAGAACATACCGGACATATTCTGCCTCAAAACACCAAAATCCAGTTATATCTTCAAAGAGAAACCAAAATGCCGGTGACCGAACTCGCCCTCCTCCGCCGAAAAGCGCAAGTCCCCTCATCTTCCGCAAAAAGTACTCTCCTAGAAGCTCAGAAGCTGCAGACAGAATACTCAGGCCATCAAGTCACTTATCTCCGCCAGATCGAAGACCCTGAATCATTTTATCTGCTGGGTGGATGGGAATCTGTTGAGAAACATACACGGGGAGGCCAGTGGATTCAATCCGAAACCAACCAGAATCTTCTTGCGAAGGTAAAGGACAGCCTTGATATTAGCTGGATGTTTCACTTGGATCTTGATGTGAGCTTTTCAATCTTGACGATGAACGAACTTCATAGCTCATGGGTGTTATCAAGAAATATAAGCTGACAGATCGGACAGCCATCCACATCCAAAATCCCATTGGATGCACCCATTATCGCTATAACTCGATGCTTTGTCGAGGCAAGCAAGAAGGATGAATTTGATGCTGCTTTCAAGGTTGGCCTGGCTGACTTGAATGCCTATACGGCACCGTTCACTTCCTGCGGTGGGTGGCGCATCGATAAAGAGGGCGAAGATGAGGAGTTTGTTCTTTTCAGCGGGTGGAATAAAGTCCAGGATCATTTTGATTTCGCGGGATCAGAGGCTTCTACAGAGTTCAAGAAGATACAGGCGCTGATGAAGGGTGCGGAGGGTAAGCATGTACAGATTGAGAAATGGGAGTAAGTTAGTAAATTCATATGTTTTCATTCATCTATGTGGTAACGTATTTCACATGCGAGCGGCCACCACAACCGACTGGCCATCCCAAAAACACATAGTAAATATAATAAATTGCAATTTCATATCTCAACAACAACATTATCATTTCATTTCATTACTTGTCGATAGTCATTGATAAGTCCCATTAGCACCATATATCAATTTCATAGTTAGTAAACAGCTGTAGTATATTAATTCCAAAAATTACCAAAAATTACGTTACTAAAAGCTAGAAATATATATATCGCAATCACAAATTCATAAAACTTCTCTAAACTTCCTAAAGAGGCTATATATTATCTAGAAAGGATTAAGCTATAAGGAACACCCCTTACAACCAACCGTTGTTGAGAAGTGAAGTTGTAATCTATTATATTTACTATATGTTTTTGGGATGGCCACTCGGTTGTGGTGGCCGCTCGCTTGTGAAATACGTTATCTATTATGAGGTTAAGTTGTCCTAGGCGCAGATGAGCCGTTCAGGATAAATTGCACCATTGCCTTCCTACCATCCAGTTTGAGTGGTCCTTCTATATGCATGGCGCCAGGGACATCTTTCCTCTCGATCTCTAAGCCGAGAGACTTGGCATGTTGTTCTAACTGGCCTGGTACGTATTCTGGAATGACTTCATCTTTCTCCGCAGCTAGAAGGAAGATCGGCGGAAGCGAGCGAGGTATTGATGCTGTAGCTTCAGAGTTGGCGATTTGAGACCTAGGTTGGTCTCTCCATGTAGCCATTTGTTGCATCTTCGCCTTGATATCCCAGGTATTCCAAGAGAACGGCCAAAGATACCTGTATGGAAGCCATTTCTGAGGATAGAGGCTGATGAGCATATCTTTAATGCTGGACGTTGGCGCCTCCAGAATGAGCCTGGTAATAGGCGCCAGAGGCTTTTTGCTGCTTGAATTTGAGGATGTTTGCTCTTCATGTTGACGGGGAATATATGTAGAGGCCGCTGAGCTTGCAACAGCAGCACCTAGGCTGTGCCCCCAAATTATAATCTCAAGATCGGTATCTGGGGAAGCATATGTTTCTGAAACCCAATTCAAGAATGCTTGGGCATCCATCTCAATGCCGGACTGTGTGGCACGACCGGAAGATGTCCAGTAGCCACGGTATGATAGAGCAGCGATAGTATATTGAGGGGCCTCAGACCCAGACATAGGGGATGAAGTCGATCTTGAAGATTCAGCAATTGCGCGTAAAATGTGAGAGAGAATAGGTAATCGCATAGGGGTCGATCCGCCATTGCCTTGGAAGTAGCAGATGACAACGGATCTTTTTCGTTTTGGCTTCAGGTTTGCCTGATCTTTATTTTGTAAAGCGCTAAGATTTGAAACAGACTCATGGTCCTTGCGAGGAACCGGAATGTGTCCCTCACAAACAGCCAATTTAGTCCCATCCAAACTGCGAATCTGCTTCTCCTCCCACCGCACCGGTCTACATTCAGCCTCGTAATCCGAAATTACATCGGATCTTGTAAAAGGAGGCAGCCATGATAGGTAGAGGAGCTTGTTCTGCATGATGATGATCCAAAGGCATTTCCAGGTCCATAGACCGAGTAGGAGCCCGATGAACATGAGAGGTGGCACAGCAAAGCTTGGAATAGCGGATAGTGCTAGACTTCGCGATTGAATAATATTTAGTCGCACATTTTGAGCGACGCTCCGTCTCTTTCTTGTGACGCTGTGCAGGCCATTGATGCCAGTTGACGGGGTATTGTAATAAGCCTGTGATGGCTGTCGCGTGCGGGTTGATATTGCTCTTGGCTTTGAAGCGCGCAGCGCACGTGGCAGGGCCCGGTGTGCCAGCATCTGCAGAATTGATTGGCAAGTAATTGGTTGGGTCAGAGGTTGTTGTAGGATAGTTGCGATTTACTAGTGGAGTCTTTGAGCCACAGCTGCGGGCTGGGCCTTGACTCAGCAATTCCAAGGCCCGCCCGAACCCGGGGCTATCCCGAGGTCACTAAGCCAAAGGCTGATGGATTATAGAGAGTATAAAGCGGTTTCCCGCGTTCAACTCATTTGAACTTCTTTTAATAATTGGTAGTTTGATTGAAATCGATTTTTGAAGGATATTGAGATAAGAATGGGTTTACATTATCACTACCACCGAAAGATATGTACGAAGTGGATTTAATTCGAGTTACACACAGACAAGATATATTCCTTGTAGAGCGTTCGAACAAGATCGAAGCTCTAACGTACGATGAAATTGATAGCATTGTGAATATTCAAATGGGTATTGTAGGTCGTCATCATCCGGAGTCATGATATGAAAGATAACAACAAAACGCAACATGAACAGAAATGGACAAGATGAATCCCTTCCGATGACGCCAAAAGACTCAAACCGCAAGCCAGAAAACAGCAAACCAGCCATGCAGTGATGCAAAATGAATTCTCACAGAACCTTCGATCTCATCCACTCACTCGTACCAACTCCAAGGTTAAGCCCATTCCGCTCCCACCAACGCCGAACACGACCCTCAGCTCCAGAGCTGGGATCTGCATCCTCAAGCGCTTCTTCAATGTCGCAAGTCTTGAATTCAACCCGCAGACCACAGCTTTTCCACCACTGCAGAACGTGGTCGTGGCCATTCTTCGTCGGGCCCACTAGCACCTGGTTATCGAAGATCATCTTTGGGCCCTTGAGTTTATACCAGAATTCGAGGACATGGACGTGGCCATGCGTGCTCGCGATGCGGGCAACGTTCTCCGCGTGGCTGTAAGGAATCCCTGATGCATCCCACCAAGCAAGAGATGCGGTGCGGCCTGACTGCGCTGCGAGCAGGACGGATTTGCCGACTTTGAGAGGTAAGGGGTTGGACTTTGGGGCGTTCGCGGATGCGGTTTTCCACCAGTCGAGAACCGCGACTCGACCTTCGGCGCTAGCAGCTTCGAGGGCACGCTCGCTGTATCGTAGCGGGAGCCCGGAGTGGAGCCACCAATCTAGTACGTCGACAAAGCCGGCTCGGGAGGCGCCGTCCATGGCGTCAGCCATGTATTCTTTGTTCGGGAGGGCGGGCGCATCGCGCCACCATGTTAATACACTCGGGTTGCCGTAGATTGCAGATGCTCGGTATGGAATATTTGTGAGTCGAGAGGTTGTCCAGAGGAGATCTAGGTGGTTTTCGGTGAGATAAGAAAGGATGTCGGTGCGGGAGAATTTGACAATGATGTGGCAAGCGAGGTCGGAGAGTGGTTTCCAACGAGGCAGTGCATCAATGCGCTTTTTGATTGCAGCGAAGGATCCTCGCAAGATAGTATATTCGAGTGTGGCCGGTGTAGACATTTTTGGTAGATGATTCTGCCATTCTTGGGGGACAGGAAGATGAGTTGGAATGCCCACAGCTTTCGCTGTTTCCCAATCTCGTAGTTGATCTTCAAAGACATTCAGCCAGATTTCAAGTGGTAAAAAATCAGCATTGCCTGCATGTTTCGTTTCTGGCGTGGAGCCGGTGGCATTTCCAGATGTAGATTTTGATGCAGTCTTAGCCGGGACCGCGGCGCCATGAGTGACTGCTCTGGTCGACAGGGTAGCTTCCCACGGCGGTAATTTCAATGTTGTCTCCAGTGTCTGGTGTAAGTCGTTCAGGCCGTCCCATGGTAGTATCGTCAGGTCTTCGGGCCCGCTTGACTTCCAGAGCACAGGCTTCACAATGCGAATCCAAGGCCAAAAACGACTGATTTCATCGAGTTGCCGAGCGCTGAGCGGGTGATCCCATTCTGACACTGTCATTCCTGGAATTAGAACCACAGGTTTCTTCGATACCCAGCCACGAAGGAGCGCCAACGTCAAGGTATTTGTCAAGCCAGCCAACATCGCCCCCAGGACTCCGGCATCGATGGGCGCAACCAACAGCATGTCCGCCCATTCACATAGCTCCGCTGTTTTCGCCTTAAGCCAGTTCCGCGCGCAGGTCTTCTTATCGAATGTTTGGCTGTCGACCGTATCCATGTAGTGAGGGATCTTGTTGGTACCCGTGAGTAAAGCCGAAGGTTCATCTGTGATCAGTCGCAGCTCGATGTATGGGTTCTGAACGAGGGACGGGAGGACGGTGCTAGCGAAAGCACTATCGGTCGACAAGAGCAATCGGCGGCGCCGAGGATGCGATGATGTCGCATTTTCCACCGCTTTGTTACCAATCGCCGGTTCCTCACAGTCTGCATCCACCTCCATTTCGCTTGACCACGGCCCCTTTGTAATGCTATTGTCTTTTATAATTGGTGAGATGTTTGATTGAAATCCAACTGCCATGCCAAAAAAATAAGACGGGCTGAACTGTATGAGAATAAAACAGTCTGATGGGAGAAGTGTGTAGGGAAAGTATAGAAAGAATCGATGTCGAGAGGCGATACAACAAGATCAATTTGGTCCCTTACTCCTTAACTGTAAGAGATAAGTTATCAGGCTGTGGTCTGATCAGAGTCCAATCATGCAACTCGGGATCGAAATCGAGGCGCTTTTATTTTGTGCAACGGCGATCAACCGGGTTACACGAGCGGTGAGGTCGTTGTGTTGTTTGGATGCGTCGCCACGTCTTTGCCACATCCGATATGACGGGCTACCGAATGAACAGAGTTGCTTAACAGCGAAAAAATGCCGAGATTCTTCTTGAGGATGTCCACCAATGAGAGAGAGGACAAAGGTTAGTTCGAGGGCCTATGGCGGTTAAAGACGGGGCCCGTACATGAGGAGCGCAGATTGATTGGCGAGTTGTTGGGCACTATCAACTGGAGGCGGTCAATGCCTAATGTCATTATGCATATTCCTAGTATAATTTCCATAAATACCCATGGACTTATTTCATGCTTCTATTGGTATGTTCCTGTACATTAATTGCTGGATCTTTCTATTCATGTCAGTTCAAAATTGAAATGCGAACCCCGCGACCGACAAAAGGGAGTTGAACTAGGTCAACTCCTGCTCAGGTACTTTGTATATATGCTGATCTAGATAACAAATATTCAAACATTTTTCTATGATGCCGGAATGGATACCCAATCTATCGTCGGGCCAGGTTGTTGTGCAGCTTGTGCTCTCTCATGGCGAGACTAGTCAATGCGCCTAGGGCGGCTAGGCCCAACAATGTCACGAATACCGCCCGCAAAGAGTTCATGTATGCATCAAGCACTCCGGGGGTTAAGTCTGCAGGCAGCTTCCAAATCTCGTCCAAGCTATCTCGAAGCCGTCCAATTAGCTCCTTGGCGTCCTCACGCTCACCGAGTCTGGACCAAAGCCCAGACTTCAGGGTGTTCTGGAAGACAGCCGAAGCAGCCGTGATACCAAGCGTACTTCCGGTGCTTCGGAAGGCATACGAAGCAGAAGTCACAACCGCATGATGCTGGTGGTCTACAGCGGAGATAAGCGCCACCAATGTGATGGTTATCATGGAACCATAGGATGCACCGCCCAGGAAGAAATAGAGGAACGGCAGTGCCACGGGCGTGTGAAGATTCAAGGTGCAGATGAGCCCACCAGAGAGAAGCTGAACAGCCATGGCAACATAACTGAGGAATGCATACCGGCCGCTGGCGCGCATGATAAGACCCGATCCCAAAGAGCCAATCGAGGTGCCGATCGCCTGCGGAATTAATCGCGCGCCCGCAGCCGTCGCAGAAAGACCCTGCACCTGGAAGTACACTGGTAGGTAAAAGAGGAGACCGAAGACAGCCATCGTACCAAACCAATTAGTCAGACAAGCAGCTGCGACAGTGCGGTTAAGCAGGAGGCGCACGGGAATGACAGGCTCAGAAGCAACCTCAGCTTCCACGTAGATGAACAGACCCAGGAAGACAACAGAGGCAATCAGCGATGACACCACCAGCGGGTGGGTCCAGGGCACTTGGTTTCCGCCGGTGTTGAGGCCAAGCAATAATGTGACTAGTGTCACAACAAGTGTGATGGCACCGAGGAAGTCAACACGTTTGAGTCGCGCGGTATCAGACTCTTTCACGGGAATGTCGACTTTAATTGCGACTAGAACGCAGGAAATGATCAAGAGGGGAACTTGCAGCAGAAATGCCCATCTCCATCCCAGAGTGTCGTTGATCCATCCGCCAAACACACCTCCAAGTCCCATGCCAGCACCGTAGCAGATGTTACCAATACCCTGCCAGATGCCGCGCTTGCGGAGAGGGATCAGATCCGAAGTGACGAAGGTGGAGATCGCAGTAAGACCGCCTCCTCCGACACCTGCCACGACGCGACCAAGGATGATAACCCATTGCGCTCTTGCCAGGCCGCAGATCAAGTTGCCAAGGGCGAAGAAAATGTTGGAGAACACAAGCCCCCAACGACGAGAGTAGATATCAGTCAAACGGCCACTGAGAGGCTGGCAAGCGGCATTGGAGATGAGATAAGAAGTGGCTAGCCACGAAAGTAGTGAGAATGAGTTGAAGGACGAAGAGATAGGGGCGGAGAGGGTCGCGACGATGGTTGTATCTGAAACGAAAGCTGATGTTAGTTTTGTTTTCGTGAAGAGTCAGAGTCCATACCGAGAGCAGCCAGGAAGACACCGAGCCAGATGCTTCCAAGGATCCAAATCAGCTCCTTGGTGCTGTGTTCCTGGGGTAGTGGGGTGTCATCATTGGCAGCATCGGATGCATCCCGAAGAAGGGGCGTCTGCTCAGACGCAGGCTCTCTGGCAGTTTCTTCTACAGACATGGTGCAATGTCCAAAAGTGAACCGAAGTTTCTTTGAAAGAGAAATTGCCAATTGATGTGCTCGGAGACTCGGCGGAATCTCCGAAGGGTCTGCGGAGATGTGGGGTTTACTATGGTGGCTAGAGCAGGTGTCTTATTGGCTGATGCACCTACAAGCTCAGGTCCATAACATCAACTCAAATGTTGTACTTGGAAAAGGCGGTTTGCACAATTTAAGCGTTTTTACCGGCGGGCGTGTATATATATTATTCATTCTTATCTTTTTATCTAGCTATACTAACAATAAAGAGAAGAAATATCTAAAGCAAATTTACAGCTAAGGAGACATCTGAAAATATCACTAGAAGGACTACTGAAAAGACTGCTAAAATTACTCTCAAAATGACTTAACAAGGTCGCATAGGCGGTCAGTTATCTTTTTGTTCTTATATTGTGAGAATTGCCATGAGAATAGGAGATTCCTTGTCAGTTTACTCGTAGGGATTAGCGCCATAGATATATTGAACTGTCTCGGTATCAGATTGATGCGCGATCAACAACAAACAGTGGGTGAGAACCCCCAGAACCATCTGACGAGCATGCTTCCTATCCCCTTAGCCTCTATCCAGACCTCGAGGGGATAACTATTGTACTTAAACGTATGACCTTTACACGTCTCGACTAAAAGAAGCAGAATAGCGTTTGCTGAGTGCCCCAAATCCACGAGTGCAGCGTGACAGGACATTCAGTCAACACTAGGAAGTCGTAATGGATATTCTGCGGTTTTGCTCGTGACTGGAATACCTGGTAACATGATTCTTCTAGCAATACTGTAGTGATAATCGGATGTGGAAATTTTGGCTTGATTGCACCACCTAACCGCTGCTTTAGCTCTGCAGCGATATCCGCAGACGAGCACAGGTTTATAATATCCTGCAACAATCAATGAAGAGCAGCGTGAGGGAGCGTCTTTTTTGTTTCACTATCGATGTGGCTGCTATTCTTCCCGGTGGAGCGGAAAGTGTAATGGATCAAGATTTGATGATGTATGGGACGACAAACCTACTGATTGCTGATGCGAGTGTTTTCGCATTCATTGACAATATATGCAGTGGCTGGGTGGGTTGTCAATGTTATTCGAGGGATCTAGAGATCTGGGTGACCTCCCTTCTCGTCTTTTCATATCAGAAAGACATACGATAAAAAAGGAATAGCAAAACAGGAAGTAATGTAAAGGAAGAGCTGAGTAGCTATTTCCAATATGTTTCAAGATCCAGAGTTGCTTCATCGCCCGCTTTCTCAGCAGTACTTCTTTCATTTCTCATTTACAACTCTCTTAGTTTCTTATCTCCATGTCTTCAAGCTCCCCATCATGAACCAGCTCATTTTTTTTGTTCTGCTCCCGATGGTCGGCATCCCTCTTATGTCGTTGGCAACAGCATGGATCCAGCCCTTTATTACCGAGTTCCGCAGATGGATGGCAAATGACATCAACAACGACCTCGACGTCTTGGACGATAAATTAGCTGCCTTTAAAAAGGAGATGGACGAGCTCGAGGAGCTGTTAGAGGCAGAAGAGGCAGAGTTTCGGGTTCGGAAAATACAGGCATACACCATTCTACATGACACGCCAACCGTGCATCAAGCTACGGCTGTGCGCGATGAGGCGGCTAGGTGGAAATTCCGACGGCGCGAGCTTCGCCGCAGAGCAAAAGCTGCATTGAAGGGCAAAAGAGAATTTCTTCTTGAGATTTCTCGGGACCTAAATGACAGGCCAAGAGCCCTTGAGGCAAATCCTTAATCAATGACAGTCAGTATACACCACCGGTTACTCGAGTATTTTGATTGTCTACTGAAGACCATACATAGTGCTTAATGAGTGATTATCGTGCATGCCTGTGTGTTAGCTGCAACTGGATGTTGTGACTATTTAGTTAGTCGGCATATACCAGTATACCGGATTTTACTTGCCACTTATTAGCTTTCCCGTTCTATTTTACCGGTCAGAGCTTGCCGTTTTTCGCTCACTGCGACGATCTGAGTTCTCTCCGAACTGAAACATGGACCTTCGAGAAGGTCCGTCAACAGAAGTGTAAGGCTGGGGTGAGGTTGAACATCATCGAGTGTCTGGCCAGGCTATTAGCGTTTGTTCGTTGCTCTAGAACATCCCAAACATTGGAAACCTGCTTGCTGGCAGAGATGGGTTTTATGTGTGATAGTTATTGTGGAAGTCTTTAATCAATAGCAGTCTATACGACACACTTGAGGCTTACTGCATCTAACTATTCCTGATAAGGAACCCCATCAACGTGGCGCAGAGCCCCACAATTGAGGGGGATTATGTAGAAATGCCAACTCATGATATTTCATTTATATATGTGTGTGTAATCCCATCTTTCTCCCTTTCCCTCTAGAAACACATCGCCCACTCACGAGTACGGTAATGACTGCGAGGGAGCCTTCAGATGGCAGTCTGCCGTCCCTCTGGAATAGCGCCTGCAAGGACTATGGTAGAAAAACCGGAATTTCGTTAACAGATGAGCGTTTCCCCAAAATTCAGGGGCCTGAGGATCTGTCTCGCCAGCTAGAATATGAAACGGACAACTTTGAAGATTTTCGAATGAAAAGACGGCCCCTTTTACATGCAATGCAGACGGTTCTGGCACCATTTGAAAGCTGGGGTGACCTGATCGCCGGTGCTGCCGCGGCAGCTTTCCCTCCAGCATCGTCGATCATGGGTGCGATGCTCCTTCTGGTTCAGGCGGCACGCAGAGTTAGTGACGCATTCAACGGGATCCTTGACCTTTTTCAGAAGCTAGGTAATTTTGCTCTGCGATTAGACTCATACAAGGAGGTCACCCTCGGTGAGGGGATGAAAACAATGATCGTGAAAGTGTTGGTTAATTTCCTGAGAGTTTGTGCGGCGTCACAAAATCTGTTGAGCCACGGTTCACTCAAGGCGAGACTTTCAAAGTGGGCAAAGAATATACTCGTTGAGGATACATCAATTAGCTCCTTGCTAGAGGAGCTAGAGGAGTTGACAAGCCAGGAACATATGATGGTTTCTGCCCATGCGCTCAATCTCACCCACCAAACCCTGAGAAATACCAAGGAATTGCTCAATAGAGACGATGGTAGAAAGGAGCGCGAGAGGCTGGAAAGGGTCAAAGCAGCGTTAGACCCAGTTTCTGCATCGGGTCAGGTCTTTTCTTCCATCACCCAGAATCGCATACCGGGATCCGGCATCTGGATTGAGGATAGGCTTCAGTCCTGGTGGCAAGGATCCCAACCGCTACTCTGGCTTCATGGTGGCCCTGGGGTGGGAAAATCGCATCTGGCATCGAAAATCATCACTGAACTTTCAAATGAGTCATTTTTGACCCCTGCGCCTGTGATTGCCTCTTTCTTTTTTTAAGAACAACGATGTCGACCTACGCTCCCTCAAAAAAGCTCTGCGAACCATGGCATGGCAGCTGGCGACGCAGAAATCCAGCTTTGCGGTGCATGCCGATGAGTTCTGCATGAAGGAAGACCCAGGGAACAACTACTTTGTTTGGGAGAAACTCTTCCTAAACTACTTTACCGAAAGTTCATCGGCTATCACAACATGCTTGGTGATTGATGGTATTGACGAGGCTGAGGTGGAGGAACAGGAAGTCCTTTTCAGTTTGCTGGAAAAAGCCTTCTCAGCGGCAGAGGATATGAGCCTCGGCCTTTCCGTACGAATCGTGCTCATTAGTAGGGATTCGGTGCGCGCCATGCTTGAAGAGCATTCGTTGGACTCGATTCCGGACCTTGAAGTGGGTAATAACCAGAATAAGGAAGACCTCCACCAATACGTCTCTCAGAAACTACAGAAGACAAAATTGTTCCGTGGACATCCTGAATCCCTTGAAGAAACTATTAATGATATCAGTCAGGAAGCTGAGGGCATGTGGGAATGGGCCAACCTTGTCATCAAAGCTGTTTTGCGGTGTCGGACTAAAGAGCAGATCCGAAAGGTGGTCAGGACAATGCCGCGAGGGATTAGCGCAATGCTTCATGAAGAACTACAACGTCTAAGTAAAGAACTGTCCGGGTGGGAAGAATCATCGGGTGATGAGGTATCAGAGGGGGAAGGACCTGCCTCACAGATCGAGCAGTTGAAGATCTTGCTCTCCTTTGTTACATTCGCGGAAAAACCACTGACTGTGCGTCAGCTTGATATTATTCTCGAGCTCGTCCTGAAAGAGGAGTTCATGAGTCTTGAAGACGATATTCGCACGATTTACTCCTCTTTATTTTATATCAGAGCCAACGATAATCAAGACGACTTTGGTGATGGCGGCGACGTTGTAACACTTCGGCATAGCTCCTTTTATGACTTTTTCAGAATGTATACGGAGCCCGGACCAATCTCTGTCAACATTGATAAAGCGGACACGAAGTTCCTATATGTTTTTCTTTACGCCCTAACAGAGGACTACACCCCCTGGTCCGAGAGGTTGATAGGAGACCTCCGGGGATATGCCGAGAAATTCCTGCCGTCATATCTCACTCGTGCAAATCCCGAAAAGGCAGGAAATCTGCGAGAAGTCATTTCCACTTTGCTTGCAGATCTTTTCAGCCATGGGCAAGATACGAAGGTATTCATTGAAGAAGTAAGTATGAGGTGGTTCCCATCATATTCGTTCTACCCAACGTGCAGGGTATTAGAGCTCGGTTCCTACTGGCTGGACGCTCAAGATCAGGATATTGCAAATCAGAGGGCTGAAGTCGTACTCCATTGGTTTCTTCCAAGCCAAAAACAGAGCTTCATGGATCATGCCAGAGCATCAGCAGTGGGAAGTGACGCATGTCCCTTCACTGTCCTCCTATCACAAATGGTAGCGTCCTGGAGCCAACGCTGGCTAGAACCAGAAGAAATAGCGGAAGATGATGGATTACCTGGCATCGCCCCCATCATTTGGTCACTGTACAATTCGATGGCAAATGGAGTAAAGGATTCTGATGCGGACGGTCTAACACCAAAGATATCAGACCTAATCTGGGGCCACGGAGAGCCTGCCAGCGTCCTGATTCCTGCCCAGTTGCAAAGGCTTCAGCAGACACCTATGTGGCATGCGCGAGTTGCTCAGGCGCTACTTCTGAAATTTTGCTATGCGCAAGCGCTTGAGCATTTTCAAATTTCGCTAGCCAAAAGCCATGGAACTTCAATATTCAGTACACAGTCCATGTCTGTCATCCACAGAAACATGGCTCGTGCATTTAGTGAAGTCGCAATGCACAAGGAGGCATTGGAGCATCTTGAATTATCGGAGTCCCTGCGGAGCACCTCAGAGGAGAATAACAACCCCCACGATGCTGATTCTGTTCAGGCCTTGCTCAATAAGGCGCAAATGAAGCATTTGGCAAAAATGACAGATGATGCAATTGCAACCGCAGAGGAGGCTTGGAATCTGGTACTGCAAATCAGACTCGTGCACAGCGATATGGAATTGCTTCCCTTCTTCTCCATCTTCCTGGAACTGAACCAACCGCACCGTCTGCGGTCTATGCTTGACCTTGCTTTCACCCCTTTTGAGAAGACAGCGAACAGTAGAAGCAGAGCTCTGAATTTTGAGTGCTTCGTCCTCCACTCTTACTTGCTCCAATCGCGCTCGATGTATAGGGTCCTTCATCATGCCCTAACTCACCGTGATCAGGATTATCTTGATCTTATCGCGGGAGCCGTGAGGAAAGTCGACAATGAATTGGATAGCCCCGTAGAATTCAAATACGTCTTCGCGACGCTGTTATTTGAAAAAGGGCAAAGAGATGCAGGGTTACAGGGTTGGTATGAGGTTGCATCTCTCTCTCCAGTCTCCTTCGATAAGTGGTCCAAGCCCTCTCACATGCGGTCAATAAGCAACCTCGTTGCCTTATGTCTGGACGATGCCGATATCCCTTTCTGGGGACGGCCTCCATTAGCTCTGAACGAAAATAGTGAATTGGGTGACGTCTGTCTGGTCCTCTCGAGCTGGCTCCGCGATCATCGGGATATCACAAATGCTAGAGATGCTCTCCGCTGGTGTGTCAAAGAGTGTATCTTGCTGCTCTCAAAAGATGATCCTGCAGATAAGATCGATGCCTTGGTGGGACTTTTCAGGGTATTCCTTGTCAATACAGATAGCGATGAAGACCTTGGGGCAGTCTTATACTTGATCAAGCAAGATATAGAGTCCCGAACGAACGTCCCTCGTAACATGACAGGTACTACCAAATTTTTGGATGATGATGTGCAGCTTGACATCTCCAGCACATTTCAAAATGTGCAATTGATAGATGAGGAGGAAAAACGTTTGGATGGTGACACTGATGATTATATGGACGATGACATATACGCTAAAGTCGTGTGCGACCATTGCACCGGGTGCTCTAGCTGCAAGCGAGAAATTGGGTCTATTCACCACTGGTATTTCTGCTGCTCTTGTGCGTTCTCGGCGCTTTGTTGGCGATGTTACCGCCAGGTTGAATCTGGAGATTTATCCAGAATTTCAGGTATCTGCAATCCTGAGCACAAATTCTATTATACCGGCCCGCTTCTTCGGCCCTCTGAGCGCGTGCCTGAAGGGATGGTGCCCTTGATTTCTTCCGATGGCAAGCAACAGATCATCTGGATAGAAGACTGGAAGGATAGACTTGCAAAGAAATGGGAGACCGCGGATTTCACATTTACGGACGGGCTGTCAGCTTGGTGTATGCGTGTCCTCCCAGAACCGCAGAGAGCTCGGTGGGCTTTATTCTTCCAGACATGACCGAGCAATTGGATACATAGACTGCAAGGCCCCAATATCCCCCGGGCACTTCTAATCTATATCAAAATATGTCTTGTCATCCTTTTGTATCAAAATGATGCAGCCTCAAGACGATCAAAATGACCTGTGAGCGATCAATCTTCAATGCTCAACTGAGCAACAAGATTCTCTACCAATTATACACATATCCGGTAACAATACTGAGCTCAGCTATAGATTTAGCCTTAGTATGGAGCTCCCACTAAAGACATACTGATAAACAACTTTTAGACCCTGAGGGACTAAGTAATTTTTGATAACAATATCTCGAATTATTTCAGTATGAAGATCCCTATGAGGCGGCATATCAGGAGTGATGCCTAGTCCCTATGTGGATGTGTAAAGGAAAAATAGTACTATCTACTAGAGGCACATTGGCGAGGTGCACATATCTCCAAGGTCGATCCTCATCATTCCTCACTTCAGTTAATATACAGGTACAGCATGAAATACAAGTAACCAAAAATGCCGATCCCAACAGCCTTGAAATAAGACAGGGGTGTTCTCCGCATTTGTGGATACCCCCGGATTTCCCCGTGACTCGAGGAAATTGGAATTCCGTGCGCCATATCCTTAGGTTTTCCTGTCCATATAGCCCCACTGCTTTTCTTAACCTACGCAACGCTCAATCGGTTTGTGGTCCTCTCCGCATCATGGCGTTGCTCATTTGCTCTCATTGCAGCCGACCCCCACTGCTCCCTCACTGCTCCCCGGCCAAACCTCGGACATTCTAGCCTTTTGGTTACAGATCTGCAAAACTCGCTGTTCGGGTAATCGTATTGCCATCTCAACACTCATAACGATACGTGAATGATACCGTCAGGACAGCGAGAATCATACCTCGGGGCAAAGTAACCAGCTACTAAAAGCGGCCGATCTACAGATATCGCATCATGTCAAAATTCATACAGACGCTGGCTTGAGATTCCCAACTGTCTCTCCTCGATATGACTCGTCTGTATAAATTGTCCTTGCTGGTAGCCCTAGGCTCGCTGGTCTTTGCTAGCCAAGATGCCTTCCAATCAAAATGTGTCAAGTTTGCTGGTCAAATCGACATTCCCAATGTCAAAGTCAACTTTGTCGAGTTTGTGCAGGGAGGCACCAACTTGTCCTTGGCAGACAACCCATCTAGCTGCGGTGCGTCGAGTCAGGCTGTCTCGGTAGACATGTGCCGAGTAGCCATGGCCGTGTCGACCTCAAAAACCAGCGAGATCACGCTAGAGGCTTGGTTCCCTCGTGACTATAAAGGCCGTTTCTTAAGCACTGGAAATGGCGGTATCTCAGGGTGTAAGTGTCGGTTCCAAAATCTGCATATCGAATCGTGTTAATCTCAACTCAGGCATTCAATATTACGACCTCGCATACACTGCACAACTAGGGTTTGCCACCGTTGGAGCCAACAACGGACATAATGGTACCTCAGGAGAGCCTTTCTACCGCCGCCCTGAGGTCATTAAAGATTATGCATACCGTTCTGTTCATACTGGAGTTGTAATAGGCAAGCAGCTCACCAAGAAATTTTACGATGAGGGCTTCAAAAAGAGCTACTATCTCGGATGCTCGACTGGTGGCCGCCAAGGTTGGAAATCTGTTCAAAAATATCCTAACGACTTTGACGGGGTGGTTGCCGGTGCCCCTGCTATCAATCTGATTAACCTGTTTTCGTGGAGCGCAAGCTTCTATCCCATCACTGACTCCCCAAATTCCGACACGTTCCTCACCACAGCTGAATGGAAGATCGTTCATGAAGAGATTCTCCGCCAGTGTGATGCCATTGATGGCGCCAGAGATAGAATCATCGAGAATCCCGATCTCTGTCGTCCTATCTTGGAAACATTGACCTGTGACCCCAGGGCCACAAACAGAACAAGTTGTCTTAGCAGCGCCCAAGTCAACACCGCCCAGAACGCGCTTTCGCCATTATATGGAATTAATGGAACCCTGCTCTACCCCCGTATGCAGCCTGGCTCTGAAATTCTCGCCGCACCGATAATGTACAATGGTAAACCATTCCAATACAGCGAAGACTGGTACCGTTACGTCGTCTACAATGACCCGTCCTGGAGCGGAGCCAACTTCACAGTGAAAGATGCTGCTGTTGCTCTCGCCCAAAACCCTTACAACATTCAAACCTGGGATGGCGATATATCTTCCTTCAAGAAGACTGGAGGCAAAATCCTGCACTACCACGGCCTCCAAGACGAGCTGATTAGCTCCGAGAACTCAAAAATGTATTATTCCCATGTTTCAAAAACTATGAAACTCCCTCCCACCAAGTTGGATGAATTCTACCGCTTCTTCCCGATCAGTGGTATGGGCCATTGCGGTGGCGGCGATGGTGCCTATGGTATTGGTCAGGGACTCCGTTCTTACGATGGAAACAATCCCGAGGACAATGTGCTTATGGCCATGGTTCAGTGGGTTGAGAAAGGCAAAGCACCAGAGACTGTTCGTGGTGCCAAGTTCTCCAACGGCCCTGGCTCTAAGGTCGAGTATAAGCGGAAACACTGCCGCTGGCCTCGGCGCAATGTGTTCCAGGGTCCCGGGAACTATACCGATGAGAACGCTTGGCATTGTGTTTAGGGTTGCTTGCCGCTTTTTCTATATAGAAATATTTCAGTAACTAGAAATACCATTAAACGATTCTCAGATTTGATCAACCTAGTTCATCTCATATACGTATACAGAGAATGTAAACAAACTTGGAAGTACTATGAAGGTAAAAAAGAGGTCTGCCACGCGTGGGAAACGAACGGCTGATCACGTATATGTAAATAAAAAGGGGGAGGTGATGCTGACCACTTAACCAGCATCGCCTTCCCCCTAGCAAACTATACCTCAAACTTGAATGTATGTACTACATTCCAAGACCTCAGGTCCATAAAAGGTAAAAAAAGGACGTCATATCGGCAAAAAGCAGACGGAATTCATCGGCAAAACAACGCGCTCCGCAGCAATGGCAGACCGCCTAGCAGACTGCCCCGGCTGGTTCGCAGATCAGTTGAGCTGTGTCACCACTGTAATTCCCGCTAATTATTTATCCTTTACATATCTCATTTGCATGAATTATTGCAAATTTTCAAAGACGACAATATATTACCCTCTCCACTAGATCGCGCACGGATCACCATTTGAGGACGCCCCATCGAAGCTACCCCTCGGATCGCATATATAGCGGCGACAATCCCGCGTACTCACGTGTTTCAAGCTCACAGCCTACCCGTGACCTGTCAAACTCACTAGAACACATCTCCAGACTCAATCGCAATGGCAGACCCAGACATGGACGAGTTTGCACAGACTCGCGGCGCCGACGACCTATTCGACGATGAGATTATCCCTATCTCCACAGAACAGCAGCAGGCACAGACTGAGGTCATTACCCCCGAGCCAGAGCCAGAGCCGCAGGAGGCACACGTACCTGAGAAACCAGCTCCCGAGCAGCCAAGTCCACGTGGGGAGACTCCGCAGCGGGGCCGGGGCGGAGAACGAGGCCGAGGACGACGGAGCCGGGGCAAAGGAGGGCGCGGTGGACGAGACTCAGAGCAAAAACGGTCAGAAAGCTCTCCGCGCAAAAAGACCCCTGTCAATGCGCCTGCTGCGGATGCACGCGAGGCTCCTACTTCGAAACCGGAGAAGCCTAAAGAGGCTAAAGAGCAGACCGGTCCGGTCGAAGAGAATAATGGTGAAGATGTGACTGCGAATGGTGCTGAGGCTCAGCGTGTGCCTGCTGTTAGGGGCGATCGGAGTGCCACTGGAGGGCTAAGAAAGGTGTGTGGTGCTCCCCGTGAGACAACGAAAGAACCACGCTGACTATTACTTCCAGCCTAAACTCACGGAAGAGGAACTATCCAAACGCATTGCTGCAGCTAAGGAGAATGCCGTAAAGAAAGCTGCGGCCCATGCTCGCGCCGAAGCTGATCAGGCGTCGTTTATGGAACGCGAGCAGGAGGCGGCAAAGAAACGTCGCGAAGAACTCGCCCACCGTCGCGTGATGGATACTGAACGTGAGAAAAACAGACAGCGGAAGCTGAAAGCTCAAACGGGGCGTGAATGGGACTCACAGAAACGCGAGGAAGATTATGACCCCCGCGGTGGAGGCAGCCAATTCCGACGCGGTATGCACGGTGGCGTGTCTGGCGCTGTGCGACGAGACTTTGAAGATGGTCGTTCAGAACAGGCCGCAGACCATAGTAATGGTCATCGGGGTCGTGGACGTGGTGGTCGAGGTGGCCGTGACCGTGGATCTCCGCGTACCCCACAAGGAGACCGGCCACGCAAGGGAGGCCTATCTGATAGTATGTATGCAACAGAAAGCCCTACTGCGCTGGGTTTGGATGATAAGAGCGCATTCCCGGCTCTGCCCAAGGGACCCAAGAAGACCGAGACTAAATCTGTGTCCACGCCGGTGAGCAAGGAGACTAAGCCAGAGACTAAGACTAAGGCTGAGACGAAAATCGAGCCCGAAACTGCCCCCGCACGGGCCAAGTCACCATCAGCAATGGACAAGTTGGACTCGACGTTTTCACCTATCACTGGAACTTGGGCTGACCAGTTTGAGGATGAGTGATGGAATTTTGCACACTTTTATTTTTGGTTTTGGTACTCATTCGTTTTCACGATTTATTTCTGCATTCATGACATGAAAAGACTTCTGTCCTCATTTGAAATTTGATATCCCGTCTGTCCTGGAGCCTTGATTGGTGGCTGAGATGGCTTCATATGCAAAAGTCCTCCAGCATTACATATACGTATATTGCCGCTCATAGCATACGCTACTTTCTCGAATTGTGACATTCTTTATATTCTGCTTCTCCTTGATTTTAGAACGAGCATAGCCGGCCAGCTCTTGTACTTGACGACGTGGTTCGGTATTCTAGTCTATTTGGCTCAAGGTCATATATGAGACATTATATCCAAGATTCTTCTACATCAAGAACGGTACTCAATCTGAGAATTTTATTCATCTTCCCTAGGTCCAATGTAGCAAGTGACTAAGGCATAGGGGCATGAGTATCCAGCAATTAGGCACCAACCACTCAGGTTCTTATGACCAGAAGGATAGTAAAAAAGATGATTGAAAAGACGATTTGGAAGACGAGTGGGTTTACAAGAAATAAGTTCTCTGAAGTGAGGTCTGAAGTTGGTAGGCCGAGAAAGACGTGCCTCAGTAGAGGTTGAAAAGCGGATGCAAAGTCGCCAAGAAAAGGTAAATCTAGACCAGCTGCCTTGATACCTGAATGCATTGGCCAAGTTGTACATGGACGAAGTAGTGTATTTTTACTGTGAAATGGATACTTCATTAGGGATGTTCAACCCGTGGAGTTCAACAAGATTTTAACAATCAACTATCATCTCTGTATTGAATGGGCCTCGATGGGATTTCTCCGGCAGGTTAACCTAACTACCTAGGTAGAGCTTTGCGGTCAATCCTCCTTCCCTATCTCAATTCCATCACAAACGGACAGGCTTTTTGTAACAGGACGAGCAGTACCATTCCCATCTTTCAACGTCGGAAACTGCAGCTTGTGCCGCACCACGCGACTTTAACAAGTTAAACATATCCCGATCACCTTTCATTTCAGCAGTGTAGAGTGCAGAATATCTGTATTGCGAAATATTCAATCCTTCATCAAGAAGAAGTTTCACCATAGACTCATCCTGATGTAGAACAGCCAGCTTCGGCGCTATTGCTTGTAGTCCCACGCCGTGTTCAAGCGATGTAGAGATAATATCCTATCGATCATCTTTCATAGCGCGATATAGCGGTGAAGGTATGGATGAGCGCCACGCTGAATTAACAATTTCACTAGCTTCATATCCCCAAACTGCATTGCAGTGAAGAGTGGCGGGTAGCCAACCTCCACATTACGCCACCACAGGATGGTATATTCAGGAACTAGGCATTGAACGTGTCTCCCGAGGTAGGATTTGGCTTTTGCGCTAAAATCTAGCAAGGTGGTCACTATTTTGGTATAGCCACCCTGTATTTCCATGACTAGAGCATGCTGGATGTTCACAACACTCGGGACGCTATATCCTTGTTCGAAAAAAGAGTGGATATAAATGTCCTCACGGTAATCATTGTCAGGGTGGTAACTTTTCCATGATATCAATGGCTTCAGGCTCTCGTCTTTGTACATTTCTGGCGCCTTGTCTTCTGTTGCATCTATTACTTCTAGGGATGCTGGAGTCTGGTTGCGAGCAGTATCTAGTCCATGTAGCAAACTTTGGACTTGGAAACAGAGCTTTCGCTCAGCGACAAGGGAGAGCGCAATTTCATGCTTATATCGGCCATGAAAGCGATACAGAAACTTGATAAGTGTTCTGTGTAGATGACGGTTGGTCCGGGTCAAATCGTAAATGTCATTTTAGCGACAAAGACAGGAGGCGATGGTCCATAGGATCTCAGAATGTAGTTAGGCCAGCGCCATGGGAAATATGAGGGTTTCAATTCGGAAGTGTATGTGTGGGAAATAGGACTTCCAGTCCGCTCAGCTGTACTTGGGTGGATATAGTGAAGACCGCCCAAGTCCGGAACTCCGCCGGAAATCGGGGGATCCCCGTTTAATTTGGAGCAGCTATACGCCCAGGAACATAAATACCCCATTCATAATACTACTTAAATCGGTAGAGCTCGGTTAGTTAGTGCCGGTTGAACCGAACAAGTTCGTGACTAATAGAAAACCCCAGTTTTTCCCCACTGTGGAGTGCTGGTGAAAGGCGTTCTCTTTCTTATAACTGTTCTTCTTCAACACCTATAATGGCAAAGATATATCGAAATGGGTTCAACGGAGAAGGTACATGGCGTCCAGCCACATTCACCACCCGCATTGGGCAACTTGGTGCCCAACAATGAACATGAAACTGAACATGAACTCCCCGAAAAAAGAGTCAACGGGGGCCTTGATGCATGGCTAAACGTTCTTGCGGGCTTTTGCGTTTTTGTCAATTCTTGGTTGGTTTACATTGTTGCCATACTATTCTCATAGTAAGCTAATATTTCCTCCAGGGGCCTGTTAACGACCTATGGCGCTTTTCAAGAGTACTACCAGACAGTCCTTCTACCAAATGAGACACCATCCACAATCTCATGGGTGGGCAGTATCCAGGGCACTCTCATTCCATTAGTTGGTCTTGCTGCGGGACCATTAGTTGATGTCGGATACTTGCGCCCTCTTATTTTAGCCGGAAGTTTCCTGACTGTGTTCGGAATGATGATGACCAGTCTCGCCACTTCGTACTACCAGGTAAATCTAAAATCTAACATTGAAAAAGGAATTTCTGACTTCTGACGAGAATAGGTGTTGCTTGCACAAGGATTCTGCGTCGGAGTGGGAGGCGGCATTTCCTACATCCCAGCTCTCGTCGTGATCTCCTCGAGTTTCACCACAAAACGCCCAATCGCCATCGGATGCGCATCAATCGGGTCTAGCGTGGGGGCCGTCATTTTCCCTGTCATGTTCCGCCAGCTGCAGCCCAAGGTCGGGTTCCCATGGGCAGTCCGCAGCATCGGCTTCATCAGTCTATTCCTTGCGATTATAGCATGTGTAATCTTGTGCCGACAACCGGGCCAAAGGACCCATGCAAGAAGTCTTATTGATTGGAGTGCCTTCCGTGAACCATCTTTTATGATGTTTTCAGTCTCGCTGACGTGTGTCATGCTCGCCTACTACGTTCCCATTTTCTATGTCGCTTCCTATGCCCGCACGGTGGTGCATACCACGACCGATTTTAGCTTTTATATGGTTGCTATTGTCAACGGGACATCGGTCGTTGGCCGTGTTGTTCCGTATTTGCTTGTTTCGTATATCAAGCCCATTGGAATCCTAATATTCTCTGTGATGGCGTCAGCGATTGCTATGTTCACTTGGATTGCGGCTACCGAAATGGCTGGGTTTATTGTCTGGGCGTGCTACTGGGGATCTCTCAGTGGTGTTTTGGTTACAGCGCCGACTTCCATTGTGGCACATCCGATTTTCTGTCCAGACTCGAGCTTTTTGGGGACTCGTTTAGGCATGATGTGGGGTATATCGTCTTTCGGGGCGCTCGCTGGAACTCCCATTGCAGGTGCTTTGGTAAATCTTGAAACCGCTGAGTTTTTACATGCTCAGCTCTTTGCCGGATGCATGATGGTTGGGGCTGTCTTGTTGCAGATTTGGCCAACTATCAGGGTGGTTCGGTATGATCTGGAGCATCCTCGCAAAAAATGAGCAATCCATTGGGAATTGGAGGGCAGCATAAGTGGAATATGTAAATACGCTTCAAATCCAAATTTAATAGATTAATCTCATATTATAAATCGAAACTTTTGTTTCCTAAAGTTGCACATTTTACGTCACTACGCAGGTGTATAACTAGTTCTATATGATCTTACTTGGTCATTGACACAGTGGCACCTGATGAGCTGCTTTCTCTTCATCCTCAGATCATTTATGAGTATTGATTTTCAACACCACATCCCCAGCGACAAGACAAAATGCATTATCTTCAGACAATGGAAGTACAACTTCGCCCTCTAGCTGCCGCACATCAACAACAGGATATTTCTCACTCAAATCTTTAATGTTGTTGGGCGTAAACCTGTTGATATCATACCCCAGTGGCTCTTTCCTAGCCGTGGAAGATGGTTCATCCTCAAGGCCGAGGTACACTTCAATAGATTTGGTGATAATAAGATGAAAAGGTCTGTTGTATTTCACAAACCCATTGATCTGTTCTCCTTCGACCAGGTGAACGGTATTAATGGAAATATCCGATTGCGCCTTATTGTTTGAAAGTCGGCTTATTGCCGATGAAGGACCACATCTAGGTCGATCGTCCGACAGAGTAATAGACGAGGAGTCAATCGAAGAAATATGTCCTTCTGGGCTCTCCGACACAAGCTCCTGTATACCTATCGGTGTTCTCGAACCCGTTGAGGTAAGAATATTGCTTTCATTGGGTTGTGGATGAAGAGATAGCTTCCCCTGAGCTAGACCTAGTGAAACACTGTGCCGGAGACTTTCAATGAGACTTTTATTGAGTTTCTGCTGGAGAATTCTAAATTGTGGTAGATTCGGGAGTGTCCAGCCGGGATAGAGACGACCATGGGCTCTAGGGGTATGCATTCGTCCGTATAGTTGAATGGAAGTATTGCAGAGAAAGCATGCGTCTTTGCTTGAACTAACGACCCGTGGAAACAAATTTGGCGCTTTTATCTCGCAAAAGGCGATGATTTGGATTTCGGCGTGGATCTTGGGTGCTGAAAGAGCCTTTTGGGCTCCTTTATACCTAGCACGAGCAGCGTTTTCATCAACTTTCAAATTGTGGCACAATTGAGACAAATTGAGTTGCCCTTTGATAAACCCCAGCCTGGATAAACATGAAGATAGGTCAGAAATCTCGCTGGAATTTGTTTGACTTTCGAATGCCTTTTGGGGTAGGCTTGCCAGTTGAAGTTTCATATTCCGGACCAATGGAAACTCCTTTGCCATTCGATACAGTTGTCTAGCGGCTCCCCAGTATCTTGACACCTTTTTGATGATGTTCAATAAACTAGATCTTGAGGATGGATTCATATCGTGATTTGAGATAAGGTATAGCAAATCGTAAAAGCGTGGTGCTATTTGTTTCAAGTGATATATTCCTTCCACAAGATCACCCAGCTCATCTAGGGTTTGATGCCTCATCCATCGGTCAACGAGTTGTATGACCTTAGTTGCCTCTGAGATAAATGATGACGATGTAAGTGATAAGTCTTTGCTTTGAAGTTTCTGAGAGCCAATCCGTCCAATACCAAATATGGCCTCTTTTAGCAGCTCGTGAATGGGCCTCTTAGTTGCTTTCCGGTCGATTCGCAACCGGCATAGTATCCGCGGTGAGCACATTGAGATGATTGATGCAAAAATCTCGCCTTGGACTTCGGATTTATCTATAGCTTCTGAAAATTGTTAACGTTCATCCTTAGATGCAGATTCGTAGGGACTGACCATAGTTTGAATTATGAAGTACGTGGAAAACGACTTCAAAACTGCTCTTCAGCTTTTGTAGAAGGGTATCTCCATCAGCGTAGGTGCTTTTGTTGATTGCTAGGATGACATTCAAAATTGTTTCAGAACTTTGTTCTACGCAAACTGCAGGTATATGCTCCGACCCATCCTTAGTTTTCGCCAGGAATGCAAGAGCTTCGGTGAGCTCACGCTCTTTTAAAAAAGGCAAAACATAATTTTCTTGATCGACTAACGATTGGTCAATTGGATTTCGGACGACTGGTGCAGGAACCTGATGAAAGAAGGAGCTGAGAGCTATATGCTCTGCACACACTGCGGCGGGGGCTTGGCTTGTCTTAGCCATGAAATTCGACAATTAAAAAATAATGCCCTGGCCAGGGTAGAGAGTGTTAGAGGGATAGAAGAAAACTCTGGATTGATAAGTTGGCGGGAGACAACTGCATGTTTCTAAATACATAGAGCTTGCGCTTACATTCTTCTACGCACGATAAGATATAATCCTATTAGGCACATAGGGGGGATTAGGCCCGCCTAGACCCTGCAGCGTTTGTATCGCGGAAGCGCTGGTGAGGGGTCGAGATGCAAACTATCACACCGTACTTCCGGGCCAATGCCATGTCCTGAAATGAACGTTGGGTGAGTGAGGTGTGAGATGAGAACTTGAGATCGATGATTTTGATTTATCAAGCTTGATCTCGATAACTCAATAAGGAGTTGGCCGATGAGGATAGAGGATTTCCTACGTAGCTTTGAACATGGATCAGTCACTTTTTACAGGGGGCCGGCCAAGTGCATTTCTCCTCCGGCCTAAACAATTTCGAGGTAGAGACAGGGGCCCCTGGGGGCCTGCCTGGTGACTAACTTCTCATAAAGTATAGTGTTGATAGAGGCAACGTTGTGAGTGAGTGCATACAACATAGGAAGAGAAAAAAAGAGAGAGATGGGACAAACATGAGATACTTGCCTAGACAGGGAGCCCTGTTGTTTTAGTCATGGCATCCTCAGAAACAACACAGGCCAACCTTCATCGCGAGAGTGACTACCCACTTCATGAAATAAAATAATTGTATGCAATCCGTCATTGGAGAGCACCGCGATCTTATGGGGGCTGGGTGTCATACTGCGATCTCATACTAAACCCTTTTTTCCATAGGATCTTTACATACGTAATAACCCATGTATACAATATTTATTGCATTATATCTGTGATAATACACTCCATCTATATATAGAGGAAGTAAAAAGCGGTTGTTTGGAACAGTGCCATGAAGCTATAGATATAGCCTCATGGTGACAAAGAAACAAAGAGGTAAATAACTAGGCATCCGACAGACTGCCCAAGGAAGTAATTGCTTGGTATAACAATATTCAGGGCAATAATATTAATTTTCATGCTGCTCAAAGTCACGAATTCCACAGCGTTTACCCAATACCTTGGCACAAAAATGATAAAAAGAATCCGCGTGTAAAAGGTATTGCCCATCTGTATGTAGAGAGAAGCCTAAAACAAATATTGGAGATCAACACCACTACGCATGACGTCTTAACAAAAACAGGCTCAAGGCAGTACATGCTGTCGTTGCACGTGAGTACCTCAAGAGGTGGACCAATTACCAAGAGCGATGTATACTCATCATGACTTCATCCAGGGCCGTGGCAAGGATTAAGTCAAGGCTCATGGAACATATATAAATGAAATAAATTAATCAACTTCAGCTCCAATACCCACTATTTGTGTAAACAATCACAAACATTGTAGATATCTCTGAGCAGAATTTTCTCCACATATAAAACCGTGAGTGCAAATCCTTCCTAATACAATTATGCATTCTAACACCCACTCCTCTCGATATATTTATTACTTGAGATCGTTACAGCAACTAAAATAATTAATTTTTGCTAATTATATCACATACAGGTCCAACTAACTCCGATAGCAAAATGAGCAACAATAATAGCTCCAACGCCGGCGATTCCAGTGACCAACCCATTCCCGCCCACGATGTCGGCAGTGGAACAGGATGGGGCAACAGGCTCTGGCAAGGTGGCAAAAATGAGGGCCCGGGTCATGCAGATGTATGTATTACACTTAGTGTTGCGAAGACAGCTCCATAGCATATGTTGACCAGCACTCATTCTCACATTACAGGCTACCAATCCCAGATCAACAATGGGCGATTTCCTGTCTTTGAATGAACAGAAGACACAGGGACAAAATAAATACATCCAGCGTGAGAACTTGGTTGATTCTGATGTTAAACCTATGAATGCCGAGGGAGAGCCGACTTGTGCCATTGAAGATCATAGTTTCATGCGCCATAAGGCCGGTGATCCAGATACTTATCCTGGATGGAGTACATTGAGGAACTTCTTTGGCAGGTGAGTTCCCTCTTTTTCTCTTAAACGGTTTATAGAATGACCAATGCTAACTAGATACACTCTATTGTAGAGGATAAAGTGGGTTATCACCCCGGGTGAGATTAAGCTATTGATATAGTACTTACTATCGCCTAATTTCTATCTTAGTTCTAAATTGAAAATCAACCTACTGAACAGTTCTCAAAATGTAAAACTTTAAATCGTGATATAGTACATAACCAAATTTTTATATCAGTTTCGCGATATCACTCTAGAGAGATGATTTGGTCTGAAGCTTCTCAAGTTCACTCAACGCGCATCCAACCGCATCGACAGCCATTCCATATCCAGCCTGGAATCCCGTTCCACCAGCGCCATAGTTGTGAACAACGAGACCCTTTCGCTCTGAACCATCGACCTGCACGACTTCACTGGCAACACGGGCACCTCCCTCTCGTGATGGGCGCAAGCCTGCAAATGCTGCGAGGATCTCTGTATTTGGTGACTCGAGCTCCGGTAACATTGCCTTGGTGCGGGACAATATAGACTCAGTCTCCTCTCCAAGTGTATCAGGCAAGCTATAACAGTTAGTCCATGAAGCACATTGGAAAATAACAGAAAATGTTAGGATTCATTTGACTCACCCGACTCCCTTCTGCATATATCCTCCAAGAATGACATTACCCTTCGAGTGTGGTCGTGGGATAATGTATGTCTCATAATCCTTGCCGTGTCGCATCACATTCTGGTTGACGTGTGGTGCCTTGGCAAGCAGAATTTGGCCTCTGGTGGGGTAGCACTTGGGGTCCTCGACTCCCAGTAGGGTACGAGCAGCGTTACCAGTGCAGTTAAAGACAATCTTTGTATCCTTGCTGAGGAAGCCCGAGGTGACACCCGAGACCTTTTTGCGGATCACCCGCACTCCGTACTCCTTTGTGAGTCTTTGGAAAAGATAGCGGATGTGCATCGGGGCATTGAGGGTTACCGTGGTGAATTTGACACCACATGAAACGCCTTCTGGTAGATCCTGCTGAGCAATCTCTTTGTACTGTGGTTCTCTATATTAGCAGGCTGAACCGGAGCAGAGGAATCACCGCGTGGTAATTGACTTACATCCTTCAGATAACTAGCCATGGAATCGAGCTTTGTGCGCGACGGCATTTCATCCCAATACTCGGTAGAGGGTGTTTCCTGGACAAATGCCTTCAGGCTATCTTGCGCAGCAAGTTTGAGGAGGTGCTTGTAGCCAAGCTGATCCCATCGCAAGGCATTCTTATCGCTTGCGGAAAGGGCAGAGAAGTTTGCACCAGCCCTAGGCCGCGTTAGTATGGTTGAGGAAAAATAAGATAGCTCCAGCTAGCATGAAGAGTGAGCAGACTTACCAAGGCGAAGTATAGTTAATCGAAGTATCACCAGGGAGGTGCTCAGCTATGATAGTTGTTTGGCTAGCATAGCCTTGCTCAGCAAGAACTAGGGCAACATTCAGTCCAATGATGCCAGCACTTCAAACGAAGACTGTTAGTTCCAATCTGTGACATGGAAGGAAATTCTGTTTTCAAAGACATACCCAATGACAACCACAGATTCGTTCTTCATTGTGAATAGATTTCAGAAACTTAAAATGATTACAACTCAATCTACGTCGGGGGCCCTCTAATTTAAACAAAAACCTAATTTGAACAGAAATCAACCGGAATTTATCTGTTCCTAGGGAGACATCCACTTTGACTCATTTAATTTCATATTGCCCAGGTGCTTATCCCGTGTCTAGCATTCAATTTAGATGGGATTAACGAGTCAACGAACGCCTATCTCGGAGGCAATGATTGGAGGCCACTCCGATTGGCGGCATTCAATTGTGGGTCTGGGCGGTGTAGCTGGTGATTGGTGCCCGTGATTCTATCTCTTGGATTGGAAACATCTGTATATCTTGATAAAGGCCCTAGAGGCTGGAGATTAACACGTTAACAACCACATGGCACTGGGGAAAGTGGATATACTAAGAGTTCATATCTGGCAAATTTCCAAGGTTCGGGTTTATCATAATAGCCACATGGGTACCCACGCGGTGTCCTATTTGGGACAGTCGTTCGAGAGAAAATTTGAAGTTGAAACAAAAAAAGAGAAACAGGTTGCTATTGTTGAAAATTCTTGAGATGATTCTCCATAGTCATAAAAAAATTGAGATAAGAGGTCTACAAAAATGGAGACGTAAAAGTGCAAAGTAGACGTGACAATGAGTGGAAATTTGTGGAAGCTAAAACTGGAGTAGCTATCTATTCTAACAAATACCTACACTTTTACTGTAAGAAAAACAGCTGTAAAAAATAATATGTAAAATTGTATTCATTATATAGGCTATTTAATTGAACGACATCTATACTTCAGTATGTTTGCCATGATCAGCGACTTGTGTAACATGCTGCCCGTTCCCTTCAACGGGAACTCCCTCAAGTCCAGGGATGAGCAGATCATCCAAGTCACTCTTTCTGAAGCAAAAGTAGAACAGACATCCTGCCACGAATCCCACAATTGCGAGGGATCCATACATCCAAACAAGGTACGGATCTTCCGACACTGGGCTGAGACCAATACAGATCGCTGCCGCAATTCCGATCATAAGCCAGAAAAGGGCAGAAATAAAAGAACGCAGACTAAAGTAAGTCGTGGTTAGTTTGAGTTAGACGATACGATGGAGGGCGGTTGACTCACTTTTTCGGCGCATGTGTGAAGGCAAGTTCCAAACCAGTAACAATAACAAAGGCTTCAGAGAAGGCGACAAAGATATAGGCAGGGGCTTGGATCCACACGTGGATGCTCTTCTCGGGAGATTTGTAAATAAAGTGCTGTAGTACACTGGCGTAGATCATGGAGATCGAGACAAGAAGGAAACCAGCGAAGATACGACGGACTGGGCTAAAGTTGATCTTGAACTTGCGAAGGACAGGGTAAACACCCACTAGAGATATATTGGTCAGCAGATGATTTTCTTCAAGGGTATCATCATGTCAGTACTCACAGTCAAGAAGTGGGATGAAGATACACAAGGCGATCGGGTCAAGGTTTTGCAGGAGATCATTTGGTGTTCCATGCAACGCCATTTGACCAGCTTGCGAGATGAGATTGTTCCAAATCTGGACCCAGCAAACAAAGTAGAATGGGAAGAAGACAAACATCTGTAATTTGTGTAAGTATAATTCAGTGTGTAAATATGGAACTTCAACTTACTCTGCAGCTCATAAAACCTCGGCGGACGTCCGAGACGTACTCGTCGGTGTAGCGCGACGAAGATGCAAAAGGATACTTGCTTAAACGGCCTGAAGCCTCGAGAGATGATGGTTTTGCGCTCTCGAAATTCTTCTCCTGTCGGGCAATGTTCAAGACTTTGCATGCGTCGATAATAGCGGATCCCTGGGGAGGAGTCTTGACATATCGCTTCTGGCCGGACAAGAAGACGATACCTGAGAGAACGATCGCACTGGAAGAGATTAGCGGGTGTAACATACATTTCTCTTATCCCAACTCACATCAATGGGATCAAGTATGCAAGCCAGAAAGAGTGCTTTGCCTCAACATTGACCGTAATCAGGGGGGAGAGGGCGCCAACATTGACGACCCAGTAGAACCACATGAAAAGCCTCTGCACGGTCAATTCGGGATCCACAACCACACGCTCGCCTGATTTGAGTGTCTTCAAAACCGGCTCTGCGTTTTGGTATTGCTCAGCACACATGGGAGTCACGTTGGCCTTGATTCCACCTGTTCCCAGGCCAATGATGACCATTGCAGTGACCAAACCGCCGAAGCCAGCATCGCTGGCAAGGCCAGCTGGCGAGGCGGTGGCAACCAGGATGGTCAATCCGCAGATGTAAATTCCCAGAGAGATTGTGATGGCTTTGAATTTGCCGACATATTGATCTGGTGGACTGTTAGCAAAATTGCAGCAAGGCCCGAGAAGAATATGTATTACCTGCAACAATCGCGCCAATAATGGTGGAGGCATAAGCCCAAAATTTAAAGAAGTTTCCAAGCGCCGACGCGGTTGATTGTCCTCTACCTAGTGCGCCAGGGAGACCGGACGAAGGATCGTAGGGGTTACTAAAGAAAGAAAGAAGTCAGCCATCATTCCCAGGACACGGGCTCATTTTTGAAAGACTCAACGTACTTGATATAATTTTGCATAGGGCCGCTGAGGCCAAAATAAGTAAACCGTTCGCCAAGCTAATAGGTCGATGTTAGCGGACGAACTAGGGCATCAACACGTGGGCGGTGGGGTAGCATACTTCAACGACGAGAATAAGTAGTGCAATACGTGGGAACTTGTCAGGAATACGTCGGAGGCCAGCATGGGGACTATTCGCAGACTGGTCAAATTTCTCCAGTTCCTCTTCTGAGTTTCTTCGGTTATCGACTGAGACAGAATCCATCTTGGCGGAACAAGATGTAATTCTATAAAATAATGTGTAAAAGTGATATGTGAGAAAAAAATTAACACTTCTCTACTCCCATGTCAGATCAGAGGAAGGACGTTTTAATTTAACCAACTCGGTCAATGGAAGGTTCGACATCGGGAACGAATCCGGGGTGCATGGCCCACAGGGGACCCGCAGATAGGAACAACCCCCACTCGGATGCCTATCGCTTAGATCGGAGCCGATGATATGGCCGATGCCGCCAACCAGAGCCCGCCATTATATCCGCGGCATATCGATGGCTATGTGACTAAATTTATTAACACGGTCACATTTTTTGGGCTTTGATTAATTTTAAGACTTCGCTTAAGATTGGCCATTTACCGTCTTTTTTGGCCTTTACAATTCTTCTTTATCGCAAACCCAATTACCGCTTTGACACATAACAATGGCCAGTACACAGACACCAGTGGTAGAAGAGAAGAAGGGACGCTTGTCTATTCCAGATAAGCTCTTGAAGGGATTGGACCCTGAATGGGTAGAGCTATGGGAAAAGCATGGCAGCTCCATGGTGAGAGCCGACGAGCTATCTCTTGAAGAATACCGCAAAAGCCCTGCTACATACAGCTTCACCTACCCAACATGCCCTGGTAAGTCAGATTCATGAGCTTCAGTCTTGGAATTCGGGCCTCGAATAAGTACTGACAATGGTTAAGGTCCATTTGTTTTCCATGTTGAGGACATAGAGATCCCAGTCACTCAACCGGCTGGAAAGATCAAGATCAGAGTGTATACGCCAGAAGGGCCAGGGCCATTCCCTGTTCATTTGAATTTCCATGGAGGTACGCATATTATGGCACCGCGCTTACGCTCTCCGAGGTGCAATTTCTGACTTGAATTCCTCGATTCTAGGTGGTTGGGTCCTTGGCAATCTTAACTCTGAGGCTGCCTGGTGCCGACACATGTGCAACAAGGCCCAAATTAAAGTTATTGATGTCGACTACCGGCTGGCGCCGGAGTTTCCCTATCCCACCAGCATCTACGATTCATGGGATGCTGTGAAATGGGTAAGCGCGAGAGACCTAATTCCATTTGAGATATTCTTCATTAACAAATATTTGGACAGACTATTGCAAACGCTGCTAGTATCAATGTTGATCCATCAAGTGTCTCTATCGGAGGTCTCTCGGCTGGAGGTCAAATGACTGCAGTAATGTCGCATTTCGCTCGCGACGAGGGCATTGATTTGAAGCTTCAGTTGATTATCGTTCCGGCGACAGATATGCGCTACTGTCTAAGAACCCGGGAGCTGAATGAGACCACATGTCCCTATGAAAGTGTCTTGCTATACCATGATGCCCCTTGGGGACCACTAGGCAGAGAGCAATGGTTCCTGAAGTATTGGCTCGGCGATGATGACGGTAAGTCTTTTCTTCCTCTGTTCCCTTGGTGAAATTATCTGCATGCATGTACTAATGTCCTCCTAGCTACCCAAGAAAGAATCTTGACAAAGGAGTGGATCTGCACACCTGTACTTGCTCCTTCATTCAAAAACCTCGCAAAGGCACATATCATCACAGCAGAGTTCGATCTCGAGCGAGATGAAGGAGAGTATTATGGTCGGCTTATGCAAGAGGCTGGAAACGATGTCACAATGAAAAGATATCCCGGCGTGCCACATGCATTTGGGCATTTCAATCACCCCGAAAGGGGACTCTCGCAGAGCTTTGTGTATATTGAAGATACTAGTCGACTCCTCCGGAAGGTGCACTTTGGCAAGAGTGAAGAGTAATGGGGAGCACAATATGTATAAAAAATAGAAGAAACAAGAAGTATATTTAACTCAGTCTCTAGTTTACTTTTTGAGTAGAACATGATGTCTGGATATATATCTGACCTCGCTTTTCCTAAACTACTTTCGCCTATATATCTCCTATTTGTATCAACATTTTCTAAGAAGGCTCAATTCTATCGTTCCTACTCTTTAGTCAGTACACCGCTGTTTCTCTGAAATCCAGCGAAACCTTGGAAGCGTCTAGAAGGAAATTTATGACAAATTTATTTCCCGAGGTCGGCCCGGGATATGCGGGGACAAGGTTATCGGCACGATAACCCTAAAATTCTAATTCACGTTAGTCACAACCGCGGCCTGGGCATGAACTGGGGTTTCGTTAATTGGTATGAGTTTTTCTGTACGTAATTATTATGTATCTCAAACAAACCATAGGGCTTGGTTTGAGTAGCTGGTCGTTTACCCCACAAGTCAAGGATAGGACGCCGGATTGTGAAAGGGATAGACGACTTGGTCCAATTATTGACCAGTTGATCACAACACCAGCGGCGAAAACTTCAGAACTTGCACAGTCTCCGAGTGAGAGACCAATTGAGTCTCCAATATCCACGTGGCTGTTCAAATCTGTCAAGACGTCGAGAATTGCGAAGAATGGAATGAAAGGGGGAGGAGATCTGGCACAAACTGCGAGGGGCGGCAAACCAGAAGAGGAGAAATAACCATTGATATTGACAAAGGAAACTGGGTGGTAGTTGGGAATGAAGTATAGAAAAGTCGTCTACACAGCATGTATATGCTTTTTACCGCTTTTGAACATAAATCTGAAAAGATATCTAAAAGTGCCATGCATACATGGAAATATCCGAGTTTTCCTACATATAACATCACAAATATTATGTTAAGCGACATATACCTACGTTGTCGAAGATAGGATTGAATGCCAAGGTGTAATCTTTGGGCCCGGGGAATAAACCAGATTAGATAAGCCTTGAGGAACAGATATAGTCACGTGGGATGTGGGGCCGGCATCGGTCAAATGGACTGTAACCTGTATCGTCGTGGACATTGGACTCTCAGGGCTTAACGACTAATACATGTACTCATGACAATTTTTTTAATGCAAGGATGTCAGGCAGAGCTCGTAGGTACATGAGTAAGCGAAACCGTGCTTGTGACTCCTGTCGGGCCAGAAAGGCAGCTTGTCGTATTGATCAAGCACCTCCCTGTTATCTTTGCACACTTCATGGGAAAGAATGCACATTCCAACAACCTACCTCAAGGCCACGCCAAAATTACACCGAGGTGGCAAGCCCACATATCACCCAACAATCCGAGATAAACCCACGCTCAGAGCTGCATGAAGTTTCACCAGTTGGTGACTCAGTTCACTACGATATGCTGATGTCAATTGACGCTGATGGGGTAGATCATTCGGTTGCCGCTGCACCTGGTGAATTCCATGACTATTTTAATGGAACCGGAGTATCATTATCGGGTGGTTTTGGAGATGGCACATGGCCAACTGGGTTTAGTCCAGGGAGCTTTATCTATCCGTCCCCTGGGCTGCCAGGGACTGGCCATTCGGAGAATGGAGGAGGTTCTTCGCAGACTCCCTCCTTGCCATTGCTTATGCAGGAGACTGGATCATCCATTTGCCTTGATAACCAAGGTGTAATGACACCGCAATTGCTCGGCAGTAGTGGCGATATGGACCCTTTACTGATTAGTCGTTATCAATACGACGCATCTGGGGCTTTTCACTTCAAAAATCTCAACATCCAGTCCGTATCCTCAGGGACTGATACAACACAATTCTTACTGTCGAAGCCATCGATATTTGCCGCCAGCAGGGAGGAAAACGGATGCGATAACGTATCTTCTTTCGAATTGAGGCAGGAACTCGAGTCCTTGGTCCCGGCAGATATCGGTCTCAGACTCATCAACCTGTTTGAGAGGATCGTCGCGCTGGATTACCCAATACTTGGTCCACCAGGCCAACTAAATCCCAGCACCAGCCCGCCATACCTCCTTGCGAGCGTATACCTAATAGTCGAACCTTTCACTAAATTTGACGAAAGACTATGCATTGATCTCGCATATGATAAGCCATCAAGTGTGGCACTATACAAGATCATCAACAGAGCGCTTCCATATGAGATACATGCACCGAAGCTTTGTGTTGTACAGACAATGCTTCTTTTGGCCATTCGACCTTATCCAAACCCAATTGTATTGGATAGTGGCTTCAAATGGTCCCAGCTCGCCACTCTTATTGCTTGCGCTCACACCCTTGGGCTACATTTGGATCCAAAGTCATGGCGAATACCTCCATGGCAAGTTGCCCAGCGACGTTTTCTGTCTTATTTCATTTATTCGACGGACAAATGGCTTGCATTGAGTCTTGGTCGGCCACCTTTACTACATTATGACACCTGGCTCGTGACAACTCCTAGCCAAGAGGATCGTCCTGCCAGTGGACTTGACCCTCTAGCCTGGACGAATATCATGAAGCGAGCGGAACTCGACTCGCTGCTTGATCGTGTTCTAACCCAATTATAGTAAGTCAATATGCATGTCCGTTATCTCGCCGTTATCCGCAACTCACCAGTATTAGCTCTCCTCGTGCCATTAATACCATGTGTACCGATTACGAGAAGACCATCGCATTGACTGGTCCACTGCTTGAAGGTCTCTTCTCATGGCACAAACCGGTATCTGCATCATCGACCGATTTCAGGTCCTTAAATCAAGGCAGACCAAGCGGACTAGAGAGAACACTCGAGATGAACTACCATTATATCTATTTGAGTATTTGCAAAGCTATCTTGAGGCCGTTCCTTCAGCCAACTGCCGAAAACTTGAATGAAGCTGAATATATAATGGCACGCGAGCAGGCCCGGGTCCGAGCGGAAACTTGCATTTCAGCGGCAGCGGAATTTATTCACGAGCTGCGCCCAGAGGACCTCGAAGCTCTATGGCCGGCCTGGAGTGCGACTGCATTCTCGTCCATCTGTTTCCAAATCCTGAGCATGGCTGCCAGCTCCGTTGACCGAAGCGAGGCAGATAAATGGGTCACTTGTCTGCATAAAGTGCGCCGGGATATGCGCCTAAAGGCCGATGTTCTGCCTTGTCTCCATCTTGGCCTTCTGCGGATTGACTCGATATTTTGGAAGGGAATTGATAACGTGTTGCATTTGGAAGAGCATGTCCGACAAGCGTTTGCGTCGGGTTCAAGCATTGGTCGGCCTCATGGCGTAAAAGGTCCAGCCAAGTGATCATGCGTTGTATTGACATGTACATAACTATTAGATACCGAATACTGAACCTAGAGGCAGTTTCGTATGTACGTTTTCACAGGTGCGCCGATTGTAAAGCAGTTAGTGGCATCGGTCATTTTTGGCCTCAATGGGACAGGTCGTCATATTCCACTTGAGAATGACCAATAAAGAACTAAATTTAGGCTTTTTACAAGTCTCATATAGGACCTTTAAACCGCTATATTGTAATTGTAATTATTATATTCAGACATGAAACGAACTACTCCACTTTAGTAGCCTTGCCACGGAATCGATCACGAATAACCACCAATCTCCCTAATATCCGGCCTTTCAAGGTCTGGGCTCCAAGAGCGGCAGCCTCATCAAGAGAGACGACTCGTCGAACCAGGATGTTAAAGATAGTTCCGAAAGCAAGTGCAATCACGGTACTAGTGAGAATGATCACATTGTATGGCATACTGAAATCCGGGGTTGGGAGTTGTAGTAGCAGACTCGTAGAACGGATGTAGATCGGCGCATTGTGAGCCTTATCTAAGATCCGAATTACTGCAGGCGCAACGTTGAATCCTCGATTAGCATCCGGAGGGTACTCAGTGTACCGAAGAATGGCTTTCTCGAAATCGTAAGTCAACGTGACGGTTGATGCAGCGGGGACGGACAGCGCTAGTTCTAATTGGGTTCCACGCTCGCGATCAATCGCGGGCCGGTAGTACGTCTCTTTGACGATTTCAGAGACTGGGATCTCCTGCAAGACTCCATCGTGCCCTGTGATTGTTGCGCGCAAAGTATGTATATATGGTCGCAAGAACCACGGAAGAGACTCGAAGTAGATGAAATCGACTGCGCTGGTGTTGGATGGATTGCCAAAGATAATGCGCATTCCACCGCGCTCCTGGCCGTGTCCAACGATAGTTCGCTCCGCGTGCAAAACAGGCTCTTCCAACGGAACTTCAGTGTTCATTGGCTGCTGCGGAATTGAGAGATCAAAGGGAACCGATGGCGCCAATTTGAAACAGCGTGTGAACCCGTCCTCTTTCTTGATTTCTTCGGCCTCCTCGGATATGAAGACATCGCGTTCGTGGGGCACGCGAAGGCAGACACTTTGGTCGCTACCTTCATCGAAATCGGTAAGAGGACACACACCATTGAGGCTTCGCCCAAAGATTTCTGTAAGACTCCACGCCTTGTCGTTTGTGTTTTCCAGCGGATAGCAAGTGTCATCTGAATTATAAGGCTTAGAAGTGTCACAAACCAGCTGGTCATTAGGCACAGGCCGAGGAATTGGGTTCGCTAGATTCATATTAGCAATTTTGAGCCAGAGTGTACCGGTGAAAAATACGCACAACGAGAGCGCTTAGACCGGTCAATATCCAAGACCATGTCTACCGTTTGCTCGATCTGAACCACACATTCTCCGTCTGCAGAACAGACCGGCTGTATGTCCACTGACATGCTCTGCCATGCGGCATCGAACAATTTGTGCCCGTCAAATAGTGAGGAGATTCCAGCCTTGCCTTTGCAAGGAAGCAGCTTCAAGAAAGGAGTCAAATTCTCTGTGCAAACTACCTCTCCGGGGAGTGTTCCATGCAAAAGGTGGAGTTGATCGACAGCTGAGTGATCCCCAGCTGGCTCAAAAGAAACGACAGGTCGAGTGGTCCGGGTCGAGTCCACGAAGTTCAGGGAGGCGCAGAACAATCCAGAGAGGGACTGTGTCAGGGTGATCCATTTGGCAAAAGCCCTAAGCAAGTCAGCATTGTGTGTCTCTTATGATATATTTCGAATGATGAGCATACTCTTCGTCACCTGGAGCATCGATCCACGCCCAAAGCTCGACGCCGGTGCCTCCTTCTTTACTGCCGTTCCATGGTCGTGGGCCCCAGCTTTCGGCATCCCACCTTCCTGTGGTGAAGCGGAGGTGCAATTCTTTTGTATGAGCATGCTGAAGGATTTGGCCAAGGGCCCGAGGCAAATATTGAAAATGCTGTTGATCGAATGATTGTTGTGATGTATTGCTTCGGAAGTTAAAAGAAGCTAGTAAGGAGGACTGTGGGAGAGGTTGTAGGAGAAGGTGCTCGTGATAGTCCGATGACGCAAAGGCAAAGGATGTCCATAAAGAGAGAATAAGCGCGACAAAAGGCAGTGATAATAGTGAAAGGACCGTCATCACTGCATGCTTGCCGAAGCTCGGTCTTCGTCCATGCGGTTATCACGGGTCAATTGGTAGGGGTGTTGGCGAAACGATGGCATATATGTTGGTGGTGTCCCTACAAAATCAGACCTAGGTAATCACCAAGTCAATAGAAAAGCTCCACATCGAAAGAAAGATCAAAGCCAAACTCCAAAATCCGCGAGATGCCCATCTGGTCTGTTGACTGCGGAGCCTCACCGCCTTCCTTGGCGCCAAAAGCATCAAAAACGAAAGACTTCATCGTTTGCCGCCAATCAGTCCGTTGACACAATTTCGTATTTTCTTTCCTTTCCTGCCTACTGCATACACGACCAGCATGGCAGCAGAACAGAGAAAGCTGCTTGAGCAGCTCATGGGAGGTATGTTGCGCTTTTTGCGCCTCTCAAAATCTCCAAGCTCCAGCCCACCCCGACAAATCTGCAAATAGAGCTAACATTGCTTCCGTTTATAGCTGATCAGCTCATTGGAACTGGCGCACAGGGTCGCAATTCCCAGCTCGCAATCACAGACAACAAAGTTTGCCGATCCTACATTGTTGGCACTTGCCCGCACGACCTGTTCACCAACACCAAGCAAGACCTTGGTCCTTGCCCCAAGGTCCATAGCGAAGGCCTGAAAACGGAATATGAAACAGCATCCGCCTCGGAGAAAGCGAAATGGGGGTTCGAATTCGATTACATGCGCGACATGCAGAAGTACATTGACGACTGTGACCGCCGAATCGATACTGCGCAGCGCCGATTGGAAAAGACGCCAGATGAGATTCGGCAGACAAACGATCTGGTATGTCTAGACTTATTTCTATCTTCGATTCACATTGAGAGGGACTTCAAAGAGCTTCACTAACTTCCTATATAGCTCAAACAAATCGCCGATCTTTCCAACACAATCAACTCCGGTCTCCAAGAAGTCTCGATTCTCGGCGAGACAGGCTCCGTCGCACTAGCACTCAGTGAGATGCACAAAGTTCGCACCTCCAAGCACCAAAAGGAAAGCCTTGAGCGCGATCTGAAGAACCTCCAAGATACCTCTGGTCCATCCGGACACCAGAAGCTGCAAGTCTGTGATGTTTGCGGTGCTTACCTGTCTCGTCTTGACAACGACCGCCGGTTGGCGGATCACTTCTTCGGAAAGATGCACATGGGATACTCGGACATGCGCAAGAACTGCAAGAAGCTGAGCATCGAGCTGAAGGGCCGGGCTCCGCCAGTTCGTCACCATGAAGAAGATGATAACCCATATACCTCTGGCGGTCGCCCTGGTGCTGGTCGGGGCCGGTATGGTGGGGGTGGTGGTGGTGGCGGCGGTGGATATCGGCGCCGAGGAGGAGGTGGAAGATGGTGATTTTCGTTGTCTTCTCTCGATTCCTGAAGACTCGGGTGCTGGGCCCGTTGCATAGCGCAGGCGTTTTTACTTATTATCTCGTGTATGATGCTCAGATGACGGTTAGGGACGTCATAGGATAAGTGCTCAATATCCATTTCATTTTTCATCCTCTTTCTTGTCGATATACCACACCCTTAAACACTAAAATCTTGTACAGTATATTGAACTTTCCTCCCCCTGGTATGGTGGAATATCATGTTGATTACATATTTTCTACCGGTGTAATAATAGAAATAGAATACACCAAACTAGCATTAGAATAGTATCCAATGACTACACATGTACCGGATAATCACTGGTGCTCGAGATACCTTTCGCGCCATTGCTAAGTAGGTTGTAAGCCGAAGACAAACCCATCAACGGGAAAACCCAGATAAGCACCTAAGAGCCCGCGGCGCGTTCCCAAGAGCCCACTAGACAAGCTATTATGTTTGAAACAAATGTCCACTTTGAGCCAAACATAAGTCGAAATCCTAGGAACTCGAAACATTGCCCCCGGACCCTTAGCATTTCGGCCTAAAGTGATGCTATTGCAAAAGATATATATACATAGTCACTCCCTCCGAAAACTTAACCAAACACAAAGACCCCCTTTGAATATATCACAGTGAGTCCAGCCTTCAGTCACTCCTTGTTCTGCATTAACTGATCGCACTCCAGAATGTGTTGGATTCCAGAACACACTTAAGGGATGGACTGAGCACTCGGCCAATGATACTAGCACGAATCGGACCGAGATCGTCTTGATTTCTTCGGGAACATAGAAGTGCGAATATTGACAGTACGGCTGCACACGTTTGATAGTACCATGCATACACCGATAGAAAATTCTGCGTCTCAGTCGACTGAGATATACCAACAATGGCCACTCCCGTACTATAAGTTCGCCAATAGGCTCAAAAGTATGTCCCAGAGGCTCATGAGCTTGGTCGCCTAGTAGGAGGCTTGTACAGTGCTAGCTTGGGCGCCCGGAAGGGCACAGACCTGCAGCGTCGCTTCTGTCGATCCGAAAGAGAGTGGAAAGATTGTACGAATGTGTATGAAAATGGTAAAGACCCGTCCTTCCCTCGCCATTGCGCAGGTATATGATATAGCTCGGTGAGCATCAACCCCTCGGGTGACAACAGCTCGATGACCATATATCTTTCCACGGTGGATAACAATCTTCTTCGCGGCAAAATAGGATACAAAAGTGTTAGAGGGATTACAGTGTCTACAGTGAATAGTGGATAGTACTGGAAAAACTATATAGCTGCGTGAAGAGGGAAGAAACTATCTGCAGGAATGAGAATTAATGGCTAGGAGCAAATGAGTGGTCATATGACCTCTGACAAAAAGACCATCTTCCTTGCGAACTTACGGAGACTGCCAGTATTATTGTTTGTATGTTTCCTAGATTTGGGCGCGATGGATAATTTTCCTGAGGTGCGAACCAGCAACGTCGTAAAGATCGCGTAAAGCTTTACTAATAAATGCAGGAAATCATCTCCAAAATATTCTAGATAGTTGAATTTGAGACTCTCAAAGAATGCCATCTTGTTTCTCGAAAATGGCGTCCGATAGCTACGGAGTTCTTAGTCCTTCGAGTTGTCACTCAAAAAATCCGACGTATCTCAACGAAACTCCTGCAAGTGACAACTTGTTCGTTTTCATCGGAGTCATATCAAACCGGGCAAACTTCAAATGGAATATTCGATCTGATTTTGATGATCTTAAGTCATCAAACGCTAGGTCAGCTAATAAAACTTCCGACTGTTGGTTTGATTCGCCGATATCGTCAACGTGAATTCATCACCACACTTACCGGTATAGATCCTCAGTATACACTGTCAATTCTCCCGGCCCTTGAAAAAATTCGGCTTATCACCAATGAAGAGCTATATATATCAACGCAGCTCTGCAGCGAGCTCCAAAATCTTCACATTGATATAGAGAGCGTCCGACTACCAAGTAATAGTGTATATCCTACTTTGGTAGGCTATATCGAGTCGCTCCTACCAAAATTCCCTGTGTTTACCTATATATATGTACCTGATATAGGTAGTTTATGATACCACTGCCTCGATAAATCATTGAACCGAAGTTATATTAGAAATATACTCTGTATAGCTACACATATATACGAATGTAAAGTTTTGTTAGAGCATGGTTTCATTTTGCCTACAACGGGCCCAACAGGCCCTATGATATACCTACCGGCACAACAAAAACACTAGTAGAGACGGCTTCATTTTTGTGAGAAGAGAACCAGGAGACATAAATTTGAAAACATTTGGTGGTGGGTATTCCACTTTCCTAAAAAAAAAAACCATTTTCCCAGCCCTGGAGACTTCAGTCCGGAACACCAGACTAGCATTGCGCAGCCTTGTAAAAGGAAATACAAAATCGGATAAACTGTACAGGAAAAAATGGATATCATGGGTATGGCTCTATTACACACCCTGCTGGGGCACATGGCCGTTTGCTTGGGTCTCAAATAGAGCCTGCATCAAAGTGTCGTAATGAGCAGCGGCAGCAGGTTGGCGGACCAGAATGTCGCGAACGACACTTAGTTGCGCCATGTCTACATTAGGTGCTGTCTTCAGAAGTTGCTGAATGGCGGGAGCATCGACTTGTGGGCCGAGGACTTGTACCGCGGCGGGGAGGCCGGTCAAGACAGGCTGGTGTTGAGGGGTGGCCTGTACAGGGGCCTGCTGGCCGTACACTGTGGGAGTCGGGTTGAATCCACCGAAGTGGGAGGGAGTAGTTGGCGCAATTCCAGCGGTGAACTGAGGCTGCTGGGGAGTCACTGCTGCGACTGTGGGGCTCGCAGATACATGTGGCTCCTGGCTAGCCTGGTGAGATGGCGGTTGAACAGACGAAGGGTTGGATTCGCCAGTCTTGACGACGAAAATGGTCAAAAGTATACGTTGAGTAATAGGTCCCTCAAGTGAGATGTTTTCCAGCAGCTCAATGAACTCGGGCATCGTCGTAGTGCCGACCTCCATTGGGACAATGTAGGTGTCTTTGACGGCAGACAGTGGGTGCTTTCCAATGACGCCATAACGCCCACGACTATGGAAGTAGTCAAACATTTTGTCGAAGCCCGCTCGATCTGTAGGCTGATCAGGACTGCTTACTGCAATCACAGATACGTCGGTAGACTTGCTGAACTGAAGGCCACATAGATAATCGGTTGCCCGTCTGATATCGATACGGCCGTCAACAACCAACGTGGAGGGTGCAAGCTGGCTCCATGGAATTCGGCCACTCAGATCCGCGCCTCCCACATGCTTCGCGGACGAGGAGAACTCTCCGATGGGAGGCATCGTTACCTTGCCGCGCCAGATGGTCCCATCATCATCGAAGTCCTTGGGTGAATAAGGCGGTGAATAAGGTTCATCGTCGCGCAAGAGCTGATCGATCTCAGCATCTGCTTGGACCCTGCCACTAGGCAGTGGCTCGTAGATGGCGGGAGCCACTTCGGGGAAAACGTGGTCATGGTGGGCACCCTCAGGTGACAGACCCCGAGTATATCCATCTGTCTCTGTCTTTCCTTGCTGCGGTCCCATCGGGCTGGTCGGGCTTTTGTGGGCTGGACTGCCGTCATCGCCCACAGCGCGACGAAGTCCACGGGAGAAAACAGACTCATTCGCGCCATGGTGTTCATCCTCGATTAACTCTTCTCCTTTATGGGTGCGTCGAATCCGAGGACCTTGTTCCTGGACAATGGTGTGATGCCTGTCCGCTTCTCGTTTGATCTCGGCATCCTTCTGCTGTAGTTCTTTGCTGGCCATTTCCGCCGTTGTCATCTGAGACAGCAACTTAGGGGAGAGACTACCTATGAGCAGACGATCTCGCAGAGAAGCATTCTTCTTTACATTGAACATGATCGACCGTAATTGCGCCTTATATGATTCATTAGGCTCGCCTGACCGCCCGCAGATACTCTCATACATCGCATCCTCAATGGATAGAGCGAGTTGCTGTGCCATGTCCTCCACTGACTGATTCGCACCCAAGGTAAATGAGCCTGCTTTCAGGGCTGCAGTAATCTGGTCTACAAACAACTTGATGAGGTGTGTGGCCACACTCTTGCGAGCAGGCATCAGCTCCTCCAAGGCTCCAATGGCAGTTGCCTCGGGGGTAGGGTCTGTCTTAATTTTAGGTCCAGTCGCCTCTGGGATAGCTGCTGGGGTAGACTGTGGGGATACCCTTTGCTGTTTGACTTGTGGTCCCTGATGGATAAACAAGTTAGCATTTTGATTTCCATGGCTGAGTGAGGTAGAAGTACTTACATTTTCTGCCTCTACTGTCTCTTCGAGTTTCCGCTTGTTAGTGCTAGATCGCCGAGAATCAACAGCATGGCCATTTTTCTCTGGCTCGACCGAAACGGACACAGCGGACACTGCTGGTGCAGGAGAACCGGCAGGACCTGGTGTAATGGATGGCGCAGTACGAGCTGGTGTGCTAGCATCTGTCCGGCTCTCACTGGGTCTTCCTTTGCGGCCACCCTTCTTGCCCTTTTTCCGCTTGGACTTCTTCTCCTCGGCCTCTTGGCGACGTTTCTCAGCAAGCTCTTCCCAGGGTTTCTCACCCGCGTTGATCTTTGCCAAGAGGTTTGTGTGGTTCTCTGGTCGACATCGTTCGCAAAAGTATTGATCTGGTTCTTGGCCTTTCTGGAATGTGAGGCCCATGCAGTCGTTGTGCTGCCATGCTGAACATTGATCACAGCAGATCATATCGCGCTCCACATCCTCTTCCTCTTCATATTCACCGCAGATGCAACGGATGATCTCTTCTTCATCTGCCTCGCCTTCACTAGGGCCGGGTGTGGGTTCGACGGACAACTTCGCGCTCTTTTCTTTCGGGCTTTTGCTTTTGCCCTTTTTCGCGGGATCATCTGGTAGTTCGAGGTTTTTGTGCTGGCCTTTGGTAGCTCGACCGGAGCGTCTGGGTTCGTCTAATCTTGCTGTTAGCTTGTCTTTTGGTAAATGGCCCGCAACCCAGACTTGGGGTTGCCCTGCCACTCAAGTGATTGGATTGTGTGTAGCGATGGTGTACGAAAGCTTACCGGCCATGATAATGGTGATTCGGCGCGTACTACAGCGCGTGACAGGACAATAGGATGTCTCTTCACTTGCTCGAAAAATTCGGGTGTTACCCCAGGCTGACAAAGTCTCTACAGGCTCAAGGCGCTAATGTAATACACAAGAAGACGGCACACAAGTGTCACTCTCTAGCCCACAGTTTTGCTTGATCGAATAAAAAAAACCGATCTAGACTCTGCGTAATATTTCTTGGACTGACACGCACTTGCGAAAAACGCGCTCAAGCGGGTGTTATGGTGGACTGTGCAATCCCTTGCTGCGCGTCAAATCGACACTTGGCGCTAAGCGGGGTCGCGTGAGGTGATTTGAGCCCAAATCACACGCTTTGTAGTCAAAAATGGTACTAGAGGTTTTGAGCTGAGATTGAAGCAGTATTTCCTCGAAGATCAAGTGGCGAGAGAAATAACACCAAAGGAGGATGGTGAAAGATAGAAAAGAGATGCGATGCGATGTGAGGAGAGGAGAGATGAATAAGTGGCTTGGCGGCCGGCTTGCTTTGTCATTCACTGGCCGTATCTACCCTCACGTGATATTTGTCACCAGCCACAGGTTCGCGGCGAAATGCCCTGTGAATCTTAAGATTGAGCTTCTCCAGGTTCCCCACTCTTCATCACAGGCTCTTTTATTCCCACCAGTTTGATTCTGAACTTGTTCAACCTCTGATTTACCTCTTATATCTCTCATCCTATCAACTCCCTCCAACTTAGAGAATATGGCCGACGTCCGATCGCTACTTCGCAGCGAATTAGCTTCCCGCAAGGGCACATCTCAACCAAATGCGACAGCAAATCGGATCACTAAAAAGCGCAAGGTCGACAGTGGAGATGGAGTAATGCGAAAGAAGATACGCGCCGCTGAAGTAGACGCATTGCGGTCTACCTCTGTCGCACTAAGCACCGAAAATACTCCAAAGGAAGAAGGTTCGGGACAAGTCGAGGATGATGTCGCCGGCCCAGAATTTCCCGACAATGAACAACAAGAGACTGTTGAGCCAGCCGCAGACCTCGCAGAAGAACCAACTACGCAACCACCCCAAGATCCATCCACGCCTATTGACGAAGAAGCATGGGCAGCATTTGAACGCGAGGTCGCCGCGCAGTCTGATGAGCCCCATGCACCAGTCGCCGTTACAGCTGAGGCTACTATATCTGCAGCCCCAGTGACAGCTGCAGAACTCGCTGCGCAGCAAGAGAGATCCAAGGCATCCTCAGCCCGCACTCGTGAGACAGAGATGGAAGGAGAGCGAGAGGATGCCGCACGGCTGTTGGAGGAAGAGTTTGATGAGATGGATCAGTTGGAGGAGCGGGTGCGAAGACTCAAAGAAAAACGCGAGGAGCTGCGGAAAGCCCGTGCCGAAGGTCAAACACAGGACGAACCGATGGTATCTGGCGCAGTGGAGCAGGATGAGAGTGAGAGTGAAGATGATGACGACGAGGATTGGGATGATTGGAGATTTAAATGATTGAATCGATGGTGAAATGACGAATCGTCTAAGTGAAGGGAACTGATCTCCCTCATCTACAGTGATACCCTCAGGAATCGAATGGCATTGGTATAAGCAAATTGCCTCTTGATGTACAATATGAATTTTGCTGTCAGTATTTCGACAAGTGATATGTAATATTCAGTGACCAACTATTATTGACTCGGCTTCTGTTCCTCGTCTGCCACCTGATCAACATCCATGTAGCTCATTAGTCCGTCCTTGTTGACACGCATTGCTTGTTCAATCTCGGCCTCGCCTTCTCGGAGGAGATGCTTGCCACGGAGAAGATCTCCTCGCTGCCTCCGCTTCTCTTCCTCTACCCGCTTCTCCCGATCTGCAAGCGCTTTCTCGCGTTTCTCCCGTTCAACTCGTTTTCGGTCGACTTCTTCTAGCTCTTCTGCCGTCATCTGCACCTCCGGCGCCGGAGGCAGAGTAGATATGTATGCCTCAATCAACGGGTTCCGAACCTCGGGCGCGAGTCCGATATAACGAATATCAGTGATGATCATGGTGGGCAGAGCTTCCAAGTTCGACGACCGATGCAGCAAGTCCAGAGGAACAGATTTGAGTAGGGCTGACAGATCTGACTTGCGAGTGCTTTCAGGTTGCTTGAGACGCGAGATATGTTCCCTATAGAACTTCTCGCGTTCTTTGTCTCCAAGTTGAGAGTCCTTCATTTCAGGCTCTTTCCTAAATTTGCGCTTGAACTCCGGCCAGTAAAGCTTCGGAGTGGCATGTTCTTGCAAAAATGCCAGATATCTAATGCGCGGGTCGGTCTTCTCCTGCTTCGCTTTCTGCTCTTTGACATCTTGGATTCGGTCCCGGGTCCAATTGGAAAAGATCTCTCGTCGTGCCTTCATGTTCGAGGGTGCGGTATACCGAGTATCTTCAATAATGCGGCCTTCTTCGATGACCTTTTCCCATGTCGTGAATGGGTTGATTCGGAAGTCATCCAGCAAGTCGCGGAAGAGAGCCTCAGCATCGGCTTCTGTAAGCGGCAGGCCCTCTGCACCCTCTTCCCAATCTTCTTCTCCAACCTCACCATATTCCCCAGGATCTAGTCCATATTCTTCGCCCATGGCTGCTAGTTGGTATGCCATGTCTTCTTCGTTGAACTCTAGCGGTTGGTCCTTGGCACCCTCACTTTCAGCTCGTGCACGCTTTGACGGTTGGCCCTCTTCTCCCTCGCTATCTGTAACCTCGACCTCTTCCCAGTCGTCGTCATAGTCTGTATGTCCCGTTTCTTGCACTGCCAGCTGGGGCTGTATGCGACCATCATGTGGTGCAGGTGACTCCGTTTTGGCTGGCATCTCGGGCTCGCCCCGTTCTTTTCTTTCCTTCTTCTCCCGCTCGAGGCGATCAAATTCAACCACACCCTTCAAAACTTGCTCTGGAAATTTCCAAAAGCTTTCGTTTGTCTCCGGATTGTGCACAAATCTCCTCCCAAGCTTGGTCTTTACTAGTAACCACGGAGCGCAGTCAGGAATAGCATGCTTCGATTTTGGTCGATCTTCGGGTTCTCTCCGTCCACGATCATGATAACCTCTCCCACCGCGGAATCCTCCACGGCCGCGGGAGGTTTGTGGTGGGCCAGCTGGCCCAGAGCCAAACGCTGTGGGTGGTCCATATGGTGTTGAAGAAAATGGTGGTAGCGTCTCAGGATTGTATGTTGCTTCTGAGATGTCGGGAGCGGCCTGAATGGGTTGAGGAGCTGTTTCTTGAGGGCGGGTATATGTCGATTGTTTTGTTGAAGAATTATAATAGTACAGATGACCTGGCTTAATAGTTAGAACGGCCAAAACTTTTTCACTCGAACCCTGCGCAAGACTAACCTGTGGGGGCTCGATGCTGTGTCCACCCCGAGGGCAAAGGGGGAGGAGCGGTGTATGTTGATCTAAGCATGGCAATCGAGAGGAATCAATATAAGTGCAAAGTAATGGGAAAATTGGTCTTGTAGTCCGTCCTTGCGGGTCAAATTGGTGAAATCGTCGCAAGGAAGCTTTGATGTGGTGAAGTGGTCCGAGCTTGGCGGATGACAGAGGACGCGCCAGGGCGAGTTGCCTGGAGCTTCTACGTCCTCACCACTGACCTTCACCATCCCGAACCACCTGCCTTGCACAATCAACCCTCGCCTTTAGACCACTTCTGAGTTTTTGTTGCTTTATCTTATTCATACACGATGTCTCGGAGATACGATTCGAGGGTTTGTGCTCACCGTCATTCCTTTTGTGCAGCTCCAGCTAACCTATGACGCTGTTGGAAAGACCACCATCTTCTCCCCAGAAGGTCGACTCTACCAGGTTGAGTATGCACTTGAGGCTATTTCTCATGCCGGCACAGCCCTTGGTATCTTAGCCAAGGATGGAATTGTCCTCGCTGCTGAGAGGAAGGTGACCAGCAAGCTGTTGGAGCAGGATACCTCTGCTGAGAAGCTCTACACAATCAACGAGTACGCCGTCCCCCTTTTGTCTCGAACCAAATAGCTAGATTTATCGTGTTTAGTGTTGGGATAAGTAGCTAATATTTTCCAGTAACATGATTTGCGCCGTTGCGGGTATGAACGCCGATGCGAACATTCTGATCAACTATGCTCGCCAGAACGCCCAACGCTATCTCCTCACGTACAACGAAGATATTCCATGCGAACAGCTTGTACGCCGGCTGTGTGATCTGAAGCAAGGATATACCCAACACGGAGGTCTCCGTCCGTTCGGTGTCTCTTTCATCTACGCTGGGTATGACCACCTCCGTCAGTTCCAGTTGTACCAAAGCAACCCCAGTGGAAATTATGGAGGCTGGAAAGCGACGAGTGTTGGCGCAAACAACGCAAGCGCGCAGAGTCTCCTCAAGCAAGATTACAAGGAGGACTGCGATCTGAAGGAGGCATGTGCTATGGCTGTCAAGGTGCTGAGCAAGACTATGGACTCCACAAAGCTGAGCAGTGAGAAGAGTGAGTTTCTTGGGTATCGCTTTCGCATTTTGTTTCATCATACTAATATATCTACCTTGCGCAGTCGAGTTCGCAACGGTGGGCAAGACAAAGGATGGCAAGATCTACCACCACCTATGGACCGCGGATGAGATTGATTCCCTTCTCCGGGAACAAGGGCTGGCCAAGGTCGATGATGAGCCTGAGGCTGGTGACATAAAATAGATTAAATCCTCTTGTTCTTTTTCCGTTTCAGATACTCGAATCCAATACTTTGACCATAATCAGCCGGTTGCAATATCCTAGCACCACCTCGTGTCCAAACAAAACATCGGTCTTTAGTTTGTCGCGTGCGCTTTTGTTTATGGCTGCATCTGGTGTTGTTCTCTTGTGACGTGGCATGCACATCGGCCCAGTCTCAGCGCTCTCCTTCAATTTTGCCTTCCAATTTGACACTGTTTGCCTTGAAGATGTTGAAGCAGATAGGTACACGTAGGCTGAAGAGACATGGGTGCTGCTTAGGGTCATGCATGCTCTAGCCAGCACAAGTAAATTCTCCGATTATAGTGCCATGCTATATAGTTCCCAGCACGCCGTTCTGTGGCCTTCAGTTCAATATCTCTTCCCTTTTCTTTTCTTTTCTTTTCTTTATCTTTTTTCTCAACGTCGCCAACACCTACCAAACCTGTCACTATTTTACTTAGATTGCCCCGAACAATCATCTTAGATCTGCATTTAAGATTTGCAATGTTGGAGTTGCCCACCTGTGGACGGGTATAGAGCAAGGGAAGTGGACCTCCACCTAGCCCACTTAGCCCTGAATCCTTCTCCTCACAACACTACCATTCAGCAGAACCGCTTCCACTTTTCTTCACCCCTTTCTTTGGACCTTACACAAGATCCATCTTCTTTGTGATAGGTCTCATCTTATTAGGTTATCTAAGCATGAGACAATCACGTGCGGGGATGTGATGAGGGGCATTTTGTTCCACGCTACTTTGTATGTGCTCTCGCTCCGACACCAGACACCCACTACTCTTGTTTCAAAGAAAATCTCGATTCTGAATGGCCATTTGATGTTCGTCAGGCCTCAATTGCTTTTTTGTCTGGTTGCAGCAGGTGCGACTCCTTGTACTGTGAGACTCGCTCTGTCTCAGCGAACCGCTCACCCAGGAAACAGGGCGCTTATGACATGGCTAGTCCCTATTGACATTTTTTTAGGAGCTTAACAGCCTATGAACGGAAAACAATATGGAGTCTGAAACAATTAAATTTTTCGTCAATCTTTTCAATGGCGATATGGTTCTCCCATCACCTTGCAGAAACTCGTTTTGGACTTGATGTCACGGACAAAATGGTGAAACATGAAACTCGCTGCAAATCCCCCTAAATAAACAGTGACAGGCAACAAAAAAAAAAACGACAGGACAATTGGCCACCAAGAACCTGAAACAAGTCAACATAATTGCTGTTCACTTGTCTAACAAAAAAAAGAAAGAAAAAAAAGGCCAAAGGAACACCGGTTTTGCAAATCCAAGCCAATCCTATCTTAGGAGAGTGCTCCTTCGGTCGTCCCGCTCCCGTTGCAGGGAGCGGATCTCTTTCTCCAAGTCCATGATGAGCTTGTGAGACCGATCCATTGAAGCCACGAGTGTGGCACCCTCTCGCTTCCACCGGTCCAAACGGTCGACTTCGGCACTACGCCGGCGATATTTGGTTTCGATTTTTTCGCAGAGACGACAGTTGGTCTTCTCGTTCTCGGTTGTGTTGACAAGTCTCATACCGCATGTTTCGCCGGTGCGATATTCATAGTTGCATCGGTGAGCAAAGCTGGTCCAGCTCCAGTCTCCACACGCATATCTCTTTTGATTGTAAAAGCACATGCCTATCAGATCTGTCAATGCTGCTCAATCTGCAAGTACGACATAACCCACTTGCTCACGGCTCTCCGTCTTTGTTTCAGCTTGAATGCTGGGTTGCTATTGGTTGCAGCTGACAGTACTCCCGCACTTCTCGAATTTGATAGGCCGGCTTTTGTTTGAGCTTTTGAAGGATGCGGAAAGCTCAAGAAAGTTGAAACAGATTTCAAATGAATCGTTTTTATGAAGAAGATCTATTGGTCTGGCTTGAATATCAGACTCGAATTATGAAACCGGAGGGATGATTGAGCACTTCACGGCATCTTGGGGGCGTTGACAGGCTTATTTATGTTTCGGACGAGGTTTCTATGCTACGGCTTTATTCTCCCATGTTTGCTTCGTCCCACTGTCGATCGACGTTTGTCAGTGCCCGATGGCTTATCATCCGTGGTTCCAGTCCATGGATTTCACATCGCACCTGCCTGACGGTTGATCCGGTTGGCTGTGAGCAGTTCTCCAAGGCAGTGGAGACGGTATGATGGCCATGGTATCTCGAATGGAGCCACTATGAACAACCGGTTGCTTCATGGATGCATGCAACCCTCAGCCGTGGCGATTCCCTCCTCATGGTGATGATGTACGATGCGCCGAAAATCCCTCAATTCATGGCTGCAATTCTCTACTTTCTAGATTCGACTACTGCAATTATGCCGTCGCCATCTGCCTCTCCCCGCTTTCAGGTGGATGCTGTTCGCATGGACTCGCACTCTTGTGATTCTCTTGCGTTTTGCATGGTTGATCCTGCATGACCGAGTCGGTCTCGGCACTTGCTAGCTGTCGTATTGATGCAATAATCAGGCTTTCATGCCCAGGGATAACCCTGCCTCTATGCAAGAGAAAAGCTACTGCCTTCGCGAATGTGATGGGACTCTGCACGCCACTTGTGACTCCACCACAATGGGTTGTTCTATCTTGATGCGATTTTTCAACAGCTGCAATTATTGATTGGCTCAATGCCTCATCTATCATAAGCACTGACACGGGATTCTGACCGAACGCCATGTTTTATCCACAGAAGTATCTATCCGATACTGCTGTCTGTGTGATTGCATACGCATGCGCATCCCGATTTATTGCCTTCACTCCTCTTCATGGCTCTTACGTCTCCTGCATTTAGGCAATAATGGACATCCATATTGGGTCTCAGCATGTGGTTGCAACCATCGACCCCTGTCGTCTTGTGTTATTCTTGTCGAGTCTTGCTCGCCAGTGTATCAAAATTTAGACTCAACCGTCGTTCCACCCCGGCCGCACCTTTCCGGTCCGTGGTTTTCGGCCAATAGCTTTCACTTAAGTGGCAATGCTAGGGTCTCTGAGGCTCTATCATTGGCACCATATTTCAAGGACACGGACCACACAATTGAAATTTCGTGTGCCAGACCCCAAAAATTAGGGATGCAGGCCAGATAGATCCATTTTCGTTCAGCTGATCTCTCACTCCTGCAAAGAGGGATCCTGCATCTGCCCCCGCTCATGTGTGTGTTCATCATCATCCACTCGCATCGCACTTGTTGGCGGAAATGATAGGATCGGATTGATGTACGGCGCTCGCCGCAGACACGAACCGTGACACCGTCCACATATTGCTGAACCATATGCAGCTGCACCAAAGCTCAGAGACTCTGACGTGGCACGTTGCTTCTGGCTCTCTGCGTCAATTCCGGGTAGCAAGGGCTGAGTCGATGGCCGTGGGTCGCCGTTTAGGGATTCTATGCAAGCTCCACCGGGGACCCAGATACCATTCACGTTATTGGCAATGACGAAAGATGACAGCCAATATTGAATGGAAAATCCTGCAGACTTCTGTGCTTGCCGCCTTCCCCGATTGTTCTGGGCAATTCACCAATACGACGAGCGATCGTCGGGCAATGCCGCTCAATCACGCCCAGAATCGGACCCGGGAAGATGATCCATGACAATATGTTGAGTTGGCAACTGGCATCCCTGATGATGGCTCACAGTCTCAAAATGGCCGTCACACTCGGTGGATCTATCCTTTGCTGCGGCGAGCTGGTTGCATCCAGCCCCAAAAAACTCTCGAATCAACTTCTGAAGCCCCCCTGCTCTTTTGCCTCTCGCTCCGTCTTACCACCGAAAGCCGCTCGCCCATCCTTGGGGTGCCAATATTTCTCCTGGCAAGGATCAGGCCGAGGGCGTAGGAAAGCATGGTTGTTGTTTCTGCCCAACAGGCGAAGTTACCGGATGAAATACTAGAGCATTTTTGATCTGGTTAGGGTTACCGCACGTCAATTTTGAGTGCTATCAACCGGGGAAGCCCGCGCCTCAACGTTGAAATTGAATTCCAGGACCCGCATACAGGCTCCCACAGCGCCGGGCTCTTCTGATCCCGTGATCTAAAAGTGAACGGAGGCTCCCGCACCTTACACACGCCTGCCTTTGACCGGCGACAAATCGTTGACGGTAACCTTACCTTCGGTGTTGGACAGCTAAAAGCCCACTGCCTACATTTTCTCAGGCGTACGGGGATTGGTCGACCGGTCAACTTATCCTTTCCTGCAGCCGGTCCAATCGTCCAATGGCAACCGTCAGCCGGGATGTCAGTTGCATGCAACTAACGAGACCTTTCCCCACCCTTCCTGCACCGAAGAGGTATGTGCATCTCATCAGCACTCGCCTGGGGTGAGGCCTAGGCCTGCTTCTCATTGGTAGATCGTGCCTTCTCTCTGAGTGGGCCCTCTCATTTGCGTGTTCCCAGTTATCACTCCTCGCATGTCTAGATGCTCCACCTGCGGCACACATCGTCAACACAGCACCGAATCACGTTCTAGGGGTATTCTTTTTATTTTTATTTTATTTTTATTTTTTTGGCATCATCTAACATTATCCATGTTGGGTGTAGTGTCTAAGAAGCCTTTCTATCTCGTAATTCATTGCTAATTGACCAATCACGAATGGCGTTTCTCCAAATAACCTGGTGATTTTGGGCACGCTGCTCAACCCCCATGCTCGGTGGCGGCGCCGGCGGCATCTTTGCCTATTACCAGTACGTCGGAAATGAGCAACGTTAACTTGGCACGCGTCATTTGGCGACGGTTTCTGGCGGGCCGCCAGCCCGCCAGCCGTCGGGATATGACCTAGATCTGCATAGTGTGGCGGTCGCCGATGCGATCAGAATCCCGCAAGAGTGTCCAGACATGGTGGGACTAACTAGGAGACCAAAAGGACGTTCGTGGCGCAGGACGGAGTTCCAAAAGCGGGTTCAGTATTGTGTGCAGTGTTGGTCACCACTCCTTTTACCGCAAGTCGCATATTGGACCCTATCACTGGACTAATTGACCCCTCCCTGGTTCACGAAAACTAGAAGCCGTAACAGCCGAGCCCCAAGGAGTTACTAAATCAGACATAAATAGCACGATTAGGGAACCTTTCCTTTCTTTCCCGAATTAATACCTGCGCTTTAGCCACATATGATAGATTAAGGACGTGGCACATATTCTGCGAATCACGATGTATGTTCGAGTGAAACAATATATCAAAGCAACGAAAATTAGTAGCGAGAACTCCTAAGGGCCCTTTGACCCCATTTGTATGAACCCTCTTAGGGCAAGCTTATTACCAGATTAGGTTAGCCTGACTGTTTCTTACCAAACCAGTTAGTGACGTCAACATGATCCTAGGTCTATAGAACTTGGAACACATGGAAGAATGAAAAACTTCTTTTCAATGATTTCCTCTCAAGGTAACAGCAATTCTTTTTTTAACAACTTGCTACTCTCCAATTGATTGCATCTTAAAACCTCGATACTCAACTCCATCCTCAACGATATATTTCTACAAGCCACTTTGATCCGCGCCTAAAATCACCTTCATATATCCATATCCACATCTCGCATAATGTGGAAAACCATCATCTCAGCCGGCCAACAAGCCACCCTCGCTACTAGAAACCAGGTCTCAAAAGCCACTCCTAAATCACTCGCCACCCCAACAGCAACAAGGACGCCCTTCAGCACAACCCCACTCTGCCAGATCGAAAGGGGCCAGGGTTCACTTGAGCGTGAAACTTTGAACCCGGAGCGCTCCGAGACTGCCAAATCTGGCACGGATGGCGAGGTCGCCAAGCACCCTTCTGCATTCGATCCAAAGAACACAGCACCTGAGACCGAGCTCGCGGCCACTGAAGAGGAAAGCAGGCAAGAAGGCAAGAAGGAGAGTCCTCTAAATATGAGCCCCGCCAATAGGGATGCTAGTGCTTGGAGGCGCCAGGCTGAGGACGGGCCTGATCGGAATCAGGATCGTGGGGCTTCTAGCGCTCGTGGGGCGACGAAGAAGGGCCGTGGTATTCATGTGAAGGAAGATGGGACTCATGTTTCGTACCGGGATTGAATGTTTTCCTCTGTTTATAGTATCATGGGCGATAAATGATAATGTTATGTAGGAAGTCTAGCATTTCCAAATTCATGTTATATCGAGTCTCGATTAATGCTATCAAGTAGGTAATTTGACCATAGCCGCGTAACGTCATGAATCCAAAACATATTAAGAAGTACGTATGTAATTAAAGACATAGCTCATTCCAACGCACTGAGCACGTTTAAGACGAACTTTCCTTCCCGTATTTGATAATATCACTGCCAAACAAGGTCCAGACTTTCTCACTGCCCTGAGGAACATCTCCTTCCAGCGCCTTGAGACCAGCATTGACGGCAGCTCTGCCAATAACATCCGCCTCCTGAGCCCAGCTATCCTTCAGACCGGAGTGCAGCTTGCCAACCCAGTTCGCAACGAACCGCATTCCAGCCTCGAGCGGCCGACTTTCCTCACGAGTACCAGCAATCAGCCCAGGGCGCAGGATAACCATGTGCTCAAAGCCAAGCTTCTTGATATCCTCCTCAATCTCACCCTTCATGCGGGTGTAGGCAATGTTGGAGTCCTTGTTGGCACCGGTAGATGAGATCAGCACGTAGACCTTAGTGCCAGCTTCGCGCGCGGCCTTGGCCAGCTCGACGTTCAGCCCATGCTCGATTTTGTATTGGTTATCGAACCCGCCTGCGGCTGCTTTCGTGGTTGCGAAGGCAGAGATGAAGATGCTAGGGGTCGGCGCTAGGGAAGAGAGCTTGCCTGCCCAGGTGGCGGTATCGGTAGAGACGAAGTTGGTAAGTTTGGCTGGGGGCGTGCCGCTAGCAGCTGGCGGAGGGCGGCGGGAGATGGTGTCCACGCGGGTTACCGCGGGATTGGAAAGAAGGCTGGTGAGGATATGGGAGCCCTATCGGTTATGCAACTTAGCTCAAGTTCTAGGGTATCTTTGGGAAGTTTCCAGATTGAGTAGATTGAGGAGCTTTGTTTGTAGGATGTGCACTTACCACCATACCCGTACCTCCGATCAATGCGACATTCACCATGTTTGTGTATAGGGGGTTGTAATTAAAATAGATATCTGTTTTCATACAGCATGAGATACCAAGAAGGGAGCGCAGTACCGAGGTCTTGGAGGTTTGAATGTACAAAGTAGCCAGTGCCTTTCGTCATCCCGAGGTTGAGCTAAACTGGATTGGGTAAGCTCGACTTTGGCTATCGACACAACAATGTACAATCCACTACGGAGTAGAGGAACCATAGCTAATAGTATTTACTATATAATTTCGAAAAATACCTTGATCTTCAAAGCATAAAACATCATGAGATACATACACGTTTGGAGTGTGTTGTATAGATATGTGTGGGCGGTGGAGATACCAAAAACCCCAAATTGTGTTTTTCTTTTTTTTCCAATCATCCTCACTTCCCTTCAAGGCGTCTGGCGCTGAGACTTTTAGCCTTCAAAATGTCATTCCTTTCATTGCCATTCGAAATTATAAGAATGATTGCATTCGAGCTGCCATGTGATGCAGATGTACTCGACTTGATTTGCACCAATAGGCTGCTTCATGACCTCCTGATTCGTGATCTTTATAAGCGAAATCTTGATACAGACCCACGAGGATTTGCCTTATATTGGTGTGTCTCGAGTTGTGCTATGAAAGGGATGAAGCACCTATTATCCTGGAAAGCAGATTTGAACAGAACCTTGTTCTTGAAGGAAGAAAAAAACGGCCAAATAACAAAATCTCAGGAAAGTTCGGCTCTATGCTTGGCAGTCGAGAGTGACAACTTGTTGATGGCGGATTTCCTTTTGAAACATGGAGCCGATGTGAATGCGGAGTTCAAAACCCTGAGCATGGGTGAATGGTCCCCAGCACTACCTACCGTCACTCCCTTGGATTTGGCCGTAGGGCGAGGTAACAGTGTTATGACTCTGTTACTTCTTCAAAATGGCGCGAAGATGAGAGATGGAATTACTCTATCTCGTGCTATAGAACATGGGGCCATACTGGCTTGGATAAACACCGAATCTCCCGGGTATTGGGATGACGACGGGTTCGAAGCACCCGGAGTAGCCCCCAAATATGATTTCCGGACTGTGGTTGAGGTGCTGAATTTGTATGGCGCCGATATAAATCAAGACTGTCTTCTTCACTATGCAGTAGAGTGTTATGGGTCTCTTGATGATGGTGTCATCGAGCATCTCCTGTTTCTTGGCGCCAACGTGCACGCGAAGGATTCGAGTGGGTTTTCAGTCATATCTTATGCTTTCGAGGCCGAAGAAAATACCACTCAACGAATTAAAGCCTTTGTGGAATTGCTTCAACTTTACGGAGCTAAAGTTGACCCCGAAGAACTCCATGGTCCGCTTCAAAACGCCATACTTAGCAGAGACCTTGAATATCTTGAATTAGTACTAGATTACGGAGCAGACGTGAACTTCTTGTATGACGGAGGAACTTATCTACATCTCGCAATCACACATCTAGCTTATGATGTGGATGATACGATACAAGAAAAATTCGTCAAAGCGCTCCTAAACCGAGGAGCCGACGTCCTTTTGAGGAACACCGAATCGAAAACGCCATTGGAGCTCGCAATGTCGTTTTCATGGAAAAAAAACATAGCGAAGCTCCTCCTCGATGCGGGCGCCAAAGTCCAATGTCAAGGCAAAGAAGGAACTCGGCTTTTGAATTGCCTCATAGTGGATGACCTAGCTGGCCGCTTTTACCCAGATACCAACCGATTGCAGTACTACTTGGAGGCAATGGAAACAGATCCGTCTGAATTCGAGTCTCATCATGACTTCAGTGATGTGGATGATATGATCGGGTTGCTTCTTGAATACGGTGCCCGTCCAGACTACGTGGATGACTCTGGCCAGTGTCCTCTTGACCAACAAGGTGCTAAACTATTTTCTGCTCTACACCCGTGGCTCTCTAAAAGGAAGGGCGCATGATGCAGTTTTGTTTTGATCTATTGACCAAGTACATTTCTACGTAATCTTTTAGGAGCTGAGCAGTCTGGAGACATCGCATCGATTTATGTATAATTAAATAACAAGCACCGGCTCAGCCGAACAATTTACTTCGAGAATCAACTGCCTAATAACCTCGCTTTACTCATAACTATCTCAAGTATCCGAGGTCTCGATCAAAAGCCCCTCCAGGCTCATATTGGATGAAATATAATTGCAACTTCTAGATCTTGAAATTGACGGATAATCCGGTTTGATTGAATGTTAATTTGAACAGTCCATTTAGATCGCACGGGAGACTATCTCAATATTCTCATAGTCATGATATACTCTGTTAGTCATGAAACTGTCTGAACTTGATACTTTGTAAGGTGCAAGATATTCTCTCCAGAGAGGTATCGCCATTTCGAAGTGTGATGTTTCATGGAGATACAAGGTTCCTCTAGTGGTTTATCCCAAGGTTGAGTGTAAAGCTTAGGCTTGTATGATTGATCCTCACGTCAATGCCGGGAGAATATGATCAAACATAGTGATTATCCAAGACGTCTATAAAACAAGCAGAAACTTGTAGTGTACAAAAATGACTGGGCGATACATGGGCTGTGCAGGTCTCAACAAACAATCAACTCGTGAAGTGTATACACACAAGTACTTCATTGAGTCATAGCAGGCTCTCAAGAAACTTTATAACTAAGCAAGGATTAACTGAATTCCAAATGATCAGTACATCCAGCCGGGACCTATTTATGTACTTTTGACTATCCCTCTTGTGTGTGTGGACAGACTTCCAAATCCATTTCAAGATGTCGACTGACTCCTTTCCCTTCAAATTGATCTATCATGTCAAATCGAGGCTACCATGGTACAAGCTTGAATTCAAAATACCTTTCGAGTCCTTGCCCTTCGAAATAATCTGTCTTGTTGCATCGAATCTGCCACGATACAAAGATATTTTGTCACTTATGCGATGCAATCGGATGCTTCATGATACCGTGATCTATGTCCTTTACAAGCAAGACAGACATACTACATATTCTGTATTGAGATGGCTGATGGAAAGGGGATTTGAAACAGGGATTCAGGCCATGATATCGCGCAACAATCTAGACGTGAATATGCCAGTGGACATTCGGAGCACATTGATCAACAGGCCTTTACTCCTTGCTATCAGATTCGGCCGTACGAATATTATGGAGCTCCTTCTGCGCAATGGAGCCCAAGTCAATATTGGAACAGATATTTCCGCCTTGGGGTACGCTGCGACCCTAGGGGACTACAACATGGCCCTGTTACTCCTCCAGCATGGCGCCCATGTAGACCTTGTGGATGGAATACGATGCGTTCCTCCTCTGGGATGTGCCCTCAGATATGGGCCCAAATATCAAATACAGTGGGACAATTTGGCGTGGGTTGATCCGTTAAAATACAAAGGAGAGAATGATTTTGTGGCTGTGATCCAGTTGCTGTTGGCTCATGGGGCAGATTCAAATTTCCAATCCGATGGCGCCTTGACTACTTGCCTACACATGATCCCTGAGAGCCCATGGAAATCGACAGAGAAAGTCTTCGGTACTTGTCTTAATTATGGTGCTGATTTGAACGCACGAAATTGGCAAGGAGACACTCCTCTTCACACTGCTCTCTCCCCTAATGCATTCTGCGGAGATACGAAAGTCCAAAGAGAGTTTGTGGAATTGCTCTTAAGGTCCGGTGCCGATGTTAACCTACAGAACCGGCATGGACAGACACCACTCGGTATCACATTTGAGGATCCGAGCATATTGGAACTTTTCTTGAAACCAGGGGCGAATACTCGTTACCATGGTAAAATTGGTGCCGAAATAATTTTAAGGCTTCTGAGAATACCGTTGCGAAAGCAAAAGAAAAGCACAAATCAACATAAGATCAATGATATATTGATAGAGCTACTCGTGGAGCGCGGGGCTTGCACAGATCAAATCATTGATGGAAAATGTCCATTGGACCAGTGCGCAGCAAGGACATACCAAGTGCTGAAAGATTTGAGCAGTAGGAGGAAAAAAGCTCCAAGTAAAGTTCCTTCAGAGAAGTCTCTCCCAAAAAAGGTATCCCAGGCCCTGACGGATAGCGGGCTGATGAGAAAAGCCACAGACTACAAAAGGACCCCCAATCCTGCGAGAAAACTGCCCCCGAGAAAAGTCACGAAGATTACGAAGTCCACGAAGTCCACGAAGTAAGCCTGATATACTGGACTTCCATAGAGACCAACTCCTATGTCGGGAAGGAGAGCAAGGGAAGTGTTGATTGCTGTTTGTTATCGGATTATGGCATCGTTGCTCCAATTATCAGTGAAGAAGACAATCTAGCTTTCAAATGTAAAGGCCATGATAGCTTACAAGGTTTTATGACAAGTTAATGCGAGACCCGTGAAGTATCATATACCACTTCCTGTTTCCATGTACCTCAGCAGGTTGAAATGAGTGCCGATTTCGAGTGTACTTTTATTTTGAATGCACTACCAGATGCAGTTGGCCAGATGACTTCGGAGAGGAGTGGAGTCTACATGCTATAAGAGTGCGTAATGTTTTCAAGTTTGGTCTGGTTTTGTTCGGTTGCATTGAAAAAAATCCCGAGAAAAGATACTATTGTACTTCTATTGACACAAATGGATGTTTGAAGGATTGTACTATATTAGCCGAAATGCCCGATACCTCTGGGTCAAAGACGCAAAGTTTTGTTTATAGCCCAATCAAATCTTGGAGCTCTGTGAGAGCTTCTTCTCTTCGGCCTTATAGAGCTTGACCAATTGACGCACAGATAGGTCGAGCAGCACGTCTTCTGATCCACCGGGAATACGAGCACCAGGAACATCGCGAAGAATGGCTAGAGGCTTGGTTAGCTTGTTTCAAACATATACTGACAATCCGGCAAACATACCTTCGACCAATTCACCCTGACCCGATTGGGTGAATCCACTTCCTCCAAACAACAACACGGCTGTTTGAGCACATTCGTTCAGAACCATACCGGCCTTTGCTTTAGCCAATGCCGTTAAACCACCAAGTTGACGATCCCCTTCTTCTTTGCTTAGATGGGCTAATTGGTACAGGATCTGCTCAAACCACGCCCACATAGTTTCAAGCTCCGCGCCTGCCTTAGCTAGGCGGTGGCGGACTACAGGTTGGTCCATGAGCGTCTTCCCGAAAGCCTCGCGCTTGAGGCAGTAGGAGAAAGCGGAGGAGAGGGCTACACGAGCCTGACGAGTGACTCCAATGGCAATGATAAGTCGCTCATGGTTGAAGTTGGTCATAATAATACGCATACCCTCGCCTTCTTTGCCAATCATGTTCGACACAGGAACCTTGACGTCGTCGAGCTCAATGTATGTGGTCCCGCTTGTGAGCTGGCCCGAGACTTTGAGTCGGCGCATTGAGACACCGGGGTGGCCCTTCAAAGGCACAACTAGAAGAGAAAGGCCCGCGGCTCCTGGTCCACCGGTTCGTACGGCCATGGTGGCATAGTCGGACCAGATACCATTCGTGATCCTGGTTATTAGAGTCAGCTCACAGCTTTATCGTCACTACAGATTGCCTCTTACCATTTCTTAATTCCGTTTAGGATGTAGTGCTGACCATCGGCACTCTTAACAGCAGCTGTGGTGACATTCGCGACGTCACTACCCGCCTCGGGTTCCGTAATAGCAATGCAGCATCGCTTCTTCCCTGTGAGCAGCTCGGGCAAGAATCGCTCTTGCAACGCAATGCTACCAAACTTGTAGATTGGTGCAAGTCCAAAAGCGAAACCGGCGTTCAGAGAGGCCAAGGGGCCACTGAGACCAGAACGGGCCATCTGTTTACAAACCACCGGTCAATTCCCTGCAAGTATAAAGCGCAGTCGGATACTTTTCATGGCATACCTCATCAAAGTAAATTCCGGAGTAGATGTAGTCCCAGTCTTCAACCTTGACCCCCAGGATATCGTTGATTCCCAGACGCTTCAGCCAATCCACAGGCAATGGAGCTGGCAGGTTGGGCACCAACATATTATGCTTGCAGAATGTGTTGAAAACATGCTCAGGGACTGTTCCCCCACGCTCCCACTCCAGGGCATTCGAAGTCAAGTTTTCTGTTGCAAATTTACGGCATGCTTGTTGGAAATGGCGGTGGGCAGGCGTAATGTAGGGAGAAGGGAGGCCGCGAAGGTAAGGCGGCTCTGAAAACGGGATGGGATTTGGAGAGTTGTTCGGCATGATAAAAGAGTTGATAAATGGATATGCTATGAGAAGAGATTTTCGAGAATAGGTATTGGTCTACATGGGTGTTTATGTACATATGAGGATCAGGATTCTATGAGGGGATGGAATGGGTTCTCCGCATTCTGGTGTAAGGGGTGGCCGAGGCTCGGTGCAGATTTGTGTACGACCGATGTTCCAAGGTTATGTGCACAACCGTCTACATCACATGACTATTATTGATGCTTTAGGCATAAGTGAATCATTGGATTACAGGTCATGAGGCCCCTACTGAGATCTCAGTAGGATGCGTGGCCTGAGGTGTGGTAAGGTAATCAAATATATGTACCTAACTCTAACTAAAAAAACATGATAAAATCCGCATTTTGACAATCCATGGATCTGTGTGCGGCTTGCTGACTAATTCTAATACACTCTTTTTGTAGGGTATGCCGGGTGCTGGCTGTCATATGACTATTACATGCAGTATTTCTGACACTATAAGTCTTCGTAAACGGAGAACACGGCGTCAAGGCTAGGAAGTGTGGCACATGACGAGGAATTCTGATGCCGCTCGGCCTCCTCCCTAGTCTTAAAGCAGTGGTTGCAGTACTGACATGAGTACTGTTTCTCCATCACATGTGCACTAGTTTGGAGGTTAGCGGAAGGGCTCGCAAAATGAAGCAAAGATAGTGCCTACCGCAAGTCATCGGGATTGTCAAACTTCTTGGGGCCTTTAGGAGAGCAATCGCAAATACAAAGACTGCCGCTCTCTGGTACGGCAGCTTTCCCGCCAACAGTCCGTGACTTCAACCACCCGGTCCCCTTTGAAACCAAAGAAGCAGCCCCGCGGGACTTGCTAGATTTATTTCTGGATAGCAGCTTCTTGATATCCTTCTTGGTACCCATATGCTTGCTTTTGTCGTGAGCCAGCTGTGGTGGCCATGTCCTGTCTTTCTCCTGCGAGGCAACATATTTAGAATCCGCGTCCTCGCGTTCCAGACCCATATACTGATCCAACTGACACCCAAATTCTGATACCTGCAGGGTTAGCTCGGTATAAACCTCCTCTGATGCCTGTGCTACTAGGATCTGAGACATGAGGCCATTGAAAGCCAGCTTCATGTCGTCGTACAGCACCACGAGGCTCTCGTCACGTTCACCTGACCCAAAAAATCATATCAGTAACGGCAGACCGAGCTATCATGGGTGACCAAAGGATTATCTAACATGTGTCTACGTCAATAGCACTATACAACAAAGCATAACGCTTGTGGATCTTGTAGAGCAGGTTTCTAACTCCAGTTTTGTAAGACTCCTTGGCAGGCGTTGTTCTCTTGCGAGTTATCAAGCGCGGCTTGGGGAAGGCCTCTTTGAAATGCTCCTCAATCAAATCATCCATTCCATGGAAGACGGAGTGGCCTGCCTCTATCGACCCATCGGATACCTGCGACCCGGCCGAGGGCGTTGACTGTTGTGAGGTCCGTGAATTGATCGAGTGCTCTGATTCCTGACTGGCATCGTCCATGTGTTGATGTGTCTCGTTCGACGAAACCCGATACGCCTCGTGTGATGCATACTCATCGAGCACTGGCGGTTTTATAGTTGCGACCGAGTCCGGGATCTGCCCCTCTTTCCTACAAGCTTTTTCTAGATATGTCATCCACGGGCCCTTGCTCCCAGAATGGCTGTCGATTAGATGCTTCTGGAAATGGTCGCCACGGCGGAATTCCTGGGCTTCATTGCACTCGCCGCACTTGTGCACTGTGATTAAATGGTAGACACGCCGAGATTCCCAGTCCGGCTCGTGGTTGTTGGGAAACGCTTCGCCGCAGTAGCCACATATGTCGCTGGATATTTCGTCCGGAATCTGATGCGATAGTGATTTTGGAGGTTGAAATGCCCCCTGCCATTCTCGGAGAAAGGCGCACGACCACGAATAGTGTTGGTGATGGGTGTTGTCTTGATGCTGCTTTGCTTCACTGCGCGTGCAGAAACGAAGGTCGCAGTCTATACAATAGAAGCTCTTACGTATACTCTCGTGGATACTAAATTTTGCAAGTCAGAGTCGGGGTTGCCCTCGTTCAAATGCTAACAAAGCTTACCGCAGGTCATTTTTGTTGCGGAATGTCGCCGAATATCTAGGACAACATGTGCAAATATACAGCTCGGTGTTACCTATCGTCATCGGAATTGAATTTTCTACTTTGGTATGCTTCATGAATTTATTGAAGTGGTTAGCCGAATGATGGACGAGCTCAAAGGTTGAGCGGGGAAGGGGGCGCAGCACAACACTACTCCCTGCAAGTTGATCACCATCGCTGCCCAAATTCGAGAAACCTTCAAGTGCATCCCACATACCATGAGCCCTCTGATCATGGAGGAAGATGACCTTGTCGAACACATCAACCGTTCGCTGAATGAGGAAGAGGAATTCCACTTCCTGCGCTTCGAATTCCTGCAAAGACTCAATATTGTGAAGCTGCAGCTAGATTTAGTCCGATTGAAAGGCCGATTTCAGCGCGAGAAACGGGCATCCATTCAGGACTTGGAGGCTCTCGAGAGCACGCTGCAGAAATATGGTGCGACGTCACTCATTAATGAATCATAATAGAAAGTATCCCTCAGCATCTCACATTTTATTCATAGCCACTGCAATTCGGAACTACCAGTTTCTCAAGGGCAAAGCAGCTCTTGGAAAGGCCGAGACACAAAGGCGAAGGCTGCTTTTACAACGCTACTTTCAATCCAGAGTCAAAGATCAGTTCCACTCTCACTACTGCTCCTTCCACGACGCAGAGCCAAGAGCCGATCCGTTGCGAAGGGCCCTGATGCGGTATATGCCTTCATTTCTTGCATTCTCCAGTGAAGAAAAGATGTCACGGGCAAGAGAATACAGCGAGGGCAAAGCACCGCAAGAAGTATCAGTGTTTGTGGATCGACTGACGCGGTTTCTCGTGGCTATAACTGGGGGCATCTTCCTGGTAGTACCCATGATCATTATGACTCTACACCAGTCAACGACTAAAAGCCTGATTACGGTTTCAGTCTGTATTGTTTTGTTTGCGCTAGTCATGGCTTTTGGGGTGCGTGTGTCAAATGCAGAGACATTGATCTCTACTGCCACATATGCTGCGGTCTTGATGGTATTCCTTGGGGTGAACAATTGAACATCTCATGCTAGTGTAGGAAACTACGCATAAAGACGAGATTTCGGCATTAATAAAACCAGGCAGGATGTTGGGTTTCATCAGGGCATTCTGGATGCATATAAATTAGAGAATCACCCATCAGATAGGAACTATGTACGGAGTAAGTAGCTTTGTAGGCAGTCTTGTCATTTTTCATCTGGCAAATCAAATTAAAAAATATCTATAGTAGGTCAGCCATTGTTTATAACTTACAGTCGCTTTCTGATCTATCTTGACAAGCTCTGTTCCTTTTCCTCGCTGTGTTCAATTTATAACTGGAATATCGGTTGGAGGAGCCGAGGCTAGTAATGCTAATAATGCCTACATAATCTCAAATTCTAGACAACGAGATCTAAAACCTCTCTTAATTAACTACAATTATCAAGAGGGCTTCGGAGAAATCCATGGGCTCAGGCACGGCTGAGTAATGCTCCGAAAGCGGGATGGATCCGCCACTCGTGGACTTTTACCGCCTTGAAAAATCCTATCGCCCGATAACAAGCACGCAATTGCCACTAACCGCTTTAGGCAAGTTACCTGGGGTTTTCTCTATAACCAAGCTATGGAGAGGGAAGATTCTCTTTTTCCCCCACCTTCTTCTTTGTTTTTATCTTTAACAGATATCGGTCTTATATCCGGTATCAAGAAGAAGTCATGGGCTCATCAGTTCCTGCCCTGTCGGCCTTGAATGGCCCGACATATGTCACAGCCCAGACGCTCATCCAGCAAGTCGCATACTTGTTGAGTGATAAGATCTTCTCCTACTCGCCGGAGACTTTCGATCTTGATGCTGCTCTCAAGGAATGGATCTCCAAGGGCGAGACTAATGCCAATGGCGAGTCTCCCTCTGTCAAGTCTCTGGAAACCCGCCAGGGTGCCGGCAACATGGCACTTGGCTACCTCTTCTCTCAGGACTTCGATCTGAAGAAGCGCCACGTTCCCCAGGGTATTGTTGCTTCATCGGCAACCCTCCCTTATATGCGTGCCGCATTGGAGCAACTTTCTCTGCTCTACTCCGTCGCTAGCCCAGTCGCTGCACACGTCGCCGCCGTAGACTACGCCGGCGAGGATGGCCTAGTCTCCGACTATGCCTCAGCCCTCTCTCTGGTCGAGGACCTCGGTCTGGGTCTGGTCTCCAGCGGTTCCGCCCACGAGTTCCAGCACATGGCTCTTTTCGCGACTTTGCTCTCCTCGATCCTTCCCTCAATTCACATCTATGATGGCGTTCGTGTTGGCCGTGATACCACCCGCATCATTGATGTTCTCGACAAGGATGGTCTGACTCGCACATATGAGAACGTTCGTAAGTCTCTTGATGAGACCCGCAACCGTCACCTCGACGCCCAAGGCAAGGTTCTGGATCTGCTGAAGACCCTGAACGGCGAGCTCGGAACCGACTACGGTGCTTTCGAGTACCACGGTCACTCCGAGCCCACCTCTGTGCTGATCGCCTTCGGCACTGTCGAGGCAACTCTCACTGCCCAAATCGCCGGCTCTCTCGCCAAGGATGGTGTCCGTGTCGGTGTGGTCAATGTCCGTGTCTACCGCCCCTTCATCGAGGAGGAGTTCCTGCGCGTTCTTCCCCAGTCCACCAAGACTGTCGCAGTTCTTGGCCAGGTCGCCTCTGAGCAGGCTGTTCAGGAGGATGGTGTTCACTCCGCTCTCTATGACGATGTCCTTGCTTCTTTGACTTTTGCTACTGGCCGTGAACACAACCCGGCTTGTGTTGAGATCAAGTACCCCCGCTCCCAGCGTTGGGATCTCATCTCCACCGCCGCTGCATTCCAGCGCGTGTATGACCAGCCTATCCTCACAGTCAACGGCGAAACCAGTGCTTCGCTGCAGTTGCTGGACCCTGCGTCTGTGCAGGAATACACTTTCTGGGATGTTGATACCTCCGTTACTGAGGCGGCTGCCCAGACTCTGAGCCAGGCTCTTGGCGCCGACTCGGCCAGCAATGTCACCATCAGCAACACCCACGACAACCTCGTCCAGGGTGGTGCCATCCGTGTTGACATCCGCAAGAGCGCTAAGATTGTCGACGCGCCTTACGCGGTCACTGCTGCTGAGGTGTCTTACGTCGGCAATATTGCGCTGCTGAACGATGTTGATGTTCTGGCTTCTGTCAAGGATAACGCTAAGGTTATTGTGAATGCCCCAGGCATCAATGATGAGGATTTGGAGAAGAAGCTTCCTGCTGCCTTCAAGCAGGCTGTCGCCCAGCGTGGCATCTCCGTCTTCGTCATCGACGCATCTGCCGTTGAGGACTCGTCTCTCAACGCTCTTGTCCTCCAGGCTTCGTTCATTCGTGTCGCTCTGCCTGCCCAGGAATCTCTGGCGACCAAGAAGCTGGCCTCCATCACCGGCAACGGGGAGGCCCTGGACAATGTGAGCAAGGATCTCGAGAAGCTGCTCCGCCAGATCGAGGTTCCCGAGTCCTGGAAGGAGCCCGAAGGTATCACTGAGGCTGTTGAGCTCCCCAAGGACATCATCGCCAACAGCTTTGTTTCCTTCGACAAGAACGAGTCTGAGCCCCCCACTCTTCTCAAGGACTGGGAGACTGCTGCTCGTGGCCTTGCGTTCAAGGAGGCGTATGGCACCAAGGATGCTCTTCGTCCTGATCTTGCTCACAAGACTTTCACCGTCCGTGTCAAAGAGAACCGCCGTCTTACTCCTACCACCTATGATCGTAACATCTTCCACATCGAGTTTGACATCGGTGAGACTGGTCTGAAGTACGACCTTGGCGAGGCCCTCGGTATCCACGCCGAGAACGATACAGAAGACGTCATGAAGTTCATCGAGTTCTACGGCTTGAACCCCGATGCGGTTGTCGAGGTTCCCAGCCGCGAGGACCCCGCTGTGTTGGAGAACCGCACCGTCTACCAGGCACTGGTCCAAAACGTCGACATCTTTGGTCGCCCACCCAAGCGCTTCTACGAGGCCCTTGCCGAGTTTGCCTCCGACGAGAAGGAGAAGGCCAACTTGCTCATCCTGGGTGGTCCCGACGGTGCCACCGAGTTCAAGCGTCGTGCTGAGGTTGACACCGTCACCTTCGCCGACATCCTGCTCGAGTACCCCTCTGCCCACCCTGATTTCCACGAGATCGTCCGCATCATTGGTCCCCTGAAGCGCCGTGAGTACTCAATCGCCTCGTGCCAGAAGGTTACCCCGACCTCCGTCACCCTGATGATTGTCGCCGTCAACTGGGTCGACCCCAACGGCCGCGACCGCTTCGGTCTGGCCACCCGCTACCTGAGCAGCCTCCGAGCCGGCGCCCCGATCACTGTCAGCGTCAAGTCCAGCGTCATGAAGCTGCCCCCCAAGTCTACCCAGCCTATTATCATGGCCGGTCTGGGTACTGGTCTCGCACCTTTCCGTGCCTTTGTCCAGCACCGCGCGCTCGAGAAGGCTCAGGGCAAGGAGATCGGCGCTGTCTTGCTGTACATGGGCTCTCGTCACCAGCGCGAAGAGTACTGCTACGGTGAGGAATGGGAGGCTTACCAGGAGGCTGGTGTTATCACTCTCCTCGGAGCTGCCTTCTCTCGTGATCAGCCTGAGAAAATTTATATCCAGGATCGTATGCGCCAGACTCTGCCCGAGATCATTCAGGCCTACATTCGTGAGGAGGGTGCTTTCTACCTGTGTGGTCCCACTTGGCCCGTGCCCGATGTCACCGCTGTTCTGGAGGAGGCTATTGCCACCGAAGCCAAAAACAATGGCAAGAAGGTTGAAACTCGCAAGGAGATTGAGAAGCTGAAGGATGAGGAGCGCTATGTTTTGGAGGTCTACTAGACTCTGTTTGGTTTTCGCATGGCATGACTAAACGATTGACATATTTTTGCTTTTTATTCCCCCTTGTTGTATTTAGATCCTTATTTGGGCTAGCGCACTGGCCTTGAAAGACTTCAAAAATGCATTTTAGAATTTCATCATCTTGAATAAAACCTCTCGTTTAGATCCCTTGAATTAGAATATATATAATTTAGTGGAATGTATTTGGGTATCTGCTTCAAAGACAATGCCTTCCTAGCATGACCCTCCAAAATGCTATGTCGTGTCTAGGTCGTCTATACATACAACTTTTTCTTGAAACTCATGCAACGTAACTATCAAACGTGACCAATGGGACCATACTTGGTCTTTCCATATGCACCACCCTTTTCCTTCCTCAACTCCAATGCCCGACGATACGGTGGTGCAGTGGGTGGCTGAACAGGATCCAGGTTAACATAATCCGGCGGTAGGGTGTATGATGCATCAGAATCCCAAGCGGAAAGATCACCACAAGCAATGAACGACGGAATCCATCGGTTCTCAACTGAGAACTTGTTAGACAGTTTCTGGGGTTGGGGCTTGTCTTGTGATGTTGTAGTTTGAAGATGGCGGACTTCAGTGGAGTGATTGGGCGCAGGACTACTAATTGTCTCGGGTTGCGCCACAGTATTTCGGGCCTGTGTATCCTGGTCGATTTCCTCGCGGACTTCCACGCCCACATTGCCATCTTCTGACACTGGTACTGGAGCCGCGGCACCGCCGAAGAGTGGGTTTTTCAATGCGGCCATACCGATCACCCCGCTGTCATTGACGGGTGGAATAAAGCCTTCGCAGACCACAAATGCCTCCAAACTACTAGCACGACTACTGCGCGGCTTCGCGACGCTGACGCGCTCGAAGACGGTTCGTAGCTGTGCGTAGAGAAGGTCGACATCGCGGCCGCGGAAGATCTTGGCGACGAACTTGCCGCCCGGTCGGAGAACGCCCATAGCAAGGTTTAGCGCTGCGTAGAGGAGTTGTGATTGAATATAAATGTCTAGGTCGTGTAGGCCTGTTACATCCGGTGCACCGTCGGAGATGACCAGGTCGACGGGGTGAGGTTGTCTGATAGCCTCTGTGACTGACGACGGAGAGTCGGAGGGGGTGGATGGTTGTTCGTATGCTTCTGGGTCCAGAGCGCGCAGGAGCAGAGGAATCGTAGAGGGGTGTGTGATATCAGCTTTGAGGGTTGTGATGCCTTCGAGCGGTGCCATGGGTTGCAGATCGATGGATACAATCTTGACATTCTTCCGGGGCTTCAATTCAGAGCTTGAAGAAGGCTCAATGTAATCCATTTTATCATCATCGGCCGTCGTTGTTTCTGCGTCCTCCAATCCCTGTTGTTCTACCCGCTTTTTCTCAAGCCATGCCCGCCGCCCGAAACTTTCGCCCTTGATCAGGACACGGCTGAGTACTTGGCTCCAGCTTCCTGGTGCAGCGCACAAATCCACGACTCTTGTCACATTGTCCGGGTTCTCGTGCTCGAATAGGTCGAATCGTTCGTCGATCTGGATAAGTTTGAAGGCGGAACGGGCGCGCCAGTTTTGCTCCTTGGCGAGACGGTAATAAGCATCGCGCTTGTCCTTGGATGATTTGCCCATCTTGAAATAACAGGCTGCCCGCGCAATTGGCAATCGTACTCTGTTAAGTGGGTTAATTTTGCGACGAACGTGGGGAACGAAAAGATAAGATTCCAAAGGCGGACTAAAATTTCTGCCGCTTTTTTTCTTTTCCCCGACGGCGTGCTTGGATCACTTGTCTACCAGAACACACTGTAATACTTGAGAATTACTCAGTTCATAATGGGTCAAAAGAGAGCGCGCGACCCCAAAGCCCAGGTGGCTGAGGCAAACAAACGCAAGAAGGCAGCTAAGTCTGATGCAGCTTCAAACGAGGATCATGGCTCTGTCGCAATTGAGGACCTTAACTGGAAGGAAGTTGCTATGCCAGATCGAATGGACGATGCAGAGGGTTTCTTCGGACTGGAAGAAATTGAGGGTGTGGAGATCATAAAACAGAGCGATGGAGGTATTCATTTCAAGGTGAGCCTGCATGCTTTGAATCCCTCATGTGGATTAAACGCTAATGTATCTGGTTGGGTGGGTAGGCCAAGGCTGGTAAGCCACTTAAATCGATTATCAAACCCCCGTCTGAGGATGATGGAGAAGAATGGGGTGGCTTTAGTGACGAAGACTCATCCGAAAAGTCTCCTGCCACCGAGAAGACTCCCGCTGCAACTGAAGTGAAGGAAGATAAGAAGTCGAAGAAGGACAAGAAAAAGGAGCAAAACAAAGCCAAGAAAGAAGCCAAGAAAGAAGAAAAAAAGTCCAAGGAGCAAAAGCCTAATGAACCCAAGCCTACCAAGGGCCAGAGCATCAAGGCTGGGCTCGGATTCGCGGCTCTCGATGATGTCGAGGAGGACGATGGCGTGGACGTGTCGGCTTGGGATGCACTTAATCTTTCACCTGAGATCGTTACAGCTCTTTCGAAAATGAAGTTCAGCTCCCCATCAGCCATTCAAAAAGCCAGTATTCCTGCCATTCTCGATGGGCACGATGTTGTTGGAAAGGCCTCTACAGGTTCCGGTAAAACATTGGCATTCGGTATTCCGATCATTGAGCATTACTTGGACAAGAGAGGGGACCAGGAGGAAGAAGAGTCCGACAAGTCTGAAAAGAGCACATCCCCGATTGCCTTGATTCTATCTCCCACCCGAGAGTTGGCGCATCAGCTTGGAAGGCATATTGGAGAGCTTATTACCAATGCCCCGGATATCAACGCACGAATTGCTCTTGTGACCGGTGGTATGTCTATTCAGAAGCAGCAGAGACAAATTGCTACCGCCGATATTATCGTTGGAACCCCCGGCCGAGTGTGGGAGGTCCTAAGCACAGGAACAGGATTGATCCGCAAAATGCAGAAAATCCAATTCCTGGTCGTCGACGAGGCGGATAGACTACTGAGTGAAGGCCATTTCAAGGAGATGGAAGATATCCTTAACGCACTAGACAAGAAGCAAGCCGGAGATATTGCGGACATGGATCAGGAGGAAGAGGAAGAGCAGCCATCTCAGAGGCAGACCCTTGTATTCTCGGCCACATTCCACAAGGATCTTCAACAAAAGCTAGCAGGCAAAAGCCGCTGGTCAAGTGGTGATATGTTGGACAACAAAGCCTCCATGGAGTACCTTCTAAAGAAACTGAATTTCCGCGAAGAGAAGCCCAGGTTCATCGATGTGAACCCGGACTCACAGATGGTCACCGGACTCAAGGAAGGAATTGTCGAATGCCCTCCTATGGAAAAGGTAAGATACTAGTTTTTTTTGAACCATTTGAATACCGATGCTAATTCAAATAATCAGGACCTCTATCTCTACTCAGTTCTTCTCTACTACCCCAAGAACCGCACAATTATCTTCACAAACTCCATCTCTGCTGTCCGCCGCATCACTCAGCTTTTGCAAGCTCTTCAACTTCCTGTGTTCGCACTCCACTCAAACATGGCCCAGAAAGCTCGACTGCGTTCCATCGAACGTTTCTCATCTCCTACTGCCAACCCAAGCTCAATTCTCGTCGCCACTGACGTCGCCGCTCGTGGTTTGGATATCAAGGGCATTAACTGCGTCATCCACTACCACGTTCCCCGCACAGCAGACGCCTACGTCCACCGATCCGGCCGTACTGCTCGTGCCGGCGAGTCTGGAAAGAGTATCCTCATCTGTGCTCCTGACGAGGTTGTCGGCGTTGCCCGTCTCGTCGGCAAGATCCATGCCAAGAAGGCGAGGAAGGCCGACGACCCCGAGGGACCTAGCAAGAAGATTCCTCTCGAGTCTCTCGACATTGATCGCCGAGTGGTTGCTCGCCTCCGCCCCCGCATGGGTCTCGCCAAGAAAATTACTGAAAACACCATTGCCAAGGAGAAGGTCAACACCGAGGACAACTGGCTCCGCTCTGCGGCCGATGATCTCGGCGTTGAATATGACAGCGACGAGTTCGATCAGTCTAAGGGTAGAGGCCGTGGTCGTGGTGGTGGCCGTGAAAGACGTGATAAGGAGGCTAGCGAAACGAGCAAGAGCGAAATGGCCGCGCTTCGTGCGGAGCTCAAACATCTCCTTTCTCAGCGAGTGAACATCGGTGTCAGCGAGAAGTATCTTACGGCCGGTCGCATTGACATCGATGCTCTCCTTCGTGGTGAAGGCAACGATGCGTTCCTGGGCCACCTTGACCCTTTGACATTCTAATTTTGAATCTACTGAAGCGTTGGGTTTGTAAAAAGCATGTTGATATTAGTCTATACCAAAACTACCCATTCTGGATCTAGATATTTGACTCATAAATCCTTCAATACAGTTTGCAATCGGACTTCTCCGATTCTGAGATAAGATATCAGACTAAAGGCCGATAAGTGACAAAGAATACTACCCCAACACCTGAGAGCAGGATAGTATCTGCCATCCATTGCCTAAAGGTAACTAGCTCACTCGGAATATATGCAGTTATTTACATAAGTGCATATCTTTCCCCGCCTCCCTACTTGGAGTAATAAAAACACACTCGATCTCTTTCAAACTCACCTCTCCAACTCCCTCAATCAACATGGATCCCCAAATTGAAGAACTATTAGGCCTAGAAGCCGTCCGTACAAGAGCGCATATTGTCCTCAAACTAGCCGAGGAGGGTCGTTTGAACCATTTCAACTACCATCCTCAACGCATGGAGGATGCCACCGATTACGTACTTAAGCTAATTCAGGTAGGGCTAGCACATCCCCCAAACACTCATAGTTCAAGCATAAAAAGACTCACTCTCTATCATAGCGTGACTTCGGCCCCGACAGATATCACCTGATTCCGCCCCATGGACGCTGGCAGCATTTCGAAGTCGGCGGGGTTCCCCGCATAACCACTCTTCTAGCTGAATGGGATGAGGAGAAATGTGACACCACCGAAAAGACACGCAGACTGATAGATCTTTTCTTCGTCTCTGTCCTCTTGGATGCTGGTGCCGGAGACTTTTGGAAATTCAATGAGTCACAAAGCGGTCTGACGCTCAATCGAAGCGAAGGTATTGCAGTCGCGGCCCTGCATATGTTCCTAAACGGCGACTTTGCTGGCCAGGAGTCACTAGTGAAACACACCGCCAACGGTAAGTGTTTTCGCTTTATATTCGATGCGATATTCGATAGGCTAACGAGCGCTCAGGCGATGCTTTGCGCAATATTAATGTAGACATTTTATCCCGTGGACTCCAGGTCAATGAGGCCAATCCCATGATCGGAGTAGCTGCACGCGCAGATATACTCCGTAAACTCGGCGAGTCTTTGAAGAACTTGACAGATATCTTTGGACCTTCTGGCCGTCCTGGTAATCTTGTTGGTAAGTTCATATTGTCCATGATGTCCAGTTAATCCGAGACCTTTTATCAAAATAGCTAAACATCTCCCAAATATCCAGACTATCTCATTGCCAAATCAAATGATGGAAAGCTCGACTATAAGGATCTTTGGAACGTGCTACAACGCCTCCTGATCCCCATCTGGCCGTCCGACCGTACTCACCTAAACGGACAGCCTATCGGCGATGCATGGCCCCTACGAGCACTTGAACAGCGGGCTGGATCGGAGTCGAAACCCTACTCTAACATCCAGCCCTTCCATAAGCTGACTCAATGGCTGGCGTACTCGTTGATGGTGCCGTTCTCTCGTCTGCTCTCCGTCTCATGGTCTAATACCGAACTGGGGACTGGACTGCCAGAGTATCGCAATGGAGGACTGCTTGTCGACATGGGAGTCCTAGAATTGAAGCCCGAGGCACTGCAGCGAGGGTTGAGCCTTTCGGGTAGTAGCTTGCCTTCGTTCGGTGCGGGCGATGACGAGATCGTGGAATGGCGGGCGATGACTGTTGCCCTACTTGATGTCCTGCATACGAAGATCCTCGCCCGCTTGGATGGTGTCCAATTGTCTCTACCTCAGGTGTTGGAGGCGGGCTCTTGGAAAGCGGGTCGTGAGCTCGCAGCGGCTAAACGTCCAGAGACCAAGTGCAGTCCTATCCTGAACTTTGGTGATGGTACCTTGTTCTAGAAGCGTCAGTATCGAATGCATGAACGGCCTTTTCAAATAGATCCTTTCAACGTATTATTTGCTCTTTTCACAGCGTTCTAGATTCTATAGATATCGGTCGAACTTCCTCAGCATACACTGCAGCCAGAAGATCCATCTCCGCTTGGGGTCTTTGTATAGGAGTCTTGGATACGCGAGACGTTAGTCAATCTCCAAGTTACTTCCACTAGAGTATGATGAAGCGGCATGGAGCCAAAATTCAGTCCTAATCTATTTGTGGTGAGTTAATAAAAGCCTGAGCCTCCAACACCGCTTGATGTGCGTTTACAGCCAGCATTTTGAAACTCTCAGTCAATAGAAGTAGAGCAAGTGGCGTTTTCAGAAATATTCAAGCCCATATACCCATCGATAGATGGATCACCAGTAGATCTGCGCATCGTAATCGTAGTCGTAATCGTATCGTATCGTCGTATCTGCGTATAACGCCACCGACCAGGCCGCCCCGGGGCCTCTGCCGAGGTCTTACTAAGAGCCCGCATTAGAATCGTGGCCTGTCGGCCCGACTGATATCTATTCCCAGCATCATAAGAAGATCAATTGGAAGTTAAAATGAAAATGATATTCATCGATGAACATCTCAGCTCAGAACAAAGATACTCAGCACAAGAAGAATACTCAACACAGCAGGACCACTCTTCTGAGCTGCCCCTGGCCGGAGTGAAACAGCAAACGGGCCAGCCGCGGTGCTGCTCCAAACCGTACATCGTCAACCTCCCCCCGGACTCAAACAAGAAGCTTTCAACCCCCCCTTCCCTCCTTCCACCCCACCTCCCCATCCCCCGTTGTAATAGTATCGGTGTGCCCCACCACGCTTAAGGTCAGCCGTGGTGGGGCACCACAAGGTGGAGGAACCCGATGAGGAAGCCATCTCCACTCTCCTCACCGGCACCTAGAGACAGGAATATGAGTTAGTACTGAAGATAATATGACTCGGAAGTGATAATGAAGTGAACTGAAGCTGACTGTGATCCAGGAGAAAAGAGAGGGTAAGACATACCTTGCATCTGAGTAAGCATTTATTCCCCTATGCCTCACCCGCCTCGACGTCCTCGTCGCCGTGGCTGGGGTCATCAGCGGTCTCCTCCTCTTCCTCGGCCTCAGCCTCCTCGCGGGGCTGCTCCTCATCGCCGGGAGTTGGCATGGCGATGATCTCGTCGAGGCTGGCCTCGAGGGCCCGGATGTACGCCTCCGTGTATCGGGGGCGCAACAGCTCCTCGTCGGTGACGTCCCCGAGGGACTCATCGTCAGACTCCTCATCGTCGGAGTCGTCATCACCGAAGAGCCCGGCGAGCTCGTCCTCATCCTCGTACCAATGGGTAGGGATCTCGGGAGGACCACCCTCCGGGTTCTCCTCGGGCTCAGGCTCGAGAGGGTCGAAGGTGTCGGGGCGACCCTCTCGGAAGCTGGTGGTAATGGCGGCGGCTGCGCCACCGAAGGGAGAGGAATTGCTGTTGCTGGTCTGGGAGATGCTCTTCCAGCCAGGAGGGAAACGGATTTTGATATGGGGGGCAATGCCCCCACCAGCACGGAAAGGATTGTTGGTCTGGGAAGGAAGGGCCCAGCCAGAGCGGAAAGGAAGGTTGGTGATGGTCTGGGGGACAGTGCCCACGCCAGAACCGAGCGGATTGATGGTGGTCTGGGGGTTGGTACCCGCGCCAGAACCGACAGGATTGATAGAAGTCTGGGGGGCAATGTTCACGCCAGAGCCAGACTGGTTGGTGATGGCCTGGGTGTCATTGTCCTTGCCAGAAGAAGAAGAAGGGTTTGTTGCGGTATCCATTGTGAACAGATACGATAAGATTAAATGGATTTGAAAGCTAATGCAAGAAAACAGATGATGTTCAAGCTGAAGCAATGATGTTGTGGTTGACGAGAAGAAGAGGAGACGACAGGAGCAAGTCTCGCTCTATAAGAACACAACAGCTCTGTGTTGCGCGGTCACCCCCAACGAGGAAGGCTCCGCCCCGAAAAGACCCCAATACTATAATACAGCGCTATCCTACGCTCTATGATCTTTCTCAGTTGAAGGCTATGAAGTATGAGACTATACATGGATATAGATCTACGGCTTCTTGGCATTCTCGGCATACCGAACTATATCGGTCCGATCATCGGCCGTTCCAAAGACTTGGAGCCCCACTGTTGGCTCCAGGAGAAAAATCGGCTTTAAAAAGAGAAAACCAGGAAGGCCCAGATGGTGGCGGGTCTCTTTTTTAAATTGGTCTTCTTTTCATCTCAAGGTCCAAGTGTGGTATACTTCATATATCACCTAGCCCTAGTTCAAACTATCACTGGGATCGACAAAAGACCCGACCGAGGAACTTGAGCCTAGTCTGCAGTATGTACCCCGGTCGGCGATGGTCGGCGATTAAACAAGCCTCTCTAACATGCATGATCAGATCCAATATCGATTTCATACATATACATCCCACAATGTCAAATCTTTCACAAACAGCGCGTCGGCTCTTCCGATCGCAAACCCTTTCAGCATTCAGAACATACTCGCCCGCAGCTCCAATTGCGCGTCTTCACCAACAAGGTCCAACACGGTCGGCAGTGGTTCACGACCAAGCACTGCCCAGCCAAGCAGAAACACCCTCATTCCTTTCTCAAGCCCAATCACAGTCACCACAGCATGAGCGAACAACCCTCGAGACTCTTGTTTCTCAAATTCCTCTCGTCCAAACCCTCCGCGAAACCCACAGCACCTACAAAGAAACACGTCCTCATCTCGCAATCCCACCACCCATCAGACAGCATCATTTCGTGGGCGGAAGCTTGGATGGTCCAGGCAAGCTTGCATTCGCACCATACATGTGGCTGTCAACAGGCAAGACTGGAGCACAATCCGAAAGCAACGACCGAGCCAGCAACGTCGTGTCTGTATTTCACATCGGTCAGGACCTATGTGGTCACCCCGGCTTTGTGCATGGTGGTCTTCTCTCTGTTCTCTTTGATGAGGTGTTTGCGCGCTGCGTCTCTGCAGCTTTCCCCAGCGGGCTGGGTATGACGGCGAATCTCAATGTGAATTACAGAAAGCCTGCTCTTCCTGACCGTATGTATGTGCTGCGCACGAAGACGGTTAAGGTTGAGGGTAGGAAGGCTTGGGTTGAGGGGAAGATGACTTATCTTCCTTTGGCTTTGCCTCTTTCTACGGACTCGCATGGCGTCGTTTCTGATGCTACTCTGCTACAGGAAGACAGTGAAGGTGCGGTAATGGTTGCTGAAGCTACGGCTTTGTTTATTGAGCCTAAATTTGCAGATGTGAGTATCCTTTTGTTCTATTTACATGAGGTACATTTGGCTAACAGTTTTCATAGTCTATGGTGTCGATTTATTCGAACTAAGTGTCTGCGTTGGAAAGTTGATATTATGTCCCCTTGTATAGAGTTATAGAGATAGATTCATAGAGCTTACGATTGATAGACTATTAGAATAGAAAGATAGATTTCTCATTTTCCATGATTCAAGTACACATTCAACGCATTAAGCCCTCGCAAAATCAAAAACAAGTCTGCCACATATGTAATCCCCCTTTTTCGTCATAACCACCACTCGACGAGAGAAGTATCGCGAGTCCCCAAACATCTCAAACCCCCAAATCTGCAATGTAAATAGCCGATTAGTTTCTGACATGACATTTAAACCATCTAACCATAGCCAATAACCAATAGATTGTAATACCAACCTGCTCAGCCGCCCATCCAGACTTAGCATTCCTCTCAAATGTATGCACCCAAAGTCCTGGTCCCTCATCAGCCATCCCACTCCAATCCTCAAATATAAAACCCGCAGATTTCCTCCCATTCGCCTCGATCTCCCCGCGTAGATATTTCTTAATCTCTGCATTGGCATTGGGCGTCTGAAGTTCAAATCCAGGCCTTACAACTCCATCTGCATCAACGACACCATGAACGAATTCACTCTGGGCTAGGACCTCGCCGAAGAAGTAATCTTCATGATCTGAGATCTTCCAATCCAAGACACGCTCTTCTTTAGTTGCGGCCAGGCCTGCAGTGGCTGTCTGTAAGAAGTCGATATTTGTTGATGATTGGCCTGTCTCAGATGTTTCTGTTTGGTATTGCGAGATTTGGAGGTATATGGTTGCGAATCCGAATGCTTTGCGGATCAACCAGGGTATCTTTTGCTGTAGATATTATTTGATGATTAGCTTGGGATTTGTAGCTGTTGAAATAGTGGATCTTGTTCAAACCAGTTTTAGAATTGGGTCTGTCTCGCTGGTTAAGTCTTTGTTCTGTAGATAGCAATATGATTAGAATCTATATTGTGTAGTATCTTCGGGGAGGGGATGGCATGAGTACCAGGACCCAATGGCCATTGAGGCATTCGATAGTAGTCTCTTTGGGAGCAGCCATAGTGTAGGAATGGTTTTAGTCCATTCAACGAAGGAAAATCGACGGATATTTAGTATGTTGCCCGGGCCCTGGGGGTCATCCGCTTAGCTGATCACGGAGGAATGCGACAAAGCCACTCTATTCAATGGGGCAATTGACCCCTACGTTTTCTTCACCTATGATTCATTGGAATAATCTTTGTGCTACAGTACATTTGTACAGAATGATACCTCAGTTGCTGACATAGCCGTACGAACTATAAACCTACGCCAGAAAATCCAAATTTGAGTAGAAAGTGATCATTGCTATCTAATACCACTATCGTAAGGGACCCCCGCCATGACGCCTTTCGACCCAGATGGCATATGAAGAAGAAAAAAGAGAATCACAGCGAAACAGCCCGTCCGAAAACTTGGGAATTGGGAAACAAAGCAGAAACAGGTCGCATGTCGTCACATCGTGAATAAATTCTCGTCCTGGTTGAGAAAGACGGAAGACAGCAAAAGAGAGGAGACATGAGGGCAAAGGTGAAAGTGGAAGCGGAAGTTTTGGGTGTGAACCTGTCCATGAGACTAGGAAAGATGGAAAGCTCCTTGGCCTTCCTTGATGGCGACTGAGAGGCGCTTCTTAAGAACATCCAGGTCACTATAATCTGGCAACTTCAGGTAGTTGACGCAGGTCATCACACTGGGAAGATAGTCGTCTGGGGTATACGGGTGTTCGCTTGGGCGGCACACGACAGTGAAGATAGGCGTGAGACTCTTGAAACCTACATGGATTGATTATGTTAGTCAGTGGGACTTGATGCGGTGAAAAATGGGATTAACATACCTCCAATGGGGAGCTTGGGGCTACCAGTGACAAACTGAAGGAAATCTCGGCGTTCCTGGCCGTCCATCTCACTCATGGTCTGCAGTAGGTTGCGCACACTCCGACTGTCCATGTTGAACCCGTGATCGGCCTTTATAGAGTCCATCAAGGTCTCGATGGTCCAATCCTCCTTCGCTTGTCCGAAAAGCATGACAAGCTCACTTGGAGTGAAAGCACGAAGGGAGGAGAAGGGGAAGACCTGCGAGAATCCAGCCCGGAAGGCATCCACCTGACGCCGGACACCGCTGCCCAAGGTCATGTCGATCACCCGTTCGATGTAAGTGTCAACATTTTCAATGGTCAACGACACATCGGTGCCACCGGGAATCAACTCAATGGCAGGATAGCCAGGCAGAGTGAAGTCCAAACCCAGGTCGTCGACCTTGGCACCCTGGACCGTGATGTTTTGCACGGCCTCAGATTTGTCGGCAGGCGAAAGCAATTTGTCTGCCTCGATAGTGTTTTTGGCGTTGACAAATTCCTGAAGCATGAGCAAGGACTTTCCGAGGTCCTGATCAACCAGCTTGACCGTGCCTAGGGACGGTGCCACAGAGGACAGAGTATCCGCGATACGGAAGAACGCTGGATTGAACGAAATATCGATAATCCGGGAGTCAAGCATAGAGCGGGCTACAAACTTTCCTAGCACCTTGAAGATGTTCAATTGCTTCTTACCAATGTCTTGGGTTGCTTGTTCATCACTCATAGGTGCTGGGAACAGGCCACGCTTGCCAAATGCGTATTCTGCTGCGGCGGTCCCGTCCGTGTCCCTCCAGATTTTTAGCTTCTTCTTCGAGAATTCTCTGGAAACAGTAGAGTAGAATTCAAGTGTCGGCCCTAATCCAGTACCAACTTCTTCGAAGTATTCAACCTCAAGAATACTGGGCGAAGACCCGTAGAGTTCCATGACTTTTAATGCAGAATCAAGGATGCGAGAACGAGAGATCCGCACTTTTTGGCGCTGCAGCCGCCCAAGGAATGGGCGATCATCGCGGCGCAAATCCCGTCGACTGTCCTCACCATTTTGAGAATTTTGCCATCTCATCATCGCCCGTGAGTAGCCGAATGCAGTTGACTGCAAGAAGAGATGCCTTGTCTCGAATGGGAACAAGAAGGAGAAAAGCCTGGCTAGGTCTTCGCTCCAACTTGGAAGGCAATCGCTCGCCACAATCAATGGCTCCTCGAGTTGGCGATTGATCTTGGCAGTGAGCTTTGTGTTGATAAATTGTGACAAGGGTTCCGAGGTGATAGTGGCAGAGTCTCTGATGTCGGTCAAGATATCATCAATCGTTGCGTTCATTTCGTGCAAAACACGAAGCAGGCGAATGATGGATGAAGTTGTGGGGTCTTTATCGAGAGAGGCTGGGATCTCAAGGGTATCACCCTCAGAAGAAGAGCCCTGCGTGGTCGGTGTGAGCGTTGAGGGCTCTGGTGGAGGAGGGCCAGGGACACGCTTAAACGTGATGGTGTGGACTGCCGACCATACGTTCTTGGCACTACTCTCGTCCAAGTCCTCACGGTCGTGATGAACACCACGGTAGATGGTTGTCTCATTGGTAACGGGCTTGCCATCTACGAAAAACTCAAGGTGCCAGTCCTGGGGCACCGAGGCCATCGCAGCGGCATAAGATGAGAACGGGCGTCCAGCAGTGGCGAGAGAGCTGTTGCGCATACGGCTGGGGAGAGAGGTAGGGGTTGACAATGAAGGTTTGGATGCAGGCGTCTGGGAGGGAGTTCCAACTCGGGTACCATCCTCCTTACGGGCGGTGACCTTCCCCGAGGATGCCACCTCCATGTTGACTGCTGAGGGGTCGGAGATATCATCATTTTCCATATCCTCATCGAGATCATCAACAATGGCATTGAGCTCTTCTTCCTCGTCTTCCTCGCCCCCATCTTCGTCGTCGGTCAGCTGCCTTTCGTCTGCGCACTCAAGGGGCTCATCTTCATGGTCTTCGTCTTCATCCCCTTGAATCCGATTCGATTGACCAGTTGGAGGGTCATAGGTACCATCCATAGTGCCATGTGGGCCCCCTGTGCTACTTGAGAGGTTCATCCCAGATCCCGAAGCCAGCTGTTCACGAAGTCGCGACGCGTTGGCAATTTGGGAAAGAATCGAGTCCCTGGTTCGTGAGGGGCGAGGCTTTTCAGCCACAGCGATTCGTGGGTGGAGGAAGTCATCCAAAGCCTTGAAGGTAGCAATGGCATGGATTGACACCATGATGTTGCGATAAGGACGAGGAACTTCTGACTCTTCGTCGGCAACCAGCTTGAGTCGAAGCTGTTTACTCAACATATAGGCGGCGTTGCTGCGGGTATTCTCCAGCGAATTGTGGCTGACAGTGAGGACTTCGAAATGTTCCGTCCTGCTAAGCAGGTCTTGCAACTTGCGGATAAGTACGCTGAAAGGTGTCGTGGCGGTGCTCTGACTTTGAGCCTTGTCTGAGATTGAAACACCCATAAACGCCCGCAGGAAGTCGGCTCTAGCGTCGCGAATAGAAGGCGCCTGAAAGTTGCCAAGAACAGACAGAAGAACCTGTATGATTCCAGAGTTGAGCAATTCAGAGCTGGTAATGCTCTCCAAAGCGTCTCCGTCAAAGTATGACGCGAGCTGTTTAAATAAAAGAAGACCGCCCTCGCCGCCACGGGAATAGCGTGACTTAATTTCCAAGGCGAGGGATTTCAGTGCTGTCAAGATCCTCAGAGCCTCTGCTCGAACAGTTTCGCCATGACTTGCTTCATATACCTCCAGGAAAGCTTGAGCATCTCGGATAACTACGTCGTTGAGAGCATTGTCCATCTTTTGTAGACTGCGGGGGCCCGCCATGAAGTCATCCTCGGAATCAGACATATCATCCTGGTCATCATCCTCACCATCCTCGTCGTCATAGTCATCGGCTTCATCGTCTTCCTCCTCATCATCCCTGGCGGCTCTAGTCTCTCCGGGAATTTGGTTAGCGCCGCGCGATGGATCTGTGTTCGTGTTTATATTTGTGGGATCGGATGAATCGGTGTTTTCCTGGTCTCCTGACAGAGTACCTTCGGATAGTTTGATGATCTCGGAGATCACTCCTTCACGGTGGAATTGATGCTGATAAACATGTTCAAGGCGTTGGAACAGTAATTCAGCGCAGCGTAAAGCCAAAGATACGAGAGAAGGGTGGTCTTTCTGGGACAGAATAGCAGCCAGGAATGAAGCATAAGGAACTGTGCGCAGGGCATCTTCAATCAAAGAAGGCTCAAGAATATGCAGCATCTTGAGCTGTGCAATCAGAACTTTCTGGCGAACATGCAGATTGACCGTACTCGAGTAGGCATCGGTCAAAGTTGGGAACAGAATCATCGCAAACCGCTTCAGCTCAGTCTTGCAGTTGACGAGCAAGCTTCTTCTCTCCTCCACGGCCTCTTTCGTTTTGGGGGACCTCAGTCCGATAGACATTTGATTATCAAAGTATGAGCTTAGCAGGTTATCAGTTTTTGAGGCATCGCGACTTGGAACACCTGGCAGTAGCTCGCAGATGACATTGAGAGTTTCAAATACTTGTTCACGGGGCCGGTGAATCAATGCTTGCATAACTAGCACGCTATCCATCTTAACGGCCGTGTTATCCACATCCTGCGGTGGTGACACGCCGGTCAAGATTTGGTAAAGCGTATCCACTACGTCCATTTTGAAAAGCTCGTTCGACAGGCGTGGGCTTGTTTTCGATACAATTGCCAATACTCTCAGGAATTGCGTGTGGATATGAGGCCCGATCAAATTGGTCGTTCCCGGCAGTAGGAGCCGAAGAACAGCTTTGAGCATTGCAGGCTCAATCAGCTCCTCCAGGTTCTCAGGCCGGTGCTTGAAACTCTCGACAATCCGTGATACACAGAGGCACCCTTGCTCCACGACCTTAGGATCATTACTAGATAGGACGTTGAGTAGCGTGGGCATTACATCCCGCACCACAGGGAACGAGTCATGGGGGAGATTGCGGCAGCAGTTGGCGGCCGTGCTGACTGCTGTGCGTTGAGTGCTGGTAGGGAAGAAATCCAGATATGTGAGGCAAGCGGTCAATCCACCTTCTCGCACAATTGAGGCTGGGAAGTCGACTGAAATCTTGGCCAAAGTACTCAAAGCCTGCTCAGCTAGATCGATGAACTGTATATCAAGCAGTTTTTGACAAAGGATGGGGACAGCACCACCATATACAACATTCGCTACGGAGCCCCGCAGGGCCTCCATCAGGTTCGCGAGAGAGCGACATGCAAGAAGCATAATCTCGGGGTTCTCTTCTCCGAACTGGTTCGGTTGCATCAGAGCCACGAGCTCCTTGACGTACGGGTCCGGCGAAAATTGACCGGAGAGATTATCCTCGTTAGAAACAAGCAAGAGATCCGACAGCTCTTGCAGAGCGATCAGCTGGAGAGACGGATCATCCTTTGCTCTCAAGTTGGAAAGGATATCTCGAAGACGTGAGGACATGCCGCTCATCATACCAGTAAGCGCACGTAGAGTGCTCTGGAGTCCCATGGGGCCTCGGCCACCGAACAGACTGCTGTGAAACGGATCCATGTCATCATCACCAAATGCCGAGGGGTTAGTACCATCGTTACTCTCTCCCGTTTGGGACCCTTGGTGTTCTTCCTGGTGCTCTTCCTGCTCAATTTCCTCCTCTGCATCTTTCATCACAACATCGGGATTTGTCTTAGCGGAACGTTTCTTCGAGCGTCGGGGTGGTGGAGACTGTGTTGTCGCGGGTCGATCTGCAGATAACAAGAAATCAGCCACTATCCCACTTAGACATCGATTTTCCACTACACGACCGGTTTCCATCCATCCATAAAACTCACCGTTCCGACTGGACTTTCGCCTTGATGGTTGTGGAGAGGTCGCCGATTTGGATGATTCCTCCGACGGTCTTGATGATGGTCTGGATAAGAAGCTCAAGTTAGCTCCAATTCAAATTCATCAGTGTGCAGCATCACCTACCCCGGTTGTGACATGGCTGGACGGCTGCGGGCGCCTCGACGGGGTGCAGCAAGAACAGGACCAGTGGATGGAGCTGTTTGGGACGCTGCAGTCCGCGGTCGCTTGGTTTTCCTTTGGGGCGGCGACGGTGCTGGCTGTGCCGGGGCGTCTGTCTGTCGGTCGTGGCGGGAAGATGCCTTGCGTTTCCGGGAGGAGGTTGAGCCGGCTGTTTGTAGCGGTGTACCGGACTCAGCAGGTGGAGGGTCTGTGGCGAGTCTCGCGGAGGAGCGAGTTATTCTGGATGACATGAGAAAGTGGTCTTTTTTTTTTATTTATGTGTGACGAGATCAGGGGCCTGAAGAAAGAGAAAGACAGAAAGAGAAGACCAAGACGGTCAAAGCGATAGGCAGATAGTTGGGTAGACAAATGACGAATCTAGAAATGTATGAAACGATGACGATCCTGGTGAACTGTGAAGCATCCACTTCACAATCCAGGGGATAAATGGGGGGTACGAGGGCTTTAAGGATGAACAGGTCCTCGCCAGTGAGAGTCCACGGAAGGTGAGTCTGATCCTCCAGGCGGCCAGTGTACTTGAAGGCGGAGAGAACGGGTGGGAATGTACCTCAGGGAAGAAGAAGCCGTGGAAGTGCCTGCGGGGGAGACGGGATAATCCTCGAGACGGTCCTGGCGGTTGGCGGAAGGCCTTTGCCTGGCCATAAGTTATGGGATATGGGAAGCTTGATTGAGTATTCGCCGGTTTCAACTCGCCATCCGCACACCTGTCGAAGGCTAGCCGAAAAGGCTGGCAAGAATGATGTTCGGATAGCTATAAGCGTTGCCGTTGGGGCTATGAGATCACGTTGATCGTCAAGAAAAGAATGATGCCAATGCCGGTCACAGATGATAATTTTTTAGATGGTGGGGGTGTGTTAATAAGGAGAAGGGGGAAGAAGGCAAAGGGAGATTGGAAAGAAGGAGGGTTGACGTGGTGGTTGTGATGGGATTCGGGGAGCGTCAGGCGGCGGAAGTGCAACATTTGATTCTAACCAGATACTTATATGCATTGAGCGTACGAAGTACAACTGTTACTTTCACCTAATATACTTACTACTATGCTTACTAGTTGCTTTATTGCACACACTACTTATAACTTTCTTTATTTCCCGGCATTTACATCTAGGCTGGATATTGGGCACGGAGGGCCCAAGACCTGTCCGACAGTACAGGTGGCAAGAAATATATCAAGGGATCCCTTTTATATCATTTACATGTTTTATTTTTTGTGATATATATTGTATTTGATATATGTGGTCCAATTATTTGGTTGAATACAGCTGATATCAAACAAGGCATACATAGATGTATATGTAGCCCTCGATGAAAAGGCCGAGAACTACTCCGTACAGTACGCAATATGTATGAAATAAGAACCTTGAGAGCTAAAAGAACTTTATTAAGCTGTTAAGCTATTAACCCCTTAACTTATATTCCTTAACTCCTATGGAATCTTAACGGTGTTCGACCCGGACCACGGAGACACGCCGAATAGAACTCGATTGACTCACCGAGGTTACGACACCTGGATCTTATTAATCACATTTAGGGCCCCCGAAACTGTAGGTCATCTGTCGGATGTTCAGAAAAAAAAAGAAAGAAAACAGGAAAAAGGAAACATAAACGGATTTCACCCATTACCTTTCACCATTCACCCCCATACTCCCGTATACGTTGGCCTTCTCCGGCGTGTTCTCTTGCCGCCTTCGGTTCGCCTCCCACCCCCGCCATTTCATTCGCAATTCGGAAATTCAACTCTTCACTTCTCACATCCCCGTCTTTCCCGAACCCTTATATCATTTCTTTCCTCGGAATTCAAGATCTTTGTAGGGGAACATATATTCTTCTACCTATCTCTCCATCATGACAATCGAAATGGTAGGCGGGCAGAGCGATGATGTTCATCAGATACCCGCCGATATCTCCCCCGCTCCGATGGAGGACTACACCTTCCCGGAGTTGCGCCTCAAGCGCACCATGAGCGACCCAGAAAAGACTCCTCTTTTGCTAGTCGCCTGTGGTTCCTTCTCACCAATTACCTACTTACACCTGCGAATGTTCGAAATGGCTGCCGATCACGTCAGATTTAGCACCGACTTCGAACTCATCGGAGGATATCTGTCGCCGGTGTCGGATGCATATCGCAAGGCCGGTCTGGCCAGTGCGGAGCATCGGTAAGGGATCCCATATGCATTTCATTCTATTTATTCGTTCCCGAAGGTTAATTTAGATTGATCTATAGGGTTGCGATGTGCCAAGTTGCAGTCGACCAAACGTCCGACTGGTTGATGGTAGACACATGGGAGCCGATTCAAAAAGCCTATCAGCCCACTGCAGTGGTGCTGGATCACTTCGATCATGAAATCAATGTGGTCCGTGGCGGAGTAGACACAGGGAACGGAACCCGAAAGCCCGTTCGCATTGCTCTGCTAGCCGGTGCGGATCTGATCCATACTATGTCCACACCAGGTGTTTGGAGTGAGAAGGATCTGGATCACATTCTAGGCAAATACGGCGTAAGTTACTTAGAATATTGGCCCCAGTTCATCCCACGCTCAAGAAATAGGCTAACACTCCTTCTCAGTCTTTCATTGTGGAGCGCAGTGGCACAGATATTGATGAAGCCCTAGCCAGCTTGCAGCCCTGGAAGGATAATATCCATGTCATCCAACAGCTCATTCAGAATGATGTCAGCAGCACAAAGATTCGTCTCTTCTTGCGGCGTGAGATGAGTGTGCGCTACCTCATCCCAGTTCCAGTCATTCATTACATTGAGCAGCATCATCTGTATGAGGATGATGGCACAGCAGAGAAGGGTAAAGAGAGGCAGGAAGGGCGATCAGGATGATACGATCTACTATTGCCTGTTAACTCATAATGACCCCTAGCGACGCGACATCCTGATGCGATACCCCTGCCTTCTGTCCTTTCCTTCGCGACAGATACTATTATTTTTTTCGGTTGGAGTTTATGGAGTATTTCCGAGTTTTAAATATGTTGGCCTTTGCCCTTGCTCGAGAATTTTGCAATTACCCCCGTGTGATGTACATATTACTTTCGGCTTGCTTTTTGTTATACCCCTGTACATATGAGGGCTCAATAGACCTCTTGGGTTAGACGTCAATTGCTTGAAATCTGTTCAAATTAATACTCAAATATTCTTTTGTTCTACAAGAATAGTGTGCTTGACGACATAAGACTTTAATATCCTGATATCAGATACACGAAATAGAAGAAATTTCCGATCTATTCTTGAATGTTCTCATTTAGGCGTCTTTTTAAGTATATATACCAAGGCGACTGTTCCGCGTATAACCTTCGATGCACCGGCCTCGGACATACTCAAATAGGCAGGTAAATCACCTCCACATTCACCATTATAACATAGAATGACACCATTTTGTTAAGACGGCATATGTATATGGCATAGAAATCAAAAGTCAGTACAAAGTACTACAGTAATCAAATCTCCCCTGAAAAGACTACTAGTATTCAAGTATGTAATTTTCCCGTCTTACCTGGCTGGGCACGCAAAAAACACCGATCCGATCACCCACTTATCATCTCCCGTTATCGACTGATCTTTGGTCTTCGGCCTCCGCGAATTAACCGGCGCCCAGGCCAGGCGTGCGCAAAGACCGTTTCACTCATAAAACCATCTTACTTCCAGTCATTATGCTATAGACATTGAGAACTGTCCGCCATGACAATATTCGAACCCGCTCACGGCCTTCCCTCGTGGCCTCTCACCCCTCCTAATTCATCCGACGCCCCAGCGCCAAAGGATGTCTCGTCAGTTGTTACAGCAATTCATGTGATCTCAACTGAGAGAGCAGCGCTCGCCCACCTTGAGCACATCTACCAGACCGACGCGCGAGCGCAGCATGACCTCGCCCGGGCCGTAGATCAGATTGCGCGGAGCGTGCGCGAGGGTGGGAAACTGGTCGTTTGCGGGGTAGGCAAGAGTGGGAAAGTCGGACGCAAAATCGAGGCTACGATGAATAGTCTAGGTGTATACAGCGCGTTCCTGCATCCAACTGAAGCCTTGCATGGTGATCTGGGATTGGTTCGGCCGGTAAGCCCACCTGCGCCTGCGCCTGCACATGCGTGCTTTTGAATCCCGGCTTTGTGCTTTTGAATGAGACGCATTGAAAGCCTTGATACTGACCTGCGAATCGCAGAATGATACGGTTCTTCTCATTTCCTTCTCTGGTCGCTCGCCGGAAATTTTATCTTTGCTTCCGCATCTCCCCGCTACGGTCCCAGTGATCGCTCTTACATCCCATACAGATCCAGCGGCGTGTCCGCTTCTCGCGTTGCACGGTCCTACGGGGATGGGCATTCTTCTGCCCGCCCCAATTCATGAGGATGAAGAGTCCTCTTTTGGTGTGAGCGCGCCCACGTCGTCCACGACCGTGGCCTTGTCGCTGGGCGATGCGCTGGCGATTGCTACCGCTCGGAAGCTGCATACCGCGACAGGGAAGAGCCCTGCAGAAGTTTTTCGGGGGTTCCATCCTGGTGGCGCCATTGGAGCGGCAGCGGCAGCGGCAGGTACACAGACACCGCTGACCACGCCGTCGAGCGGCATGTCAACGAAGACATTTGACTCCCCAACCTCGTCTGTGTGTCTTCCATGGGAGGAAATCACGAATACTCCGTTGATCCCTCCTTTCAACTTACAGTCGCCACCGGAGCAGCGTATCGTTTCTCGAGATATGCTGGTCCCCCTCGATCAAATTCCCACTGCATCTGCGTCTTCATCGCAGTCACCTGGCGATGTTCGACTTCTTGATATCCTTCTCACGGCCATCCAAAATCCCAATGCCAAATCATGGGTATTACTGTCTCCGTCTGAAATAATCCCTCCGCGACGCATTCGCGCTCTCCTTTCTCCTGGTGGAGATATGGACATGCGTGCGTCCGAGGTTACGGCCAAGAACCCCGGTACTTCCTTCGTCGTACCTCAGAGTAAATGGCTCCTAGTGCTAGAATCAACGCCCCTCGCCGAGATCCGACTAACGGTTTCTGAATCTCGAAAGGGATCAGAACCAGTCTCTGTCATTGCTGTCGTGAAGAATATGGCCTCTCCTGACAGTTTCATAGGGGTGATGGAGGCAGAGGATCTATTGGATGAGTGACATGGCTGAAACACGACGCAGTTTTTGTTCTTCTTTCTTGGATATACTCACTTGATTTTACATATCGTTTGCAATATCCTGCATCCGGTTGACGATGTTACGCCCACATAGCTTTGTTTCCCTTGCATATATCTTTTTACATGCACATTTTCAATCGAAGCCGGGGCCTTACAGCCAAGGCTGTTTATGCACAATGCAAATCAACGCCAATGATATTTCTCATGGTAATACAATTACTATGCAAAGTCCCAAATCTATATAATACAGAACACATCACAATATCCCTCCATAATCAAGCCTTAGCAATGGGCTTAATACCCTTGTGGATGGCAGCAATACCACCGGTAAGGTTCTCGAAGCCCTGACCAGGAATCAAAAACCCAGCCTTCTGAATCATACCCCTAAACTCCTCCTGGCTGGGGAAGCGCTCAATACTCTCGACGAGGTACTGGTAGCTATCACGGTCACCAGCGACAACCTGGCCAATAAGAGGGATAGCACCAAAGTTCCAGCGCTTATAAATGCCATCCAGAATGGGGTTATCAACCTTGCTGAACTCCATGCAGGCAAAGACACCACCGGGCTTGAGCACACGGTATGCCTCATTCAGTGCAGCCTGCTTATCCGTAAAGTTCCGGATTCCGAAAACAACAGTGTACAGGTCCACCGAGGCATCGGGGATATGCGGCATATGCTCGGCGTTCGCCTCGACAAAGTTCAGTCGCGACGTGTTGTAGTAAGGGGTGTCGAGCGAGCGCTTACGGCCCTCAGCCAGCATGTCGGCGTTGATGTCGCTGATCGTCACGCGGGTCTCCATGTCGTGGTTGACATTCGTGGCGTGGTCGAGCATGCGGAAGGCGATGTCGCCGGTCCCGCCGGCGATGTCCAGGATGTTCCAGCCGCGCTGGTCGGCGGTCATGGCGGGAAGGCATGAGCCTGGGTTCAGGGATCGCACGAAGTGGTCTTTCCACAAACGGTGGATGCCGAGGGACATTAGGTCGTTCATGCGGTCGTAGGAGGCTGCTACGGAGCTGAAGACAGCGCCGACTGTAGGGGGTATGGAAGTTAGTTATGGGTTCCGATTCATGTTTACTCAAATGGAGATGGTGTATCAATTGGATATGATGATGGTGATTCGTACCTCGGATCTCCTTCTCTGACTCGGGCACATTGGTGAAGCCGAAGTGTGTCATGCGATCATCTGGCTTCTGCTCCTGGGCACGGTTGGCACAGGAGAAACAACGGTAGGGGGTAGAGGGCTGGAAAGCGCGACGTTTGGCGCTGTAGTGCAAAGCTCGCCAGGCAGAGCGAGTCGACATGGTGGACATGGTGGAATTGATGTTGTTGCAAGTCTGGAGAAGCTTGAACCAGGCAACTTTTCTTTTCCAATCCCGGTCCCCACCGGGTGCGTGCCCTTAAGCATCACCCGCGCCGACCAATCAGGGGGTCTTTGAGAGGCACAACTCATAGTTATAGTGTATCTCTTCCAAGGTTATTTACCTATTTAGATATAAAAAAGACAGAAGGAATTTGAAATTCAGTTGAAATTAAGGTTTGTTTATCCCCAAATATGCTCGCTGACTGCGATGATAAATGTGTAGTTTGTTTCGCTGCACGGCCTATGTCATATACCTTGAAGGTCTTCTAAATAGACCCCATAAGATACTTTATTTTGAGGATAGGAAGCAAAAAAATAACGAAGTAAATGGATCTGCTATTCTAGGGAAATTTTTCCATTTTATGCTTTGGAAATAGCAGATATAAGATGATGGAAATATCATTTAATGAAGAATAAGATAGAGATATATATACAAAGAAAGCACCAAGTACAATAACAATCACCACATTTTCTCCCACACTCGCCGGACCCAATGCATCTTAGCTAGCTCCTCCTTCCGCCGTTCCTCCCAACCAGCTTCTTCCCAAATCTTACACTCTTCATCGATCTCCGCCTTTCCAGAGTACAAATCTGCCTCGGCAAGTTTCACAAAGGAACTCTTATGATACACCTTCCAGAAGACAAACATGATGACCCAGAATGCCAGACCGAAATACGAGGTGATGAAGCCTTGCACATTGAAAGGCTTGAAGACAGAGAAGCCATTGAAAACAGCGGTCGTGCAGCCGATAATGATAGCTAGGATGGCCCCATATGGCTGAAACGGCGCAACCCATGGGACGAATGTCTTGCGTTCAATTCCTTGTGCTTTCATGGCACGGTACCAAGCGATGAAGACACAGACCATGCCTGTGTAGGTGAGTACGAAGGCGATGGTAGTCAGATCGACGAACCAGAAGAAGACCTCGACGGAAGAGGTACTAGCCACGAGGAATGTGATGCAAGACAGAATAGATACCGTAATGACACAGTTGATGGGGATGCCGGATTCAGTACACTTCAAAAGGAACTTTGGGGCTTGGCCATCGCGGGCGAGAGAGTAGAGTGTTCGGCTAGAGCTGTAAAGGTAGGCATTACCACATGACCAACCCGATAGCAAAATCAGGAAGTTGATCAAATCGGGCAGGCCGCTGATACCAAGGTTTTCGATTCCGATGACCCAAGGCGACGCAGCGGAGCCAGAAGCACCGTCAGTAATCGCAGAAATGAGACGTGGATCGCGTGGGCTGCAGATGATGCCTACAGCCAGGACTCCGACGACATAGAATCCCACAATGCGCCAGAAAGTCATCTTCACAACTCGGGGGATGGTCACTCGTGGATTTTGGATCTCTCCAGCGGCTAGGGCTGGGATATCGGGTCCAGCTACGGAGAAGGCCGCGTAGACCATGACGGAGAAGAAGCCCAAAAATCGACCCGTGGTGCCTTCGGTATAGTACTCGAACATGACTCCTTCTGTCCAATTCCGGAAGCCGTAGGCGTCGTGCTTGGGGTTTCCTCCAACCATTGTGATGAAGGTGAGGAGGACGAGTCCGATGAGGAGAAGGATTTTCGTTGACGCTAGAACGAACTCGCTTTCGCCATACCATTTCACGGAGACAAGGTTAAGCGTCGTACAAACAACCAGTGCCATGGCTACCCATACGGCAGGGTTGACGCTTGTATTCCAGTATTGCATAATTGTCGAGACTGCAGAGTACTCCGTACATACTAGCATTACACCGCCATAGAAATATACCCAGCCCCTAGAACAGTCAGTGTCTGTAGCGTAAAGCAAAGCAGGATAGGGCATGGGAGAACTTACATAGCAAATCCAAATGCCGGGTCAATAAACCGGGCAGCAAGCTCAAAGATCGACCCACGAATAGGAAGGTATGCAGCCATTTCACCAACACACAGATTGACAGGAAGGATAAAGAGACAACCCCAAACAAGATATCCGAGGAACACTGACAACGGTCCGGCATCCCGAAGGTAGGATCCAATACCGACGAAAAGGCCAGTACCAATCGAGCCTCCAATGGCCATTAATTGCACATGTCGGGATGTCAGACCGCGCTTTGTCTGCCGAATAGGTAAAATTTCGCCCGAGCTAGTATCCTCGGGGACGGAAACGTCCGTAGAATGTTTCTTTTCCATGATGAAATGCTGTTCAATCCTGGAATGACTACCATTCAAGAAGCGGCCGCGGGGATAGCATGACGCTTTATATACGCACTGACATTGGATTTAAGGGTGTGCGGAGAGAGACGCTAGCAATAGACACTAACAATGACATTGATAGATAGACAGCATCCATGTTGATCATGCGATATTTGGAAATACTGCCAAGAGCGTGGGCCGGCGATACACGAGACCTAGCCACGACTGATAAGACAAGTATCGACAGGGATCAGAGCGTCTATCGGGGCCCTTCCCAAAAGGGGGAAGAGAAGGCGATGCTGAATCCTGGATGATCTGCCAAGTGATAAGCTTATCAAGGATTAACGGGGCGCCGACCATGGTTGACTGGAGGTTGACTCAGGTGCCCAGGTGGAGGTTGACTAGAGGTCACAGCTCAAACATGACAAACGAACTCTTTTGATAAGACATAAGACCTGTGTTAAAATGCCTCAGACTTCCACATTTGCGGGGTAACCTCTTAGTCAAAGACCTTGATATCGGAAGTTGACCGGGGGCAATATCAACCGAGACCTTCAAACTAGCGGCCTTAAAGCAATCGGAATGTCCTATCGGATTCCAATGACAAACAGATCCTGTCCGGTCTTGTCAGTGTCGATCACCTTTGGACTATGGGTATATACAAACTTGATTCTATTTTAATGGATACGGAAAATTGTGCCTGTCATGGGCTACAACCTTGGCCGTTGAAAAGAGAAAAACAGCCCCTAGCCCATGGCGTTTGGGATGCAAGCCCAGCTGGCTGCCGGCCCGTCAAAATGTGGGGGTAGACAAATTGACTTTGGCTCTGCTTCAGCCACCCTCTCAAGCTTAAGTGAGAATATCACAATATGAACTCCGTTCAACTATTCAGATTAGGATGAGAACTGTAGTCTATGAAAAGTTAAGAAAAAAAAAAGCCCTCGACAACTGTATGGAGTATACAGATACTTTTCAGTGGGAACTTTCCCCATAGAAGTGGGCAACAACGAGTATAAACAGCCTCCCGAAGCCCGTCCCCACCACTCCACTCAATATAAATAGATTTTGGTGAGCATCACGCAGGAGCTCATGGATGGGTTAATACCTGGATAAATATGTAGGGTTAATGATCGAATCCGAGAACGAAAATAGGAAACAGGTGAGATGCACCAATAGCAAATATAAGTAGGACGAAGAGCAGTAATAAACAGCACGATTCGTGCATTCAGCTCAATTAATATAAACAGATAATTAAATACAATTGCTCTACTCTATAGAATCATTAAACACGCGACCTCCAACTCCCACAAATACATACAGCAACCACCCCGTATTATTCAAACGGCAGCGGAAGGAAGCTCTCCGTATGAGCCCCATCCAATGGCCACGGCCAATCAGACAACAACTCCGGCGGCAGCTGGAACTGCATCATGTGCTCACCCATTGCTGTCGGTGGACCGACTGCCGGGATCGGGCCACTGCGAGGAATATATGTTGTGGGCGGGATAGGCATTTCGCGTTTAGCATCGATGGGGATTGCGTTATGTTGAGGGCGCATATGTGGCGCTGCGAGATTGAGTAACCGGGAGGTACGCATGTAGCCGTCGATTCTGTCTACCTGCGACCGGAGTCGTTGGCTGGCGCCGGCGGCGCGCTGGAGACCTGTTTCGAGGCGGCCGAGGAGGTCGGCCATTTCGAGTCTGTAGGGGGTTTATTGGTTTGGGTTGTTTGCTTGGCTTCAGATGGGTGAAAGACTTACAGTAATGTGCGGACGCGTTGGTAGGATGCCTCTGATAAACTTCCTTCCATTACAGAGCCGAGGATATAGCCGATTCCGCCAAGATGATGAAGCTGCGAGCGGTCAGTAAAATGGGGTTAGAAAAGTAATGATGATCGACATACCAAAGGGGAGCTGATAGCATTCAAATACTCTACGGGAACTTTGCTAAAGACACTGAGAAGTTCTCCAGCTACGTCACATTTGCGGTCTACACCAAGTTCTTCCGCTGACAGGAGCACCATCCGGAGGAGCTGCAGTGTGGCCTGTATGTTGGCAGACTGGAACCCGAACAGATCCTTGGACATGTCGCCTGTAATTGGTGGTGTTTCTTTAAACTGTGGCGGCAGCGCGGCGTACATGGACAGTACCCTATCCATGACTGCTGGTTCTGACATGGATGCCGGGGTGAACAAAGACCATACCTGTGAGGTTCCGTTGGCCGACGAGAAACGACGTCGATTACCATCAACGACGTATTCTAAGATTCGATACAGATCTGTGGTAAAGTTCCAGCCCCGAAGCCATGCTACGGGCTGCCGTGATACGACGGTCACATCGTCCGGGCCCGAGCCTGGAGACACGGGTGGCAGCCCGTAGCCGTGAGGTGTGATGAATTCATCGTCAATTTCACTTGGATATCGCACTAGAGAATGTGCTTCGCGGTATCGAATTACGCCTCCCCATACAATGGTGGAATAAATATCCAATGTATAGATAGACCAGAACTTCCTATCAGTTAGTGAAAAGCGTAACCATAGGATGAAGGACTGCATACCAGTCTTCGCCGCTCCTCTGTTTCGATAGGGCTCAAATCTTTTGGCCACAGCTTTTCATCATGAAGGCCCTCCATGCTGGTGAGAGTGTGGTACATGCCGGAATACTTTTGCATATTCTTGATCTGGCCGTTTTGAATGCTGGCAATTGCGAGGATAGCGCATGCACGCATATAGTTGATGCCTCTTGCCGTAGCAAGGTCACGGGGAATTGAATCCTTGGCCGCCGCATAAAATGCCTCGGATGGAGGTTCGGCGAGTTCATCGCGATGCCATCTATTAGTGAACAGGGCGCCGTCTCGCGCGCGCCCAGAAACCAAGGCGCAAACTGCCATTGTTGAGGCAAACAACCCCGGATTTCGGAGGTGCTCTTGGTTATGAACTCTCTCAATGAAAGATTGCTTGTGGAAAAGCGGGAAGCTAGAAATTTATCAGCCATGAAAAAGATCCCCAAGGGCAATGATAAGGTAGATTCGTACATTGGATACACAATCTCGAAGTATACTTGCACAAGATTTCGGATTTGACGATCACTAGCAATGGCAAATGCATTCCACGAGTTCCGCAATGCACTATCATCGTCATAGCTCTCCGTCGCCATGCCGCCAGCATTGAACGTAGACCATGGATCCCCAGTCAATGATGGGCGGTGGGCTGACTCGGGGTAATACGAGCTCCTAGACGCAGAGGAATTTGACATCCTCCCTGTAGCGTGCGAAGCAGGGGGCACAGGGAGGACATTGTCCGGAATAGGGGTTTTTACCACCGGCGTCTCTCGCATAGAAGCCCGGGTGCCAGCCTTGACGCCCCGGCGCTTTGCGGGGCGATCAAAGGTGCACGGGACGTCAAAGTCCGCACAATTTTGACATCTGCCTAGCGGGTCTTCGCTTCTGCCGCACTTAATGCTGCGTCTGTTGCAGAAGTCGCCTATAAATGCAACATGAGCTCAGAGCTTTCTCGTGTAGTCCGTGAGACAATTGCCGCCAAGCGCGAGTGGAGCATAAAATTGAACGTGGGGGGATCTTACAGGCTTTGGAGACGCGTTGGAGTTTTCGGGGTTTTTGCGACATTCAATTCATTAGTTCATTCCAACCTTAGAAACTGGGGTCTTAAACGCAAAGAAGCGGGAGACAATTCGTGGCCCCCCCGAGCTTCGAAAAAAACGGGGTTCGGGGTCTGCACAGAGACACGGGTCGCCGTTTGAAAAATCCTGGGGTAAAACTGTGCAGTATGGGGAAAATGCACGCAAAAAATGGCAAAATCAAGCAGCAACTTTTTCCGATGACATCGATGCGCAATTGAATCGCTGGAAATGAGTTGACTGAGAATAAAATGTCGACATTAAAGTTGCGAAAGCCACAGAAGATGACTCAGCAACGTGTCATTCCAACCTTGGGTGCTAAGTTGACGCTGGGACGATCGAATGTAGTGGAGATTTCGACGATCTTTCAATTTAGAAGATGAGAGTATATAAGATGTACTGTATACAATCTTCTAGATGAATTCTAATTTGCATGTGATAAATTTGAAAGCGCATATTCCACACTACGCATATAATGTTTGCCAAGGTGATAGATCCTTGACTATATATTTTTATATAAAAAGTTACGACCTAATCCACAGGGATCACTGCTATAGATAAGTGAGAAGGGCGTGAAAAGGAATCAAGAAAGATGTGAATACAATCTCTATATAATATACATTAAATGCGGGGTAACGACTTTTAGGACATGATCTTATACATGGATGTGTTGCGTCGAGGGTGGAACATGACCAACGCGCTCGATGGGTATGCCGTAGATAGCCGGTGCTTTAGGCAGTTGCAAGTTTGTTTGGGGAGGCTGCCAGCTCAGTCTTGCCACCAATGAGAGCCTCACTCCTACTAACTCCGTGTTCGGCGAGGACATCGCCGTGAAGCTTATATGCCTGTTCCATCTTCCAGTAGAATGGACTAGGGGTCGAAAAAAGAGCGTCAATCGACTCAAGAGAGCGATTGCGGGTTTCAGGGTAGACTGCGAAGAGACCATGTTAGATCTCACAACTGAACGCGAATTAAGAATAAGATCAAAGCATACATAGGTAGACGATAGGGATCCAGATGAGGTTAAGGCCAGCAAACAAAAAGTATGTACGACTCTAAAAGGCGATCAGCATCTCCAGTAAAGCAGAGAAGTAGAGGCAACTTACGGCCATGACATCAAACATGACGGGGTTGACCAAAGTAGTCATACCCACTCCAATGGCCCACCCTGTGATGCCAAATCCATTGCCTTGGGCTCGTAGATCACTGGGGAAGATTTCAGTGGGGACCAAGAAAGCAACCGTACCCCAGGTAGCAGCATAACTAGTCACTGTCACTTTAGTATATATAAAGACAGCGTTGCAATTTCATGCCAACATACCCCAAGTTAAACAAAAAGAGCATAGCCACAGCACCAGGCGCATATTGAGCTGCCTTCTCGGGGTTATGAAGCGAGCCTTCATAAACGGCCCCGGCCTATAACATTGTCAGGAGAGACCACCTCGACCCGCAAAAGAAAAACCCACAATAAGATTGACGGCAAACAAAACAGCTGCTCCGCCCATCAAACAAACCCGTCGGCCTAATCGGTCAATTATTTGAGCACTGATAATAGTACCTATAATTCCAATTGTGTTGATTCCTCCAGCAAGACCGTTTTGCTTCATATCATCATAACCTGCCTGCGCAAGCAGTGTCGGGGAATAGGCAGTAACAGCCTACAATCACTATTAGCACCCCGATGACCATTCAATGGAATGGTTATAAGTGACGTAACCCACAGTAATACCCGTCCAGGACGCCATAATTTGAAGCCAAACACACAACCAAGCCCGACGGCCAAGGTTCAGCCCTGGTTTTCCACCCCTTCCAAAGAAAATCTTTACAAACTCAACGGGTGAGCTGCGCTTGCTTCCCTTGGCAACAGTTATAATCTCAAGGTATTCTTCATCGATAGCATCCTGGGAGGCTCGGCCTTTGCGGATTCGGTTCAAAAGGTCTCGAGCTTCATCATTCCGCCCCACCGAGGCCAGATAGCGGGGGCTATCCGGCAACATTTTGATAAAAACAACAAGGAGGAGTGCCGGGAAACACTGGAAGGCAAGAAGGAAGCGCCATCGTACGTCCGAGTAACCGTTATCGACGAAAGCGAGGCCGAAGGAGATCCAGTATGCGACGGAGATTCCTAGATCTTGGAAATGAGAAATGTTAGCAATAACCCCCACCCCACCCACAAGTGGATATCGCGAATTTACGACTTACAATTGGCAATGAAAACATATCCCAAATAGCCACCCCGATGATTTGCGGAAGAGATTTCGGATACTAACACTGGGGTAATACCAGTCAAGGCTGCGACATCCAAGCAAAATTAGCGCCATAGCTCCTTCTAGCCCCTAAGCCAAACCAAGACTAGCAGGGGGTCCTTACCCCCGGTCCCAATCCCTGTAAGCACTCTGGCACACAACATGAAGTTCGAATCCTGCGCGGCCGCTTGCAGGGCGCCACCAACAAGCGCAAATAATGAACCAGCGAGTAGCCCGTTAATCCGACCAACTCGATCTGCAAGCCACCCGCCGGCAAAACAACCGAAGATCGCACCCAGGTAATAGATGCTAACAATGCCACCCTGGTGAGTGGTGTCGGTCACTGTCCCATCAGGCTTACCAATGCCAACCTCTGTCACATATTTCGGTGAGCTATTGACGCCACCCATCACACCCTGGTCATATCCCTCAAAGAAGATCGAGATCAGCGAGAATATCTGAATGGCAACATTCAGCTGACGCGGCGAAAGGCGCGTCCATAATGTAGTATAGCCCATTATGTATGAAAAGCTGCTTCTCTAGCTCGCAAGCGAAAAAGGAGCAATTTGAAGCAATTGTCAGACCCGCTCCCGGTATTTGATGAAAAGACGGCTAAGCTTGGTAAGGCCGGGGAGGAGCTGGTTCATGCGGGGGGGACCCATGTTCCACAGATCTCAACCTTGGAAGCGCGTGACCATTTAACATTTGCATGTAGCGTTTTGCCGGTCATCCCTTCTATTAGATCTATCAGATGGAGAATGCCGAACCGCATTTCCGGTCTCCACCATACATTAGCTCGGTATGGATTCCGACTGCTGAGGAGTTTGTTAAATAGTGTCTTAGTCCTCAGAGATGTTCATTTTTTTCTCCCGAGTTGTTTTCCTGATCTGCGGTTTGCTACAGAGTATTTAAAATTTAGAATCAAACATGACGTCCAACCCCGTTAATGGTATTAATGGCATTCCCAGCCATGCTTTAGACATCACAGTCTTGGGTTTAAATAGTGGAACCTCAATGGTTGGTGGCTGTCTGTTCACTTGAGAAACACATACTCATCTTCGGTTACAGGATGGCATTGATTGTGCCCTTTGTCAATTCCGCCAAGAGACACCCGAATCGCCTATGCACTTCGAACTACTTAAGGTAAGTGCCTACGAGTATGCTACACAAGATACGACATACTAACTAATAACGCAGTATGGCGAAATTCCACTTGAACCGGTGATCAAGAAGCGGGTGATGAACATGATCCTGCACAACAAGACCTCTCCTTCCGAGCTGTCTGAAGTAAACGTGATCCTAGGCGAGACCTTCGCTTCGGCCGTGCACCAGTTCTGTAAGGATCACAATGTGGATATCGAATCGATTGATGTCCTCGGATCACACGGCCAAACCATCTGGCTACTTTCCATGCCGGAGGCCGGCGAGACCCGCAGTGCTCTGACTATGGCCGAAGGCACATTCCTAGCCTCGCGCACGGGAATTACCTCCGTCACTGACTTCCGGGTAAGTGATCAGGCAGCCGGTCGTCAGGGAGCTCCTCTCATTGCCTTCTTCGATGCACTAGTGCTGCACCACCCGACGAAGCTACGTGCGTGCCAGAACATTGGCGGCATCGCAAACGTCTGCTTTATCCTCCCGGACAGTCATGGCGGTGTTGATGCGTGCTACGACTTCGACACTGGTCCAGGAAATGTGTTCATCGATGCCGTCGTGCGTCACTACACTAATGGCAAGCGCGAGTACGACCAGGATGGCGAGATGGGAGCCCGCGGTACCGTTGACCAAGCACTTGTGGATGACTTCCTAACACATCCCTATTTAGCATTGGAACCACCTAAGACCACGGGCCGTGAAGTTTTCCGTGACACTCTCGCCCATAATTTCATCGTCAAGGCCGAGGCCAAGGGCCTCAATCCTGACGATGTCGTCGCAACCATCACCCGTGTCACCGCCCAGGCTATCGTGGATCATTACCTTCGCTATGCTCCCAAAGACCTTGAGATTGCTGAAATATTTTTGTGCGGGGGTGGTGCCTACAACCCCAACATCGCCGCCTTTATCCAAGAAAACTACCCCAACACCCGCATTATGATGCTTGATGAGGCTGGTATCCCTGGCGGCGCGAAGGAGGCCATTACCTTTGCTTGGCAGGGTATGGAGGCTGTAGTTGGCCGATCTATCCCTGTTCCCACTCGTGTCGAGACTCGCCAAGAATATGTCCTCGGTAAGGTGTCTCCGGGCAAGAACTACCGCAAGGTCTTGCGTCAGGGTATGATGTTTGGCGCTGGTCGTGATCATCTCTCTCCAGTGAAAGAGTTGATTAACTACGTCGACGGCAAGCCTTTCGACAACAAATGGTAATTACGGCTTACGGATTTTCCTTTCTATCGAGCTCTTTGCATAACAGTTTTGGGATGCATTTACACACTATTTGGGTCTTTTGATTTTGGCGTAACTTTAGAATGAGAACATAAAGCTTGCAATATATATGGATTGACAAATGCAATATTGTTCCTCACTATATTCTCAGCATGTCAGTGAATTCCTGGAAAGCTGAAAATGAAGATAGACTCAACCGACAGAATTGATGTTGAAGCACATCATAGTGCATCCCAAGTATGCAAATCAACCAGACGATCCACCACCCCCTGCATGATAAACTTAGTAGCTCCGCACTGGTTTCGACACAGTAAATATCCATTCAGCCATTTTGCCATCACTAATGGCACGTGCTGAGCAAAGTCTAGAGCTGTCTATGTATGCCGGCAGTGGTTCGGACTGAGCTTTGACCGTGTCTATATGATCGTCCATAGCTGCAGTGGGCTCTGGAATCCCTTGCTTTTACTCCGCAGGGTGTGGGGGTGCTTTTCTCTCCGTATATCTTTTGCCTTTTCGGATCTAGATTGCAGGGCGAAGCTTTTCCTCATGCTTGGGGGTTTGTGCCCATGTTCATGGGTGATGGCGATCTTTTAGCCTGTCTTTCAGACAAGGTTAGTATCGATATAGGTGGATAACTGCCAATTATGTTGATGGAAGAAAATCAGGCTCGTACCTAGAAGGGAAAATATATATTATTAACAATAACTGCATGGCATGTACATGTATGTATATAGAAATGTTGACTATCAAACTCTACTGCGGAAGAATGAGAAAGACTAGTATGTACTAACGCGTTCTTCAACTGGCAATAGCAGGGATGCAGTGGCCGTGTTTCTAAAGCTGAAGTAGATATTTACCGAGTTGGCTTCAATGTTGAGTTATCATCAGGCATTAGTACTAATCTAAATAAGGGTATTGCAAATAAAATGGGCAATAGAAGAAAGTATGGTTATTGATGGCTGTTCAGTTGATTATATACTTATCTCTAAGTTGTATCCAATTGGGGAAATATGAGGTTAAAATCTCAAGACTTATCTTTGCATATCATACATGGATTTAACCGACAAAATGCTCTTATTACCGCAACTAATGAATTTCTTTTAGCTATAACGCCGAGAAGGAGGAATGACATCCTGAAAGACATTGCAGTGTTATCTGAAATATAACGTCCCTATCTTCTTGAGCTAAATAGATCAGACCATTGGAGACCTACGTTAATAACAGAGGCCGCGTAAGTGACCTCGGGACAATTCTTGTTACTACATCCCGTGTGGACAAAAGTACTAAACCGAATGATGCTGGGTAGTTTGTTGATTTAATTGATCCAAACCTGGTCCACACTTGCTATATACATCTACATATGTAGACGGTGCCATCAAGATAAGCCGTGCCTTACTTTTGCTGAAAGATATTGCATGCAAATATGTGCTGTTGCACCTGATATCCGACGAATCTATTTCAATTCCAACCGAAATATATTGGATTCTTCAAGTAAAGTACTTTATCTTATGATTTACCCCGCAGTTTGCATAGTGTAACGTTACAGCCCAGAGAAGCTTTGGGCTTTTCATGGCTTTAGCGTGTTTTGACGAGATATCGAATTATTCCGTAAATGTGGCTGAGAGGGCTTGAAGATCTACATACAAGGTCGTACTCGTTCACAGGCTAAGTCGATGTCCACCCAATCAATACCAGTGACGCCGGAGAATATTCACTAACTATCTCCACTCTAACTCGATATAATCTATTATATATTACGGTAGAGGCGCCAGGTGATGAGCGGGGGTGGTTGGCGAACAGCCAAGACTATCCCAACTTTGCCAAAACAACCCCTGGCAGTTCCAAGTGATCATCGCTCTGCACTCTCTGTTTGTTATCGCAAGCGCTACCACCTGGGAACACTACCATCTGAGAACATTACCACCTAGAGACACTTATCCCCTGTAGATCTTATCTTCTGGAATACCCGGCATATCCTTTTCGGGGTCCTAGCTGCATGTTCTAAACAGCTGTTTGGATACATCGAATATGGAGCTGCATACGACCTAAGAAATTAATCAAAAAAATCAAACCCCGATAGCCCCCTTCCAGGGGCTGCATTTAACAATCTCGCCATGATGTAACCGATCGTGGCATCCGTCACTTCCAATCTCGGAAGAATATCTCGAGACACGCCGTAAACCCCACTTTCCTTAGTATATAAACCACATGAACGCCCTTGAACACACCAGCTCTTCACAATGTTCAGTCTATCTAGCATCACCTGCCTTCGGGCTCTTCTTGTCGCCCTTGCGCTTGAGGCGGTCAACGCTGTGCCCATCGCCCACAAAGGTCGTGCCAATGGAGACCCAGTGGTGTTTCCCACTCCTCAACAGGTCACGTTCACCGGCGGATCTATCTCGCTCGCGGGTCAAGTAACCCTCGTGGCAGAGAATTTCACAGATGCTGCCACGATCTATGCGATCAGGGAGGTCGTAGCTGCCGCCGGTGGTAGTACTGTTCTCGCCACCAAGCCCAGTGACTCGGGCGTGCAAATTTACGTTGGCACCGAGGAGGGAGCTGGTATCGCTGTCACTGTTGCCAAGGCCCTTGCTGATACCACTGCCGAGGGCCTCGTGGCCGACGGCTATGTTCTTGCTTGTGGCCATTATGAGCAGCTGCCAACCATTGTACTCAATGGTGTAGACACCCGCGGCACTTTCTACGCTGCACAGACTCTTCTTCAACTTCTCGATGGCGCCAGTATCCCTGGTTTCAAGATGCACGACTGGCCGCTCATGCCTATCCGTGGCTCGATCGAGGGTTTCTATGGTATCCCCTGGTCTCACCAGGCACGTCTCGACCAGTTAGTTTTCTACGGAAACCACAAGATGAACACCTATATCTACACACCCAAAGATGATGCACTTCTCCGTGCCAGCTGGCGCACTCTTTACAGTGGCGACGAGCTTACTGACCTCAAGGAGCTTGTTGAGACTGCCAATGCCAACCATGTCGACTTTACCTATGCCCTTTCGCCCGGCTTAGATCTATGCTACTCGTCTGATGATGACTTCGCCGCTACTGTGGCCAAGTTTGACCAGCTGCGTGACCTTGGTGTTAGCAGCTTCTATGCCGCTCTCGATGATATCAATCTCGTGTTCCACTGTGATTCGGACACGGCAAAGTGGCCTCACACTGATAATGATACCTGGATTGCCGATGCCCAAGCTTTCTACCTGAACCGTATCCAGACCGAGTATATTGAGCCCAATAATCTCGAGAACCTCATGACCGTCCCGACCAACTATGCCGGCAGCGGATCCAACCCATACAAGACAGAATTCGGCACTAAGCTCAACAAGAATGTCCGCGTCCAGTGGACTGGCGAAGGAATTTTCAGCGACGATATCACAGTCGAGAGCGTCATGGCCGCCGACGCGAGCTACGTCACCGACAACCTGTTCATCTGGGACAACTTCCCAGTCAACGACGCCAACCGTGACCGCCTGTTCTTGAACCCTCTCACCAAGCGCGCCGCCGAACTGTACGAGCATCTTCTTGGCTTCACCTCAAACCCGATGATTCAATCGTACGCCTCTATGGTCTCGCTCGCCAACTATGGCGACTATACCTGGAATGGGCCCAAGTACGATGCTACCGCGTCTATGGATGCAAGTCTTTGGGAGCTATCGGGTACTGACACCACCGTCCACACTGCACTTGTTGCATTCGTCGATCTCAACCAGAACTGGCCATACCAAAGTCCCGAGGTTAACGCCCCCAAGCTTAGCGACGATATTACTGCTTTCTGGGCTGCTCGCAAGGCCGGCACCACTGACGGCACTAAGGCGTTGAAGGATCGCCTCGCACTCATCGTCACCATCCCTGATGTTCTCCCCGGCATGACTAACCAGGGCTTTGTCAAGGATGTGGCACCCTGGGCAACTCTTGCTGGACAGTGGGCCACCGCCTGCCAGCACTTGATTTCGATGCTCGAGGCTCTCGATGCCAAGGATCAAACTACAGCAGATGCCGAGCTCGCCTCTGCCAATGAATGGATTGCGAAGACCAAGGCTAAGACTGTCGATGACCGTACTGCCGCCGGCGAGGCCCTTCCCAAGTCGATCGTTCCGCTTACCGGTGATAAGGTGTTTGACTCGTTCGTCACTGATGCCACCGCTGTTTACAATGGTGAATAGATGGATAAGAATTTGGTAGTATAGGTTAGATAGACAGACATAATGTGCGCGTTTGTACAGACAATGCAAATATTGATTTTAAATTTTACTCTTAATTTTTATAAATCAGTGAATGGGATTGCTATTAAAACCATAGCTAAAATAGCAGTAAAATTGTGAAGAACTAATTAATGCCTAAGAATTAGTGTAGTCAACCAGGTTCAACACTACTATCGATCTGTGCACAGTTCCTGATTTGGGCATAAGAACAGTAGGTCCAAGGATCCGAGGATCAATGGTGTTCAGTCCAAATGCTGTTATCGAGGAACGAGGTAGAGAATTTAATAGATGCAGAGAAGTAGGATAAATCAAATTCGATAGAACAAACTAGGTACATGCAATGTATACACTCATCAAGTTCTGGTAGTCTGATCCCACAAACTGCCCACAGTAACACCATCCGCCCACTTCCCATCTGTCTCATCCTTCTGCACAACAAACCGAAGAGTCCGTTTCTCACCAGGAACCAAAGAGAACGAGTTATCCTCGAAATATCCCACCACACCAGCGGGGTAGTCAAGCCATGTGTACAGCGATACAGCACTCCGAGCCTCGACGGTGAAAGTGCCAGCTTTAGCATCATGGGACAGCTTGAGGTTCGGGTCTTTCAGTGCCAGGTCTTTAGGGAAGACGGGCGTGAACTGGTTTCGGTGTGTGAATGTAGTCAAGGTTTTGCTTTCGGCGTTCGGGAAACGGCCGTGAGCAGTGAGATCGATGACAAGGACGGCATCCTTAATATCATGTAGAGAGAGCTTTGCCACATTTGTTTCGTAGATATTAGTAGTATTAAGTGCTCCAACAGAGAAATGTTTGGTCAAGGGTGTACCCGCATTCCCTGGGATCGGCTTGCCAGAAATATCTGTCCAGGTAAGCTTCACAATTCCGCGGGCCGTCTCCCAGAGGTCCGATGTCACATAGATAGACAGATCGCCGGTGGTATAGTTCCAGAATGGTGAGACGATGACAGGCTTGAAGATATCACGCGCGACATAGTGAAGGACCTTCCAGCGACCGTCATACTCAATCCCAGCCCACGTCGGAGCCTGCCAGATATCTTCTAGTTGCCAGTACAGGGCTCCGAGCTGGCGTTCTGGCATTCCGCTTCCACGGCGATAGAACTGGATTTGGGACTTGTACATGTCTGCTTGGAAGAGCTGAGTGGCGTGGCACCAGGCACTGAAATGAGCGACGGAGTCTTGCTTGTTGGGGATCGGGTAGTATCTCTCCACTGCTATGGTCATTTCGGCCATTCCCAGAGATGAGTTCTTGTAGTTGTGCGTGTCTGGGCCGTTTGCTGGGTAGTGATGGTTTCGGAGCATGATGGTGCTGCTGTTGAAGTGGAGGTCTTCGTCATCTACGGCTTGCTGCCATGTTTGCAGACTCGGCATGCTGTGGTAGCCGAATTCGTTGGCGAAGCGATTGACTGGGTAGCCGGTGAAGTCGAATGCTACACCGCTGTTGTAGTTGTAGTAGTCGCTATCACCGTAGTAGTGTCCTTTTTCTTCTGTGCCGTTATCGTAGCGCTCAACCATCGGGACTGGAGCAGACAGATTAACGCTCAGGTAGCCGTTGTTATTGCTACTAGGCATGTATGAAATCGATCTTGAGTTCTCATAGACCAACGGGAGAATGAGAGAGATGAACAGATGTTCGTAATCGCCAACCAAGCGCGGGTAGGATGCAGGATCGTGTTGCCTAGCGAGTGATAGCTCCAAACTTTCAATCTCATTTCCACCCGCCCACAAAGCCAACGATGGATGATGATTGACCCGTCTTACATTATAGACAACTTCAGCAGCAACATTGTCAAGGAACGGTTGGTCCGTGGGATACAGGGCATCACTGAATTGGAACTCGCTCCACAACAATACTCCGCGTTCATCAGCAAGATCGTATATGAAACCCGGAAGATATGCGTTCGAAGACCAGACTCGGAGCATATTCTGATTTCCAGCAACAACTGCATCAAAGAGTCGCTGCATCTTGGCCTCGGTGACTCGTGGCCAGAATGCATCTGGTGGAATTAGGTTCGAGCCCTTGGCGTAGAACTCATGGCCATTCACCTCGAAATGCCAATTCGCACCAGGCGCGATACCCTGAGCCAGCTGCTCATCGGTGATGTTGGATCGGTTGAGGAAAATAGTACGGAAGCCAGTGCGTTTGGTTACGCTGGCGAGGAGGTCCTTGTCTTCGTTCTGTATTGTGACTGTGACATTGTACAGACTTTGCTTGCCCATGCCCAAGGGCCACCAGAGGTTGGGTGCATCTGCATCAACTGTGATGGTACCGGAGATGATTTGTCCAGATACAACAACATGGTCGAGCGATCCAGACTTCAATACTTTGCCTGACTCGAACTCCTTGATCTCGATAAACATAGACGGGTGTCTAGGTAGAGAGCCGAGATAGTCAACGCTTGCATTCACAACCCAGGGCTGACTCTGATCGGGGGCAAGGTGATTGATCTGGTTCTTTCGGTAAATGTCAAAGCCTGTGTTTAGAACATATACATCTTCCTCGCCTTCTGACTGCACCAGGTAAACATTCTGCCATGGCCCAGCGGGCGAGAACGCTGGACCCCAATCCCACCCAAAGTCAGACTGTTCTTTGCGAATAAACCAGCGGTTGGGGAATTCAAAAGTTCCTTGAACACCGGTAGGCCATTCTAGAGACATTGTCAGACATAGTGTCTTATCCCTTTGTTGGACACTTACTTTGTGATTTCGGATCAGCAGCGATTTCATTTGCGATCTTCGTGGCACTTCCAAACTCAAGAGAGACGGTTGGAGAGCCTTTGCAGTTTTTCAGCGCATTGGAAATGTCAAAAGTGTACTGCCGGAACTGATTTTCTGTAGTTCCTATAAACTGACCGCAGAATTCGATTGTTGTGAAGGTGTCAAGTCCATTAAAGACAAGCCAGGAGGACTTGGAGGTGCTCAGCCTGTGGAGTGTTAGCCGAAATCCTAATTAACAGTGAAGCTCACTAACAGGCCATCGATTGGTTTACTTATATAGGTCCAATTGCTCTCTGCGACCCAACGCAAGTTGAAGTCATTCAAACCATAATAGCTTCGATGTGATTCGATTTAGTATACAGAAACTATAGGAAGATGAACGCTCAACTAACGGTTCATCTGTTTTTGTTAGGTCGGTCAACACTTTGGAGTAGGAAAAACTCACCGATAACATTCGCAGCCAGAAGGTCCAAATGCACCTGTGAGGGGACATTGCCGGGGACGCTAATATTCAGCGCATTACTTCTGACGGTCCATCCATCACCACTCAGATCCAAAACATTTTGTCCAAAGGTCGTCGGCAGCACCGACGAAAGCACCGCCAGCACAAGCTGATTCCAAAGATACATAGAGCCAAAAGAAAAGTATGCCGAGATGCTTCTGCAAGATCGAGGGGCTTAGTGTATTAAGTACGCCTAATTTATCGTTTAATCCCCTGGCATACACAAAAGTACTATGATAACTTACGATGTTCATTTCGGTAAGTAGAGTGATGCGACACAACCTGGGGCATTGTAGTATGAGCTCTTGAAGTGGGGTATCTCGGCAAATACCCCCCTCGCGTGGGGAAAAGCAACGGTAGCAGCGCTAATGTACTAACTACGGTGATCCCGGGGGATAATGTCGCGAATTCCGATTCTAGACTTGAATACTAATGCAGGATGTAGCTGTGATCTGCAGTATTAGTGGAGTTATACGAAGGTTGGGAGGATATACGGGAGGCTTAAGCTTACTTTCTTAGCGCGCGCCCCTGAGGGTGTGGCGGATTGATAACATCGGAATCCAACCTTACCTATATTCTTCTCTCTTATTAAAGGAATACCTAGGTAGTATATGTGTATTACTATGTAAATAGTATATTTTTAGCAGATGCGATCAATGGAATGAGCCCCTAGATTCCAAGCTGCAATGAAGACATAGCATTCCATCTTGGATTTTGTCTAATTGAGAACATGGCTAATGCAGTGATATATACATGCTCTATACATGCTGTTTTATATCTGTACAAATGTCTGCGGTTGACCCGCTAGGTCAGATGCTTGCGCATCGTCGATACATCACTCTGTGAAAACCCAAGTCTATCAATAAGATAACCCTCAACGCCGTTTTGATACTTGTTCTCAAATGATACTAGGAATGCTGCCATGGAATCGGCTCGAACACCGCACAGCTCGAGCATACCTAGCGCCTCGGGGCTCAACATGCTGAGGTCGAGTCCATCAGATCCCAAGTTCACCGCGAATGCCTCCATGAGGTTCTCCCGGGCGCTTTCCAATGTGACTCGAGTAATAATGTAATCGTCGATAATCTCATCATGAGGTCGATTGATGAGGAGGAGGATGAGAGCGGCTATGACACCTGTGCGATCTTTACCGGCTGTGGATGGGGATTTATGATTAGCATTCATCGATTATGAAAGAGGGGGTTCGCGCACGAGTACGCGAAAAAAATAATAAACATGATAGTGAGTTAATACACGTGGAACATACCTGAGCAATGGACGACGAACGGGTCGTCTGGGTGATCTCTGATATGCTTAAATATCTTGGTGAAACATGGGGCAGCCGCTTCGAGGATTCCGAAGTACATCTTCACGAACCCTGAGGCGCCCTTGTCTTCGCCTGCGAAATCGCGGAGGTTCAATGTGGCCGGTCGCGCTCCATATGGTGACCAAATTGTCTCGACTCCTGTGATAGAAGGTGGAGGGGCTTTTTGTCGCTCGCCTTCATTCCGGAGGTCGAAGATTGTGGTGATTCCCAATTCGGTTGCGATGATGGATTTCCCGGAACCGAAGATGCCTGACAAGTTTCCTGACCGATACACAAATCTTGGGCGTAATTTGTTGCCATCATGGCTGAGATCCCTGAAGTTGAAAACACCTGGTATAGAGATAAATGGCGGCAGCGATAAGATCTTGGTTACGAGTGCCGGGGGGATGGGAGCTCTGATATCGGTATTTAATACCTCGCGAATTTGGTCTGTTTCGAACATGATTTGATTTGGGCATAGGATTGAAGACCGGAATCAAAATTTATGATCTGAAGACAGGCCTTTTCAACTATGTCATCGCGTCCTTGGAAATAGTGGAGACAGGCACCATGTCATCATATCCTATGACGAAGGTATCCAGATTCATTTTCCAGGAACACTTTCTTTTCACAGCATAGAACAATCGCTTATGTGGCCCTGTGTCTCTGTTCGGTGGCCTTTTGAGTGTTCCTTTAGACATTCTTTGTAGTCAGTTCCCCCTGGGTAGTGTTATTAGCCACAGAATAAACTACTCCCCTTTATAACGCATTTTATACCGACCATATATAGTCAGACAAGTCATAGAAAGTGAGACAATGAGACCATATTAGCAAAGAACAAATATAACAGCAAATGGTATTTATATCGCTCTTTGTGTAGCCTCTTTGTGTAGCTTCAACTTTCCACCAATAAACTCCATCTCCATCTTCCAGGTTCTTAAATCAAACTTGTCCATCTAACCATGGCATCCCAAAGCATGTACACCAGAGTTGCAGACTTGGATCCGGATAACCACTGGTTCGTCAGTGTAGCAGTCTGCCGGTACCAAGCAAACGAGCAGTTCACCGTGCTAGCTCTGAAGATTGCTCTCAGAGAGGCCATGGATGAGTGGTGGAGCCTTCCGACAGGCCCAGTCCTAGACACTGATGTAACTATTGCCGATGCTGTGAGGCGCATAGTCCGTGAGAAGACTGGTCTTGGACTCCAGGTTCATCACAACATCCAGCAGATAGAATCATCGTGGTGGAGTTTTCAAAACCGGACCCACGGGCAACTCAACTTTATGATCTACGATACATCTGCCGAACCAGTCACAATCCATTCCAACGAGTTCTTGGGGTATGAATGGGCGGGAGAAGAACGTTTTACATCCGTCAACATTCCCCTCAAAATCAGCGATTTGGTACAAACGGCATTTGCATTGCACTCCTTTGGAGTCGTTTGAGGTGTGATGTTCGAAGACTCATCCTAGAGAAGGAATAATAATACAATCAAATCATCAAATCAATTGAGATATTCAGTAAATACGTAGGACTTATGCTCTCCAGGGCTTCCCCGCATCAACCGGATATTCGGTTGGCCGCGGAGTAAGGGGATGACCTTAAAATGCCGATGCCAACCGCCCTCCATATTCCCCAGATTTAATATTCAAAGACAATCTCTCACCTTTCTCCCGTTGGAACGAATTAAAACTACAATGTTAATAACAAGAGAGACCAAAATGTCTCTAAAGATCCTTGCTCGAAATGGCGTTCGCAGCCAGCACATAAGCACAGCGCGTATCATCCCCGCACGGAGGTGGAGTAGCTCCATCTCGCAGCAACCGGGGTCTGACAGGTGATCGCATCGAAACAATGTTTTTTTCTTTTTTGGGAGACGAACGCTGACAATATGTTAATTTGTTTAGTGTTCGATTTCCTGGGGCTGTAAATAGCAAATTCACCTCAAAGATGGCCTTCCTCAAAGCCTCTGATCTGCCCGCTATCCCCACCTACCGAGTGATGGACTCAGACGGTCATCAGGTTGATAAGGCAAGACCAGCACCTGATGTTACAAATGAGGAGGCCTTGACATGGTACAAAAATATGCTGTCTGGTTGGTCATCCCACGCTTGATGCGGATATCAAGTACCTGACTTTTGGCAGTAAGCATTATGGACGTGGTCATGTTTGAGGCACAACGACAGGGTCGCCTAAGCTTCTACATGGTAGGTTCAATTTTTCAAAGATCACGAAGAATAATATGGCTTATCTGGCGGGTTACAAATAGGTTTCCGCCGGCGAAGAAGGCATCACAGTTGGATCCGCTGCGGCGTTGACACCAGATGATGTAGTCTTTGCACAATACCGCGAAGCCGGTGTATTCCAGCAGCGTGGATTCACACTGAAGAACTTCATGAGCCAGCTCTTCGCCAATGACAATGATGCAGGCCGTGGCCGAAATATGCCAGTCCACTATGGACAAAACTATCCTCGCATGGTCAGTACCACCGCTCTTGAGTACAACAATGTACTTTTCCTAACCTCACCCACACCAACAGCACACAATTTCATCTCCATTAGCCACACAAATCCCCCAAGCTGCTGGCGCAGCTTACGCACTGAAACTCCAAGATCTACAAAACCCAAACCGGGACCCCCGCATTGTGGCCTGCTATTTCGGCGAAGGAGCCGCGAGTGAAGGCGATTTTCACGCCGCTTTAAACATTGCCGCAACGCGATCTTGTCCAGTTGTCTTCATATGCCGAAACAACGGCTACGCGATCTCAACGCCAACGCTAGAACAGTATCGGGGTGATGGAATCGCCAGCCGCGGCGTGGGGTATGGTATCGACACGATCCGCGTAGATGGCAACGACATATTCGCCGTTAACGAAGCAATGAAAGAGGCGCGCCGACTTGCCCTAAGTGAGGGCGGACGGCCTGTGCTCATCGAAGCAATGAGCTACCGTGTCTCGCATCACAGTACCAGCGACGACAGCTTTGCGTACCGTGCCCGTGTCGAGGTCGAGGACTGGAAACGCCGTGACAATCCTATTATTCGACTGCGGAAGTGGCTTGAGAATCAGGGGATTTGGAGTGAGGATCAGGATAAGCAGACGCGGGATGAGATGCGGAAGGCCGTGCTGAAGGAGTTTGCTGCGGCGGAGACGGAGAAAAAGCCCTCGCTTAGGGATGCCTTCTCGGACGTTTATGAGGAGATTACAGAGGAGCAGAGAGAGCAGATGGCGGAGCTCAAGCGCATCTTGGAAACTTATCCTGATGAGTATGATCTGCGGCCGTATAAGGATGGGATCAAGGGTTTGGATTGAGGATGCTTGTCTCTGTAAAATTTACATGCGACCCTTGAGGCGTTAGAGTGTCATAATACAAGAAGCATATTGATGTAGATTCCAAGGATACATTGTCATGAATATCCCGCCTGTCTTTGCCGCAGTTTTTATTCAGCCAAGAATAAAATATACAAGCCCACCACATGTGGTCATAACATAAGAGTACATGAAAATCTAAGCCATGGTATATTTTCAGTTCTAATATCGGCCGCGGCCCCTACGCCTAGCACTTCGACTTTGCTCAACAGCAACAGCAACCTTAGGGACAGTAGCGAGACTCATATAATCACCATCCGGAGCCAAATAAATAGCACCGAGGCCCATATCCTTCGCCAAATTCACAACATCATCAATGCTTGCATCCTCGGGCGTCTGATTCAAGATAACGGCATTCTTCCCATAGTGATCAGGCGTCGAGAAGTGCTCATTAGGAGCTAAAGCCACCCAATTAGCATAAGTGTTCTCATACTCGACAATGAAGTCCGCCGCCTCGAACCACTTGGCAACATCAGCTTTGAGCTTTACGCCAGGGTTGAAGACGACAGTGTTCAAACTGCTGCTCTTAGATTTCCTCGACAGATTCTGGAAATAGGCGAGCTTGCTCGTGTCTTCGCCGTTCGAAGCCTCGTCGAAGAAAATGCCCGAGAGACGGATATTCTTCCCTGTATAAGTGGCCCAGTTGGCGTAGGTGGTGATGTCCTTTTCGACTTCGGAGCTGGCTCGTGTGCCTTGTTCTGTGTGCGTGTAGCCCAGTACTTTGGCGTTAGAATAGCTGTTTAGCTTCGCAACGGCGGTGATAAAGACGTCTTCGGGATATTCTGTGTCGCCGGGACCTGTAGATGGGTTGACAATCAGGTAGAATGGGATTGACGGGTGGGCTGCGATTAAGTCGTAGATTGTGTTCCATGCGTCTGTACCGGGCCAGGAGTATAGCGGTACTAGTAGGCCGGTTGATATGACAGTTGAGGCTAGGGTAAGAATGGTAACTATGAGAGAAAATAAATGAAACATCATTATATATGTTGGATTGAAGGTGGATAATTAAATGAATGTAACACCCACGGGATGTAAAAAAAAAAACCAACAAGACTGACAGGAAATCCATACTTTAGTGAGTAATGCACGCTTTATACATGCCAGCTGAGAGACTCCATGACCTACGGAAATAAAGGGATAGATTAGCCTCAGTCCCTATTTGTATCCAGGTACAGGAATCAGCCACATGTTTCAGGAGAAGCAGACGGTTCACAGTGAATAGTGATACATGTGCGTGCTATGAAGAATGGGCTAATGTCGGATCCCTGGATGAATGAGCCCTCGTTAAATGTCTGGTCTTGATTAAAATTCACAGAGTAGAGGAATGTGCAAGTCGAGAAATCCAGCCCTGGCGAACTCGGTGATTCCCTCCTTGGCACATCCCCTTATTGATTTGTGGATATCGATGTGTTAAGCTTGTTCGATGGAAATAGGAATTTAGATGTGTTTCTCACTTGCAATTGCTGCAATTTCGTGAATGAGATCTCTTGGTCTCTGACGCTTCGGCAGGTGGATTTGGATGGAATATATATCACACTCCAGATTCATATTAGTAAATTTCAGAAATGCTTCGACGCTCCTGCACAAGACGTCCCTGAAGGATCAAAACTTGTTTGTTCATGGCGTGAGAAGTACAATATTGAGGATAGGCCTAGAAGGTGCATGCGTTGACCCCGAACACTGCAGGTTTATGAAGATGGTGGAAATTAGATTACTAGGACATAGTACATAGACAAATAACAAGTATCGTACAATGATTAATTCATGTTGAGGCCGATAGTGATACAGAATGGACTAAAACGTCGTAGAAGGCCACCATCCGGGGTATCATGCAAATCCATATGTACATGCACAGAGATTTCGAGTCTGCCAAAGAGTCTGCGATTGCGAAGGGGACTGAGAGCTCCGATCCGAGATAGAGCCAATGTTTTATTACACCTCCGACTCAGCAGCAAAGTTCAATGCCTGCTGTTGAAGCTTCCTGTTGCGTCGAAGCAGAGCCGCGAATTTTTTGTCTAGCGAATCAATTTCTTTCCGTGTGAGCTCAAGGTCTTTTTGAGAACGACCAGAGAGATCCTTTAGTTCCTCGTTGGTCAAACTGGCAACGTCGTCGAGGGTTGGGTTGGTACCGACCATGCCCGGATTGCCTAGCATATGCTGCGCGGTAACTGCGGCGAAGGAGCGCACGGCGGCAGGGGTGGTGTTGAGATATTCTGCTGAATTGGCGACGGCCCAGTCATGTCTGTCTGCCTCCATGGCTGAAAGGACGTTAGGCGGGATCACGGATTCTGCCGCCTCAAGAGAAGAGGACGGGGATGTGGCACCCAGGCGAGTGGGCATGTCGTCAACCCAGCAGATATTGAATTTTTCGGGATTCGCGAAAAGTGCTTCCAGTCCTCCACTGGGGTTGCTCGCATCGTCACCAATCATGAAAGGATCAGAGACGTTTGCCATGGCCTTCTCCAGTTCTAGGTAGCGCTCCTCCTCCTCGGGCTCGAGGTGGCGCAGGACACAGCCGCGGGGCGTGATGAGGCATCGAGTCTTGAGGAAATCATCACCAATCCGAACTGGCTCTCCACGAAGCAGAGTTTTCCGATCCTCCTCGGTTAACTGATTGGGAGACTGAAGATAATCGTAGTCGTCCGCAGTGCACTTCATGTCAGTGCGCTGGTTGAGGTTGCTAGGGTTGAAGAGGGAACTTTTGTTGAGGTCAAGTTCGCCGGACTTATGCATCTCAGCGAGCAGCTCGTGCAGAGGCTTAGTTCGTTCAACGAAAAGATCCTTGATTGTTCTTCCAAGGGCCTCGGAATCCTTGACCAACTGGCCAAGTGTATTGTTTAAACGCCATGGCTCCACCGGGGTTTCCTTTTCAGCAAGTGGCTCTTCAACTGGGGGAGGAGTAGGCTCTCTGACGGGCTTGGTCTCCTTGGCTTTCACTTTCTTTGAGGTATCCACCTTCGGTTCGGCCTTGACTGGAGAAGTGGCTGCTGTTTTCACAGGGCTAGTCTTTTCAGGGACACTAGCAGCAGGTGTATCGGGTGTGCTCACAGTAGCCGCAGGGGCCTTCTTAGTCTTACGCTTTCGCCCCATGATAGGTGCTTGAACAGGCTCCTCATTCACAGGCACAATTTCGACTTTCTTAGCCTCGGCCTCCTTCGCCTTCTGCTTCCGTTCCTTTTTGACCTGGCTCTTGGTCATGGACCGAACAGGGGCGGAGCCGATGCGAGAAGAAGCAGGAGGGGAATTCGCACGTGAAACAGAAGTGGAAGGATAGTAATCAGCTTCCGATCCCATATCAGCAGAAGTGTCGGGGATGCTAATTGACGAAATGCTCTGTCGCCTAGAGCGGGACCTAGTACCCCCGACAACGGAAGCGGGCACAGAGGGTGTGGTTGCACTGGCGGGAGTTTCTGTCTTTGGGGTTTCTACCACACGCAAAATGCGAGGCTGACGAGGGGCAGGGGAGTCAGAGAGGCGAGAGGCGACAGTGTGAGGTGTGTCGGGGCGCGAGCCAATTGCGGAAACAGAGCTAGGAGGTGGTACTTGCTCAGTCTTGATGGATAAGGGTGGCGGGACGCTAAAGTCGAGTGGGCTGCCTTTCGTAAGGGCAGGGCTCTGACGCGACTGGGTTGCAGCCTTGGCAGAAGAATCTTTGAAATCAGCTCCAATGTTAAACTCGTTCTTGCGTTGGGTGCGAGCCTTGCTCGCAGACTTTTGCACGGGCGAACCAAAGGAGATTTGAGAAGCATCCTTCACCCGGTTTGATGTCAAAGGTCCGCCCACGGTAAGTTCGGGGCTTAAAAGACGAGAGGGGCTATCAATACGACTCTGCGATGGGCTGTTGAGTCGCGAAATGTTGGGCGTCAATCCAGGTGGGAGCATTGGAGCAGGAGAAGAGGGTTTCGAGGAACTGTGCTCCTGGAAGACAGACGATGAGGGATGAGCATGGGGTAAAGGCAGACCAGGTGGCAGAGTCGGAGTCCCAGCACGAGCGGCTGATTCACCAGGCAACTGAGACTTCAGAAACCCAAAGCTGTCGACAGGTCGTCGGTCCTTGGATTGGTCTCCAAGAGGAGGAAAGTCCTCATTGACTAGAGAGCATTGGGTCAGCGGATGTCCAAGAAGGTAGTATGTGGCAATGTGAGTGGGTGGTAGGTGACGGGATGTAAAGACCAGATCGAAATCGCTTCAGACGAGGGGCACGACTAAGCAGCGCAGCACGACTAAGCGGAGATACAAAAAAAGAGCACGAGATAATTACATGATGGGCACCTCCCGGACCAGGAACATTGCAGGACAGGGCGTTTATGTAAACGGCGGCTGTGAGGAAACTGATTTCGAATAAGACCCTTTTCGGCTTGTGGTATCAGGGTAGGGAGATCTTAACGTACATTAATCCATAATAAACACCACCCGCGGTCTTCAAGACACGGCAGATCGTAGAATGGAGCTCCAGATGCAAAAACAAGTAGAAAGGGAATACACAGCCGCCGAATACAAAGGGAGCCCTGGAACACACGCCTGTATGTCCATGAAATGCAAAGACACCTGGAAAGATCGGAAGAAAACATGCAAGTAATAGATAGCAATTGAAGGAGACTGGGGGAAAGACCCCAGTACGCCAGGCGAACGTCCCGCCATCGCATAAATCAGAGTCTGTCCGCGAATAAAGCAGAAACAAAAAAAAATGCAAGAGCTCCATGTGGAAGAAAAGAAAAAGAAAGGGAATTGATATCATGTCATCAGGATAAATCAGGCTCATCAAGGGAACAAGGTCATAGCGAAAAAGCGAGCAGGAAAATGCAGCAAATCAAATCTCAAGAACGCGTGAGAGATTCAAGGGAAACTATGGGGATTCACCACCGGCTGATGCCACCACCATACACCATCGAGGGGTTGTACCCACCTTGACCCTGACTCCCGTACAACGCTTGCCCAGCTGTAGCATTCGCACCGACTTGATGCATCCTCGCTTGCAAAATGCTCGGGTCCGCAAGATCTACTACACCACCTCCACCGGAGGAAGTGTTAGCGTGTCTGTGCTTCTTCCCCTTCTTCTTCTGCTTCTGTGGGCCACCAGAATCAGGCATTACACCCGCCTGGGGCCCATAGAAGGAGCCGAGAAGGCCATTGGCAGGAGTCATGGGGGGCGGGGTATTGTGCTGTTGAAGGAAAGGGAATATAAACTCACGCTTAGCAGCCTCCTGGCTCTGTAGACCTCCAACATTTGTACCAGTTCGTCCACGCAGCAGCTCGCGCATTAGCTCGGGAGTCGGGTCTTGCTTTCCTCCATTACCACCAAGCCCAGAGGTGAAGCCATGTCCTTGAGCAAACATTCCACCACCACTAATCGGAGGAGTGCCGGCCGTCTTGAGTCCCGGTGGGGGACCCTGCACACCACTGGCATAGAAACCGCTCGCTGAAAGACCATGTTGAGGGCTTGGAGCAGACAGAGGGTTGGGAGATGAAGACTGCATCTGGCTCAACATGCGTGCGTTAGGCATATTCTTAGAACCGGTCTCATTGGCGAAAGAAAATCGGGAGGATTGTCGGTTCTGTGCTGCCTGCAGCGCATTGAACTGTGCCATCTGATTGTGTACAAGGCCTTGGCGGATTTGGGCCGCTTGTTCCAAAGCGGCAGAGCTGAGAGGGTCAGCCAGACCAGCTTGTTGGTTACCGGCGGATTTGAGTAGCATCAGCTGCTGTTGCTGCAAGGGAGTTAAGCTTCGTCCAGCGAGATTCAAGCCTTGGAATTGATGGCTAGTCGCAGAGACAGGAGATCCAACAGTTGAGTTGTCGGCAGTATCCTGCTGTGAAGGGGGCTGGATAGCACCGTGCGACTCCCGTGTCTGGCGACTACGCGGGGGATTCGCTTCCTCTGGCTCGCCACCTAGCTGGAGGCTACCAGCTTCACGGCTATCCTCCTCAGCTGCAACAGATTGAAGCAACTCGTGTTCTCGGTTAAGACGCTCTTGTTCGACTTTCTCGCGCATTGCTCTACGCTTGACACCACCATATGGGTCGATGAAAGACGGGTAATCCTGAATCAACTTAACCTCTTCGGCGCTCAGTTCAGCTGTGCTGAAGGAAAACTTGAAATCGGGAGAGTTCATATCCTTGAGCAAATCATCAAACGGTGATGGCAGCTTGGGAGGTTGAATCCCACGACGAGGACGTGGTTGCGGGGCGGGAGATTGGGGATCGACTTGGGCGATTGGTTGTTGGGCTTCTTGGGAGATTGGAGATGGCTTCTCTGTTCGCTTCGGTTCTTCAACCGGGGTCGCAACATTGACACTTGCGGGCCGGGGGCTATTGGAAGCTTGGCTACCAGTGAGACTAGTCCTTCTGGTTCGGTGAATAGCAGTAGCTACTTCTTTGTTAGCCCAGCTGGCAGTTGACGGGAGAGCTGGGCCATCTGGTATGCCGGTACGACTGCTGATCGAATCGTCCTTACTGGGCTGCCGGCGCATAGGATGAGCGATGGGTTGAGCGGACCTCACGTGAGAGGGGGTAGGTGGGAGGTTAGGGCGTTGGGTGGAAATCGAGTTCATAGATGAGAGGTCCTGGCGGCTGTAGCTGTCGCTGTCCTCCCCAGTCTCGTGCAAGAAAGTGCAGTTCCGATTATTGCACTGCTCATTGCGAAGGAACGACGAGCAATATTTGGTTGTTCCGTATTGCGCCCTGAGCACCCGATCACCATTTCCGGACCCGTCCACAGCGTTGATGCACATCGCAGCATCGATTTTACGCGAGAAAGTCACGTAAACACCAATTCCCTGGTTAGGGTTGCCACCGGGCTTAGCCTTGCTGACCACGATCTTCTCAATCTCGCCATATTGACCGAAATATTCCCGTCCACGGAGCGTTTGAAGGAGTTGATTTTCGTCTCGGATCGTAGGGTTGAGGCCGATAACGTAGACCAAGTTCTTTTGAACAACACGGACGCCGGCCAAGTTCTTGCGACTGGAAGCCTCGATTTCACGTTTTTCGGCTTCCTTCTTTTTCGCAGCCGCTGCCTTACGATGTTTCAGTGCCAGATCCGCCTTGAACCTAAACACAGCAAATTAGTTGAGATGTGGCGAAGATATCAGAGAGTGTGGGCTGACTCACTCTTCAACGTCAGGAATCTTGTACTGGATAGTACTTTCATCGTATCCGCGCCGACAGTTAGGGCATCGTCCTTCTTCATTCTGCGTCTTAATATTGTTGTAGCAGAATTGACAAATCTAAAAGATCACATGTTAGGTCTGACACCGGCAGACAATGACGAGGCATCTGGCCCCGCCACAACGAAGCGAGTACTAGCAGAGACACGTCAGGGGTTATGATGGGAGCATACCTGATATCCGCAAGGACACGGTTTGAAATTCTTATCGGAGAGATCGAACTCTTCAATGCACAGGGGGCTGTGGGGTTGATCAGTACACAGATCGCGGGGGTTGAATGAACTTCAAGACGTACCAGAACTCGTCGTCGTCGTCGATGACAGAATCAATCAATGAAATACTGGACATGATCGCGGGGAGTTCGGTGAACGACCGGAGAGGGACACGAGATCTCAAACGCCGACAACCGATGAAATCGGAAGAGAAACTGCGGAAATAAAAGAAATACGCTGCCCCGTAAGGTGTATGAAGTTAAACGGCGGTTAGATGTTTGAGGAGGAGCGACAAGAAGAGAGGGCAAAAGAAAGGGTGGAGTTGATTGATAGAAGAGGGTGAACGGAGAGAAGAAGGAAGGAAATTGTGAAGCGCGGCTTCATTTTGCTGGCATTACCCGATTGAGTTTAGCGTGCGCCCAACACGTGACCAAAGCCCTCGACCACTCTAAACCTTCACAATCCGACTTACGTGCCTCCGTCCCCTCCTACCATTGAATCCGCCATTGCTCCCTCTACACAATGGCCTCCGCACGCTCATTGATGCGCCTGGGTTCTGGACGCTCCGTGGCATCTGCCACGAGGTCCATGGCCGCCCGCACCTTTTCCTCGGCCTCCCTTCAGTGTGCCCCCAAGGCCTCGACAGCACCGGGCCCGGAACCTGAGAACATGCGCCAGGCGCAGCGCCCGCGTATGTGGAATGGACTAGCAGATAGATAGGACACAATTGAGCTAACCGAAGTGTGTTTTGCCAGCCTCGGGACCCCTGCGCGCCCCCGTGGTCAACCCTACCGACAAGTACCAGCCCATGGCCGATAGCCTCCACGCCTATGGACAGTACGTTATGTCTTGTCTGCCTAAATACATCCAACAGTTCACAGTGTGGAAGGATGAGCTCACCGTGTACACCGCTCCCGCTGGTGTCGTTCCTGTGATGAGCTTCCTCAAGAACCACACTGCTGCCGAGTTCACCCAGATCTCCGATATCACGGGTGTGGACTTCCCCACCCGCGACCAGCGCTTCGAGGTCGTCTACAACATGCTCAGCGTTCGCCACAACTCCCGTATCCGTGTCAAGACCTACGCGGACGAGGCCACCCCCGTGCCCAGTGTGACTGGTCTCTTCGAGGGTGCTCTGTGGTACGAGCGTGAGGTGTACGACATGTTCGGTGTGTTCTTCTCCGGCCACCCTGATCTGCGCCGTATCATGACCGATTACGGCTTCGACGGCCACCCACTGCGCAAGGACTTCCCCTTGACCGGTTATACTGAGCTGCGCTACGACGAAGAGAAGAAGCGTATTGTTATTGAGCCCCTTGAGCTCACCCAAGCCTTCCGTAACTTTGAGAGCGGTTCTACTGCTTGGGAGCCCGTGGGTGCTGGTCAAGACCGCACTCCCGAGTCCGTAAGTCATATTCTCTTCGCTACTAAAAGACAAAGTCCTAACCTGTTCAATTATAGTTCAAGCTTCCCACTCCCAAGCCGGAGGAGAAGCAGGAAGAAAAGAAATAGAGAGGGACTGTATGCGTATCATTTTCCTTGCCATGTTTGTATGTACATATCCGTCAGTGTTAATCGATGGTCTTTTTTTGTCCAAGCAATATATATCAAGCCATGTAGCGCACGTAGCAGTCTACATCCCAGAGTAAACTCATAAACTAACGCCTATGTTCGGTATTAGATATTAATTTAATTCATAGCCCCAATCCACATAGAAATATATACCCTGATCTACATACTATGTAGATATCAAAGTCAATTGATTTGCGATGACCATTACAAGCGTTTGTCTTGGCGCCGGGCTCCGCCCAAGAAAAAAAAAAATTAAGCTACACCAAACATCCGACGATCAACACGACCCTAAAACCCGCCCTCGGTTTTTATTGACGAGCCATACATTCTTTAACCCACTCATCCTAATACTGCATATATCCCTACACTCATACCACCGAAACAATGCCCAAACGCAAGCTCGACGAAGTCAGCGGCCCTGCGCCGCGCCCACGCCCATCCAGCGATACCCGCAAAATGTCTATTCATGGCACTCGGTTGACACAAATGTTCGAGAACGGTGTATTGATGATCATGCGCGGTCTCAAGACGTCGCGCGGCTTTGAGCGACAAAAGCTCAGTCGGCGAGAGAAGACAGCGAAGGCACAGAAGGACGATAAGGCGTTGGCACGACTAAAGGAAGAAATCGAGACTTTGAAGGTATGTGATTTTTGCTACTGGATGTGACTTTGCATAGGTCCTCGCCTAAAGCCTCGATCTCGATCACTAATACTTGTTTTACAGGGTCTCGATTACCATGCCACATCCGAGCGATACCTGTTCAAGCAACTTGTCAGAACGAAGCGGATTGCCGAAACGAGGACGTTCGGGGAGTTCCAAGAAGTCAAGAAAGTCTCCCAGGATGGACCGAAGAGTACAGCCGAAGCCAATATCCTGGCGCGACTGTTCAAATCCACACCCGTGCAGAAGGAAATCCCCGGCATTATGGCCGGTATTCGGAAACTACTGAGAGTCGACGAGTTGCCGACCAACAAGGCTAAAAAAGACGACGACAAGAAGGATGCGCCAACGAAGAAGTCACGAAAGGAGAGGAGCGGATCCGAGTCTGAATCCGAGGCAGCGACGTCAAACCCCCGGCGCGGCGAGCAGGTCTCCCGCATCGCGAATGACATGGACATCTCCGGCTCCGACGAATCCGACGACGAAGACATGTCACAATTCAACTCACGTCTCGGGCCGGGCTCGGACTCCGAAGCAGACTCAGAGTCCGGCGACGAGGAAGATCTCGCCGCAGACGATATCTCCGACTCCATCTCCCGCTCCCCCTCACCCTCCTTCTCTGCCGCAGACTCCCCGCCAACTAAGAAAGTAAAGGGAACCAAGGGCTCTGCTGCTGCAGTTAAAAGCACGACATTCCTGCCGTCTCTAATGAATGGTGGTTACTGGTCTGGCTCCGAAGAAGCTACCGACGTGGAAGATGACGGCGCGAAGCCTGCCCGCAAGAACCGCATGGGTCAGCAGGCGCGTCGGGCTTTGTGGGAGAAGAAGTACGGAGCTACTGCAAACCACGTTAAGCAGGAGCAGCTGGCTGCGAAGTATGGTGGCAGAGATAATGGATGGGATACGAAACGCGGCGCAACTGACGGTACGAGAGGAGGGAGAGGCGGGAGAGGGGGCAAGCGTGGTGGTTTCGGGGGTGGATTTGGACGGCCTCAGAACAGAGATGATTCTGCTGGTGCTCCTCACGCTGGGCAGCGTCCTGGTGGCAAGCCTAAAGCTCCGCATAAGGATGACACGGGCCCATTGCATCCCTCTTGGGAGGCGAAGAGGAAGCTCAAGGAACAGGCCCCAGTTGCGTTCGCTGGAAAGAAGGTTACGTTCGATTAGGGTTAGGTGCTGTGTATATATACGAATCAATGTTTGAAGTACCATCACGAGCAAATTAGCAGATGTTAAAATCTTCCTGTATGCATGCACATTGAACATCACCCGACTCAAATAAAGTAAAAGATTGATTGCAATATGAATTGATACATTTGGAATAAGCTGTGTACAATTTCCAAGAGTTCCACCCAGGCACAATAATAGCAGGGAAACATAAATAGTTGCAAGATGGTATACCAAAAAAAAAACAAAAACCAAAGCCATAAGATCCAACCCAAACACGTTAGATAGATGAGTCGCTACTTAAAAACAAAGCACAGAAAAATTGATCATGAGGGATTCATGAAATGCAACCAGTGAGAGGGGTCAGCCCTGCCACTTGGCGCCTTCATGTCAGGACCAGGCAAGCCATTCGTTTGAGTCTGGGAATCCGGCTCGAAGCAAGGAATAGCAGTGAACTCGCCCAGCTCCTGCGGGAAGTTGGAAACAAAATGATCGAAGCCAAAGTGTGGAATCTGTGAGAGTGACTGCTGAGAAATGGAGAAATTTTCCGAGAGTGGAACTTCATCGCCTTCTGGAATGGCCTGGGTAGGTGCAGCAGGTGTTGGAACAGCAGCACTCACGCCAATCATGGGCGCAGAAGGAGGTGTCAGAGCCATGCCATGGAGAAGAGTAGAAGGACCCGCCATCGTAGAGGCTTGGGAGGGTACGCTTTGTGGGACATTGTGGTCACTTGAAGCATAAGCTTCCTGCTGTTGCCACGCGAGCGTGGTCGGCGAGATAGGCCCTGCTTTCCAAAGCATCTCCCAGTTCTTGAACCGGTCATAGGCAGACTCGACGGCACCTCCGCTGTTCATATCCGGCTGTGTCTCGCTCCATGCCTCGAGACGACGAATGGCACGCTCGAGCGCCTCTATGACACTGACAGCTGAACGGGCTGAGCCAACACCCATAGACATGATCTTGATCAAGGAAATGCCCTGTTCGAGGGCAGCACCAAGCCTTTCGGTTCGTTTAGTCAGACCCTGGGCCAAAATAACCAACAGAGCTGCACGGCATGAACTAAATTCGGTAAATGAGGCTCGCGCGAGACCGGTCTCATCACGGAGCAAGCGGCACAAATCGATAATTTCCAGAGCCGCTTCCACGCAATCTGTAACAAGAGTCGCACGATTCTTTGACACTCCGGACAGACCGGAAGACCCCTTGTACTGTGGGCCCTGAGAGGGGGTCTGGTAGATGCCTTTGATATTACTGAAAAGGAAAGGGCGTCCAATGAAAACTCGAGTTAGACAGTAGTCTAGCTTGAGATGAACATTAGACCTGAAGAGTGGTCCTCCGGGACTCAGATCACGACAGGTAATCTCTTCTGGTAGACTCGACCACCAATCAACGAGATGTTTCCGTAGATTTAGTATTCGTTCGAGACAGTCCTGCTGCTGCTCTTTGCGGTATTTTCGCAATGAGGTAATTTCATTTGAAACCTCTCCAAGCTTCAAAGTCAGTGTAATGAGTGCTACCATGTTTGTATGGTTTGAGATTTGATTAACGGGCATCAACCCGGGGAAATCGACCGGCAGGGGAACATCAACGTCCGGGTCCGACAACGAAGACGGTCTGCCGTGGAGGATGCTTATACGCTTTTCAATCGTAAAAGCTGTCCAGAAAACCCGATTTCGCACTTCGATCATGCGCGGAGACAGGCCTTCGCCGTGATATCTCCGATGCATTCCATTTTGAATAGCCAATTTTAGTGCTAATCCAAAGTATGTATAGCATAACCCTGAAGTATCTAATGGAAGTAAGTACGTTCCAATAAGTAGACAGGCCTGCACACTTCGAACCGAAGCGGTGGCGATGATGTCTGGTAAAAGCCTCGAGGCAAATTGGTAGAATGTGAGTCCGACCTCGTCCTCCGAAAAGTGGTGGTCTTGATTTGCCGTAGAGCCTGTGGGCAGGCAATTCACAGGTGTGGATGATTCCATATGCGCGAATTGGGTGCCCACAGCCAGAACCATAAGAATACAGCACGCCGCACCTGCATCGTCAAATGATAAACTTTCCGGGTCAGTGTAGCAAATGCCTAATTTCTCAAGTAACCAGTCTTCCTCAATGTAGAAATTATTGGTTTGTGCATACTTGAAGAAGATTTGAACAAGGAAATCGGCGACATATCGCGGTGGCAAACATGTAATTGAGGAAGACACCTGAGGTGACACAGACTGAAGTTGTGTACTTCGCCATCGTTCCTCAAAAGGCTCAACTTCGGAAGTTGCCTGCGGGGTCGGGTTTAACATGAGTGACTTCGCTCACCGAAAATTCACGGGAAACCTACCTCGGGTGCTGCTGTCTTCATCCATTCATCGATCTTCCTACGGATCTTCATTGTGAAATTCAAGTATGAAAATTCCCCGGAATATTCTGAGAAAATAGTGTCAATCAAGAAATCCCCATGTACGGTCTCCAGAGGTCAGCATACGGGTTGTGTTATCGGGCATAGCCTTAATTGTAAAATCTTCCTCATCAATAGCAAGGTCCTCTAGCTCATTGGGGTCTTCTCGGGTAGAGATCGCAGACTCAGAATCGCGGTGTTTGCTCTTCAGATCCTCTGCAGCCTGTCGCAAAGACTGAATATCGAAGGTGATATTGGGTACATAATGCGATAGGAGACGTTCCATCAGCCGCACCCGTTCTGCTTCGGCGATATCATTTCGACTCTGGGCAGCTGCTCGGTCCAAAAGTCTGGAATCGGGTATTGTGATATTAGCGGTCTATATAACGGTATAAAATGGTCATGCGGTCAACCTACGATACGGATGTTGACCGGGTTTTTTCATTGGGGTCGATGTGAGTAAAATTGCATTGGCGGCGATATCGCAGACATCTCCGACACGGCACACCTCCCTCACATTTTTCTTTTACCCGGCGGCAACCATCGCATCTGCGCAAAACCGATTTGTTAGGCGACTAGACGATTTGATTGATATACTAGGGCGATATCATACGCTCTGACTGCTCGCTTGCGGTTCTCTTCGGCCACGCGAGGACGTTTTTGCTGGGCGGGCGTCGGGGTCGAGTCGTCCATTACCGGCGGATTAGGGCATTGTCTGAAGAAGAAAGAGACAGTAAGATATTGGAAAAATAAAACCAAATGTACAAAAGTGTAGGAATATCCAAGGGTGGAAAATGGGCGTGAGGAGAAAAAGGGAAGCTAATCGATAAAGGACACCCCCGCATATTCCGGACTCATTTTGCTCCGCTCGGTCTGTTCTTTTGGGGCTGATTTGACCATTTTTTACTAATTTTGACAGATTTCGGGGCTTTTTTTTATTGGCTTTCACTTTTTTTTTTTTCATATCTATCGCTTATTTATATCACTGACTATCTCTAGTTTTAGTGAAGAATTACAAGTAGACTAACCCGAGTCATCCTAGTCCTTCCTTGCTCTTATTAACCCATATCTTATGCCCTGTTTGATAACAGAATACACCTGATGGACTTATTATATATACCATATCTCCATACGGGCTGACCTTATACCTCCCTAGTCCTGCTGGGTGAGCTCCAAATCTCCTGACAACATATTTATATCCTTTGCTGAATATTCCTTCAGTTCACTTTCTCTCTTACCTCATTCCTTTTAGGTTGGTCTGCTTTTTTGGCCTACCCCTTCAACCTCTATTGTTTTCCATTCCTACATATATATTCATCTTCATCTCCATCTATATCTACATCTTCCTGACAAGTATATCGCTAGAAGATTTGCGTCTATCTTGCGGATATGACGATAGCCATGGGAATTCTTTTTCGGGGGACCAACTGGGGGGTGAAATTGGCATTCGAATGCCTCGTTCGCCAATGCAAAAGGAGTATTCTTCTGTCTTGAGTGATTGTAGACTACGTCGATGGGTGCAAATACTGTGCGAATTGCCACTGGGATCGAGTCCTAGTCGGTTTGTCCTTCTTTCTCAATCATCGGCCCGTCTCTATCCCCTCCAGGCCTACACGGTGCGCTCCACAGCAACTCTCCCCGGACCTGCCAAGGCTGAGTCTCTAATAATGCTGAGAAGGACATCATATCTGATGAGGTCTGTGAATCACCGCTCGCCTTTAAGTCCTTGATGGAAGGTCACTAGAAGGCTGAGGCCAGTGCCACTGCCAACGAAACTGCCTAGAAACCGCCCAAAGAAAATAAACCAGAAATCGTTTCTAGGTCCAAAAAATGGCCGCATCTTATACCACACTGATTCTCACATTATCAACGAGTCACTGGCTAGGGACAGGCCAGGGGACGAACCCTTCGGACGGACCTCGGCGCCGTTAGTCACAGCGGCCAGGAGATCAAGAATATCATCACTGGTATGGAGGCCTATCCTTGCCCTTCCTCCTTCTTTCTCATGTCTCTGTCTTGGTTGGGTGGCATGACACAGCAAATCAAGGGGCGAAACCTTCCTCGGTGTGGTGTCTCAACTTCACTCAGACCTATGACATCCAAGACCACAAAATCTGGCTCGATCACCTACCCCTTCCTGGTGAAGATGGTTTGTTCCAGAACCTCGAGAGCACAGAGGAACAGCCAACTGGACTGGCATAGAGCGAGTACAACAGAATCGACTGTCGCGAATCATCGGTTACCGATACGGACTACGGACGCACATGTCGATATGATAGAACCACCGCAACAAGAAGGCTTCATCGAACGGCCACGCGAAATATCTCGACAAATATCTTGTGAGTTCTCAATTACAACGAACCTTTAAATCCGGATGATTTAAAACGATCTAACCGAGAATGTAGATAACCTAAAAGATTCGCTAGCTCCAATCCATCCACCATTATTATCGAGAACGGATCACTGAGAGCTCCTAGCAATCGAAGAGATCTCACAAGAAGAAAAAGGAATCCGAAAGTGAAGAATACACATTAAACCGTCACTTGACACCGCTGGCTGGTCATCTTTTGCCATGTCTGGAGGAGCTATGGAGGACTAGTTAGCCTTTCTTGTTGTGGGAGTTATGAGGGTACCAAACGGCTTTGCGATGCCTGCAAGGAAAAGGGGATAAATTTGGGCGTCCGGGGTGATCACATGGAGGCTGCTTAACTGCGATATTCCCCTGAATTAATCAATGATTGAGATGAAGAAGCGGCACGTTGGTGGCTTGGCGACAGTGCTGTTATGATAGCACGCAAGAAGGCCTAGGAGTGAGATAGAATATGACGCTAACGGTCTTCAATAATGATTCTAATCAATCATAGCAATCCTGGTTCTAAAATGCCGAAATAACAAAAGTATTTAGAACCCATCAACATGAGTCCCAAGCCCCATCTCAACCCCAACATCAAGCACCTTCTTCCCGACAACAAGATCCATCAATCCCATACCAACGCACTTGTATACAACATTACAACCAGCAGGGACATTAACAGCCCCATTCGCAATTCCCTCCGGTCCCAAAAGATCCCCCATCTCAATCAACTGCTCCTCTCCAAGACCCGCAGTGATCAACTCCCCAGCCTCCTCAAGACAAGCAGACTTAGAATCAACATAAACCTTCCCACCGCCCGAAAGCAGCGTCTCAGTATCAATCTCATGCATATTAGGCTTGTACGATCCAATAAGCGAGATAAACCTCTGCTTTGGGTTCGTCTGCAGCGCCTCGAACCCAAAATTCGGCACTGTAGCAGGCGTACAACTAAAGATAACATCCGCGGCAGCAAGTTCCTCGCCGAGGCGCTGCTCATAATCATCGACACCTTCCTTAGAAAACGTGCCAAAGACAACACCGGGGTAAGTCGCCCGCAACTCAGAGACAACATCCGTCTCCATCTCGGCCAGCCTCTTCGCACCGCGATTAACAAACGTCATGCGCTGAATCTGTTCCGGGTACAACAGCAGCGCGAGACGCGCATGCCACTCTGCCTGCCGTCCGCTGCCGAGAACAAGCACATTGTCTTTGCGGAGGGTCGTGCAGCGCACGAAGAGGGTCATTGTTGCCAGGGCGGTGCGGAAGGCTGTTACCTCTGCTGCGGCGAGGAGGCCTTGGAGTCGGCCTTCTGGATTGAAGATGTTGATTACGCCTTGGATTCCGGCGGCACTGGCTGTTACCACTTTTATGCCGGTGGATGCGGTGTCCGATACCGGCATGAAGATGCAGGTGTTGTCATCGCTTGTGGTGAAGACTGTGCGGAGGGGTTGGTGTATTTTTTTGGCGGATGATGGGGTTGAAGGCTTTGACTCTTGGGTTATGCTGACTAGAGCGTTGCCGAGGATTGAGATGAAGCTGTGGCATTGGTCTTGTGTTAGACTGCGGAAGATTTTGGAGACGTTTGGCTCGGAGAGGATGTGCATTTTGGTTGAGTGGTTGGTTGTGATTCTGTTAAATGCTTTAAGAGCAGTTTTCTCAAGTTGATTCTATTGAAAAAAAATAAATGAGGTTCTCTTTGAGATGATGAGTAGAATATATGGGGCAGCGAGGGATCGGATAGGCCTTCCGACATATACTGACCTCGGGGAGGGGTTGTCAAGTTAACCCGGTGGGGGGCTACGATGCAAATGATTCGACTTCAATCATGCCGATTGGATATTATCAGATTATCTCTGGTTTGACCTGTTAATTTAATTCCGACCTTGACTAAAATAAAATAATCGAAGAATAGACTATTATTTTCAAACATTCATTTCATTGATCATCATCCGAAAGGACTTCCGAAGTTATCATAAAAGCAATAGCAACGCCATCAATGATGCACCCAGTTTTACGCAAATAAAAATGCAGCGAAACAGCCCGTAGGCTGTTAAGGTAAGACAAAACGATCTAGACAGTCTCCACGACATTCCAAAAGAAAATCAGGAAAGACTCGGAAATCACTTGCTGCTGCTGAAAACATTGGCACAGCGGCGCTTCAGCTCAGCAAACATTGCGATCTGAGAGTCCTTGGTACGGCCAACGGCCTCAGTGTTCTCCACGGCACGACGAAGCAGGAAGCCCATGCATTCCTGAACAGAACCCCAGGTCAACAGCTTGAAGACGTTGGGGGCATCCATGGGGGTAGCGCCGACACTGTTCTCGGCACTCTCGAATCCTTGAAGCAATTCACAGCTGACTTCGTCAGCCATACCCTGGAGCTGGGCATAGCTAACATCGACACCGTAGTCCTCACCGCGGGTGGCCTGTTGCATGCGCAGAGCATGAGCCTTGCGAACAGACTCACGGCTGTGAGTAGCAATGATGACGTTCACGGGTGGGAGTTCGGCCGGGGTATCCTTTGAAGGAGCCTTGAGCATAGAGTTGTACTTGCGAGTGAGGAGGGCGTCGATGATTTCATCATAGCACTGGTCGGTCTCGTTCTTCTCACCCCAGATGAGGTGGCGGGGTTCAGTCTTCATGTAGGCACCGCGGACCAGCTTGACACCAAGGGTGTATCCCTCAGCACGAGCAGTCTCAAGGTGGCGGGCCAGAGTGGCAGGGGTAGAGCGCAGGTAGGCTTGGTAAGTTCCATAGAAGATGGCACGGCCGGGGGTCTGCGAGTTGCAGTACTTCTGATACTTCATGATCCAGGCCTCAATGCCAGGCTGCACGGCCTGCTCTTCAGCGTCGACCAGCAGGCGGACACCGCGGGAGATGGCGAGATCGCAGACCTTTTGGATAGAGCTGTCCATGAATTCTGTGGGCATAGTCTGCGACTGCAACAGACGAAGGGCGTCATTGCCCATTCCAGTGAATCTGAAGACTTTAGTTAGTGACTGTTGTAAACTGAGAACAAAGCAATCTCGTCACACGTACTTCAAAGCGACGAAGTCGCCGGCTTGAGCCATGTCAACTGTCTGCAGGGTACCATCCATCCACATCTGAATTTCAGCCAGAGCAGCCTTCACGTCGTACTCGGCATCCGATTTCTCGCCGACGAGGACCTCTCGGGCATATCCCAGGAGTACACCACGGCATCCAAGCGCTTTGATCTGGTTGATCGAGTTTTGCACTTCGACTTTGTTCTCGCCAGCGTTAAATTGTTTATAGATGGTGTGCTTGACAAGCATATTGAGCAGTGGGTTTTTGGAGACATCCCAGAATGCATTTCGTGGATGAGCCAGCAAAGACAGAGTGTAGATGCATGGCTTGAGAAGTAGAGGTGATGATGAAACAGACAGAACCAGCAACGAGCGCAGAACAGATGACAAGGGCAGCTTAGCCAGTGGTGCTGTCAGTGCCTTACGAGGTAGCGGAGCCTGGGCTTTTGTCTGAGATTGCCATACGTTGGCGGCTGAAACTGAGGCGACTGAAGATCGAGAGTTGCTGGTGCCGCTCACCAATCTGGTGGTGTGGGCGGCAGCCTTGAGGGGCGCACGCACGGAAGGAGCACCTTTCATGAGTGGCGGTTAGATAGTGATTGGTGAAAACGAGGTATTAGGTCTGAACTGAGTCTTAGATGAAAGACTTAGAGCGACGTTGAAAATAGTTGAAGAAACAGAAGAAAAGAAACTGAAGAGCCACGGTTGAAGGCGATCTTTTAGATCGCTATGGCGATCATGCTGGTGGAACTCATTGGGTAACAGCCGGTGGCAACCGCCAGGAACACCCGGTACGGTCAGCAGGCCCATCTTGACGGGCCGGCAGAGTCTAACATTTTTTTGTACTACGATCCCTTGAAGAAATTGCTATTATTCACGTTTTTTTTAGAACTATAATCAGACTTAAGGATATAAAATTATAACGCCACGACGATCGGACCAAGCATAGGGAGATCATAGTGTCCGAGCGAGAATGACGCTTTGATATTCGCCTCTTTGCCCTTGCAGCCAACAGTAGGTTTGCAGATTTGACATACAGATGGGGTCACGGGCCGGTTTGATATTGGGACATGGGTCACCGATAACCGATAAGCAGAGGTGACCGGGCCGGTGAACCTGGCCTTGTGACTCCGGTTATTTTCGGCTTAGTGCTTTACAGAATGTTTCGGTAAACTGTTTCAATTCATGGATGTTTTTATGCTTGATTTTACGTATGTTTGTATTTAATATTAAGGTAGAATTAATCGATCCGTCAATTTTACCCCGGATTCTTCCCCATACTAACACCACGTGACCTCCGTGGCAAACGGGAGGCGAAATGTTTAAAGCCAATTTGGCCGATGCACCAATCGTAGACCGCCTGGTTACTGGAAGGTTCGGGCTAAGCAACATAGCACCGCCAGAGGCTTTGGAAATATTTATCGGACGAAATGTGTCAAGAATTAAGATAAGCACAATCTCACACGGATGAGAATCCTACAAGATATGCACCAAATGAATATGATAAGACAGATAACCGCTACCAAGCTAGCACTAAATAGCAATGTGGATGCCGATCATCTCCAGAAACTCACTCGCTGTCCCCACAACAGCGCGGTCTTCTAGATCTCTTTGGGGCATTGGCCGTCTATTTCACAGCAGTTTGTGGAAACGTGCGCTTTAAATTGCCGATTGACGGAGGACCCTCATTTCCACACTTGACCAAATCCCTCTAGTCGTTTTTATATTATCTTTCTAGCGGGGCGATTTCTCCCATTGGGGCAATATAGTAGCGCTTATTTTGTCTCATCTGTCCAGAAAAAGATAACACGGGGGCTAGATTCGTTGTATAATAAAAATGGCTTGTCTTTTCCCCGGATATTCCAAGCTGCTTTATAGGCTTCTGCGCCGCCTAGAATTTTCTGTCTTTAGCTGTTCTTCTTCTTTCTCCTCAGTTGTGTTATAAATTGGTCAATCTTATCTCTCTTCTCACATCATGAAAGACTCACCGAAGAGTCTCGAAGCGGGGGACTGTCCTGAATATGCGTATGATGACTCGAAAGCCGTAAAGGTAGAGATCACAGATGTTCCCAATTTAAAGACCCAGCGAGGTTTGAGCTCGCGTCATGTTCAATTCTTGGCTCTGGGTGGTTGTATTGGCACTGGTCTTTTCGTTGGAAGTGGTCAATCGCTGTCGACAGTTGGCCCTGGTAAGACACAACGTGCGAAACATAATCTTGATACAGGACTAATATGTGATAGCACCTTTGCTTATGGGTTATATTGTCATGTCAAGTATTGTATACTTTGTCATGAATATGCTTGGTGAAATGACTACATATCTCCCCGTCCAAGGTGTTTCTGTGCCTTATTTGATCACTCGGTTTACCGAGCCGAGTCTTGGATTTGCTGTTGGTATGTCGGACCCACTTTTCAAGACTTAATGACCCCAATGCTGATTCAAATACCAGGATACAATTACTGGTAATTCCATCTTCTGTCAAGGTTCGACTAATATCAGACTAATAAATGCCACTATGTAGGTATTCATTTTCAATGTTGCTAGCATCGGAAGTCACTGCATCAGGCCTTGTCATTGAGTATTGGCAGTCACCAGTCAGCGTGGGTGTATGGATCGCAATCATTCTTGTTGGTGAGTACATAGTGGCTCAATAGTCTAGTATTTGTGATATCCTCTAACGCAATAACTCTAGTCATTCTCCTTCTAAATATTGTCGCGGTCTCTTGGTACGGTGAAGCCGAATTCTGGTTCGCGTCACTCAAGATCCTTGCGATTCTCGGTCTAATCATTCTGGGTGTCATCCTTTTCTTCGGCGGTGGTCCTAACCATGACCGTCTCGGTTTCCGGTACTGGCAAACGCCAGGCGCCTTCGTGGAACCTTACCTAGTCCCGAACATCAACACAGGCCGATTTTTGGCATTCTGGACTGCTATGATTAAGTCTGGATTCTCGTTCATTTTCTCCCCAGAACTGATCACCACTGCTGCCGGTGAGGCTGCGTCGCCACGTCGCAATATCCCCAAGGCGGCGAACCGATTTATCTACCGCTTGTTCGCATTCTACATCTTGGGAAGCTTGGTCATCGGTGTGACAGTCGCATACAACGACACGAGCCTCTTGCAGGGTGTTGCGAGCGGTGGTTCTGGTGCTGGCGCCAGTCCATTCGTTGTCGGCATCCAAAATGCTGGTATTTCTGGGTTGAATCACGTTATCAATGCTGCCATTCTTATTTCTGCCTTTTCTTCGGGTAATTCTTGGGTCTTTGCTGGGTCTCGCACACTTTACTCGCTCGCGGGCGAGGGCCAGGCTCCCAAAATTTTCCTTCGCTGCAACAAAAACGGCGTTCCGTACAATGCTGTACTAGTCACTTGGGCAATTGGACTGCTCTCTTTCTTGAACCTGTCTTCCTCGGGTTCGACCGTGTTTTATTGGTTTACCAACATCACTACAATTGGAGGTTTCATCTCTTGGGTCGTCGTGGGAGTGGCGTATTTGGTACGTTTAAATGTCATTTTTCTGTTTACTTCATGAATAATCTTACTGACAAAATTTCTTCAGCGTTTCCGCAGTGCCTTAGATTTCCATGGGCTGCTCAAATCGCGGCCCTTCATTACTCCCCTTCAGCCGTATGGCGCCTACTACGCTATCGTCTTTGTGGCACTGCTGTCCATTACCAACGGCTATACGATATTCTTCCCGGGCTCATTTACAGCATCGGATTTCCTTGTTTCCTACATTGTCTTCGTGATCTTCTTCGTGCTGTACTTTGGCCATAAGTTATATTACAAGACCCCATGGATGATCAAAGTGTCCGAGCTTGACATTTTCAGTGGCAAGGATGAGATCGACCGGCTTGAAGAAGAGGAGATTGAACCGCAGCCACGCAACTGGCTAGAGAGAGTGTGGTGGTGGATTGCATAGAATTCTTCTTGGTCTGCTGTTATTTTTGGGACAGTCTTACCTAGATGGTGCTTTTGCGGTGCATATGATATCACGTTGTGGAAAGTTAATTAGAGATTGAGATATTAGAGTATACCAATCAGGAAACTACCTATAAAAGTTAGTTTCCTATGAAGTTCGTACATACACTGCAGTATACATTTAGTGCCGATCAGTGGGTTTGATCTTTTCTCCATTTTCCCAGATCTAAAGCAACTTAACCGCCACCACCAAACTTATCTAAATCTGCGGGGGATATTGTTTATTCTCTTGACTAATAGGAACTTCTCTGACAGGGGCCCGGTGAATAAACCGATTTCTGTTGACAAACCCTTTGAAGCCGCGTTGATAGATGCCGGCCCGGTAGGATCCACCCGGGATACCTACCGGCAACCGCTGATTGGCTGTTACTTTCAGCCAGTGGCAGACCCGCCCGCCCTACCAGGGTAGCTATGAGCTACTGACCGGTAGTAGCCGGGCCCTTTTCATAGTTTCTTCCCCGCGTCTACTTCTTCTCCAAATCTTCTCCTTTCAATAGTTCACTGGTGTTTGGAAGAAGTTAATTCATCGTCTTCATTTCAAAATACGTCATGATGTCCTCCGTTATGCGCACTCGTGCGCCCATTTCGCGCCTCGCATGCCGCATTCCGAGCTCCAGCACACGCTCCATGGGCACCTATGCCACTTTCAAGGTGCCTACGATTAACAATGAACCTAATGTGAGCTCGGTCTTAGAAGTGACATTGTTTGATTATCCGGGCTAATTTGGAACATTAAGAAACACTATATTCCTGGTACTCCAGATCGCAAGGGTCTCGAGGAGGCCCTGGCAAAATACAACCAGAAGGCCCCTTTGAACGTGCCTTTGGTAGTTGCTGGCAAGGAGGTAAGAATCAACAATAAACATTATACCTACCGAAACAACAAGCTCTGACATTTAATCACACAGCTCAAGGGATATGAAACCTTCACCCAGTCTAACCCCGCAACTCATGCTCCTGTCGCAACTTATTCCAACGCATCCAAGGCCGATGTTCAGTCCGCCATTGATTCAGCTCTCGCCGCCCGCAAGTCTTGGGCCGATACTCCTTTCGCCGAGCGTGCTAGCATTTTCCTCAAGGCCGCAGATCTTATTGCGACCAAGTACCGCTACGATATTATGGCCTTGACTATGCACGGACAGGGCAAGAACGCATGGCAAGCCGAGATTGATTCCGCCGCTGAGCTCTGTGACTTCTTCCGTTTCGGTGTGAAGTATGCCGAAGAGATTTACGCACAGCAGCCTGCTCACAACGCTCCCGGTGTGTGGAACCGACTTGAGTACCGCCCTCTTGAGGGTTTCGTGTACGCGATCAGCCCCTTCAACTTCACCGCTATTGGCGGTAACTTGGCTGGTGCACCCGCTCTGATGGGTAACGTCGTGATCTGGAAGCCCTCACCGGCCGCGATCGCCTCCAACTGGCTCGTGCACCAGATCCTCCTTGAGGCCGGTCTACCCAAGGATGTCATCCAGTTCGTTCCTGGTGACGCCGAGGAGGTGACCAGCACCGTCCTTGAAAGCCGCGACTTCGCCGCTCTTCACTTCACCGGAAGCACTGATGTCTTCCGCATGCTGTACGGTAAGATCTCACAGGGCGTGGCGGACGGTAAATACCGCAGCTACCCTCGCATTGTGGGTGAGACCGGTGGCAAGAACTTCCACTTGGTCCACAAATCAGCCGATGTCCGCAACGCCGCGGTCCAGACCGTGCGCGGTGCTTTCGAGTTCCAGGGCCAGAAGTGCAGCGCCACCTCCCGCGCCTACATTGCCTCTTCGATCGCCGAGGACTTCGCCCAGCAGGTCGTCGCTGAGGTGCAGAAGATCAACGTTGGCGAGCCATCTGAGTTCACCAACTTCTGCGGTCCCGTCATCCACGAGGCCTCGTTCAACAAGCTGTCCGGTGTCATCGAGGAGGCCAAGAATGATCCCGAGCTCGAGCTGCTCGTCGGTGGAACCTACGACTCTTCCAAGGGATGGTACATCCAGCCTACAGTCTACCGAACCTCCAACCCGGACCACCCTCTCCTTTCCCGCGAGCTTTTCGGTCCTATTCTGGTCATTCACAACTACAACGACGCCACCGACGCCGACTTCACTAAGATTTGTGACAAGATCGATAGCACCAGCACCTACGCTCTGACCGGCTCTATCTTTGCCCAGGACCGTGCGGCTGTCCAGGTCGCCGATGAGGCTCTCCGCAACGCCGCTGGCAACTTCTACATCAACTGCAAGAGCACCGGTGCTGTTGTCGGCCAGCAGCCCTTCGGTGGTGCACGTGCTAGCGGTACCAACGACAAGGCCGGTAGTGCCAACCTGATGGCTCGTTTCGTCAGCTTGCGCTCCATCAAGGAGGAGTATGTTCCCACATACACCGTTACCTACCCCAGCAACGCCAACTAATGGATATTGGTCCCCTATCCATAATCTTTAAGTTGATCTCACATGCTTTATGATCTAATTGGCGTCAATCCTGCATCCCACCCCGGCGTTTTCTTCAAATTGTGTCTACGAATTTCCAGGCAATCCTCAAAACATGTATTTATTCCAAGTCTAAAAAGACAATATGCCAAATGTACCAGCTATAACTTCTCGAAAAATAATATATCATTATGAAAATTTCGCAGGCAATTTATTCCCCTCAATCCGTAGCACAATTCTTCAAAAACTTCTGCATACTAGCCATCGCTCTCGATGCAAAAGGCCCCATCTCATACTTCTTCCCAGTCCCCTGCGGTCCACTATCAAAGATCTCCATCGAGAACCAACCCCGGAAGCCCGTCCTAAGCACCGCCCTTGCAACATCCTCAATAGGCAAATACCCACCGTCATACGGCATAGGCCTATAGTCATGACTCCAGCGACCCCTCGGTCTTAGCGCATCGATGGTCTTGTCCTCTAGCGGCGGCGACACCTTATACGCATCTGAGATCTGAAGCAGATAGATCTTGTCACCGGGCACAGAGCTTGCAAGCTCATCCATACTCGACTTAAACCGCTTCTCTAGCTCAGACTGCGAGACTGATTCAATTAAACCAGACTCGGTAGTCGGATCGCCCCATTCACTACCCGCAGTCTGGAATGTGTCCAAACACAACCCGCAATTCGGACGGTCGACAGCTTTCACTATCTCCCAGACTTCCTTCCAACCAGGCGCGTGGGTAGACCAGCACCAGTTCTCGTAGGCGAGACGGTAGTTGCGTTTTGCGAGGAGGTCGGATAAAGCGCGCAAGTCGGTGATGATGGCTTCGCGCTCAGAGTTAATTATGTGCTCTGGCGTATCTGTTGCTCCGACCTGGATATTCTATTAGCATATTGCTCTCATGACTTTTTCTCCCGCTCAAAATATATATATATCGCTGTCATACTTGCAACATATCTGTTCCCACGACATTCATAATCTCCATCCAGCCTGTCGCTCTAGCAAATGCCTCCTCGCGATTCACGGAGCCCTTCTGCCAACCTTCGAAGTTTGCGAATGGCTGCAGCATCATGATTTTCAACCTGTGTTCTTCGCATAGTTTTCGAATCTCCATGGCGACGGACATAATCGCTGGGTAATCGTCCGGCTTGATTGCATTACCGGTAATTTGCTCGCCAAAGTCTAGGATATCTGGGAAGGATAGCTCGATTGCTCTGAACCCTGCTTCGCTGATTGCTTCAAGACGGAGCGGGAGTGTGTCGGTTGGACCGCAGCCGATCGAGCAGGAAGCATATGAGAGCGGAACCTTTTCGAGGCTTGAATAGGTGATTGACATTGTTTCTTTCCTTTTGGAAACTTGCGTTAAGTAAACTGGTTATTGCGTTTCGTGACCTTGTTGGGGGTCGTTGATATTGGCAAACATGTACAACTCACTGGATGTACGAAGGAGGAGCTTCTATGAAAGATTGCCATGCTTGGCACCTTTAGGTATATATTTGCCTCAGTTGTTTCTATTTCGCCCATTCCTTCTTCATTCTGTGTCTATCGTGATGTAAGTGCTCTTGTTTAGGGCTTGTGTCGTCACCAACACATCACGTCACCCCATATCGAGCTTGGCCACAATTTAAGTCTCTGATAGACTCTACAATACTTCATTTTGCCTCACTTGCCTCTCCTGCACAAAATTGCTATCTAGGCAAGAGGCAACACAATCTGTTAACTGGTCCGTGGCGTCTCTGATTGCATATTGACAATGCCCCGGATCACAGATCCGGTTGCCACAAGCTTCTCGTTCAAGAAGAGCGAAAGTCGTCGCGGACACCTTCGTGCAAATTCTCGCTTGTTTTGCGTCTGCACTTTGAATCGCGACCCCCGAATGAGCTAGCTTTACAGTCAAGTCCAATCCACAATGCCGGCCACCATCAAAAGTATCGGCGTCGTCGGAGCCGGAAACATGGGCTCTATGATGACCCTTCGTTTTGCTGAGCTCGGCCTCGAAGTCTCGGTCTGGGATATAGAAAAGAAGAATGTCGACGAAGTTGTTAACTACGCGAGAGACGACAAGAGCATCACAGGCCGAGTTCAAGGCTTTTATGACATCAACAAATTCGCCAAGAGCCTAGAGGGCAAGTCCGACCGGAAATTATTCATGTTTTCAATCACGCACGGTGAACCCGCAGACGAAGTGCTCCGCTTGCTGAAACCCGACCTGAAAGAGGGCGATATCATCCTCGATGGCGGAAACGAGAACTACCGGAACACCGAGCGGCGCCAGAAAGAATGCGCTGCTATCGGTGTCGCCTGGATCGGAATGGGCGTTTCGGGTGGGTATCAGTCTGCAAGACGGGGACCCAGTCTCTCGCCTGGTGGAGATGCCAAAGCGATCGAGCGTGTTATGCCATTCTTGGAGTCATATGCTGCCCATGATCCCAAAACTGGGACTCCATGTGTGAAACGTATGGGTCCCGGTGGATCGGGACACTACATCAAGATGGTTCATAATGGCATCGAGGGAGGAATGCTTTCTGTTCTTGCCGAATCATGGCAATACATGCACGACGGACTAGAAATGGAGCATGGCAAAATCGGAGATGTCTTCGATAAATGGAATGAGTCCGGTGAGCTGCGAGGCAACTTCCTGATTAACATCGGCGCCGACATTTTACATAAACGGAGAACTCCCAAGGGTGATCGTAAAGGTGAAGGTGCCAGTCGGGATGATGGATATGTGCTCGATGATGTCCTTGACAAGGTGGTTCAGGATGACGATAACACTGAAGGAACTCCATTCTGGTGTTTGATGGAGTCTGCCGCCCGGCATGTGTCTTGTCCGACGTTAGCAGCCGCCCATTACCTACGAATCACAAGTGGAAACCGCGCAGAACGAGCGCGTGCTGCGAAGAAGCTGGAGATGCCCATTCCAAAACCGATTGAAAGACACCGTGACCACAGAGAGATCATCGAGAATCTACGACAAGCTGTTTACTGCTCGTTCCTGGCGTCTTTCTGTCAGGGCCTGGAGTTGATTTCCCGGGCATCGATAGACGAAGGATGGAATGTCAACTTGGGCGACTGTCTGCAGATCTGGCGAGCGGGATGTATCATCAAGTCTGATCACATCGCGGATCTACTGCAGCCGCCACTTGCAGCCCACAATGAGCTGACGAACACCAAGTTTGTGGATGCCGTTGCGCATGAGTTGGGCCAGAACTTCCAGAGTCTCAAGCAGATCGTTATGGAGGGAACCAAGTTTGATCAATATATTCCGGCTCTCTCGGCTACTCTGGAATATCTCAAGTATGAGGGTGGATTGGGACTGCCTACCAAGTTCATGGAGGCACAGATGGACTACTTCGGTGCACACAACTATAACAAGCCTGGTATTCCAGGTGAGGATCCAGGACCAATTCGCAAGGGTCCTCATCATTATGAGTGGTTGCCGGCTTAGATTGGTCCGAGTGTGTAACTCTGGAATCTGTATCACCCTAAATTGTATTTATCATCCGAAATTGTACATGTATACGATTTTGCAAACACGAATTCTGAAGATTTCCATGAAAAATTATCAACTATGACCCTGATAGGCATGTAGAGGTAGATGTAGTTGTGCTCTAAAGTTTTATAGATCACCCAAAAAGGCAAGTGGCGGCCTCAGGAACCCGCAGCACGTGGGTCTATCGAGAACCAATCGGAGAAGGGCCCTTTTGCCGCAGCCTCAGAAATTTGAAGATGGCGCAAGATGAGCTGGATCTCAGGTTTACGTTCAATCTCTTCTATATCAAAAATATCAAAACCATTTCGTCGAATTGAGTCCGAAAAACAACTCGCTCGCAGAATGGCTTCCCTCCCTAGCACATACGACGGTACGTGTACCCCTACCTCCCTCACATCACTACTACCCCTCACCACCCCACTTCGATAGAAAACTGACGATAGTGAATATAACAGGGCCCGTCCCAATCGCTGTCATCGGCGGCACTGGTCTGCGCGAGCTGCCTGGCTTCACGCAGGTGGCCTCGCTGAACATCACAACCCCCTGGGGCGCCCCTTCCTCCCCCATCACCATCCTGCACCACGAGTGTAAGCACAACAACAAGGTTGTCGCCGTCGCCTTCTTGAGCCGCCACGGATTGCACCACCAGATCGCTCCTCATGAGGTTCCCGCCCGCGCCAACATCGCTGCCCTGCGCTCCATCGGTGTCCGCAGCATCATTGCTTTCTCCGCCGTCGGCAGTCTGCGGGAGGATATTAAGCCCCGCGACTTTGTCATCCCCGACCAGGTCATTGACCGCACCAAGGGCGTGCGCCCGTGGACTTTCTTCGAGGGCGGCATTGTCGCTCATGTCCCCTTCGGTGACCCCTTCGATGAGGGTATCGCCAAGGTGGTGCGCGAGTGCGGACACAGCCTTGAGGGTGATGGTGTCGTCTTGCACGATCGTGGTACTCTGATCTGCATGGGTATGTGAAGCTATGACCCATTTCCATGACAAACATCGCTAACCATGTCTTTTACACTATTCAGAGGGCCCCCAGTTCTCCACTCGCGCCGAGAGCAACATGTACCGCTCATGGGGTGGCAGCGTCATTAACATGTCCGTTCTTCCTGAGGGCAAGCTGGCCCGCGAGGCTGAGATCGCCTACCAGATGATCTGCATGTCCACCGATTATGACTGCTGGCACGAGGCCACTGCCGATGTGACCGTCGAGATGGTCATGGGCAACATGAAGTCCAACGCCGAGAACGCTCGCCGTTTCGTGACTGCTGTCCTTGATGCTCTGGCTAGCGAGGAGAACGCCGAGCTTATTCAGGCAAAGCACCTGGCTGGTGGTATTAAGTTCGGTATTAGCACTCCTCAGACTAACTGGAGGCCCGAGGCTAAGAAGAAGCTGGACTGGCTCTTCCCTGGCTACTGGTAGATTTAGCGGCTTTAGGATTGAGGCACATATTGTTTTGACTTGTCATTTGAGGTATATGTGATGATAGCGTATATGCATTATAGTTATGAAATACCTATATGATAGGCATGATTGACATGCGAATTTGGAATGATGTGACAACACGTTCATTTGGCTCATCAAAAGCATTAGTTCCAGATTGCGCAGTGATATGGAGCAAAAAAGATGGCTCCTTGAGTAATAATCTAGTACTTAAGGTGTGTACCATAGCACCAAATCTTCTACCAGTAAAACAATACTTCATGAAGAACAACATGCATTTCAATTTGAACTAAACTGGCACTGGGTACATCGTTCGCCAGTGATATTGAGTCATCGCCTTTGTGATGAAAAACCGCACCCAGCGTAAATCGCTAATGCAGTCATCGTCCTCGGTTGGAGACCAAATTGATATCAAATTATCTTCCGAATTTCGAAGTCCCTCCCGCCAGATCTCCTCATCTGTGCTTATATCTTCCCAGCTTAGGGTGGGTTGCCTAGGTGCCTCTGCACAAGGTGCCGGAAGGGTTTTGGTAGGTCCCATCTGTCCATCTCGAGCAAGCATTCGACGTTGTGACAATCGATATCCTGAAGGGACAGAAAATCGTTCACCAGAAGCTCTGTTTGGCAGCGTCTCTACTGGCAGAGAGTCAGGGATGAGGCTAACAAAGTTGTCACAGACGATGGAACGAGCCTCCATGGCCTCTAAAAAGGCTTTGACATATTTTGGTTGCCCTTGGGAAATGGCCAGCTCGAGAGGACTAGGCTTTCCCGGCCCACTGAGCACGGGGTTTGCTCCTAGCCTGAGCAGCTCCTTTGTCAAGAAGAGCGTCCTTCTTTCTGTAGTCAAGAACAAAGCAGTTCGGCCATTCGAGTCCACTTGATCGATTTTAGCACCATGCTCGATGAGCAACTGTATTGATGCGTGTGGATGAATGTGGTCCAACCATGGATGTCTTTTGGGCTGCTTAGGCTGTCGTATTCGCGCGTGTTCATCATCCACGCCAATGACCTCGCCATTCTCGTCTTCCAGTGTTTCCACTACTAGATGCAGCAACGGCGAGAACTTCCCACGGTGTAAGTATGAGGAATTGACATCAAAGCCTTTGTCAATAAATAGCTGAAGTATCTCTACTTTCTTGAGAAGGGCAGCGGCAACAAGTGCAGCTTTGCAAAGATCGTTCTCTGGGTCAAGCACAAGATTCCATTGCGCAAGTGCTGCTTGGAATTGAGTAACTGGGCAAACGGCCGCCGCGTGCTCTAAGAACGAAGTAGATCCTTTCGAACGTCGTCTGATAATTTCGAAGTAATAGGGTATTTTGTCAAATGGTTGCTTGTCCCCTTTCTCGAGTAAGAATTTCATAGCTTCCAAGTGGCCTAACCGCGAAATTTGAGGACCATTGGAGCTTATGGCCATCGAAACCAAAGTCATCGTGTCTTTTTTGGTGAGGACGTCAAGAAAAACATCTTCCATCATGGGTACAAATTTGTCTGGATAGGAAGCTGCATTCAACGCAACTTGGGCAAAGCTCTTGAAATCCTTTCTTTTCACTTTTTTAAGAAGCGTAAGCACAGTCGTTGTTTCTCCCTTTTCCGCCGCAGAAGCAACATCAAGTTGAGAGACCGGATAATCCGGGCAACGGAGAAAAGTCTCTATAATTTTGGCATGCCCATTATTCACTGCACGAGAAACAGGTGTGTGTAACATTTGAGACAAGATAGGCCTACACCCCCTATCAAGTAGTAGTTGAGTAAGAGACATGTTTCCAGTCTCTGCTGCCACAGCAAGCAAATTGGCCCGCTCAAGTGCAGTAGTGGTTGCCAGATTTGTTTTCAGGTTGACTTTGTCCAATATAATCTGGGCAATTTGTGGATTCCTCCATGGAGAGGGCAAAGAACGTAGGTATGCATCACGTTCACAAGATCTCAACATTGACTCCCAGCCGCTGATGGTCATAGCATCGAGGAGTTCGGGAGGTACATTGTCTAGGAAGAATAATGCCATGTCTTCTTGGCCCTGGTTCATAGCAATGTCAAAGGCCGAAGTAAAGTCTGTACCGCATTTGACCAAGTATTTAACGATCTCGAAATGACCTTCGCGTGTGGCACAACACAGAAGATAGTCAGCCGACTCTTGTAGTTGATCTTTGCATGCAGTCTCCTCAATTATATATTTAAACACTGGAAAATAGCCCCCTGTAACCGCAGAATTGAGTACTGATAGGGCTACCCCTCTCGGGTGAATAGTATCCACTGGTACACCTTGAGCTATTAGGAATTTCACTACATCCAACTGACCCCGCATAGCCGCGTAGCTTAGAAGATGCCAGGATCGAAAAGGAGATCTTGAAATGATTGAAGGCAAATTTTCAATGAAAATCTGAAGAATTTCCAGATGACCATTTGCTGCTGCGATGATCATGGAAGACCTTGATTTCAGGTTCTTTTGCATATCCATGTAGATCTCACGTTCCTCCCACCAAAACTGCTGCGTTTGCATAAAATCAAACAATTTGTAACCGGTAGACAGTAGCTTCCTTATGGCTTTTGAATTTCCGGTCTCCACAAGGCGCAGAATGTTGAGTTCGCAGCTATTCGCAAAAATTGAATAAAGCTGAGGGTTGAATATGGTGTGAAACAAGCGACAAGTCTGTGACATGGCATTTAATTCTGATGCATATTGTAGGTTTGGCGGTATGAAGAGTAAAAGCTCCAAGGGCAGTGAGGATAAAGACATTTATGCGCAGTGTCGTAGTTGAGTTTGTAGTTCTCCTTTCAACAGGTGGTGATAGATTTCCTAATTCTGACACGGTATACGGAATGTATGCCTGAGGCATCAATGACGCTCCGACTTTGGGACTCACCGACTAGCTGGATAATCTGCCATCCTTATCTTTCCCCGGACACCTACATCAATAAGTGCGCCAATCAGCCCAGACTGTGCCTTGCATTTCCATGATGTACCAGCTGGACGAATGATATTGTTAATCCAACAACTGCGCCGCTATTGCCTTGCTATCCTTCTCTTTACGCCCCTTCGCCTTTGAACATAACTTGAACACCCGTCTTGAGCCAAGTTCGAATGATGCATGCTGGAGACTTGCACTCCCTGATAATATGAGTGGTGGTGATACTGCAAACTTGTGGATATTTTCAAGAAACACATTGGCTTATCGTGGGTTGCTGAGTCGTCAGAATGAGCCCTGCTGCAGATACCAGTGAAGCTCCGTCACAGCGGAAGATGGCTGAACATGGCGCGGAAAATGGGACCAATGGGAGCTTGAAGGGTGAGAAAAAATCATTACCTCATTATGTTGAGGGGAAGGGCAGTCGAGTAGATCCGCCTACGGCACAATCCAACGGCGAGACTGACCAACGCCCAACCAATGGAGACGATGGCACAAATGGGCAACGGAAACACGATACGACTTTGACACGGCACCTTGTTCATGGAGGAAACAAAATGGTCGACATGGAATGCGAGCAGGGACTCGGGATCATAATCGAGCATTCACCAAACAACGGAGACACTCCTGGCCAGTTGTCGGTAGTGGATGTGTATGATGGCCCCAAGGTCAAGGCTGCTTTGGTTGAGTTATCTAATGATCTGTCTCCCCGGCTACCAGAGGACAAAGACAAGGTCATGAAATTGTCTCCTGAGAAAATTCAGGAGCTCACGTCCACGCCAGACTCCATACCTTACCGTCCCGTAGGACCAGAAACAAACACTGGAAGGCGAGCAACCTCGCACAACACCCATGGGAATGGTACTTTCGCAAGGCCGGAGTTACCAGAGTTTGTGCTTCAGTCAATGAGCGAAAAGCCGTCGCCCGTGGACGTGCCGAAATTGCGGTCCACTCAAGAAGTGTTACTGGGAGATGCTTCTACCACGGCGAGTCAAACCTTCCCACTGAATACTCAAAATTCCTCCCTCCGTAATCGACCGCAGCCAGCACGAACAGCTTCCACTCCGGGCTCCACGCGGCGTCAATTGCCCGTTACCCCAGGTAATGGCCGACTAACCCAGACATGGGCAGCGCGTTCGAAACAGGACCGACCCGCGCTGGACCGCGAGTTGAAGGGTCACCTTATTGCATCACCTCAAATTATAGAATCGCCCATGTCCACACCCTTGCCATCGTCTATCCCCTTACCACCAGTTTCTCTGCCAACCTATCTTCAGCTTGAGCTCGCTTCTGGTCGACCTTCACCACTATACATACACCGTGATGCGTCCAACGACTTCCCCTATGAATCATCACGAGTCAAGATCGAGAGACTCATGAACTTCATTATGCTTGCACCTATGCTCGAGCAGGTGCTTTGCTTTGGGGGTCTTGCTTGCCTTGATGCATGGCTTTACTCGTTCACGATAATGCCACTGCGGTTTATCAAGGCTGTCTATATCTTGGTCGAATCATGGGTGATGAACCTGGGAGCTGAGATACGGTTCATTTGGAAATTCGTGCTGAATGGGATTGGTCGAGTATGGCGTCGGAGGAATCATATTGTTGAGGAGCAGCGTGGACGCCGCGAAAGCGAATCTGACACCACCCCTCATCTACCTCAGGGCCCTTCTATGGGTTCAGATATAGCACCAGATAGAGACTCCAAACAGTCACAGCCGGAAGGACCAAGAAGGAAACATCGGTCCTCTGAATCCCGCAAACATCACCATAGGCGGAAGAAGTCGATGCCCTCGGCGCTACTTCCAGACGACAAAGCGGATATCCTGACAGGCCTATTGACAATAGCCACCTGCTGTGTTTTGATGTACTTCGATGCAAGCCGAATGTACCACTGGATTCGTGGACAGGCTGCTATCAAGTTATACGTTATCTACAATGTGTTGGAGGTCAGCGACAGGCTCTTGGCTGCCATAGGCCAAGATGTCCTGGAGTGTCTTTTCTCGCGGGAAGCTCTAGAGCGTCGTCCGGACGGCCGAAGCAAGATCATCCGTCCATTCTGGTTGTTCCTGGTGGCACTGGTTTACACAGTATCTCATGCACTGTCCCTGTTCTACCAGGTCATGACCCTGAATGTGGCAGTGAACTCATACTCCAACGCACTGATTACGCTACTTCTATCGAACCAGTTTGTGGAGATCAAATCCACCGTCTTCCGCAAGTTTGAGAAAGAAAACCTCTTCCAGCTCACCTGTGCGGACGTCGTGGAACGGTTCCAGCTATGGTTGATGCTTACCATCATCGCTTCCCGTAATATCGTGGAGACAGGCGCATTCAATTTCGTCGGTAACCTGGGCCTGGGATCTAGCTTCCCAGGCCAGTCCACCACAATCAACAACAGCACACCACTGTCCACGCCTCCCCGCACAGCATCATCCATCCTCCCTCAGGCGTTCACTCTGTTCCCATCCTCTATCCTATCATCCTTCAACAGCGTCAACTCCTTCATCCCAACCATAGCCCAAGTCCTAGGCCCATTCCTAGTCGTTCTAGGCTCAGAGATGCTAGTCGACTGGCTCAAACACGCCTACATCAACAAATTCAACAACAACCGTCCAGCCATATACGGCCGCTTCCTCGACGTCCTAGCAAAAGATTACTACACCAACGCCTTCGGCGAACAAAACCTAACCCGTCGCATCGGCCTACCCGTCATCCCTCTCTCTTGCCTCTTTTTCCGAGTTTCCGTCCAAACCTACCAAATGTTCCTCGCCGCCCTTCTCCCCCAACACCCCTCCTCAACAGCAAACGGAGCAACATCCCTAACCTCAATCCACAATAATTATGCCCCTTCCCCAATGACCTCAGCCCCACCCTTGACGTTCGCAACTCTTCTCCCGGCCTCCGCCGCCCACGTCAGCGCGTTATTCCGCACACTCCTCGAAAACGCAATTCCGTCCCCGGCACAGTCGGTACATATCTTTACCGGCATCTTGCTACTGACCGGATTCATCGTCCTGCTCATCTTGAAGCTCTTACTGGGGATGGCTCTGCTGGCGTTTGCACGCTCCCGGTACAGGAAGATGAAGTGTCGTGAGAACGAGCGCAAACAGTCCTCGAATCACCAGTCTGGTACTGAGAGTGGGGCACCTCGGACTCGGGATTTCTATGTTGAGGGCAGTCAGCGCGTTGGCGGGTGGGGTGTTGTGGAGGTTGGTGATGAGAAGAGGAAGTTGATCTATGCGGATGATCCGGATGGATTGAAGCGGTTGAAAGAGAAGGAGGAGAAGGATAAGAGTAAGGATGGGGAGTTTAATGTTGATCACGTACAGCGGTATGAGATGATTGCTAAGAAGATTTGGTGATTAGATGGTGGAAGCCTTAGGTGTTGACTGTTTATAACTTAATTGTACAGTTGTGTAACTAATACTAATCCTACTTTATTCTTTCGGGCCATGGAATCTTGTACTAAAAGTGGATATCATATCACTTCAAGCTACTTGTTCATACATTCAATGTAATAAATGGGGGAATAAAGAGTGATCAATTCAATGTCATCGGGAATAAGAATTGTGGGAAGGATATCAGAGTAAGGGGAATATAGGGGATATGGTATGTACAAGATCTCGAGAGGCTCGCTAGTCGTGATCAGTATTAGCGAGTGGTCTGGTCATCAAGCACAGGAGAGCCAGCTCCTGGTTTTCATCATATTAAGGTCTCACGGCCTTCAGATGAAGGCTACGGTGATGAGTCTTATCAATATTGGTGGGTATTTGCGCGAGTGAACGTGTGCCCTGGTGGAGCGCGATGCATGGCCGAGGGCGAAGCGGTGTTTGCTCGAGTATAGCTGGACGGACCGGGAGGTCCATGGGAGTGAGGCTGGGGTGCGTGATGAGCCATTGATGGGTTGAAAGCTGCATAGCCGCCATTTTGAGAGGCAAGTTGAGGAGCAGGAGTTGCTGAACTCATTGGAGTGAACGTCCTTGGTGGAGGCTGTGCTGTTGCAGATGCTTGTGGGGGAGGTGTGGGTCGGTAGCTTGCCGGGGTGTTGGACCGATATGGAGCAGGCGTCCCACCAGTGCTAGCCGGCGTGTAGGATCTTGTTGAATATGGATCTGTTGAATATGGATCCGATGAGTATGGATCTCGTGGGTAGTAATCCTGCTGCGCGTAGTCCTGTTGCGCGTAATCCTGCTGCGCGTAGCCTTGCTGTGCACGAGGCGCGCCTCTCTGGCCACTGGGCGTCTCGTATCTTCCTCCGTATCCATCCTCTTCGCCGTATGCGGCCCTGCGGGGGCCGTAGGGATCGTAGTGAGCAGGCGCATGGTCACGGTTGAAATAACCGCGATCACCGGAAGCGTCCATGTCAGCTGAAGTATAGTCGGGCGCTGGAGTGTGACTTTGGTATGGCCGAGACTCAGAGCTATCGGTCAGGTTTCGATATCCATTGCCAGGGTTATTACGATCATCATTGCCATATGGCGCAGGAGTTTGTCGGGAGTGAGGAGCGGGCTTCCTTGCTGGAACGTTAGCCGGCAAGGGAGGGACCGGGGGAAGGGTCGGTTTCTGGCGGTCAAGAGGAGAGTATCCCATTCCAGCCGCATTGCCTGTCAGTGAAGCATCCTCGGACATTGCTGAAGATGAAGTTCCGGTTCGACTCAGTGTTGGTTTGGCATCGAAGTCCAGATTCGGCAGCGTCGGCTTTTGTCCCGGCGCTGTCGAGGAAGTCGATCGCGAGTAAGGCGGCAACGTGGTTTCGGTGGTACTTCGCGACAAGGTAGCCACTGCGGGAGCCTTGTCTCCGGCGAGAGACGGTAGAGTTGGATTCGAATCCGTTGCTAGCATTGGTTGGGTGGGTGCTCGGTTCTGTAATTTGAGTCCCTTTGCCAGGGCTTTGTTGTTTTTGCGGTGCACGATGCGCTTCAGCCGTTGACCAACCTTCCGACGGCAGTACCTCGAAAGAGTACCGTCTTCCGCTGGGATATGGTGGAACAGGAAGATCAGATAGAGTACGATCGCCGAAATCAACCTGAGAACTGATAGGACCCAGACGATCAGAGTGAAAAGCATACCAAACAAAACCACAACTTGAAGGGTGTTTTGCTCGGCTAGAATCTTGATGTTGTTGAAGAATTGACCGATTCCCGAACTTCCATCGTCATGGGTATTCTGTCCTCCAGGAATGAGGTCCATCTGCATGACCGAATAGAGTGTGATTCCGTTGAGAACTTGACGCGGGCCATCTGCGAAGATCGTATTCATCCAGGCTACAAGCTCTGTTAGCAATTTTCGAACATTAATTAAGCAAGACTATTATACTTACACTGAAAAGAGAAGTATGAATAAAGAGCAACATATTCTGCTGCTTTCCTGTCTTTCGTTAATTCAGCGAAGACAAGGAATCTCCTGTATCCACGACCTCGCTTGCTCATGCGAATACTCTGAATGCGCACAGCCAGCGGGTCCAGAAAACTGCGAGTAATACTACCCGATCGTATGGCGCGGATGGCATGTATCCATCGGTAGCCCAGAATCACGAACGAAGCAATAATGCAGGCGGCGAAGATCCAGCGGGAGATATTGAAGGGAATGGCGGGTTCAACGCTGCCAGACCATCGAGAGAAAGCCAGCAAGTTGACTGCAGTGAATGTGTCGACACCGTAGACTGCAATGGAGATAAACAAGAAGACCCATAAGAAGAAGTATGAAAAAGGCGTCCAGCAAGATTCGGATTTAAAGTCATCTAGGTTCTAAGGGAGTAGTTATTAGTACACCAAGCTATTTATATGACTGATATTCTCATCGAGTCAACATACCACGTAGTCCCATCTCTCCTCCATGGCTACATCGCCCTTCTCGCGGTCTCCACCACACAACATTGTGTCAATTGACCTGGTCCTGCCAGGAAGTGATCACGGACGATCAAAGGTCGACTTCCTCGGGCCAGCCGGGCAAAGTCGTGACTGGTTCGAAATAGGTGCAAAGAATAGAGAGACGCAAAAGCCAGGCGCAACGAGGGGAATGATAGTATCTTAACTGCGCGAATGGCGCATATCTGCGGAAGGTAAGGAGGTTGGTCGCGGTTTCAGGTAATGAGGGCTGCGAGCCACGTGTATGTGATCACAGTAAAGCGCTGGTATTTCGAGCGCGCACTTATTCAAAGCGACAATAGACAGTGTTTCATTGAAGACCGCCGATCACTTGCCAAGAAAGGGGGCACGAGGATGTGGAGAAGGAATGCGCAATTAACGGCGGAAATAAGGCTGGATAATGAGTGTGGCCGTCGCCCTGAGTGTGTGGTAAGGGCTGGCGAGGAATGAATGACACAATGGAATGGAAGTTGAGAAAGGGAGAAGAAGTTGAAACATCGAGGGGAGTTCGACAAGTGTGGGGACGCGGGAAGTTACAGGCACGAGTGGTCTTTAGGGCTGAGAAGGGTCGTCTTCATTAATTCATTTTCATTTTCATTTTCTTTGTCTATGTTTTCTCTTGTCTTCTTTTATATGTTCTAAATTAGGATCTCTAGGTTACCTACCTCAAACAATTGGTATATGCCTATTATTGGAGCAAGGACAACTCTCACTTACTGGCCTACCAATGTCCTGAGACAGATAGGGAAAAAACGGGTCTCGACAGACTCCATTCTGATTGCTCACTGGCCATCCGCACGCGCCAGGGGAGGGTCCATGTTCATGTACGTACATATACCTAAGCGCTGATGCCATCCGGGCGCTACACGGTTTGATGATACATCCGATTTCGAACGTGGCCGGCGCTATGATCTTTTTATCTATATTTTCTGACAAACATCGAGTTGATATCTGGGGTGTCCCTTCTGCCAATATCACGTGATTACCACTGGGCCTTGGAAAGTCCTCGGACTCTGTGAAGGAACAAGCTCTTTAACGCCAAGGAACCGCCTCGATAAGCACTACTAGCTCCATTGCGCATCCTCGCGACATCACGCAATGCAAAGGGACATTGAAACTATTCAGACCGGCTAATATGCCCATCCCCAGTCACCGCATTATTATTCACTTCGTTGTTTATACTGTCGAAAATAGTTGACACTAGCATGCCTAAGCCCCAAACATCACCTCGACCCAAGTCAGCAGCATTCCCACAATTGGTTGACATCATCCCACCAAGCTATTTTCCCCGTCCTTCATCGTGCAGGGGATGACCTTCTACAAAACAACCGCCCGCATTTGACTATACTCTCTTGTCAATCAATTGCCGAGGATGGCCACATCACCGGCACATGGTCCATTTTGGCGGTATTGCGTGACTTAGGCCTGGTCTTCGAATAGATTTTTCCTTTTGATCTCGTAAGTGAATACAAGAATTTTCTACAAGATCTCGCTGCGAAACATTAAGTATCTCGTTCAACCCAAAGGCCCAGATATGCAAGTCTACAGGCCAAGACTTACGTATATTAAGCTCATTTATTTGAGCACACGTTGAAAGCCAGCCTTACGCTTGCATGCATAACATCATCGCTTCTCTTGCGCTGTCGAACTTCCGCTCGCACTTTTGTGATGGCGCTGATCTGAATGGTGCGGTTCAACAGACACTACGTCTAGTGTCATTGGCCAGGCTACATTCATTTCGATGCCAATATGCGCATTGACCGCCGACATTGAGCTACTTTCTTTCAGAGTCAGGAGTCAGGGAGCTACTAAAATGCATGATCTACCAGGCTCTTGTTCTATTATTTACGAAATAATGTTATTTCGAACAAAAAAAAACTCAGCGTGCGGGGCTGTGCCAAAACTCCTAGTGCATCACATCTAACAAACCGCACTCAACTCTACAGTATATCCCAGGAGCAAATTACCGCTGCAATCGAACAATACACTTGAAACAAAAATGGCTCGGAGTTTGAATCAATTAACACAGTTTGAACCAATGATTTGGACTCTAGTTCGTTGCAAGATGGATGTAGGCGATTTCCGGTACAGCCTCAAGCTCATCCTCCGACGGCCATACTGTCTTTCTCTCTCGCTGCCTTTTGGCCGAGTCCGCCTTCTCTCTGGCATGTGTTGCGCACACAAATGTAAGGTCGTCTTTTCCACGAACATAGCCATGACTAGCAACACGGGTCACACGCGGGAGTTGATGCTCGTCTTTGTAGCAGATAGTCACATGTGGACCCAAAGGATCCTGCTGATGTATGCCATTGATACTGGTTGTATTATCGACATCAGACCTGCACATTTATCAGACATCAGCTAGTATCACAAGAACTCCATATAAGTATCGTTTAGCTAGAATCCAGATAATGTACACACCTAATAAGAACCGCCTTTAGATAGAGCTGTGTGTCTCTTGCTGTCTGGTATGCCAACGTCACAAGTCAGCGAAGCCGTGCTGGATTCGTCGGGACTATGCCCTTGTAAAAATAAAACCTCATCATGTCGACCGTAGACATGTTCGCGTTGATGGTATCTCGAATGAGATTTGCTGTTGTGGAGGCTATTTTGAAGCTGAAAGTAAAGTGAAATGATTTGAAGATAAAATTCCTGAGATGTCAGCTTTCATACATAGTTATCAGATCCTTAGTCCTAGAACTTAGCTTCTACAACTCTCAACAATCTCATCTGAAATTTACAACATGCACTTTATGAGCCCAGGAAGCTCTCTATCGAGTTCCTAGGACTCTATATCCGCATCCTTCAGCGCCTCTCTCCTCGATGTGCCATCCGACCAGGCCACTAGTGATTCACTATCGTACCACATGTCAACGCAGTCCTGGCACTAGCGAACGGTATCGATAAACGCGCAGAGTTTTTTCGATACTCAACACGCGCTCCACACCTCCCAGTACCTCTCCTTCGGCATACACTTCACATCGCCTCTCTACACGATGCACCTTTTATCTCATCCGCTACAACAACCTCTTTTACAACTAGCTTCGATAGCTAGGTTCAACAGGGTTCACAACCTGTGGGTGGGGGGTTCAGATTCGTAGTGCTAGAACTGAGTTTCTACAACTTAGCAATCTCATCTCACGGTTACACTATGCGCCTAGATATCTACGTAGGCCTCTGTTAACAATAGCCTTGCTGAAATTCAAATCACATTCTGCTTTGGTGCCAACATAATTACCGGTAATCGCCATGGATTTACATGGGCAATTCAATCCCTACGGTGCCTCAATCTCGTCGAGTACTGAATATGGCAAAATCCAAAATGATAGATAGGTTATTCTAGAATGGGATTGTACGTATCGTTTCGATCCGCTTCTGAGTGGTTATTTCGGAATGTGTCGCGAATCGTAAGATATTGGTACCTGAAACAGGACTGGACCCCTAGGCCGGGTAAGCGAACAACTATCCTTGCTTTATTTTAGAGTAGATCACTGATGACTTATTTCTTCAGCTTTGAAATGAGTACTCCGTACAGCTGATGAACAAACCTCTACTAATCCGAAATTTAAATCTCCGGGGTTTGACATTCGTCCGCCTTGTGTAGCGCAAGTCCGTTGGTCCGTCCGAGACGGCTTATAGATGCACCGAACATAGTGAAACACAACATAATACGAGGAATATCCCTGAAATATAAATACATGGATAAAATTCGCAATCTCAATCCCAATAGTTGACGACAGACGCTTCAACCACCAACATCGCACACGTCAGTCCGCTACCATAAACATCCAAAATGGTCTCTCTACCGGACGTCCAATCCTCAAATTCCCAAATAGCCAACACCCTCCCAGCAGGCCTCGTGGCAGTCTTTGTAGGCGCAACAAGTGGCATCGGCGAAGCAGCCTTGAAAGAGTTCGCCCGCTCAGCCCGATCTCCTCGCGCATACTTCATCGGCCGATCGCAAGAAGCCGCAGCCCACATCACAGCCGAATGCCGACAGTTGAACCCAGAGGGAGAATTCATATTCATCAAAGCGGATGTCAGTCTAATTCGAAATGTCGACGTAGTCTGTCGCGAGATTCAGAGTAAAGAGAAGAGTATCAACATCCTCTTCCTAAGCTGTGGAACTAGTCGTTTCGGAGAAGGTAAGTGGGATATTCCTACATCATTTACAATAAAAATACATTGTTGCTGACGATATGCAAACAGATACATCCGAAGGCCTTCATATCATAACTGCAACTGGATACTACGCCCGAACACGCTTCATAATCAACCTCCTCCCAAATCTCAAACAAGCAACGAGCCTACGTCGCGTCGTTAGCGTCCTGGCCGGCAGCCAAGAAGGTCCCATCGACGTAACCGACTTCCAAGCAAAAAAGATGTCTATGCTAAACATCCGTGGACATATGGTTTCAATGACTGATATGACCCTGGAAACGCTGGCCGAGCAAGCGCCAGAAGTCACGTTTATTAACGATTACCCCGGTCCAGTCAAGACGGGGATTGGGCGCGAGTCGAATACTTTCCTCACTCGGCTTATGGGTATCATGCTCATATTTATCGGGCCGTTTATTTACATTCCAATTCGGGAGTCTGGGGAGAGACATCTTTTCTTCGCGACAAGTGCTAAGTATCCACCCCGTATTCACTTAGATGAGGTAGAAGTGTCATCTGGTGTGCCTTTGTCGGAGGGGGTTGAGGTTGCCAGTGGGACGGATGGGAAGGTTGGGAGTGGGGTTTACAGTATTCATTGGAGGGGAGAGCATGCTGGTCCTAGGGTCGTAGAATTGTTGGCTGGACTTCGTGAGCAAGGGATAGCAAAAAAAGTTTGGGAGCATACAGTCGGGGAGTTTGATAGAATTGTTGGGCCGGCGGATGTCTGAGTGGACTTTGGGATGAGGTTGTCAAGTTTCTATTGGAGAGGCTGCGACATGGCTATATATATTCTCATTTTTGTTCCATAATACATATTCTTTATTGCCCTTGATAGGCTACAGCCTCGTGTAGATGATGTCTTTATTTAGGTTTCTAGCAAACACATGCTACCAAATGGCGCCTTCGGGTCTCGGCTGATATTGACCCGTAGGCATACCTGGGCCATTGCGCCCACCATCCGTTAGACTGCATCTCTGATTTCTCTTAGCAAGTCGGCACTTGATGATCTGCAGGTTGACAAAGAATGCAAAATGGCGCCCTCTAGTTCAATAGCATCTATGCGCTCTGTTGCTTGCTGTTGCTGTTCCCACGACCGCGACGGCTTTTCGAAGAAAGACCCCTCCCACGATGGTTTCCACGAGAAGAACCTGATCCTTTGGCATAGCCCCTCTGATGCCTGATCTCCATCGCTCGATTTCTAGCTCTCCATCTGTCACTTACCAATCTGACCATGTCCGACATATTCTCTGGCAATTTCAGTTTACCAGTAGCAAGATCTTGTCGAATTTCACATCGCAAATCTGGGTCGAGTTTAACGAGAAATGTAAGACATTGTTCTTTCTGAGAACGGGGCTCGAATTGCTTCTCAAGCTCCGCCTCGATGGCACAGAGGTATGTGTGAAATTGATGTGGATCCTGGGAAGGGTTGTGGCGGGCATGTGTGTACATTTCCATCAAATCCGCTTCGTCGAATACATGTGTTTTATCCAATAGGGTCAAGGTCCAATCCTCAAAGGCTTTCCATGTCTTCAGAGTTTCAAGTTCTTCCGGTGACGCGAGTTTTAGGTGTTGTTCCCATCTCCTACGATATTCAAGACAAAGACGATTCGTCGCAACGATAAGTTTCATTTGATCGGTCACGAGTGCGTATCCAGGAAGCTTGAACTTTTTGGAAAGTTGATTGAGCCAGATCCATCATTGAACAATATCAAAACCAGGGGTGAAATATTCAAATGACTCGGGCTCCACATCGCCATCGGTGTCTTGAGGAGGAGTCCATTCTGTCCCGAAGACGGAAAGTGATGGTTTGGGAAAGGGGAAACTAGGAGGAAACTCGGAGGAACTTCAAGATTATTGTGATCTATCTATTCCGACCTACTCCGTACTCCGCACAATGATAGTCCATAAGCGCACCCCTATTCTACCTACAATAACCCCACCAATCAAAGGCCCAGAATTCTAATTGATATGTATATTTAGGTAGGTGGTAGCTAAGGGGTTGCTCATACTACATAAATATATGTATGGACCAATATCAAGCTCGAGTTATACTTAAGTACTATTACTCTACTCCGTAGTTAAGATTGCCATTCATCATATTTCTCTTGTCCTATATAGTTAACATTGAACATTTATCTGCCCAATCAAGTTCCTTGGGCGGACCGGCCGAGAGATTCTTTGTGATGACAAATGTTCATATTTCCATCGGCCAGTCTTAACTACTGAATGAGTATTGGATTATTCTGGGGTTTTCCTTTCATGTCTCTCGTGCGGAGTAGCTCTTCTATAGGTAGAATCAATCCTCCTTTCATCACGTAGAAAATTATCTCAACACAACATCTCATCATGGGCCAGCCGTCAATCCCCCCTACCCCCATCTCCGCCAGTGTGGCCGGTAAAACCGCCATCATCACCGGCGGCAATACGGGTATCGGCTATGAAGTCGCTCGCCAGCTCCTCCTGCTTCAAGCATCACGCGTCATTATCACCGTCCGATCAACCAGCAAAGGTCAGGAAGCCGTCGCCTCACTACGCGCCCACCCGGAAGTGGAAAAAGCCAACCCGACTGCCACGATCGAATTCTTCAATCTCGATCTCGATGATTTTGAATCCGGCATGGAGTTTACAAAAAGGGTCCGCGCTGAGGTCCCTGAATTGCATGTTCTTATCTGCAACGGTGGCGTCAATCTGATGAGCTATGAAGCCAGCAAGAGCGGCCATGAACGTGTCATGCAGGTAAACTGCTACACTCATTTTCTAGTTATATTAGAACTCCTCCCTCTTCTTCGCGCGACGGCAGCAAAATCCGGAGAACCATCACGTCTCACCTTCGTCGGGTCAAATAACCACAAGTCCCACACGCTAGCGAAAAGACCTCTAACCGATTCCGAGACTATTATCGAACATTACGATAACCGACAGACGTACAGCGGGTTGCAGCGGTACGCGGATAGTAAGCTTGCCGTGCACGCGTTTGTGCAGCGACTGGCGAGCATCGTGCCATCTTCGGAACTTATCATCAACGATCCCTGTCCTGGCATGGTGGCTACCAACTTCGATCGTGGACTGCCGCTCTGGTTCAAGTCGATTATGTTGGTGGTAAGAGGCTTGATGGCGAGAACGGTCGATGAGGGGGCAAGAACAATTATCTATGCGGCTGTTGTTGCCGGACAGGAGACTCATGGGAAGTTTTTGCAGAGTAACCAGGTGGATGCGTAAGCGCTTCCCTTTATACACAACACTTGATAATTCTAATTATTACTCTAGCGGCGCACCCATCTTCCAGGAGAAAGTCGGACAGACTTTTATCGAGAGATTGTGGAAGGAGACTATCACAGAGGCTGGCCGGTATGATGCCAAATTGCAGAGTTTCGCTTGATTTGGAGTTGGGATATCCAATATCTCAACATTTTCCTATTTTGTTATCATGTTTCATTCTCTATTAGTCGCTATAGCTTCATGTGGGATAGGCCGCATAATTAATACACATTTACGATAAAGCTCTATTCCTTCGATTTCTTCGCGTACGAAAGGTAAATATTGACTTTTAATACTTAAATACTTATAAAAGTCAAAGAAGGGCAATCCAGTAAGTCATGTCTCTCCTATAGTTCTGTGATGAGCGGAATATAGACTTGGTTGGCTGGTGTTGTGCAGTAGCTACCTTCGTTGCACATGGACATGATGTGGTGCGAGCTATGGAACTATCTATGTATATAGGAACGTCGTAGTTTATGATGAGTGGCTAACTAGGTCCTTATTCGGGGTCTTCTGTCACGGCGCCATTGAGCCTCATACCCGACATCTCTATTCCATGGAGTCTGGGGCATACTACCTCCATGCCCTCCATACAAAATCTATTGACAAGTATAATTGGGATATGAATACTATATCATGACATGATGGAATCCCACTCCCGCTCCTGGGAAGAAGAGGGCTCCTGGGGATTTACACAATCGTCCATTAGCCCCGCCAGTCCTGAAATGTAATGAAGTTGGGAACTAGATTCACGTCAATTGCTGTGCTAAATTTGAAGATTGATACTCTGTCGATCATTTATCTTGAGATTTAATGAAAGGGGCTTTGGCAAGGGCGTCTGCTTGAACTTTCCAAACATATTTTCCCAACCTGACAAGATCATCCCCGAAGTTCGCAATAAAGTCTTCCGCAGATGGCCCCTCGTTCCAAATCAACTGATGAAGGTCATCCTCGGAGCCCAATGTCGCCGCTTGCCAAATATCTTTCCATTTTATCACACTCTGAAGAGCCTCAGTGTGCTGGCTCTGAACTTGGCTGGCAATCATGTAGAAGGATGATCGCTTGGCATGGCCCCTCTCGGGCTTCACCAGCTTTACAGAGGAAAATTTGGCAAAAGTCCAGACTAGCTTCGCTGTTTCCCATGCTTCAAGCTTATGGAGAAGTACAATAATTGTTCCTCCAGGATTCAAATGTTCGAGACCCAGCGCTAACTGGGTGACTGTAAGCCTTCGTGCTTCGACGGTTTCTCGATATGACGCGCGAGAATGCGTTCGAAGGACTTGACCGTCACATATCACCAGGTCGAAAAGTTGATTAGGCCGGAATTGTTGCGGTAAGAAATTTTTAGCGTCCGGATGGTCGGTTGGAATCTCGTGTGCTCCCATGTCGCTAGCTAGCATGGTAATATCTAAGAATCTTTGATCAACATTCCTAGTTCTTGGCAGCCGACTTTTGTGACCACCGCAGGCGACGGGTAAGCTAAAAGCAACCGCTTGTGATCCTGGGTTTTTCCTCATCGCTATCTCCAAAAATCCACCTGGAGCCATGCACATATCCAGAATCTTTGGAGGGCCTTTTTGGGTACGACGAATCGCGAAAGCGTTGCCAATTTGGTGGAGCTCCTCGGCGATATCTTTCATAAGATTGTGGAAATAAACGTTGTTCTTTTCATTATTTTGATCCGCATTTCGACGTTGTACTCGAAAGTATTTATCGCCTTTCGGGTTCTCCCATCCCTAGCAACGATATAGATTATGAGCATGCATACGTATCATTCGATTCGAGCTGGGTACTTTCTGTCTTAGGAGACTTAGCTCCATAAACTCATTACTGTGTTCCTTTAGATAGGGCACAATGATTTTGTTCGCAAAGTTGCGTGTCCACTCATCAGGTGGTGAAGTCGCGTCTACGACGGCTGGCGAAATCTCAGTTTGCGAGTGGAGCGAGAAGACGGACTCCATCACTCCTGACATTGGCGTTACGGATCGCATCATCTGAGAGGTGAGTAGAAAATACAAAAGCGAGTCTGTATCCAAAATAAGTGTAAAAGATTATGTGTCGATGAGATCAACCTAATCTTGTGTCAGCGCCTATCTTCAACGTAGCGCCACCTTAACATATATAGTACCGGTTGGGCATATTTGCATTGGCTTATCATGACACGTGTGCTACACTATTTAGGCGCTAGGTGCCAGACCACCGGGGTGAAATGTGGGTTGAAGGGCAAACTGCGTCCTCGGATTGAGAATCCTTGACTGAGAATCCTGGTCTCCCCATATGCCCAGTACTTATGTTTATGACCCGAATCAGAATTTGGACGAGCTAAGGTGATTCCAGCTCATTATCTAGTCAATCTGGAATTCTTAACAATATACCTTGCGGCATCTGAATGGATGTCCCTATCGCAGCTCGTTGTTGAAAAGTCGATAATCTCAAGTCTCTCGTTAAGAGTGTGACGCTTCCCCAAACGAAATTGCGTAGCGTAGCGATTTCTTGCCCGTGATTAGCGTCTGGCTACAAAATGTCGGGAGGCTAAGACAGGGCTCGGCCAATGATACTGATGAAATCCCTCTAACAAGCGGATGAATCCCTGTTAAAATTGGCACATATCCTACCACAATTGGTGGATCTACGTCAACTACATGCAATATGATAGGCTAGTCTAATCGAATGTATCAAATTCAGTCTAATCCTTTTCTAGCCTCTCTCGCCTTAGCGCCCCCGAATGAAAGAAAATGACCAGATACCCATTTAAATCTACTTTGTAGAGGGATATTTGAGGAGATGCAAGGGGTTCCAGTGTCTGTGGTTGGATTTTGTTGATGCACAGGCTCAGAATCAACTCGTAGTCGTCGATCACGATGCTGGATTGGAGACTGTCTCGCTCAACGGCTCCTCTATCCCTTCGCTATCAGGCCCCATGTCTCTTTTGTTCTTCAAAGAACTGCCTCAGAATAGGTTTGTTTTGACCATTGGGTCCTCCAAATATTTCCAACCTCTGGTATTCTGTCATTGGTTGCCCGCTCTGTTCAACCCTAGCCCATAATCCTAGCATCCGGTCCAACTCTTTCCATACATGTTCTTGCGAATTACACTCTCCAGTCATAGTCAGAGGCGGCCCAAAGGAACTCCCAAAGTCCTTCTTGACAACTGCATAGTACGACATCCGATCCTCGGTTTCAATGTCAATCTCGTAGTCGCCTTTGCCCCAGATAGTGACACAGCTGGCTTGAATACGTTGGCCTTGCGGGGAAGACATCAGCAGATGTATAGCTTTATTCTGGAGGTGGCAGTTGAAGGAAATTTTGGACGAAAAGAATGTCTTGAATTAGGGATATTCAACTCTAGGGTGTGAAATATGTCAATCAATCAAGAGGTGAAAGTGATAGCTTGGTGCCTGTTTTCAAACGGAAACTTCAAGCAATTTATGTCAACACTTGTTTGCCCTAGGCAGTAGGCTTCTAAATTAAGCCACAGATATGTTGTACAACTGTAGCTGCACGCTAGTGGAGCTTTGGCGTAGCTAGAGGACAAACGGCTGAAACAAGGAAACACTCAGAAAACAGGAGACCATGAAGTGGCGGTGACGACCTCATCAAACGGTATTTTATGGTTTCTGTACGAAGATTCGTGAATATATAGGCATAATGTATATGTGCACGGCCATGCTAGTAGATGATCGGGCATACCGGCAAGGCACGTTACTAACTATTGTAGAGGGAGACGTGAGAAATGGCGGTGTAAATTGACTAAACAAAAGACGTGTATTAAGTGCTGGAAGCAAGAGATTAGAAGAACAACAAATCCTTTCTCCTACAAACTACTCCTGGTTTTCCTTCTCCTATCTTCCGCTATTCAACAATCTGCACTGGTTTTGTCTGGTTCGCAGACAGGCATTACCCACCTCTATGACAGCGCACCCCATTTCACTATGTAGTCATTCCTCGCAAAACATATTTTTAGCAGCCGCGGTTACAACCGCTTAGGGTCAAACTACATAGTCTTATAGCTACCTAGTGACAGATAATCGTGCCAAGCTCCCAACACCTTTGTAGTGCTCCACTTAACGATACTTTTCGGTCAACGATAATTGTTTCTACAATCAACTCCATATATAAGCACTAAAGATAGTGGTTTGGGGGCGATATCGACTAATTTAGGCTCGCACCATAACTGTATTGGAGGACTCTTGGCATGAGACGGCCCGGGGATCCCGCACATGTCAAAGTTTAACAAGCAATACTTTGTAAGCAATCTTATGGAGCTACCCGTGGACCTTTATCTCTAGGTCCCGAACCCACTCATCTCCGATAGAAGCTAGGAGATTGCTCACGATGTGCACGGAGGCACGAACCAATTCTCGTACTCGCCCTTCGTTTACTTGTCTGCCTTGTAGGCGATGAAAGGTACCATCTTGATGGAAATCAACAATCGTCCTAATCTGATTTGGTATAGATTAAATTTGAAAAACAACTCCCCGCTTGCCGCGAATGTCGCCGACTGAACGATATATGCGCCTATCCGCCCATCACTGCCTCCGATCAGCCCAAACCTGCCGAACGTTCGCCCCAAAAAAACGTTCATAACCTGGATCAGCATATATCTGCTTTTTCCTTGCCCACAACCTTACATACCAACGATAGCAGCGTGGGAAATACCATTGACAGCAATGAGATCAATGATACGCATCCTAGAGGTAAATCCCGACAAGATGAGATAGTATGGGCATCAGACACTCTTGAGTTGCTGGACATCTCGATGCTGTCGCTGACTGAACTTCCTATCGACTTCCATGCGTTCGGCACTTTCTCCGACGCCCCGCCTCTGCCCAGTTCATCGGCCCGTCCCTCTTCCCCCATCGATCGAAGATCTCTCTGGCCAGCTCCCAAAATTAGCACGCCCATCTCCTCTTGCGAAATCTCCGATATTACCCATAACTCTGTTACCAATACTCCATCTAACCTACGAGAGAGTTCACAACTGATGGAGTGTTTGAGCTCACCACAGGGAGACCTCCGCCGATATGTGGGCCGCTCGTTCTGGGCCCTCGCATCCAATCAAATGGCTGATTGTGATGTATTGCTAAAGGCGCAACAGCTTCGTTTCCTAGCTCAGGAAACCCACGGCCGGAACTCGGGGGAATGGGCTCGGATCCTGGAAAGTCTACCTCCGAGAAAAGTACGCGACGTGCTTCTTGAATCGTTCCTGCTTAGCGTAAAGCCGTTGGCCCCGTTGACCCATGTTCCTACTCAACTATAAAATCAACGACATGCATGCCTTTCAAATCGCAAACGACCTCAACCATCGTCTTAACAGGACTAAACGGCAAGGCCGCTGCCAAATCTCGACAAGCTCTAACACCGCCCAAATACACACCATCCCAGCTCAGCCCATGCGCCATCACTAACGGCAAAACTTGGAAAACTAGGAATATCAACACCTGCCAAAGTACGCTTATATAAACATTAAAATGCGTCTCCACCTCAACGGCTTGCCATCATTAACAACATCCAGTATACAAATTCCATGGCTCAGCAGCTCTTCAAGAGTGATTATTCGAAGTACGCGAAGACGCCGCCAGAGGAAGTGAGTAGTGCCTATCTACCTAGATCTGATGGCGTGATCACAACATCGCCCTGGAGCCCCGGAGCCTGGAGGTTGAGGCTGGGGATCAAATGCCCCAATCCTATGGAGTAAATCAATCCCACATATAGCTCGACATAATTTCACCAGATATTACATTGGGTAAACACGAAACTAGTAAAGTCTTGTCAGGTTCCTTACATCAGGTGGTACAAAGCGATATTTTCCCAATCCAAACACTCATGATAACTATCGCGTTATTGCTAAATAAAAAGGCGAGCCAAAATTTGAGAAAGTAAGTAAAAAGGGGGAGGGGGGGGGGGGGAAAGCTGTGTACCTGGTCCGTTGCTCGTCCGGTGCTCGGCTGGTTAGAGGTCCCATCTCCGATTTATCCCTGCAAATGGAAGCCACAGATTGACTCGCGGGCGCATATATATTAGCAAGCTGAGATAGCAGGGGGACAAGAAAAAGATACGCTCCGCCCAGGAAGTTGTATAAATAGTTGGAAAGGGCATAGTTGTAGGCGCCCAAAATACTTCTTTTATAGAGGCGTATTAATTAGCAGTCAATCTCCGGCTATGTCGCTTGCCTCTCTCCGAAACCTGTGCTCCCAGGTGTTCCCGCCCAAAGCGGCCTTTACTGAAAAAGAGCTGCCTTTACAGCAGGGTCGGGTTTTTATCGTGACAGGCGGTAATGCCGGCGTCGGTTTTGAATTATGCAAGATCCTGTATGGCTCCGGTGCCACCATCTATATGGCATCAAGATCGAAGGCAAGGCCCCTAAACAAATCTAGACTCATGAACCAGCCAGTAGGCTAACACGCTTTCCTAGGAGCGTGCCGAGGACGCGATTCAATCCATTATCAAGGTTCAACCTGCGCCGAAGTTGCCCGGCAAGATCAAGTTCCTCCATCTTGACCTTAACGACTTAGAATCAGTTAAGGGGGCGGCCGCTACTTTCGCACAACAAGAATCAAAACTCGATGTCCTCTGGAATAACGCGGGAACTGGAGCGAACATGGTGGAACCCGGCGCTAAAACAGCCCAGGGATTCGAGGCTATGGTGGGGATGCACTGTATCGCGACTTTGCTATTTACCGAGCTCCTACGACCGCAGCTACGGGCGGCTGCAGCAGCACCCGACACACCTCGAGGATCTGTTAGGGTAGTGTGGACATCCAGCTTTTTAGCGGAGGGCGGCTCTCCCGAGAATGGGATTGATTTCACCTTGTTAGATAATGGAACCAAAGATCGCGCTCGCAACTATGCTGTCTCAAAGGTGGGAACCTGGATGCTGGGACGGGAGCTGGCACGGCGATCCGATCTCGAGCAGGATAACATTGTGAGCGTGGTGCAGAATCCAGGCAATCTCAAGGCGGGCTCCTATGCAGGGACTCCGGCGCTTATCATGTTTTTCATTGGACCCCTACTCCATGAGGCCAAGTTTGGGGCTTATACTGAGCTGTACGCCGGTTTATCATCTGAGATAACCCTTGAGGAGAATGGCGCCTATATCATTCCCTGGGGACGGATTCGACTGGACAAGGATTGTCCACGACGAGATATCGTCGCGGCGATGACTTCGGCTGAGGATGGGGGACTTGGATACCCAACGCGGTTTTGGGAGTGGTGTGAGGAGCAGTGGAAGCCTTTTGTGTAAATCTTGAGTTTCACTGCTGCATGTCTCAAGAGTTTCACCATACTTAGGTGATGTTGAGTCTATTACAACCCCAATGACATGTATTCTGATCTTGATTAGACCTAGAGAGCAAGCTTTGTTTCTTCGTCAGTGCAAGACCGAACTTGTCTTTAACTTGATCCTCTGGTCTTATAATGATAGTATGACTGTCTTGCCCTTTCCGATTGGATGAGGCCCAAAGGTAGAGGCATTAGTACTTACTGGTATGCTCTCAGGCGTACGGGTCGATTCAGCACTTGCAAATTAGCATCCTACCAAACAGGGCATAGAAAAGAACTGGGGCTTGCACTCAAGAAGTAGATCTCAAGAGGTGTAGGAGTGTGTTTTCTTGTATCTGTAACTACCCCCTAACGTATTTCACATGCGAGCTGCGCAGTGAAAACACCATAGTAAATGCGTTATATGCTACATTTCTATCTCAACAACCAACGTTTCTTTCTTATTATTTTATTTGCGAATAGCCATTGATAAGCAATTCTAATAGCGTATATCAATTTCCTAGATTCCTCGAAACTCCTTAAAGTGGCAATACTTAATATAAAAAACATTAGACTGTAAGGAAAAGCTCACATGGGCAAGTGTTGTTGAGATATATAGTTGTCATTTATTGCGTGGTATCGTATTACTACATTATAATAGACACCTACCAGTCCAGAAGCGATCTGAAAGATGGGGCCTTCATAGTCTAGGGTTTTAGGATTTCAGGATTAAACGGCAAGTTCTTCGAGGGTAATCATCCCCGATGGAAGAGCAAGTATGTATGCGAATGTGTGGAGGAACTGCCTGCCCAGGGAGTGGATCAGATGACATAATCATAACATGGCCCGGCCCTCGGGGGCCCCCGGGGCTCCGGGCCTAGAGGTTGGGGATGCCCGAAGCCCTAAGTAAACAAGTGCCACATACAGCTCGGCATAATTTCTCCGATTGTCATATGTATAATTCCACATGTGGGGGGAACTGTTTGCGGATCCATGGTTGCTTAATCCGGTAATGATTGCGAGGGCGAGTAAGAGATCATTTAAAAATACTTCGACTTCGCTAATATTATTTCTATAGGACAGTTCCAAGCTTTTTATATTGTTTGATTGCGTTTAGCTTAGATTATCTCTTTTCAATGTGAATCTCCCCGAGGCTGCACTTGACGTATGTCTTTCCCAGGCAACCATTTCAAAAGACATCCCTTATCATCTCTCATCCCATGCAGAAATCAAATTTTCTAGAGTGTGCATTGATACCTTTGAGATTGTATAGGATTCGGATTTAACTGTGCCAAGCATTATCCCGTCTACACCCCACTTGAAAAACCAGGCTCCTCGCCAGTGCTACTGGGGAACTAATCGTCCGAGGAAGTCTTTGATACCCAGAAAGATCTTCTCTGATCGTCTCTGCTCGATGTGGGATTGAGCTCTTAAATTACACGATATTTGCTTTTTCCTGATCTTCCGGAAATATTTAGCAATGGGACGAATCAGCGACAACTTCACCGTTCTCACTCTTGCCCTCGCCATCGGGATATATTTCAAGCCGGAGTATGCGATTTTCAACTCCAGGATTGCGACGATCGTCGTCCTTTTCGGAATCCTCACCACGTCGAAAATTTTCTATCGGCTTATATTGTATCCCGACTACTTCTCTCCATTGAAACACATTGACACACCTGCTGTACGCCAGCTATCCTTTCGTATTTTTTCGACGAATAAAACTAACAACGTTTAGAAACGAAGCTGGCTCACCGGCAATTCTCCAAATTTCTTACTTGACACCCCCTATCCGGAATTACGGGAGTGGGCCACTAGCAAGCCCAATCAAGATCTTATCCGGTACTATATTGTCGCAAACCTCGAAAGAGTGATTTTGACAAGCCCAAGAGCATTGGGTGAGCTGCTCGTTACGAAAAATTATGATTTTGAAAAACCAGAATTGGTGCGGGTTAGCTTGCGACGTATCACAGGTGATGGAATCCTACTTGCCGAAGGTGAAGAGCATAAGGTAAATTTGGCCCTTAAAATGCCACTCTGCGTCAATTCAATCTTATAATATCTCCACTAGATTCAACGGAAGAATCTCATGCCAGCATTTGCCTATCGCCACATCAAGAACCTCTACCCAGTCTTTTGGGGCAAGAGTGTAGAAATGGTTAAGTTGATCGAGGAAGACCTGAAGAGCAGAAAGGCCAATGGGAATAACGACAACACAGTCCAAATCAGTAACTGGGCCAGTCGAGCAACTCTGGACATCATCGGCGTCGCCGGTATGGACCATGACTTCGACTCTCTCCGTCATCCCGATAACAGCCTCAGCCAATCCTACCGCAAAATCATGTCCTCGCCACCCCTCCTCATGAAAATCCTATTCGTGTTAGGTATGCTAGTCGGTACCCCGGGATGGACCCACTCACTACCGACGAAACGCAACAAAGACATCAGGGAGAGCGGCGAGGTCATCCGCAACGTCGCACGACAAATGATCCGGCAGAAGAAAGCAAAGATGGAAGATCCCAAAGCCGAAACTGGCATTGACATTATCTCCGTTGCACTAAGCAGCGGCACCTTCGACGAAGAGAACCTCGTCGACCAATCCATGACCTTCCTAGGCGCAGGCCACGAGACAACCGCGTCGGCACTACAGTGGGCCGTTTACGCACTCTGCAAGAATCCCAATGTCCAAACTCGTCTGCGGGATGAAGTCCGCGCCAACCTTCCATCCCTCGACGACCCGACTCCAATTTCCGCCACCGCAATCGATAACCTGCCCTACCTGAACGCAGTGTGCAACGAGGTCCTCCGCTTCTACCCCTCTGTGCCGACGACCATACGCAAGGCTGTTCGCGACACATCTATTGCCGGCAAGCATATCCCCAAAGATACTACATTTACACTTTCTCCGCACATCCTGAACAGGATGGAAGAGTTGTGGGGACCGGACGCGAATAAGTTCAATCCGGATCGTTTTATGGGTCCCGGTAAGGCTAATACTGGCGGTGCGGTTAATAACTATGCGTTTTTGACTTTCTTGCATGGCCCGCGTAGTTGCATTGGGCAGGGATTTGCGAAGGCAGAGCTTGCTTGCTTGATTGCTGCTACTGTTGGTCGGTTTCACATGGAGCTCAAGTTTCCTGATGCTAAGTTGGAGACTCGGGAGGCGGCTACTGTTTCACCTAGAGATGGTGTTCTTGCCTTGCTTACCCCATTGGAAGGGTGGTAGATCTGGATCGAGGGTGTCTGTCGGTTTCGAGTGGTTCTTGTAGTATATATTGTTGGTCTATTAAGTGGTTTCGTCTTTCCATCGTTCAAGACGAGCTATCGGAGCTTTGTTGTAAAAGCTGAGCTTGAAACCTTATTTCTATGGATATATATTCTTTGATTATTGGTGTCGGAAATGCTATAAACTTCCTGACCACTTTTCCGACCACTGTACACGTAGGCTTTGGTTTACTAGAAGCTGAGTTGAATGCCTCAGGCGTTAGGTCAGTTGTGGACACGTCACGTGGGATGTGAGGTGCCAAGACATTTATGGAGCCGCAACATCGCCCCACAAGGTCCCGCTGGTGACGCTTACCTAGGATGTCAGTAGACCTCGGGAATCATGATACATTTTCACTGCAGTCATGTGCAAACAAACTTCACTAATATATAACAAAACCTCATTCATACCTAAATTCACAGAATATGGCTTGTCTTTTCCTAGTGGGCGCTTTCGGTCCACCGAAGTGGTAATCAAGCTTTGTTAGTCAGTCTACAATACTTCATACTTCGAGGACTACCAATATGCTCATCTAACAGCTCTAATAGAGTGAAACAGCACAGCCATGCAGGATGAAAAATTCTCACTTGAAATAATCAGAAGATATAGCTTTGGATATGAACATACTAATGACTGCAACGGGTAAATTCTATTCTATTGATATTGCTCTCGAAAGACCATAATCCTCTCAACTTCATTACCAGCAGCATCCTCCTCCACCCAAGCACGCCACATACCACCACAATTAAAGTCAAATACAACCTTTCCCCGATGTAATTTGACATCTGATGCCCTGTTCACAGGAACAAGCTCTGCCTCTATACCAATGATACCACCTTCGCCCTCACCAGTCTTATTCCACCTGGCGCCAGCCGAACGTTGAAGCTCACCACCAGGCCCAGAAACAGCCGTCACTGCGTCTGCAAGGCCGGAAGGAAACCTGCCAGGCGAAGAAAACCGTAGCATTGAAGCAGTTGTGCGCGCAGCCGCAACCCGAAGGAATGAGTCTCCATTCCCAGTCCCAGAGACCGCAACAGCACGCCGATAGCAACCCTTCTCTACCCCCAAGTCCAATTGCTTAGAGGACCCATCACCCGAAAGGGATGAGTACATTGGGGTGTTCTGATCCCGTAGAAATTGCGGCATGCAATCTCCCAGCCAATTCCTCGCGTCGCGTAGCAATCCACCCACGGAATCATCCGACATCGCCTCAGCACCACCGGACACAATCTCATCCCAAGCCTCAGCCCAAAACCCAGCACCCAAGGTAGGCGTATCACCAATTCTCCCGGGCAACTTATTCGTCAACCCGCCAGTACTAGTAGCAACAGCCAGATTTCCCCACTGATCAAGACAAACACAACCAACAGTCCCCTGAGTCAAGAAAAGGGGCTCCTCCTCCCCCCTCAAACCCCTCATGTGCTCATCCCACCTCTTCTGCGTGAAGAACCACTCATCAGGACAAAATTCCAGTCCCCAATCCTTCGCGAGCGTCTCAACATATGGAGCAATTAGCTGAGAATGCATACTCCCCCCGTCATCTACAGGGGATCCATCAGCAGCAACACCGGCTCTGAGGAGCGATTCGCGCGCGAGACGGATCGGATGACGGACATTACGGACGCCCATTACGCCTGCGCCGCGCTTGATTGACCCTGGTTGGGTTGTGCTGTTGGGGTGAATGGATGTCACCATTACGGAGGCTTCCATTTCGATTGCGCCGGCTGTTGTGAAGACGCTGCCGCGGCCGCAGTTGAAGAGTGGGTCATCTTCAAGGAGGGAGACGGCATGTACGGCTGCGTCTAGAGCTGTGCTGCCTTCTTTGAGGAGGGTGTGGGTTGAGCGGAGATAAGATTGGAGCGAGGCGTGGTGGGCGGCATACAGGTCCGGGGGCAGTTTAGAGCGTTGGATATTACCGGCGCCACCGTGGACAATTAGGGTTGGCTTGAATGATGCTGTGTTTTCCATATTATTGGGTAATTGGCTATTCTGGTTGGTATTGTGATGTTGGTTGTGTTGCTCTGGTGCGGGGAAATGCAAGGCGGAGTAACATTGTCCGAGTTGGGGTATCACTATCTATAAACATTGCACTTGCGACCATACAGAGCTATATAAGAAGCCACCTTATTAGATACACCGTGTAAAAATTTGACTCACGATGGCAGATTCAAAAGAAAGTCTAATGTTCCACCTTCATACATCGGAAATTGACATCCATGGTTCATATCAAACGGCGCCATCGATGGATCAAACGGCAGCGAAAGCCAGTTATCTGCACCAATATCGTTCAAGGACGGGATGAATCCTAGATCCGGCTGTTGGTCTTGCAATACAGGGGCATTCGTGGGATTTGACCGGTCACCATTGTCCGGCCAAGGAGGAGGCCCCATTGATGATCTTCGTGTGATGTCTCGACTACTTTTCATGGTTTTCGACGATGCAAGCAGATTGCGTCGCAAGCGTGAGACATGCATGCCAAGCAGTGCGGCATATCGCGTGCTCAGATGCACATCATCCAAGGCGTTTGACTTGAGTGCTTTGATACTCTTTTCTAGTATTTCAATTGATTCCTGAAGCTTGGCTTGACGTGTGCCCAGACTGAGCGCTTTCATCAAGAAGATCGAGGCACTGGTTATACGGAGGACGATTCGGACAGGCGAAAACCGTAGCGCCCCTGCTTCGGCTAGATGGGTGACTTTCTGCAGGATCTGGCCACATCCTTCGATCACCTCTTGGATGTATTCGTAGTCTGTTTGGTCGATGGTCATGGGTCGCATTCCGTCGAAGTTGTTATGGTTGTTCTCTGCGACAGCACGTTCCACTACTGCTTGCATTCCCACTGAATGGGTGTAGACACGGACGAAGTGGTATTCGATGAAAAGATCGTTGTAGAATGCTTTGTCAAGTACCTGGGGTTGTAGGTACTTGTCTTTCCATTCGTTGAGAAGAGGTCGGAAATGCTCAAGAAGGCCAACATATCGGCCGCTGTGCAGTTGCTGGCGGGCGAACGCCACAGAGGGGAAGAAGGTATCAGTGACAGACTTCGCTAGCTTGGTAAGCTCGATCCACGAATCCATGAACGCCAACCACGTGCTGCCCGGTGGACTCAGTCCTTGTGGCTTCCGTCCACCCAGGATAGCATGGTTTAATGACTGAGGAATGGGTGACATGCATCCAATCCGCCACGCCAGTTGATTGATATAGACGTATATCAGACGTTGTACGCGCTGCCAGCGCATTCTCATCTGATCTCTCCATTCCAGTTCGTCGTTCGGTGAGCTGCCTCCTTCTGTCTCGAATATGCCCAGCTCGTGTGCAAGAGAGAGTGCACATCCAAGTAACATCCAGGACATTTGGTCAGATCGGCGTGCGGGTTCAATTATATCGTCTACCCCGCGACTACCAGGTGCTGAGCTTTGATCGTTATTATCATGATTCTTGGGGGCTTCTGGGATCAAATCATCATCCCAGCCATCCGTCTCGGGCGGAAAATGCAGGGCGCGAGGATGCCATTCTGACATCAACAGAAGCGCCTCCACAGTACCCAGACTCCGCACCTTGGATTTTGTTGATTTTTCTTGCCCAAATATAAGCCGCATTGTCAATTGTTGGCAATGCAACCATAGTCGGTGGTGGATAAAAAAATTCCTCGACTCTCCCCCTGCTCCAGGGAGGACGTGATAGCGGGAAGAAATCATGAGAATGGTAGAGCATAGAACTGGCTCCCGAGTAATCAGCCAGTAGTGATATCGATGGTTGGCGTAGAAGTCAGTTAAAATCGGAGATAAACAAGACATATTCTTATAGAACCTACTTCGGTTAGCTTTGTTTGGCAGAGGTATGGAACATGGGAGGGAACACACAGATCAATAAGAGTAACAGCCTCTCTAGCAGTGAACCAGCCCATCTTGACGAACCGACAAGCCTCCCAGATATTGAGAGTATCTTGGGTGGCGTCAGATAGCTTGACAGGATGTATTACCCGTGCCACCGACTCGGACGCAGAGTCGTAGTTTCCGGGTGTTCGATTTTGGGTACTCGGACCTGCCGATGGAGGCCCAGCTAATGATTCGGAGCTAGCATCAGGATTAACATCTTCTTGAGCAGTTGCAGCTTCAAAGAGAATATTAAGTGCGTCATTGTCACTTGCAACGACGGTACGCATCATAGAGTTGGCGAGGGTAGAATTAGCCCGGTGTCTGCTATTTTCATATGCACGCGAAGGGGACTGATCAGGTTGTGAAGGCCCTACAGAAGGGTGATCCAGGGATCCACGATGGGATTCCGTTCGGTCCCGATGATAGGACCATCCTGTCTGAAAGTTGTGCCCCTGACGAAAATTTGTCTCAGGTGTTGAGGTGGCTACTTTGCTCGGATGTTGTCTCTGCGTCTGGCCTTGTGTGAGGACAGAACTATCAGGCGATGTCGTCGCAAGTTGCCTGACATCTCGGGGTGATATATCCGGTTCATAGCTCTCTGGCGATCGCGCTAAAAAATTGACCATTTAGATACTAGCTGATTTAGATAGGGTAAGCATTCAATTCAGGCGCACCTCGCTTGCGGGTCCTTTCCCACGCCCGTTTCTCGGGGAACACACACTCCCTTAGTTCCCTGCGGCATCGTGCACATGGTGGGCCGATCGGAAGACCATCTGGGCCGGTTCCTAGATCGCATTTGGCCTTTCTCTGCCGGCAAGGGATGCATGCCTTGTAGGTGCGTTGATACGGCTTGTCCGGGCGGGTTGATCTAACATCCATCGTCAACCGTTCCTGGGCGGATGCAACCAGGATCTTCGGAGATGAAGTGGATTCTGTGGGTATTGATTGATGCTATGGATAATTGCAGGGAGACAAAGAGAGGCGAGCCAGGATTATTAGCCGGCGATACCCGCTCGGGCCCCGCTCAAGCTTCTTAGATTGTTCATATTAGGATCAGACCTCTAACCAAAGAAAACTATGCTAATCAAATTAATGTGTATCTATGAACTTATTTCAGAATCGAATCATATTCTAGTTTATCTTCAGAATGATTGGTGATGTTACGCAGTCAAGAACCAATAGAAGAAGAAATAATAGATCATATGTCACGCAAAGTAGGGTGGCTTGCAGCCTCTAGAGCTCTAATGCATGTACAATGTAAGCAGAATGGTAACGTTTCAGGCAAATAATATAAAATAATGATATTCCCATAGCCGATATGTACTTTGTAGATACGGCGGTTGGACTCGGCTTCAACAGGACGGAATCTGTTCCGCGAATGCTCTACATCTACGGAGTACAAGAGGCAACGGCAACGGCATACAACATCCGGTGTGGGGAAATTGACTTAACGTAATTGAACTTTCTAAAGTTCAAAGCTTGTATAGCTTAGTTTATAAACACACACACTCTCTCTGGGGATTCTCTCTAGGCTCTTTTTCGTACCTTTATCTCTACTCTATCATTAGATCGAATATCACCGACTCTTCATAATGACCGATACAGTGACTCTCCATACCTATTTCCGCTCGTCCTGCTCTGCCCGACTCCGAATAGCCCTACACCTAAAGCAAATCCCCTTCACGTCCGTCTACGTGAACCTCCTAAAGGGCGAGCAATCCTCCCCGGCCCATCTGGTCATCAACCCGTCAGGAACAGTTCCAGCCCTAGTAATCCAGCGCGACGGCGAAGCACCCGTTACAATCACTCAATCTCTCGCTGCACTAGAGTACCTTGCAGAAGCATTCCCAGAGCAAGGACCTGCGCTGCTCCCGCCCGCCTCGGACCCAGAGAGCCGCGCTGTAGTGCGCACGCTGGCGGACATTATATCTTGCGATATACAGCCTGTTACGAACCTCCGGATCTTAAAGCGTGTTGGGGCGCTGGGTGTTGATCGTGCTGTTTGGTCAAAAGATCTGATGGAGGATGGGTTTAGGGCTTATGAGGCTGTTGTTAAAAGATCGGCGGGGAAGTTTAGTGTTGGAGATGAGATTACCATTGCGGATTTGTGTTTGATTCCTGCTGCTTGGGGTGCTCAGAGGTTTGATGTTGATTTGGGTCAGTTCCCGGTTACGAATGAGATTGTGAAGAATTTGGAGATGGAGGAGGCTGTTAAGAAGGGGCATTGGAGATCGCAGGATGATACCCCAGAGGAGTTTCGTATTACGGAGTAGCTGAAATGGTAACTCAGTATATAAAGGATTGAATAGTCTCAGTTAGTGGTCTTAGTATATTCTGTTGTCATACTAGTAATACTGGCGTTTAATGGCATATTGACAAAAGGTAGTAGGTGATTTCTTTATTTAGGTTGTATTGGCTAGTTAAAACCGACCGAGACATTCTATTCTAAGCTCTATAGTGTAGGATCAGACATAATTGAAAAAAAAAAAAGTAACATCACACATTGATCATTTCATTCAATTTTAAGTCAATCTACTGCAGCGAAATGGCAGGCAGGATAGTGCCAACACAGTCGCCGAAACCGACATAGTTGCCTTCTGTACCAGCCATACCGCGCAGAGTAACAGTGTCACCATCCTGAACGAACATACGCTCAGAGCCATCTGCCAGCTTAAGGGGAGTCTTTCCCTTGGTCTGTTCCAAGAAACTACCCTGAGTCCCATCCTCCTTACCAGAGATAGTACCCGATCCCAGCAAGTCACCAGTGCGCAAGTTGCAGCCTGTGACCGTGTGGTGAGCAATCATCTGAGGGAAAGAGTAGAGCAGATTTTTAGCGTTGCTGTTAGCAATAATAGTGGGCTGACCACCGGCGTTGGTGACCTCAACATCGAGGGGGATCTCGTAGGCACCCTCGGCAGACTTCTCGCGCAGGTAGGGGAGCAGAGACTCGCGGTTTGAAGGCTCTAAACCGACAGTGCGGAAGGGCTCGAGAGCATCAATGAGAACAACCCAGGGGGTGATGGTGGTACCGAAGTTCTTCGCATTGAAGGGACCCAGGGGGATGTATTCCCAGGCCTGAATGTCACGGGCAGACCAATCATTCATGAGAACCAGACCGAAAATGTGGTCCTCGGCCTCGTCAACTGGGATAGGCTTGCCGAGATCATTGGGCTTGCTGATGAAGCAAGCAAGCTCCAGCTCGATGTCGAGCCTCTTGCAAGGGGAGAAGATGGGCACCTTGGGGTCCGCGGCGGGGTTTGCCAGGACCTGACCCTGGGGGCGGTGGATGGGTGTGCCTGAAGTAACGACTGATGAGGCACGGCCGTGGTAGGCAACGGGCAGGTGCTTATAGTTGGGCTGGAGCGCATTTTCTGGGCCACGGAAGAGAACGCCAATGTTGAAGGCGTGGTGCATACCAGCAAAGAAATCGGTGTAATCGCCAATCTGCATGGGCAGATGGTTGGTCACCTGAGACAAAGGCAGCAGAGCTGACTTTTGGAGGGAGACATTGTCCTTAAGAAGCTGGGGGAACTTTGTATCGGCGCGGAAGATATTTTGTAGGTACTCGCGCACTTGACGGTGCACAGGGCGACCAAGGGCAGCGAAGTCATTCAGTGTGGGCTGGCTGAAAACAGCTAGGTGTTGCTCAAAAGCCGGCAGCTGTGAGAAACCTCCGGATGAAGCAAATGCGCTCAAGTTCAATGCATGATCACCGATTGCAATCGCAGCTGCCTTTGATGTGGACTGTGTGGAGATGATGCCGAACGGGATGTTGGCGAGCGAGAACGGGGAGTTCTTGGGGATCTGGAACCAGGAAGCCATATTGAATGAAATGAACGAAATAAATTAATGTTTGAGGAGTTTAGAGAGAACAAAGAAAACGAGTTCGCGATCTTAACATCCAGAAGTAGTGCGGAATGTGTCCGCTCCCCCGCATCCAACCGGCGCGGAATGCAAGGGTAATGGCGGGAATTGTCAGTATTCTGCGGAATGATGTGACTAGTGTGACCTTACATTGTTTGCTGCTTTTGAAAGAGCGAAGATCCTCGGTTGATCTGGGGTATTTGAAAAGACAAGGTCTCCACATTATTGAAACCACCATCACAGATCACCATCAATATGCCCGTCACCAAGTTCAACCACCCTGATCCTTATAAGTACCTGACGGGCTTCGACTCGTGTCATGAGTATGTATACACATAGCTTGCAACAACGGACATGAATTAATGAATACATAGGACAGAAGCCGTTGAAGGAGCTCTTCCAATCGGTCATAATTCCCCACAGAAAGCTCCATACGGGCTCTACACCGAGAAGCTCTCAGGAACGGCATTCACTGCACCTCGCCATGAGAATAAGCAGACATGGGTATACCGAATTTTGCCCGCAGCAGCTCATGAGAACTTCATCGCGGAGGATGCCGGCTCGTATCACATGAGCATGACAACCGAGACCGACAAGCTTCACCACATTCCTAACCAACTGCGTTGGAACCCCTTCGATCTAGATGAGCAGGTCGACTTTGTGCACGGACTGCACCTGATTGCGGGCTCTGGAGACCCAACTCTGAAGCAAGGACTGGGCATTTTGATGTATGCCGCGGGCAAGGACATGGGCAAGGAAGCTTTCTACTCCTCGGACGGAGACTTCCTTATTGTTCCTCAGCACGGTGTGCTGGACATCCAGACCGAGCTCGGTCGCATTCTTGTACGACCAAATGAGATCTGTGTTATCCCTCGCGGTATTAGGTGAGTGTTTTTCATATCCTACATAGGATCAATAGCTGATCACTTCCATCAGATACCGAGTGACGCTCCCAGACGGTCCTGTGCGGGGATACATCTGTGAGGTATACCAGGGCCACTACCAGCTCCCAGAGCTGGGCCCCATTGGATCCAACTGCCTGGCCAACGTACGCGATTTCCAGGCCCCTGTTGCGGCGTTCGACGACGAAGAGGAAAGCGAGTGGAAGCTCTACACCAAATTCAACAACAGTCTCTTCGCCGCGCGACAGAATCACACCCCCTTCGATGTTGTCGCCTGGCACGGAAACTACTACCCCTTTAAATACGATCTTGGCCGTTTCAACGTTATCGGAACGACCTCATTCGATCACCCCGACCCTTCTATCTTCACTGTGCTGACAGCTCCATCGGACCGCGTTGGTACCGCCGTTGCTGACTTTGTCATCTTCCCTCCTCGCTGGCTCGTCGCGGAGAATACTTTCCGCCCTCCGTGGTACCACCGTAACACCATGTCGGAGTTCATGGGTTTGATTTCTGGTGATTACGATGCGAAGGTTGGTGGTGGCTTCAAGCCTGCTGGCGCTAGTTTGCACAATGTCATGAGTGCTCATGGTCCCGACTCTGGTGCTTTCGAGGGAGCTAGCAATGCTGAGCTGAAGCCTCAGAAGGTTGGTGATGGAAGTATGGCATTCATGTTTGAAAGGTTAGTTCGATATCCGCCATTATCTTCGAGTTATATTTGCTGACGATTTTTAAGTTCTCTCATGGTCGGTGTCTCCGAATGGGGTCTTAAGACCTGCCAGAAGGTGCAGCCAGAATACAACGAGCACAGCTGGACGCCTCTGAAGCGACACTTTGTGAACCCTAACAAAAAGGTCTAAGCTATGCCCAGTTTAGCCCCACACACTGCGATGGGAAAATATGCACATCTTCAATTAGTTATATAGCATAGCAAGATACCAGAATTCAACCAAATCTAACAACATTGGTATTCATTATTTCGTTACTCCAAATGCACTTTGTAAGTTAGTAATTAATAACTCTTTCGTGATACAGTTATATGTAATCTTCAGCCCTCGATCTCCTTCCTCATCGCCTCCTTAACAATAGCTCCACACATCTTAGCATAAGGATTCGTCTGCACAGAAAGCTGCTGCGCAACCTTATTCCCGTAGCGACCCCCAAAGAAGAAATCCCGACTCGCCATTTCCTCAAGCTGATCAGCCGAAAGTCCGCGCAAACGCTCCGGCCCCGCCTCACCACCGGGACCAGCCTTCTTCACCCGCGCCGCCTTCAGAAGTAAATAACCCCTGTGCGTGTGCGCGTCGGCCAATAGCCGTGCTTGGGCTGCTGAGACCGCATCGGCGGGGCTGGCGGGTGTGGCAAAGTTTATGGCTTGGCCTAGGTCAGAGAAGATGCGGGAGCAGAGCTGGGAGGTTTCAGGGGCGAAGAGGGCAGCATCGGCTAGCTCGGTATCAGTGGTTTGGTTGGTACCAGCTTCCTTGTTGTAGATCAGATCGACCAGCAGGCGGAGTGTTTGTGCTCGATTTGTGTATGCGGAGGGGTATTTTGGATGTTGCGTGAGAAGAGTGTCAAAGTCGTTTAGTGCTGACTGGACTGTCTCTGTACTTGGTGATGTGTTTGATTGCAATTCGCGAATGATGGCTGTTTCGCGCTGCTTGAGCGATATCAGGTCTGTTTCGGAGAGGTTCAGAGATGATGGCCATGGGGCGAGTGATGAATCAACGATTATTCCTGATGATGGAGAGGATTCGGCATCGAATAGAGCTTGAAGTACGGCCGAATCATTGGATGTCAATGATGGGCGAGCAGTTGTGATAGATGTCATCTTGGGATTTGGTGTTGAGATGAGAAGTGAGAATATTGTGATAGTCAATGCAGAACGGGCTCACTTTTCAGTCAAAATTAATTGAACAAAGAAAAATATCTGAAAGGAATTGAACTAAGATATCGAAGATCTCCGGATATTCACAATGATCTCACAGCGGGTATCTCCGGATATCTCAGGGTCCTGAAATAGCCGGCAACTATGACAAGGGATGCAATGAAAAGTGGATTGGAAATAGATATCCGCCGAGACAGATTACGGTGACTAGAGGATTAGTTATATAAAAGAAAGGTCAGAGTATACTTTCTAATAACTACATAGAAATCCACCGCCTCTCTTGTACTACCCATCATTCTAGATTTTATCTACCCACATCACCATCTTACAAACATACAATTCAACAAAATGGCACCATCAGCTATTACCAACAGTCCTCCCCCCTCAGTCGCCGGCGAGACATCTTCAGTAGCCAGCTACCGCAGCTACGACCATGTGCACTGGTACGTCGGCAATGCCAAGCAAGCCGCAAGCTACTACATCACCCGCATGGGCTTCAAACGCATTGCCTACAAGGGTCTCGAAACCGGCACACGCCATATCTGCTCCCATGTTATCCGCAATGGCGAGATAACCTTCATTCTGACCTCTCCTCTGCGGTCCCTTGACCAAATGGACCGTTTCAATCCCGAAGAGCAAGCCGAGCTAAAGGAGATCCACGATCACCTTGAAAAGCACGGCGACGCAGTCAAGGACGTTGCCTTTGAAGTTGACAGCGTCGATGATGTATTCTTTGCTGCTGTGAAGAATGGCGCCAAGCCTGTCTCTAACCCTACGGTCCTTGAAGATAAGAGTGGCCATATCAAGACTGCTACTATCCAGACTTATGGGCAGACCACCCATACCCTTATTGAGCGCAATGAGTACCGTGGTATCTTTATTCCAGGTTATCGTGATGATACTGGCAATGAGGACCCCATTCTGCAGTTTTTGCCCGATGTTCATCTCAGACATATCGATCACTGTGTTGGAAACCAGGACTGGGATGAGATGGATAAGATCTGTGAATAGTGAGTTTGGCTCCGGATTGTTTGATTGAGTCCTCATTTACTGATACCATTCATTAGCTACGAGAAGTCTCTTGGCTTCCACCGTTTCTGGTCTGTCGATGACAGCCAAATCTGCACGTAAGTGGTTTAACATATTTTATCTGATCCCAGTCACCATGGCTGACCTCATAATTATAGTGAGTTCTCGGCTTTGAAGAGTATCGTCATGGCTTCACCCAACGAAATCGTCAAGATGCCCATCAACGAGCCAGCAAAAGGCAAGAAGCAATCCCAAATCGAGGAATACGTGGACTTCTACAACGGTGCCGGTGTACAGCATATTGCACTCCACACCGACGATATTATCCGTGATATCACCAATCTCAAGGCGCGGGGTGTTGAGTTCATCAAGGTTCCTGAGACATATTATATCGACATGCAGGCCCGCTTGAAACAGTCTGGCTTGGTACTCAAGGAAGGCTTCGAGACTATCCGCAGCTTGGACATTTTGATTGATTTCGATGAAGGTGGCTATCTACTGCAGCTTTTCACTAAGGTATGTGGGAATTAATGACTCCAGTGTGGGTGAATTTATACTAACCTGACAAATAGCACATGATGGATCGCCCCACTGTTTTCCTTGAGATTATCCAGCGACACAACTTTGAAGGCTTTGGGGCTGGAAATTTCAAGTCACTATTCGAGGCTATCGAACGAGAGCAGGACCTCCGCGGTAACTTAGTTTAAGGTCTGAAAAGATTCCTAGTTAGGCATGTTTTTATAAGGTCTTCTAGATTGCGAATTTGCATCTTGAATTTAGCGAATTAGGTGGTTTCCCTTTAATGACAACTTTTTGACCATCTCATTGTCCGCCGATTCCTGTAGCTCAAATCGATACTGGAAGATATGTAGAAGTCGGTTCGCGTCCACTCTAGCATCCTAGCGGTGTTAGATAGCTTGCGACTGTAAAAGCAAAGAAGACACAGATGTGGGGATTTGCATTGAGTACAAGGTTTAACTGGAAAGGAAGAACTATCCGGGGCTACGTGGGCGCTATAAAATGTCACATTTTACAGTAAGGGATACAGAGCAGACATGAGATCCGAACCCCTGATAGGACTGGCCCCCAGTTGGCAAAAGGGTTGTACATGGTAAAGACCGCATACATGTTTTGTTGTGTGGGTTTTTATATACTTCAGGGGATAACAGGCCAAATGAAACATAATGAAGCAATCTAACTTGCAAGACCGAATACCTACTCCAGTTTATATAAACAAAGCAATCTGAAGCAAGTCACTAGTACAACTTTCCTAAACCCCATTCCTATCAAAGAGCCAAAAGAAGCAACCATACCACCCAGTAATCCCCCAGCAACCTCCAAGTAAACCCAACCTCAATCAGAGTATCGATCCAGCAGATCCGCAATCCGACACCAATTCTCTCGAATTTTTAACTTATGTTGATCAAGTTCCTTCTCAAATGGATCCATCGACTCTAGAGCATCAGCATCAACAACAACGTCGTCGATCATCCGGTTCCGTCTGCATTGAATCATCTCTATCAAGTGTGCTTCCCGATCGAATAAGGCGTTTGATTCATTCAGCAGATAATCCTTATCCTCCACCCATTTATTCCTCATTTCTGTCAACTTGGCTTTTGTCACTTTATCGCCCCGCGTTGCTGAATACATCTGTACCATCTGGGCTTGGGGTTTCTCTTAGTGAGGGAGTGTATCTCGGGACGAAGACTTACTGAAAGCAATAAGGGTGGCTATCGGTACTAGAACCCATATAGCGATGTAGGCGGCAACCACTAGCTCCCGCGATATCTCGCAATCCATTTATGGGTTGGTTTGTTGATGTTAGGTCTGGTTGTGCGGGTATTCGGTGGGTGACTAAAAGAAGGGAATAACCAAGGCGAGGTGTCATCAAGACGAGGATGAGGTATTGATTTGGGTTTCCGCTACTTATGTTTTGGGAGAAACTTTTGTTGAGGTTGAAATAAACTATATACAGTAAACCCAAAGTCGGGGCCGCATTGAAACATATATTCTCGCCCTTCCTCCATCACATTGATTTACTTCCGCTTCGATGAACTCGAAGTAGGAGCATTAGCTCCAACCCGCTTGAACTTCCTCGGATCTAGAATCTCGTTAGAAAAGTGCACTCACAACCGGGAAGTTTAAAATGGAAACATACCTTTCCGACTCATCAGAGTTCGGTTTCTCGTTCCTTTTCCACCCTCCCAGAACCCACTACCTGCCTTTCCGATCAAGACCGCTTTACAGATACCGCAGTTTTCAGGTCTGTAGATTTGCTCGCGGGAGCAGTAGCCACATATCATACGATTCGCATGTTCGTTCGGGTGATCAGTTTCCGCGTCGTGGCATCTAGATGAATCAATAAGCATGTGAAAATATGAAAATGAATGGGGAGGTATTTAGTGGGGAATCATACTTGTCACAAGGGAAAACCTTTGAGCAACAGCTGAATCTGTAGGGGGTTAGTATAACCTGTTTGTCGAGTGCAACCAACTCATTATCAATAGGGATCACATACCTGAACCAGCGTTGACTCTTCGCATAATGCTGGCAACGACCGCGTCGTGGAAGTTCTTGTCCTGCGACAATGCCGAGGACTTCCTGGGGCTGGGATAATTGTTAGGTTTCATTCTGATGATATGTGGTGGATTATACGAACCTTTCTTTTGAGGGGGAGAGCTCCACGAGCAGTAACTAGATGGTACAGTAATGAGCAAAAGCATATCTTACAGTTTCGATATATCAGGACTTACTTGCTGCACTTCCCACCAGAAGGAATTTCACCTCAGGGATCTTGAACACTAAAATTTCGGATATGTTAGTGACCAAGCAATAGACACTGTGTATCAGAACCTACCCATTTTGCGATGACACTGGCGACATATACCCATAGCACTCTCGCCACGAACTGCAGGTATACCCGGTGCGGGATGGGGAGTCGAGCACTCAGAGCATGTTGGGATGAAGTCACTATAGCAAGATGAGTCAGTAGATAGCACTTGACTGATATAAATGAGAAAACCAACCTAAGAAGCATGTCTCCAATCGTACAGCCGCCCATATCAAGGTAACCAGCACGATTGGCATGGGAATGCATCAACTGTTTCCGGAACGCTGCACAGAACTCAGTAACCAATCCCGAAAAAGAGAATGTGATTAAGCCTATACTCACCGACACTCATGTTATTAGCGCATTTCCTGCACGACTCCATTTTCGGCATCTGGCCCTTCTCATCTGTAATTTGTGGCACGTTCTTGACGTCGACCTCCACCTTACATCTGTCACATTTGATCGTGATATTGAGGTTCAGGATTTCCAGCAGCTCAATTCCGTAGAGTTCCAAGTACGGGAAGGAGAGTGCGACGCCTCTTCCGGGTGCGTTGTTGTCCACGGATGCGGGGACGGGTGCACCGCCTTCTTCATCTTCCTCTTCATCTGAAAACTCGTCTTCGTCGTAACTGGACTCATCTGATGTCCCCTCGCCTCCACTGGCGGGGTTAGGAACCGACCATTCGGGTGGCCGTGGGATGACAACAAGATGTGGCCTGTCTTCACTATCTTGAGTTGACACGGGAGGCCCTTTTGTAGGCTCCTCCACAACCTCATCTTCTTCCTCTTCGACGGTGGGAGGTACATCCTCGGCAGCCTCCTGCTCTTCTGGCAAGGGTGTTTCAGCGAATTTATGGATGTTGCTCGCTAGGTAGTTGACCTGCGATACTAGACTCAGCTGCGAAGTCTGTTCTACCCACTGGGTGAATCCCAGTTCTGTGGCTTTCACTTCAGGGCCATCGACTCCCTGCAACTTGATTGAGCTGTGCTCGAGCGGGTAGAGCTGGGGCACAATCAATTTCACAGTCTTGAGTACCTGAAGTGTTCGCGGTAGGCGATCTTTTTTGGTTGGCTGGATGGGAATAACATATGTCCTGCCATCTTGCATTTTTTGGTACATCGGCAGTCTTCCAAGGCGTGCCTCGAGCTGTTTTGTCTCAGCTGCTCGTCTCTTCTCAGCGGCAGCTTTTGCTTCGGCTGTGTGTCTAGGCGCTACAGGTCTTGCTTGTGGTGCTGGCTTGGCAGCAACACTCTGCGTTTTAACTTGGCCTTGAGACGAACTCGGCTGGGTTGAAGTCTTCTCTGGTGCCTTGATAGGTTCTTTGGTTGTGGATCCATCACCAACGTTAGAAAAGAACTTCAGCGTTGGCCCACGCTCCAGGGTGGTTAGCAATAATTCGAGCTTTTTGTCCAGGCTATTCAGCCAGGCCAAAAGAGTTCCTTGGCCATTAGTGCGGTATGTAAAATCGACAATATCATTGAAGCCTCTGGCGATATTTGCTTGATATGCAGCTTCCATTTCAGAATTGGTAACTGCAAGCGTGGGTCGCCCTTTTGGGTATGAGCTTGGGACATGAAGAATACATTGAAGTCTTTCAAGCTCAAAGGGGAAGTCCGGGTCAGAAGGTACCAAGCCAAAGGTCAAAGTAGAGCCCTGGGCATCATTAACCTCCTGTGGACGGTAACGCCGCCTCAATTGGTTAATCTGAAACTCTCTTGGGTCTGACTGCTCCAATTTGGAAACTGGTCTTTGGGGATGGACAGGAGCTGCGGCAGGGCTCTGCTTCGACTGATTCCCGCCAATGTTCAATCTCTCAGTCCCAGTGACAATGGCTTGCGCCGAGCTCTGGCTTTCATTTCCCGAGGATTGGGCTGGTGTCTGCTGCCCCAATGAAGACTGCTTAGCCTCGATGGCCGAGACATCATGTAGATACGGACATGCTTCTCCAAGTCGACATCCTTGAACAATGTTAGCATATGACCTGAATGACAAATCGTCTTTCTGGCAAACAACCAGCACAAAGAATACATGGGCAAAAGATTAGGGCACAAATCGATCATGCAACGCTGGTCATAGCTTCGGTATCATCGAGCCTTTGGGTGAACAGGCCCGACGCTGTGTACAAGCATTCCCAAAGGGGCCTGTCTGTGGCACCCGGTCCGAATTCAATGACGCATCGATGATTGCAGTAACCAAAATAGGCAAAGAGCCCTCACAAACAGAAACTCAGCACGCAGACTTACCCTTTTGGGATTTGAAAAAGCGACATTTTTTCTGCCGCCGAGTCGATGACTGGCGAGCAGCACTGGTTTCATCGGTCGATGCAACGCCATGCGACCGGGCCGCCGACAACTCATCATTTATCAAAGAGGATGGCAACTCTGTACCTGTTTATCAAAAGCATCATGAGCGTGTGATCAGAAAGATAGCGGAGCGCCGAGTCAGATCCAAACATATGGGCAGACCAGGGCCACCCTGCACGCCAACAAAGTTCTCGGAGGAGATAGACATGGATTGATAGGCTTTGTGGCGGATGCAACATGTGCTGCATTGGCATGTAACAGGGGGCTGAAAATACGAAAGCCTGTGGTGGAGGGTCCAGATAAATCCGCCCAAGTAGATCTCATAGAATTGATTGGGGACAAAAGCCTCCGGCTAGATGGCTTTTTACGCGCCAATAATAGAATTGACCTTGACATACCTTGGACCTGGGGTGTTGGACCCGCAGTATCGTCAACTGACTTGTTCCCCATACTGAAACTGAGCCTCGGGCCGTTCTGCAAAAGGTGATCCAGAATGGAATGGGCAGGTTCTAGGCGAGTGAGAGGTGACGCACGCTGCCAGCGCAGAGATCGGGTGACCTGGAGGAGATCGACAGGACCAGATCTGCGCAGTAAGCAAGCCCGGATGTGCGACCGTCTGAACTTCTGTAGTGATCTTCGAAAGTCACGGCGCTAAGCAGAAATAAAACGGGAGGAGAAAAATGTCAAAGAGATACCACGTGATGTCAAAGTAACAAATTTTCAAGTAGTCCGCAAATAAGCAGTATGTCTTTCAGATATGAGGATATATGAAGCTATACAAGAACCTTTGAAGTTATAGTTGTTTACAGTTTTGCTGGCAGTCGAGTGCCAAGAGTTTAGGCGGAACCGATGATATCATTCGCCTTTGACTCACTTCACTTCATTTGCAGTCATACTGTGCATAATATTAGTCACAATGAATTTTGGGGTTTGAGGTTTTAGTTGCAGACTAGAATGTTCCTGGGCGTTCTAATATAGAGTGCAGTTGCTTTGTAGATCTCCGTCACTCATACCAACCCTAGTACTTAACCCCTATATCACATGTTGTACCCTGTACAATGTACAAGTCCAGGCTCACAGCTATTAATAATGATAACCCTCTGCACGATCCTCACATTCCATATCATCTCAACTATACCCCCTCGTCATTTTACGTCCAAATCACAACCAGGTGCAGTGGCGCTCATGTCTTGAAGCCCATCTGCTCGAAGCCCCAACAGGAAGCAAAACCAAACAAATACTTACATTGATTGGCAACAATTGTTGCCAATCTATCTGCACCTCACCATTGCATGTATAAAAAAAACATAAAACAAAAGCCATCAGAAAAAGAACCAGCAGAGAAACAAGATTCCAAATTCCAATCTGCCAGCAGAGCAAGGCAAGAGCATATACAACACGGAGCGCGCCATGCGCCTTATCTCCCTCATCCCTCCATCCAAGCCGGGGGATATCCCCATTAATCAAAAGGAAGGAACCAACTCCAGCCAACAAGGTGATAATATGAGCGGAAAGATAAACATTAGCATTCACCGAGAGTAATACGACCCGACGGGCGCAACAAGCTCAACACAATATGTGCTCAACGGTCAGTCACATTCAGCCCACCAGTCACGGACAGCGGTCGGTCCGCGTTGTGCGGAGAAGATGAGGGGTTCGCTATCAAGTTTCTAGAACCCCTACATCCCTGCTTGATGGGCGCCTTCGCCAGGGTACGCGTTTAGCCGGGATGCAACATCGATCCACTAGCTATAACGGCTATCTGAGGTTGATTTCGATGTTTCTTTTGTCGGAGTGGCTTGTGTTCTGTAGTCATATTTCCAATTGTACCGAGCTTCCGTGAATCTGAGTATCCACACAACGGATAAATTTTTCCGTGTTTACCCCGACATCTGGGGGCAGGGGAAAAGTAAATCATGTGAGAGAAAAGAAAGCTAGAAGTGGATCCAAGACCGGAAGTTGAATAGTGCAAAGACAGTACACACTACGGAGTATGTTGTACAGATACAGAAAAGGGCAATTCCCACAAGGAAACGTTCAAATGCCACACAAAGTGGCTACGAAGGATTAACACATGATTGAAGGAAACGGTTTTGGCGATATCTGGAGGTCACATGTACAGTGGGGACGTAATGTGGTACTCCGTGCTTTAAACCCTGTCGGTGGCTGCCCGCTAGTAAGTAGAACGCCGGTATCCCCGGAGCCCAAGCCCTCGGGGAGTTACAAGCTATACTTGTTTGAGATTATATTTCCACATGCCTAAATTGACTAGGATCTCTAAGTCGAAATTGAAACTAAGATACTAATAAAGATAAGCCGTTCTAAACTACCTTGAGCATTCCAAAATATCCTATATGCAACCCTAAGGAACTCCCGCATCTAGCTACCTACAAGGGTTATGCGAGCATGTAGTATACTCCACTAGATTTGAGCCTCGGTCAATGGTATTGTACTGTACAAAAGAGGCATAGGGAGCTCCGCCTTGTACTGAGCTTTCCCGCCGTTATGGTAATGTAAGCCCGAAATACATACCGTACAGGAAAATAAAAACGCCCAAAACGGCAAAGCGTCGATCGGACCTGGAATTCACCGACCAACCGGATCATCCTTCCAGAAGCATTCCAGAATCTCGCACGGTCTTCCCTGGGTGTTGGCGCGTTTGACCATAGCTTGCAGTTTATTCGGGGGTATGTCGGCATTTCTATTCCACTAGTATCAATTCGCTCTATAGTTAATATGCACTTTACTTTTGGACTACGAATGCTGTTCTTCGTCAGATGACAGCGATTTTCGATATTGCCATCTTGCGGGGTTTTCGGAGTACTGAGCTCCTGAGAGTACTGATGCACCGCTGCATCGGAACCACGTGACCCATCTCCACCGGAGGGCCTAGAATATTTGATTTGGACCAATCGCAGGTGCCATAATTGGCTTGGGTTTTCACTGAGCGTTTCCTCTTTCGGAGCGAAAACGGGTATAGATTCAGACTCGGGGGCCAATCCCGAGTTACCTCAATCGGGGATTTCACCGAATATTTTTAGTTGAGCAATTCATTAATGGCCAATGACACACGAGATGTCGTGCATGGCAAATTTTTCCAAAGTGAGTTAAAATAGCAGATATATGTCGTATGTCGCGCAAGACTGATATCGGAAACGACCGAGATTTTCCCCTGAGTTAAAAGAATAACAAGAAGTAAGCGAAGCCCAACTTTAAAATATCTCTGCTCTAGAGCTCGAATGGCCCAGACAGGGATTGGACGGGTCGTGGTTGGCCGATCAATTCGTAGTGGAGGACGATCAGGAGGAAATCAACGAAGGTTCTTCTAAGACGGGTCCCAATTATTTAAGAGCCAAGACAATTCGAGCAAAGTTGCACGCAAACTGCCTAAATCCTTCAGCAAACGGTCCCTCCGTTCCCAGCTCGGCGCGGTATCTTCGCACACCGTACTCTGTACGGAGTAGCTCTTGTTGATATACTTCACCCTGCATGCTGCATCGGCTTGCCGATTACACGTCGGGCGCACATCACCATCCGAACAAGCTAGTTAGGCGTCAATCTTGCAGCAAGAAGGACGATATATCCACTTATTCTTCGCCACGCCTCTAACAGCCTTGATCGTGGAAAGGTCCGTGGGGGTTGGCCCGGGATACCCATAACATAACAAGTTGTATGGAGTACGGAGCACGGAGTCCCGAACAGGAAATGCGGAGCTCAAGCTGTTACATTACCTTTGTATGTGACAATCTCAGTTGAAAACATCGCCGTACCGGTGAGACGGACGAAAAAGAAGCAGCGAATCATACCTAGTAATGGGTGTGCGTGACCCACTGCAATATCCACTTTGATCCCGTTCGAAGCTGAGATCAAGAAGACTCTTCTGGCCGGACGAGGGGATTGTTAGCCCTAACTAGGCAGATGGATTGTGGAGATGGAGGCTGGAATGTGCACACAGTTGTATACATAGAACTTCGGTGACTATAGAAGAGATTCTTGTATCATTTTGGTCGCGGTTATTGAATCGGAACGGAAGAAAGAGGCTTGTGATATAAAAGTATACGATCTCGGTTAATGATTGTACCAAGGCTGGCAGTTCCTCGGTGAATGCAAAGTACTTTGTACTCGATCTGGCATGAGATTTGCTCTGTCCATGTTATAAGCTTCCTTTGGTCCTCGGATCATTGTTTCTCTACCAGGGAATGGCTATTATGAGCCCCACGAGTCGGCCATGATCGGAAAGACTGAAAATATTCTTAGATGTGTTCGGGCGTTTTAGGAGGAAAAAGTCTTCATATCCCCACATTGAAAGTTGGAGAGAGAAGGCACATACGTCATTCGCCGGGACCTTGTCCTGAATCCACTCAGGGCTCTTAGGTAATATTTCGAGGTGTGTCTAGATACCCAAAGTAGGTAATGATTCACAGATGAGATGAGTCCCAAAGAAGAGTAGAAAATTGAAGAATATGTTCAGTATAGAAATGGATCTCTCGGGCATCAAAACCCAGACTCCACCCCCAGATCATGTGCGCCGGTCATGTGCAGTCGCCACATTATTGTGGACACCCGTGATAATCCCCCATACTAAGGGCTCCGATGTATAACTCCATTGCAACTCTGACACATGCCTTCAAGGAAAATAAGCATATCACCGAGTCGGCATATGAAAAACGCAATTATGCCAAAGATGACATCAGCCTGATACAACTCCCGAGGTCCCTTAATTCATTAGTTAAAGATCTGCACGCCAAATCTTCATCCTTCAGGCGACTACTAAGCATCACAATAAGATCAGGCAAAAGAATGTAAGCGAAGGCGAAATCATGATGAAAGCACGCATAATCCAAGCCAGATGCATGTTAGTGTCATAATGAGGCCCTCCAACGGGACCTGATTCCCTCCTCTACATTGCAGTTGAGTAGCATATACATGCTTCAGAGTACCAGTAAACGCCATCCCACGCCCAAATGAGCCCCCCAAACCCAAGTCAAGATCAAGGAAACTACAAATCCAAAAGTACCACAGGCCTAGAACTCACCTTGCCACCCAGCAATAAACCCCAATCCAATCATCCTCTCCGCTTTATATAATTCCCACGCACCCCCCGAGATACCCGATGAGCTGGTCCTGCAAAGCATGCACAGAAAAGCCACCGCGGACTGAGCACCATATCCCGTCCTGTTGATTTGCAAGCCCAGCACCTTTCCGAGTTCCGCAGGAGCTCTGACATAAATCTAATGGAAAGATGTCATTGCTTCTCATCGCATGTGCCAGCGACCAGTGCGAAGCCAAATTCGATGGACGCCCAGGGGCATCTCTCTCGGTCGATCCGATCGGGTCGGTTTTGGAATAAATATATCCATAGATAGCTCTCTGTAAGCTCTTTATCTTCAGCGGGGATTCCGATATGGGAGTTAATTGGCCTCGGCATCGTAATAAACTAGATATCGCAATATAAAGTATTATACACCTTCCAAGCTTGGAATATATTGACATGGCACATGTATAAAAATTATAATTAGAATAGGAAATCCGAGTTTCTGGTTTGTGTTCTAGATCGGCGCGAACGTTCGCTTCCCGGGAGTGATAGGTACTTTTGACATTCTTTTTTCAAGATTCCGGACGGGGACCCCGGGATATTGGGCGGGATTTCTGATTGACCACACACCCCTGTTATCAGGTTTGGGTTTTTGCATCCCACCTGACCTTTATTTATTTATTTTGGCGCTTGGGACGGATCTGCGGATATGCCCTCTGAAACGTTCCATGAACTTATGTATAGATAAAACTCCTTCCGAATACCTGTCTAGGCAGGTGGTACGGAGTACTGCATTAGGAGATTCGATGATTCGATTGATAACAAAGTGTGACTTCTATCGTTTCATTCGTTGCGGCAGTCATTGTACATCAACCCATATTTTCTTGGATAGGGGGGGGGGGGGGGGGGGGGAAGTGCAGCATACAGTAGATGTAGATATTATACCTGAGATAAGGCTACGGAGTATATATCTTCAGAATGATATATGTAGTCAAAGTATCATTCAATCAGTGTAGTTAGGCAATGTAATCAAAATGGATCATGACCTCTTGCATGGGAAGTACATGCAGACAGGTATCAGCCATCAGACTGACTCCTCACCTCATACGTGTCAGCGCCACAAAGTCAACAATGATTTTCCACATGATTGATCTGGCGGCGTTATCGCAGACCTTCTAGTATCCTCCGTGCTCTGCAGCAGAGCTATAGCTACCTTAATATACATATTACGACGTAGATCCAGACCGCCAATTCAGGCCTATGCAAGCCTCTTCATCTGATATCTGAGGCTGCAGTCAAAGAAATACGATATACATGTGAGGGTAGCTATTCTCTGATTTCGTTCATTTGATTTTTTGTGTTTTTTTTAGCTGTCATCAAGTAGCGTACAAATGGTGGCCCGATCGTGAAGATCGGTGCCGGATGAAAAGCAAAGACATAAACGTGTGGTATCAGGTATCGCAGAAAAGAAAACATGACTATCTCTCCGATGATAATCAGGAGTAGTAAAACAAATGCTAGGCGTTTTCTGTAGTCAAACATAAGACATACAGTGAGAGACGCAGCGCTGAGATCAAAAAATAAACCCCTTTTTTTGGTGAACTTTCCGGGTATGAAAAACCCCATCCGGAAATATCTTGTAAAGCAAGACGAAGAAAAAAAAAAAAAAAAGAAAACCCATGCATCAACCGTTCACCCGAAAAGGAGCACGAGGGATATAAGCTGTACATGAATATTAAGGCCGTAAGAAGATGATAGCCCTCGAAATTGGTATTCCATAACCTCCATGCAGGACAAACGCCCAGTGAATGCTGTGATAACATCCCGGCCCCCAGAGCCGATGAGATTGATGAAAACAAAGCAGAAAGAAAACAAGATGTGCGCCATATATGCAATGCATGATCGTGATCGTACGTGTCAAGAAAGAAAAGCTATACTGTCTTGAAGCAAGCCTGTGAAAATTCAAATGGTGCGTAGGTGAGGTGAATCGCAGACGAATGAACTACCATCCCTTCACATGGTACTCCCATGGACCGTAGTCAGTTGCGTAGTTGGTCCAGGAACCATTCTTGCCCAGGTCGAAGTTAGTAGCATTGGAGTCTGCTTCGGCACTAGCCTGGTTCGGACCAACTCCCTTGTGGGGACCCTTGGGATCAGGGTACTCCTGGAGATTCTTCATGTCGTGGGCAGTGTGGCGACGCTTGAGGAAAGCGTTCGCAGTCGCACTCTTCTGTTGGCGCTCCCAGAGCAGGTGTCGGCGGAGAGACTCAGTCAATTCGGTAGCAAGCATGTTACGACGGGTGGTTCGCGGGGAGTGTGCCATAGACTGTGAAGCGTTGTTCATGACAATAGGCTTCGATCGGGGAACATCGGGTCCACGCATGACCAAGCTTTCCTCTTCCTTGTTAGGAGGGGACTGGGGAATAGATGGACCGCTGGGCGAGGTCAACCGCGATCGTTGAAGTGCGGGACTGGACCGGAACGCGTTTCCTTGCATGCGGGCCGGCTGGTGCATCATCATAGTGAGCATCGAGCGGCGCGAAACAAGATTGGGCCGGGAATCAACCCGTTGGAACATCTCTCCTCGGTCATCAACGCTGGACTCGCCACCTTCAGTGATGGAGTCCTCCCAATCAGAATCTTCGTCATCCTCGATCGCACTCTCTGAGACTTCATCGTCGGTCTCAATGGCGTCCTCGTCAGATCGACTGATGTCCTTCGAGTTAGGAATGATGTGAGAAGAGACCTGATTGCTGAAGGAAGCAGTCTTTTTCGTAGAGTTGGCGCTGCTATTTTGCGGTTTCAATCCTCCGCCGGTCGCGTTCTCCTGGGCCGCCTGTGGACCCATGCGCTCTTCAAACGAGCTTTCATCGTCATCCCCAGAGGATCCGCCCAATGTAAACATACCTCCCTTCCTCTTCAATGGCGATGGCTTCAGTTGCGTAGTAGAACGAGAAGGACTGGGGTCAATAGACAGTCTTGGTTGCGATCGAAATGAAGATGAGATGTGTGATGGCGAGAATCCACGAACAATGCTGGGGGACTTGATCAATTCAGGTCGACTGGGAAGAATTCCGGAAGATGAAACGCTGGTATCGGATGCGTTGACTTGTGCAGAGTCGCTCTCATTGCCCTCGGGGGCAGTCGTCGAGCAAGATTCAGTCGACTCATGAGGGTATGGAGTCGGTCGGACAGAGAAATGAGGAACGTGACGAGCGGTCGAGACAGTAGATACAGAGGGAGGAGTAGGAGTGGGAGTGGATGGGCGAGGGGTAATGTCGACAACGGGGGCAGCAGGCTCAACGGGATGAGACATGGGCTCCAGCTGCTTCTTTTCCTTGATGTTAAGGACCATCCGCTCCAAATCCAACGAGGTGATGTGCTTTTCCTTGCCACGGCCGAGGCTGGCTAGTGAGTCCTCACGAACGACAGCTGGTCG